CGCCCACCCGCCCGCCTACTCGTGGCCGGGGCACACTTGTACGTACGCACCAGCCGTGACAACAGAAAATGGCGTGCGCAAGACTTACCGGCAATCGCATCTGAAACGTCGTCGGATCAAAGACATGGTCAGGCTGGTACTTGTTCGGCTTGTTGTCCAGCGACGTCAGAAACTGCTTCGCGAATTGGAGGTCGCCCATGTTGCCTGCTCGTGCTTGTCGCTCTTCCTCCAGATGGCGCAGGGCGTGTTGCAGAGCAAATGCTGCCAGATTGAATGGTAATCAAATCGTGAGCAAGGATAGACCTGGCTGGACCGCGGGGGGTAGGAAAGTTGAGAGAATGTACGAGTAGCCGCAAGCGGCGCAGGTGGGAGTAGCACACATGAAGTCCGACTGAACAGTGGCGCTGACATCACCGCGCAAGGCTGCACAAGGCTGAGACCTCCAAATTGCCCAGTTAATACAAGACGATTTCAACAGGTATTACATTCGCAGAGAGAAGATGAAATACTGCATTAATTCTCTATGCTAGACATATCAGGTATGTAGGCTCAAGTGGTATCATCGCCAGAAATCATCATAAATTCCTTCACATCATGAATGCTAAAAGTACCAAACCATATTCCCGACTCCAACTCTAGAAGACAGGTACAATATTCTCATTATTTCCATCAGTTCCCTCCACATACCAAGCGTGATGTACAGTCTTCAGACTGCCGAGTCTCTTCAGACTGGTCGTGCGGCTGACACTACCCATCCTGGAGACCCCCTGTCTTAAACTCTTGAACCGCGTGATCGGGGGTTTGTTTTCCCCGTTGTTCACGGACAAGTGCTGCCCGTCGAGTTCCACTGCCTTGGAGCGTGGAACCACGTCAATGTGGTCGGGAACGCCGGCCTGAAACTCGCTGTCCACTTGCGTCACATTGATCTGAGGTTTGGCTCCTTCTTTCAGACTGTCCTGGCTGTAGATCGAGGCTCGATCCCGGAGGTCAACCATCTCGAAGGCGTCTTCCTCGTCCTTACCACCGACAAACGAAAACGGAGTTTGAGGACGATCTGTCGGGTCGGTGCCCGTGGAAAGCTTGGTGTAGTGGGCGTCTCGCTCGCTGCCGGGTCCTTGCATGGCGGTACTGATCATGTTAATCAAGGTGCCAGCGCTCTGTTCCCCACTCTGGCGTGCGAGTTGCTGACTTGGAAGTGGGGCGGCTGCTGATGCGGCTGTCTTGTCTTTCTTGCTAAGACGTCGAGAGAGCGATCGCGCGAGAGAAGAGTTGCGGAATAACTTGAACTCGGTCTTGTGGGCTTTAGCCACGAGAGGAGAGTCGTCTCGGTAACTCGAAAGGTGGGAGTTGGACGCCCTGTACGTCGACGCGGACGGAGGAATGACATCAATTCTAGGATAGGCCAGGTTGTTTCCGGGGGCATTGGGTTGAATCGAAAGACGAGGCCTCATTGCAGGGTGATTTGCCGTAGGCACGGGTGCGGTTGCAGGACTTAATCCATTGGAACGGAGCTGGTCAGGCGAACCATGTGCCATGCCAGGCCGCTTGTATCTTCCACACTTTGTGCAGCACCGCGAGTGCGTCGACGACCCTGGTGAGCTTGAAGGGCCTGCTGTGCTTTCCGAGAGTCTGGATGAGTTGTGAGACACCTGTCCCTCAGAAACAGTCCGGGCATGCGCCGCGGGCATGGGCGCCGGGGTGACAGTCGGAGGGATCGATGCTGCAGCATGGGACCTGCGTTTTCCGCACTGATTGCAGCCGTGCCCGTGTCCATTGCTTTGACCATTCGGGTTGCCACATCTCGCACACCTGGGTGAGGTGGACGGAGCATTTGGGGCCTCCGTGGGGTTCACAGGATCAGACGCTTGACGCCTGTACACTGGTGGGAGTGCGCCATCGTGCATGTCCTTCGCAACCTTGACGACCTTTGGTTTTTCCTTCTCCGCCGCAGAATTGGATCCGGGGTATGGCTTTCCATCGAGTCGGCGCAGATCGACTGATCTTTGGTGGTCGCCGTGAGGTCTCTGTGGCTTGGGAGCCTGGATGGTCGCTTGCGAGGAGTGCTCAATAGGACTGGCCTCGGCTATCGGCGAGACTGGCGAGAAAGGTGATGTTTGTAGCGTGGCGGTCGCAGCTGGCCCAGGTCTGAAGTTGGGGGAGAATGGGTTCGTGTCAGGCAGAGGATCATTGTAGGAGCTGGGTAACACGGCCGTGCTGACATTCACGGGCGGCTGCGCGTCTTGTGGCAGATTCTCGTAGGGGACAGCCGTCTGCAGAGAGCCAGCAGAGCCTTGCGTGGTTGTCGGTTTGCCTGGGTAGGCGGGGGGAGGCGACTTTCTTAATTTGGTCATGGTGTCAACTGGCGCTTACAACTTCACAGAGGAGGAACAGAAATTATAAGGATCAGATATGTAGAACAAAAGGCCCAAGTAAAAGAGACAGAAGAAAAAAGACAAGGCGGGAGAGTTATGGCGGTGTATCTGGGTGAATGACGGTGAGATGCAGGATACTAGCGAAGACACCGGAGGAGATCGACAACGTCAAGATTCCCCGATGACGGACGGGTTGAGAACGAACGGAAATGCAGGAGCAGGAGCAGAGCTGCTTTGCAGAGGAGGACAAAGTGGGAGAAAAAAAATTACAGCAAGAGTGGAAGTCTTGTTGAACGAGAATGGAGATGATGTTGGGTCAAGGGTGGACGACAGGCAGATATGAGTGCCAGATGGAGTGCAGATGGACACCAGAATGGACGCCGATGGCTGATGGTGGTGATGGTTCCAAGGTTGGCTGCAGACCGGGTGTCTTGGTATTGCTTTGTTTGTGAAGCGAGCTCTACTGCGAGAAGACGGCCATGACCTAAATCGCCTAAATCACCTAAGAATCACCTAAAAAATCACTCCCTCTAGGCTATGCGTGAGCACCGAGCAAGGTTTTGGGCAGGGTAGGGCAGGACAAGGGCTAGAATCAAGGTAGTTGGACGGTGGCAGCCCGGCACACACCTCAGGTTTTGGACTAAAAATGACTTGGTAGGAATCAGGAATCAGGAGCCTAAAAGCCCAGGAGCCCAGAATCAAGGACCTGGGAAGCTACTTGGCTACCTAACGTCTTAACCCCAGGCCAGGCCAGGCCATCATGACTTCTAAAACCGGCATTCCGTCATACCACATTCCATTCTCCAGAGCGGATTTTGTTGATGGTAACAACACTTGTTGAGTCTTAACAATCCAAGTTGAAGTAGTAGAGCAGGAGTTGGAGTGAGTCTTGTGTGACGTAAAAGAGAGAGAAGAGGTACCTTGATTTAGCCGACAATCACCACCAATTTTCAGACACCCTGCATTCACCTTCAGATCTGCACAGCAAGTATTCAAGCTTGGGAAAAAGGAACAGGAAAGTGCCACCCACCCCTGCTGAATTGTGCCTGGGTGCCTGGGGCCCGATGTACGACGCCTATCCAATCGCCAGAGGCTGCGCCACCCACACCCACCGCCTCCCCCTCCCCAAAAAAGGGGGAGGAACCCGTCGCAATTCTCCATGCGGTTTAGCCTCGCAGTGTGGCTTATCCGTTACTATGTTAGGCACCGTCGTTGTGACCACGAGAAACATGGCTTGTCTAGTTGCTCGCCACGAGATTGGAGTACTCGCAAAAGCATTGCCTTGATATCTCCAACCAAGCACTCGTGTTTCCCACGCGTACTCGTATCTGTGGAGCTTGGCTGGATGGGATGGCATGTGAGAACCACCACATACCAGTACCGTGAGGAATGAACCAAGCACCACGTGTGTGATCGACCCTTATCACTGTTTCGACTTGTGAGGGGATCGTTCCTGGTATAGGAAAACCATCAAAGGATGTCGTCACTTCAGTCCGGCCGAGTCAGCAAGATCGTGCTGTGGTGTGGACGGATTCTCCCGTCACCATCTTCATGCCTAACTCACTCATAGCCAGGATCCGTACAATGCGGTGCACCACATTTGGCCTGCAAACCCCGAGCTGACCGACCTCACAAGAGCATGATAGGCTACAGTTGTTCCCCAAATATATCCAAGGAATGGGAAAATATTATTACCACCACAGGAAGAAGGAAGGAGGCACGTCGCGTGATCCCAAGATACGCTGCCACACTCTTCCGCTCTCGGATCAAAGGCACACACTGTAACAGCGAGATCGGTTGCACAAAAGCCCGCAGGAACAAGAATACTGCACCCTCGTCCATCACCACAGGATGGACAGACGCAAGCATCCGGCATCCCACTCCCTGTCAGCTTTTGTTGCAGGCTATATGTGGATGAGTCGGTCCAAGAGGGTGTATAAATAACAATGGCAACGGGATGCCCGCCACAATTGGCCGTTGGTGCCATCGCGACTTGTCTGGGGTTTGACAGCCAGGTTGAAAATGTGGGATCTCCTGTTACTCAGAGCCGTAGTTCACCTCAGAATTTGTCCAACCTTCCCGAGTTTCAAGGCGTACGCTTTTGGGTCCAAGGCCCCAACAGTGGAAAACCCCGATTTCGATGTCTCATTCTCGAGATCAAAGCTGGGCAAGCCTCCAAGTGGGACGGTCGTAGGTGTGCAAACCTGTGAAACACTCGTATATTTTCAGCCTTGCAACCCGAGTCCTGTGCGACATTCATGCGTGCCTGCGATGGTTCCCGATCCCTCGGATACGAGGACCGTGTGTTCTCAGGCGCCTATCATCGGGCCTTCCGTTGAATTGGTGCATATGCAAGGACCCGAGACCACTTGCTAGCTGAAGCATTATTGATCGCATTCCAATATCGCCATCCGCGCGACCGAAGACCTGGAAGCCCGAGTGACAGGCACATTCCTAAGCCACAGTCCAACCTGGCAAGGGGTGTTTCTGACACATCAACGGCTGGGAGGGGAATGACAACCGTGAAATGCCGTGCTGTCCTGGTTGATCGTCGTAATGCAGGTATTCACCCGACATCGTCCTCACAGGCCGTAGTGATCGTTATGCAAAGCCGTACTCCTGCGTCCTTCAGGATTGAATATGGTAATCGATCCAATCAATCCACAAGGCCCACTCTGGTACAAGGTACTGGTACTTACCAGAGGAGCATCATGAAATAGAAAGCTGAGAAGACACTGCAAATACCTTGGCCCCTTTGCCGAGGGCGGACAAGGCTTTGTATAGCATTACGACAATCGACAATCATGGCAATGCATGCTTCGGGCTGACGTACCAGGGAAAAAAAACCTCCTCGTTACCCGAGAGACAGAATAGGGATGTACACATATTTCACGGCCGATAAGGCTTTATGACATATTGTACTAAATGGTTTTGCTGACAATAGAAGGGTCGAGTGAGACAACGCTTGGCGTGGTCTATTCGCAACCGTTGGATAAGCGCTTGTTGATATGAGTATGCGGCTACTGCAAATCATTCGGGGACTGCTGGATCAAGGGGACGGCAGATCAGCCGGAGTAATAAGGCATGTGCGGGAAGGTTCGTCGTGTGCGTGGGTAATAATTCACAGGTACTGTAGGATTGAGGGAGGGGGAATCCAGATCTCAGCATCAGGCTGGGCTCTTTGGGAAATACATGGTCTCTGACATTGCAAGCTGAACCTCAAAATAGAAACGAATTCAATATTTTGAAAAGGAATCATTTCTATTGCAGCAATAATGTCTCTCGCCGTCCATCCTGCAGGAGCGGACTTTGATGATGCGTACTCGGTAGTCAGAGACCCGTCGAGCGAGCCTGTTACCGGAGAGAGGCAACATGGTGTCAAAACTTTGGAAACTGAAACTGAAATGTTCAGCAAAACCCTCGCACTGATAGCGGGGATGGGTGGGCATTACTCATCGAGCCTCGACGAGTCCGTTAAGCGGGTCGATAGATTGGAAAAAAGACGTTGTTCCTTCTAGCGAGGATCCCGGATAAGCAACTTATTGTGGATGGATTCGACCCAAGAGCTACAAGAGACGACAACGGTTTTTGTTTGTATGTCAATAGTCGCGCCCGCTGCTCTGAATCAGACCTCGCCATCCCGGATCCGACTGGTCTGGCGTTTTTGCATTGTTCTACTTACAAGAAGAGAAAGGGGAAGATAATTAATCGATAAAAAGGGGGAAACCACTGCACCTGAGGCGCGTTCATTGCTGCACCACCCATTACTGATCGGTTGGCGTATGATAGTGTGCCATACCCCCCTGGCTATTGTCGGGTGAGGCGCTGGACGGTGCGGAAAGCTGGCGAAACTCGTGGTGAATCCAGGGCCCACAGGGCGCTCATGGACGCCTCGCTTCAGGGCTGAGGATGAACGGAAACTTAGCGCGCTCGTTGTGGGCAAAGCAGTCGTGGGTCTCCATGTACTGTAGGTAACAGGTATATGTGCGAGGACTATGAGACAAGATCTCTGTCCAAACGAGGTGTGGCATACGAGTACTCGTACAGTAGCGGTACTCCGTAGATGGAGTTGCCAAAGTGCTCCTGAGCCTCATTGACGCCTATCGCAGTAGTATCGCCACTAGCTCCTCGATCCGGCAACGGCACGCCGAAAAAGGGGGGCAATTCGATCCTCCTGGACGTGGGCATCGAGAAAAGGAGAAAGAAGGGGGCTTTGATCCACCATTCAAGTTCGGTTGGAGGAAACAAAGAGATTGTTGCTGCAGTAGAGGCATTATACCGGGCGCCAGGTAATTGTTCACTCACATTTGTTGGTAAGACAAATACGAATAGCAACCTCTGGTACCATATCGACGTAGCTCGGTGGCATGTAGTGGCTCGTAGTTGCTATCTTGCACGAAACCCCTATCTCTGACTTGATTATTTCTGTTAGTTAGTCGGTACGGCCACAGGGTCCCTGATTAGACATGCACTTGCAGATCCGATCCCCTGACGCCACAGATGTGGCAGGAACTTTTCCCGTAGCGAGTTTGTTAGGGGAATAACCATCCGTCTGACGTTGATTAATGCGGAGCAGGACCTGCTGAGCCGTGGATGGGCAAACTGTTGTGTGGATGTCCTACCAGCCTTCACGGCCGGATGGAAGCCGAGATGGAAATTCTTTCACCAACACACCAGACAGATGGTGTCACTTTGTTGCGGGAGGAGGGGAGTATAAGCGGGTCCCCAATCCTGATGCTGAGGGGCCCAGAGGACCCCACAAGGCTTGGAGGGAGCTTGGCGGCAGGAAAGGGATAGCGCCAGGGCCTAACACCAAATATAGAGTCAGCACACAAGGCTCGCTAGACCTCGCAAGGTGTGGCGTCACGCCAAACGGAAGTTAGCTGGAACAAACGTGAGGCATGTTTGAAGCATCCTGGTCCAACCCCTGTCCCCTCACGACCCATGGCCGGGATCCCCTTCCCCTATCACCCACATCCGAGCAGACCTCGTCCACCGCTCATTTGTCCCAAACTCCGCCATCCACAGCCCACGCCGCCGGTAAAATTGCCTGGGACACTTGGTGTATGAGCTGGGGGCCGCCTCGCTTCAGAATGCCAGACAAATCATTGCCTCAGCTGGAACGCCGCAGTAGGAAACGACATGTTTTGTCAGCCTTTAGTCCTTGGAGCGACTGGACTCGCACGTACTCGGTACTCATAGGAGAGTACCTCGTACTGGTTCATGATGCACTGGCTCACTTTTATTGTAGGATTCGGATTTTGCGCGCGGATGTCCTGCACTCATGCCAATTTCAACATTGATCCCCTTCCTCTCTGAATCTCCGGACGAGAGTGATGATGAATAGAGTCCACCGCAGTTCACTATGGTATCATGGGCGCGTCCAGACCAATACCGGTACCTCGTACTCATTGATGAATTGTGAATGAGATGATCCCAAGCGAGCCTGAACGTCATGCAGTCATCATTTGGGAAGAGGCGGCGGATCCCAGGTTTGGATGTGATTGTTTATGCCCTCCAATCTCTTTGCCGCCACCTGGGTAACTTTGTTCAGCCTCAGCCCGTTGAACAGGGGGGTTCGAGATACGGAGACCAAGACCATGCTTGTACTCGTATGTTGATACTTGTCATTGTCTGATGGGTGGTGTCTTTACATCCTGTATAGGGCCCGTTAGAAGGGCCACCCATTGATACAGCCAATCCGCTAGCGGCAGCCTTCCCCCCCCTTGCCGCGGGCGAGGCGGTTTTGTGATACACGCGCAGATAGATATACGCCCGGCATTTTAGAATCGACCGACACAAATGTCACGAATCTGCGGGATGCAACGTAGGATTATCGTTGAAGGCATGAGAAAGGTGTCCCTCACAGCGGAGGACAGGTTCGTTTCTGCAGTGTTGCTGAACTTTTGGTTGCCCAGGGCAGAAACCTAGATTGATAGGCTGCGCTTCATTCAGTAGTCCGAGCAAGCAGGAACGATGGTAGGGCGAACCAATGCGACGTCGAGATATTTTAGAGAGGAGGTCCGAATAGGGCTAGCGTCCGTGCTTCATTGCCCGTAGCCAAGGACCGGAAGAGGAACAAAGGCCAATCATCAGGCAGTATTTAGAACCAAAACCCAAATCCTCCGTAAAATGTAATGGCAGAGAAATCTTGATCTCCAGCCCCCCTTTTGCTCATTTTGCTCAATGCAGCTCGTCAACAAGCAAAACAAAAGACACAAAACTCCTAGTGAAATCGAGCAAATTATTGCATTTGCCGCTAAACAAAAAGCTTTGGCAGACCGTTGTTATGTTACTTGGTAGACTGGTGCGGCTGAGGATTTGGCGAAGCACGATAAGTGATGACTGCGTTGATCAGGCCGTCGGCCCTCGTACACTACACCATGGGCGGGTACGGGATGGAGGGCTACGAGGTAGTGGAGGCCTTGAGAGAGAGAGAGGGATGGGCTGGCATCTCGCGACGGTGAGAACACAGTGTGTATGGGGGTGTAAGATTACAGCCCCCGGTTCAGCCCAGGACATGTCTCATCTGGGTCCAGGCCGTGGTGATTGCCATATTCGGGCGCCGAAAAAAACAAGCGCAGTTTGACTAGTGGGCGTACACTAGATACACTAGGGGCCTAGTAAAGACCGTCAATACAACCCAGTGGAGCCCCCGTGCCAATTCCGAATCGCCAATACATGACCGCAACGACTCGAGGAGAACAGCCTCTCCAGATTTGGACTGCCCTCGCCATGCTCGTGAATTTCCCTGCGCGCAGATCGCAGTGCATGCTTTGACTCCCCTAGTATGACCCTCACCACGACCCACCAGGGGGGCGCTGTTGTCAAATTCACTTTGACCACTCCCTTACTCAAGTGCCCTGGTATTGGCCGTTCAGTCTATTTTCACTCAGCTCCCAACTCCTTTATATTATAGCTGATCCCCCCCATCTTTCCCGTTCCTCTACCTCTAAGCAACGCTCGTTGAAGCTCGTCGACACCCTTTCACGCCCATCATGGAGGAGGTCTACGTCTTCGGCGACCAAACAGCCGACTGCAGGGCGTTCTTCACCAAGGTCTTCTCGAGGAAGGACGATGTCATCCTACAGAGTTTCCTCGAGAGAGCTGGTGAAGCCGTCAGAGTCGAGAACCGAGCCCGATCCCATCCTTCAAAAGCAGTTCCTAATTTCTCTACCATTCAAGAATTAGTCGATCGTTACTACCGAGGCGAAGCCAAAGACGCCGCCGTCGAGAGCGCTCTCGTTTGTATTTCACAATTCACTCATTTCTTTGGGTATGGCCACCATTTCAGACTTGGTATTTACCCCTGAGACCCAGCTAACGTGAATTTCACCAGTGCTTTCGAAGAGAGAACACCATCATACATTCCCACTAACGTCGACGCGCGGTTGGTTGGTCTATGTACCGGTTTAATCGCCGCCGCCTCGGTCGCCTCTTCAGATTCTCTTACAGCTTTGCTCCCCCTGGCTGTCGAAGCCGTTCGAATTGCGTTCCGAGCAGGTGCTCATGTGGGCAGAGTGGCAGAGCAGATCGATTTCGACTCCAAACCTCAATCTTGGTCAACCATTGTAGCTGCGGACGAGAAGTCGGCCCAGGCTGCACTGGATGCGTTTCATAAAGAGAAGGGCACATCACCAACAAACAAATTGTGGATCAGTGCCTCTTCGGCCACATCGGTCACCATCAGCGGACCTCCATCGACCAAAGCCTCGCTGTTCGAAGATTCGGAGTTCTTCCGCACCCACAAAAATGCCCCTGTGTCCATCTACGCGCCATACCATGCTTCCCACCTTCACTCACAAGCAGACATCGAGAAGATCCTGCGTCCCCAGACAAAGGCCATTTTCGGGAACACAACAGTTAGATACCCAGTCTGCTCCAGCGTCACTGGCAAGCCTTTCCAGGCACAGAACGGTTTCGAATTGCTGCAGAGTGCCCTGAAAGAGATCGTGATTGAACCCCTGAGATGGGACAAGGTTCTGAAATACTGTGCATCAGCCAAGGCAGAGGAGGCTAAAGTGTTCGCGGTTGGCCCTACCAATCTCGCCAGCAGCGTCGTCTCCGCCCTGAAAGCCAATACTGCAAAGGTCACTCTCGAAGACCAGTCACACTGGTCGACGGTCCCTCCTGCGGGAACACAGCACTCCAAGAAAGAGGCCGACATCGCAATTGTCGGTTACGCTGGCCGCTTCCCTGATGCCGCAGACAGCGAGCACTTCTGGGAACTCCTCGAGAAAGGTCTCGATGTGCACAGACCAGTTCCCCCTGACAGGTTCCCGGTGGATTCTCACACTGACCCAACCTCCAAGAAGAAGAACACCTCTCATACACCGTTCGGAAACTTCATTGAGAAGCCTGGTCTATTCGACGCCAGATTCTTCAACATGTCACCTCGCGAAGCAGCACAGACCGATCCTATGCAGAGACTGATGCTTGCCACTGGCTACGAGGCCATGGAAATGGCAGGTATTGTCCCAGGACGGACTCCCTCCACCAAACACGACAGAATTGGTACCTTCTATGGCCAAACGTCCGACGATTGGCGTGAGGTCAACGCCGCACAGGATATTGACACGTACTTCATTTCCGGTGGTGTGCGAGCCTTCGGTCCTGGCCGTATCAATTATTTCTTCAAATTTTCAGGCCCTAGCTTTTCGGTCGACACTGCATGCTCGTCCAGCTTTGCTGCGATGAACGTCGCCATCACGTCCCTGCGAGCCAACGAATGCGACACTGCATTCACTGGTGGTGCCAATGTGCTCACCAATTCTGATATTTTCTCTGGTTTGAGCAGAGGTCACTTCTTGTCCAAAACCGGGTCGTGCAAGACGTGGGATAACGATGCTGATGGCTACTGCCGTGGTGACGGTGTTTGCACCATCATTTTGAAGAGACTCACAGATGCTGTTGCCGACCGGGATCCTATCCTTGGTGTCATTCGCGGCATTGGTACCAACCACTCGGCAGAAGCCGTTTCCATCACGCATCCTTGTGCAGAGAACCAAGTTTACTTGTTCGACAAGGTGCTCAAGGAATGCAATGTGCCCTGCAACGATGTCAACTACGTCGAAATGCACGGAACAGGTACCCAGGCAGGTGATGGTATCGAAATGGAGTCTGTCTCTACCGTCTTTGCCCCGCGACAGAACCGCAGAAGACCGGACCAGCCTCTCTACGTCGGCGCTGTCAAGTCCAACATCGGTCACGGAGAAGCCGTCTCTGGCGTGTCTGCCCTGATCAAAGTCATTTTGATGTTGCAGAAGAGCAAGATCCCGCCACACACCGGTATCAAGAAGCAAATCAACAAGAACTTTGCGCCCGACTTGAAGGAGCGCGGTGTAAACATCGCCTTCAAGACCACCCCCTTCCCCAGACCCGCTGGTGGCAAGCGAACCGTGTTCATCAACAACTTTAGTGCAGCTGGTGGTAACACGGCATTGCTGCTCCAAGACGGTCCTGAGGTGCCCGCAGAGCCTACTTCAGACCCTCGATCTACCCAGGTAGTGACTGTCTCCGCCAAATCGCTGGCAGCGTTCAAGAAAACAGTGGCCAAGTACGAGGAATACCTCAGCAAGAACCCCAACGTTGGCCTTACTGATTTGGCATACACCACGACCGCGCGTCGAGCCCACTACAACTATAGAGCGGCCTTCCCGGTGCAATCTATCGCGCAACTGCAGGCAGCCTTGAAGGCCACTCAAGATCAGACGCACAACCCGATCCCTCTGGCCTCGCCTCAGATCGCCATGGCTTTTACCGGCCAGGGCTCTCAGTACACCGGCATGGGTCAGAAACTATTCGAGACCTCCAAGCAGTTCCGCGGAGATATCGAAGAATTCAATGAAATTGCTCTTCGCCAGGGTCTGCCCTCGATCATGCCTCTGATTGACGGATCAACTGAGGTGCAGCATCTGCCACCCACGGTAGTTCAACTCGGAATGTGCTGTATCCAAATGGCTCTCACACGTCTCTGGGCCACATGGGGTGTCACCCCCAGCGTTGTGATTGGTCACTCTTTGGGTGAATATGCCGCCCTGCAAGCTGCCGGTGTTTTGTCTGTCGCCGACACCATCTACTTGGTCGGCAAGCGAGCCCAGCTCCTTGAGCAAAAGTGCACTGCTGGCACTCATGCCATGCTTGCTGTCCGCTCTCCGGTGGCGGGTCTGCAGGATGTCGTCGCCAACAGCCAAGGCAAGATTGAGATTGCTTGCATTAACGGTGTCTCCGATACTGTGCTCTCTGGCACCATGGGCGACATTGATGCCGTTGCTCAAAAACTGGCTGATGCTGGCCAGAAATGCACCAAGCTTAAGTTGCCATTTGCATTCCACTCGTCTCAAGTCGACCCCATCTTGGCGGATTTTGAGAAGCTGGCATCGTCAGTCAAATACCACGCACCTCGTGTTCCGGTCATCTCACCTCTTTTGAGCGACATTGTCAACGTCGGCGGTGTTTTCGACGCCTTCTACCTGAGCAGACACTGCCGCAAGACTGTCGACTTTGTTGGTGGTCTCTCTGCCGGCATGTCGACTGCCACGATCAGCGATACCTCCCTCTGGCTCGAGGTTGGTGGACATCCTCTGTGCGCAAGCATGATAAAGTCGTGTTTGTCTGCCCCGACTCTACCGACCATGCGCCGTGATGAGGATCCTTGGAAGATCATCTCTACCTCCATGGCTGGTCTGTACACAGCTGGAAAGGCCCTGAATTGGGATGCCTTCCACAAGGAGAACGAATCCCTCCGCGTCCTGAACGATATGCCAACCTACGGTTATGACGAAAAGAATTATTGGCTCCAGTATACCGGAGATTGGCTGTTGTACAAGGGTGATTATCCCAAGAGTGTGGCTCCTGCTGTCGCCGCCCCCGTATCCAGCGGACCAGCGAAGGCCAGGAAATACCTCTCCACTGCAGTGCAAGGAATCGTCTCCGAGGAGATCAAGGGCAAAGTTGCTACAATTATCGCCGAATCCGACTTTGCCCACCCCAAGCTTTTCCCTGTCGTCGCTGGTCACTTGGTCAATGGCAGTGGTCTCTGCCCATCGACCTTGTACGCCGATATGGCCTACACCTTGTGCAACTACGGTGTCAACCTCATCAAGCCAGGTGAGAAAGTTGACATCAACATTGGAACCATGGACAACCCTGCTCCTTTGCTGCTCAAGAACATCAACGAGCCTGAAAGCCAGATCGTGCGCATGACCATGAAGATTGATCTCGACGCCAAGAAGGCTGACTTCACCGTTACCACCAACAATGGCAAGAAGGATGTTGTCCACGCCAAGTGCGTGCTTCGCTTCGAAGACGCCGCCGCTTGGAAGGACGAGTGGAACAAGGTCTCTTACCTTGTTCAATCCCGGATTGACATGCTCAAACACAAGATGGAGAACGGGGAGGCCGACAAGGTCAGCCGATCCATGGCGTACAAACTCTTCGGAGCTTTGGTCGACTACTCTGATGTCTTCCAAGGCATGCAGAGCGTCATCTTTGACGGTCCCGAGTTTGAGGCAACCAGCAACATCAAGTTCCGTGCTGGTCCCAACGACGGAGACTTCTACTTCAGCCCCTACTTCATCGACAGCGCTTGCCATCTGTCTGGCTTTACCGTCAACGCCACTGTTAACCGCATGGAAGAATGTTACATCTCTCACGGCTGGGGCAGCCTCCGATTCCTCGCTCCCCTTGAGCAAGACAAGCAATACTTTGCCTACGTCAAGATGCAACCTGTTGCCGGAAGCAAGATGCGCGCTGGTGATGTCTACGTGTTCAACTCGAACAAGGAAGTTGTGGGTGTCGCTGGCGCTGTCCGCTTCCAGTGTATCCCCCGCAAGTTGATGGATGTCATGATGCCCAAGCCCAAGGCTGCCGCTGGTGCTAAGGCTGCTGCTCCGGCCCCTGCCAAAGAATCTCGCGCTATCAAGGCCCCTACACCTGTCGAGTCTGTTGCCCCGGCTCACATCGAGTTGCCTGCCCCCAAGGTGAAGGCCAAGAAACCCGCCAAAACCCCCAAGGTGAAGGCTCCTGCTCCTCCCAAGTCTGCGCCCTCCGGCAGCCTCGTCGCTCGCGCTTTCGACATCATCGCCAAAGAGATCGATGTTGACCAATCTGAACTCAACGATGATATCCAATGGGCCGACATGGGTGTCGACAGTTTGATGTCCTTGACCATCTCTGGCAAGTTCCGTGAGGACCTTGACCTCGAGGTTGACAACACCCTCTTCACTGACCATGCTTCGGTGGGTGCACTTCGCAAACACCTCAGCGGCATGTCGTTGCCAGAAGCGGCCAACGCGGGTGACGCAAGCTCGGTGGAATCGACTGATTCTGGTTCGGAAAGCGATGATGAGACTGTCGAGTCTGGAATCACGACTCCAGACACAGAAGACTTCCCGGCCAAACATCAGGACCAGGCCAAGTCTGCTGCCGTGGAGGCTGTGGCCCAACCACCATCGTCTGGTGAGGATATGATCGAAACCATCCGCCAGGTTATTGCCCAGGAAATGGAGATGGACCTGGCCGAGATTACCGAGACGACCGATCTCAGCAACCTGGGAATGGACTCTTTGATGGCACTTACCGTCCTCGGCAAACTCCGAGAGGATTATGATATTGATCTCGACCCTACCATCCTTGCTGACAATCCATCGCTCGGACATTTGCGCAAGGCTCTGGGCCTCGAAAAGCAAAAAGTTGCACCTCCCACAGCACAAAAGCATGAGGTCCGGACCAGCGTCGTCGTTGCACCCGCTGCTCCTCCTGTTGAGGTCGTTGTCCAAATGCCTCCGGCCACCTCGGTGTTGCTTCAGGGTAACCCCAAGACAGCCACCAAGAACCTCTTCTTGTTCCCCGACGGATCGGGCTCTGCCACTTCTTACGTGTCAATCCCCGCCATTGATAGCAAGAACTTGGCTGTCTATGGTCTCAACTGCCCGTTCATGAAGGATCCTACCAGCTATACTTGCGGCATTGAAGGTGTCTCCAAGCTCTACCTTGAGGAGGTGATGCGCCGACAGCCCATGGGTCCATACATCCTGGGTGGCTGGTCTGCTGGTGGTGTGGTCGCCTATGAGGTCACACGCCAGCTCAGCGACTTGCAGAAGATGCATCCTGACCGCAACTACACGGTCGAGAAGTTGATCTTGATCGACTCGCCCTGCCCCATCAGACTCGAGCCTCTGCCCGCTCGCCTGCACCACTTCTTCGACGAGATCGGGCTTTTGGGAACCGGCACTGGCAAGACCCCCAACTGGCTGTTGCCTCACTTCGAGTACAGCATCAAGGCTCTGACCGCCTACCGCCCGGAGTTGAAGTCGACGCACGACTTCAAGGCACCTCCCACGTTGCTCATCTGGGCGACTGACGGTGTGTGTGGCAAGCCTGGAGACCCACGTCCTCCTCCACAAGCCGATGACCCCAAGAGCATGAAGTGGCTCTTGGAGAACCGAACTGACTTTGGCCCCAACGGCTGGGACAAGCTTTTGGGCGTTGATGTGTGCAAGATGGTGACGGTTGTTGGCAACCACTTTACGATGATGAAACCTCCAGTGGTAAGTGATTATTTCTACCGATGCTTCGTTCCAGACTGCTAATTCGTTCTTCAGGCCAAGGGCGTTGGTCAATTCATCCGCGAGGCTCTTTTGTCTTAGGGCGACCTTTGACATGCTCATTGTCACGACACGACTCGAAAATTTTACTTTCAACAGCTTCTCACGCAAGACAGATACCTGATAGACAGCTGGGGTGGGACTTAATTGCTGGATAGACTTTTGTTTCTTTTGCCTGGGCTTCTTGCACTCTTGTTTGAAAAACCGTACATATGCTGGGGATGGGTCTTGACAACAACAACAATGCAGCGTTGATCACGTTGGTTTTGCTGAGCATTTTCAGATGAGTTGGGGAATCGATCGAGGCCTGCTTATGGAACTGTTCACTACGCAGATTGTGCTTGGAAACTGTAAGGAGGGGCGTTGCTGGCAGGGTATGGGACAAGGTGACGGCGATTGCGACAGGGCTGATTTCGAAGCGAGTGTTATTTTTCCTATTCACCTAGTTCACGCTCATGGGCTATTGTTACACCCGTGTCCAATGTCATTCTTAGTTTTTCCAATCTCGTGTGCTCTGTTCCTCCGCCAGATATCGAGGAATATGTGGAACTTCTTGGTTCTAGAGATTTGAAGGGCCAGGTCGGGCTGCTATTCCGTAGACTAAAGTCTTCTTGGTCCTTGTAACGAGCACCGAGTATTCGGTATAGTCCGTCTCATCCATAGCGAGCACAAGCACGGGTCCGCAGGCACGTGTTTGTCTGTGTGCGTTTTAACTGTCGAAGTCGATGACGACGACGGTTGGTCGGTTGCCTGGCACCACCCACGTAATGGTTATGGGGATATGGATCGGATCGGATCGTGAAGATTTGTCTCATGACGGCAGGGAAGGGGGAAGGGGGAGGATTCATTATTCGCATGGCTGGGATGGATCGCAGAATGCAGAAATGTGAGTGAGTGGGTGAGAGAGTACAAACTAAAAATAGCACCACGACCACGTCAACGACAAGTGAGCTGCACCTTTGTTCTTCATTTCGTTGTTCATTTATTGATGGATTGAAACGTCCTTTCAGCCAGCCATCCATGCATATCATGCTATGTCATCCCGTCCGTCGTGTTTTGTTTTCCTCCCTTGCTTGCTTGATCCATCCCCACCCCCCTGGTTGAACTAGTGTATGTGTGAAGGTAAGTACGTCCTCGGTATGTACCCACGTACATGTGCATGTTATGTGCGTGGAGGTGCTCGTACGAGTAGATACATCCACACCAATAGTTAGGGGTAGCCTAGGTATGTACCGAGTAATAATGCATGGGACTGAGCGCGGCTGCGAGGAGCAACAATCTGAGACATGCATATGCATACTTTGACGAGTAGTTTGTGGAATTGGCCACAGGCAGGCAGACAGAAAGATATTATTTTAGGCTCCTACGAGTATATACCCATGTACCCATGTATCGAGTAATTTACTCGTGTGTCCCTGGGTCCTTGGTCCTTGGTCCTTGGAAGGGATGTGCTGTAAATAGTAAACAAGACGGGTTTGGTTCCTAGTATCTTGGTACTGCCCTCAACATACCCACCCGCTCACATGGCGCGGTGCCGCTGCCGTCCATTCGAATTCGGACTCGGGCTCGGGCTGGGGTTGACGGACACGGCACGTATGTGTGTAGGAGTCTCGACGTGTGGAGGACGACGAAGAAGGGAGGGTATGTTTACGGGTAGTCTGCGTGCCGAGTTACTCATACAGTACCGAGCAGATCAAACAGCATATCCATGACGTATGTGCGTGAGTGGGTGGCTGCCGCAGCTCTTTTTGATTAATTACCTACCCGACTTGCAAACTGCGGAAATGAACCACCGTCCTGCAACCTCCATCCAGCCTGCGACTAACGACGAACCACGAACCATCCCCACACACACACACTTACACTTACACACAAACAAGACACAAATGGATGTGTTCAGGACACTAGGATACATGATTCCATTGATTATTACCTGCACAGTACATACAGTACTCCGTACTAGTATGTACTTCAGCTCCATACCACCCACCGCACCCGAAGTATGTACGCGGTACGTGGTACGTGGTACTCCGGAACTCGGCACGTATGTAATGTACTACCCGTGGATAGATCCTCTAATTGCAACAAACACCACCACCACCAACAACAATGAATGCGATGAACAACAAACACCTGAATACGGATACGAACTCGTACCTCATATATCCACATCATGTCCATCTCCAGACTCCATACTCCTACCTAGCTCACGTCCTCATCCACATCTACATTAGGTACTCCGGACTGGGCGTCGTACGGTTAAATCCCCACACCACAGACTACCTAGTACTTACTCCCCTCCCCTGCCCGTCAAGTGCGCCTTACAAGCATCCCGTCCGTCAAACATCGATCGATCGATCACGCTGCCCGCCGCCACGGGGCATGTGGAGTACGAGGAGAATATGTGGAGCAAGAGGAAGAGGAGAGGAAGATGATGATGATGGTATCAACGACAGCGACAATGAAATGACGACCACGGAGTCTCAGCACGGGAAGATGCCCACTGGTCTTTTAGGCCTGGTTCCTATCCGTGTCTCTCCCCACAGGATACAAGGTATACAACAAGCACGCGTACGAGTACGAGTACGAGTACACGTGGACTTTGTTGACACTCACTTGTACCTTTGTACCGGGTACAGGTACATACTTAGTTACGCACTAGGTGTCTAGTATTTGGATGCAGACCGGAGACAGAGACATTCAGAGACGTTGCGCGCAAGATATTACTCTGCGGAAACAAGAACTAACCAGAGTGCAGTGTTCAGCTGTATCCAGTACATTACCTCCCCCATCATTATCAATATCGTTATAACCATAACCGTCATCATCATAACATACGCTCTGGTATATGTCGATCCTTCTGTGAAATGTCTTGCTAACAACCTGTCGCAAATCTGAATCCGCTCACACACAGTTCGGCTACGACGGCTCTCCAGCGGAACCACCTCAACTGATGTATGCCATACGAGTATACCCTGCCACGACTGATATAGCAACGACTGGGTAGCCCAGACTGTCCTTGGTAGGAACTCGTATGCTGCCCTTGGTTTCGCATATTCTGGGCATTTCAGAACGGGGGCTCGTCCATTGGCAGATCGTCGTCGAGAGTGCCCGACCCTTCAGCTGGACCGCGGTTGTGTCGTGGACGCCCTCACATGTATCGTGCGGTTCACAGCACGCATGGCTGTATGGCTGTATGGACTGCTCAATCAGACAGACCACCATGTCATTGGGACTGTGCCATCTTGTCCCCCCTCATCTGCACCTCCTCGGCGGCATCATTCGTGGGGCCAATGCTGTGGTCTTTGCCCCTGGCCGAGTTGGGATAAGTTGATGCCATTGTTGTTCACGGCATATGGGGAAGTGACTGTACAGTGGACATCAGCGTCCACAGGCAGCACACCTCACAAAGCTCGCAGGTCAAAGTCGGCACAGACTTGAAGAGGTTTGTCTTGGGCGACGACCGGCTGAGCCATGCTCTGTGCGCTTTGCAACACCGTACACTGGCGGTTTTCTGACTGAAACGCTGCGTTTGTCTCTCTCACCCAAACAGAAAGCCATATTCAGCACTGGACGGGTAGACCTCTGTCCAAGGCACCCATTCCCTGTCGCCTTCGTCGTCGAATTCGCCAGCGACGACCGCATCATTCTTTGCCCAAACACTCCTCATGAACTCCAGCCCGGACCCAAAAATCCAGATCCCCGTCTTCTGTTTCCACCGTTCAGAGTACTCGATGGCCACTTTTCTCAAAGCCCACTCTGCACTTGACATTTCGCAACCGGCCAGGACAATGGGCATCAGGCACTGTTTCTGAAAGCTGCTGTCCGCCGGAATCTCGGCTACCATGGTGAGGATCTGAATAGCCACGGCACGCGGTTCAAAGTCCCCCTGGGAAGCGCTTTCGTGGCTCGTGAACAAGTCGACCTCGTCCCAATAGTCTGCTACTGCCAAATTGTAGATCCGGAATGGCTCAAACACCCGAGCAATGTATAACAAAAGACCCAACCTCCAGATTTCTGACATCAGAGCCTGATACTTCCCCTGCTTCGCGCTGATCTCGCTCACCAGGATGTTCCTGCGGATAGCTTCGAGCGCGTATGGGTCCGCAGAGTCAAGATCGGCAGCGGCAACGGCAAGGCCGTACATGTCCAGAAACATGCCGTCGGGAAGACCGTTGAGACCCAGTATGCTCCATTCGTCGTCGTCCTGCCATGCCATGAGCGCCTCGATATAAGTCCTGGGAAAAGTAGGACCGCGCCGCGATATTAAGGCGGCATTGACATCGTACCAGATCAACATGGCGATTTGACTCCGAAGGTTTGGTCGTGATTCGGCTAGTCGAATCCCGCCGTGAGACTCGAGAATCCGGTACGCGCCGCGCAGGTGGATGTTCCAATTGGCAATTCCCGTCTCGGCGTAATCGAGGCCGATGAGGAGAAGCACCGTACTGAGACCGCACTCGAACGACAGATCATTGAGGTGCGACGCGAAGATGGACAAGGCCTGAGACTTGAGGCGCAAGATCGCGGCACTCTCGGGCTTTCGGTCGAAGTGGGCTTGTTGACGTTTTGCCAGCGCGGCTGCGGCGTAGCGCACCGAGGGAAATTCGTCGTGGATTGAAGGTAAGCAAGCTCGCCAGGGATTGATTTTCACCGGGAATGTCAGCGTGGTGTTGGCGAAGCAGGAATGGAAGAATGACAAGGCATATTCGATCCCACCCGGGTGGCAGCTCACTTGGGGGAAAAGGACAAGATCGAGCTGATGGCTAGTGTCAACCACAGGAGGCGTGTTGGCGCCGCTCAGGACCGACCATGTCGAAGACGGAGACGCCGACGACGACACAGACTCGGGGCCATGGGAAAAGGCCGTCGAGGTTAGAATGCTGATCTCGCTCGATCTCGAGTTGTTCCTCGACCTCCGCCGTGTGCGTGTTTGTGTGAGGGACTGATCGACAAAGGTGTAGGTCGAGGGCCGAGGTAGTGGCGCTGTCGACTTCTCCGCTTGAGCCTCTCTGGCGGCACCACTCTCGAGTGGATGTTCCTTGGGCCGCCGTTTGCCAACCTTCAACGTGCCTCTTTCCCAATTGAGCTGCTGCACGTAGCCGGCGCAGATGACGCCGTCGGCGAGACAGGCGCTGCAGCGAGGCCGTCGCCGGTCACAGGAACGGCCGAGCGAGGAGCACGTGTGGCAGTCGGACTTGGCCCAACCCAACGAGTTGGTTCTCTTCCCCGTCAAATTATTCAAGCGCGTCGCCGTGGTCGAGCAAGTGGTGACTGACATGATTTATTTCCTGGCAAAAGAAAACACAAGTTTCGAGGGCCTTTTGGCGGAAGAGGGTTGTGACGAGGAGCGAGGGAGGCAGGAGGAGTAGAAAGAAAGTAATGGAGTCGTAAAGGGTATCTAGGGCGGTAGGGGTAGTTGGGTAGGTAATTAGTGCGGAGTGAGTGGTTGATACGAAAGTCCGGAGGGCGTTGATAAGGGAAAGCCCCGCACCCAGAGATTAAAGATCCAGGCCAGAACCCCCTATCAGGCAACGGGGGCCAATCAGACGGCGGGTTGAGATATCGATTCATGAGCCGTGTCATGTGACTGATATATGACTCGCCTCAGCTCAATTTCCACCCTGATATTCACATGCACTTACTGCCTGTTTTTTTTCTTTCTCCTTTTTTCATCTTTTGAAGATCCATAGAGCCTGGTCGAACGCAAGGACGGCCTCAACGCTCCCGCCAACAGCGGTCTTTATTCCTCGCTGGTTCTGGCGTGACATTTTCTCGCCCGAAGCCTCTCACAAAGACGAGAGACACGAAGAGACGCCTTTCGTGACCAGCCGCGGGACCACATCGCGAAGCTTTCGTCAACTCTTTCAGCGACGCTTGAAGCGAAGCGTCCATCATGTTGGTATCATTGACCATAGGCACCGCAGGATAACCCATGCAGATGGATCGTGATCGTGTCCGGTCATCCTCGTGTCCCAGGAACACGAGACGAGATTCAAGTCAAGAGAAGCCATTTGCCCTCTCCTCTGGGCAATTTGATTGAATGGCACTTTTGTCTGAGGTGAGAAACGAGAAAAAGGACAATTGCTTATATGCCTAGGTGGAGGTGATGTGGAGTTTTGGACACTGCATGCACGCTTAGACCTTGGCCCACGTGGGTAGGTAATACAAGTCTGTTCCATTCATTCCATCCCATCCCATCCCATCCACGGACCATGGGGCACTTGACTCCTCGGCGGTGTATCTTGATGGGAAGGGGGTGTCGATCGACGAAGGAATCCCCATCGGCGTGCGCGTGCGCGCCACGAGTGGTGGAGACTCGTAATTCTAAAAAGGACAAAAAATATCTATCTAATTCCTTCTAGCCTCCGTTCCTATCTCACCGGGCCAGCCTGCCAGTCAGCCAGTCAGCCAGCTGCTGGAGCTCTCTCCACGACACAAACACCAAACCCAACCGACTTCTCTGACTGATCTACGGGGTAATGCCCTTCTCGATGATCTCGCCAATGTTCTTGGCGTCGACGGCAATGCCTCGCTGAGCGATCAGCTCCTTCTGGTGCTCCTTCTCGATCTGCTCCTCGGCGACGAGGCCCTCGATGCGCGCGCGCTCCTCCCACCGGTGCGGCACAATGACGTTCTCCTCGAGGAAGTAGTTGGTGTCCTTGACGCAGAACCAGATGATGCTCAGCAGGAACACCAACCCGACCGCGTACAGCGTGAACTGCACGATCAGCTGGTCTATGTACGACACATTCTTCGAGTCGAGCACAAACGAGATGCACATGCCTAGCGACGTCGTGCCTTTGAACAGCCCCGCCAGCCGCGAGCATTCGACCGGGTCGTTGGTCAGGGCGCCGAGCGTCCACTGCACCACGATTTGGTAGGTAGCGTAGATGATTCCTGTTGGGCGTCAGTCTTCAGGCAAGGTCTGGGTACAAGAGGAATGAGAGGTGGAAAGGGGGAAGTTGTTGTGAGGTTGATCCCATCTATTGGTGGGTATGGAGGAGAACGTACCAGAGAGCAAATACAGAACGAATCCGGCACCGAAGCCGCTGTCGGTCCAGTCGATTCCTGGAGGTGTGTTTCTCTGTCGGTTGACGTCGTTACGCGTGATCCACGCGGCCAAACCGGCATTGGTGGCTAAACAGATGGTGCCCATGATGACAGCGCCGATCATGCCTCGAGTCCGGCGTGACTTGATATATTTCGTGTCCATGATCCACGCAAGCAGGAGCGGGCACGGCATCATGATGAACTGAAACATGACATTGTTGAGCGACCGCGTCCGCAGGTTGAAGTAGTATCCGTTAATGCTGGAGAGGAGGGCCTTTAGGTTTCTCCATGTCAGCGACAAATGCCTTCTTCACTGATGTTTTGCGCCAGCAAATGGGAGGGAGGCAAGACAAAGGCAAGAGGAGCAAACTCACCAGGTTCATCTCGGCGACGAAGATGCCGGGGATCAGGGCGAGGATCTTCAAGTCGGTGAACCACATGATGAGACCCTTGATCTCGTCCATGACGCGCGGCTGCTTGAAGATGGCGATGTGGGTGCCGTCGTCACGTACGACCTTCCTCGGCGAGATGATGAAGACCAGTGCGATCCCGATGGCCAAGCACATGATGACGATGCTGTAACGATGGGTAAGAATAGAAACTCTCGGAACAAACCGGTGAGAACTCACAAGACAGTGTACACGGCGTTCGATACACCAGTGGACTCGGTCTGCTGGAAGTTGACACCAAAGGCGATCAGACTGCCAACAGTACCACCAAAGGAGGTAAAGACCCATTGCCAGGTGATAAACTGCGGCTCAATCAGTCCCGACGTTCACGACAGGGTCTTTGGTGCACAATGAAACATACCAGAGCCTTCTGGTCTTCTTCGGCGTAGGCAAATTGAACGAACCCAGCTGCGGTCCAGAGACAGCCTGCGGTGACACCGAGGAAAGCACCAGCCAAGTACGGGAACCAAGAGTGGCCTTGTCGGTCAAAGTACCACAGACCACCCACGTACAGCGGGTAGCCGAGAGCGCCGAAAGCCATGGTCAATTTTGGGCCGATCAGGTTGAGGATAGCACCTCCGATCCAGCCGAAGAGGCAGAACAGACCATAGAGCACGGCATTGGTGGTCGAGGCCACTGTTTGAGACGAAGGACGTCCGCCACCGGCACCGAGACCGGTCAGTGCCAGGTAGATACCTGGGAGGCAGAAGAGGATGGCGCCGACCACGAAGTTTTGGTTGATCGGTCGGTTCAGGCGAAAGACGCCTTTCCCTAGGGAAGGCTCTATGAACTTCATGGTGTGCTGGTCGGAATGGGGCCCAGTCACGACTCGATGGGTTCGGTTCAGCAGAGGATCAAATTATTGACAACTATTGTGTGAGCTTGCAGAAGTTCAAAGTCAGACAGCACCGGAGCGGGAAAGGAGCAGCGGTCGCCGTCTTATATCTCTGTCATTCTCGGGCAAAAGTGCCAGTCGTGCCTCAGCCATCCTTTTTGGTGCACCTGTTGCCGGAAAGGCTATGAAGGCAAGGATGTCAAAGTTGATTATCTTGGTGGCGGCCAATGCTGGTATTGGCACCCTGGATGTCTCGTCTTATCGTCTTCTTTCGTGCATAGGCCGTAATCTAGTCCCCTTGGTCATGCCGCTGATATGCGTGATTCGCTCTCATAATGTAGGCCAGTCACGGTCAGTATGAGTTGACAGAGTGTGGGAAGTCGGGAGATCGACGTTGTACGAGGGAGTCCACCCAGCAGTAGTGCCAATGATAGCCAAGGGTTGGCCAAGGGTGTCAGGGGTCTTGGAGGTTGTATATGATAAAGGTGAGCCAATAGCACCGGCATCGGGTCCACTCCAGGGATAACGTGCACAACCAGGTATTGAGGGATCAACCATCATCTCTCTTTCCTAACCTGGCAGCAGACTTCGATCGACAGTCGGGGAAGAGCAAACACGTTGCTGTCTGTGAAAGTTTGGGGGTGCGTTTGATCTCCATCTTGGAGTCAACTGTGGCCATGTGTCGGGACAAGGTTGCAGATACCGGGTCGGATTTATCCCGGTCGCGATACTCCGCTGGCTTGGTCTATCTCGGTCTCAGTGCAGACTGAGGAGATGTTATCTCAGCATTCCGCTTCGCACGAGAAGAGGGGCCAGCTTCAGATGAAAGAAGTTTCGTCGACGAGAAATAAGGCAGACGCCCAGACAAGGTGGTGAAAACCCTCTTTCCTTCGTTGATAAAAGGGACGGCCAAGTCGAGTCAGTTCCCTCTCGCCGACCAGAATATCGTGATCCCTGAACCGTGGTAAAAACAATCTCCTTGTTCCTGCTCTTCTGGCAACGATGATTTCGAAACCGTGGGTTGAGAAAGCGAAAAGCGCTCGCGACTATCGAGACGAGACTCTGAGCAAGGTTGAGCCTCCGCTCGGGCCTCTCCCAGATCCCCTCCCGCTGTCTTCTCAGGACTTGCCAAAGGAGTATCTGACGCCGCGTGAGTATGAACTTACCCAGAACTATGACGCGATTGAACTCCTCGAGATGCTGCGCAGCAAGAAGCTCACGTCCGAGGAGCTCACCCGGGCGTTCTTGAGGAGGGCTGCTCTGGCCCAGTATGCGGTATGTAATGCATTCCCGACCTGAAGCTTGCCGGCCTATATCGATGCTGAGTGATGATCCCTGTTACAGGTGAACTGCGTGACTGAGTTGATGTGGGACGAGGCCATTGAGAGGGCCAAGTATCTTGATTCCCTCCCCGAGCCCATCGGACCCCTTCATGGGCTGCCCATCTCGGTAAGTGGAAACTCCCAGGACGATATCGACTAGGGATAAGCTCATCTGTGGTTATAGGTCAAAGAACACCATGGGATGAATGGTAAGACCAACCACGCCTCCTACGTGGCTTGGATTGGCCAGCCGAGTGACCGAAATCCGCTGAACGATTACTTGTACGATGCTGGTTGCGTCTATTACGTCCGTACCACCGGGCCTCAGACTCTGATGTCTCTTGAATGCGACAACAACGTTTATGGAAGAACCGTCAATCCCTGGAACCGGAACTTGACATCGGGTGGTAGCAGTGGCGGAGAAGGTGCCCTTGTGGCGTTCCGCGGCAGCGTTTGGGTAAGTTGAATTCTCTGCTTGACTCTTGTTTCCTTCAAAGGGCCTGTCTCTGTCCTTGATGGACACATCCATAGCTGAGCCCAGGCCTTGACAAGATGGGACCTTCTGCTAAACATTCTACAGGGACTTGGTGGAGATATTGGGGGCAGCGTAAGGGCTCCAGCCAGCAATTGCGGAGTATATGGTTTCAAGCCAACCTCGAAGCGCATCCCATTGAAAGGAATGAAGCATGTGATGAACGGAAAAGACTCCGTCCTCGCGACTTTTGGTCCACTAACCCAGAGCCGGGAGACGATCAATTTGTTCATGAAAGTCATTTTAGACAATGAGCCGTGGCGATATGATCCATCTCTGACGGTGAAGAAATGGACCCCGGAAAAGCTGACCCAGCCTCTCAAGGTTGCCATTGAATGGTCTGACGGGGTAGTCAAGCCTCACCCTCCCATGATTCGGGCACTGAAAATGGTTGCCGATGCATGCAAAGCTGCAGGGATGGAGGTCGTGGATTGGGAACCCTATAAGCACGACAAGGCCTGGGATATCGTCTCGGCGCTGTATTTTCCAGATGGCGGCGAACAAATTCTGGCGCCGTTGAAAGAGATCGACGAGCCCATCCTTCCGCTGACCAAGTTCATCACCGAGGAGCAGCCCAACGTCAAGAGTCTCACCATGGCCGAATACTGGGAGCTGTGCGTCGAAAGGGACAACTACCGCGACGAGTATGCCGCTCACTGGAGCAAAACCGCCGACTCGGGAAAAGAAGTCGATGTCATCATTTGTCCCGCAACACCTGGTGCTGCGCCGTTGCATGAAACGGCAAGATATTGGCCGTACACCAGTCAGTGGAACTTGCTGGACTACCCGGCGGCTATCTTTCCTGTGACGTTTGTGGATGTGGAGAAGGACAAGAAGGAGGAAGATTACGTCCCGATGAACGAGCAAGACAAGTACAACCACAATTTATATGAGCCAGAGAAATGGGTTGGGGCACCTGTAAGCTGTTGCATTGTCGGAAGAAGGAATATGGATGAAAAGGTCATCGCAGCGCTGGAAGCGGTAGAGAAAGCCATGGGAAGGAAATAGATTCTGTAGCCGCACGATGTTCAAACCTGTCCAGATAGAAGCAGTCAGCAATGCCTTCCTCTTAGAGGGTGCAGTACAACATCTCGTATCTCAAGCACCTGTTGTCTTTCCTGTCGATAGAACAAGCGTCCTAACCACCAAACCGTCACTAGGTCCAAATCAGAGTCCAGCCAAGTATGCTTGTAATTGGGTAAATCAAGCTTGTCAGGTTAGCTGACTCTCTTTCCCTTTTGAGCACAACGAACGACAAGACGTTGGTTCTCCAAACTTACTGTTTCGCAGCTCCCCCACACTGACTTGAACCCTGATAAGCACTCTCTTTCCCAATCCGGCCACAACGAAAACAGCGACCAAATGGCCTTCCGACAGAAACTGTGATACCAGGCGAATACGATGCGATGGGTGACTTTCGAGTCCTTATGTGTGCGGTTGGACGGGATTGGTAGGCAAGATTCGAATCCGAGGCTGGGCTCGGCAAACAATTGTTGCGTGACACCATTTGCCCGTTGGGCTGACGTGGCTCTTGTGTTTTGAGGCAGTCTTCCGTCGATGGTTATATGTAGACTTTACCCTGTTCACAAGTCCCTGAGCATTCAGTATTGTGATCCAACAACATACCTTGACAATGGCGCCCTCCGCAGTCGAAGTTCCTCTCCCGATCCCCAAGTCTTTCTCAACCCCGACAAGCACACCTCAGTCGACCCAGAAGGAAGACCTAAAATCTCCCTCTTCACCACTTCCCGAGGTAAAGGTTTTCAACGCATCAACATGTACAGTGGACGAGCTGGTGTCTGCCCTGCGAGTGGCTGGCGGCGTCGTCATTCGTGGCATGCTGAACAGTGAAGAATTGGCAAATCTTGAAAAGGACACTCGACCCTGGTTGGAAAAGGATAAGGCATGGGATGATGGTGAGTTTCTGCATCTGAAATGTCTTGTCATGGGTTGCCCCGGCCCAACAGCCTGGAATGAGAGGATATATCGCTGGCACACATGACGATGGTACCTCGAGCAGTGCTGATGCTGAATGTCGAACCCCCTACAGGAGATTTCTTCCCCAAGGAAACCCGCAGGGCGTTTGGTATGGTGAGCAAGTCAAGGACCTTCGCCGAACGCATTGTCGCCAATCCGCTCTGGCTCGGCGTGACAGATGCCTTGTTGACCAGCACTTTGAAATGGAATTGGGTGAGTTGGATTCGTTTTCATCTCGTCAGTCGGACGCTGAGACCAATGCAGGTTGGCGACAAAAATGAAGCCTCTGTGTCTCGACCCCAGTTGAACAATACTATTGTCTTCAGCATTGGCCCTGGGGCTCGCGACCAAGCGCTGTAAGTTGTTTCCTCTGTCTTGACAGGTAACAAGATTGCTGAGAAGAACCGCAATGATGTCCAGGCACCGTGACGATGCAAGTAAGTTCCCTCTTAACCACGCTTCATCCGCCCTGGAGCAATGTCGTAAGAAGTTTTCCACGTCAACTTTTGCTAACAATTATCTTCGCTTCGGTTAGTCCATCATGTCTACCATCCAGCTGCTGCAACGCACGAGATTGGCCGCGATGCAGGAATCGGCTTCTTCATTGCAGGAAAGAAGACTACTAAGCGGAATGGAGCCACACGCTTTATCCCAGGCTCTCACCTCTGGGACTATGCGCTAGGGCCAGCAAGCGAGTCTCAAACGTTCCATGCAGAGCTTGAGCCCGGCGACGGTTTCATGGTGCTGAGTGGGTGTTTCCACGGCGGTAGCGCGAACAAGACAGACCAGCCCAACGAAAACGGCGATGTCGTGCCTGAAGAGCGCCTTGTGTATAGCACGTTCATGACGAGGGGATATCTGAGACAAGAAGAAAACCAGTACCTGGTGAATCCGGTAGAGAAGGTTCGTGAATTGCCAGAACCTCTCCAGGAGCTTGTCGGGTATGGGCTTTCCAAGCCATTCTTGGGCTGGGTGGATCTTAAGGACCCCATGTTGTGGTTGCATCCTGAGAGGCCAAAGAAGTCAGGGGATTTGTTTTAGGATCGTAGTCAGTACGGATGCGAGGACGAGGCGAACGTGCAGTCGACAGACGTCCAGCCTTGTGGGCAGGATGTAGAAGGCCACCACACACTTGGGCTCATGACTGGTCTCCAGCTGGTCTAAAAGGGGCACATCTCGAACATTTAGGCCGAGACATTTGGCCATGGTTTGCTGGCAAGAGTACCTATTGATGATATTGTTAAAGATTGGACCACGAACCAACATATATTTCGCATATCATTGCGTAGAAGAATATGGATTAAAGTGATGAAGTTGAAGTGAAAGGAGAAGGTGGCGTACATGGTGGCTCGAAGGAATATGGCGAGTCAAAAGTGGATCACGTGCAGTGATATATGACTCGCCCACGACGCGACTTTTCCAACTCCTAAGATGCCACTTTCTTCCAGTGTCTTCAACCAGCGACCAAAAGTTCTCTTTTCGAGTGAAGTACATCTATCTTGAGGATTTTTAGGGGATTGTTTGGGCGAGCCATCCTCTTTCTCCCGGTCTACTGGTTTTCGTGCCGCTTTCTGCAATATGTGGTAAATGTCCATCCAAGTGCCCAGCAGCCAACCATGATGGACTAACCCCTAACAAAAGTAAACATGTCTTGAACGCCCAAGTATCTATCCGTTCGCCTTGCTGTAAGCATGCTATGTATCCTTCTGGGGAAAACGCCACTGACGAAGAGACTTCAGGTCGCAAATGGTTCGACTGTGCGGAATGCCATGCTGAACAGGAAGATCACCCCCTGTTGCAGAGCTTTGATATGGTATTTCGTCACCCTGTCCTAGATCTCATTATAATATGTCTCCTGCGACAGTCACTGACAAGTGGGTCACAAATAGACGTTCATATGTAAGAAATGCAAGAAGGCCTTCCGGAAAAATACGAAAGAATGGGAGGACAGGTGGGTCGAAGCGATTCTCATCCCGAACGAGACGTTAGTGGCATTTGCTCATGGCTCCAGTGATGAGTATTGCCCAAACTGTGACAATCACTTTGTCATTGATGCAGTCACCCCGAAGGCTGCTTTGAAGGTCGAGAGTGAGGATACAAGGGTGGATGCGAGGTGAGTCGCTACAGTCTACACAAGGCGGACAAGTCACATTGATTCTGGTCATAGAATGATCAAAGACGAAAGAGTGAAACAATCAAACCAGCAGTCGATATTTGACCTCAAAGGAGGGACGGAGCGGCTGGGTTGATATGCAACAACGGGCGAGAAGAGCGGTGCAGCTACCTGCTTCAGAGAAGTCAGGCTCCACGCAAGGAGGGCAACATGGCGTCGAAATAGCCCTGCGACTTGAAGCCGCCGGACAGCGCCCCCTCGGTAGCAGATAACAGGGAGAAGTAACCTGCATTTGGAACAAGCTACCATTTGACCATGTTCACTGATTTGATCCGTTGCCACAACGCCAGTCGCTCATGCAAAGAATGAGTGAAGGCTAATGCCCCGTCTCTTTATTCATCTCCTCCACCCTCGCCCTCAGCTAGCGGCCGGGTTGGTAGGGACGAGGTTGCCGATCCCGACGCTCTCGTCCCGGGCTTCTTTTTCGCCTGTTCTTCTTGCTTCTCCGCCTCGATGGTCTTGACATACTGTTCAATCTGTTCGGATGGAAGCATCTCAATTGTTTTGCCTGGAGCCATGATCGCAATCTCAATGTTCTTGGCACCTGTTTGCACGACTTCTAGGAGTGATTTGACGGTCAACGAAATGGTTGCCTCTCGGTCCATGTCATCTTTATGATTTCGCTCGAGAAATTCGCGCACGGTTTTGCTGGATCGGCCGATCGCATTTGCTTTCCTGCTTCGTGTCAGACGGCGGCTCTTGGAGTCAGAGATGACAACATACCAAGCAGAATAGATGCCTGAGGGTTCTGTTTGGTACAACTTAGGCTCCTTATCGCCCTTGTCGAACCCGATAATCAGGGTGCTGATGCCAAAAGGCCTGACACCACCGCTCTGAGTAAATCGTTGCTGCACGCCGGCCACATATTTCGTAATGTATTCAATCGTAACAGGGTCTTCCACCGTGAGCCGATGAGACTGCGCCTCGACTCTGGCTTTGTCGATTAATATCCGGGCATCGGCGTTGAGTCCGGCGAAAGCAAGGCAGACGTGGGTGTCAATAAGACCAATCTTGGAGGGTGTGATTCGTGTGTCCTGTAGCTTCATGGCCGATCTCTTTTCGCAGCCCAAGACTACAATGTCTTTGCCTTTCACTCCGACCGCACAGGTTCCTCGCTTGACTGCTTCCAGGGCATATTCGACTTGGAACACGTGGCCATCGGGGCTATATGTGTTAGCAACATTCGTGGGTGGAAAGAGCTGTAGTACCTGAAGACTGCAATCTGTTAGCACTCGCACTCAATGCCTCAGGAGCCACTTACCGGAAAGGGCACGATCGTAGCCGGAAGCCATGTTGTCTGGATGTAGGTATTATTGTTGGCGCAGCTTTTCTAGAGACGTCCCTGCTATGCTCTTGTCTGAAGACGGTTTATCGACGATATATGGCAATGGAGGTTGGAAGTGCTTGCTAAATTCACTGACGGTACGCGGCGCGACCGTTGCCTTGAAAGTGAAGAGCCTCGACACTCCACCCTATTTCTACGGTGAAGTTTCTGCTGCAGCAACTGCGGAGCATAGAGCTTTCCGATTGGTCAACAGTCGAGCTTCAATCATCTCCGACTCGACGTCTGCCAACTCTTTCACTGCACAAACAGAGATCAACCCCTCAATCCTCCCATCGCCATGGCTTCCATCGTGCCGGCCATGAAGAGGCAAATCCACCGGACCGTGGCTCAGACAGCCCGACTTTCTTCGCGGCAGTTTGCAACCACCACACGACTGCTACGACAAGGCCCTGGAACCGGCGAGAACTTCGAACAAGCCAACGACCCTTCTGCGCGAAAACTCACTCCCAATGTATCCAAGACGAACGAGGTGCCGGTCGAGGCGAGAGGTAATCAGGATGCGCCCCTTCAAGAGTTGGTACCAGAGGCAGAGAAAGCCAGAACAATGCAGGCTCCAAACAGGGAAAAGCCGTGGTCAAGGAGTCAGATGCCCAGAGAACTGGCAATGACAGGACCCAGATTTGAACAGACAATTATGGAAGCCCAGGTAATTGGATTAAATCTATCTTTGGCATCAGCGCATACTGAGAAACGCTTCTAGCCCCGGCCCTTTGCTGCAATTGAGCTCATTCACAAGCAACCCGTGCGTTGGGTCAAGGAAAAGAGCGTGGCGTGTGATGGTGGCGGTGGTCCCTTGGGCCATCCACGAATCTTTATCAACTTGGACAAACCCCAGGTTTGCTGGTGCACCTACTGTGGTCTACCATACGTAAGATGGCCAGCCCAAGACTTTTCAATGGATATATCGAAGCTGACGTTTCTGGTGCACAGGCCAAGGAAGAGCACAAGAAATATCTTGAATCATTACCGTCGACACCATATCCTCTTGCACCTACGGGCGATCCAGCACAAGTCCAAATGCCAGCTACACCTAGTCAAAAAGGCGAGATTCAGGGACATTATCCACTGTTGAAGGGGGAGCAAGAGGCAGAGAGTGTAGGTTCATCGTCATTCGAGCAAAGATGATTGCTCGGGCAACCCAACCGCAAGGGAATGCACCATGATTGTACATATCGTTGTTGGCTTGAGGGAACTGGGACGTGCGTGGATTTCTCCGAAGAGGCTCGTTTACAAAGCAGATTAGGCTGTAGCGACTAAAACGACCACTGGCCAGCTTCATTTCGTTCCACGTTCCATATTGGTCTGATATATTTCGTCCGCCTGTGCACGTTGTGTTGCCCAGCATAGCACTGTGGATTCCAACCCTTTGTTGACCACCAGAAACGGCTGCGGTTCCCTTTTGTGGCCTCGCCCAATAGCGCAGGTTGTATTGTGATTGGTCTGGCGGGTAGATCACGTGCCAATGATCGGGCTAAGGATGAGCCGCGCTTTGTCAAAAACTCGGTGTTATCGAGTCCCAGATCCGAGTCCGCCTGCAAACGACCCCTTGACGCGCCTGAAATTCGTCCGACCGGGTCGAACCTTAGGAGTTTCTCTTCTAACTTTTTTCCCTTTTGTGTGTATCTAGGCTGTCACTCGCGCTACACCTGTCAATGACGCTCGGTTCTTTAGGCCCCCGAACCTGTATGAGTCGTTCAAATGGCCAGACTAACCCCGCCTCGTATCCTAGGGTGAAAGGGATACGGGAGAAATTTTCTAGCCCGCGTGTGTATATACTTCACAGGGTGGCCCTGTGACATCTTCACTTCGTCTCGATGATTGCTTGCTTCAATCTTGAATAATACTAGACTCTACAAGGGCGCTACCGTTGGTGTTGCTTGTTCGATCTACAATGGGTGTCTCAGAGGATCAACAGAACCCAACGAGGACCATGCCAGACAACACATCGGGCCGGGAGGAATCTCCTCACAAGAACGCGACTGAGCGTTCCGTATCTGGTTCTTCAACACCATCTGTCGATGTCGCCGAGAAGCCACCTGTCGAGCGGGACATTGGGCTCACTACCGACAGTTTGGCGAAGGAGACGGGGAAGGAGGAGGAAGTCGAAGTCGAAGATGAGGTCGAAGACACGAGCAACTATCCTTCTGGTCTGAAGCTCGTGACCTTGATTATCGCCCTCGATCTGGCCGTCTTCCTGGTCGCACTTGATCAAACCATCATTGCCACTGCGATCCCCAAGATCACCGACCGCTTCAACAGTGTCACCGACATTGGCTGGTATGGCAGCGCATATTTCCTGACCAGTACCGCACTCCAGCCCAGCTTTGGCCGCATCTACAAATTCTTCCAGATCAAATGGGTCTTTCTCTCTGCCATCAGCGTCTTCGAATTGGGCTCCTTGGTCTGTGCCGTTGCACCATCCAGCACCGCGCTCATTGTTGGGAGGGCTGTTGCCGGCATTGGCGTGGGTGGCATCTTTTCGGGAGCCTTGGTCATTATTGCCCACTCGCGTAAGCCATTGCAAACATCTGATATCGATGATCCAGGTACTGACAATGGTGACATAGTTCCTCTGATCCGGAGACCTCTGGTGTTTGGACTGTTTGGTGCTATGTGGGGATTGGCCAGTGTCGCAGGGCCTTTGCTCGGTGGCGTCTTCACTGATCACCTTTCGTGGAGATGGTGCTTCTATATCAAGTGAGCCGGTTTCTCTATTCCCTCTCTCGTGCGAGTGCTAATGATTTGGTGCAGCCTGCCTATCGGCGGCTTTTCGATGCTCGTCGTCCTGTTCGTGCTCCATATCCCTCAAGATCCGAAGCTCTCCGAGATGCCGATCCTCAAACGCATCCTCGAACTCGACCTCATCGGGGCGGCAATCCTCATTCCGGGCATCATCTGTCTGTTGCTGGCAGTCCAGTGGGGTGGGTCAACCTACGCATGGGACAACTCGCGGATAATTGGGCTGTTTGTCGGTGCCGGGTGTCTTCTGATTCTCTTTGGCATATCCCAGTGGCGTTTGGGTGAAGATGCCACTATCCCACCGCGTCTCCTCACCAAGCGCACTCTGATGGCGTCCTGCGCCTTCGTCTTCTTCTTCGGGGCCGGCATTTTTGTTCTCATGTACTACCTCCCGCTCTACCTCCAAAGTGTCAAGGGATCCTCGCCTACCAAATCCGGCGTCCAGATCCTGCCATTGATGCTGTCCACTGTCTTCACTTCGATCGTCGCAGGGATCGCGGTGACCATCATCGGCTACTACACACCACTGATCATCGGTGCCGCCGCGCTCATGACCATTGGCTACGGCCTGATCAGCACTTGGACCGTCGACTCGCCCTTCCGCGAATGGTTCGGGTACCAGATCTGCGCAGGTCTTGGAACAGGCTTTGGTTTCAATCTTCCCCTTGTGGCGGTCCAGACCACCTTGCCCATGAAGGACATTCCCCAAGGGACTGTGCTGCTGATGTTCTGCCAATCGCTCGGTGGCGCGCTTTTCATCGCTGTCGGGCAGTCTGTCTTCGCCAACGGTCTGGTCAGCGGTGCCGCCAAGTACGCGCCCGACATTGACCCGCAGCTGCTCATCAACACGGGTGCCACGGCGCTCCGCAGCGTGCTGACCAAGATGGGCATGGAAGACCATATCCACCAGGTGATCGAGGCGTACGTGTATGCCTTGAAGGACTGCTACCGCGTCTCCGTCGCCGTGGCAGGTGTATCGTTTATCGCCGCATGTTTCTTCGAGTGGAAGAGCGTGAAGAAGGCGAAGCCCGCGGGCGTGGAAGCGATGCCGGCCATGGGATAGATACCCTTTTTTCCGTTCTCACGGAGGATTTATGGGGGTTGGGAGGTATTTCGGTAGAAATCTCAGCTCTTTCATGGCGACACGTGCGAACAACTGTACTTTGATAAGGGGTTTGTTTGTAGACAGCATTGCGAGCATTGGGGGAGCTATTTTGGAATTTCATGGTCTTTTTTTTTTTTCAATCCAAGCAATTCTGACCTGAGCCATATGACTCTGGGGATGAAGCATGATGACGGACGTTTCGTAGATCTGAGCAGTGTGTACACCATCCATCCATCCAGCCATCCAGCCATCTATCTATCTATCTACACAGAGACGGCACTTTCTCTCCGTACCTTTCACTTTAGGCATTCATCCGTCCAATGTACTACTATTATTTTCCAGGACGTCTGTCGCATTAATCACGTCATATCAATATGGAAATCTATGCAGCTTGCCTCTTCCTTCCTTCCTCTCCCTCAGATTCTCCAATTCCCTTTCCAGTCGGCTTGCTTGCTTGCTCTGCCCTGCCCTGCCCTGCCCTGCCCTGCCCTGCCCTGCCCTGACCACCCAGGACTCAAGTACACGAACACGTGCCACTGCAGTGCTATATACAACGTCACCGAATATAAGGACCACGAACCACGAACCAAAGGTGGATAAAGAGAAAGGGACTAAATGTGCCGCTGAGCTCTTTCGATCTTCCATCTACCGATCTGCCTGTCCGGGGAAAGCAAGGGAGCCATGTGCGCGGAGAAAACAGGAAGAAAGAAGACAGACCATTTGTGTAGACGTAAGTACAAATATAAGTGTGAGATTGAGAGTGTGTAGATATGTATGTAGGTATGTAGGTATGAGGTATTGTACGAGGGAACCATAGGGCACCATAGATACTGTAAATACTGTAAGTACAGTAGGTACAATACCGAGTAGGTACAACAGGTAGATAGATAGATAGGACAGGTAGGGAGGCATTAAACGCTATCCACCAACCAACCCAGCGGGGGTCTGAAGAAAGGAAGAAATAGCACAAAGAGAACAAAACCAACAGAAAGCATTTCTTTCAATACATTTGTGAAACCCATTTTTCCCCTTTCCTTCGCCCGGCCCTCAAAACGCGTAGAATGGATTTGGCATTTGCATTTGCATTGCATTTGGCTTTGTTGTCCCTCTGTGCACACACACACACGCACGCGCACACACGCTCACATGCTCAGACATATACATAGACACACATAGACACCCAAAAATATACACACACACATACACATACACGGATGGTCGGATATACGATATAACCTATTGCGCGCGTTTGTTGTTCGTCGTCGTCTCAACCCCCCCTCCGTGCAATGTTCTGGATACAAAAATCTAGTGCATGTTCTTGTGGGCCAGGGCGTATCTGTGCCTCTCGAGATCTCGCTTGAGACCGGCCTCGTAGGACAGCTTGGGCTCGCCGCCGCCGGCGATGTAGCTCTCGTAGGCGCTGCACTCGTCCTGGAAGCTGCTGCTGGACCAGTAGGCCTCGGCGTCGATCTTGTCCGGGTGCTCGATGTACTGCAGACCCATACCGCCGTCGGCGTGCCACGTGATGTGGCAGTGCATGAGCCAGGCACCTGGGTTGTCCGTCTCGAATCCGATGACGGTCCAGCCCGGTTGGGCGACACCGCCGGGACCGGCGAAACCGTAGAGCAGCGTCGTGTCGCGACGGCTGGGGTTGGCAAAGTTGAGCGACGAGGCCTGCGAAGCCGAGAAGACGCCCTTGCCCTGGCCGAGCACCGAGAAGTCGTGGCCGTGCAAGTGGATCGGGTGCGACGTCTGGAAGTTGTTCTGGATCACAAAGTAGACCCAGTCGCCCTCGGGTCCGTCCAACACGACGGCGTTGGAGTAGCGCGAGCTGTTGAATCCTAGAGTCGGCAGCTCCGCCATGGTTCGGAGAGTAGGATTCTCAAAGTCCACAGAGACGGTCTGGTTGCCCAGGGTGGTGGCGCTGTTGCCGCTGAGATCCTGGAGCCCGCCAAAGTACCATCTGATGATGGGGCCGTAGCCGTCAAAGACCTGCGAGCCACCGTTGCCACCGGGCAGGAGCTTGGCGGTATCGGTGAAATCCTCGAGGCTGCCAGCGTTCTTGCTGACGACGGGGACAATGCTGGCCAGGGGCTCATCGCGGCAGTCGGTGTTCGGGGTGAGGGTGATGGTCTCGGACACGGGGGTACCGCAGGTTCCCTTGTAGGTGAAGACAGGGTTGGCAATGCCGAGACCGTTGTTGAGGTTCTGGACACCGCAGCCGGTCTGAGTGATGGCGCGCATGAAGTATGCTCCGGGGGTCTATATTACAGATGCATGTTAGCGATGGGGACGACGAAGCCAGTTTGATTTGGGGGGAGTCAACTAACCTGGTTCATTTCGACAATGACATTGTATCGTTGGCCAGGGTTGATGTAGAGGAAGTTGGTCTTGTATGGCACGATGGGGGTGAAGTCGGAGCTGATGACGAGCATCTCATGGTTGTCAAAGTGCACGATAAACGAGGATTGGGCAGCGCTGGATTGCACAAGTTAGTCTTCATCAATCGCCTGATAGTCGCAAAGACAGAGGGAAAACCACGTACCTGTTGATGATGCGGAACAGATGCTTCTTGCCAGGCTCGACAGTCCATTGGGTTGCCTTGCCAGTGCTTCCATCTGGCGACTTGTTCTTACCGTTGACCATGTAGTTGACGGCAGCTGGGAGCGGTCCTCGAGCACGGGCAATGTTCCACGCCATCTGGAAGATGGTCTGGCTGAAGATCTCATCGATCATGACCGGGCCCATGTCGTGATCGTAGTCGGCCGTCGAGGGTCCGTGAATGATGACGGGGCCTCGAATACCACCGCCATACTGCGAGAGGGCGTGTGAGTGGTACCAACCGGTTCCATAGCTTGAGGCGAGCCACGTGTAGGTACGCGTGCCACCGTTGGGTGGGATGGCGCACTCAGTCACACCGGGAACACCGTCCTGGTCGTTCGTGCCGAGTTGGCGGATACCGTGCCAATGGATAGTGGTGGCGTTGTGGCTCAACTCGTTGATAACAGTGATCGAGACAAGGTCACCCCAGTTGGCCTCGATGGCGGGACCAGGAGTTCCACCGTTGATGGCAAATGCTGGTCTGACAGTGCCGTCAAAGTCGATATTGGCATCCGTGATCCTCAAGGTGAAAGACTTGCTGTGTCCGCTCCGGTAGGGAACCGCCGTGTCATCGGTGACTGATTGGCCGCACCACTTGCTACGGTTATCTGGCGTGTTGTCCGCACAGAAGGAATCTTCAGAAAGAGCAGACACGGTCTGAGACGGCGCGCAGCTAGTGGTGCTCGTGGCGGTGGTAGTGCTGGTTCCGGTGCTGCTGGAAGTTGGGGCGACGGCGCTGCTGCTCGAAGTTGAGGACGGTCCAGCGGGCGAGACAGAGCTGCTGGAAGTTCCTGGGCCGACCGGGTTGTCAGAGCTGGAGGATGTTCCCGGTCCGACTGGGTTATCGCTGCTTGTCGACGACCCATAGCTTCCCGAAGGGCTTGACGACGTTCCTGGACCGACGGGACCAACGGTTGAGCTTCCGTAGGGGACTGAAGAGGTTGGGCCGACAGGTGTGCTCGATGAGCTGGGGCCGACATATGGGCCTGACGAGCTGGGGCTGCCTGAGGGGCTGGTCGATGGGCTTTCAGTAGGGTTGGACGAGGTTGGGTGGACGTAGGGGCCCGAGGTGGTCGGGCTTGAAGACGGACTAGACGAATGCTGTCCAGAGGTAGGGTGGCCCGAGTCGTCGGACGATGATGGACTCGTGGTATGACCAGGTCCGCCGTTCCCATCCCCCTTGCTTGTTGGCGACACCGACACCGTGTTTGTCGGCGTCCCAGTCCAGTCTTGCCAGGGAGCGGTCGGCACGTCGGGGGCGCAGGTCCATGCTTCGGTAATAGGGCACACAGTAATGGTTCTGGTCGTTGTGACCACCACGATCTCGTCAACGTCTGATCCTTTCCCTGACCAAGCGAGAGTCTGCAACGGCATCAACGCCGCTGCGTAAAGTAGCGACCGCATGACGACGGGATCAACACACAAAAAAAAAGGAGTGACAAAATTGAAAAACGAGAGGACGAAAGCAAAAGCTTTCAAACAAACTGACGGGGAAGAAAAGACGAAGTTTGAGCAGAAAGAACAAGGCCAGGAGAAGGACGGAAGTTCTTCTTCAACTTGTAGCAGAATATGCCGGTTCAACGTCGGATCAGCCGTGGCGCCGGAGTTTCGCTTGGAAGCAAGCCATTGAAAGACGACGCATTGCCTGACACCCCCAGGCGCAGCTCACCACTTTCGTTCGGGCTTTGTCGAGGCCAGGCAAAGAAGAGACTTTGTCCCCACCCTGACACTCTGCTGGGAAAATGTGGCCAGGAAAAGCCAGGGGTTCACACAATCACAGCTGGTATCGGTCAAGCCATGGCTGGCCAGCACCGTGTTGACGTGTGGAGCGAGAGGTTGGGTCAAACGGGGAAATCATAGAGATGCGCCGCGGCTCAGGAGATTAGCACCGCGCAGGGAAAAGGAGAGGCCAAGGCGTCAACACGATGCACGCTGAGAGACGCCCACGTTCTGGGTGGTGGAAAGGTTGAATTCGTGGATAGGACAAGACCAAACTTTACGACGAGGGAGATTGGATCTCGCGAGCCCAGAAGAGCCAAGGCCACAGCCATGATGGACTGAGACACATCAGGCGGCGGGGGACGTCGCATACGGGACTTCGGAAACCGATCATGCAACAAGTGGCTTTTTTGTTGTTTGCCCTCTGCAAAGACTGGCGAGGGACCAATCCATGTACATACGTTATGGATTGGAGAGTCACATCGTCCCCATACAGGCTGGAGAGGGGTTGAGAGCATACCTCCAAACCTGTCAATCAACCCGGCATACGAGGTACAAAGTTACAGCTGTGTTTGTGCCACAGAAGCATGTTCTCTGCCCGTTCCATCATTGCGCCTTCCTGTCCTCCGTTACCCACGACGTTTTGTCCAAGTCCCCGAGTGATCTCGACAATGAATGAGTGGCTTTTTGGTGGCGGACTGGCCATATGAATTATCCCGGCCGATGTGTGAGAACCAAGAAAAAAGAGGGAGGCCAGAGCGAGTGTGAACGTCTCTGTTTTCCACACTGCTTTTACCCCTGAGTTGCTTTTTTACCTATCGGGTCGCGTATTAGCGGCACGCTAGCCCAGTCTGGACAAACCTTAGGCCTTATTCGGACACTCTAGGGGCCACTAGTGGGGGCGCTAAATGACTAAAAGGGGTCATTGGGGTCATTCGGGGGTCAGCCACGTTCTTGTTTGCTTCTACCACCAAAACATCCCTGTCATATTTTCAGCCTCGCAACTTCCATATCCGTTTGGGCCGCATGGCTAAAATTAAAAACGATGAAAAAAACTTCATCATGTGGAAACGAGTCTCGCCCACATCCCCTCGCCATGCGCTCAGACATCAACGCCTTTGTTTGCACCACAGTCTCTGCCGGCCGTGTTCTGTGTCGGAGGCAATAGTTATATGGAGCAGGACGGGACGACAAATACGAAATTAAGCCTACCTCAGTACCTGCCTGGGACGCGGGCAAGATAGAAAAAGGTTCGCACGCGATGACCTCCAGATTTGAGGCCCCCCAATACACACCTTCTCGCTACATATGTACATATGTATCTCGTAGAGCCGTTGGATCAACGTCCCGGGAGGCTTGTGTTATTATTATGGATCTTTTGCCTGCTCGGCGTGATGCAGGTTCGGTGGACAGTCGCGTGCGATCAAGACGCGTCTCGCCAGAAACAGATCAACGGTTTGATCACCAACGATATTTCGGAGTCTTGGAAGCGCGGCTCAGCTATTCCACGGGATGGGCATGACGTCGAGGTGGCACCAGTGGGTGCCGTGTTGTCTGATCATCAGCCAGACGGACAGGTGACCGTCACCACCGTGTCAACTGGTCCTCTCGAGTCGCTACGGAGGGACCGAGTACGCACGTACATACGATAAGCAGATGGTGTTTTCTAGGAGCTCCCCTTTGAATAAATGGTCTGGTCAAACACCCATGACGACGCTGGGCAGCGTCCGCTCTGCATCAGTAACCACCCGCTTCAATGAACGTCTCTCTATATGCAGATTACACGTCAGATATCAGCAAGAAGGCGTCATCACTGCTCCTCTATCAAACACCATAGCGATCGCCCTCCAGGAGAGCGATCTACCTGGGTATTCTGTCATTCTAATCTCTTCACACGGGCAATCCCTTTGATGACCATGTCAATCGTCCCTCTCCCCTTGCCCCTCGTTACAGTGCTCCTCTGGTGATTGTGGCGTATTCAGCCCATGTGGCAAACAAGGTAGCAAACAAGATCAAATGCAGCAATGTCGCCGTTGGCCATTCGTAGTTTTTGTTAAAAGTGACCTGGTCCGTTCCTACCAATAGCGTGGTGCGTTTTAAAACACGGCGGTTTTTGTTTTGGGGGGGGGGGGGGTTTCTGGATCTCGTTTTCTTTTATCGAAGTCGCCCGCGTCTGATGCCTGGCAGCGCCTCATCCTCATTATCAAACTCTCTTATCATTCGGCCACAGCTGAAGATCCCATAGGGGTTATATTTACTCGGTCCTACGGAGTATTGCACGCCGTTGTTTTTCCTGGAACCCCAGGCACGCAACTCACACGCCAGGCCAGCCATCCCGGAGCTGAGGGGAAGCGAGAGTCCGACAGTGCGATGACAGCCAAACTGTTTACCCGCAAAGCGGAGAACAAGAAACAGAGATCAAATCCCCTTTTTCTGGCAAATGTATGTACGAGTGCGAGTGCGAGTTGCGGATACGAGTACTCCGTACCCTACCAGGTACGGAGTTGCATCGGTTTCCGGAGGCTTCTGTAGCTGTACATAGGTAGGTACACATGAGTACGAGTACGAGTCGTTGTTTGTACCGGTCGAGGGCGGCTGGTGGGGTTTCCTCGGAATGGTCGTTTGCATTACCTCCTGTCCTGTGCTGTACTGCACTGTATCTCGGAGGTGACGAGGAAGCTGATGGAGAGGGAGTACTGGGTACTGGGTACTCATTCTCCAGTACTACTACGAGGTACTGTAACCCTTTTCGTTGCTCGACCTCCCAAAAGGGTAAAGGGGTCAGTCAACCTGGAACCCCAAAAGATGACATTCTAGGTAAGCAGATCATCACTGACGACCACCCAACGGCCTTTCCCGCACACGGCTCTTTTCTTTTTAGAGAATGCCTCTTTGCGAGGATCTTCCAAAGCCATCTGGTAGCATGCAAATTGAGAGTCTTGCTGGCTTTGTCCCCATGCACAAGTTACACGTTTTGAGTGTTCCGTTCAACTAGTTCAATACTGGCTCGATGGCTGGCATTTAAACGCTTGCTCGTTGCTATCATCTGGCGCAGGGCTAACACGCTCACTCAAAATGGCCCGACTATCCATGCCTTGCGAAGTCGTGCTAATACATATGAAAGACATGACGCTGCGTAAATGGTTCCGTTGCTCGTTACTGTCTGCTCTTCCTCCTGTCGTCACCCATTTCTTCTCCCCGCGACGCGAGCATGCAGGCTAGCAATGCAGTCTTTCTTTTGATTACCTCGTGAGACGCAAAAGGAAGTTGAGGGCAGTCCAAAATCGGTGATCCCACTACCCTAGCAGCTCCTTGGTGATGACTGCTTCCATCTCCGCGGGCGTCCACCAGTCACTGTCCGGCAACACGGCCGACTCGACAAACGCAAGCAGGCTCTCCCGGATCATCTCCCTCGTGGCGTCCGACAAGCGCACCTCGACGCTCAACAGGCGCGACAACAAGGCCATCTGGTCCTGGTCCGACCACCCCTTCATGTCCGGCGACATGCCGATCGCGTACAGCAGGTACGACGGCCCGCTGTCGAGCTCGACGTCGCACCGGTCGAACTTGCGCCGGATCGCCCAGTATTGGTAGGTCAATTCCTCGGTGGACGCGCCCTGCAGGTCGAAGAGCACGATGTGCAGCATCAGGATTGGCATGATTGGCCGCACGATGTTGGGCACGTTCGCCGACAGCGTCCGGTAGGCCGGCATGTCGGGTAGGAACAGGCTCAGAGGGTGCAGCTCGCCCGGCGGGTGGCGTCGTCTATAAACAGCCATGGTGTGGAAGTTCTGGTACGCGCCAATGAATTCGAGGGCGCAGAACCGATCCCACTGGGCTTGTGTGAGGCCTGCCCCTGCGATGGGTAGGTTCTGTCGTTCGGTCTCGTCCAGAAGAGAGGATTTCAGGTGGACCGAGAACTGGGTCTTCATGGCAGAGATCTGGCCGTTCGACAGCATGTCTTCCCTGTCTACTAGTCAGCGTGTTTGGATCCCGAGACCTGGTTCAGCTGGCCATCGAAGAGTCCGGCTCAGGGTGTGGATGGCGAAAACACTGCACGCTTTGGCTTACCATGTCATCTCCCACACCAGAGCAGGCGAGTAGTGCGCAACGTCCCAGCCGTGTCGGCGGTCCAGCGCCGCCCGGAGACCACGGCAATGCAGATAGAAAGAGTTGCGCGCTTGCTCTTTCGTCGCATCGGAGCTTTCTCGAATGACGGATTCGGTGGCGCAGATGCAGGCCATGGCCTGGAGGAGACCATCGCTCGGACTGGCCGCCTCAGCCTCCAGTCTCGTGCGGAAGTTTTGTAGCGTTTTCAGATAGCATTTTTCCGCAAAGATCCTCTCCTCTCTTGTCGGCGTCTCGATCAACGCGCGGCTCATCGCCGCAAAGTGGACGGCGACGGCCAACATCAGAGGATTTCCCTGCATCACGGGCCAATGCATGTCGCGGGGCGGAAACCACGTCTTTTGACGCCGTCTCCCTAGGTGAGGAATGCAGTCTCCCACGACTGTGAAACTCCCGTCAGCTTTTCCCAAGAACGAAGCAACCGGATTTCCCTCATCGTACAGTGCGAGACCATGATGCCTTCAGTCCGGTCCAGATCGGCCGCCAATGTCTTGAAGGGATCGAAATGGCCCTGCAGAAGATTCTGGGCGTCTGCCAATGGGACCAACTGTTGTTCTGTCGACACCACAATGGCCCTTTCTTCGGGTTTGCCATTCTTTGCGCGCTTCTGGCGCTGCTGCCCTCCCTTCCGGTTGCGCAGAACAAACGAACGGATTTTGCCCGAATAGTGCGAACCCTGCCCGGGCAAAAATACAAAGTGGGCGTCGCTCATGGCTTCTCTGTCCACGCGATTCTCTTGGGGGGGTGATGCCCCTGGAAAGTGGCAGCCACTCGAGAAAATCGGTATAGAGCGAAGAATGTAGAAGAAAGTCACCCAGCTTATGAACCAAACCTTCTCGTCGAGCAACGACCAACCCGGTCTTCCTGTTGTTGGAGAGCCTTGGTCGAATATACTGACACGACAGCAGTATGTAAACCCCGCTTTCTGTAGTCGATTTTGGGGGGGGGGAAGGGGCGGGTGCCCCGGGGATCCACAGGCAGAGGGAGAGTCAGATCCCAGTCAGCAGGGCAAGAGTCGCGCCGAAGCAAAGAAAAGGACCGACGAGTCGATTCTGATTCAGTCATCATCCCATTTAGCATCATGGATAGCGTGCTGTTGTTCCAGAATGCTTCAATTGACGTGAAAGGCGTATGATCTTCAGGCCTGCCTTGTGCTTGACTTTGCAGTCTTGCACCAAAGCAGCAAGTACTCAAGACTCAATGGGCCAAATCGTAGGAGACGAGTGGGCTTTCGTCCACCGATCCTGCCTGTGATCGGTGCTGGTAGGGAGATGCTCTTGCTCGAGGAGAGTCGAAGGATTTTGGAGCCTTGCTGGAACAAGTAGCATCATCTGCTCTTCGAGTTAGACGGTGCGCCGCGTATGTGCCTTTGTCAGCTTCAATCGACCGCCTCTTTCCCTCTCACGGCATGGTCGAAGGAGTAGCAGGGGAAGAGCATGCCAATGGCCAGTAAGACACGTCAGCAACCAGCGTTGACGGATGTGTCGAATCCTGTTCTTCTCCTCCATGGTTCCCGTCCGGAGCCAGCTTCGCTTGAGAGACCGTCTCGTCTCGGTTCGCTACGTTGAAGTTCTCGACATCGATTCTGGTTTCGCGCGTGCGACAGAAATGCCCACATGTAACAGACTCGCGGCAAGGACCGCAAATGCTGGCATCATCGTCGAGCACCCTCTGTTCCAGTTCGAGTTTTGACATGGATGTCCTCACATCCAGCTGAGTATTCGAGAGTCCAGTTGTGCTGACTGGACCTGTCGAGACTATATAACCTTTTCGTTTCCAAAGTCGTCGTCGTCGTCATCGGAGATGATATGGTTGACCGTAAAGCCAAGACCTGAGGATGTCCATGTGACGATCCGTAGCGAAACAAAGGGACGATCGGGGTCTCGGGCAGGTGGGCCAGATATCGTCGTCATAGAAGCTGAGAAGGTATTCATCGTCGTGAGCGGTAAAGGGCACCCGGGGGAGTGGCAGGGAGACTTTCACCACCCTCAATGCAGTCGCTTACGTTACGAAGGACGGTGTGTTTTCCCCCGGATGACGGGCTGCTCAGGGCGCATGGAGGACCATCTCTGGAGATCTGGGATTCGGGTCCTAATATAATATCCTGGGTCGCTTGTGTCAGAGCCTACGGAGCCTTGGTTCCTGGTTCGGGGCCAATACGAGGTCATCAGGGCGTCTGTCCAACTTCCTATTCGGGGCAATCCTTTTGGTGCCACTATTCCACATCGAGGCAATCCTTTTTGTCTCTACAAACATTGACTACTATTGTAAACCAATTTTACGATGATCGGGCTGTCCACGCAGTGATTATACACTTTGAGCCGGCAGTGTTGCTGACAAGGAAGACGGAAGCAAAAAAAGATATAGACCCAAGATGTTGGACCGAGATGGATTGTCCGTCAAAGGAAAATCCTCTTCTTTTGCCACGCCACCAACCGCCATGTCGTCAACAACATCACATAAACAGCTGCGTCTAATGTGTCCTTCGACCGTGTCCTATAATCAACCCCATTACAGGAGCCCGGTGGTGTGGACTGGGCATGCTTCGAATCACGCCACATCGTCTCCGTCAACAAGCACACCAAGCACGACTTGGTCAAATAGTCCTCCCCTTGGCGACATGCACGCTTACAGAGAAGAGCAACTCTTTTGGGACGACGACTCAATGCCCGAATACCTGGTACGAGACCCTCCCAAGCCAGCAAGTTCGTAGCTAATTGGATGCATCCAGGACATGACGACCTCCACATCTCACGGCAATCAAGTTTCGAGTCCTCGCGGGTGTGACTCTACAGGCTGGAGCACCACCTATAGCTCAGCAACTTCATATTGCCAACCACGTCAGAGTCCTCCAGTTGAGTTTGACGTGTCTTCCCTGTATGGCGCGAAATCACGATCCCAGGAAGCCATCGAGAAGCGCAAGTCGCAGAATCGGAAAGCGTGAGTCGAACTTCCAACTCGGCTGCCGTTGGGGGCCAAGCTCTTCAGAATTGTGCTGACCCGTGTCCAGACAAAGAGCCTACCGTGCTCGCCGCGAAGCACAAGTCAAAAAGCTGATCGAGGATCTCAACGCCCTGTTACAGCGCTGCGACCAGGACAGGGTGGAACAGGAGCGTCTGCGCAGATGCCTCGCCAAACTCCAGCAAGAAAATGAGGAGCTGAAACGACTGCTGAGGAGCGGGTAGATTAATTGATTTTCGATGTTGGGCCGGGTTGGGTGGTGGCATCTTAGTTGTGCGCCGGATCATGGAGTCTTGTATAAGGCTCAGAAATGGGTGAGGGTATAGGACAACGGGAAAACGGGGAGAATGGTGTTGGGGTTGAATTACCCTTGTAATCTAGCATTTGCGTTTGAACATGTAAGGTCATGTGGAACAAGCATCCTGTCATTAGGACTGGACATCGTAGACGAACTCTAGCGTCGCGTGGCCGCTGCATGAAAAGTGTTTCATGAAAACGACTAACGGACTTCACATCAAGAGTGCAAATACAAGCGAGCTGCACACCATCCTGCAAGGGGCCGGAGAGCCCACGGATTCACTCCAAAAGTCTTCTAGTGGAGGCCGGATGGGAGGTGATGGCGCCGAAGTTTGTCCTTCTCGAATCGATAGAGAGCTTGCAGATGTCTCGCAGCTAGATTTCTGGTCTAAAATGACCTGCAGGATGTAATAATGAAATGGCGAGGGCAAGGGGGATGCAGGCAAGCGCGATGCACGCCGTCTTCGGGAACTTATCCGTTGTCTCCACACGTTCGAGTTCGAGGATTGCCAGCCCCTATACCGAAGAGAGGTGCATTTCTCGTAAGCTTGAGATTTGGGCATCAATGAAAGGAGGCATGCATCGCCATGGGTTGTGTTGATAGTCCCATCGACAAGGCGTATCCAATGTGAGCTCGGGGACCAGTGTTGGCACCCTGGGCGATTCAGCGAAGACCCCACAGAGACCAAAGCAATGCACGCTGCAAAGCATGTGTAGTCCAGCGATCTGAGGGCGGGTCGTCTCTGTTTGTACCATGCATCTGTGGTGTAGTCAGTGCACCAATGCAGCGCGTGCTCATGTCAGATAGCAGATCTTGACCAACGATTGGCGTGAGCGGGTAGACTGATCCGACCACATTCTCGCTAGGCTCAGACCACAGCGGCGCGGATTCGGAGATGGCGCCATCTCGGAGCAGAAGGAGGGTATGTCGATCCAGGGTTGGCTGTTGGCCGTTCTCAACACAGGCCTGTCTGTGTTTGTAGGCCTCTGAATCTGCTCACGCATAGAAGGCCTCCCAGCTCGCCGCTCAATAGAGTCAAATTACTGCGCAGTAAGACGCTTGTCAGTCCTTGCGATGCCTCCCAGTTGTCTTGAGAAAGGCGATTTGACCACGTCACTCGGTCACTGGTGACGATGTCTCGTGGAGTCAGTGATATGGGATGGGCCAGTCCTCCAGAATGGTTGTCCACGGCGAAGAGCCATAGAGCCAAGGTATTTCACGCTGCTCCTCCAAAAGGCTAGTTATATGGCCTTTTTGTTGACACGAAGTCTTCAAGTCAGGGAACCTGTCGTTGTCAGACTGTCTTTGGGGCATTCTTCGCTCATACATAGTTGTTGATGGCACGTTCAAAGTCACCTTTCAACTCACTGTAGACTCAACCTGCGCCACGGACGTGGCTTCTGCTGATGATCCGGGATGGGTTTCAAGTATCTGGAGACTGAGGTGCTGCTTGTTCTGTTGTTACTTGTACCTGTAGATGGCGCTGATCAAGCCAATCAGATGGTGCCACTGATGCTAATGACGACCGATCACGTGATTGCACGACACAATAATGCCAAGCCTTGAGTATCGGGATACTTACTGTATTAAAAGCTCTTGTACTAAGATGCCACTAGTACTGCTCCTCACCTCGTGTTCTATACCATATTGACCCTCGTGCACCTCGTACTCGGGACTTTATCCAACACGGAGAATGCTCTCCCTGCTCAGTGCTCACACCCAGTCGTCATCGCTATACCCAGTATCGCTAAGGCTCAAACTTGTCGTAGCTGACGCATCGGACTCCGACGCGAGATTTCCCGGTTTTGTAATTTTAACGCTCACAACCAGCAAGCGTACATAACGAGAGAGGCCTTTTTATCTTGAACCGCCTTCGATCAAACATCATCCGCACCTGGAAATCAGGCTCCTCACCATTGCTGTACCTACAGACTCAAATTTCTCTACCTTGAAAACCCCCAGCTTAAAATATCCACGACCACCACCACCACCACAAAACCCGGAATTCCTAGACTCCAACACTCCCCGAACGAGGACATCGAAACCATGCCCATCTCACAATCCCCTTACCTGCCCAGAATTATAGGCGGCTTCGGCGTCATGGCCGTCGGACTGGGGATCAACGCGTTGTTCAACCCGCGCGGGGCGATCGCGCTGTTCCAGTTCCCGCACCCGGGGGCGCGGGCCAACACGATCGAAGAGACGCCCGAGGGCCACCTGGTTGAGAGCGTCATGATGCTCGAGGGCGCGCGCACCGTCGCGATGGGCACCGCGCTGGTCGCGACATCGTACTTTGGCAGCCGCAAGGCCCTCACCGTCATGGTGTGGACCAGCACGCTCGTCGCCGTGACGGACGGCTTCATCAGTCGTCGGCAGATCGGTGGCGGGGAGTGGAGTCACTGGATGTTTGTGCCCGTCGGGGCCGTCATTGGGGGTTTGTTGAGTGGGTTTGCCGATTAGCTGGGCTGGGCTGGATCGTGCTGCACTGTACTGGCCCGGGTGGCTGGCTCGTTTGCCTCCATGGCTCTGTATCTATACAACAAACAGCTGTTCGAGGAGAAGAGAGTGTCTGTGCCTTTCCGATCGGAAGGGCTTTTTTCAAACAGATGATCTGGGATTTCCGCCGACAGCTGATCTCCACTCTTAACTCTTACCAGTCAAGAAAACTTCTTGACATCTTGTATACCCGGTATAATAGAAGGAAGATAATTGCTACTCTTGTTATTACCCACATCTACTTTGTCGCTGCATGTGGGTTCTGCCTGTATGTATCAAGGTGGCTCGAAGGCTGGTGGTGCTTGGGAACTTGGTAAATGAATGGATAGGGACGAAGTACACCTTATGTAGAAGCTCTAAGAAGTAAACCCCATACTTCGAAATCTCCTTTCGCTGCCCGCACAAGATACAAACTATCTGCGTAATGGAGTGGTTGGAACCCTGCGAAATGCCTCAGGGTGTAGTCACTAACCCACCAACACGCCATGATTTATCCTCGCTCGGCACCGCGGCCGGGCGCGACTTTCAAGCCTCTCCCCGAAGCTTGATGCGACTTCGGAACTCCACTTCGGATCTCTTATGAGTAGGACGAAGCATCTTCCTCCTCCTCCCCGTAGGATCTGAGCTGAGATGAGCTCAGCCGGGGTGAGACGCTTCTGATCGACCCGGAGTGGGTGGACTCGTGGGTTCTTGATCTGTATACCTGCTAGACCTGCAGGTAGTGCTCACTAGTTGCCAAGATGAAGCTCGCCCACTTTGTTCTCAGACAAGAGATGTCCTTGGCTGCTTGGCCAACAAACAATAACAACAACAACAACAAGAACCAACATCAGCTTGGCTCTGAGGAGACGCGCCCGGTGGGCAGCGAGCCGGTGTCAAAAAATAAGTGGCACAGTCTGACAAGAAATAGCAATGAAGAGCGATTCGTTATTGACTCAAAAGGTAACTACGATTAGGCATAATGGCACCCCTCTCCTCATTAATCATATTAGCGATATTTGATCTGGCGCCCGCCGCAATCGCAATCGCTATCAAGAGGGCGTCTACTTTCTGTCAGACTGTGCCATTTTTTCTTCTTCCAAAGGCTCGGCAGGTAATCAGCGAGGAAAGCAATAGCACAGGACCACCCGGCAGGTCTTGGTCTTGGTCTTGGTTTTGATAGTGCAGCACAAGCAAATTCGCGTACGTGTAGAAAGTTGTGTCTAGGGCCACCATTCGTTATTCATGAGCTGGCAATGTAGCGCCGCGCAGCTAGGGATCTCGGGGAATTTCTGTCCATTGAGTGTTGGCGGCGGGGGGTCTGGCTTCCCTCTCCATCCCCTTGGCCGATTCGACCCAGGCATACCAGTTCACTTCACCACCCAGGTCCATGTTCGCGTCGAGCGAGTCCACGTCCCAGTTGGAGAAGACGTCGACCGACGGGTCAGCATCTGCCCAGAGCCAGGCGTGGAAGCCAGGGCCCATGGTGCGGCCGTCCGTCCAGTCTTCCGCCCCTGTCGGAAAGGCGTTGTACGGTCGATCCGGAGTCTGGTCCGAGGTAGATGCCCCGGTTACGTTCGTTGTAGTTGACGATTCAGGTCCTCTGTCATTGATGGTGTTGAAGTTTCCATCAGCCTGTGCTCCATATCCGAGATGGGTCGTTTCATTAGAGGTGTTGAAGTCGGAAATCTCCGAGGTACCCGAATGCATCAATTCGGCAGACGAGGGATTTTTGTAGTTTTCATTCGCTCCCGATTCGACATGTCTGGTGTTAGAGCCTCTGGGGAAGGGTCTGCGGGGAGGGACGTCCGCTGGGATGCCGACAAGTTGGCGCCATCGCTCACGGAAGGCGTCGACACTGGATCCAGCAGGGAACGGACCAGAACTCGTAGGCACCGGAGTCTTGCGGTCTTCGAATTCTAGCAGTACAGCGGCCTGAGGATCGCCTCGTAGTCTTTGGAGCTCGGTGTCGCGATGCTTGCGGGCTTTATTCATCAGTTTTCGAAGCGGTATCCAAATGCGGAGGTTCTCATTTGTCAGGGCCTGAGCCGGAATCAGCCATTCGCTGTGAAGGGCGATCCAAGCCCTCTCGACGGTGGACGACCAAGGCCGTCGGGAGGTCTCAAGCAGGAGGTAGACAATGGCATGCCAATGGGTGTGGCTTTGGTACAGCCAGCGCCAGTTGCGGCACGCTTGTTCGGCATTGAGCGCATGATTGTATTCGGCAACCTCAATTGCCGAGACCAGTAACTTGGTTCTCAAGAGCTCGTCAGCAGTGGTGGTCTCGCTGGAGGTGGAGGTGGAAAAGAGCGCTGGGAGAAAGGCAATGAGGGTCATCTTGGCCATGACCATGCGCGCGACGGTGACGGCGACCCAGTAGGCAATATTCCCTGCTTCAGACGTGTGCTGGAAGTACTCCTGTTCGAAATTTTGATAGATCTCGCTCACGAGACGACTCTGGCGCTCTGCATTTGCCGCTCCTCCACCAGCAATTGAGGCCACTATTTGCCTCATGAGGTGGACGGCTCCCGCAGACATGCGTGGAAATGACATATCAGTCACGCCATAGCGCTCGGCGGGCATCTCCTTTGTCTCGGGTTGGATATCTGCATTATTGATGTTCAGAGGGATTTTGGTGTCGAAACTGCCGCTCGGTATGCTGAGATCCGTCCCTTGGTCCTCTGATGCTCTCAAATCCAGCCTGCACAGCATCCACCAGATCCGTCGACGCATCTCGATCTCAAAAGGCGACAGGTGACTGAAGTGGAGTCCATCTCGCTGTAAGCCAAGGTACTGGGCCATTCTGATGACGAGCCCCGTCATCATCCATACATATCTCGGGCTGTCATGGCGTCGCGCGAGGCATAGGAAGAGGCCAAACGCCTGAATCAGCATCAGGTTCGGTACGGTCAGGAACTCGGCTTGGGCCAAACAGTGCTCCGTCCCGAGACGGTACTTGGAAATCAACTCGAATTTGGGAGCGCCAAAGTTTGTCATAACCTGCTCGGGAAACATTTGTCAATACGGCCTATATGCCTGACCAATCTCGAATATCCCGGGGAAGGAATGGCTTACATCGTCTTCCTCCATGGAAGCAACCGTCGCATAAGAGATGGAGAATATCAAGGCATCAAGGGATGGTGTCAGGTGAGTCAGGCGTATACCCCCTGGACCAGAGATGGTCTTCGTGAGGATTGGGATGTGGACGATCTGCATGAAGACATTCACATTCCGGGAGAAAGTGTCCAAGATAAACAGCATCTGGGATGGCAAAGGGCGCAGCTCGTGGAGATTAGGAGTCGGGGGAGCCAGATTGTGTCGAAATAAGAATGCATGTCGTTCCGAAGGCGTTCGCTCCGTTTCCTGGGCGGATAGCGCGCCTTCGGGAGATGCATCATCCCATGAACTGTCCGAGTCATATGCTTCTGAGCCGCGAGCGTCCATCTCTAGGTCATCGAGCTGCAGTAACAATCAGTGAGCCTTTAGATCAGGTAATGAGGCGAGCATAAAGGCAAAAGTTTACCTCGTCATCGACCCGGACCCAGAAGGCGGAGCTCACATAGTGGCCACGACTGGCATCCTGGAGCACCAAGCGGCCAGACTGTTTTTTATTCTGGTTGGCATCAGTAGTGGGTAATTGGATCCCTTCATGCCCTAAGCCACGATTCTGGGTTGAGCTACCAGGGGAGGTGACTTGAGATAAGTCCCCAGTAGTCGAGCTTGCATGAGTCTGCTCCAATTGAAAGCTGAGTTCCTTGACCAGCAGCTCCAGATTCCGCACCCTCTCCATGACCTTGTCAAGATCCGGATTGGCGTCCTGCGTCGCAGGAGTGTTCAGCACTGGGGCCTTGTTGGTGAGTTGATGGAGGCGACGAGCCCACCTTGGCGGGCGGTCTGTCGCCGGTGTTACACAGGCGATATTGGCGCGACGGCAATTAGAACACGGTGACTGTTTGTCACAGCGGACTTTGCGATTGCGGCAAACTAGACAACTGCGTAACTTGGGTGTTGGTGTGGATGTTGTGGGCGGAGTCCTGCCGATAGCGGGAACAGGAAGCCTCGCAGTCTTTTCGGCGATCGACCCCGAGGCTGAAGAGGACCCGGCCGCTGATGGTCCCTGCAACATGGCTGCAGTCACGGGGAATTGGATGCTCATATAAATCTGACCGACCGACGGTGGTCGTGCTGGTCGTGCTGGTCGTGGTGTAGAGCGAGAACGGCAAAAAGGCATAGAGTCGCATTCATCTGGTGTCTTCCCGCCTGAACTAAACCTCATGCAGTTACTCACCGCGAATCACAGTCAATCAACGAATGAAACACAACCCGAGAAGAACGCGAGAACTCACCGAGACTTGCAGCGGATCAACCAGCACGCCGAGTTCCACGTTGTAGCGTCATCGGGACCTGGTTGTGCCTGGAAAAGGACTGATATATCAACCATGGGGTGCCTCCCGGAAATATACCACTCATCAGTCATCAAGCGAGTATACCTTGAAACAGAGCCTTGTTTGATTGTCAGCAACTGGTAATAAAAGTACAAATGGATTCTCAAGTGGATTCCGCGTGCGAAGAGTGCATCAAGGTAAGTTCACCTGGATCCATCCTCGATGAATATCCTTCCACTCACCCTTTGCTCAGGGCACCATCCACACAGGTCAACCTCAGGGCACTGAAGAGGAGATACACGGGCTGAATACCTACGTGGTCGGCAACAGGACCGATCCTCAAGCCATCATAGTCATCTACTCGGATGTCTTTGGCCTCCTATTGCCCAACAACAAACTAATTGCCGACGCCTACGCGAAGAGCGGCCAGTGGCTCGTCTATCTACCGGACTTTTTCAAGGGAGACCCAGTGCCGCTCAAGACTGCCGATGTTCTGCTTCCAGTCGATGCGAAAAAGCAGTCGACATTTGCAAAGTATACGGGTCTTCTGGCAAAGGCGCCGGCCTTCGTCATGTGGATGACGAGACACAAGGAAGGGCCTACCAACCAGACCTTCATGGATTTCATGCAGGCATTGAGGCGCTCGACTCCCCCCACCCAGAAAATCGGCATGGTGGGATTCTGCTGGGGTGGAAAGTATGCCATTCGAGCAGGATTAGAAAGCAACATGATTGAGGTTGACGGCAAAAAGGTGCCGTTAGTAGATGTCGTGGCGGCCATGCATCCCAGTCATGTATCCCTTCCAGGTGATGTCGAGTCTTTGGTCGTGCCTGTCAGCATTGGATGGGGAGTGGAGGACCAGGGTGTGAATTTCGAGCAAAAGGCAAAGGTGGAAGAGATCCATGCGAAAGCAAGAGCCGCCGGGAGGAAGCTGCCAGAGGTGGAGCACAGGGTCTATAAGCCGGGTCGACATGGATTTGCTGTGAGAGGGAATCCGGACGATCCAGAGGAGCGGGCATGCTTGGAGAACTCAGAGAAGCAAATTCTGGACTGGCTCACCCGCTGGCTTTGAATTGTGTTCGGAAATTTGGAGTTTGAGCAAAGGTCCAAGACATGAAGGTACAAGGGCTCAGGGTGCGTAGACCAATCGATTGGCTGAGAGCGAAGATACAAATGATATTGATCGTGAAAACCACAACTGATCCCAATGCCTCCTAGACATTCATCGTCGTGGCCAATCTCCTAGAGCAAGACCATAACACAGCGCTTCTCTCTTGAATTAACGAGATTTTGACAATCGAAATAGTAAAGTCCTGTGCCAAGTCAGATTAGGACTTGTTCCCCAAGAAAAACAGTCGATGAAAGGCAAACATGTCTTCGAAGGTGCAGAATTCCGGAACCCCCAATTCGAAATGAATGGGCAGCTTAGCACGATATTCTTCCAGAAAGTCGGAAAGCTCTTTCTGTTGTTGGTCATCCAGACAGCGTAGAAGGTATGCAAGACTTAAGTGCAAGGCATATTCGTCGTGGTCAGGATTGCGTAATTGTAGGAGCTCGGACAGCCGGTTGCGAAGATCGCGAATCCTTACTTCGTCGGCGGGAGTCGCGGGGACGGCTGTCAGGGCGATGCCTTCTACCAATGGATTGTAACCAACAATGGTCAGTTGGAATGGGGTCGAGGCGTCGAACTCAAAGTTCTCGAGCTTCTTCTTGAACAGATCTGTGCATATGTCCAATGGGGCATCGAGGGGCAAATCCGACGGCCAGGCTCGAGTCTCATCACTGACGCCCTCGAAGACAGTCATGTGCCAGCTTTTCGGAGGTAACATGGTATATAGAGACGCTAATCGGTGGCTCCTGAGAGCGTCATACAGACCCAGCATGGCAGGGTACAGAGGTTGGTCCGGTGAAAGGTGACAGATGATCGTGTTTCCAGGAAACGGCAGAACCTTTCCGTCAGGATCGAACTTCCGGCCTATCGAGCTTGGATACTTGGAATGCCGGAGATCTGGCTTGGGTGCCGGACTAGATGAGTTGGCCATGATGAGAGGTGAGAAGTGAGATCTCTTCGAGTCGAATAGTCGATTCGGTGTACATGCGTAGAGGTAATGGAGGTCAGAAGTTCGGGATTTGATGAAGTAGCTTGTAGACACGACTGACCAATCGCGAAACACAATGCGCTGGCTCCCATGAAAAGACGCCGAGGACTCGTCGGTTGACATGTGCATAAGCGAGGCTTCTCTTGACAGGGGCAAGATGAACAAACGTCCATTCCATCATGAGCTGACGGGTGACAAGAGCACAAGGACTGAAAATCATTCGATCAATTTCCGATGCCATCTGTCGATAGATGTCGTCTCTGCACTCGACAGCTTCAGCTCAGGACTCCCGGTTCTCATTGCAGGATCTTCTTCATCTGCCGAATCTCAGCCACATCTGCAATACCTCGTGCCGCAATGAGGGCTGAAGAATGAAAGACCAGGGCATTCGTCTTCAATTTCAGCTGCTCAATGTTTGTTGACCTGACACCTCCACCTGGCATGACAATAACTCGGCCATCTGCTTGTTTCACTAGCTGGGCTAACACATCACAGTTTTCAACGGCACTCGAAACCCCTCCAGAGGCCAGAATGGTACGGATGTTGCAGCCAACAACATCTTCGAGCGCCTGAAACAAGTCTGTGGTTTCGTCAAACGCGCGATGGAATGTGCACGGCAAAGGAGCTGCCAGTTTGACCAGTTCTGAGGTCCTTGCAACGTCGACAGTTCGATCATGCTTGAGAATGCCAAAGACAAAGCCATCTGCGAATGGTTTCAGATTGCTTATGGCCTCTTTCATCTCTTGACACTCCTCGTTCGAATAGACAAAATCACCGCCCCGAGGACGAACCATGACATAGATAGGTATTTTGACCTTGTTGCGCAGAGTGGTCAGCCAGCTTGAGGGCGGCGTGGTCCCTCCAACGTCTGCATTATCACAGAGCTCGATGCGATCGGCTCCGGCTTCGTCTGCTATCACTGCAGAGTCAGGATTGAAACAGGCAATTTCTAGAAGGGCCATGAGCAGATTGATTTCCTCCTGGGAGGTACCATGTACCTCGTACATGACTGTTCGATCAGCCATTGAGAAGGATGGTGTACGAGGTATTGGTCTGGGAAGGTTTCCCGACAGCTTATGACGTTATCCGTACTGAACCTCTCGATGCCGCAGTTCGAGATGCGACCATCTCTACCATGATGATATGCCGGCTTTGGACATTACTCAATCCAAATACTTCACTTTTGTCTCGGTGCTGATATTGGTGCTTGCTTTATTCCCGGGGTTTCCGCAATACCTCCTTGGTCTTCCCTTTCACCTGCTCACCCACTCCTTCGAAACGAAAGGCCCGCTCTCCGTCGCTTTGAACTGTCCTCCAGGCTGCCTTGTGCAAAGCAGTGGTCCCAATATGTCTACAGCGTGGTTCCAGAAAACCTTCACGCTTCCCGCCAAGTCTCGCGGCTCCTATCTCATCACAGACCAGGTTGTGTCGTCTCTACCAGAGATCAAGGAATACAAAGTCGGACTTTTGAACCTATTCGTCCAACACACTTCATGTGCGCTTTCTTTGAACGAGAATTGGGACAGCGATGTAAGAGAAGATATGAGCGACGCACTTGATAGGATTGCCCCAGAAGATAGGAAAGGCAATCTATACAGACACTCGGCGGAAGGTTTGGACGACATGCCTGTAAGTGAATATTCGTGTTACCAAAAGTTACGGCCATACTCAAAGGTCCATTAGGCACATATCAAGTCAGCCCTCATCGGTGCTAGTGTGACGATCCCTATCACGGATGGTGCCTTGAATACTGGTACGTGGCAGGGTATCTGGTATCTGGAGTTTCGAGCGTCGAAGCATTCGAGAAAAGTGGTGGCAACCATCCAAGGCCAGAAAAAATGAACAAGTTACCGCTCCCAGCAGCTTCAAAGTCCAATCCATCATGGTTCACCAATGAAGACCGCCGTGGGTCGTTTCTCGACTCCCGTTGTGCTTCAGCAGGGTGGACTGGGTTACGGTGATACACTCGAGATCTCCCAGTTGACCAGATGCTATGCATCAGTAGCACTACCGAATGTCTGTTTCCGGGCCGTCTGCGCTGGTAATGGCTATCCAACCTTCGTTCAACCCATCGTCCCCTACAACGTAGCGCCAATTGTGAAGGAAGGATCGAGGTATGCTTAGGTAAACAGCCTCCTCATACGAATGAGAACAGCAGTTTCCAGTCCGTGTCGACGCGCACCTGAAAGCCGAAGCTGTGTTTGAGACCATTGGACGAGATGGGCATGTCACCGGCGTACCGCACCTTTTCTTTCGCGGCAATGAGTACGCTACCAAGGTTAGAAGCAAGAAGGGCGTTTCACATGTAGAATACACACTTTCTGAAAGAGATAAGCCCACAAAATATCGCATCTTGTAGAGGAACATGCAAAAACTTTGATCAATTCCCGATGCTCACTGTAAGGTCAGCCTTGCAAGTGAGTTGGTGAGCTAGTGGGTCGGCCAGACATTCCGCCGATCCGATACCAGGCGCGGAATGCGTGAAACATAAACTCTCTAAACTTTTATCTGCGATATTGAATTGGTGTTGAACATCGACCACCCTGTTGCACGATTCAGTGAAGACTACATTGCGCAAACGGAGACGGATCTATATCGCAGCAACTGTCCGTCTCACAGTAGTATTGGCTTGAAGTTGCCACGTCTACTGTGTTGAATGCTGCATGCTGTCTTCTTGACCTCCGTCGGGATTTGCGTCCTACCCATCCCTATTTGATCCCTTGCTAGAGAACCCTCCCTCTTACAGGCTCAAAGACAGATATGGCAGGCTTCAGCACGCCCACTCAAAATGCCCGGACGCCGTCGCAACAGCAGCCGAAGCAAATGTCTTCGCGACTGCTGAACATGAAGGTGAGTCGAGAACGAATCCCCTTTTGAGCCAACTGTCTCTGTGTGAGGGCCGCTGCGCAAACCTGAACCCGGTAACCAAGTCTTTGATTTGCCTGATTCCCTCTAGTTTATGCAAAGAGCCGCTGCGACAACACCCAGCGCAACATCTACTCCGACAACTTCTGCTGCACAGACGCCTGCAACAGAACCACTTGCAAAACGTCGAAGAATTGAAAGTACTACATCCTCCCCGTCATCCTCTACTCCTGGAACGCCATCAAATGGCCTTTCTTATCCTGGACTGTCGACCCCAACTGCGTCGCAAAACACAAATTTGGGCGTTGCTCCAAGAGGAGGAACAAGCAGGTTCGCCCGGTTCGAAGGTGCAGATACAGAGTGGGTGCTGGATGTGAAGGTGGCATTTCCAGGAGACAACCGAATGAAGCCGCTATCTAATAAGGTTGTAAATACCAATGATCAAGGGTCTGTCCCGTCTAGCTCGCGCTTTGGTGTACTCAATGGACGGAGTGAGGAAGAGGAAAGTGAGGAAGGCGAGGAGGAAGAAGACGATATCTGGAATAACGACCGTCCAACCGGCCGACAGACTTTTGGCGCATTCGACAGGAAGCGAAGATCCCGGGCCAGTACCCGCCATGATCAAATCCAGGACGAAGATGATCAGGACCTGAGCTCGGCCTCGACCTCGGACTCTGACTCGGACTCAGAGCCAGACATTCCACATTCGTCCAGCAGATCAAGACCGAGACAAAGCAGAGGTGCCACGAAGCCCACCACAGAAATCGACTCGGACGAGGAGATGAATCGAGTCCGAATGGCCATTGAGCAGAAGCACCGGAGTATGGCAGGCGGTGGACACCTGGCGAGGAATGTCTCCAGTTCTGGCAAATTCCCCTCTCTTCGTCCCGAAGCTGGGGACTGGAAATGCCGCGCGGATGGATGCTCGTTTTACAACTACGCGAACAATGTCTACTGCATGCGTTGCGGCACGCCGCGGGGGGAGTCCGCCAGCGCATCTCCTGCTGGGTCTGCGGGCATTTCCCGCAAGGCGGACAAGGCAGGAAGCAAACGGAAAGGGGGACCGCAAGGTCAGGGGGCGGGAAACAAAAAACACAAGAACAAGAAGGCGAGGAAGACGATGTAACTGAGTTCTCTCTTACCTTGAAAATTCAGGTCAGCGTTACTTCTTTACAAGAGGGGAGCCCTGGCGCATCATCGTCGTCGTCGTCGTCATCGTCATCATCATACCTCCTGAACATTTTGCATAATCTACATGCTACAGGAAACATGCCATCCATTGCATCATCGAGCGAGCGTCCGATTTAGCCTTGTGGGCATGGCGAGGCAGAGATTCGAGCCCGCGACTATGGTCCATACTCGAGGCCGGATATCCCACAACTCAGATACCCAATCAAACGAGTCATTCCATATCCCTTTCTCCCCTTTTTGAGTACAATCCAACAACCATTCAGGCCCCATACACCCTCCACAACCGGCGTTCAGCCTCGTCGGCTCTGCGTTCCACCCTGTCCATTTCGCGCAAGAGATGATCTGCCGCACTATCGTTTCTGTCTCGTCTCCTTGATCGTCTGCGCCTTCGATCCCCGTCGTGATAGTCGTAGTCGTAATCGTAGTCGTAGTCGTGATCATGATCAGACCCGTAATGATTGTCAAAGTCGAAGTCAAAGTCAAACGGAAAATCATAGTACCCGCCCCCGCGGCTATCGTCGTATCCACGCTCCAAAGAATCATGCCGACCATGTCGACCGTGTCTGTCCTCCACCCTCCGTGATCCTGGGAATCCATCAATGACGCCGCCGTGTCGTGGCGGCGGTCTGCCGTTGTAAAAGTCATAGCCAAAGTCGGTCGCGTAGCATGCTATGACCCTGTCACCGTCACGAGGTCGCCTGCCGTGGCGGTGGCCGTGGCGACGAATAGCATTGCGGCTGCCGCTTCGGCGACGACGACGATCCCTGCTCCTAGACAGAGAGGGTCCTCTCCCCCTTCCACATCCATAGCTGCCATTACAATATAGACACACGACCTCGACCTCGCCGTGGCGACAATAATCCAGCCTCCTGGGCCCTCCGGGCCGTGCGATGTCGTAGTAATCCCAGCGGTCGTAGTCTTGGTCGTAAAAGGGGCCTTCGATGTTCATGCACGTGCGACGACCCGAATCGTGTGGGTGGCCGCGGCGGTCGTTGTCGCTATCTCGATCTCGATCTCGATCTCGTGGGGGACGCACGCCGGAGAAGACGGCTGAGAGGGCGCGTAGTTCAGGATCACTTTTCGTCCGTTTTGCAAATGACATGTGTTAGTTAACAAATATCAGAATGGGAACAGCGTGTTGTGCTCTCTCTTTCTCTCTTTTTCCCCTCTCCCCTCTGGACAATAGGCTAGCTCGATGGACTTGTGTGTGCCAGGATGGTGTTGGTAGAGGTAGAGGCAGAGGTAGGGTGTTAGTGTTGTGCGTTATGATGACTTACTCTCCTCTCCGCCTGCGCCGCCGCCGGCCACGATCGCTGGTGGTGCTGGTCGAGCCTGAGAAGAGTCTTACCGAGTATCCCTTTGGAATTGGGGGGTTTTCTTTTAGCTGTCATTACCTTGATCATCATCGTAGCCTCTTCCGTAGCCGCCGTCTGGATCGTACCAGTGCAGATTACTGTCCGGGTCAATCCACGGGATGGGCGATCTCCTCGACGGCATCCTCGCCAGCAAACAAGTCCCTCCCGAAAACTGTTGACGATCGGATGGGGCAAGGTGCCTGTCTGAATTTGTGGAAGTCGAATATCCAGGTGCTGGAACTTCGAAGAGGAGATGCAGCAGATGGGCTTCTCTCGTTCAGCTCTGGCGATCGCCTCATCGCTGGGGGAGACAAGGTTGATATCTGCTTTCCCACGTCGAATATAGTCATCACACGGTCTCCCCGGCTGGACCACGGGGACAGACTGTCCTGCATGTGGAGAGCGCCAGCGGTGCTATTCATTGAAGGTAGAATCAATTTCGTTGGTGCACTTCGTGCCTTGCCTCGCCAGGGAGTGACAGGCGCATCATAGTTTCTGATCAGCCTCACCGGGAATGGCATCCTGTATAGACTTAGTTCATTTCTGGCACATGGGTCGCCTTGTGTAGCGTGTAAGGTTCTACAAGCACGTCGATGAGGCAGAAGTTCGGACGTGATATCAGTTCGCGTACACCCATTCGCAGAGTCGCAGCCAGCTTCTTCAGTCAGGAATGAGAGATGTACCATTCAGAACAACCGAGTCTCAGTCGGCAGCTTACACCTACCTACCAGGTTGGGCTGCACTGCCAGACTTTCGCGTTGAAGCCTCACAAAGAAGGCTAAGGATATGGTGTGATTGTCGTCAGCTCCCAAGAGCAGTATGACAAGACTCTGGCATCGTGCCTCATTCTGTTGTGTGGAACAACCAAAACGCCACCGCCTTCCGTACTCGCCTGGAAAGGCGCAGTCAAACCAGAGTCAGCGAATTGATCCGGCTCTTACCTGTGAAGTCATGAGAGGATATTGTGGCACAAACTGGGACAAAAGCATTGACACGGCGGTGCGAATCCGTGGCCGTGGAACACTAGCGAGACGCTCACATCACTAGCTATCTGCGCAGGAACAAAGTAAGTTTCCGAATGGAAGACGACGAAGCTGAGGCCGCGGGGAGATTCGCGTGAGGCGTCTTGTAAGATAGGGAGAGCCCGTCAGGTCTGTCGTGAAGCAAACAACATTTGTGTCACGTATGGTGCAGTGGTGCAGCGTAGAGCCGTTGAGCCCCGAGTCGACAGAGACCACATTCTTCGGGGACTTAGTAGGGGCGAGACATGCTGTAGATGCTAGTTGCCCAAGGACTGTATTGGCTCTAGACGGCGATGGAGAGCGAGCAAGCAAAAGGAGCAGGGCAAGGAAAGACTGGTCGACACCTGCGGCGTCTCCGCACGATGGCAGCCTTTGATGGAGTTCCAGAGGTAATACAATACGTAGTACGAACTTATGCGCAAGTCCACCAGGAAATTGGCCATGCGTGAGACAGTTGCGCTGGAGAAAGGACCTGATCCCAGTCTGGAAAGCAGATCGGCAGTCGGACAGGAAAACAAGACGCCTATAATGAATCAGAAAGTTTGATAGGCAATGAGGGAATAGACAAGTCAGAGGGAAGAAAAGAATTCTCTTTCTGTTGAGTAGGTCATCCAATTCAAGGCAAAAGCCAGAAAGAAGCTCGACATCGCGCGAACCTCAGGAACCAGTATTGTAAAACAAACACGCGTAAAATGATTCAATAACAACCTCCTGTCAACCGTGCTGTCCCTTGTTGTTTCTCTCATACACTCATTCTTATCGCCCTTCCGCATGACACCGCCACAATTCGGTTCATTACACGATGACCCTAAACGCCGTGAGCAGGGGTTGCGACGAGATATTCGGTCTGTTGATGCCTGTCCCCACCCAGTCCTCTATGCATCGGCCTTGCTCTTCTTCTTTTGCTCGACCTTCAAGAGAAGCGCTCTGTTGATGTGAGGGAGGACACCACCGAATGCGATGGTTGCTCTGATCAGTGTGTCCAGCTCTTCGTCACCTCGGATGGCGAGCTGCAGGTGGCGGGGGGTAATGCGCTTGACTTTGAGATCCTTGGCTGCGTTTCCTGCGAGCTCGAGGACTTCAGCAGTCAAATACTCGAGGACGGCGGTGACATAGACGGCGGCTGGATGAGAAGATGATTAGCGTCTGCAATTGATTGTTTTGGTGGGGGGAAAACAACTGGGATCATACCTTTAGCCCCAACTCTCATCTTGTTCTGTGTGTTGTTTTTGAGGAAACGCTTGACGCGACCACATGGGAACTAGGGGCAAAACGCGTCAGTTTTGGTCTAATCAACAAATTTGATGCACAGAGGGAATGCGCTCAAGCCTGAGATGAAGGCAGAGGATGTATTCCGACCACTGCCGGGCGAGATGACAGCTTTTGCATCGCGTAGCTATCATCCACACCCATCGATCTCAAGCCTTTGTCGCAAGGGAGTGTAGTAATGCGCGATTCCAATTCTCCTCTCAACTTGTCGCGAAAAGTGTGAGCTCACCTGAAGACCAGCTTTTGCGCTGTGTGACTTCTGAGTCTTTGTCGTGGAATCCTTCGCACCTGTCGCCTTGCCGCCAATGCTCTTGCCCTTGCCTCCTGCCATTGTAAGAGATGTGAATGAGGATACGTCTGAGTTGTTTGTGGTGATGCGACAAGTGTATTGAGGACGGCGATCGATAACAGTCGTTGTAGACGCGTCGGATTGTTGATATCAAGGATGGAGGGTATGGAAGAGGGTCAAGTGGTGGAGGATAAGTGGGTGGCAGGCAAGGCGAGGGAAAATAAGGTCGAAGATGCAAGAGACCAAGCATGATTGGCCCTAAGCCGCTTTTGGTGGAGCACGCGGGGCTTGGCATAATTAGGAAACTCCCGCCACTTGTCGCAGCACTGTGTCTCGAAGGCAGCCTGCCCAGGATGGGACCGGGAGGAGAGCAATGGCTCCATTGGTGTTCGAGGAGGATGCTGTAGTAAGAGTTAATCGATCACTTACATACCAGCAGATGGCAAAAGGCCCTTTGGAGGGGACATATTGCCCAAACACAGTAGAAAAGAGCCAAGCAGACAGCTTGTTGTGGACGGCTGCGGTGAGCGATTTATTTCCCCTTTTTGGCTCCATGCTTTGAAGGGGTTTTTTGGATGCAGGCGACAGCACAGAGGTGATCCTCTACAGCCGCCATTGGCAACATGAAGCTTCTGCCCGCATCCTTGACAGTAGCAAGTCTCTCGACAAGCTGCGAGGTGTGTAGAGAAGAACGATGAAGTGGTTGAGGGGCGCACGGGGAGACCTTTGGCTTGGCACTCATTAGATAATCATTGCCTCTTGTTGTTCCGATTGGGTTTCTGTGCTTGAGCAACCAGCTCTGGGAGACACGGACTGGCAAGGCTTAGAATTCTAATCAAACAATCATTTGGTATTACTTCCACTCCTTCGGGATGGTCTCCCGACTGATTAAACGAGTGTATCCCATACGTAAATCCATCTCCCGCACAATCAAAAAACGCAAATCATGACGAGGCTCGCTCCGCGTCGTCCCATACCACATCGACCGCTTCATAGTCGACTCACCCGGTATGAGCTCCTTGTCGAGCGCTCTGGCGCTCAACGCCCGTAATGCACTGCTCTCTCGCGGAAATTCAAGTCAACAAAGTGTACAACCCAGGGTCAATCATTCTTTCTCAGGGACCTCGTAACAAAATGCTTTATGCCGCACCCGTAGAGTCCTGTGTCATTTCGTTACAACAATCTTTTTCTGTAGTCCAATCATGCAGTCATGTAGGCTGCCCTATGCGTCTAACTTTTTGCTGTTTCCTGGTAGGAGGTGGTCATGTCGTTCGTGGATCATTGACTCGTCATTGCTCAGCAGAGAGCGTCATCAAAGTAGGGGGGGTATATGCTATGTCTCTTCATTCGGCAATTGCTGATGCGGCCGTACGCAATTCATCACTGCCACGTCCGTTCTGTCGGCGGAAGCCGATGGCGCTGGTTGAACTCGGTCCGCGCGACTGACGCAGGGGGTTGGTGTTCTGGGAGGTCGTCTCCGGCCCTATGCTAACGGTTCGCTTGCTGCCGATGGGACCGGTGGGTTGGTAGTTTTGGCCGTCAGTCCATTCGGATCCGTTCCCGAAAAAACTGCGTTGACGGCGAGGGCTGGTCTGGCTGCCACCATTATTAGTCATGGAAAGGTTGGAAAAGCTAGAGATGAGGAAAGGCTCATCACGGCTGACGCCTGAGTTAGAGGCTGTCGGAGTCAAGGTGGGCGTGTTGGACCCAGCTGTATCGTTCAACGCTTGCAGACGTGCTCCGTTGGTCTGCAATGCTGCGGGGAAGCTTGCGGACGACGGCACGGGCGACGGGCTCCATGATCGCAGGTCAGCAAAAGATTTGGCGTTGCGGAGGTTGCTATCAGCGTTTCTGCCGTAGGCGCTGGAATCCATGACATCCAGCAGTCCGACCGAGGACTGGCCGCGAAGAGTGTTGAAAGAAGGACCGTCATATTGTCTGCCGTCATTGAAGTCTGCCGTAGAAGATCTGGCGAGAGTCTGGCGCATACCATCGTTGGTTGGAAATCCACCTGCGAGAGTCGGTGGGCTCACATTCGTGCCAGGCGCCGGTCGGTGGATGTGAACTTGTCGCTGATCTCCAGTGCCGCGGGATGTGTGCATTAAGCCCATGTGGTGGGCTAAGGTGTGAACAATGCGACGATGGTGTGGTTCTAGTGTTGGGGGGAATATGAGGACTTCACGAGTCGGGTCTCGTCTAAACAGCGTCATCTCGGTGTAGAACTCGAGAGTCTTGGGGTCATTCATGTCGACATCTTAAATTTTGGTTAGCCTATTTTGAGAATACTGGGGAGAAAGAGTCCACTTACCAGGCATTGTGCTGCGATGGGAAAGGGGAGATGGGGTGTTTCGAGAAATCGACGACAGCGAGACCTGGTTGTGAAGCTGTGATTGTGCCATGGGGCGGTGTTGTTCCTCCAACTGGCCACGCCGCTCGCGCTTTTCTCTTTCTATGCGCTCTCGTTCAGCGAGAGGCAGCATTTTCTTATACTCCACTCGCAACTTGCGCCCGCTCAAGTCCATATGGTTCAGAGCTTGAATGACTTGTTCGGTTTCTTGAGGAGAAGTGAAATTGGCAAAGGCCAGACCCCGGAAGACCCCATTGTCAAAGTGATAGTTGAATGCATATGGTAGAGGCAGATTCATATCAACCATCAATTGGACAAGCTGTTCCTTTTTCACAGCGAAGGGTATGTTCTTAATCACGATTGCTGTGGGGATCAATTCGTCGTCATCTTCCTGCTGGTCATTGCGGCCTTGAGGACCCGACCGGTGTCCCACAATTGCAGGGTGTTGTTGCTGCAATTGTCCTGGCTGATCATACCAGATCTGAGTCTGGTCAGTCAGCAGGCATACACTGCGCATGTTATAGGAAACTCACGTTCGAAATTCCCACACGGCCTCGGCTGGGCTTGACACTTCGCGATGGCCCGTAGTTTGCATTTTGGGGAATATTGCCCATGCCATTTCCAAAGGACTGCAAAGATGCCCCTCCCGAACTCCATGTTTGAGCAGCGCTTGCATCGTAGGGAAAATTGATGTTTCCCACCCCAGGATTCTGCATCGGTGCTCCAAAGCTATCGCGCATACCGTCAAAACGCATATTGGGCAGAGCGCTATCAGCCCCAAACATGGGAGCACTCATGCCTCCATAAGGGTCAGCCCTACCACCCTGGCGGTTCAATTGCGCATTTCGATATGCTCTCGGGGATGTGCCTGAGACATCGTCATAAAACGCGTCAGAGGCGTTAGAAAAGGCTGCCATCTTCATGGAAGGCCCTGGAGTTCAATAAAAGGCTCTTAATGTTACCAGCTGGGTGTCGAACTAAAATCCACCTCTTTCCTTGACGTCTAATAAATGTGCCGTGGGGAGGTTTGGGGATATGACAATGCCCCAATCAGTGATCGGAGAGGATGGAAGATGCGCGATGGAAAAGTCGATAGTCGTTTCGAGGTTATGGGACGTGTAACAGGAACACGAGTAGAGTTGAGGTGGTATGGCGATTGAAGGAGGGACAAGTCGCAATATTAGAGTGTCGGTAGAATCAGACGTCGTGAAAGCGTAAGATACCCAAGGACCGAATTAACGCGATCCGCTGCTTGTATGAAATGCAGGTCGCAGAAAAACTCGAGCCTGGTTGGGAGCGAGTCGAGTCAAGTTCCCGTAGTAGGGTTGAACTTGAGTACAAGGACAGGGACAGGGGCGTCTAACTCGAGCCACGAGGCATGATAGGGATGGACAATCGTTGAACCAGCGTATACGAGAGCGCCGACGGGCAAAGATGAGTTATTCACGTAGCAAACAGCTGAATGTTGCTGAGATGAAAGGGAGAGTGTCAAATTAAAAAAAAGAGACGGGGAAGATTTCGTCCAAGATGTTGTTTTGAGACAAAGAAATTAGGAGAAGAATTTTGGCTGCAAAAGACGGCGGCTCACTAAAGTTAGACAGTTAGCACGGGAGAGCAGATGAATGCCAGTAGGCGAGCGGCCAGCAGCCAGCGGCCATGGTCGGTGGGTGGTCCCCTCCCCTTCACCCCCTGGGGGTGGCTGCTCCCTAAGAGTGGCCAACCAGAGGATTGCCCACCGCTAGGTATAAATCCTCAGATTTCGCGGTGATTAAACTGCGTCGACAGCCCCGGAAGCCAGTTGGAGCTGGGAGGGTCGGTGGCACCTTAAGCGGCCCTACTAGGCCTGATTAGCCGTGGCCCAGCTCAAATGGTAAGCTAGTAGAAATGATGGATAGCCACGATCTCCCGTTCCACCACTCAATCCTTCTGACCACCAAGTCTTCCATCCTTCAGTCTCACTCTATTGACACTTTGGGGATGCCATTGCAGACTCCGGCTCAAGAGATCAACATAACGGTGAATCTGGGACTAGACAGGTTCGTGGGTCTTAGAGCAACGAAAGCAGTCGGGTCATGGAAGATGGAGTGTCCCCTCGACCCTCTACGTACTGCCCACTGTCCACCCAACAGCAATCAAACTCCTCCACCATCTTACGACTTCCTCCTCCAACCCCTGCTTGTTCTTATCCTGACATCTTCCCAGAAATGAGCCTAGGCAGACCGTTGACGCCCTCCTTTCCGGACTGCTTCGCCACTATGAAATCTCGGTTTCATATCCTTCCATCCACTTGCCTGATGCCGACTCCCCTAGTCTTGTCGTCGGAGCCTTGCGTCGAAGCAGACTCCCCCTGAGACCCATGCCCTCATTGGCGTTCCGCCGCGTGCCCCTTTTACTTCTCCGTTTGGCTTTTCCTTTGAACCTGGTTTTCATGGGGGTCCCATCCTTCTGAGCAACACGATTAGGCAGCAGGTCTGATGTGCAAGCTTTTCCTGTTGCCTCGACCCAGTGTTTTGCCTCACTTTGCGAGCCACCAGCTCTACCCATCCGTGGGCGGAAGTCCGGCCCCGTTGTAGTCAGTAGCGGATCGCTGGGCACGAATCATTATCCTGTCCATCAAGAGTTGCTGGGTTTCTGGAGGAGCGTATTGGCTGGCGTTTCGAGTGGGTGTGGTAGGCCTGTGCTGGCCAGGGAGGCAGGACTTGTTCGAAAATACGAGTTACATGGCGCAGGAAGAGCCCAAAGATTTGCGTGAAAAATTAGGAGTGGCAAGACTTAACACAACTGGTGAAGAAGAATCTGATGACTTGACAGCTGCCACATTCAGGTCAGCACTCGACAGCATAATGGAACAGTTAGTTAGGCTGAAGGCTCGAGATGACCTGGCGTCCTGCAACAGGTAATCCACCGAGCCAACCAGAAGAGATCTGCAACGCTTGGTGGTTCGGGGTGCAACTCGAAGAGAACTCAAGATTTGCGTTACCATCATCCCAACGAAGACATGAAACCTCCGACATCGGTATTAGTAAGTCCTTGGAATCATTGATCTGTTGGCCACAGCAAGAATGAAGAACTGAAGGTCTGATGCTGAGAGATGTTTGTGAATACGAGTTCTCTCGTAATATGTAAGGCCGGATGGCTCGGTTTAGCAAAGTCTGGGGTTTCAGAGCCCGAGGCCGAGGGGGGAAGGAACAATCCTGCCAATGATTTGCTGCAGCATGATGTAAACTGCTTCATTCGTCGGATCTTCAGCAAATGATTTCATGCTCAACTAACGCAACAGTACACAACCTTTGGATCCATCCTTCTGGGTCAGGGGACAACTGAATACTCTGACATCCTCTGACATCTTCTGACAGACCATTGGATGTCCAAATCGCGTATAACTCCGAAACATTGACGACCAAGTAGCGTGCAGTTACGTTTCCCTATCCAGCTTGATGTCCACCTCGATGCCGAACCGGGTAATATGACGACCTCCGCAATCTTCGAGAAGCTGGCGTTACATGCTCCTCATCTGTCAGGCCGACATGTGATCCCTGCCTTGCCCGCCTTCATTTACGGAACGGCATGGAAAAAGGAGGCCACCGCTGACCTCGTCTACCAGGCCCTCTGCAACGGTTTCACAGCCATTGACACGGCGGCTCAACCCAAGCATTACCGAGAAGATCTGGTCGCCGCTGGCATATCTAGAGCAATCAAAGATGGCACGATCAACCGATCTGAGGTCTACATCCAAACCAAGTTCACCAGCGTGGGAGGTCAAGACCTAGACAATATGCCATATGACCCCCAAAGTCCGCTCAGAGAGCAAGTGAATGCGTCGGTCATCTCGTCCCTCAAGAACTTCAACTTTGCGGATGTGGTCAAGGGTGACGAAGTGACACAGCCCTACATCGACACGCTCGTTCTACACTCACCTTTACCGACCATCAATGAGACTATGGAAGTCTGGCACACGTTAGAGCAGTATGTGCCCAACGAGATCCGGAACCTGGGTGTTTCCAACTGCAACCTGTTTACTTTGATGGACATCTACGAGCGCGCCCACATCAAGCCGAGCGTGGTCCAGAATCGATTTTATCCAAATACCAAGTTTGACATTGGAGTTCGTCAATTCTGTAGGGAGCAGAATATCGTCTATCAGAGCTTCTGGACTCTGTCGGCCAACCCTAACCTCGTCTGGTCCAGTGAAGCGGGTGCATTGGCCAACCAGCTTGGCATCAGTCCCCAGTCTGCATTGTACTGTTTGGTGCTCGGGTTGGGGAATGTGACTGTCCTCAACGGGACAAAGAGTGATCAGCATATGCAGGAGGATTGGCGAGCTGTCAAGATGGTGAAGAATTTTGCCCAAGCTCACCCCGAAGGATGGGAAAAGACAATGGCGGGCTTCCGAAAGCTCATCGGACAGCCCAAGGCTTAGATATGAGAGTACCTGATAGAGACGATGGTGGATTGAATCGCGATAGCCCCCAGCAGCTGACATATTGAGACAGTACTCAGCTTGGTTAGCATGGAGGAGAGTTTCCCCTCCTGATCCGCAAGGCTGGACTGAATGGACGGGAACCATGCTGTGGAGCAAAATGAAGCAGCCGCCTGGTTGGTTGGCGCCGGCTGGCGCAGTTGGCGCAGTTAGCACACAGTGCCTTCCTCGTGAGTACGAGTATGTCATAGGCTCCCGCAGTGGCAGTTTCTCCCCTGTACCTACCTAAGCACCTAAGGAAACTGGCATCCCAAGACTGCGGACTGAAAAGTAAACTCCTCCAGGACCATCAGATCCGGGACTTTCCCAATCCCATACCGTTGAAAATGCTCGAACTTAATCACACCACTTGCCCATCGTCGATGATATAAAGGCATATTGGATGCTCTTTAGGGGTATTCTGCTTGACACAATTGACATCGGTTTCTGTTTGTCATCTGGTTGGCTGTTCATAATTTGTCCGCGATCTTGAACAATACCGCAGTTGAACATCTCAGCCCACTTGCCCGCCCGAACTTTGTGCCTGCGCGCACCCGACATACACATCATTTTCCTCGCAGCAAGTCCTGACTATCTGCGGCGCGACCTTTTCTCTGATAGTGTGATCCTGGCGATTTTCACTTGGCCGGGTTCTCGGCGACGTCGAGCCTCACCCTGTCGATAATTTCAAATCTCCCACACGTCCAAAACATCCCACCTTTCACACGCCTGAATTCTTCTCCTTCGGCCTCACGACCTCTCCTCCCCTCCTCTCCTCTCCTACCGGTAGCAATGGCCTCGCAAGGCTTCTCCAGAAAACGCCCTGCTCCGGGCGCCGATCCAGTCCCGTATCCTGCTCAGATGCAGAATGCCGCGCCCACGTACAACGATGGCCTTGGGCCGCAACTCTCCAATGACCAGTTCCTTCAGTGGGGTCAAACTGGTCAACCTGTTTCTGGTCCCTCATACAATGAAACCAGCTTTGGATTGAACGCAAACACCTACCCTGCGGGCAATCCTCAACCTGTTCCTCAACCTTCGAATCAAATCGCCCGACGGCCTATGGCCCAACTTGCTTCACGGGTACCCCGACCGAGCGAAGACGGGAATAGCTGGACAGAGCATCCAAATGGAGGCTCACATCCCACAAACCCGGAATGGGAAGATGACATAGCAGAGTTGGAGGCAAGAGCACAGATCGCAAAGAGAGAAGCTCAAGCAAAGAGGAAACAGATACCTCCATTTGTTCAGAAGCTTAACAGGTGAGAGAGAGAGTAGACCTTGAGGGAAAAAGTGCAAGAATTGGTGCTAACGAGTGCACAGCTTTTTAGAGGACGGCAGAAACACCGACCTTATCCGTTGGTCAGATGATGGAAACTCATTCATTGTCCTGGATGAGGATGAGTTCGCAAAGACACTGATCCCGGAGCTGTTCAAACACAATAACTATGCTTCTTTCGTGCGTCAACTCAACATGTACGGCTTTCACAAGAAAGTCGGCCTTTCCGACAATTCCATGAGAGCCAGTGAACGTAAAAACAAGAGTCCAAGTGAATACTCCAACCCCTACTTCCGGCGCGGTCATCCAGACTTGCTCTGGTTGATACAGAAGCCGAAAAACATCGGCGGACCTGCCTCGAAAAGAAAAGGCAAACCGGACAACGATCAGAACGAGGAGGACGCCGACGACTTCGTGGATGAGACGAATCCCGTTGATACCCGAGTACGTGCCCGACCGGGCCAGCTCACACTGGGAAGCAGTGAGATGGCTCTGACCCAGGATCAATTCAAGAGCGTACAGCGTGAACTGGCAGCCATCAGACATCAGCAGACGCAAATCTCTCGTATGATGCAACAACTCAAGCGCGAGCATGAACAGTTGTACGGGCAAGCGGCGACCTTCCAAGACCAGCACAATCGACATGAGAACTCGATCAATGCTATCCTGACGTTCCTCGCCACAGTCTATAACCGCAGCCTACAAAGCCACGAGAGCGTACAAGGTATTGCCAACCTTTTCCAAAATGCGATTCCCGTCGACACATCAACTCAGGGTAATGTAGTTGATGTCGGCGACTACAGCTTCAATGACATCAACCTCGATGGTAGCCCTGCGAAGCCGTTCAAGAAACAGCCTCTGCTACTGACTAACGGAAGCGGGCAACCACAAGCGCCACAGCAGCCACACGGTCGAGCGAGCACGTTATCACCTCGGTCTGGCAACAGTCCTTATCTTACCCCTAAGACAACAGGTCACCGCAGCGGACAGTCCCAATCTCTGCTCTCACCGAAACTTGAAGAGGTTTTTGATCCTGGGGTCCATAACCCTAATAGTGCCAACGTCTCCTCTGTCAATCAGGCACGCAACGATCTGCCGTCCCGGGACATGATGACAATGATACAAAACGCCAATGCGAGGAACAATCACTCTGCAAATTCCCCGACCACACCGGCGCAAGACTTCTCCAATGTCCTCAGCAATCTTGAAGCGTCATCCGGTACAGGACCGCTGTCCACGGCCCAGCGTGCTGACGTCCTCCGTATGATCAACAACTCCGCTAACCAACCCGCGGGCAATGACAATGCACTCATAAACGCCACGCCACCGCCCGGACCTCCGAACTTCCATCGCCGGCTCGCCAGCACCCAAGCAGACTTGGAACAACTCGCCAAGTTACAAGCGGAGCAGGATAAATCTGTTCAAAACCTCACCAACTTGTTGCAGCCGCTATCTCCGACCGGTTCAATCCCCGGAATTGGTGACGGCCAGTCTTTTCCACCTCCGCCTCTGGACATTGACGACTTTTTGACTCACAACGAGTACTTTGGCGATTTTCCTAGCGACGGGAACGGCAACTACGACTTCGGCAACACAGGACTGGGTGGAGATCAATTAGGGACGGCCGACCACATGAACTTCGCTTACAAAGATGACGACGAGTTGTTTGGAAACCTGAACAATGACAACACAGCTGGGTTCGGTGGATTTGATGGGACCAATGCGGGTGCGGGTATGGGGGTTGGTGTGGGTACCGGTATGGGGGCAGATCAGTACGGCGGAAATACGGGGAATCTCAAATTTGACCAGGCGGCCCAGTACACTGAGCATGATGGTGGGGGACGGGTTGAGAGCGTGCCGAGTAGCGAAGTCACTACTCCCAAGTCAGACAAGTCTGGTGCCAGCCGAACGGCGACCAAAGGCAGGAAGCTGAGCGAGGTTGAAGAAGAAGGCGTCGGGAGGAAGAGAGTGAGGGCCTGAGAGCCTCGGGCAGTGGGACATCACACTACGATACGACTGTGAGACTGAGGACGACACTGCGAAAGGGGGTTATTTTTCCGCGGAAGAGAACCTTGGCGGAAGAAAACAAAACAAGGAATCACACAGGAGAGAAACAACCCAGATCGCTCACAGCAATTGATGGATGGATCACCTTTTGAAGAGATCAGCCTCCATTTCCGCCTTGATCGGAGGCTATTGCAATGTGTACGGGTTTTCAGGACATTCGGAATTTCCAGAACAGGGTGGGTGGAACTTGTTATTGAACATCATGACACAATGGGAACAACTATGGCAGCAGCACAGACAGGAACAGTGAATGATGCTGTGTGACGAAACAAGACGAAACGAACAAAATCCGGTATGGAGTGTGTTTTTATTATCTGTTTTGGGGAGAACCGAACCTTCCCAGAAAAGGAAATGAGACATCAAGGCATAGATACCCAAGATACCCCTGTTTTTCTCCTCAATACCACGATTGGAACCATGTTTCCAACCAACCATCTCGATGGGCGGAGCGGCAGAGGCACAGGCACAGGAATGGGCACAGAAAGCGGAGCGGAGGTCTCTTCTCTCAAGGAAGAGCAAGATAGCGAATGCACAAAGGGTTTCTGATATTTGCTACCTGCCCGGTGCCCAAGGTGCCCAATCTCTTCATGCGAAGTGTATGGAATCTCAGATTGATTTCAAAACACGTCAAAAAGAAAAACAAGAGCAAAAAGATTGAAATGAACATGGATTGTGTATGCGTTGGAAGATATGCAAGTGCAATTGCAAATTCAAATTAATCAGGTTATGAACTTTTTTTTACTTTGCTTTTGCCATGTCCATTGCTGCTCTTGTTTGGTTTTTCACTGTCATTTTGGCTTGATCTTGGACTTTCTCCGATGTTGCGTATAGATACTATCACGGTGTGATCATAGTCATGGGGTGTGTGGGTGTTGGTTGTCTTCGGTTCCCGGTGCTCGGCCCTGACTGGAATACGATATCACCCACCTGGTGAACCTTGTGAGCAGGGCATGAAAGGGGGCACAAGGGATAAGGAAGATGAACTTGTGGAGGAGAATGAATGGGGTCGAGGATAGTAAATGGGGATGGCGATCGATGGTGGCGACAGTGTCATCTACACATACACAGGCAGTCAGGCAGGTAGGTATGAATTATGAATTTTGGTAGTATTTATGTGCCTCCCTCCCTCTCCCCTCTGTCTATATATATATATTTTCTATCCTTTGCGGATTACTCCCTCTTCTTCACCCTGGGAAAACTCAACCACAGGCCCAACAGCACGACGAGCAGGGCGAGAATGATGGGCTGGAGGACCTTGACGCCCTTGGACGCGGCGATGGCGCCGATGGCGAAGGGGAAGACGGTGCCGCCGGTGCCGCCGAGCGCCATGGCGAAGCCGATGCTGCTGACGTGGATGTGTCGCGGGAGCAGTTTCGCCGCCATCATGACGCAGCCGGGAAACATGGGGCCGAGGAAGAATCCGAGAAAGGCCACGGCCACGGCGGACACGAGGAACGTCGGCACAAGCCAGAAGATCAGCTGCAGCGCGAGGCACAGCGCCAGATAGATGGAGATGCAGACGCGTTCGCCGAATCGTTCGGTCACGAACCCCAAGCTCGCTCGGCCCAGCGCCATCCCCGCCCAGAAGCCCGTGCCGGAGTAGCCGGACGCGGAGGGCGAGGCCGACCGGACGCGTAGCATGAAGGTCACGATCCAGCCGCCGAGTCCGACTATGGTTCATTGGCTCCCCGCGAAAGGCGGAGGGCCATGGTCAGTTTCGATTCTCACTTGAGGGTTTCGCTGGGGGAAAAGAAAAGGAAAGGGGTTGGACGGATGGAGGAGATGGGATGGAATGGGATGGGATTGTTTTTGGACCGGATTGGGTATGGAAAGAGAAATGTATCGTGGGCTAGACACTCACCTTCAATGCCCATGTACGTGAAAAAGAAGGCAGAGCAGATCCAAGTGATTTTCGACTTGAGCGCCTCCTTGGTGCGGCCGCCCGTCGCCTCGGTGTCCCGTGGATGCTCGATTCGATACACCTCGCCCGTCTTGTGCCAGAACACGGTGCTGAGACCGATGAATTCTAGGGCCGACATGCCAGTCTGTCGACGCCATTCCACCAGGGCGGTTAGCGATTTCTGGTCCGTATGTTTCCCCGAAGAAATGTGCGTGGTGTACATGGCCAGGATGGTGGTCACTACTCACCATAAAGTAATAAAACGTGTACCACGGCAGCTTCGCATGGACGACCATGGACGTGGCAATCAGCGGGGCGATCAGCGCGCCGACCGAGTAGAAACTGTGCAGGCAACCCTGGACGGCGTTAGCCTTGTCCATGGCGCCGATCCAGGCGCAGAAACAGGCGTCGGTGAGGCCGTTGCCGAAGCCGGAGACGGTGTTGATCACGACGAGGACGGGGAACGGCGGGTGGGCGGACAACACGGCGTAGGTGATGATATGGCACAGGGGAGCGAGGATGGCGATCCCTCGCTGGCCCAGTTTCGTGTGGATGGCGGCATTGGTGAATGCGGCGAGGGAGTAGCCTGCGAAGGGGGTGAGGAAGATTAGAGAGACAGTCGTGTAGTTCAGGTGATAGTACGTCTCGAGCTGTGTTGGCTTGTGAGATTGTAGTCAGACACAACAAGGGAAGGGGAACAGAGGACGCACGTATGGTATCAGTGCCTGTAAGGAAAGATGCGTGTTAGCATATCTCGATCCAACTCAATCAAGGGGTGGGAGAGGTTCAGAAGCATCCGTACTCCGACAGCACCGTCGTTGAGACCCGTGACAATGAAGGAGAAAAAGGCGAATCCCAGACGACCGATATTTCCCCTGGGCATATTCCACCGCTGAATGGCCGGGGGCGCATTGACTGGAGGAGGCACTCCATTGTGAACACCGGTCCCTTCTTCGTCCAACGACGACGACGACGTTTGGGCGCCTCCAGCTGTTGGCAATGTGGCCTTGCCGCCCTGGACGACTCGACGGGTGAGTTCTCGCAACGACTTTGTCGGTGTTTTGAGGCTCAGTTCGAATGTCTCGGGTGATGTTGACGGACCGTCGTGGCGATGACGATGATGAGGTCGATAAGCCTCATCGGCGGGCGCAATGGTCATTGTCTGTGATTTGGACATTGTTGTCGATGGTCTGGGTTTTGAGATCAGAGGCCGTGGATGGATAATGCTGTGTCTGCTTCGGCGGTGAGGGGTGACTGGGTGATTGATTTTTGATGTTCAAAGATATTCGTTCAGAGCTGCCATAAATGTAGAGGCGTCGTCACATCCATCTCTCCTCGAATCATCGAGACTCTTTCCACAAGATCCAGCGTCAAAATGATATGGTACAAGAGGGTGAGTCAAGGAGTAGATGAAGCACCAAGTAATTACTGGTAAGTAATATGTTCCTTGATGTGTGTCTAAGTCTCCACTACCCAGTTCGTCAATGATCCAGTCGGCAGCTTCGCAGATGTTGATGGTTAATAAAACAGAGTCATTCAGGCGAGTTTATTAATAATAGAAAGACTCGCCAAAGTCCGATGCGGATTTCTTACCCTCGATGCTTCCTTTTGCATACATATTGTCTAGCTCTACGATATACAAAACAATAAACAAGTTCATTCCCATCTGATGGATTGTTGGATGAGGTTGACTGGCCTGACTGGCCACTTTGACGCCTGTCCTCTAGATCCGGCCCCCATCAACCCTGGTCCTCAGGGTGCCCTAATATCGCTACATGAACCGCTGGTTAGGTGCTGCGGGTGCCTGCGCTCATCCTGGTCAAGACCTCAAACGACAGAGTGAGGCGCAGCTCCAGCCTGGCCACAGCCTTTAATGGCAATCGACAGCCTGAGTTGAACAACTTCAAACCCTTTCTTCTCTTTTCTGAGTGCTTGCTAGAAATCGATCGACATGATGAATAACATGAGTGTATTGGCAAACTTCAATTCCGGCCACGGGCTGGGGAGCTTGACCCAGTATGCGTGCATCGGGGCAAATATCATGTTTCTGTCGAGTGCCATCATCACTTCCTTCGCCTCGATGCTGGGAGATCCCTTCAATCACTTCAATTCCCAGCCATATTGGATGTTTACGAGCTTTTGTTCCTTTGCAGTGGTGAGTGGCTCCGACAAGATTCCGACTGAGGAAGATATCCGTTCTCCAGGGGACAATACCGATATTCTAACTGTCCATTCCCAGGCAAGCGCTAATATCAGCGTCGCCGGAACCATCTCGTCACGCTTTCGCAATGTCGCCGACAGCGTGCCTGAGCCGGGCTTTGAAGACAAGCGCGTCCAAACCCTGAAAACGGCATTCTACCTCAGTACAACCCTGTGTACAGTCTTTGCCGTTGCCACAGCCTTACTGGCCGTGATATGGGGACGAGCGGCATCTGAGAATGTTGCTTTTGTGGTGCCATGCACTTTTGGCGCCATGGCTGTGTCTGTCCCCCTGGTCCTCCGAGTCCTATTGCGAAGAAACTAACAAATCGACTTCTGTAGACTACTTGACCTGGCCGCAATTATGGATAATTTCAAGCGATTCAAGGAGGAAACTACATCTGTGGAATTGGAATGACCGAGTGAGGTAGTGAATGGGTGGTGGACGTGGAGAGGGATTGCGGGTGAAGATCATTGTAGATCATTGTGCAGCCTAGATTTTGCGCCATTGTCTCTTGTCTTTCTTCCATGTTTCTTTTCCCTGCATTATTCCAGCACCACACACAGAGCACCTTCCGGTCCACAGCCACAAAGCCCCCCCATTAATACAGCCTGCGGCCTAATTGACCCCCTCACCACGTCATCTGAAACCGCCCCTGCCTGGGCCAGGAGACGGATGATGTGGTCTCGACGACGACTCAAGGGAACAAATGACCCTACGGCACCCGAGTTGCCAGATCGAAATGGCTAGTTCCTGATACCGTCGATGTCAATCTTTCAAGTCCAAATGTCCGAATTACCAACTGCCTTACGCTCAGTCCCACTTCATCAAACGAGATGCTGAGCTGGTGGTGGAATAAACCCAAAAGATTGCAGCCAAATGGCCAGAGCCAACTTCGATGCTCCAATTTTATAGAATTTGAACGCGCAGTTCGAAGAGCACGGGGCAGGGGCGGAACGGACACCGATTTTATCAGATTGCATTCAAGCTACGGCGAACTCGATCAATGCGCACACGACAGGTGTAGGGGGTGCAGGGTTGTCCGACAGGCACTGCTCCTGTCCCAAATCACTGGTGACGATGTCAAGAAGATGGAAGAACGAGATGCACCCGTCTATCTCAGGTTATCGGCAGGAGAGACTGGACGTCGTGGTCAATCGACGCTACAAGTTCGTCTGGGGGTGTCACGCGAGAGCAGCATCTTGGTAAACATTGCACTCACCACCAATATCAGACCTTCGTCGCTTGAGGAGGACCCCTTTGTCTCTGTCGTCTCCAGGACCAAAGACTGGCTGCAATGCTGCCGTAAAGAGCACCAGTGCAGCCTCCTGACTCAATCTGGCGAGCACCCAAGACGACTGATTGAGATTGTGTCCGAAACGACATTGAGACTGGTCGATACGTCGGAGTTGCCAGCCGGCAAGAAACTTGACTACGTCGCCTTGAGTTATTGTTGGGGCCAGGGACATTCTCGAGGTAGGACCACGCCGTGCAATCTTGACAAGCGCAAGATTGGATTCGAAATCTCAGAGCTCCCGAAAACTATACGGGACGCTTTGAGTCTGGTTCGAAGACTCGAACTGAGATATATGTGGGTTGATCAAGTCTGTATCTCCCAGAAAATCCAAAGGGACCAAAACACGATTCCGCAAGGCGACGATGAGGGTGATGGCTTCGATGATTGTAAAGGGGATCACTGTTCAGCTTGCAACCATGATGCCGGTGAGGATTGGGACGCCGAAGCTTCGAGGATGCATGTCATCTACGGCAACGCCGTCTTTACTCTGTGCGCATGTTCAAGCAAAAGCTCCAGGGATGGCCTCATTTGGCCTCGGAAGGCGTGGATTCACAAAGTTGTTCCTTTCTACTTTGAAGGTCAATGGCTCGTCAACTACGACATGAGTCTCAACCAAGTGAGGGCAACCGCACCATTGTCCAAACGCGCGTGGACTCTCCAAGAGGAGCGACTGTCCCCCAGACTATTATACTACTGCAGTCAGAGGGTCTACTGGTCTTGTGTTGAGAAGCAGAGCACAGAGATCGACATCCGTAGCGCAGGGAAGCACGATGGCGGTGGTGCCGCCCCGTTCGAAGACGAGAACGGATTCGAACAGATGAGCGTGGCCCAGGTCTTCATCAACTCTCGCTTTGCAGGGGAACGAGCTCGCTTACACCAGGAATGGAGTGATGTTATCGAGGCTTACTGCCCACGAGAGATCACCAAAACAACAGACCGATTTCCGGCCATTTCTGGTCTGGCAGCACAATATCTCTCAACTTATGTCACTCCAGACCAGGAATATCTCGCTGGGCTTTGGCGCGACACATTTCCCGAGGACCTAGCGTGGTCGGTCGGGACGGCCGCTGACCCGCGGAAAGCCCTCGTTGATATTGCGCCCAGCTGGTCTTGGGCATGCCTTCCTGTCGGGACCTACATTAGCACCAAGCAGGACTTCAAACGGAGCAATGGGTTTGAAGTGCTTGGAGTACCTGTCGCTAGAAAGAACCCCAAAGAGCGCGAAGAGAAAGACCGGAATGTTCTCCATGCTTGCCAGGAGGGGGCAAAGAGGAAAAGTGTCTCTGTGAGAGGATACCTGCGACAGATCATACACCCAGAGTCAGATCGCGTTGACTGGTCCGAGATAACAGCACGCAGTGGGCAGAACAAGTACGATCTCTCAAAATACATTGCTCGCCACGTCCACGCACGAAACCCCGAAGATGGTCAGATGGTCATATGCGAGCCCAACAGGCAACCGATTGAAGCACAACTGGACTACTTCCTTCCCCCGGACGGCAGCATTGATCGCTCCAATGCGGAAATTCATGTGGCAGCTGGTGTGGAGAGGGACCTGTATGGTTTGCAAATAGGTCAAAGGGTAATGCTCTTGCTCCAGTTCAGGCTCTGCTGCAAGAAACCGCAGGAAACATACCAATCAGATATTCACACCGGGAGCCCTTCTTGGTCAACTGTCTTCCGACGGGTAGGAATCTGTCGAAATGTCCGCGAGACTTTCTTTGAGGGCGCCGAGTTGGTCCAACTTGAGCTCGAATGAGAAACAATACTATGAATCAAGTCACCAGCACAAACCGGAATAGCCGCTCTTGAAGGGAGTATAGCGACTTTGAGCCTCCCCATGGAAAGCTCTGTTGTTGCATTGCTGGCTGCCCGATGAATCCAGCATCTCCCCGCAATGATCGGCACAGATCATATGCCAGTACAGGACAAAGCGTCGACTCCACGCAGGAACCGATGTAACCGCTACATCAAACACATCAACTTCACTGTCCTGCCCCCGCATGACTTGCTTCACTGTGTCAGTCACTTTCTTCACTATCGCCCATAATGAGATTAATCAAAGTTCACAGGTGAGTGGGAGGTGAGAGATCTTAAACACAACCACAAAGAGTTTCTCCCAGGTAAAGAGTTCTCTATCAACGTCGCCTCTTCCTACGTCACGATGTTATCTCTACCGTGCCTCAGCGTCCATCTTTTTCTCCTTGTCGCTGCTTGCCTCGCTCAGGAAGTGAACTACACGTGTCCAAACCCGGCTGTCTACTTCACCGAGAACCACGGGCCCTTCTCAGCTGGGAGATTCAATCTCTCGTACCAACGTCCACCACAGCACTGCCGCACCTTCAATTTATCCGAAGTCGAAGACGCAGTTTCGAGCCTGAAGAGCCATATATCCGACCCGGACTTGTCACGACTCTTTGAAAATGCCTTTCCCAACACTCCCGACACGGCCATCCGTTGGCACGGGTTCGCAGGCAACAACTCACAGGAGGAGCTGACTTTTGTCATCACAGGCGACATCAACGCAATGTGGCTGAGAGACTCGTCGAATCAGCTGCAGTCGTATCTATCCCTGTTGAAAGCGAATAGCTCCTCTGACTCGCTGGCATCCTTGTACAGAGGAGTCATCAACCTGCAATCACGCTATATCAACACATCGCCCCATTGCAACAGCTTCCAACCTCCGCCAGAATCCGGCGTCGAGCCCGCGGTCAATGGCTTCGCTGCAACCGATGTCGTATTCCCACCGGTCACCAACACCACGGTGTTCGAGTGCAAGTACGAGCTCGACAGCCTTGCGGCGTTCCTCCAAGTGTCGTACAACTACTACAACGCCACGTCGGATTTGGACTTCTTCAATCGCTTCCAATGGGTCGACGCTGTTCGAACGATCATGAACACAGTTCTGAACCTCACTGTGGGCACGTACGACTCCGATGGCCGCGTACTCGACCCGCCGTATACGTGGAACCGCACCGCCAACTCGGCCACAGAGTCCGTCTCGAACCTGTACCGTGGAAATCCTGTCGTTGGCGGCACTGGGCTGATTCGAAGCTTCTTCCGCCCATCTGACGACTCGTGCATCTACCAGCTCTTCATCCCAGCCAACATGATGTTCTCGCACTATCTGGGTCTCTGCGTGGATATAATGCAGAGCCTCCAAAACCCTGTTGCTGCAACATTGGCCTCCAGCATGCGCAACCTATCTGCCACCATCCGCGCTGCCATCCAGGCCCGCGGGATCTACCACACGCGGGGCGGCCACCGGGTCTACGCGTACGAAGTTGACGGCTACGGCAGCTACAACGCCATGGATGACGCGAATATCCCGTCGTTGCTCTCCGCACCTTTCTTCGGCTACGACGCCGTCACCGACCCGGTCTACCAGACCACTCGGCGCCTGCTCCTCTCACCCGCAAATTCGTACTACATGCGCGGCCCGGTTCTCAACGCGACGGGCGGACCGCACGTCTCCTTCGGCCACGCCTGGCCCATGGCGTCTATCGTCCGGATCCTGACTTCGGAGGATGACGACGAGATCCGCACCGAGCTGCGCCAGCTGGTCAGCAGCACGGACGGGCTGGGCCTGATCCACGAGAGCGTGAACTCGTGGAATGCGAGCGACTGGACGCGGCCGTGGTTTTCGTGGGCCAACAGCCTGTTTGGCCAGATGGCGCTGGACCTGGCTGGGAGGAAGCCGTACCTTTTGACCGAGTCATATCAATGAATCTAAGAGATCCGAGTTAGACAGGACAGGATAGGGTGGGCAGGGCCAGGCAGGTGATCAAAGCGAGCATTGTAGAGAGAGTGATCAGTAACAAACTTGTGGCGACGACAGACTCGCAGACTCGTCCCTCTTGGAGAGTCATTTCTCCTCTTCCTTCTCACCACAGACCAGGCTTCTCCTCCTCTCATGATCAGGACAGATAATGAAACAAAAGCCCAGCCCTATGTATGGCATACGAATGGACGTAGAATCTGACGCTCTCAATGCCTCATCGCCATAACACTATCGATAGCGTGTCATCGTCCTCAGAACCAATGTACTTGGGACGTTTTGTACATTTTCCATTCCATTGGTATTGGAACAAAACTCGGAAATCCGGCATCTTAATATATCCCGTCCCGTCCCGTCCCCTGCTACCCCATTCTGTGGTTCGTTCGGGGTTCGTCAAGGGTCATGGTCAGGGTCGGTCGGTCTGATGACATGATGACAGGGTTTCTAATAACAAGGTTGACTGGATTGATTATTTATCTACGCCGTTCCGAGTACTAGGTACTACGTACCAGTTCTTCAGCCTCGGCTCCAACACAACTTGACAGCTCAGTTTGTCAGTCGGCTACTCAGTTCGGGACAAACTTTGACGTGCTTGACCCTCTTCCCTCCCCCCCCCGCATCGGAGATCTTGACTAGTGCATTCTCGTAATGTCGGGGTTCGTAGGGAATATGCTTGATCAAACGACAGCCGAACTTATATGCCGATGAACGAGAAATGCGGTTTGCTGATTGATATATCCAAGGTTGAGTCACCCTATAACAGTAACCAACGAGTCACGATTCAAGGACATTAAATTACGATTCACGGTCCACTGGATATACGTGACGTGGCGTCTGATGATGGAGCCGATATCCGATGGGATATAAGTTCGGTGCAGAGCCGAAACCTTGACTCGAACAACTTTGAGGTCTCATCTCCCAGGACAAGGCGTCGGAAGAACGTCAAGTACCTATTGATTACGCCTGGGGAAAGGCTTGTCGGGGTTTGACTCTGCCCCTTTCTCTCTCCCCTCCACACCAATGGCACCGGGACACGACCTAGACAAGCTCCCGGGCAGTCTACCTGCCCAGACCATCCCTGCAGATGTGGACGTCCACACAGTCCAGCAGGTGGCGCAACAGACCTTGCAAAATTTTGACGCTACGGCCCTGCTCGGACCCGCGGCGCTGTGGAGAGACTGGCTCGCGCTGACGGGGCAGGTCCGCACGTTCTCCGGCTCAGAGAGGATCGCTGAGGTGTGGAACACTCAGGTCAAGGCTCATCATGTCGCCGATATCAAGACAGAGGCTGGACGGATCACGAATCCCGTCCCGACGAGCTCTTGGGTCGATATTCCGTTCGCTTTCGTCGTGAAGCTCGAGGATGAGGGTGGAGGTAGGGGACTTGTCGGGAACTGTACAGGGACGGCATCGTTAGTCCCGGATGAGGATGGGAAGTGGAAGATCTGGATGTTGGTGACGATTCTGGATAACTTTGAGGGGCACGGGCACCCTGACGTTCCGCGGGTGGTGGTCGACACTGAGACTACCAATGATGCCGTCAACGGTGTTGTTATTGGTGCTGGTGAAAAAGAGAAGAGACAGACTGGCGGCCAAACTCATTTCAACGTCGTGGTCATCGGGGCAGGTCAATGCGGTCTATCCATCGCGGGCAGACTCGGTGCCCTCGGAATAGACTACGCCGTTCTCGAGAAGCGGCCTTCCGTGGGCAAGAACTGGACGCAACGGTACGAGTCGGTCAGACAGCACACAATCCGCGAGTACAACAATCTGCCCTTTGAGCGCACGTGGAAGCCCACCGATCCGTTGCTCCTACCCGGCAAGATCGTCGCCGAGGGCTTTGAGAACTATGTCAAACGCTACGGAATCAATCTGTGGACCAGCGCCGACACTACCAGGGCAGTTTGGAACGCCGAGACGCAGACGTGGACGCTGGACGTGACGGTCAACCACGACGAAAGGCGGGAGCTGGTCTGCCGACACCTCGTTGTCGCCACCGGCGCGGGCGTCAGCGTCGACAACGACCCAAAGTTCCCCGGCACGGAGCAGTATCAGGGCATTCTCGTGCATTCGGGCGCGTACAAGCACAGTCGAGACTGGGTGGCCAAGGACGCCATCATTATTGGATCCGGCACCACGGCCCACGACATCGCCGAGGACATGTATCGGGCGGGTCTGCGGTCCGTGACCATGATCCAGCGCAGACCGACGGCGATATACCCGATTGAATGGATCGTGAAGGGGCAACAAGGCAAGTCCCCTTTCTCAAGCACACACAAATCCATCCCCGTCTCGATGGTCAAAGAGGCCACTAGCCAAAACAGAAACTGACTCCCTTAGCTCTCTACAACAACACCATCCCCACCGCCACCGCCGACGCCCTCGTCGCGTCCCGCCCCAACAAGATCCTGCGCGACATTCTCAAAACGATCCACGAGGCCGCCGCGCGCCGGGACCAAGCGCGCTTCGACGACCTCGAGCGTGCCGGCTTCCGTGTCGACCGCCACACGCCGCTGATGGACAACATCCTCCACCGCTACGGCGGGTACTACATCGACATTGGGGCCTCGTCGCACATTGCCCGCGGGGACGTCCAGGTCAAATCCGGCGTACCCGTCACGACGTTCACTCCCCACGGTGTGAGGTTTCAAGACGGGACCGAGATGCGCGCCGATGTGGTCGTGGTCGCGACGGGGCAGGACCACGATTACCGCAACCAGGTGGCCCAGATTGTCGGCGAGGGTGTGGCGTCGAAGCTGGACGAGTTTTGGGGGCTCGATGAGGAGGGCGAGGTGAGGAATGTCATGAAGCCGGCAGGTGAGTTCCCCGGGGTCTCTTTTTGAGGAGAGGAGGATTTCCCCGGACGAACGAAACCCCCAAGAAACCCCATTCCCTTTTTTTTTTGTTCCTTCCCTCCCTCCCTTCCTCCCTTTCTGTCTCCCTCTCGAACGAAAAAGGAAACATTGCCCGCAGATCGAACCCGTTACTGACATACAGAAAAGCTCCCGGGCTGTGGATGTTTGGAGGCACCGCCGCCCAGGCGCGCTGGTGGTCCCGCTTCGTCGCTCTGTCCATCCAGTCCGACTCGCTAGGACAGCCTCTCGAGGGCGTGAAGATGGGATGACGATGGCGTGTCTCTACGTCGTACATGTGTATCTGAAGAAAAACTTAGCAGCGACGCAGGCAGGGACGGCGTCACAGTAACTACCTAGACTGTGCTCGTGCTCGGTGCTTGTGTGTACTGGCACCTAGTTGACTGGGTGCGTACTTTGACACAACAGTAGGAAGGTATGTCTATCAAGGGTATATCAATACTACGTATACCGAGTATACCGAGTACTTGTACCTCTACCCCCATTGGGCGAATATAAGTGGAGCTCACACAAGAGGTTCTGGTTGTGGGGAAAAAGCAAGATCCCCACTTTGACTCGAAAACCACTGCCTGGACCAGAGAGAGAGAGAAAGAGAGAGAGAGAACACGACTGCGGGAATCTTCTGCAGCAAAAGTGATTGGTTACCTGCATCACTCATTGGAAATCACATAAAGCCATCAGGATCCTCCAGAATCTGCAAGCATGAGCTCCAGCTGCTACGAATGCCTTTGATGCTCTTTACGAAATCGGAGCCGTTCTCGCTGCCAAAATAAATCCTTGATTTGGCCCTTTGCCAGACAGAAGACAAGTGCCGCTCCATATATTTGCATAGGAGCTCGTTCGTTAATCGAAGCGTAGGTCGTTGCAAATCGCACCGCTTCCCCGAGGAAGCTGGCGAATTCTTTGTTTCCATCAGAGAGCTGCCGTCACTGTTTAGTACATATATCCAACTCATCATCCGCTGATAACATTACCTGGTCAACTTGCAGGACTTTTCGGACAGACACAATTCCATTTGAGTATTTCCTCAGATGACTCGGACTTTCAAGCCGCTAGTGGAGGAAATACTCTGTCAAGAAACGGAATCCTTGCGCACAGAGCGGCTCAAGGCCCTCTTCACCTTGCTCGATCGCAAGACGTAGATGGTCCCACCCAGAACTCGCAGGAGTACGCTACTGGAAGCCAGAGGATCTGGCTCCGGTGGTTCCACGTCAATTGGGTTGTGCCAAGGTTCGAGCTCGTAAATGTCCCTTTTCAGCCTCAGCTTCATGGCGTCGAGGGAACTTCTTGCAATGTCGGCGTGACTTTGAATAGCTCCGCCTTTGAGCCGAGACTTTATGCTCACAAGGTAATCCTTTGCCGAGACTGCCAGACACGGGCTCAACTTCGGCTCAGCCTCAGCGTGAGCTGCCTAGCGACTAGAGTCATCAGTCAGGACGGACTACCGTGTACACTCAAGCAGACTTGAATTATAGTACCCCGCTAGCCATTCAGAGACTAGTGTAACTACCTCGCATTCCTAAGGAGAAACTGATAAGATAAGGTTCATCATGAGATATTATCCTCTCTGGAAAATACGTTTGCTCTAGCCAATAGAATAATTGTACGTTTTGCCAAGCCCTTGGCAATTGATGACCATAGTCCTGGCAGCACTGGGCAAGGCTGGCAAGCTGGGTACGTGTATTGAAAGGTATTCAGGTGAAGGCGTAGATGGTTTGATATGTTTGCTTGCTAGATGTCGGGTGAAAGGCCTTCCAATTCTGCAAAATCCCTGTCACGGTCGAAATTACCGCGAAAGTCAAGGCCAAAGTAAAGGCTGAGACCGCGAACCAGAACGTCGTAAAGGAGTCCTTGTTCCTCCTGTCATAGTGTTATTGTTTTAACCTCCTTGAGTTGGGAGTTTGATCCTTATCACCGATCTTGGGAAGTCTCAGACGAACGCGGACGTCGATTCTCGTCCGCCGCGGATGGTCTCGATGGTGAGGGGGCGTGTGCTTTTGAGGTTGTCCATCGGTTTCGAACAGAGCTTGCAAGATCGTCCCCCAAGAAACACTGGGAGGAGCTTTCGCGGTGCTCCAAAGATATGTCTCATCGTCCTGGAACCCTTGGGACCGGGGAGAATGAGCCGGCGCCCTGTGCGTGGGCCACCCTCATACTGAGACCTCCATCGTCGCGGTCAATGCCTTGCTCAGGATACCGGAAGCCCTTGTACCTTGTCGCGTTTTGGTGGTATGACCTACTCCACTTTGCCGCCGCAATGATTTTCCTTATACAGGCCGCAAGGGGCCTCTGGAAACAATCGGCAGAACAGTTGTTCGCGGATGAGGGCGTCCATTCGGCAGTTGAGACAACTTGCAACTGGGCCTTCTGGGAAGTCAAAGCTGGGGTGCTCGTCGTGCAGTGCCGATATTCTATATGTATGGCTTCAGTTCCTCTCTCATCTTCAGCTGCGAAATCCCATCTCCTTCATAATGGCCCTGAACCACTGTTGACCGCTTTGGCTCATATTTCATTGCTTTCCAGCCATGACGGCCTTCATCACATCTCAACCTCGAGGAAATGCACCGCGCTTCGGCAACCATACTTTCAGCACATCTCCCACAGTTGGGTCTTCCACTTGTGCGTCGAGCAGACAAAGCTCCAAAACTCCTGATCAGACAAATTCTGCACCACATAGACCCAGAAAGTCATTACCATCGACCTTTTGATACTATTAACACATGACAAGTATAAAGATAGGTTCACTTACCCATTTGGGAATGGGGTGAATGTATTGCTGCTTCAATCTCCAAGGGCGTCATCTCTTCCACGGCGGGCTCTTCGAATTTGAATGCCGCCAATTGTTTGTGAGGGCAGGCGTTTGATGATAAGCACACACATCCCTCTCCCACTGAAGCGGGGGTGCCTGGAGAAGCCAGTGAAGCTTAAAAGCTGGCCCCGAGCCCACACATCCCTGAACATTTCGTGCCTCACTGGTCTCTAGTAGGCAATGGCGTCCCCCGCTTCTAACCCCGCTTCTAATTTTCATTCCGATGAACTCTCAGGATCAACCTGATGTGGCAAGTGGCAACTGCCAGTCTCTCCCGCTTCTCTTGATGCCGTCACTCGTTGTCTTAGGGTTGCTGCCGCCCTTTAACACACGCATGCAGCTACAATTCTATCGGTGCCATGTCTTCAACAGACATAAATTGTTCGCGATTCGGAGAGGGAGGCAGAAATCGACACTGACGCTACTGGGAGGGTCTTGCACGCCGGTTCATCCTTTTAGCGGATTATTTCACCCCGGCTGCGCTTTCCAACTCCAGCTTCAACGGACCGTCCCAGCGGCTGTTGCCTAGCTCGCATCTAACCGTACTACAAACCCATTTCAGTTTTCAGAGAACGATGTTCCTAACCGCTAAAGAACCTAGTCCGGCATCCTTTGCAACGAACCGATGCTCCTCCAAAACTGTATCCTTCCACTGACAAACTAAACGCCCTTTCGCAGTTTCGACATTCATCAAGCTTGTTGATCCCGCTCACCATCAACTCTGTCTCGCTCGTTTGGCGGCTCAGCTTTTGTTCACGCTCTTCTACCTGCGCTTTGAGCATTTCAGTTTCAGCTTCCAACTCTTCAATCCGAGAATCCAGGTCCAATACTTTCTCGGAGTGTTGTTTCAGTACCTGACACAGTATGCCTAGTCCAAGGTCGCCAACTTCCTCCACTAAACTGCGAAATTCGTCTTTCTGAATGAGATCGTTCGCATGCATTGCCACAATCTGGACAACGACATCCCGAAGTCCCCGGTCGTTGTGGGGGGTTGAACTGAATATCTCTTGTGCAATACTGCAAAAGTCCTCGTGAAGCCAGTTGGTTTCCGCCCAATCGCAAAATCTTTGTCTTGCGAGCTCCTTTAGTGGTGGAATGCCATATTTATCAGCAATAGCGTACACGCGTACGCTGCTGACAAGCGCAGGCTGGTTTTCGTTGTGGTCGGAAACGATGTCGCTTTTGACAGAAGTAATTTCCACGGCCTCCTCACCCTCCTCCGGTGATACAGAACTTCGATCGTCGGATTTAAGACTCTGATTTTTTTCATCCTCGTAGTCGAAAGTGTACATGTAGGAGACCATTCGCTTGACAGTGGCGGGGTCATCTTCTTTCAGTTCAATCCTCTTTGAGGATGCCTCCTAGAAACCAGTTAGCCACAGCTATGGAAAGCAATCCACGCCAAACGGCTAAAGGTAGCCGACCTTGAAATCTCCGCTACAAGATTTGCTGAAGAAAGCGGAATGAGGACACACGATGGCGCGGTGCACCAGGAACTCTTGATCCTGACACGCCAGAATAAGGTCTGAGAACTCGGCAGACTCAAGAAGCACACTCATGGCTTCAGCGTGGTTAGCTGGGGCCATCGCAGCGAAGACAACCAGTTGGGTAGAGGCCAACCGATTTCATTGAAAATCGAGTCTTGTTCCTGCGCGAGGTTGATTCAGCGGTCACCTCCAAAAGAGCCGGTGTCCGGACTTATGTAGACGACTGGGGAAACGGCGAAAAATCCAGGAAGGTTAACCGAACGATCCCGATACTGAAATTCCTCACTCACTTCCCCGACAGTCTCTCTTAGCCAAAGAAATTTATGCCATTCCTGTTCCCTGCGGGACTGTGAGCAAACCATATGGTGAAGATGCTCGCTCTTCGAATTCCAACTGATGGATCTGAGGTCCACCTGGTCTCCGTTGACATTAAGGACAGGCCGCAGGACGATGGAAGTGCAGACTTCTTTGACGATGTCGCGGACCTCAGTCCATGGCTCGGGGATGCGTTCAAATACCGTCGTGTAGCTGATTTCTACGTCAAAAACGTTGAAGATCTGAGCGCACAATTTCCACGCCTTGTCAGAGACGACGACACCGCACTTCACGGCCGATACCTCCTATACTACACGATCCTCCCTACTCTACCAGTCAACAAATGCTGCGCGAATTACATTGGGTTCGATCCTCCAGCAGATAGACTTTTCTGGAGAGGAGATCTATTCGTCGTCCGGTACGAGGGCGAGCTCGGGATGGGCCATGAATATGTGGATGTACCTTTGACGTTGACACGGATCATCAAAGACATTATAAGAAGTGCATACCAGCGACGAGCGTTGGAAAGTATAGTAGAGGATGATGCTGAATTCGAACGCATCATGCAACGAGACCGTAAGTGGAAACTGGGGACTAGCGGTTGACTTTTGCTAATGGATATTGGGATGAAAGGTGAGCGGCGTCCTTGGTTTCATGCCGCAGTCGAGACAGGCGCCCTGGAACGGTTTCGAACGGGGCAACCGTTGAGCGACGGCGATATCCTTCTCCTGAGACAGATGTCGGGTACTGTCCAGTGGCCAAATGGTGACTCAGAGTCGCTGCCGCCTGCAACTTGATCCGAATCTCTTGACTTCGGCTAAGCCATGACTAGGAATGGCACAAGCAACAACCATCTTATCCTCAGAAATTCGAAACGAATGTCTAGTCCGCACAACTTTTTATTCGGTGCCTTCGCTCTGCTTGTCACACCATTTCAGTGGTGCTGGCCAATGATCCATCAACACGGCCAATCTTCTTTCAAATGGTTGAGGAGACATGGCACTTCAAACCGCGAAAATTAGCTATTATTCACAAACGCTTGATATTGAACAGTTCTTGCAAGCACTGTCGTCGCTCGAGATTTAAGATAAAGGAGTCCACAGCAATCCATTGACCGTGGCTTTCCACTACTCTGTATTCGTCCATCTCTTGGTCCTCTCGCTCTTAATTCTACTCTTTCCCTTCTTTGCCCTCCCCTCTTGACTTCACTCTTTCTCTTCTCCCGTCGAATGCTTGTAAAAAGGTCAACCTCGGACTGAGATGCGTTTTGGCACTGGCTTGATGCCCGTGGGGTGTCATTTGGTGTCATGCCGAGCGCGATGAATTCATGGAGGTGAGATGCAGCTATTCCAACACTCGTGGCATTTGCTGACAACTGCGGTTGACCACTGTGAAGCTTATTCTTGGGATTGAAAGAAGTTATTCAAACCATATTCCGCATTGGCTTTAGCGATAGTGGAATAGGAGGCGTGGTGTCGAACTGAGGGGTTCGTCCGCGGGAAGACCCTAGTCTTGGCATATTTGCTCCGCAGGCTGAACTGCGGCCTTACCAGCGGGCTATTCAATGATTAGCTGCCCCCATGATGCCAAGCCATGCATCCACTCTATCCACTAGCGAGTTTCAACTTCTCAGGCCGCCAACGCAGATTGTTGGTTCTCCGCAACTCCCAAGACCAGCCTCCATCCACGACCCCACTTCTTCAGCCTTCCGTATCCTGCGCGAGTTATGAATAATGGGCTCATCCTCCGTGTTATTCATTGCCAGTCGATGTGTCCGCCAGTGTTGTAAAGCGAGACACAGACGGAGCGCCGAAAGGTCATGACAGACCTGACCGCTAACAAGTCAAGCCTAATCTTTCAACCCGTAGGAAATACCTCCATCACTTTGGAATGCCACCTACACTCAAGGACAGGACAACGGGACCGTTCTGCCCAAGGCGAAGAAGAGGACGAAAATATAACTGAGCACCGAAGAAAGAGCCCAAGAATCCAGGAGAGATGTCAGTTTCCCTCACCAAGACCTCTCGTAAGAACGCTCGGCTACAAGAGAAACAGGCTGCGAGCCAACAAGGCACCGCGAGACGAGGACGGACGAGGTCATTACAGAAACCAGTAGTCAAACAATACAATCGTCGTAACAAGAAGGACAAGACCCTCGTGGACACCGAACTCGAACTCGACCTATCCGCGAAGCGTCCGAGATACAGGCGAGCGCAACTCACTGAGACAAGAACTGGGCTTGATAAGGAAAACCTCGTTGAGAGTTGGTTGGAAAAGTTGAATTGGTCTCGCAGGTCCTCAACAGAGAATGAAGCCCAAATCTCCGAAACATCATTCAAGATGCCTCGCAAACCTCCCGCCGTACTTCCGTCTCCGGACAACAGTTTCGAAGGATCGATCTCCACATCCAGAAAACCCGAGAAATCCGCTGCGAGTGTTCATGACGCAGATTATCGACAGTCGTTACGCGATCGCAATATTTATATCAATCGTGAAGACCCACGCCCCGAGTTGAAACGCCGGGCAGGGAGAATAATATCACGGTCTCGAACATCTCCTGAGATGGATGATGAGGTCGTTCAACAATTGATAAGGACAAGCCGACGGGTTGAGGAGGAGGGTGAAGAAGCTATTGTACTACAATTAGCTCCGGACCTCATTCCAGCTATGAAGTTACTTCCGGATACACGATTGGCATCCAATGCCGATCAACCGTGGTACAATTCTGTTCCCGTCCCGCTCGATACGTCTATTCTGTCCAATCCACTCCCCTTACCTAAACCGAAACCAGACCTAGCCTTTGGTTACTCTGAGGCGGCCTTCACCCGAAACCAACTAGGGACAATTGGTCTTCTCGTTGACGATCAGTTCGGCAGAAGCTATGCCGTCCCAGACCAGAAGGTTCGATTTCCATTCCTGGAGATCGAGTTCAAATCACAGGCTCAGAACGGAACTCACTATGTCGCCACGAATCAGGCTGCTGGTGCTGGATCCGTCGCGCTAAACGGCTATATAGACCTCATACAGCGCAGCTTCGGAATGGACGAATTCGATTATGAAGAGCCACGATATTTCTCGGTCACTATAGACCATCAACTTGCTTGTGTGAACGTACACTGGCTGAGAGCGCCGGCTGAAAAAGGAAGACAACATAGTTTTCATGTTGAAGGACTTTCACAGCATCTTCTACGGGACGCAAACGGTATTCGAGCGCTTTCTCGAGCAATCAAGAACATTCTCGACCATGGTGCTGATGCACGACTACGAACACTTTGCGGGGCACTGGATGTATACCGCGAGACAGTCGTCCGCAACAGAAACGCGGCAAATGCGGAGAAGGAACGGCAACCTGAAGATCGACCGGAATCTCACACTGGACAACAAGGCAGAAGAGGAGTTCCTGGGCCTAAAATTCAAGCGGGAGTAGTTGCATCTTGCGATGATATTCGCAATCAGCCGACCACCACTTGAAGTGGTTCAGCCAGTACAAACGAGACAACGAGGCAGAAGAGGCACACATGTGCCTGACGTGCAAGCGGGAGAAGATGTTCCCAGAGAAAAAGTCAGAGCTGGCCGGGTCGTACCTGGACCGATCGAACCTTTGCACGCTGAGCAAAGACCACAACGCGTGCCGACCACGACGCGCCGTCAAGTTCCAAAAACGGTCGAAATTCCCCTTAAAGCGACACGCCGATCGGCTAAGCGGGATTCCAGGGTTATGGAGTCCGGATGAACGATCATATCTTAGCGTCGGGTGACGAACGCCCTTAGGAGGCTGCACAAAACGTGACAAAAGATACCACGATCCTCAGCGGCGAATCTTGACCCTTGAAATCTACCAGCAACCTAACCGGCTCTTGTCTGGCTGCTCTTCCAAGCCAAGTTGAGTGAAAAGTGCTCGCAGCTCACCCCACTTCCGGCCTAGGGTAGATGCCCGCCCTCTGTGCCCTTCATTTCTCACACACCACGCCAGCAGACCCTTAGGGTTCGAGACAACTCTGTTCTCATCGCACAAGCCCAAGCGGCTCTATCTTATGCCACATCAACTGTGACATTCGAGAGAATATTGCATGTGAGACGCATACGCATCCAAACCTGAAGCTGATGGCCCTAAATTTTCCAGTCGCGACGGTGCACTTTCATTTCGCAAAGGAAGGGTTCAAGTTGTGCGGTTGCGCTGTGCAGTTTTGGAACTCAACGGTACAGGGCGTAACGATCGGACCCTCCGTCTTATACGGTAGCGCCAGGTAATAAACGCACCACCGACCGTGGCTGCTGTACCGATTGCTCCAGTGATGATGCCAGCAAGGGCGCCGGGTCCAAGGCCATCATCGTCACTACCACCGCAGCATGGCGTTTCTGATCCTGTGGGAGACTGTGAGAGCGTCGCCCTTGTCGTGGGAGACGAACTTTTCGAAGCGGTTGCATCCGCTGAAGAAGTGGAAATCCCGGTGGCAGATGTCGTTGCTGTAGTTGTTGCAGCTTGAGAGGTTTGATTTGTCACGGTCCCATCAGCAACGATATAAAGTCCTTCTCCGGCCTCACAGCACGCCGTTGATGCGTTGCCGTAACACCAGCTTCCGTCACTGCACCTCGTAAGCGGAACATCCGAATGTTTATCGACGAAGAGCTTGATGCAGGACGAATCCTGCCATGTCGGGTCTGTACATGACTCGCGGTAGAACATGGCCGATCGTGGATTGTAGCAAAGCCCTAGAGCACCTTCAGTTTCAAAGATCTGACAGCAACGTATGCAGCATCTATCTGCGTTCATAGCTTGTTTTTCCATTCGTCCTGTGTCAGCATGGCTAGCCAGTAGCTTAATAATTAAGCACTAGAAACGCGGGCGCCCGGCGGGCCGTGCCGGTAAGGCCTAGCGCTCTGCAATGCACAGCGACATGTTTCGCCAAGGCAGGTAATGTAGATAGATACAAGGAGCAAATCGCAAGGCTGATAGTACTCAAAGCCGCCCAGCACTTTCAGTCCACAACTGAAAGGCAATTATTTGTCAGCGGAATAGAGTCGAGCAATTCTGGAAGAGCGTGGTGGTGTCGTTCTCTCACATTTGGTCCTACACGATAGAGATACGACCTGGTGTGTTGCAGGTCGAAAAGATTGCCTTCTCATCGAGAAGATTGGCAACAGGAGTAGCCCGCAGTGTTGCCAACTATCTCGTAGTTTGTCTAACCAGTCCCACGCCTTTGGGGTCGGTCGCTACCTATGTAGCTCGCTAGTAGTCTAGACTATCGTCCCGACTCCAATCTGGTATAGAACTTGATCCATCCGGTGTTTCAGGCACTACGAGTCCTCAATGGACGTCGCCGGAAGGGAGTCACGATCCAGTTACCAGAGCCACCTCCCTTGTCACTTAATGATACGGTATCAGGTTCCTTGCTGGTAGATCCTTAATTACACAACCTAGGTTAGAAGAGTATAAGTACTCCCTGAGCCGAACCAGGACATATCCACCTCCGGTCCGAATTCCTCGTTTGAAAGGAAAAAGTCCGCTCCGCCTTCCAAGCCTATCAACGTGTCTACAGCCTCAAGCGGTGCCCGATCAGGGATGGCCATGTCATGGTGTCCGTTATGTGCTTGCGGCCCTCCGACTGTGTCTCCCATGGCTCTGTCGATCGATTCGTCGGCCATCTGTGTCCGGTCCACATGCGTTGGCGTATCAGGGAATTTTATTGTTGTGGTGGTAGTAGTTGTGTCAAAAGCCGTGTTGAGGGGCTGGAAGGGTCTGGAATTGCTCGGGAACGTCTCGTCCGAGCGAATGCCCTGCTGTTGAGCACCGGTCGAAGCTCGGGGCGGGCGTGAATGCTGCAACAAGCTGGTCTGAACCGCAGTGTGCTTGTAGGTGACATCCCCTCGCGTGGCACGCGCCAACCACGAGACTGCAAATTCAGCAGATGCGTACAAGTTCTGTAAGCGGCGAAGAGCCTGCATGCAAGTCTCCAGCTTTCTCATGCTGGTCAGCCGCGAGCTGGGCTCTTGCGACTGCAGCTCCTGCAAATGGAAGATCGCGGCAGGGAGAACGCAGGTAACGCCGGTGTTGGGCAAGAATTCCACCAGATTACGGGCGCACAAGTCCCGATACAGGTCGGTAATCTCGTTAGACGCCTCGCGTATCCTTCGGCAGGAGTATTCGCGCAGTTCCACAGCGGCCGAACCAAAATTCATCCTGACCCTGTTGAGCAGTGGCCTGTGAAGCACACACAGAGCTGCAAAATACAGGCCAGTGAGCAAGGCATGGTAGATGTAGACGAGGTCGTGGCCAGACGAGTCCGACTGTGGTTCGGAATCTTGGAATTGGTACGTCAAATCCAGCGGAAGGTTGGAAAACCAGTTTTCGAGTTCCCTGTCACACTCGAGAACCTCAAAGTACTCCCCCAGCAGTATGTTGGACCTCGAATTCCATTCTCGGCCATCTCTGCCATCTTCATCCGGGCTTGCCAGATGACTAAAGTTGAAATGTTTGAGGTCGGGGATCTGGCTAATGCGCACGCAGAGCTTGGTCAGGTCGATGCATAGAATGGCCAGAGCGCGCTGAAGTTCCACGTCGCTCGCCACCTGACAGCCGCCGAGCATCTGAGTAATGCTCGGGGAATATGCCTCGATGTCAAAATCGGACAGCTCGAGTAGGGGAACTCGCGAGCCGGTCGAGAGCCGCACGGGGCGACGCAAGGCGACTGCGGTAAGCCGGTCTCTCATGTACAAGGACCACCATACTCGCTTTCGGATTTTCCGTGTCGCCATGTCATAGCGCTTGTCATCACATAGATTATTCTCGAGATCAATGTGACGTGCATGTGCGATGGCAATTCCCAGCCAGTGCCAGACATTCTTCAAGGGTTCTGTCTCCTCATTGAAGTACGTCATGAGGAGCAAGGCCTGGACATAACTGAGGACATCGGTATCGCATTCGAAATCGACAAGGACCTTGATTCTCTGGAAGAACGTTTTGCGCAAAAGCCGACGATTGGAAATTCCTTGAGGTCGGACAAGATCCATGCTGACGTATGGTGTCGACGCAAACATGACAGCCTGGAAGGTGACAATGCTGACCCTTCCTGCCTGGCCGTCGCTTTCCACAGCGCTCAAGAGCGATCGAAGATCCAACACGGGCAGGTAAGGATGAACATATTGAATGTAACAGCGCAGGAGTTCGTTTTGCAATGGTAGGTCTGGGATCATGAAGGCGCCTTTCCAATGGAGGTATTCAATATCTTCCTGCAGTAAGGCTGCAGGCAGCGGCTTGATGAAGGACGGCAGTGGGATCGTGGATTTCACCGTCAATGCGTCTGCCAGACTCAGAGAATGTGCGGTGGATAGTGAAGTTCCTGATAGACTAGCGGGATTCGATAGATGTAAGTCTCCGCCATCGAGGCTCATAGGGACATCGCCTGTCCCCGCTGCCTGAGTTAGAGAAAACCATTCCGGCCAGAAGGACCGGGGGCTGGAACACGTACGTGATGAAAGTTGAACGGCAAGCCCACTCTCACACTCAGCCTGTAGACTAACGACAGGGCCGGAAGCAGAAGCTGATATTAATTCCTGCGAAGCCTCGATGCTGTCAGAGAGCGCAGGACGAGGGGTAGTCCCCGCAGCCGACGCTGGGTCGTCTGACGAGCAGGCTGTCGGTGCTGGAAATGACATTGTCCTTCGGAGTCTCGAGTGACGATTGCTCTCGGGGATATAGCACACAGCCTCGTCCAGACGGCAGTTTGTGCAGGGAACGCCAATGCCACTAACGTCACATCGCACTTTGCGACTGCGACACTTATGACACGCATTGGGAGCCCGCCGTTTTTGCGCCAGAGGCTTGTGGTGCGGTGCCGATTTTGCAGGCGCTGGCGCGATTGTTGCCATATCGCGATATAGTAGAAGGGGCTTTGATGAGATTGTCAACTCGATTCAGATATGAAGCGGCGGGACGGTAGGACGGTGGAGGAAAGAACGGCGTGAGGCTCGAAGTCATACGGGGTGCACGGTTTTACTAGGTAGGACTAGTAGGAGGAGGAGTTCAAGGGTCTCGAAGTATATGGGGGTGGGACTGCGACCGCGAACAGGGTTGACGCTAGCCGCAGTGATTGGTTCTCTTCGGTCACGTGCTGTGGCTTGGCAGTGGGTCATTCAGGAGCTCAGGCCAATCGTGTGCGAGGATGGCTTTCGTACCCTTGGAGGTGGTACTCACGCCATCAGCCTTGTTTGCCTAGAGCCTCTCACTATAACAGCGGTCTCTGAACATAAACTCGATTCTCATGCTGACTGATATGTCATCATCTTGAGAGCACTCCTCATTCTACCCTCCCTTCTCCTCACTACGAGAATACCAATACATGGTGGAATGAGAGATTGAAATGGTGCAGAGCTAATCACCATGAGCCCTGGAATTGAAACCTTTGTGGGGTATACATTTCGCGTTTCCGGGGTCTTGGTGGCGGGGGATGCCCAGACCACGATACTTTGGGCGCGGAGGACTGGCCGACGTTCAGTGGACGAAATACTCCTTGCTGAGGACGATTAAGCGAACCGACCCTTGAACACTCATTCTCCCAAGAAACACACACCAATGAGGCGGTTCGTTCCTGTCAATACCGACACCGAGATGTTGACCTCGGCATTCCATCTCGTGCCTCAGTGCGTGTTACATGGCCTCATGTCCAAGAAGAAACAATGCCAACACAACTACCGGCCTCTTGGTTCAGCCCCCTAGGCAGCTTCCATCCGGGCCCTCATGCTGTGGACGAAGCCCTTCAAACTGACATGTCTGATTCAACCCAAAAAACGTCTGGAGAGTCGCCTGTCAGCGCCATCTTGTCAGAGCCTGGTGCTACTCCGCAAGTCACGGCTCCGTTCGATAATCGACGTTTCAACTATTTACGATCGTATATGTCGACATTTGAGGAAAGTTTCCCCACAACTATCAAGCGCTAAAACTTTGCAGCCAGCAGCTTAAGAGAACGAGATGCACGCTAGCCCGTGAGAGCGTTGGTCCGAAGCAGACGGCCAAAGAGCCATGTAATTAACCACGGCTAAGCTGACCTCGGCTAAGATGTGGTCGGCGCCAGAAATCCTTCGGCTCTCACTGATAATACAGACGTCCAATAACACAAGTCCGAGTTGGTTGAGGGAGTCGTTGGCCACGACGTCTGGGGTTGACTGGGTCCAGGTCAATCCCCGCCGCGGGGGAGAAGTCTTGTGTTGATGTCTCAACAACCCTGTGGAAACCTCACTGTTAGTACGCTAGATTTGTATTTCCCGCGATGCCCTCGGTAGATGAGCCCGTCTACTGAGCGCATTGGCGTAACGGCGAGGTGAACCTACCAAAGGTCCATTCAAATCGGTCACTTCCGCGGCCGCCAACCACTTTGTTCTGGGCGATTTAGCCCGTCCATATGACACCAATTCTCAGCTGTGGGTGCATGTGCTACCAAATGACCTCCAGACAATTATTGGTCCCGGCGCTCATGACAGTAGACAGCCTTGGACCGCCGTCCGTTACTCCTCTCGATTGCTAGCCATATTAAACATACCGCTAGAATCCTCGGTATCCTCTTCTCGTGGGGCCGTTTCTATTATTGTTATTGGTTTGGCATCGAACCTCCGAGGCCCAAAGAAAATGATGTTCAATAGGGGTCCAAACAGCGTATGAGCCCCAACCACTACGTTGATGTCCTGGAAACAATGGAGGAAGAGCTTGCAATCACTCAGCGACCAGAAATTGGTCGAGATGTGTTCACCCATGCGTGTCCGCCATGGCTTCCACCTGGTGCGCGTGGACTGTACGGCGGAGTCCTGGTGGGCGGATCGCTGGCTGCCGCTCAATCAACCGTCCCGCCCGAACTGCTAGTCCACAGCAGTCACTGCAACTTCTTGATCGGTGCGAGCGCTCAATCACCAATATTCTATCATGTGGAGCGTGTGCGGGATGGGCGATCCTTTGCCACCAGGAGAGTAGATGCTATGCAGGACGGGAAGTGCATCTTTACTGCAACATTGAGTTTCATGCGACCCGAAGGGCAACCAGGACAATCCGTCTCCCATGCGCACGTCATGCCACATATCGAATTGCCTGAAGAAGTGGACAGTCAAGAGGGAGCTTTCCAAGAGCGTCCGTTTCAAGTGGTAGACCTGCCAATCACGCCAGCGCCATACCCAACCAAACAGAAGCTGAGACGTCTCATTCGCATACAGCGGCGAATCGACCACAACAAGAACCACAGCAGAAATCCCGACACGAACCATGCTGTCTCGAGCGCCGTGCAAAGCGCGTCTGTTCTCTCACAGAACCTCGGTGTTCTGGCATATCTGAGTGATTTCTATGTCATCAACACCGCGACAAGAGTATATGGTCTTCCGATGTTTTCGCCCCAGAGTTATATCGAGAGATCTGTATCAGCCTTGAACCGGAGCGAAACGGCGGAGAAAGAAAAGGCAATAACACATCTCCAGAACATGATTCGAACCGAGAAGTTAGAAATGAAACGAATGGCGCAAGTGTCCCTGAGCACCAAGACGAACAATTTGCAGGTCGGCATGATGGTGACGCTCAGTCATACCGTCTTCTTCCATAATCAGCAGGCCGTTCGACCCCACGAGTGGATGCTGTTCGAATTGAAGAGTCCGTGGGCGGGAGATAACAGAGGCATTGCCGTTCAAAGGACGTGGAACAAAGAGGGTCTGCTGATTATGACATGTGTGCAGGAGGGCCTAATTAGAACTGAGCCTAGGGATAAGAGTCTGCTCTGAGCTCTGTCGTCTTGGACTATTGGAGGTTGATGCAGCGTTCGGGGCTCTGTAGACAAGGTTTTTTCCGGTCAAAGGCTCATATAGATAAACCTAATAAATCCTAGAAGGATCAAAGTAGATAGCTGTATCCAGAGAACTTGAAGCGAATGTTGAACAGGATGTCATGATCAAATCTTGTGAGGGGCTATTCAGAGGCCTGTGAGGCCTTCCATCCAGAGCGTGCGAGGGTCGATTATGACCGTCATTACATTGCCTTGGCGTGCTTAGTAATATTCCCGTCACACTTACTGTAACCGGTCATCACCTGATCACCGACATATGCACTTCTTCCCATCAAGTTCTTCCGCCTACTCGACACGTATCTGTTCACCTCTCAATGGATCGTTCGTGCGGTGGTAGTTGCGCAACTATCTGAGTGGTTCACTTACCTATACGTAACAGTGGTGACTCCTTCCTTCCTTCCTTCTTGCACACTGCCCCATGTTTACCTTGATAGAAAGCAAACATCCAGTCTGCATGAAGGGGCGTGTGTGCCCGATCCAAATACCTGGTCCCAAATTGTACGGAGTTGGTTTCGATACAGTATCTCCGAATTGATATCTGTGGGACCAATTGAATCATCAGTTTACCCCGGATATTCAGTCCAACTAGCGGGGATGCCAATGCCGGCTAACCCTGCCAATGGGACCGAAGCACCAGCATCAACACATGCAAGCTCTGATCTCAAATGGCGTCCACGAAGGCCAGGCCCTGCAAGAATGCCTCGGCAATATAGAAAATCCTGAGCCTACACTTCGATAATCCTGAGTACCGAAGGTCTTGCACAGGGCGAGATGTTGTCAGCTTCGCCGCCGAAGAACCAGAAACTTGGTGAAGACATGGCTCTGAAAGCAGTCTCTTTCAGGTAGTCGAGGCTCTAAGAACTCCCGGTGCAAGATGTTGTCCATGGTTCCTATACCATTAAGCACTTATTATGAGGGGTTGAAATGCATGAGATGTGTATTTTGGAAAACACCTACATCACATTGACTTCTTTCAGATATTCCGTCATTTCGACGTCCCTCAATCTTCTCCTCAACCCTGGACCACGGGCTTGGTCGGCTGCGCCTTGACAACGCAGGTACCTGTACCTGCATAAGAGCTCGTGGTACTGTGCAAGGGCTCTGGGAGAACCCTAATTGGTTCCTGATTCTCTACTCGTATTTGCACTACCCCGAGCTCACCACGTTACCGAGCTGAAGAAAACCTTTCGCGAACCCCCGTTACCCCAGATCGCCGAAACAAATTGAAAATCTGGGGAATCCAAACCGCTGCAATCTATTGTCTGACTCCCGAGGTTTGCTGTCGGGACCGGTTAGTTTACCTCCCTATTACCCTCTATCAGATATAACCTTCGTCCTCAGCAGGATTCCATCCCGACCTCTCTGCATGAGCTATCCAGTTTCAACCATGGATCAAACTACTAAACAGCCATCGGTGGAAGGGTTTGAACACGTGAGCAATATTGACGCTTCACAAGAGATAGATGACAACATGGAAAAACACGGTCATTCCCAGGCGGCACCGGCGCCCACGAATGTCGCCATCTCAGCTTCCAGCTCCTATCTCCTTAAGCCACGCTTTATCGGATGTCTTGTTGGTTTCCTTCTCGGAGGCATGTGTGGGATGGGGAGCTATGCCATCATTGCACCATTTCTCACCTACGTCAACAACGACCTGGGACCCGACCCCAACTACTTCTGGATCACTATTTGCTTCACTGTCATCCAAGCTGTGGGTTTGACTTTTGTTGGGCGAATTTCCGACATCTTTGGGCGGCGTTGGACCTTTGTTGGAGGCTCTGCCATCTCGTTGATCGGGTACATCGTCTGTGTGACCGCACAATCCGTGTCCGCATTGATAGCTGGCATGTGTCTTTGCTCAGCTGGCGGTACGACCCAGACCAGTTTCTATTCGGCCCTCGGCGAACTGGTGCCGTTGAAGCACCGGTTCTTGGTCAACGGAATCATTTACTTTGGAGGATTTCCCATCTCCATTTTCGGACCGGCGATCACGGCTGCAAGCATTCTCTATACGCCACCGGGCTGGCGGGTAATGTTCTATGTCATGTTGGCATCCAACGCTGTATCCCTGCTGTGCCTGTACCTGTTCTACAAACCTCCAACATTCCGCGAGAAACATGAGCGAGACACCCTTGGATTCTTCGTCAAAAACTTTGACTATGTCGGCTCCGTCCTGTTTGCGGGCGGCCTCGTCATCTTTCTCATCGGAATCTGTTGGGGGGGTTCGGTCTACCCCTGGAAATCGGCACATGTTATTGCGACCATCGTGGTGGGTGGCTTGACTCTGGTGGCTTTCGTCGTTTGGGAGTGCACTGCGTCATTGACAGAACCACTGGTCCCCATGAGGCTCTTCCGCAAGACCACATACACGGCATGCGTTTTGTCAGCATCGCTGGGAGCGTCCCAGTACTACGCTCTGAACATCATCTGGCCGATAATGGTGACTATGGTGTTCCGGCCGGCAGATTTTATGACTCGAGCATGGCTTTTCACCGTGGTTGGTGGTGGCTTTGCCGGTGGCCTCATGATTTCATCTGCCTTTATTAGGTGGCTGACGCATACCAAAATCCAGGTACTGGTGGCCATGTTTGTGGGCGCCCTGTTCTACGCCTGTGAGTCCAATCCTGGCATTTCTATCTTCGTTGTCTGACATCTCTCTCCAGTGATTGCCACTTGCTCGCCCGAAGATGAGGCTCGTGCACTGGTCTTTGCGCTCTTGGGCTCCATCAGTGTGGCATGGAACGAGGCTGTGACGTTCACCATGTCGACAATTGAAGTCGACGACCAACAGGACATTGGTGTCGCATTTGGGGTGGCAGGCTCCGTGCGCGGACTCGTGGGAGCCTTGGCGTCGACCATCTTCGTTGCCATTGTCACGAATCGGCTCACTGAGGAGGTTTCTGGACGAGTACCAGTCGCTCTCGTCACAGCAGGTCTCCCGGCAAGCAGCATTCCCGACTGGCTGGTGGGTTATTCTGCCGAACAGCTCGACTCTGTCCCCGGCACTAATGCGACCATCAACGCGATCGGTACCGACGCCTACAAGCTGGCGGCCATGTCTGCCTTCAGGACCATCTTCTTCGTAACTCTAGTCTTCAGTGGGTCGGGTTTGATCTGCAACTTCTTCGTTCCTAATGTGGACGACAAAATGACCAATGTTGTGGTGGCTCCACTTCACAGTGTATCGTACGAGAAGACTGCGTCAAGCGGTGAAGAGAAATCAGGAGAAGAAACAGACTGAGCGACAATTTCAGACGCGTGGGCCTTGTGTCCTGGGTCTGAAGTGTGTCGAGAGGTGGGAAATGATTCCCCCATGGGGCCAAAATTATCAAAATTACATTGAAATCGCATTGTGCGAGACGAAGGGAGACAGAAAAAGGGGACCTGGGGAGACGAAGGAGGTCGGCAGGAGGATCTGTCACTGTTCTGATGCTGTATGGCTATCTTCTACTCGACTGACCCATGACTGCGACTCCATGTAGGAGTCTCTGTTGGATCGTACATCAGTGCCCCTAACATTTGGCAGTTGTTGATAAGTATGCGTATATATTTTATGTGGCAGAGGCTTTGATTTCAATTGTCCTTTACCGATTCCTCAATCCGGAGATTTCCTCCCGCTCCACCTTCATGGAACCATGTGCCATCAACCTCCACCGCAAACAAAGGGAAAGAGCCTTGTCAACAAGACGTTCAAAACCGTGACAACTTTTCTCGTCGTTTCAACGCCTCCCCGAGGACTCATGAGCCTCCCGGCTATCGTGGCCAGACGAGCAAGACATCGGCAACAATCCAAGTCCAAGATGAAAGCGCGGATAACGTTGTTTTGCATTGCGATCCCTCGGATTTCCTCATTCTCAAGAGTGGAAAGGATGGCCTCCGCAGTATCCATACCATCTCAACCCCTCAACAAAGCCGCCGAAGAGGAGTAAAGGCTCATATCGCGCCAGCCGAGGTCTTGATGGTGAAGCACTCTGAAAGACGTAGACCAAGCCTCATGTCTGGTCTTAATAATTGGTAGTAAAGACTGAATGTCTAAAGCCTCGGCCCGATGACTTGCCCATATGTTGATATAAAAATGATACTATATTAGGACAGTACATGGTTGAAACATAACCCTGCTTAGCACTGTGTGAACCCTTTGACTAATTCTAAGATAGCATTCGAGCACAATAGCAGGTGAACAGAGAGGCCTGGAAGGTCATCAATTCCTACCATTACTGGCAGGAGGAATCAAGCCGTTTGGGACATCACACGTTCAAGATCACACAACTTGTGCAGAACATATCGCTTGCGACAATGACCTCGATTGCGCCGGTGCCGGCATTGCCTGCATCGCTCATCAATGGCGTCCACCTCAAAGACCCGGGAGCTGAGGCCGTCCTAGAGAAATACAGGATTGAACGCTCCAAGCGTATCCGGTCTGACGGCCAATCCCAATATGTATTCTCCCCGCTGGCCGAGTCTTACCGGGAATTCTTCAAGGACATCTGGGTGGACGACAGTCTCCCAGACCCGGGTCGGGACTCTGTCCAAGATGGGTCCTACCACGAATTCCTCATCCTCGGGGCTGGATACGCCGGCCTCTCCATGGCCGCCCGTCTGAGACAGATCGGAGTTGACGCAAATGATATCCGGCTAGTGGACTCTGCTGGTGGATTCGGAGGAACTTGGTGGTTCAACAGGTAGCACACTTGGCCCTCTTTCTTTCCCTTAGGGGAAGATATAGGCTTTTGTCATTCTGACCACAATTGCTAGGTACCCCGGACTCATGTGCGACATAGAAAGTTATATCTACCTCCCGCTGTTGGAAGAGCTGGATTACATGCCGAAGCACAAATACTCTTACAGCCCGGAGCTACGGAGACACGCTGAGAAAATGGCGGAGCGTTACGACCTGGTCGACAGGGCACTCTTCCAGGCCAGATTGGACAGTACCACATGGGATGAATCCACGAAACGATGGACCACGAAAGTTGTCTCCACCAAGAACGGGGAGTTTGGAAGAGAAATAACTGTCCACTCTCGCTTCGTCGTCCTCGCCGGAGGCCCCGTCAACCTGCCGAAAGTTCCACGACTCAGGAACCTGGAAGCATACAAAGGCCACATGTTCCACACGGCGAGATGGGACTACAAGTATACCGGTGGTACGGAAGAGAAGCCAGACCTGACCAACCTACGGGACAAGTCAGTGGCTATCATTGGCACGGGCGCCACAGCTATCCAAGTGGTGCCCGAGCTGGCGAAATGGGCGAAGCAGCTCTACGTGTTTCAAAGGACACCCTCCGGTGTAGAAGTCCGGGGCCAGTGCGCCACCGATCCGACCTGGTGGGATGAAAAAGTCCGAAGCAAAAAGGGTTGGCAGGAGGAACGCCTGCTGAACTTTGCCAGCTTCTTCAGCCTGGGTCCGCTACCGGAAACGAACCTCGTCGACGACGGCTGGACTCATTTCCGATCGTACGCCGCCATGGTTGGCTGCGAGGACGCGCCCACCTCGCCGGAACAGGTCGAGGCCTACGTGAAACGGTTACATGCCGTCGACCTGCCGCGACAGGAGCGGGTCCGGGCTCGGGTGGATGAGATCGTGAAAGACAAGGCAACGGCCGCCGATCTCAAGGCATGGTATCCCAGTTGGTGTAAGCGACCTTGCTTCCACGACGAGTATCTCCAGTCCTTCAACAAGCCCAACGTCAAGCTGGTCCACACCGACGGCCGCGGCATCGACACACTCACCGAGAATGGCGTGTATTTTGACGGTAAGGAATACCCGGTCGACGTCATCATCTTCAGCACCGGCTACGACATCGCCATCGGCATGAGCCCTGCGGGACGCTCCTCGGTCAAAGTCACGGGCCGGAACGGCGTTGACCTCGACGACAAATGGGCCCACCGCCTCGCCACCCTGCACGGCTGCATCAGCAACGGCTTCCCCAACCTGTTCTTCCCGGGCCTGTCGCAGATCGGCGGCATCCCCAGCCAATCGCTGACGGTCGACCACGTCGCCCAGCACATTGCCTGGATCCTGCAACGCGCGGCCCAGGTCCACGGGGGTTCGCGAGCCTTCACCATCGAACCCTCCCTCGAGGCCGAAGAGGAGTGGAGCCAGAAGATCGCCGCGGGCGCCATCGCCTTCACCGCCGCCGCCGACTGTCTGCCCAGTTACTTCAACCGGGAGGGCGACTTGATGCGCAAGGCGCAGGAGAGTCCCGAGACCCTCAAGAACTTGGCCCGAGCCGGGTTCTGGTCCAAAGGATTTCTCGATTTTCTGCGCGAGCTGGACGAGTGGAAGACCAGTCGGCCGTTGGAGGGGGTGGAAGTGACTCTGGATTAGGGTCCGAGTGCGTGTAGGAGGAGGGGTCTTTGACAAGAGCAGAATATCGAAAGGAGGCTTTGGACGAATGATAACTCCGAACTTGTCTTTGATAGCCCCCAATGTAATTGTTGTCGACAAGTGTGGAGGTCCAGTGTGCTAAAGGTAGGTAGGTACAGGGCTCCTGGGTGCCCACGCACCTCCTTAATACTAAGTACCTAATGTACACGCCTCATACATATGCTGTACGCTGTATGTATGGCATTTATTTGCCGGCTCGTAAGTAGCGGCTTCACTTTGGACCAGGTCGCGTAATAAAGGACAGACATGCACGTCTTTCCCAGCGGAGAAAATAGAAATAGTGTAGAGAGCATATGTAGGAGCTAAGCTTTGTTCGCCCTATATATACCTCGTCTGCCCGTATACGCGGTTAAACTATACATGGTGGATGTGGATACCCCGACGTGTCCGACAAAGGACGAGGTACCTACCCTAGGCTGCCTAGGCACTCCGTCCCTAGTACGAAGCCTCATCTAGGAACGACCAGGGGAATTCAAAAGGTGTCTCTCTCTCTTTCATCGTACTTCGTCAGAAGAGGATGTGACATTTCGAGTTCTATATAGTTACCAATTATCGCGCAAAAATCAGAACGGATGGCCACCTCGACCGGGCTGTCTCGTCGGCCTCGGGACCACTGATTCTCTAGTTCTTGTCGTCTTCGTCGGCTGCGTCTGTGTTCCGGAACTGTGTGATTGCGACTGCGACTGTGATTGCTACCTGCTGGTGGTTGATGACGGAGTCGGCGTGGTGCTGGCCGCCGACGTCGAACTTGTTGTGCCGCCACCCCCAGTCTGCTTCTGAACGGACGCCTGGACAACTTGCCCGGCTGAGTTGAAGACAATGTCGACCAGCGCATTGAGCGGAGCATATGAAAATGTCTTCTCGACAAGACCGCCGGAGAGGGTCTGACTGACTCCCGTGTCGGTCATGTTGGTGAGGTAATTCCCGACAATGGAGCTGACGCCGCCGACCTCCTGGACGATATTGCCGAGGTTGTCGATCAAGAATGACAGCGTCGTTCCGCCTTGGGTGATGGAGCCGAGGAGGCCGTCTACCGCGCCTACAATGGGCTCGAGCAACGAGGTGACGTTGTTGATGGCGGAGATCAAGAGAGGGTTGAGGTCCAAGGATTCAAAGACTCGGTTCACAATGTCGACGAGATGGCCCAGACGGACGATCAATTCAAGCTGGGCATCGACATCGGAAATGGTGAGGTTGACTTCTTGAATGGACAGCGCGACACCGGCATTCAGCGTGACAAGGGACGCCACCTGGGCATTCAGATTGATATCTGCCCGGAGGTCGTCGACATCGAGCTCAATCCGACCAACGGAGAGTGTTGGTACGTTGAGGTAGACGTCTGGAGGAGTGGACGAGGCAGAAGCTGGACTCGGCGTCAGGGTCGGCGAACTCGACGATGGTGTGGTGCTGACGGTCCCCTGCGGCGTCGACAAGGTGGTCGTTTGTGCCAGGATCTGCTGGTTCAACAGAAGCGAGGAGAAGAGCGTGAGAAGCCGGAATATTGAGCGCGCCATTATGTTCTCATCTAACGGGAGAGGAGGTAGAGGAAGAGGCAGGAATCGACGGCCATCCCATCCTCTCTATATCATCGAACCCACCAACTTTCCTTCCCTCTTTCATGGAGAAACTCCGACGATTCTGGCGCATGGCCAATTTCTCGAGCAAGTATCGCTAAACCGCGAAATCTCCCATGTCCAGGAGAAAATTTATTCGATCCCTTGGGCGTCGGCTGGACGAGTCTGACATTGGACCAAAGAGGTGTGGATGATCTGCGCAGATCCCTGCAGATGGCGCCGTCTCCAACCGGTTTCGCGCATGGCTCTCCACGTTTCAACGGTCCATTGTGGTATAGGGCTGATCTGCCGAGATTGCAGGTGTGGGACAGCCATGGTTTCCCCTGGACTAGCTCATGCGAAAACAGGACTTTTCCCATGTCCGCTCGAATCGGCTTCTGGAAATGCCAAATGGGATGGCCAAAGTGACCCTCGCGCATTCAAAGACGGAGTGAGCGTGGAAATTGACTCGTCCCAAGGGTTTGCTGCAGGTGTTTGTATACAGAACGAGGTACTCGATAGACTTCCGTACAACTTCTGTAACTTCTTGAACAGGAGCGTCGAGTCAATCCAACTTTTCGAGTATCGTCTCTATTCCCTTCACGACGCCCCTCTAGTCACTTTGCCGTGCTCGTTGTCATGATTCTCACACTCTTCTGCTCGTTGCTGCTCGCACTCGTCCGATTCAGTTCTTCCCAGTCAGTCTCGTCCAGCGATGGCTATACCGGCTACTCGCTTAGCGTGACTGGCAACGACACCGAATCTGCAGTCTACGAGACCGAGGAGACCGACACTTCGAATGGTGCTGTTACCAACACCAGTCCTCCACCTGACGTCTTTCTCAACGCCAGCGTCTCGGTCGGCGAGATCGACATCACCGTGAAGAACCTATCCGCAAAAATCAACATCGATGCCCAAGTACTCTCCCTCCTTCAATTCAATGCTGGCGTCGATCTGAGCATCAACTCCGTGCAGTTGACCATTCAGAACGTGTCGGCGAAGGTCGAACTCGAGGCACGGCTGGAGAATCTGGTGTTGATGATCAACGACACACTCAACTCAATCGACCTGAACCCTGTGATTGCTACTCTGGGGTCTGATGTCGGCAACCTGGTCGGCGGGGCTCTCGGCGGTAGTAGCACCAGCAGCAGTAGCCCATCGTCGTCAACGAGCGGCCTGTCTGCCCGCTCCGCGCTTCTCGACGAGGGTATCCTCTATTCAATCAACGACTACAGTGGCAACACGCATACAAATCGAATCCTCGACCAGGCCGGCAACATTGTCGATCAGAAACTCCATAACGATGGATCCGTCTTCTCGTCCCAGGTGGTCGGATCGTTCTGGCATGACATGATCTTTACGGGGCACGAGCGGGCCGTTCTTTTCAACGGGGAAAACGCAAAGGAGTTGGAGTATTCGTACACGCCGTTCAACGGCTTTAGCTCCATCGCAGCTATATATCAGGATGCCAATGGCAATGTATTGGGGACGAGGGTGCTGAGTGAGATCGAGGGCGGAGGGTCGAGTACGATTGCTGACGACTGAATTCGAATTGAGAGTTCCTACTCTTTCCGTTTCAGTATTGAATGAAAATAGCTTAATGCACACATCAAGCGTCTGAACTCCAAACTTTGGATAGCCGCGATTTTGGTTATCCCAGTACCATGCTGTCCCTCATACCATGTGCATTTTCAGCGCGACGGGGTCTATCACCATCACCACATACCACGACGTGATCCTGAAACGTAGAAACGAGCTTCCTTACGAGATACGTAACTTATGGTCAACAAGAAGCTCCTACATAAGAAAAATGATCGCCGAATATGAGGAGAATCTTCACTAGATGATCTCGGACAGACTCGTGATCCATTTTTAGATTGTTTGGTTTAGAAAAAAGGGACAAACTCGCCAAGCATAAGAAACCCCCCAAGCAAGCAAATGCAGCAAACAGTATAAACATGTTTGTGACCTTGACGTATTTTCCAGATGCACCCCGACCTCGAAGGCTGGGAAACAACCCAGGCACTTTTACCTTGTACAGACGCCCAGGCTTCGGCTCTACAATGCAGCGACTCAGATAAGACGACCCTCTCCATATAACACGCCGCCATGTCTTCGCATTACACGACCGAACCTCCCCCAACTGCCTCAGTTCTTGTCCATACCACCGCTGGCCCTCTCACAATATCTCTGTTCGCGAGCCAAACGCCCCTGACATGCAGGAACTTCCTGCAGCATGTCCTGGACGAGGACTACAACAACAACATCTTCCATCGTGTCTCTCCGGGCTTTGTAATTCAAACAGGCGATCCCACCGGGACCGGAGAAGGTGGACAGCACATATACGAGGACAGGGAATTTGAGCGATATGACGAAGACTGGGCACGGCTGATGGGCCGGGAAGAAGGAGAGAAGATTAATTTTGGAGATGAAATCCACAGCAGGCTGCGGTTCAATAGGAGGGGGCTGGTTGGTATGGCCAAAGGCACCGGGGACGGCGCGGGATATGGCAGTCAGTTCTTCATCACGCTCGGAGATTGTAGGGCTGAACTAGACGGCAAGTGCACCATGTTTGGCCGGGTCGAGGGCGACGGCATTTACAACGTGGTCAAAATCGCGGAAGGCGAGCTGCTGGAGGGCAGTGAGAGACCAATGTATCCCGAGAAGATTCTCAGGGTTGAAATCATTGAGATGCCAAAAGGTGACGCATGGCAGAAGATGCGGAAAAGGAACAAAGTCGCAGAGCGTACTGTCGAAGCTCCTGCAAAGAAAAAGGCTGCGAAAAAGAAGGGCGGGAAGACGCTGCTCAGTTTTGCCGGGGACGAAGGTGAAGACGATGTTGGTCCAGTCGCTGTGCGACCAAAGAAACCTAAATTTAATCCGGCCTTGATCGATAGCGACGATGTGCCTGAATCAAAGCCAAAGCCAAAGGCGAACGGCACAGCGCCTAAACCTCAGTCCCTCGAGAAACCGCAACGAAGATCACCTTCACCCACAGTTCCGCAAAAGCGCAAAGCAAGTGTCGCAGGTTCAACAAAATCTCCGTCGCCGGTACAGCGGCGGAAGCCATCATTCCACGACCCACTGACTCAACTCCCTCTGCGTAATCCAGAATCGCCGTCTCGATCACCAACACCGGAAGAACAACCGGCAGCGTCCAAAACCTCTGCACTGGAAGCCGAGATCGCTGCCTTGAAAGCGTCTATGCGCCGGAACGTGGACAACAATGCCAATGGTTCCAAGACTAAGAAGTCAGCTTTAGAATCATTGATCCCGGCAACAAGTACGAGAGGTCGCAAACGGCCTCGTCCAGGCGAAACCAATGCGCATGACGAAGCCAAAGCGCTCAAGATGCTAAACGCATTCAAAGCACGGCTGGAGTCAGCCGATGCACAGGGTAAAGCAGCTCACTCTTCCAAGCCCGCCAATGGCCACAAAGATGACAAAGACAACAACTCCTCTACGGAAACCCAAGAACCAGTAGCCGATCCGCCCCCATCGAAACGCGGTGACGGCGGAGGGGAAGAAGACGAAGAAGCGGTCTTGTGCGACCTGCATTTCATCGCAAACTGCCAATCGTGTTCGAAATGGGACGACCCGACCAACGCCGAGGCCGACGAATCCGAGGACGATTCGCAGTGGATGAGCCACTCGTTGTCGTTCGCCAAAGACCGGCTCGGCAAGGACCTGAACTGGAAGAGGAAGAACGAAGATGAACTGGTGGTCATTGACCCGCGCGAGAAGGAGAAGGAGTTGAAGATGGGAAAGAGGCGCGACAGAGATCAAGATCGGGAGAGGGACAAAGGAAAAGGCAAGGGCAAGGAGAGACGGTGGTAATCTTGTGTACGAGTAATTGCGTATCTTGGATCAAGAAGAGTCTGGGTCTCCAATGACTCAATCCCCTATTTCCCGACGGGATCAACGAGCAACATAAAAGGCCAAATCGACCGACTCGCCATGCTGCTCCTTCTCCTCAGCATCGATCTCGAGCCTGGTGAAGCCGTTACCCAGGATGCCGCGCCAACGGTTCCGCGAGCGGTAGCGCACGTCCCAGTCCTCGCCGCGGATCTCGCGCAGGATGACCTCGCGGTAGAGCAGGGCGCTGCCGGGCCAGGTGGCTGTGACGCGGCCGTCGACGCGGTTCTTCTTGTACCAGCTCTTGCAGGCGCCCGTCCAGGTGAGAGTCTGCTGGATCTCGTCGCCGTAGGTGACGAACTCGTCGGTGGCGTCCTGCCGGGGTGCCGCCGAGTGGATGTCCTCACCGGCGATCTTGTGCAGCCACTTGACAATGTACTCGGCCGTCCAGGTCATGCTGGTGATGAGAGTGCCGTGGCCGACGGTGGCGTTGGGCCCCGTGAAGATGAAGTAGTTTGGGAAGTCCGGGCACGCCACGCTCAGGTAGCTCTCGGGCTCGTCTTTCCACTTCTCTGCCAGCGTCATCCCGTTGCGCCCCGTCACGGGGTAGTGCGGGATGTGCGATACGTCGAACCCTGTGGCGCACACGATCACGTCCAGGTCGTAGTGCGTGCCGGATTCCGTCTCGATGCCCGTCTCGGTGATGCGCGCGATGGACGATTTCTCCAATGACACCGTTGGCAATAGGAAGGATTCTAGGTAGCCTTCGCCCGGGGTCAAGCGGCGGCAACCGAGCGTCCAGTTGGGGATGAGCTTCTCGCAGAGTTCTGGGTTGTTGTTCAATGCTGCTCGCATGCGCTCAACTGTGACTTCGGTGGATTTGGCGTTTTGGACAGAGCCTTTGCGGAACTGTTGGCCGTTACGAGAGGCAAATCAAGATCAGACAGAGCTTCTGAAGGAAAAGCAGATTGATTTGGGGATCGACTTACCAGCCTGAATCCTTTGTTCATCCCATGTTGCAGCATCTTGCGATATGCCTTGTGTTTTGCAGGATTTCGGAACCGCCTCTTGTCGGCCTTGGTGTATCCCGGGTTAAACTTGCTCCCTACCTCTTCACCGACTTCCGTCATATCAACACCTTCGTCGCCATTCGTCATCTCCTGATCCTCGACGCCCTCGTCGTCGGGTTGCCCATCGTCACCGACACCGAGCGCCTCGCCCAGACTCTGAGTGATCCAGGTGGCTCCCCTTTGAAAGCTCACTACCTGGGTGCCCGGCAACTTGGCCATTTGTGGCAAAATCTGGATGGCGGACGATCCGTTCCCGATGATTCCAATCCGTTTGTGCGAGTAGTCGAAGGAGTGATCCCAGGCTGCTGAGTGGACTTTGTGGCCCTTGAACGTCTCAATGCCGGGTATATCTGGCCATTTCCATTGGCTGTTGCGGACAGAAATGAGAGTGTGTGTCAGCATTGATAGGTACATATCGAACAAGAAGACTCTGGCTGGTCTCTCTGTCTGCAGGGAGTAGCAGGAAACACACTCACCTGAGAAAGCCCTGAGCTGAGACGAGGACATCGGCAAACTCATCCCTTTCCTCCTGTCCGTCCTTCCGGACGCGGATCTTCCACTTCCCTTCCTCTTCCAGCCACTCGAGAGCAACGACGCGCGTATTGAACTGAATGTCTCGATTGAGATTCCACTTTTTGACCGTCCGCTGGATATACTCGAGAATCTCCGGCCCATCAGCATAGAACTTTGACCAGTCGGGATTCGGATCAAAAGGGAAAGCCTAGGTCCAAGAAGAAAATCAATTACTTCGTCTCCCCAATCAGACAAACAACCCGGCAAAAGAGAAAAGGTGGAGATAGAGGTAGAGGTATGTAGACTGACATAGATATGGGCCGGCACGTCGCACTGCACGCCCGGGTACGTGTTGGCCTTCCACGTGCCGCCGACATCGTCGTTGGCCTCGAAGATGACATGATCCACAAATTCCTGCAGCTCGGGCTGCTCGTGCTGGATCTTGTGCGCGAAGATCAACCCCGAGAAGCCCGCGCCGATCGTGGCGACGCGCAATTTGCGCTTCTTGTACGAATACTCGTCCGACAGCGGGACCCATACTTCCTTCAGCCTTTCGGGGGAGACCATGTTCGCGGACAGCGAGATCTTTGAATACCACGAGAGACGGCCGGGAGGAGCGGGGAAAAGAACGCTCAGGAAGCGAAGCAGTCAGTGACCCTGGGACGGAGGAAGACTCGGCTTCATATAAAAACCACAGACGAGGCGACAAACTCAACTCGACCCGGACGACAGCCTTCCCATCTCTATTATTAGTATTTTTATTATTGTTATTCCGTGGCTTTGTGTTTTCCTCTTCTCCGGCTCTGTGAATTGGAGAACTGCGCGTTGCCTCGGCGAAGGCAGTAAAATATACCGAACGTGTCGGCCACTTCCCCGCATCGATTCCTTCTATCATAACGATAAAACTGCGGTTTGCTTGGCTGTAGATCCCTCCTTGAGTGGTCAGGCTGTACCTCGTAAGTGGAAATAGACAAATAGGATGCAAGATTAAACGAAACTCTCACAGAGAAACAAGGAGCCGGGCGCAGGAGCCCTCGAAATATGGCGCGACATCGCTTCCCATTTTATATATACTTGTACGGATTCATAATTCCGTTGGGATCGTAAAGATCCTTGATCTGCTTCATTAGCTTGATCATCGTCTCACTGCGGCTGTATCCGATGTATTTCTTTTTGGCGATGCCCAGGCCATGTTCCGCGCTGATGCTTCCGTTGCGTTTTTGGATCCATTCATACACCCACGGTTCTATCGCTTCTTCGACTTCTTTTGTGTATTTGCGCACGGGGATATTCAAGTGCAGATTCGCGTCGCCCATATGTCCATAGCCGACCACGGCAATCGCGGGGAAAGAGTCGTCTTCACCTACCAAGCCTTTCGAAGTGAGTCTATCTCTCGTGTCTTCCACGAGTTGGTACAGTTCTTGAATGGGGATCGAAAGGTCGTATTTGTAAGTCCCGCCATAGTGGCCAATGGCCTCTGTGATGCCCTCTCGCCATGCCCAGAGAGATTTGGCCTGTGTCTCGTCCTGGGCGAGGACACCGTCCGAGACAATTTCTTCACTCATAACGTATTCCAAGAACTTTTCTAGCTTTTCACCGTCGTGTTCTGTATTGGAACCACTGGTTTCAATCAAGCAATAGAAGGGATGGTCACCTTCCAATGGTCTTTGTTTGCCGGTGACTTGGTGGACGAAGCCCTGACTTCGAGCATCCATGAGTTCAAAGGCAGACAGAATTTCTCCAAGCTGGACCTTTGCTTCTTTGTAGGCCTTTTGGACATTCTCGAACGAAGAGAGTCCGAAATATGCCACGTTGATTGCTTTGCACCTCTGAGGGCACACCACCGACACGCCTGTGATGACTCCGATCGTCCCCTCTCCGCCAATGAAGAGTTGCTTCAAGTCGTAGCCCGTGTTGTTTTTCCGCAGAGTACCAAGATCGTCGACAATGGTGCCGTCCGGTAGTACTGCTTCGATTCCAAGAACATTGCCGTGTAACGAACCGTAACGTAGCAGTCTCAGCCCTCCGGCATTGGTCGCAACGTTTCCACCTATCTGGGCGGATCCTTTGGCACCGAGGTCAAGGGGAAAGAGATGGTTATGCTCGGCAAGGTAATTGTCGGCTACTTCGAGTATAACGCCAGCATCGACCACCAGGATGCCGCTAATGTCGTCGAACCTGCGGATTTTGTTCATTCGGGAGAGTGAGATGACAATTTCGTCAAAGACCGGCACACTGCCGCCAACCAGGCCCGAGTTTCCACCTTGGGGTACCACAGCCAGCTTATTGTCATTGCAATATTTGAGTACTTTGCTCACTTCTTCCGTGCTCTTGGGTCTTAAGACGAGCTTGGTATGGCCTCTGTATTTCCTCATCCAATCAGTGTTGAAAGCCTCCAGGTCATCTGAAGCATCGGTGGTCAGTCCATCAATAACCGCAGCATCGTCGCCGAGGGCAGACTTGAAGAACTGGATATGATCGGCCGTGATTTCCGCGAACCGTGGGTCTCGTTTGAGAGTGGGATACATGTCGGTCGTGTATTTGACATTGCGATGGGGTTCGCTGGGGTCCTCTCGTCGTCGACTCGTTACGGAGAAGTTTCGGGCGGGCTCAAACAAGGGCCGCAGAGGTTGGCACTGTCTGGCTTGCGACCGAGGCGTTGAAGGTCTTTTGGTCTGGCGCAGGGCGCGCACCAGACCTCTTGATACTGAGCCAGACATGCCTGCCGGCGTTGGGGACTTTTGTTGACGGAGTGCAGGGCGTGTAGTCAAGGAAAAGAGGAATTGGAGAAATGTTATCAAGTGAGCAGGGAAATTCGTCTCTTGCCATCGCATTGCCGGTCTTCGGCAGCTGCTTTTCCGGGAATCTCCACTTAAAAGTACAAAGCGACTGGCGGGGCTTTCCGAAAGTGCTTGGCGAGGCTGCCACAGAGCCTTGTCCCAAGAGCACCATCCCTCCTCACCTCTCTTGCCCCTTCAAGGCCTCTGTACCAAACCAAGATAACGAGACTTTACCTACGACTGAAAGAAATGAGAACTCAAGAATTTCCAGGAAGAGTGAGTCGGTCATACCGAATCACAACGTAATCATTCCCAATCATCATAAGACTACCCTCATTCACGATCCGACTTTTTCGTTTCCGAGCACACGTTCGGAACATGACCTACTGGTTGCCACAATAATCGTCCATCGCAGTATCGGTTGTCCCAGAACCTTTCAAAAGCACAGGTTGGTACCTTATGCCCCGCTTGTCCTCGCTCCTCAATCGTTACAAAAGTCCTACACTCGTGGCTGCCGGGATGGATGCCGAGTTGGGAAATCTCCGCGCCTGTGAGATCCAATCATGTTATCCCTCGAGGAACCGGTGTTTTGTAGCCTGCTGCAATTATTCACAACATACTTAAGGCTCACCTAGAGATAGCTTCTGTGCGTACACTCATCTGGGACATGAGGTCTTTTGGCGGCAGAGCTCCCGGCAATATTCTGAGGAGATAGTCCGAAGTTCTGGCGGTTATCATTTGTGAAAAGCTGAAACGGGTGAGTAAAAGCCATTGGCCACAGCGACCGTGATTGTAATGTCTAGACTGCGAGGTCGGATATCAAAGTCCCCGAAAAGTCTCACGTACAACATGCAATGTTGTGTTCTTGACAGGCGGTTGGACGGTTAACTGGACACCTCCCTGAATTAGCCAATGGAGTTCAAGGACGATAACCCATCGACCACAGGGACCGGTGCCGCCTTGATGTTTTAAAAGCTGAGACTCTCTTTGATCTCTTTCCAATCACTTGATAGTAAGGGTACGGTAATCTGCATGTATCCTCTAATTTTCTTGCGTAGATGGCTGAACGGAACAGTTGGCCTTCACAGTTTTTTTTTTTGGTACCAGAAATTGCACAGTGCTACTCTGCAGATGTCGTAGCACAAGAAGTATGGCCTATTCCTCTAGCCTTGCCGCACCATCTACCAAATGTCCCTCCACCAAGACATGAAATATGGACACAGTAGGAGGTAGAAACGGAGGTCAAACGAAGGAGCATTCGGCGTGGGACAGGAAAATATTGCTAAATAAAGCGGCGCTGAGCGCTATGCCGAATCAGGGAACAGCACTAGTGAAAGATATTAATATTTTGCGGGGAAACGGTCCACCTAGATGACCATTGCACTCAGGGGGACAGAGCTACGGCAGTCATTACTCCCAAACATTTGACAACATCGCCCTCATCATCTCCGTCACCGTCGTTGTCCGATCGCGATATTTCCCGGAACAACTTTACTCTGATCTGTGTCGAGGTCCGACACATCTCGTCTCCTAGGAGCCTTTGTGCGTTAGCTCTCCAAAGACCGTCTCACCTGCACCTGAGAGGGGGTTCCACGAACGCATAACTGGACAATTACAAGGCCCCGAAACGAGCCACCACACCTAACTCTCGTCGGCGCACACGAGTCATGGAGCCAATCACCTCGACCGTCGCGACGCAGTACCACAAGTTCATCGACGCAGTCAATGCCCGCCCACGCCAGACTGCGGCAACGACAACCGCCGTCGCGCTGACGCTGTCCCTCGCGTGGGTGCTGAACGATTTCCACGCGTGGAAGTCCTTCGGCACGGGAGGCACCCCGCCCACCTGGGCCGGGTACTGGCGCATGACAAAGCTCCGCCTGAACCGCCTGCTGCTGTTCGGTAAGGACGACCTTTCCGACCCGTCGCCTCTCTCGTCCGTGGGGCCCAGGTATCTCGACCTAGCGACCATCCCGGCGCGGGAGGGCGCCAGACCGTCAATCATGGCCCGCACCATGCCGCAGCGCCAGGTGCCATACAAGACCGGCACGGCGGACCCGGGGGTTGAAGAACGGGTGTCGTCCATGATGGCCTCGTTGGCCGCCAAAAACCCTTCCGTCCTGGACCTCCGCCCCAGTAAGACCGAAGGCGGCAGCACAGACGCCATCTACGCGAAACCCACCCTCGAAACCCTCAACGCCAAGGCCAAGGACAACAAGATCCTAGGCACGGAAATCGCCCACGCGCATCCCTCCGACGGGAGCCTGCACGTGTGGCTGTCCGAGGCGGATGCCAAGACCGTGGTCGAGAAGGGCTGGGGATTGAGGTTCCCGCTCAAGTTCGTCGATAAAGGGTGGGCAATGGTCTATGCTCCGCGCACCATGGCCGAGGTGGACGTTGTGGAGCGCATCGTGCGAGCGGGGATTGCGTGGGTCGCTGGTGTTGAGGTCTAAGGGCACTTGCCACTTCAAGGAGAGCTGTTTCAGTCACAGCGTCTATGCTTTTCAATCTTTGTTGTTTTACATCCTCTTTCCCTACGGTCGGAGCGAGTGAATGGGGCTCTTGGTATCTGCTGGGAAGGGAGAACAGGCTCGGAAAATTACGCATGCAGGCAGAATTCAGCCCGGCTAATCAATTGGTATTAATGGTATTAATCCATCCTCATTCCTCGTCGCTTGCTTAACCAGCGCTACAATACTCGCGTTCCGCTTCAGCAAGATGAAATGCTGGAAATGAAAAAAAAAACGAGGGGAAACCCTTCACGCGGTGATGCCTCACTGACCCGTTTTCTGTCCCAGATGTCTGTCATCAATACGTCCCTCCAGTGAGTGGCATAAAGACCGCAAGCGAGCACTTTTTTTCATCGTCCTGATCTTTCCCCGTCTTCGGGGTCTTTTTTCAATTTCTCATCACGATCCTCTCAGTCCAGCCTCATGAGAGCGTGGACGTCTTACTCAACTCGTTCCGGTACAACGGATGGCTCTCGACCGTCCTGACCCACAGCTTCCAAGGCTTGTCCTGAAACGCTTCGTTCATGGCGGCGCACCCCCGGCCCTGCTCATCCGTGAGCGCCTGGAACCCGACTCCCATGCCCTCGTCGTGGAGTTCTTCGCGTCCTGGCACGTTGTTGGCGATGGCCATGGCTTTGGTCTGCGCCTCGGCGTTGATGCGCGTGTAGATGGCCCGGTAGACGGCAGTGACGATGTTGTCGGCCACGCAGGTGAAGCCGTGGCGGCGCATCAGGACCACTGTCTCCTCGGGCGCTCGTTGGCCAGGGTCGGACACGAATTTATCGGCCAACGCGGCGCCGAAGCGCGAGTTGTTCACCAGCATGTCCCGCTGCTCCCCGTCCCGGTAGAGCGGGTCGATGTCGAAAACCCGGACGCCCTTGCTGCCCAAGAAGCCCGCCATGTGGTAGACGGCCTTGAGCTTAGCGCCCATGCTCACGACGTAGGGCAGGACTTCCTCGGCATGCGAGTGGATGACGCAGTTGACGCCGGCGTATCGCTTGTAGATCTCACCGTGGATGAAGCGCTCCGAGTATCCCTTCTTCGCGTCCGGGTCGACCGTGCTGGAGTCGGCGACGTGGTAGTAGATCAAGTCCGAGGGCGAGGCGACCAGTGCCGGCGCCATGTAGCCACACATGATGTACTGCGAGGGTTCATGTGGGTGACGGATCGAGATGTGCCCATACGCATCGACCACTCCATGGTGGTCCAAAATGTGGTTCGCCCAGATCAGGTCGCGAAGGGCGTCAGTCAGTGTGCTGTCGGTGGTGATTGTCGAGGCCATGACGGTAGCGGTAGGTATGGACAGTCAATCTAGGTGAAAGATAGCCTTGCCGGTCAAGCCGATATCTTTGATGCTTTCATCGGCTCTCAATTGAGACTGATGCGGAGTTGAGCAGTATTTCTGTTTGACACTCCGGCATAAAATAGTCCGACCCCACACGGTCTCACGCAGCAGATACTATAGAGAGTCAAGTATTAAGCATGTAACGTATTCGGTGGTGCAGTACATGAGTAGGTATTGAAACGGCGTCCAAAAATAACACAAAAGGTGGGGAGGCGGGGACGAAAGGAGGGGCTCAAGCTGCGCAGCTCCGAGTCGAGGAGTGAAGCAATCATATTCCTCATCACCGACCAGTGCAAAGATACCACTAGAAATACCGATCCACCACGCCGCTGACAACTGAAAGCTCCTACTCAAGAGTCCCTAACCACCTCGTCCATCCGAAGCTCGTCCTCGAAGTCTGCGCCCCATATACCACTATCTGCGCCCCTATCAATCCAGCTCCGTCCGTTTCGCAAAGAAGAAGTTCAGTTCGGTTGGTGTGGCTCGAAACCTGGTGACATGCTCAATCGTGTTGACAAACGCTGCTGTGGCCTCCTCTGCACTCTCCCACCCCGAAAAGTTGACCCTGACATCTCTCTCCTTATTGTCCTTGGGGATATTCCACGCCGAGATGGCTCCATACCGCGCCCCGCCCAAACTAGAGGTCTGCGACGCGAATTCCTGGTCAAACTGCGTTTTAATCACCCCGTGTTTAGCGAATCTTTCTCTGATGATGGCCAGCACGGGGGCATCGAGCGGAATCCGTGATTGGTCCACGTCAATGTAGTGCATCCAGTCAATGCCCATTTGGTCTTTGATCAGTTCGAGGATTTCGGCCTGTTGGGGGGATCCATCGAAGCCGTGCTGATGATGGTCTTTGTTTCTCCAGGCCCCAACTACAAACAGCACGGAAGCGTCGTCGACTTGGGTGTAGAAAAGAGTTTGTAGTTTGCTGTAGTCTTCAATCACTCTTTTGACTTCCTTCAGGTTCTTCTTGAGTTCACGGTCTGTCGCTTGAAGGCCGTTTTTCAGAGTGATGTGCGCTAGTTCGATGATCGCCATCTTCGAAGGCCTAGTAGAGGAAACGGGAGGCGTCAGAAAATATCTGAGGAGGGGTCAGTTGTGTCTGTAGGAATGATGACCAGCACATAACACCTTCAGGCGGCAGATCTACCAACCGCACCATGGAACGGCTGAGGCTGAAGCTTGAGAGCAGCTTGACCTGTTGCGGTAGTTTGGGCCTCCAGGGTCAATTTTGAGTTCGATGGCTCGCGTGGATTCTGGCCAGCGTTGCTTTTACGGAGACCGCTGCGGCTGACATTATCCACCGAGACAGCTCTTTGCTGGGATATTTTCAAGGTAGAGAGAGGGTGAATTGAGTGACGTTTAAAAACAATACTGTGCGCCCCAAGTCCCATTGGAAGTAGAAGAGAAGGTTGATTCAGCGACAAGCAACCAGCGAGAACTGCGCACCCATTCCGCAGTTGGCCTCTTGACCTCCCCACGGACTCCCTCTCCTTACCGAGTAACTATCAAACTCTCGTACTTGCTCTACGCCAGCTAAAATGAGTCCACCACTGAAAGTCATCATAGTGGGTGCCGGTACGTTTTATGCATCTTCTCGCAAGGGAATCTCTTTAAGCGCGAGCCTCTAACGAAAAGGAGGAATATAGGCCTATCAGGCTTGGCCCTTGCACAGGGCCTTGAAAAGGTACGTGCACGATGTACATGCAGTAAATTGCCTTTATTGGGACAAGACTGAGTCGGGACTGACAGAACGGGATCGACTACGTTGTTGTGGACAAGGAGAGCGAACCACGCGATCGAAACTGGGGGGTGACCATCGCGTGGAGCCATCCTCTACTCGCACAGCTTCTCCCGGACGAACTCTACAATCGTCTATCGGAATGCCAGCCAGATCCCGGTCTTGACACTAAAGCTGCCGGCTTTGAAAGTGTCATCATACGGGATGGACAGACGGGCGCTACCATAGTGCAACCTCCATTCCCTGGGGTACGAAGGTTGAATATCCAAAAGACAAGGACTATTTGGTCGAAAGGGGTGAATGTCAAGGTATACCGTTAACCGCTTCCGTCTCGGTAGCCCACGTCAGCGTACTCACATGTTTCCTAGTTCGGTAAAACCCTCACAGACATCGAGCTAACCGACAACGGAGTCATCGCTCATTTCCACGACGGGACCTCAGAATCGGGCTCCGTCCTGGTCGGCTGTGACGGGGGCGGCTCATGGGTTCGACGCTGGATGCTGGGTGACAAGGGGACCTCGGTGGTCTTGCCATACACGTTCCTCAACTTCCCGTTCCGCTACACGGCCGAACAGGCCGTCAAAATGGACAAAATGATGCACCCCATCGTGGATGTCGCCGTGCATCCAAAGTCCATGTACATCGGCATCTTTGTGCTTGACAAGCCCGACCTAGAGAGGCCCGAAACCTGGGTCTTCTACATCCTCGCGACGTGGGCCAAGGAGAACAAGAGCGCCCCGGACGCATCCACCAACACAAACATGGTCGACGAGCTAAAGAAGCGTATGGACGACTGGGCCGATCCGTTCAAGTCGGCCGTGGAATGGATCCCCAATGGTACCCAAGCTAAAGTGGTCCCTTTGAGGATCTGGGGCCCTCCCGACTCAGGCTGGGACAACCGTGGAGGAAGAGTCACCCTTGCAGGCGATGCGGCTCATAGCATGACGTTTCGTAAGCGATCTTATAATCCCCTTGCTTGCTTACTCATCCTTCGATATCATGTCATCTCCCACTGCGTCCAAGAATATCCATTCATTTCATATGTGGCTAACCATAAAGCTACGGGCAGACCGCGGCCAAGGCGCCAACAACGCCATCTGCGACAGCCAAAGGTTCGTCGCGGCCATGATCAAGGCCAAGAACGGCGCGGCCACGCTCGCCGAGGCCGTCGACGAGTACGACGCCGATGTCATCAGCCGGGGCAGGACCGAGGTCGACGTCTCCAAGACCCAGACGGACGCGTTCCATGACCACGCAAACTTCCACAACAGTCCCATCATGAGGTTGGGGATCAAGCCGACTTCGCAGGCCAAGTGATTTGGTTCTTGCTGCTCGGGATTGTTGTTCCTTTGAACTTCGGCTGAATCTCTACGTCAGGTGAGGAGGGTCAGGGTTGGCTGGGAGCCGATTCGACCCCGTCACAAGGAAAGGCAAGTTAAAATCGGAGACAGAGGCGGAGGATAGAAGATGGACCCGTATGCACTACCTACTGAGATATAGAAAGCTATATCACGGAGTATTAAACGTGGCCTATTTCCTGGATTTCAACAAATTCATCTTTTTGCTTCCTCCCAGCATTTCTCGACAAGTTACCTCCTATTTTGCTCCGTTCTTTTCTTGTGGGTGCTAACTACACAGTTCGGCCGGTGTCGAGCACTGATTCCCCTCGACGACGTTTCCTTGACCTGGGGTCTCGACGAAGATGTCGACATCATTCCCTCGAAGGACGTTGCCTGTCACGGCGTTATTTGCCGACTCGAGCCCTGTCACGGGGTCGTTCAGGATGGCGATGCCCACGGCGCTGCCATTGGTTCCGCCGGTCGTGAGGCCCTCGACGAGGTTCGCGTGGACCTGCGTATCAAAAGCGCCGAGCAGGGCGATTCCGATCAGCGCACCACCCGGCACGCTCGCGCAGAGCGGGTTGCCATCGCTGACGTGGTTGGCGACAACGCGTGCGCCCGTGACGCCCGGGTCCACAAAAGCGCCGTAGCACGCGTTCGTGACGTCGTTGCTCGACACGTCGGCTCCGTCTGTCTGTACACACAGTCCGACGGAGTAGTCGGCGACGTGGTTCTTGGTGACGTGCACGTCGGACGTGTCGTCCATGCAGATGGCGATGAAGAGCAGGTCATCACCCATAGCGGAGGATGACGCCACGGTGTTGCTCTCAATATGGCTACTCGTGGAACCCACCGTCAAGCACCCATACTGCGCGCCGTCGTAGAGGGTATTCCCCTTCACATGGACGTCCTGGCCACCCACCACGGCGATGTTCAGCCCAGAGAACCCGCGGACTTCGAACCCCGTCACAACCACGTCCTGAACGGGACGGCCGACCGAGATGACCTTCCTATGCTCCACGACAAACTCAGCAAGCTGGACATCCTGCCCAGCCACACAGATCCCAGCTTCTGTGTCGGGACCGGCCAGACCTGAACAGGTATTGTGCACGTAAGAGCCAGGAGGTACCAGGATGGCTCCCTTGCCCACCAGCTGGAGGCCGTCGGTGGTGACTGTCAGCTGTTCCGCGTACGTTCCTGCAGCAACGAGAATCAACTGTCCAGGATGAGCGGCGTTGATGGCGGCTTGGATGGATTCCCCGGCGTTGACATGAATCGCGCCGCCGTACCAGTCACTCGCGACGGCCGGGCATGCAAGCCAGGCGCACGCCCAAACCAACAGGGTTATGGCCTTATTGCAACTCCAGTGCGGAACTATGATTGCCATGGTCAAGATTGCCGAAGTGGATGTGCTTGGTTTATATCTTTCTTAGAAGTCCTTGCTGTATGGAGGGAGAGAACCTATGCGTACTGAGTACTATCCGGACGAGAACAAGAAGGGTGGAGGAACGGTCAGGATAAAAGGAGATACTATGCACCATACTTGATATTTCCACAAGCTGGCAAGATCCCGTCTCGTGTGCAAAGGTGAGATCCGTAGTCGGTTGTCGTCCGTATAGCATGCATTGCTGTCTGTGTACAGACCTTGGGCAGTACTGGTCTTACTGGCGTAAAAGACAATTCTCAAACTTAGACCCTCGTAAACTTCGAGCACAGAAGTCGAGGATGGATTCTGCTTGGACATATGTTCGTGATGCGCGGGTCCCCAGGACATCCACATCGTATTTTAACACATCTCGCCAATCCGTCGGTAGACACTATGCGTGAGTTATTATGGTGAGTTCGTGTCTTCGGTAAACAAGCTTCTAGCTCCCCCACACGAACAAATCCAGACCCTCGATCGAAGCCGGCCATGTGACGGCCGATTTCCAAGACCTTGTCGCGGACCCGTACTGCGGCGGCACTGAGCACAAAAGTTAGATTTTGAACGCCTCGGCTTGTTTCACCGCTGGAACTCTCATCCAAAAACCAAGACCAGGTTGGGAAAGTGCAATTGAATTCTTGAGATGCACAAAAGTCCCGTTACGGCGATGGACGAGAGTGGACATGTTCCTAACTCCAGTGAACACGAGAGGGCAAAAGGCAGGGTTAGATCTCTTGGTCGATGTGCAGCTGAAATGTGAATACGAACCTCCCCCTCTGGCTCGGTAGCCTAGTTTCTGCGTGAAAGTATGAGCATAATAAGGATGCAGCTGGAAGAAGGAGAGGGATCGATGTGAAACAAGAGTAATACTGTCGCTAAAATATCGAAATATCCGCCCATCTATGGTAACATGGAGGAATATTCGTACATGTTGTTTACCCACTCGATTCAACGGCCAGACATGGATGTGATATTGCTGGTTATCCCGGCTTCCGGCCCTTGACAAAGTACCATCGCTGGTAAAGATGGAGTCTGCGGTCTACAAACTCCTCCTTCACCTCGGCCATGGCAGTCTCGGTGACTTCGTCGCTGTGGTGCAAGACCCGCTTGTAATAGGCCAGCATGAAAGAGGGCACTGATTGGAGCATCTGTATTCGATAGAGGACTCCGATCTCTTTCAACTTTGGATCCTTCGCCCAGGGCCCTATGGGAACCTGTACTCCGTAGTGAATCAGAAACGGCGACTACTTCCGTGGCTGGGGTCGCCGCACTCACCTTCTTCACAATTTCCTCCACATCCTGGAACCCGGCTTGAAGCATCCAGCGTTTGTGGAGATGAGCCACATTCAGTGGCTTTCCGACCCTATCGCTGGCTTGTTGTAGTTGTGCGATGGCCGAGACGCACGCGGTTGCACGCTCCAAGCCGCCATCATCACTGAAGAAGCTCACGGCATGTTCTTGCAGTTCAATCCAGCCTCCAGGCTTGAGATTCCTAAAAGCCTGCGCGTAGAACCGTGGCCAGTCCCCGATGCCACCGCACAGACCGCGGGCGTGGATAAAATCAAACTTCTCGTTTTCCGCCCACGTCCAGTCCGCTTCTGCGTCGTCGACGTAGAACTGTAGATTCGGTGGCACCCAGGGCGGCTGTATCGGACTCAGATCCGTGCCAATCACCTGGGCGCTGGGGAACTGGTCGGCGATCTCAACGGCCCATATACCTGTGCCGGTGCCGACGTCGAGGATACGATGTGGATCGCGAGGGAGGGGCGCGGTGAACAGCTCCCCGCCCAGCAGCATTTTGCAGATGTGGTGGAGCAGATCAAGTCGATCTTGCTCCTCTTCGTCGTTGGGCAGATAGTAAGCACCTTCGCGATATGAGTGGTACGTGCGCCCATTTTCGTATCGGTAGTTGTACACTGACGATCGGACACTCTCGCTGAGTAACGATTGTGGCCCTCCATCAAACCCGGAATCCGCATCCGACTCATCGTCCTGGCGCAGGTGTTAGCAAGCCACGTTTGCGCGAGGCATCTTACCCTCCTTACTCTGTAATCGTGATCTACCAAGAGATTTCCCTCTGAAGAGATGGACGCTTCTCGGTCGCTTTGCCCGGTCGCCATGTTGCCTACCACAACTTGAATTTCTGGGGTTGAGGCCAGTGATGTGCGACAAATTCCTGGCGCTGGAGACCAAGGACGTTTCCGAGTGGGGAATGGGATCGGGGTGGACTGAGATGGGAAATGTAACTGGAGTCACCGAGGAAAACCACTTTGACCAGACACCAAGATACGCCAGTTTGGTTGAGGTTAGGGTCTATGAGAAAGTGCCGGGGAAGTGAGGGACTTGGGCGGGACCTGTGCAGGTCGACAAGTAGAGATAGCGGGCGACTATGCCGCATGTCATGCCACCCACGATCCATCCACCGCCCACCCACCACTCACTGTTCACCACTCCCTACCTGGGTACAGTAGGTACTTACCACTCACTACATACTCACTATTTACTACTCACTACTGTCTACTGTTACTGCCCACTGCCCACTACTCACCACCCACTCCGATTGTCCCGAGTATTAGCTACCATGTCCGCAGCTTATCAGGTTCTCAGGGCACGTCATGGCCACTCGCCTATTGGCCCTATCCGCTCATGCATAAACCATGTGCCAATATTCCTTCCACCTGTCTCTATTCCCTCTCATTGGCGATACCAACCCCTCTACACTGCCTGGCGGATGGCTAGGGAGTCCCCGTTGATGCCGGCCCAAGCGCCCTGCAGGATGGATACTACGAGTACCACTGCAACCAGGATGGACGGGGCTCCTGCACATGGGTGAATGAATGGATAAATTGTGCTTCGTTGCACAGCTCTGCTCTGCCTCTCGACAACCCTTCGACCGTACTCGTCCCTCGTAACGAACAAACAAGAGAAATGGCCATAGCCGTTGCTGCCGGTCCCTTGGTCCAAACCCTCCTAGCCGCTACTGGCGCATATGCGCTCTACCTTGTCGCCCTTGTAATCTATCGCCTGTACTTCCACCCGCTCGCGAAATTCCCCGGCCCCAAGTACGCGGCAATCAGCCACTGGCACGAAGCCTACTATGATGTCTTCCTGAAGGGACAGTTTACGTTCAAGGTCCAGGAGATGCACCAAAAATATGGTACTATGAATTTTGGATATGATTTCCCCAGGGTTCCTGCTCGTCCCTAAATGTCACGCTTAGGACCGATCGTACGCATTGTCCCCGACGAGCTCCATATCCAGGACTCGGACTTTTACGAGACTCTCTATACCAAGGCCGGGCGCGTGGACAAGTATGAGTGGATGGCTGGCCGGTTTGGTGATCACGACTCAGCTTTCGCGACAGCGTCGGACGAGCTTCATCGCATTCGACGGGGTGCTCTCAACCCGCTCTTCTCGCGACAACGCATCCTCGATCTCCAGGATGTGATCCAAGGTAAAATCGACATCCTGGTGGAGCGTGTCCGCGAGTTCCAGGCCACTGAGAAAGTCATGCCTATCAACCGGGCATTTGCGGCACTTACGGAGGAAGTCATACTGGAATACTGTTTCAGCCTCAGCTACGACGCTCTGCGCGAACCCGAGTTTGAAAAGTCGCTACACGATCCGATCATGGCCGCTAACCAGTTCAGCAACGTGTCTCTGCAGTTCCCGTGGATCCCTATGGTTCTTTTCAACCTTCCCCAGTCCATCACGGTGAAAATGCAGCCTGAATACGCTCTGTTCTTCAGGATGCAAAATGTATGGAATGGTGCCTATCCCGAGGAGTGACCATGTAATGCTGACGAAATACAGGACTTTCGGAAGCAAATCGACGCGATGAAAGCCGGCAAAATGAAGGATGTCCTGGAGAAGTCTTCTCACCGAACAGTGTTTCAGGAGTTGGTTGAAGGTAACTTACCACCATCAGAGAAGAATTCACTACGATTACAGGGCGAGGCTTCCGTCGTGGTCGCGGCGGGAGTCATCACAACAGGCTGGGCGCTGTCCACGGCGGCTTTCCATATCATCAACAATCCACCGATCTTTCAGAAACTACGGGCCGAGTTGGAGGCTGCTATGCCGGACCCCACCGTCAAGCCCAGCTGGTCTGACCTCGAGAAGCTACCATATCTTTCCGGGTGTGTGCGAGAAGGGGTTCGTATGTCATATGGAGTGACGGCGAGAGAGCCCCGGCTCTTGTCAAAGCCTCTAGAGTACAAGGGCTGGATCATCCCCCCAAGGACTCCTGTGAGCATGACCAATGTCGACGTGTGCGACGACGAGAAGATCTTTCCGAATCCCCGAACGTTCCAACCTGAGAGATGGATCGGCAATCCTAAGACAGCCCACGGGCAAAGCTTGGAAAGATACTATGTTAGCTTCGGCAAGGGTTCACGAAGCTGTCTGGGCATCAAGTAAGTGTGCTGAGCTCGTTGACGCTGATTAACCGTCATGTTGAGTGTCCGTTATAGCCTTGCACACGCCGAACTCTACTTGACCATCGCGTCTCTCTTCAGAAACTTTGACTTTGAGCTTTACCAGACCGATATTAGCGATCTCGAATTAGCGCACGACTTCTTTGCTCCGAGCCCACGACTCGACTCGAAGGGCGTCAGGATTAAGGTTAAGCCCGCATAGCCGGCGTCGTACAAGTCCATTGACAAGCTTTTGCTGAGTTGGCGACGATTATAGGGACGGTCACCGGCGTGCGTCGTGCAGAGAGGAGAGATCCGAGTGAGGTAGCTAATGGAACGGTCAGTGTTATGTGGCCGTCAAAGATATTCTTCTTCCCGTTGACAGAAACGTGTCAGTGAGTGTGACTGTTCGGTTACCTTGTTAGTCTCTCTCGTGAGGATTGAGCAGTAGTTGCTGTCATCAGTTGGCCGAACCTGAGTAGATGGCAGACGGTATCCCATGGCGAGATAGTCCGCTCAGATATCCTGTGATGGTGACATGTAGCCCTCTATTACGCACGGTAATCTACCAAACCAAACGCGAAGTTCTATTCTCAGTGTTTACCATCTCAATCCAAAAGGAGATAGGGACTCCGTACAAGTGCACAAGCGCAACAGCTGACAGGCCACAAAGGACGTAGATCTATCTCTCGGAAGAGATGTCGGTTCAGCGCCCACCCAGCTCCCGATCCTGTTTCAAGGACGATTGATGGACAGTGGTGGTTTGGTCGACGACCTGAACGACAGTATCTCTCCCAATGTGCAACATTCCTCTCCGCACTCGTAGCTGGTCTTGGATGCCCGTGTCCCAGTGGGTGCCAGGATGTAATGGTGAAGTATATATTCTCAGAATCACACAAGCCAGATATAGAAACGACGAGTTCGAGGACTGATGATGCGGTTCGAGACGAATCTCTCACCACTTTTGACAAAGAGCGTTGCTAGAAGCGTCGCGATTTCGCAGACGGAGGTTGTTGTCCTTTTCCTACTTTTTCCCTGTTTACCAGTCTTCATTTCATCGACAGTGTCGTCTTCGTCTCCGTCTTCGTGGGGAGACGATGTGTGCCGCCGTCGTCGAGTGAGTGGAGGGACAAAAACTTGAGTTCGATCAGGAGGACAAATAACGGCATGGCCGTGGTCGTGAGCACATCCAAGTGGACGATGTGACCGGTAATCGTCGTTTATGTCATCTTAAACTGCTTCGTCAGGGAGACGGGAGGATCGTTCAGGCGACCGTCGGGCTATTCTTAGTGAAGGGCGGGCGCCACGGCATATTTCCTTTGGCGCCAGGTATTCGCTCGGTTGTTCCGGACCTGCGTGAGTGGATGGGCGAATAACAAGCCAAAGCCAACATCACGACAACATTCTATTCTAATCTTCGTGGCCTTGGGTATATATGAGATCAGTCTCTCCCATGCCTCGCTGACTTTTGTTCTTGTGCTTGCTCTCTCCTCGCCATTTCAATTTAATTATCGAAGAAGCAGAAGAAGGCGACTTTGTACTTGATGGCAAGAGACTGGCAACTAATGTGCATGTCACTTCGGCATCTACCGCCCATTACCTTGATCCAGCCTACTCATTCATGCTTTCAAAGCAGCCAATTGCTAACAGAGATCATAGATGAGATTACAGGGCCAATCCCCCTTTACCCGGCCCAAGCAATCATTCTGATAGTCCCGCGAAAACCGAGTCACCCATTATGAAGTCCTCGACATGCATGTGAGAGTCCCCGGACACAACCCTTTGAGACAGGAAAGAAGAGCATGCAGTAGCAGGGAATAGCTGATCCGTCGAGGTGTGCGCCCGACATGGGCCTTTCAACCTTCCCCGGGTTGCTGACGCCAGGCCCACGACCTGGTGGTCTCTCCCCCCTGCTCACCACCACCACCACCACCACCAGCCACAAGTCGAGATACCAACTGTCGAAGCTCGAAGACTAAGACTGAGGAAGTAGGCATCTGCGACACCACATAACGACTACTGTCACCGTCCAATTACTCAACAGAAAATGAATGGCAATGAGAGAGAAGGTGCCCTTTCTCCTAAATTTCCCCTGATCATGAAAGCTCAACCAACGGTGGCATACCATGTCAGTCTTGCACTAGCCGGTAGAATCAGCAGGGCCCTTTCGACTTCAGGGTCCATGCGCAGCAAAAGGGCCTTCAGCGACATGCCATCCGCTCCCATCTCAAGCCTCTTCCTCGCCATTGAGTATGCTCCCCGAATACGAAGCTGTAACACTCAGCTCATCCACGTGCTTACTTCAAGGCGAATTGAGCTATTTAATCCACAGTATTTGGCCTATTAGGCTGCGCTGCAGGCTCACCGCATCTTTGCTTCAGGCAGCACTTCTGTTATATGGCGCCTGGATGCATCCAGACCCATCGCGGATGCAGCCACCAATATTAATTCCGGGCAACATACATGCAAAGACTGCATTTCCAAGGTTCTCTATCCAGCCACGTCATCCACAATGACTCAGTGCAGACATGTGATGAGCGACGCTTTGCTTAATTCGCTTCAAGCTCTTTACTTAAGGTTTGTACTCTCGCCAGAGACATGCGTGCACTTCGTTGAACCTATGGGAAATGCTGGAGCCAATGTCTCAACCCTGCCCTTTGACATCAAATATGCGCCCCGATGAGCAGAGAGACAAGAGTGAGGCGGCCAAAATCAGCCTCTCGCTCTGGAATGCCCAACAATTGTTGGGTGTAAGGCTCACTCACAGCGGGTTTGATCGCCGATCGCAAAATTTACAGCTCGACAGTCGCCATGGTCCCTCTTGCTCAGGCAGGGTCAGGGAGCATTCTTCGACCTATAAATAACACCGAACTGTCGCCAACTTTGTCAACCACCAAACGATCTTTCCAGAACTCCTTTTCCCACTCATTCTCTAACAGCATGCCCCCTATGGCTAGCCCTTCCAGGCGCGAACCCCAAAGCAGAGTCACGAAGCGACCTTGGACACAGGATGAAACCGGTCATTTGGTCTTGGGTCTTCAGGCTGGGTATCCTTATAGCGAAATCCGACGACTCTACCTTCAAAGAAGATCAATCCGAGCTTGCAAAGCTCGAGTTGAAACTCTAGAGAAAAACGGCATGCTAGCCAACTTTCTCCCAATCGCCCCACAACCGAGCTCAACAGCCAGGCCACGGACGGCGGAAAGCCGCAATGATGAAGCACCCCCCAGAAGACGCCCAAATCCCCCAAGGAGATCTAGATTTCCAGGGGTGCATGCGGACCAGTCGTTGGCCTCAGCAGGCGAGGCGACTGACGCCACTTATATATCCCCAGACTTTTCAGATGGAGAGGACAGTGACGATTCATATGTGGATCCCAGCTCCGACATTGACGTTCCAAATGCCTCTCCTCCAGACACGCATAATCCAATGGATGCCGCGGCCACTTCGACCATGATGGCACCCACGGATGAAGCTATTGACCAGGTGCAGCTGCAGAATAACATATCTGTGGAACAAACCGCCCCCAGTATGCCTCAGAGTCAGGAGGCAACCTCTGCCGAAGTCGAGGCTCGTCGACTCCATAACTCAGTCCGGGAGATCTGGAATCAAATATCTCAGTTCTACATCAAGTATCCGGCTCCGGACGTGAATGTTCACCAGATAGATGAATGGGATGAGGACTGCGAGGACATCCATTTTTTGCTTTTAAAGTACGTTAACGCCTTTCGTCTGTGTTGCAGAAGCTGACTATCAATATAGGTGGACCAGAGACCTGCCTCCACAATACGCAGTGGTGAATGGGGAGATTCCAACGGATGCTCCAACAGATTTAATTGTGGCCCACCTGGAGTATCGGGTCGCACAAATCAAATGGTATGGGCCAATGCACAACTGTGATCCCTCGCGGAGACCCCACGGGATTTTCAAGAGTCCGGAAAAGACCTGTGTCGTGGCAGCCAGGGATATTGTTTCAATCCTGGAACAACATCTCCGGCGAACACCGCTGTATATGATGAGTCCCCATTTGAAGGCCCTGGCAACGGCGACCCTCACCGCATTCAGTGCTCTCAAAGGTTCGGAATGGCATATTTCGTCCCGCTCCATCTAAGTACCGACTAACCAAGGTTTTCAGATCGGGCTCCTTGTCCAGATCAAGACATACTTATGGCCCAGAGAATTGCACAAATACTTGCAAGTCTCCTCAATGTGCTGGTAAGTGATGTGTCCGGCAACCTGGCCACATCGAAGGAGCTCTTGACTCCCGGAAGCACCCCTTGTGTACCAATGAATGCGCCCAACAGTCTCAGGTACGTAATTGCGACCTCACAAAGTTGAGATATATGAGTAGGTCCTCGTTTTGGATTGACATATAGCTCTTAGGCGAGGACCGCGGGAAGTTCCAGATGCATCCAACCAACACAACAATTCCGGATTTGTCCCCTCGCCATCAACTCGAACGGGGAATGGTCCGCTCAATGGTGAGACTACTCCTGGCGATTTTGGACCAAGTCGAGGCCAACGCTGACAGTGCTCAATGTACTACAGAGGAAGAAGCCAACATGAACGTCCATGCGAGTGCAGCAGGACCCTCTAATTTCATTGGGGGGCCTAATGATGAACGGCAACGGCGACAAGCCGCAGCGAGCCCATTGACCTATGCAGCACCGTCTGAAATATCTCAAAACCCTTTTAGCGAGGTAAGAGGTTCTCGTCGTTGTCGTTCCGGGTCTTCACGGCTTATTGCCTTTTCTCTCCTCCCTCTGTTACTGTTTACTTCTTTAGCTACAGCTGGTTGCCTCATTGTACAAAGACCAGTCAAACTGACACAAGCACGTGTACTAACTTGGGCAGTTGTTTGCGGACGACTCCATTTTCGACGACCTTCAGAGCTGAATATGACCTTGCCGAACTGATCTGATGATGTGTGGCAACTCGGGCCGGTCCAACGTCTACAGATTCTGTCTTGGCCAATCTAGCTAAGAATATGTACTGATAGGGGTCAATTAGTCTATGGCGTTCGGGGGGCATTGGAGAGGATGTCAAATCGCAACAGTCGACTAACTTTAGTAGTATAATCGCGGAATCCGGTACTTGAGGCTGATCGCCTGGCAGGCTGGTCTCTCGTCTCGGCGCTTATCAGTCTGATCTGGTCAATGTAAGCCTCCTCGGCGTCCTTGTACTTGAGGTACATGGTGTTCTCGTCCATGTTCATTAGCTTACTATTAGATAGATTGAATATAACACTATAGTAGGCGAGAACGCCTCAGGTGAGATATTCAATCCGTCCGAGGGTAAGCTAATGAACTTGGACGGGAACGCCATGTACTTCAAGTACAAGGACGCCGAGGAGGCTTACATTGACCAGATCAGACTGATAAGCGCCGAGACGAGAGACCAGCCTGCCAGGCGATCAGCCTCAAGTACCGGATTCCGCGTTGGCCCGCCATCGGCGACAAGTTCTCGTCGAGGCACGGCTAAATGGCGTCAATTCGATACTATAGCCCAGCGAGGATATACCCTATAGCGAATCCAGAATCTAACCCGACGTCATAATCAACCCGTACGCCTTTCCCTCCCGAATGACTATCGGCATGTTTATCGAGTCCCTGGCCGGTAAGTCCGGGCCCTCTACGGCCTCGCGTAGGACTATACGCCCTTCTCGTTCGACGACTACACAGCGGGTGATTTCTTCGGCGAGTAACTCCTACAGGCTGGCTACAACTTCTACGGCAACGAGCCCATGTACGGCGGCATCACGGGCAAGGAGTTCGCGGCCGACATCTACATCGGCGTCGTCTACTACCAGCGCCTGAGATACGTGGTCAGTGACAAGTTCCAGGTGCGCACGACGGGGCCCGTCAACGCCCTGCACGTCTATACCAAAGTTAGTCGACTGTTGCGATTTGACATCCTTTTCAATGGCCCCCGAACGCCACAGACTTATTGACCCCTGCTGGTACATATTCTTGGCTAGCTTGGGCGGTCGTTCCTGGTACAGATCTGTGTGACGTATTGGAATGCGGCAGCGAGCTGTAGCTATCGATGCCTGGAATGGAGGTTCTCCTTTCGTTACGCCTAGTGGCGGACTGCGTTTTCAGTTTAGGCTGTTGATTAAATGAGTGATTTCGCGAGATGAAGGGCGGGTTCGGCTTTTTCTTTACCACGGCAAAAACCATGACGCAACCGTTTTGAATTACTTTTAAATGATTCGACGAATGATAATCGGCAGTACCATATTTTGTCTTGTCTTGTCTGAAACGATGGGAGGAATGATATTGGATGACCCCTTTTCTTCCTACCCGTAGCTGTAGATGGGAGTGAGAATGGAAGTTGGGGAATAAGGGGTGAATACCCCAAAGCCACCAAGCGCGGAAGCCCCAAGGCTGTCACACTCAGGGGCAACACACAACCTTCTTGGCGACGACACTTTTACCAACCGATATTTCTGACCATACACACCGCCGGCGGAGATGTGGTTCTAGCTGTCAACTCAGCTTCGGTGTCTAGTGTCTCGTGTCCACCCAATCTTGTAATATAGGCTAACTAACCATCTCCGAAGGCCGGGAGCATCCAGGTGGGTGCCAGATGGGTGCCAGAGGTAGCAAGTGGGTGGCAATGTAGGTACCTGATGATTAGCTAAGCTGTGCTAATTAAAGTCGAGGTAAGCCAGACGAAGCTGTGTACCTCGTACCTGCCCCTTCCAGACCGGCGCCAGGGGTGAATGCGACATAACTCGAGTCAACTAGGTAGGTAAAGGGTACGAGGGACCTACAAACCTACTCGGTACTTGGTACCTATCAGGTACATACCCACCGTGGGCCTACTGGGGACATACCAGGCACTCGTACACACTGGGTACGTACTCACCGTAGGAGTGGATAGGTATGTGTTCATGCATTTATGTAACCTCGCAAGTACCGGGTCCTCGTCCTCGTACTGGCACTCGTACATGCGAGCGTCAAGCTGAATCTCTCGACTCCAGCCTGCAGGGGGTCTCCAGTCCCCAGTCTTCTATTCAGGTCTGCTCCGAGGACACATGTGATGGCGAGATATGACATGGGGTTAGGCGTCAGGCGTCCAATCTTCAAATTCAGGCCCCCTCGCCGTGTACGAGGTACCGAGCACTTGGTCTGCGGAGGATTTGATATCACCGGGGCCCGTTGATTCAGGGAAGTAATGTAGCGGTCAGGACTTGAAGGTTGGAAGGTACGAACGGCGGATAGGTGGGTATTCATGAAGACACTGATGTGGACACCAGATACAGGACACTGGACACAGACACAAGAGACCAGACGGGTATCTAGGAGAAGTTCAAAGGCTAAATATGAGGAAACAACCCCATAATAATAGAAGGGGGAAAACACTGTACTAGTTTCCTTAGTTTTGGGTCTTGGAGCTGGTTTCAAGGTTCAAGGTTGAGGTTAAGTTGACATCCTCTGACAGGCGTGACAGGGAAGGATAGCGACGACGAAATAAATCCAACATCGTATCCTAACATCGAACCTCGACTTTCAGCAGTCTAGTACCCTGAATCCAGCGAGTAATCGAGTGTCATCTCTATCATATCCCTCCATGTCCGCCTCGAAACCCACAATCATCCTCGTCCACGGCGCGTGGCACTCGCCTGAGCATTTCCGTCCGTTGGAGCAGGCACTCAATTCACCACCACCATCGTCATCTTCTTCTGGTGGTGCTAATGGTGGTGCTAATGGCTACAGAACCATCTCGCCCTGGTTACCCAGTATGCACTACACCCACCTCGGCCTGCCCCCTCCATCAAACATCGCCGACGACATCGCCGCGATTCGTCAGGCCATAATCTCCGAATTGACATCCCACCCGACTACCAACGTCGTGGTGCTTTCGCACTCGTACGGCACCGTACCGGCCACCGCGGCGCTCGAGGGACTCGACATCGCCGCGCGCGCACGGGCTGGCTACGGTAATGGAGTGACCGCGCACATGGTCATCTCGGGCCTCCTCGCGCCCGCGGGGACCTCTCTCCTCGACTGGGGTGGCGGGAAAGTTCCACCGACGATGGTCTTGTCAACGGTTCCGGTTCCTTTGTCTTCGTCCGGAGATGAAACCGGTGGCGTCGAGAAGGGGGATAGGGAAGTCAAGGTCTGCACGCCCGTCAAGGAACCCGGTCCGGTCGCGCTGTTCTATCACGATCTCGCTGAGCGGGATGCGCGCGCCGCCGAACACTATGCGAGTCTGTGTGTGCCGCAGGTCTGGGCCGTGCAGGAAACGGTCGTGCCGTTTGCCCCGTGGAGTCCACCCGGTGCAGAGATAAGGTCGAAAACAGAATCTCCATCGAATATAGACCCCCAAACCCAGTCCCAGTCAGGACCAATATCAGACTCGGACATGGGTACGGGTATAGGTACAGGTATGGACATATACTACCTCGTCTGCGAAAACGACCGGGCTCTCCCAGCGGCGATCCAGCGGGTCATGATCGACGCCGCTGACAAGGGCATTGCGATGCACCACCACCGTCATCACCACCACCATCTCCCTTTGTCGAAAGCCCAAGGGGCCAAAATCCACGTCACCGCGATCGACAGCGGACATTGTCCGTTTTTGAGCCGGGTGGACGAGACGGCGCGGTGGGTGAGGCGGTGTTGTGGTGGGGGGGAGGGATAGTCTACAGGCTACAGTACCTAGGTACGCGAGACGGGAGCACATGGTAGACTACAAGGGTCTAGTCTAGTGTGGTTGAGTCTAGTTGAGTATATTCTATCAAACAGGCATGGAGATGGCTAGAATATTAGAGAGGCAAGTCTGCGCTAGTCTAGTGTATCAAAAAGACATACTTCTACTGGTAGTGGAATGTTTACCTCGTATCGTGGTAGGTGTTTGCGTACAGAACCATGGATATGTACCTATTACCTAGGTAGGTATACTAAGTATCTGTGGTATGGGATATCACGGTAGGCAGGTAGGTAGGTCGGTAGATCGGTAGGTGGGGGTAGGTAGTAGTCAAGGCGTCAAGACGTGTCCTGAGATGAGATCTGCAAGGAAGAATATTAACTGTTGTATTCATTATTTCCCTTGTCGTCGTCGTCGTTTGTACACATCTCCTACAACCAGGGCTGCCTTTCATGTTGCATGTTGCATGTTGCATGTTTCATGTTTCACGCTTCATACTGTATATATATATACAAGTCACAACCCCGACGATTAGATTACCTCGCTTCCATTCATCTCCCTTCTCCCATCTCCCATCTCCCACCTCTTCGCCAACCCGGTTACTCTATCTTACCCACCCTCCCCAGCGCCAGCGCCGTAATGATCGCCGCCCCAACACCGCTCCCATCCTCCGCGCTCGTCAACTCAATCCCCTCCAACCCACTTCCCGCTTGTTCTGTAGAGACCACCTTCCCCCCCATCTTCATGTCCAGAATCTCGCGGACGGCGTCTTCCCACCGCTCCCGAAACCGGGGGTGTTTGATCGCGACGCTCCCGTCCGCGGCGACGTGGCCTCTGCGAACGCCGATGCGGCGACAGATGGCGGAGACGCCGCACGCGCAGAGCCGCGCGCTGCGGATGGCGATCAGCTTGGCCAGGGCTTGGAAGAAGCGTAGTTCCTGTGGCGAGGGGTGCAGGTCTGAGAGAGTCTCCTGGAAAGCGCGGGTTGATGTCGCGAGAGATTTGGAGGAGTCGTTTTCAAGGTTGGAGAGGAATTCAGTGTCGATGGCGTACGGGGTGGCGAGACAATCCGCTTGCTTGTCGTCGAGGTTGGGGTTCTGGAATATGACGCGGCGAAAGTGCAGGTCGACCAGCACCTGGCGGAATATCTCGCCTAGATACAGCCCCGCGGACATCTTCTCGAACGTCTGTTCGCCCGGCCGGGGGGACTGCTCGTCGATCAGCTCGTCGTATCGCGTCCGCGGCAGGATCGCGTGCGAGTTGTCAAAGGCGCCGTATTCGCAGTTGATGGCCATGAGGGAGTCGTCTGCTCCGTCATTCTCGGTCCGTGAAGTAGTTGTGGTGCCGTTAGTGGACGAGTTCTTCTGTCGTAGTTTCGGTATACGTGACGCTCGTTCCATATACGCCGCATTGCAGCCGGTGCCGAAGATGGCGCCAATGATAGTCTCGGGGTCGTTGTAGGCGGAGGCGATCAGCGCGCCGGTTGTGTCGTTGATCAGTGCGACAAGTTTTACAGGGAGATCCTGCGCGGTGCATCACGGTCAGGTCAGTATGTGACGAATGGAGTTTATAGATGTCAAACACAGCAGATCAAAGACGAGGTAATAGGCATGGGTGGTACTACAAACGTACCCTTTTCGCAATGGCCCCCTTCAACATCTCTGCCACATCGTGCCCTTCGACGCCTTGCACGTCCCATCCCTTGGTCCAGGTCTGCAAGATCCCATGATCAATCCTGTCCTGGGTTGCCGGATAACTGAACGTGAAGCCCAGGGGTACTTTCCCATCGTCCTCTTTGAAATTGCCGGTATCGACGTGTGCCTTGACGAAATCGCCCAGACGATCGGCAATGTGTCCGAACAGTTCGTCTGCCGTTCCAGTCTTGATCGCCTTGGGTAGCTGGTACTTCTCCTGTGTGATGTCGGCGCCGCCCGATGTGCCCGTGAGCGTGATGAGGCAGACGCGGAGGTTTGTGCCCCCGAGGTCGAGCGTGAGGTATGTTCCTGTTTCGTGTCCTGTTGGGAAGGCCGTGACCCAGGTGATGTTCATTGGCTGAGAGGGTCAGGATCTCGTACGTATAGAGGATGGAGCTTTTGTAAGGTATAGATGGGATAACGAAGGGAGAACATACCACATTCGATCCGTGTTTTTGCAGACCTGATAGGTGGTACTGTCAGCAGCAGTCCATGGGAGTGCCTAGTATTGAGGCCTGGAGCATTCACTGCGTGGGAAGAGGTATATCATATCCAGTTCAGTCCACCGACCAGGCACTCCTTCGATGGCTGACGACACCCGCCATGGCCAGATACAGACACAGACATGAACTCACCATCTTCGAGCTCTTCACCAAACCGATCCGTGATTTTCTTCAACATGGCCGTATCAACGGTAAACAGCTGCTCCAGCCTCCGCAGTTCTTCACCCAACTTCTCGGGCAAATCGTCCGGAATTTCTGCATCGAAACAGCAGAAGCCAAAAACGTCAGCCAGGTGTTCATCACTCTTCCGAGAAGGGCAGTGATATCAAGACTCAAGTCTCAATGCTCACTACCACGATGTGCTGTGTTGGGCTGGGGAATGCCTCACCAAACTCGACATCTTGGCGAGAAAACTGCAAGTTCTCGGTATGTGCGGACATATTGCCAGTAAATAGATTCTCGTGAGTGATCAAAGTACTAACAGGGATGGCGAGAATAATGGATATATACCCCCCGAATTTTTCGGCAGTGTCGACAGTCACAAATGAATATACCTCGTATGCTCTGCGGAGTTCAATTCCGAGCCTAGAAAACTTGAGAGCGAAAATGGTATTAGAAAGGGTTTCTGGAACTCAAACTCGATGAGAACATGTAGAACAATAAAAAACGAGTGACGACGGACTCTCACAGAATGGACGTCTCCTCAGCTAGTCCCACCGTGCATGGCATTTTGTATATGATCTCCTCTTCTCTCAATTCGGACACATGGATCATGGATTCCTCATTGAAAATGACGTCAGTGTTTACATCTCGCAAATTCTGTCTGTCACAATAATGTCATACGCTGGTCATGTTGGTGAGGCGAAGATGATGGCGTGGATAGCCGGTCTCGGGGTTGTCGGAAATGCTTCGCCGTGTCGATCATCCTTCGTATATGTGGAGATTTCATTACAAGGTGAATATTGCCCTCTAGCAAGGAAGAGAGTGGACGACAAAGACTAGTCCCTTCCAACTTGCCTGATCCTAATTAATCGAATATATCATTGCAGCCTTATCAGAAGCCACCCTGGTGTTGCCTCAGCTTCAGGGCCCTCTTGAAAGGAATGAGGTCCCTCTGACACTTTCATAAGATGGGATTCGAGCTCCAAGACTTGGAAAATCCGCCGCCATTCCATCAATATCCGTAGGAGCCCATAATTCATATTTCATTCGACCACGTCAGTCCAATTCTCTGACTACCCACACACTTGTGCCGTCAAGCCCAATCTCTTGTTCGAATCGCCAGCCCGAGGTCCTCCTCAAAGTCGTCCTCGTTTGCAAAGTCATGTTCACCGTGAAGATTCCTAGGATTTCTGCCAAGGTTCCTGTATTGCGTACTGCTGCCCCCCTTGTCGTCGAATTCGTCAGGTGACGACAGGCCGGGACCAAAGTCCTCGTCCTTGTCGAGTGAGGCGAAAGAGGCCAGGCTTTCTTGACTCTGCGAATGGCCTCTCCACTGCCCGACCGAAGAAGATTCCAGCAATTCTGTGGCAGTCTGATCCTGTTGGGATTTGGCTTGGCTGATGATGGGTGTTGTATAGATGTCAAAGGCGATTGCCAGGCTCCAGGACACGGTGGTGAGGGCGTAGAGCCACTCCGCAGGAGCTCCCAGTGCCATGATACGGTAGCAAGTAGTCCCGGGTGTTTGAATTGTTTCCGGGTTTGATTCGCTGCAGCCAAAGATGGCAACATTTGTCATCACGGCGAGCGCTATTCCGTAGATCAGACAGAGATTAATCAGGGCGACGGATAATCAAGAACTTACGAAAGGCAATACCCAATGTTACAACTCTCCACCACAGTAAGACCTTGATCACAGCAAGCTCTCGAAGGACAGGATATTTTCGGCGTTCCAAGTGGTCAACCAGCAGCCCGGTAGATTTGATGGAGAAGACGGTGATCGCTTTCACCGAAGTAACAAAGAGGTGAAGTTGCTTGTCGGGCGTCGCTGCAGCAAAGACAAGCCAGATGCTGAGACCGGCTCCCACAACGCTGGCGAGCCATCCTGCTCGACGCGTCTGCCAACCCAATTGGTCGTCGCGGGTGAAATAGAAGCTGATGGCAGTCGAGGCAATGCCGAGAAACACCACACAAAAGGTCAGCCCTCGATAGACGGATAGCCTCTTCGAGCCAACACAGCTCATGAACGGAAATGTAGAGTAAAGATCGGCGACCCGGGGTGGCTTTGCTCCGGTATGCGGATCAGCAGGTAAGGTGTAGTATGTGCCAAAGAGAAATAGCACCAGGATCAGCTCCAGGAGGCCTGCGGTGATGGGCAAAAGGGCACGGAGTGGATATCTGTGATCCCAAAGGTAGTCGAGAAGAGGGTTCCAAGGCCTCGATTTCCGCTCCAACCTTCGTTCGACATCGTGCCAGTTGGTCTTTCGACGTCGGAAGAGGCCGTCGATCTTCTGGCTGAAGGTACCAGCACGGACGATTTGTGGGGAGTAGTCATCGAGAAAGGCAGAGCCTTCTCCCAAGTAGTAGCTGTTGCGGTGTGCAGCTGTGGGTTTGCGCGATAACGACATCTGCCATGGTAAAGTGCTATTGTGCTATGCACCGTTGCGCGTCACTTCCTCGAGGACATATGAAACGGGCAGGGAAGAAACACAGGACGGCAACATTGAAGATATAACATCTTATTAAATGGGCCATGTGGCGTCAATGGGGCCCGATCCACGCCAGAGCTGCATCAAAACGTTGAGCCGCAGAGGCTTCGCTGGTCAGGCATCCCATTCCGGGATTTGATTCTGGGATTTGCAACATATTTGGTAGCCTCTAGGCTGGAGGGGTCCAATAAATCGCCAGGCCGTGTCTTCCTTTTCGAGCGTCTATAGGTGGAAAGGCGCAGGGTTGCAGCACGCACACAGCTTGGACTAGCTGGGCGAAAAGGTGACGAGCGAGGTAAATAGACGGGCGATTATGAGGCCCGAGCGTTTTTCGTAAGCAGACAATGCCACGGTGCTCATACTGCTGAACAAGACTTCAGCCTCATTCGTTCGGTTAGGACTCAATTGCTCCTGCGGAACTCCTTGCGGTGGTGGCGTTCAGCACTAGCCAGCGCAAAAAGTTAGTTATTCAATAAGGCAGGCCTCTAGCCTCTAGCGCACCAGGTCTCACCGTTGACAGGCCGGCACGCTGTCAATTGGTGCTCGATTTGGAGTATGGGAACCCATGGAGTTCAGGTACGTGGGCCAAGTTCCTTTTTCGCTTGCAGTTTTCAGATGGTTTCAATCATGACTCGGATACCGAAGAAAGAGCCATGGGTTCGTTGGGGCAGGATTGCGGAGATTGGCCGACCACTCCAGTAGGGCGTCGAGGGGTCCAGAAAACACCACCACATCATCTCAAGAGTCGTCTACCCGAAGCACCATCACCGACTCTCCAAGCCACAGGTCCCTGCACCCCAAGTAGACCATGGCTTGTCCCTTCGAATCCGACTCCTCCGCCTTCACCATCGGCTTTGTATCTCCGCAAAGCCTCTCGAAGGTGATCCGGCAAGAGACCTCCCTTGTGTGGATTTGGGATATACTCCTTGACTTCTTTCCTCAGTCCCTCAATGGTTCTCGTCAACAAGCGGGCTTGTTGCTCGGAATGGTTGCCTTGCTTTTGCTTCTCCTCCAAGGCTTCCAGCTCTTTCTGCCGTCGTTCCCCTTCCTCTTTTCTCGTCTCCTCGTACGCCTTGGCCCATTCGATCTGCACCTCGCGTGCTCTCTCCACAATCTCACCCACGAACCATTTCCCGTAGATTCTTACCGCCTGCAGGGGAGCAGAAGTGACCGACTGCGACACCACAGAATTGACTAGTCTCCTAACCGTCGCGACGTTGAGTGAGAGCGCCCGCCATTGATTGTATCGTGCATATTGGTCTGGGTCAAGCGTGTCGGCCAGCCGTTCACGACGCTGCTCCTGTCGTGTTTCCTCTTCTTCTGCTTGGCGTCTTTCTTGCTCGTCCATGGTCTCAAACATGCCGTCAATATCACCTTCGTCATCCTCTTCCTGTTCAGCTGCGCCTGACCGAGCGCTGACCACTGACTTTGTTCCGCGACCAGCATTCCTTGAGGTCGTTTCGACTTGACTGGCCGTATCCGCAGGAGCCTGACGCACAGAGCGAGTATCTTCGTCGTTGAGTTGTTGTGACTTCCGAGGTCTTCCTCTCCCGCGGCCAGGGACTTTGCCACTTACTCCTGACAAGGCACTGTTGGCGACACTACCTGATTCGGAGCGCGCACTCGTGACCGCGGAGCCATATCTTCCACTCGCATTTTGGGCAGGAAATGAAGTCTGTCTGAGAGGATGTAGTTTCGGCCTCTTAGATGCTCCTTGTGCCGATGCCTGTGAGCTCATCGAGGTTCGCTTTTTGGGGTTTGGGAGACTGGCGGTAAATGGAGAGGGAGGTGAGCTGGCCATGGTTCGTAGTCGGTTTCACCTTGGAGGAAGGTCAAGAGAGGGTTGACATTTGAGGTGCCAGGGGCGAGCAGCGGGGATAGGGGGTCGAGGAGGAAACGACAAGGCAGTCCACGAGAAATCCCAGGCTAAAGACCCTTGCATTAAATTTCGTAGTTGATAATAAATTCCCGAGGACGACACGACAACGAAGGCAACGATGAAGACTAGTGCATTTTGGCTCGGCTGACATTCCCTTTGCGGACTGCGCGACTTGCCTCTATTTCCCCGAAAGTTGATAGCGCAGTCTATGTCCATCCTGCCATCCCAAGTCGCCTTTTCCGCAGCAACAATGTCGACGAAATCGCCTTGAGACGTGGTGAGTTAAGTCCACGACCACCAGTGAAATACTCTGCCGTCTAGGAGGAGAGTAACCTGATCGAGCAATGCCGCATCGCTCGACGGATCAGATCTCACAAGGCTGCAGTTCCCCTTTCTCCTTTTACCCCTTTGCCCGACGTGATCATGAGAAGATAATTGACAGAGACACCACGAATCCCGGAGTGTTCGTCTACCCTGGTACTATATTGCATCAAGTAAATGGCGGGCCTATAGTCACCAATGGCGCATCTGCACATTTATTCTCGACGGACGATAACAGCGTAAGGGCATCCGTACGTCTGGGGGAAATAAATGAATGGCTCCACCACTTCCTCGCGTTCGATGGTGGCACCGACGAGAACATTGGCAGAAGTCGGGCCGTTCTCGCTCAGACCTTTTTGACGCACGGGTTACCGGGTTTGGTGGAAATCGACCCGTATACTTGATTCAGTGCTCTTGTGGACTGTATCCACGCCTGCAAGCCTTTAGGGGCGAATCAAGCAACTCGGGCCGATCCAACCGAACCTGGCACTGGCCGAAAGTGTATTGATTTCATGGCCCCTTCAGAAATCGGATAGTCTGGCTCTCAACTCCAGAGTCTATAGATCAGGACTTGGTCGTCAAAAGCTTGCTGTACGATGACGCCTCGCTCAGTATATGCTTCTAGGCTCGATACCTGGTCTCATGGTTAGAGCGATCTCACGACCTGAGCAACAAGGAGGGTGTTGGGCATGAATCTTTTTCCCATTCGGGGAGGGCTGCCTTATCACGACAAGTTTTCCAACCACGATATAGTCAGCGTCCATGGCTGGAGGATTTGCCGCAATGCTTGATGGAGACATACAGCCACTCTTGCTCTTGCTAAAAACCGACCGAAACAGCCTGTCTACCATCAGGAAATCGACTGCCAGGTTGCCATGGGGGCGGAGCAGGCGCAGCCTCGGGTACAGCCTCGGGAAAAATCACAAGCGATAGGGAGGCGTGAGCTGAGGCTGAGCCCAACGTACATGTCGCTACTCACTTGGCAACAAAGGCAGAATATCACGGCGGGGTAATCCAGCCTTACTTCGCATCCTCCTTTTCTGTTATATCGCGCATACGGAAACATCGTATTCTGTGTTGGATCAAGAAAACTCTCCTCGGAAGTGATATCTTATGGCCCTTACACCACCTGGACAGAATGCCAGTTCCGTTTGGTTTCTCGGTTGGCGACTTCGTGGCTGTGATGCGTACGTTCTGACCATCATCATCCGGAAAGCAGGGTCGTGGTCCAGCTGACAATTCCTCTAGAGCTCACAAGCAAAATAATCTCGTCACTAAAAGGGGCTGGGGGCTCTGCTTCGGAGTACCAACATGCTGTTGTTGAACTCGAAAGCCTCAAAAGATTGCTCGAGAGAGTGACAAAACTGACCATTACCGAAGACAATGCGGTACAAGTCAATGCCCTCCGCGGCCTGGCCTTGGCTTGCGAGCCTTGTCTCCAAGAGTTCTACCAAAAGCTCAGGTCTTACGAAGCATCAATTGGGCCATACGCGCCGAGAGGCCGCCTCAAGGGTGCCTTCCACAAGGTCAAATGGGCTTTTCTGGGATCGGAAGAATTCAGCCAATTCCGCAAGTTCATTGCGATGAAAGTACTCTGCTTGAGCCTCTTGCTTTCCATGCACATATTGTGAGCAGATCTACAACGTCTTAGCGGAGTATATTTCTGACAGGGCTGAAAGTGAATCTGCTTCAACCAGAGACACACAGGAGCACATTGCGCACTTTAGCCTCCTCGACGAGATCACAAAACTCCGAGAAAGCATGGAAAGACTGGAGCTCGCGAATCAGCAACCGAGTTCTCATCTCGACCACGAGGCCAGCCTACGACCCATACAAGATAAGGTCGAGGACATTGCTGAACGATTGGAGAGCAACCTGACTCCTGTCTCAAGTGCACTGACTTCGGTTGGGAGAGCAGTCTTCGGTTTCCATAACGTCCTGGGACAGATTATAGATTTCCTCGGCTCCTTCCGGCGAGAGACAAAAGAGGCGCTTCAGAGGATCATTCAAACTAATATGCAGATATATGCGTTGCTTCTAACGAGTCAGAATAGTCCCGGACACAGTCCGTCGATGCTTTCTGACGCTATTCTCTTCGAAGACGCCCTCGGTAGGAAAGTTTCACTTCCCTATCAATGGTTCCGTCACTGGGAGGTGAGTCCCCACGTGCACGCGTGCAACTGCTATCCCGTCGACATCGCTGACAATATGTTAGGCTTTCGAAGGCCTCCTCCGCGCCGAATTCAAGGGCATCCCTGGTGAGGCCAAAGTGTTGGAAGGGCAATACCATTTGATCGATACCAAAGTTGGTGGGGCAATCATAAAAAAGCAAGACTGGCATAGAACAGTGTTTCCAGGATCTTCAGTGACTATGTCGATGATCATCTCCCAGATTCGCTGGCAGGGTGGGTTGTGCCCGCGCCCAAGTTGCGGAGAGCCGCGTATCGACCTGGACCACCCACGGGCATTGGTTACATGGTAAGTAGCTTTCTCCCAACCCATTGAAGCACAGCTCACTCTCAAAAGTAAATGTTGCGGCTTGAAGTATTATCCGTCAAGAGAGAGACTCGAAGGCAGCACAAAGCGTGTTACTGTCCTGACAGAAGATGACGAAGTGATATGGTCACAGAGCACCCAAGATCTCGAGGTCTTTGGGGCCAGACCACTTCCTAGAGATCCAGAGGAATCGATGGCGATCCTGGCGCTATTGCAATCCACCGATACACCGGCTGTGAACGAAGAAATATCGTCTCTAAACAACGCAACACAAGCGAGCTCTCACGGTGAAAAGGAGCCAACTTCACACGAGCCAACAGGCGGACCCGACTTTCAAAAACCCAAGGTGGGAAAGACCAGAGCTTCAGACAAGTTACATTCCGAGTTCGAAACGCCGTTGGACAACTGGCTCGCCCAGACTGAATCTGTGCACCTCGAGCCCAACGTGTTATCAAACACCCCGGTAGTAGATACGACGAGACAGGATGTGGAGGCATCCGAGATTGAGCATTTCCGACAAGTTCATATCAAGCAATGGACGAATGACGCTGATCGCAACAACGACAGAAAGACAGGCGCCGATGACCTTGATGGGGAGCGGAAATCGATGAGGCAATCTACCACCGTAACATCTGCGATAGGTTCCCCTTGATCCCATCGTACCTGGGTCATCGCCTAGCATTGTTTAATGTGAAAAGAGCGAAAAAGCTCCCACGCGCTTTTCATGTGCCGACGTCCTCGGCTCATGGCACAGACAGCGAGAGCGTTGAGTGTCATTCCGTCGGCGATAGCCTTCATTGCCAACCGGCTCTCCAGTTCCATAGCGATGACGGGCAGAACCAAGGTGATCGACGTGGGAGCGATATTCGCGACTATACAAACCAGCCATATTCTTCAGCCATTGATCAGGACCCAGCTCCCGCTGCCGCTCCAAAAAAGAGAAACCAACTAAATCCGAGCCATGTCGGGCACCCAGTTTCGGCGTTGACTCGGGCGTTGACTCAACCGTTCACTCAGGAACTGTCCTTCTGGTCAGGGAAACCTGAGCTAAGTTGTCCAGTATCTCCATTATCTCGATCATCCCACTCAAACAACTCGCTTCAATTACCAGATATCTCACCGGTCAAAACGCAATCTTCCCTCTCAGCTAGCTCAAAAGAGGCTGGATTCGTGGTCCCGCCTCCTCCCGTTGAGCTGGGGAAGCAATGCACTTTTCTTTGTGACATCTGTAATAAGGATGTGTTGATCCTGAGAAAGCGTGATTGGCAGTAAGTTTTCAACTTTCGAACTGTGGAGACTGGCCCTGATTGTCTATAGGACACATGTACTAGGTGATCTTAAGCCCTATTGTTGTATTTTCGAAAATTGCCCAACTCCCTCCAGGACGTACATTTCCAGAGAGCATATACTGTCCCATATTTTCACATCTCATCCGGAATCATATTCATACCGTTGCAACCATTGTCCAACACCAAAGAGGAGGTTGAGAAAGTCTGAGTTGCCTTCACATATCAAGCAGAGTCATCCCAATACCCTTGGCATTCCCAGAGGTTATTTCCAGAAGGAAATCCAAGACATGAACTGCCACTTTTGCGACGAAGCCCTGCAATCAACAGACAAATTCATAACTCACATCAGCCAACATCTGGAACGCGTAGCTTTTGCGGTCCTTGCCAGACCTTATCAGAAGTGGCACTTTTACGAGGACTTTGCTTCTGAACAGTCGGCCGCACCTCCCGACACGGGGCTGAATGCTGAAGTCGCACGTCTCATTCAAAATAACTCTGTGGCCAGCGTGAAGCAATTTCTTGACGACGGGATCCTCACAAAGACACATTGTGGAAACAGCGCCCTGTGGATAGCTGCTCAGACTGGCAACGAGGCTATCGTATGGCTCTTATTACAACACGGATTCGACGTGCATGAAGGGGATCCGTCCGCACGATGCAAGAATGCACTCCATTATGCTACCGAAGCCGGACATACGTCAGTTGTTGAGATGCTGTTGATAGCCGGGTCGAATCAATCTGCTTGTCTTGACGATATGACAACGGCTCTATCCCTTGCGGCTGAGAATGGGCACGCTTCAGTACTCCGCATCTTATGGAATAAATACCCAGACCAGCGCGAGAATAGGGACTTGGAATCTGCTTGGGTTCTTGCAGCAGCGAATGGGCATCTGGAGTGCTTGGAGGTGATGATGTCTATTTTTGAAGAGATTTCAACAGACCCTGAGCACTTTCTCGGTTCTCCAGTAAGTAGAGCGACGATCCCATCATTATTTGTCCGCGGGATTGAGGCAGCCATGGAGAAGAACATGGAATCGTCAATTCAAGCAGCCTTCAACTACACCCCGAACACTCCGTGCATATTACAACGGCTGGGGACTTTGATCTCCCCAAGAATGGTTCGCTGGGTCTGGTCGTGTCTTGGAAACAGCTCTTTATGCCACCTCTTGCTGTCAATTCCTTGGCTTAAGCGAGACTGGCTTCCTACAAACGTGGCCTTCCCTAACGGGCTCACCGACGAAACTGTCAGAGATATCAGTGACGTTCTCGTTGCAAACACGATCGGGTATAAGACCCCGTACGCCATGGAATCGGCCACGGTTCTCGGCAGCCACCTGCAGACGCTTCTGAAGCAACATCCCGAGTTCATCCAGCTGGTATACTTGGATCTTGCCCGAAAAGGATATCGAAAGTCCATGGTCGCGTTGCTGCGAAAGAAGCTACCTCCCCATCCAAAGACTCTGCTCGCCCTGATGTCCAACCTCCATGGTGATACGTTAGTCGCCTTCTTCCTTGAGAACTTCCCGTCGCACTTCGCCGAGGATGATAAGACGAAGGCGCTTATTTTCGCCGTCCAGCGATCGAGAAATACCATTGTATTAGTTGAAAATGGAGCTCTCCCGAGCGCACCCTCCCCCGCAGCCGATCAGCTATTGTTGGCGTGCGTGAAAAGAAGGAATACTGCCGTCCTTCAAGAATTAATCAATCGGTCGATTTCGTTGTTCTCTGCCAGGACAGTCAATACTGCAAAGACCCTTGCGGCATGCTGCCCAGGGTTGCTACCACGGTTGTCAAGACTCGACTCGTTGGTCTATGTGACGAATCAGGGGTCGATGCCAGCAGATTCCGAGCCTTCGGATTCCTGAGGAGAAATCGGGGTCCGATTCCCAGGTGTCTAGAGTATCCGGAGAGTCGGAGTCGACGTCGGATGCGAAGGGAATCAAGGCCAGGTTGGCGCTGGACCTTGCAATCTGCTACCCAACTACTATATATACCCGAGACTCGTTACCGCCAGCGGGCAGAAGCAAATTGATTGAAAATGACAAAACCTCATTGAGCCCGTTCGGCCCGACGAGCTGATCATACAGTCTAGGTGGGCTCCATGAAACGATTAACCACAAAAACAGACGCTTAGTCGGAATATCTTCTATATGAGAGTATCCACGGGCAAAAAGGAATGCCATGCTTCTTTCTATACCTACCTAGGTGGCTAGGTTGGCTAGGTAGCTAGGCCTACCCTATGCATACTGTACCTTGTACGAGCGAACGTACTCACATCTACCTTGATTATACCCTGTACCTATACCCTATACCATGCCACACCAGGCAGGCCTAATACCTAATACCTAATACCTACCTAGCAAGTTATATATATATAAGCAGGGAATTGCGTCTTGGATTCTCGCCTGAGCACGGCAGGTGTAGCAACGGTTTACATACGTGCCTAGTGCACACCTTCATAGTGCATACGTCCATAGTGCATGACTACCTAGAACTCATCTGCGACCAACCATAGCCACAACTAGACGGGGCAAAAAAGACCATCACTCGAAGTAAACAGAAGGCGAGAAAGAAAAAGGGTACGTTCCATGTTCGTTTTCATTTCCGTTTTACCAGAGATTCAAATTCCTCGTCATGACGCATCATGCATGGCCCATAGCACATGACACGTGGCCGATGGGCAAGGCTCTCTTGAGCACAACTAACCCAGCTATCTAGCTAGCTATTTGCCACCTCCAATACCTCGTCAATGTTTTACCTTTGTTGTCGTGGACCTCCCTAGTTCGTGGTCCTCCTCACTACTGGGTTTCCGTTTCCGCTTCAACCGAACCGCCACCGCTACCGCGACCGGCACCGGCGCCGGCGCCGTCGTCATGATTCATTTCTTCACGACGTGGAAGCCCTCAAAGTTGGGGAGGACCTTTCTGATGTCCTGGTGGTAGTTGTACATGCCGCCGGCGTAGTTGACCTGCTCGAAGGCCTTGCCGGGCATGCTGCCACCCATGTACCTGCAGAGCGGAGTCAGTGTCGAGCGAGAGAGAGAGAAAGGAAAATGACGGAGTCTTGAGAGAGAGAAAAGAAGGGGAGGAGATGAGATCAGAGGGCGAGGAAAGTCAAAAACTTACGTGCTCTTGGTGGTCGGGAACAGCGACTTGTCGCTCAACTCGTTGATCTTCTGCTTCCATTGCATGCTGGCCACGTCGGTCGGGTTGATGTACTTGATGCCCTGGCGCTCCATCTGGACAATGGCGTCGGTGATCCATCTTCCCTGAATCTCCACCGAGGTCGGTCCGTTGGACAAGAGCGTGGGGCCGTGCGGGCCGTAGAGATGGAACATGTTGGGATAGCCGGGGACAGTGGTGCCGAGATATGTCACGGCCGCCTTCTTCCACTCCTTGTCAATGGTCTGGCCGTTGATGTTGTGCAGGCCCATGGCCGTCATGCCGCCGGTGGTGATATCGAAGCCTGTCGCAATGCAGATGATGTCAAAGTCATGGTGCGTGCCGTCCTGGAGGACGATGCCTTTCTCGTCAAAGGCGACGATGGGGTTGTTCTTGATGTTGACGACGTCGACGTTGGGTCGGTTGAACTGCTCGAGGTACGAGTACTCCAGGCACGGGCGTTTCACTCCCCATGGGTGAGGAGGCTCCACGGGGGTCAAGATATCCCGTTTCTTTGCGTCGTTCAGGCGAGCACGTTGTTTCTTGGCCCAGAAGTCGTAGACCGCACGGTTGGCCTTGGGGTCAAAGAGATAATCCTTGTAGTTTCCAAGCCAGTAGCGGAAGCCTCCATCGGACCACAGCTTCTCGAAGAACCTTTCGCGTTCCTCAGGTGTGTCCTCGAACAAACTCTTCTCAGAGAAGTCATACAAGAAACCACCAAAGCATCGTTCACGGAGGTCAAACAGTTCCGGGTACCACTTCTTACCGGCCCACTGCTCTTCCGCTGTGAGGGCACGGAGACGCATGGGCACCGTCAAATTCGGTGTTCGTTGGAAGACCTTGAGCTCACCTGCCTTCGGGCCCCATGCTTGAGTGATCTGGACGCCAGACGCGCCGGTGCCGATGATAGCACACTTCTTGCCCTGCACGCTGATCTCCTCGTCAGGCCAGAAGGATGAGTGATGGACAATGCCCTGGAACTTCTCGATGCCCGGCCAGTCAGGGACGTAACGCTTGGCAGCAAAGCCAGCCGCGACGACAAGGTACTTGGCCTTGGCCGTTCGGCCGTCCGCTGTCTTGACGTACCAGCGTCCTTCGTCCGTGTTGAATTTGGCTTCGACGACAACACTTTCGAAGGCCGTCTGGCTCTTGATATCAAGGACCTTGTCGCAGTGATCAAAGTAGTCACGAAGTTCCTTGTAAGTGGGATAGTTGGAGGGCCAATTGTACCTATGGCACATCAGTCACTGAGAAGACAGAACATGGGAGGCCATGGCATACGTCTTCCACGTTTCTGGGATCGACAATTGGTATTCCGGGACTTCGGAGTCGACCATTGCTCCGGCTGCTCGAAGGTTAGAAATGTCACACCACATCGAAAGGGTCGAGTCTTACGGTAGCAGTTCCATCGCCAGGTACCACCAAGGTCAGTGCCAGCCTCATAGATGACAGTCTTCAGTCCTTGGTTGCGTAGGGACCAGAAGCAAAACACGCCGCCGAAGCCGCCACCGACGACAAGTGCATCGACCTCCAGGTTGTCCGCGTAGGGACCATCTGTCCTCCTTCGACGGCCGTACTCCCAGAGCTGAGTCTTCAGCTTGGGGTTCGTCATTCCTGGGTCACCCATGATTGTGACGATGTCTGTCAGATGGATGGCAACAAGGTTCTTTGGGCCACGTGAGATGAGAAGGAGTCTTTGCTGAAGCTCGTGAGGGAGGTGACTTCTTGTGATTCTGTTCTTGCTTTCTTCATCCTTATATACAGAACATTTCCATCCTGACTGGCTGGATATAGTGAATGGCCATTCTTTGATCTGTTTGGTGCCCGCATAGAGACCCCATACAGATCTGCTGAATGTATCTGGCAAGGCCCAGCCTGCGGCTCCGCAAAAGAGGTAAGACCCCAGTCTCTAGTCTCCATACAGGAAATCGACATTGCGGGGGTTCCCATGCCTTCCGCAAGGATATACGTCTCTTGAGGAGGTAATGCCTATCGTCATACGGCTGAGGAGTACGGAACAACTATGGCTGGCTGGGCGCGATGGGGTTGTGGCTTCGAGGAAGATCTTCCAGTGTTAGAACACGTCCCAAGAATGCGTTTCCGCACATCCCTGCGGACCATTTGCGACGGACTTTGGGGCCACAGGATGAGCAATCTTGGGAGTGACTCTCGGACCCGCATGACTGTCACCAAAACGATGGAGAATGGCTCGTCTGAGGGGGGGAACGAGAAGAAGAAGAAGAAGAGAGGAGAAGAGATGCGAGAGGGGAAAGCACACTCGAGGACATACTTGATATTTAGACAACAGCCAGACGAATCCTGCATAGCTCCTCAGAAACCCTCTTGCTCCTGGTCGTGACCCTTTGCATATTGGTAAGGCTGGACGCAACAGCTTGTCTTCGTCTTGATATCCGTCAACATGGGGCTTTCTACCGAGGCTGTCAACAACATAACCTCCACCCTCAACGCTGCCTGCGTTGATGGGGACAAGGGGATTCCAGGGTTGGTGGGTATCGCCATTGGAAAGGATGGTAAAGAGCTCTACGCTCATGCCGCCGGCAAAAGAGGATTTGGCTCCTCTGAGCCAATGACCCTTGATAGCATTTTCTGGATAGCATCTTGCACCAAGATGATTACCGGTGTTGCATGTATGCAGTTAGTGGAGCAAGGGAAACTGTCGCTGGACGATGCGAACCAGGTGGCGCAGCTGTGTCCCGAGATCAAGAACTTGAGCGTCTTGCAGCCTGATGGCAAGCTCGTCCCAGCAAAGAGAGGAGTCACTCTGAGAATGCTGTTGTCGCATACCGGTCAGAAATAATTCCTTTCCCATAACACGCATGGAGCTAACGCAAATCCAGCGGGCTTCGGCTATACGTTCTTTCACGATGGTCTTCGTGATCATAGCAAACCCATTGGGTATGATGAGTTCTCAGGGCATATCAAGGATTTGATTCAGCCGCTGGTCCATCAGCCTGGTGAAGGTTGGCAATATGGCGTGGGTTCTGCCTTTCGATTGAACAGGAAGTTTGACTGAAATCACGCCTTAGGTGAATATTGACTGGGCTGGAATATGTGTCGAGCGTATCACCAATCTGTCGTTGAACGACTACTTTCAACGCCACATATTCCAACCCTTGAACATTAAGAACATCTCCATGTTTCCCAATGCCGATATGAAGGCGAAGCTGGCCTATATGAATGCGCGCACTCCAGACGGCCAGCTTCAACCGCGAGACCATCTCCTTCACCGTCCATTGGTCGTCGAGAGTCAGCAAGACATTGCGACCTGCGTCAATAGTGGAGGAGCTGGCGCCTTTGCGCAGCCACGAGAGTATTGCCGTAAGCCACCTTGAGCCCACACTTGCGGGCATTCGAGCTGATGGGACACAGAAATCCTAGCCACTTTGCTGAATGACGGCACATCGCCGATTACCGGCGCTCAAATTCTGAAAAAGGAGACAGTGGATTTGATGTTCCAAAACCAGATTCCCGAGTTCCCGGACTTTTCACGCCAGGGCATCCCTCCAGCCAAGCCGGACCTGACCAATCCTATCCCAGACTTGTATCCAGGCAAGCAGCAGGGCTGGGGTTTGACCTTTATGCTGAGTGATGGGCCGACCGGACGGTCGACAGGGACTGGTCACTGGGCGGGGTTGCCCAATCTTTACTGGTGGTGCGATCGAGCCAAGGGAGTAGCAGGGATCATATGTTCTCAAATCCTTCCTTTTGCAGACCCTCAAGTGTTGGGTCTCTGGGTGGCTCTCGAATCAGGAGTGTACAGTGGCCTGAGTTAGGTCAAGTTAGGTACCCGGGCGATGAAGTGTGCCGTTTATACAAATCCATTTTACCATTTTGATCCGCGGGACGACCGACTCCGTAGGATGAGGACCGCGTCGGGAAAGCTAGATACAGTAGCAAGCCAGGTGCTGGTCAGTAATAGCGTGCAAAGACGGAAAAGGGTGCTGCAAAGGGAATGGGTGGATGCGTGCCTGTACGATGTAACCCGTGGTGATGTGAAAGCAAAAGTGTCCTCAAACCGCTTCGTCAGCTGGGATTAGCTGCCTTGTGTGTTGCCCCCTTCAGGGAGTGCATAATATTTTGGATCGTCCAGGGTGAGGGTGAGGGTGAATCGGGGCGCTCGCAGTGGGCGCACTGGGCGCACTGGGCGCTGTCAGGTCGGATTGGCGGTGACCAAGCAACCAAGGCAACCAAGCCTGGATGAGCCGGTCGAAGCGAAGCAATGCGAGAGAAAGACCTGTTGCCTACCCCGCAAAAGAGCCAGAAGGCCCATGAAAGCAGGACAATCGCGGGGGCTGGACTGAGAGACTCCACCTTCTTCCGCGTGCACTGACAACTGACATCTCAGAGAACCAGCAATTACCTTGTTGCCTTGACATTTCAGAGCCCATACCGTCGTCGAGGTCAATGCCGCAGTGATCCCTGACTCGATCTACCGATTTACGCACTCCCCCCCGGCACAAATCATGGCGCAAACTGTCGCCCTCCGCCGTCGCCAGAACAAGAGCTGCGATCAGTGTCGAGCTGGCAAACGTCGATGCGATGTCGAAGTCGCTGTCCACGAGGCGCCGACAATCAGCGGTCTCAATTTCTCTTCGAGCGATGACCACGACGCGATGAATGTCTTTGCCTCCTCTCCCTGCACAAATTGTAAGAAGTGGAAAAAGGCATGTACAATCGAATGGATCAAGTCGCATCAACGGCGTCAGTCAACCACCTCCAAACGCCGGCGAGGGTCCAAAGGAATGTCGCACGCAGTAGATGACACGGCCAGCCAGGATGTGTGGGCGGACGGCGTCTCTAATCTTCCACAGGAGGATATTGACTCGATGCTCACCGACTCTCTCAACAGGTCGATATCCAGAGAAACGTTTCCGGATGGCTCGATAGCATCCTTATCCACAGGTACCATGTTTGAGAGTTTGAATGGATCGCAACACGAAGATAATGCCTCTCTCATGAACTCACAGCTCAATCAGCCCTTCTACGACTTTACTCCGGTCGACTGCCCCGAGCCCTATCCAACCAATTATTACATGGCTCAGCCAATGCTCGATCCGGATGTCGCCATTGATGGCCAATCTTCAACGAGTTACCTCTCGGACGGTTCGAACTCTTGGAGCCAACCCATATCGAACCCTCAGTCAGTAGTTGACAGCCAGGACCAGGAGTCAGTGGCGCAGGAACGTCGATTCTCCCCTCCATTCTATGGAAATGGCCTGACCAAGAAAACGGCATCACCCTTTGCCTCGCACTTTCTGGCGGAAGATCATAGTCGGCTCTACATTAAAAAGGGCCTGCTCAAAATCTACCACGACTCCCTAGAAGGTGCTTTGAGCTGTTGGCTGATTGAGAGGAATTGCCCCTATGCGTCTAGTCCGTTTATGGACCAACGAGACGCATGGAGCTCCAAATGGTCCAACAGGATTGTGACACGGGTCCGTGCCCTGGACGACGCATATGCAAGGAGTGGCCTGCTATCTCAGAGTGACCAAAAGCAGGCATCCAATGTCCTCAGCCTCGTGGTTATGGCTTTCGCGGTGCAATGGGCCCAATCTCCCTTCGGAAAACACGACAACCTCAGCACTCAGCTACCTGAACATGGAATCTTTGGGCGCAATATGCAGAAAGCACTATGGCAGAAGGCCAGTGCTGCTCTTAGTCAGGCCGTGGGCAACCCGTCCTTCAAGGTCATATTTGCCACCATTATCTTTTCTTTGACGCAACGTCCCATCGAGTCGGCCGAGATCCTTCCTAGCCCAGGGTCACGTCGACAGAATGATCTCGCGTCGCTACGGAAGATCCTCGACCATGACACCGGACCTATCTTTTTGGACGTCGCCGTCCGCAAACTGCATGATCATCAACGAAGACTCAAGGACGCCGAACGCTCTCAGAACGGCAGTCACGTCGCGTTACACACTTCGATTGCTCTGGGTGAGCAGGACAAACAAACGTTTGGACTTATGTTCTGGCTCGCCATTATGTTTGACACCATATCCGCAGCTATGAATCGACGGACTTTTGCTCTAAGTGATGGTGAGACCAGCATCACTGACGATGAACCGATCCCGGCGCCTCGTCTCGCAACATCCGTCAACGGCTATTCCTGTGATCTTGATGGGTATTCCGGATTCTCCAACATGAACAGCGCCCAGTTGTCCCGCGAGTCGCAGGTATGGGGCAACTATTTTCTTCGCCAGCAGTCGCGAATTGGCGATGTTCGCAAGCAAACAACTCGCTGGCCATGCTCCTATGTCGATGCTGCCGCATGCCTGGCCGACGCTGCTCCGGTCAAAGTTCTTGTGTTCCGGAGGGTGGGACATCTCCAAGATCTGTATTATCAGCGCGCCACAGCTGATGCGATCGAGAATGCCATCGCTTCGACACTCGAAGTCTATAACCACTGGAACAATACATATGGTCGCTTCATCTCTGACTGTATAGCGAACCACGAGAGCCTCCCGGCTCGGATTCAATCCTGGTACATCCTCCTAGCCAGCCACTGGCACCTTGCCATCCTCATTCTGGCGGATTTGATTGAGAAGCTGGATGATTCGAACATGACTCTACCAGCAAACCGGACGGCCAGACAGACCACGGAGTTCTCTGCGGCGCTGAGATTCCGCTCCGTATACGCAGTTTCGGACCTCGGCCGATGTTCACGCTTCAGTAACGAAGACTTGTCCTTTTCGCAATCTCCGGATTTCCACCATGCGGTGAACAAGGCAGCATTACTCACAGAACCATGGACGGTAGTTTTGGTGCGTTCATTCGCACAGGCTGGTGAAGTTCTGGTCAAACTTGTCCTGTCACGGCGAGAACCCGGACTTTTCATGGACACCAACCACCTGTCAGAAGCAAGGAGTCGTCTGAATGACTGTATCGAGGCGTTGTGGCTGCTAGGAAGAAAGAGTGACATGGCATTAAGCGCCGCCAAAATACTTCAGGAGGCTGTGAACCAGGGTACGGCATAAAATCTTAATGACACAGGTAATGGCGGAAAAGCACTTGATGTTTTTTGACTTTGGTCTCATTGGGGTTTTGGTCTACCTAAGTCTGGTCTACTCTCATATTATTGCTTGTCGTTTGCCGTGGGTGCCGACGGAAGTCAATGTTCCCCGGGCCTAGCGAGTAACAAGGACCAGCCTGTACCTGTCTGGGCGGCTTGAACAGGCAGGACTTCTGGTGAGCTCCCCTGTCTCCCTCCCTTTTTCTTTCTGCGCGGTGGCCCGTACGACTCAGGGCCACGAGGGCAAGCCATCCGACCGCATTTGTCAGTACATCAATCACTCGCACAGGAGGGTGCGGCTGGGTGAGCTTTGCGGACAAGCGAACGAGGACGTCTATTTCCGCGCAGTCTTAACCGCACGGATGTCTGACGAACCTTGTTTCTGCTACGCCAGGCACAAGGCCAGAAGACAGAATACATACTTCGGCCCAATGGGTACGATCGACCCCCAAAACCGGGTTAAGGTCCTTGCATTAGCTATCCCTGATTCTTCTTAGGCCAGGAGGATATGAAACAGGAGCTGCTGCTCTACTGGTACATGCGGACAGGGGCTGGGCTTACGGGACGCGTTATCCGCACATCACCCTCGCCCTCGGCGCTGGGATGCGGAACCGCATGTTCACGAGAGAATGCAGATCCTGGAGACCTCTCTCTCTCCACGCGGGGAAAGCAGAAGTCTGCCGAGCAACCTCTTATGCGAAACCTGGGGAACGAGAGCGCTTGGGAGCGCATGCGGCAGATGCACAGCTCGAGTGAGGTGATGAGGGGGAATCAATCACAAGGTCCGTGTCGATCGACGACGACATTTCCATTCCCTTCGGCAGTACTGGGAGAAGTTATGGACTTTGCAAGCACTTCTCGGAGCTTCGGGCAGGTGATGGGAGGGAGTACTCGGTATTGCGGAGATTGTTATGCTGCGACTAGGACAAGGATGCGAGTATTCGACACAGCGGCGTCCCAGCCTCGGGACAGTTTCTGTCCTTGCCATCGACTACTCCCTGGTGACTTTACGGACCATCTTTTGAACAGCCGTCGAGTTGTTTGTTGTTAGTCGGGGGTTTGAGACGGTCGCATCTTTTGCAACGCCTGGACTGGGCTACCACGAGGTCAAGCAGGAGGTACACGAAATAATTACGGTCGATGTCACCGTTCCGACCCGCCAACTCTCCGCCACCCATGTTCATTACGAATAGTCTTTCTTTCCCGTTACTAGTATGTCTTTCAGGGTGACGTGGTCCTGGGCCCCGAGACCCAGCAGGGTGAAGGTCTTTTTCAATGACTGATGACTTATGACTGGACGGGTGGCTGGTGTTGGTTTTATTCATCGATTTGGTTTGGATACTACCTACATAGGTACCTACATAGGTACTAGGTACTGGTAATACGCACTTCTTTACTTGGTACATGTACCTTTTTTATGTCTTTGTCATATACGAGGTACTTTGTCACAGCAGACCATTTCTCTAAGAAGGAAGAACTCAACAGTTCCGAGACGAACGACGGGGCAAAATGGATTTGTGTCGTTTTATTGATATGTCCTACCGTGTCCTGTCCTAGCCAATGAGGCTATCATCATCATACTCGTACTCGTAGGGCCACACGCAGAAACATCAGGGACCTCGGACCTTGACTCTTGGACCTTGGATGTCGATTCCCGGGTACAAAGACAATTCCTTTCCTGCGAGGTTCGAGACCAGCTAAGTGGTTCCTCTTTGCCCAGTTGGAGTGAGGAGCATCACATCACGTCACGTGGACATGTCGGGCTGCAGCTGGGTATTCTTACAGTCGGTCAGTAACGAACGGTCCGTCATCGTCAGATCTCTCCTGCTGCTGCTGCTGTTGCCACAGGAGAATAAGAACGTGGTGAGCTGAAGTGTGTTTAGTTGAGTAAGAGACAGCTGACGACCGGAAATCCTCCCTGTCGTGTCATCCATACATCCATTCTAGGAACGAATCGGGAATTCTGTAGGATATTTTATCATCATCTCAGTACGAGGTACAGCACAACACATACCCAGCCCTATCGGTAGGTAGGTAAGTTACCTAGCCAAGGATCGAGCGAGCCAACGACATAAATGTCAGCGTGTACATCTACATCTGCGCCGTAGATTATCCTGCCCAGCCTGAAAATATGAGCACACACCACAAGACACCGGCTTATTCAGACGAATAAAGACGACACGAACGAGGTTATCGGTCGAATACGAGTGAGATACCCAGTACACTTACAATCTCCGGAGTCCTCCAACAGAGCGCAGTCAAGCGGACAATTCAATTTGTGCCACGTCCCTGCCAACAGCGCCAGCACCGACATGTTGCGTGATTGGTGCGATAATGACCGACTTTCTCATCTTTAGTTCTTCAGCCTCGCGAGGCTGAGGTTCGAGGCCTCAGTGCCAGGATTGCCAACGCATTGCCAGCTCCCTGACTCCCAAACTCCGAGTTGGATCCAACCATCCATCCAGCGGTGACTGGTGATTTGGGGACTAGAGTGGTCCATGGTCCGAGAGCGAGTAAAGTACCTCTCTAGGTAGGTAGGTAAAAGTCGTTCAATTTTTATTCTTTTTTTCTCTCTTGGAAACGTATATCTCTTGCTTCGGTCCGGAACCGTCTTTTTGCACATACAGAACACTTGTTTTCTTATCTTCGTTTGGCTCGTTGTATTTTTGAGCAAAGAATCTGTACATCAGAACGACAGACACACACACACACATATACACACACCAATCAATAGAGACTATACTTGTACAGGTCCACAGTACGATACAGGACAGCACAGAACAGGATACGCCACAATCACATCACAGTCACAGTTACAGTCTCGTGCAAGGGACGAACCTCGAATCTCGTTCATCAGACACTACCCTACCCTACTCTACTCTACACAACCCTACCCTACCTACCACCTTGGTTATTTGTTCCCTTTCCCCATTTTCAATTACACTCTATATTACAACACGGGAAAAAAAAAACAGGCGGAAGAGACGGAAAGCCGGAAAAGATGTTACTGGTCAACACCGACACCCTCAAACTCGAGTCCATCGTCTACCCGCCTCCCGGCTCCTACGCCATCCTCTCGCACACCTGGACAAAGGAGGAGATCAGCTTTCAGGACTGGAAGTGCATCGAGACCGGCGGTCCCGAGGCCGACGCCCTCAAGGCCAAGGCCGGGTACGCAAAGATCGAAATGACGTGCCGCATCGCAAAGGCCGACGGGCTCAAGTACGCGTGGGTCGACACGTGCGGGATCGACAAGAGCAGCAGCGCCGAGCTGTCCGAGGCCATCAACTCCATGTTCAAGTGGTACCGGGACGCGCACATCTGCTACGCCTACCTCTCGGATCTGGAGAACGCGTCGGACACGAGTCAATTACAGACGTGTCGATGGTTCACCAGAGGCTGGACGCTCCAGGAACTGATCGCGCCCCAAAAGGTGCGCTTCTACGACAAGTGGTGGGTCGAGGCCGGCACCAAGGCCAGTTTCCAGGAGCTCCTCGCCACCGTCACCCGCATCGACGCGGACGTGCTGGTCAACGGCCAGAATCTCGACTTCGTGCCCGTCGGCAGGAAGATGTCGTGGGCGGCGCACCGCGAGACCAGCCGGGTCGAGGACCTCGCGTACTGCCTGCTGGGTCTCTTCAACGTCAACATGCCGCTGCTGTACGGGGAAGGGGACCGGGCGTTTCTCCGTCTCCAAGAAGAAATCCTCAAGGAGCACAACGACCTGAGTCTGTTCGCGTGGCAAAACACGTCGGGCACCTCGCTCTACCGCGGCATCTTTGCAGAGTCCCCCACAGAGTTCTCGGACTGCTTCGACCTCAAGGCGCCGCACGAGCGGGAGAGTCTCGGGAACGAAGTCTCCATCACCAGCAACGGGTTGCGCGCCGAAGGCATCTTCCTCCCCGGTCAGAATGACTGCTGCATTCTCGATCTCGGGTGCTGTCGCAGCGGAGCCACCACGGATCCGGAATGGTTGTACGTCCGCCTCAAAAAGGTGGGAGAGACGTTCGTCCGCGTCCTGCCGAAACACGTCACGGCCGAGAAATCACGGCTCATCTGGTGGCAGGGCAGCAGGCGCACGGTGTACGTCCGCAAGAGTGTCCACAGCCAACAGCTCACCGAGGCCAACTACCGCATATCCAGCGTGACGATCCAGTTCGCCGAGTCTCTCCGGGGGAAAACGAAGCTGTGCGATGTATTGCCTCCACAGCATTGGGAGGCAGAGACCACGCGATTCTTCGGCTTCGAATCCGCCAGCTTCACCGGCATCGTACCGTTTGTGTTCGAGACATCTCCCCCAGCACCTCGACTGCGGAGACGTCTCGTGCTCCTCTGCGGCGTGCACAAGTCCTTCATCCGAAGCTGGAGGCTCGATTCATGGGCCGCCATCTTCCAGGAGTCCGGTGCGAACGACGACCTCTCGACGGCGCTGGTGGCGCTGGCCCACGGCGACGACGCGAGCCTCTCCGAAACCCACCGGCAACACGTCATCAAGGACGTGCTGTTTGCCAACTTCTCAGACACGTACGGGGTGTTGCGCGGCCTGGATAAACGAAACTCAGTCCTGATCAAGGACCAAGCCAGTCGGACCCAGTATACTCTGTCGTTGGAGATGCACGACGTCCCCGTGGGGAACACATGGCGGGCCACAACGGCGACTATCAACTGCGAGACGGTAAATGTGCCCGTGGAGAAGGTCAGAAACCCGAAGGGACTCGTGAAAACAGAGGTCAAAAAGGTCGAGTCGTCGTTGATGCCGATAGATACCATCAAGCCCAGAGCCTCTGCTGTGGGTGTGGTGTAGGAATGTACGTTTCTTCATCGATGCGAAAAGGAGATAGAGACATCTCAAGCCCTTCAGGCCTTTCAATTCGTGTATAGATAGATAAAAATCAATCTGCTGGTCTGTTCAAACTCCCGCAAGTCTTATCACTCGCCATCTTACGGTAGCGGGCACACGGCGTTCTGAAGTGAGTTGGAGTATGCTCATGCGACGAAGGACTGCAGGAGGGTGAAGCCTGAGAGGGAAGAGGAGGTTGTATTTATGTGCTTGCTTGGCTGCCAAGGCTGAGCCCCTTATTCAAGGAAGATCGATACCCCTGATCTACTATAGACCCTTATGTAGGTCTGGTGGCAGCGTGCGATTACAAGATGAGTCCTGATGTTCATTGCCTCAATCATGAGGTCAAACGATCAAGTGCCCTGTTGAATAGAAAACCACGACGGATCCTATCACTGTCGAAAAGAGGCATCACCAGATGTGGAACAAATGCCATTATTTGTTGAGCTCTGTTGATAGCTATGGCCGGGTCAAAGGAGTGGAAGTACTGCAAAAAATCGTCAAAATCATCATAGCCAGAAAAGTTCCACGAGGCACTTTTGAGCACATCAATCTCCCTCCTCACGGCTCCTCGCTTCTGCCGACCACAAAGCCGTGTGCGCCTGCATGATTAATCCTCATTGCCCACAAGCCCACCCCATCACTACTCCCCAATTCGCGGAGCTCCACCCTTCCAGTCGTGGCGCTCATAGTGGCGGAAGACCAAGTCGTAGCCATCGAGGTCATGGACAATACGATCGACGCGGCGATACCCTTTGATGGCATCCATCTTGGTGTTGCGACGAGCAGCCTGTCGCTCCAACATCCTGATTCCAGCCAGCTCATCATGATCAGCGTACGCCTTTTCCTCGAAAGAGGAGGTCGCTTCAAAAATGGTGACAGAGAATCGGCCAGGCTTGAAAATGTCTACCACGTGCTGAATGATGTCAGCCGTCTCACGACCCTTCTGGCCGCAAGGGACATTGGTCTCGAAAGATGCATAAGAGCAGATCGGTTCTGGAGTCACATGGACAGTGAAATAGTGAGTCCCTTTCTGTCCATTAGGGGCTGGGATGACTCCGTTGGCCGAGAACCCGCATGGGGTAAAGAGATATGCATCAACTCGAGCCTCTGGATACTTGTCGGCCGGATAAACATTGGAAAGACCGCACGCGTCAGACACGACGGTGCCAAGAGCATGGCCTTCAGTGGTGAGTTCCGATGGAAAGGCCTCTTCCTTGATAGAAATGTCGCTGTCATCAGAAGATGCGTTGCTGAATACATCGATGTGATCGTCTCGCCCTTTTTGAGATCCTCTCCACTGATCTTCTGCGACCGCACTCGCATGGTCGAGGTAGAATTGTCTAGCATTCTCCTCGTCCAAATCAGTCATGAGGATCTCGAGAGTTTCGTCTTCACCTTCGCACACCTTCGAACCACGGTCGACCACCAGCGACGTCGGTAGTTCAAGCATCTTGGTCTCAGTCCCTGGACTATCCATGCTCTGTGGGCTGGCTGGTGGCGTCAACATGGTGTATGGTTCGGTCAAGTACAAGTACCAATGTTCGCCGTTCATCTTGCCAATCATGTACGCACTCCCTCCAACAAAGAGTTTGTCAAGAGTGTACACTTCATCGCGCCAGCTGCGATGTGGACCCCGCTGACGGTCAGGGAACAAGTAGTTCTTGCGACTGTAGAAAACGCGGTATGGAGCGGCCGCAACGGCAATACCATTAGACGGTGGAGCAGTCGCACGTGGGAAGCCCCCAAAGAGAACTGCGATCTCGAGGATACGTGGCAGCCCGCAAAGCAAGGTCGTGGTCCCGCATGTCTTCAAGATAAGTTTGTGGGGGAAGACAAACATGCTCGACTCAGAGAGCAGATAAGCATCAACGTCTTCGGACTCGATGATGGACAAGACTTTGCAATTGACCAGGTCTAGCATGGACTTCCACACCTCGGACGGCACGGCCTTGAGTCCGGTGGGCTCTGAACAGCCCTGGAGAGCATCTGACGACGGACTGAACCATACCTCCAAAAGTTTCTCGGGACCTTGAACACAGTTAGACACGAAAGCAACACAGACGAACAAGAACTTACCTTCAAAAGCATTGCTAGAATCCAGATCTAGCGCAACTTCATGATTGATAGTCAACGAGGGAGTGTGACTAAAACTCGATGGCGAAGTTGTATAATGCTTGGGGATCCCAATGTGTACCATATCCTTTTCGAAGGTGTGGACAAAGTCCTCTCAGCTGTCGGAAGCGTTGGAGTGTTATGGGCAAGAAGGTGAAGGACCACTGATCTGACGATTCAGTGAAGCACTATCTGCCACCCAGACGAACAATGCGGTGTCCGCCTGAGAAGAGAAGGCCCACTATGCGGTGGGAGAAATGGAGGCTGGCTTTTGCCAGCAGCAGTGTGTTATGTGGTTTGAAATCCCTTCTGAGGGGTCGTTATGGAGGCCTGGTGGAGGAGAGGAGGAAGAAGATTTCCTGCACGAACGGAATTGTGGGCAGTATTTGTGCGCGCTTCCTGATCAAATTTTGATAGCGCTCAAAGGTGTGAGAGACGTTTGTTATCTTTGACGAGGAGGCTTTTGTTCGGTGGACGGTTCGCTGTGAGACTTTGTTGTAAACCCGCAAGTAGCAGGTGTTATCTAGGCCTATTTCTCGAGTGAGCACTGCCTCAGTCAATGGGGACTTGGAAGAGACGGGACGTACTTTGCTGGCTTGGATAGGAAGCGAAGCAGGTCCTTGCGGCTCATAGAGATATTGCTAGAAGTCGCTGGGGATGAAAGATGGCTATCACAGCCTGAGCATCGAGTGAATCACTCAACTAGTGAGGTTCGCCAGGGCTGCGGTTGTGGTGGTGAAAATTGTGGGCAGCGGTGTAAAAAATGCCTCAGCAAAAATTCTGACCACTGGTTCGATGGACTGTCTGCAATGGAGAGGACAGCGTGAAATTACACGAGTAGAGGAGAGTGACGAGCACAACAATGTAGCAATTGGCAACTTTGCAGAAGTTGAAATGGCAGTAGGCGTGGTAGAGGAATCGAAAGAGGCAAAATTGTGCGTTGAATGTTGATGTCGCACCAGAAAAAGAAGTGGCAGCTTTGTGTGTGACGAGCGGTGGTGAGTGAGTGGACACCGCCAGCTGGAAATTTCGGGCGCGGAGACGCAGCCCAGCGGCCAGTGAGATGCCCAGGGGTCCCAGGGAACCCCGCCGCCTCGGCACCGATGACGAAAGGTCCCGGGTGCTGCGAAAAATCTTGATTAGCACTGGATTAGCTGACAGGGGGCCACTGAAGGATGGCTCTGCCTTCACAGTATCAACACCACCATCACCCGATACTGGGACTTCCGGAACCACCGAAGTGTCCTAGGGAAAAGCAAGTGACAGGAGGAGGAGCAGCAGGGGTCTGAAAATGGCCGAAACAAATACGAGGCATTGTACATGAGCTACTACTTGTATAGCGACTCCGTGCACAGAGGAAGATATATCTGGTCGCATGTGCAAGCACGTGCCCCTCCATAACATCAACTGCACATGCTGCCGTGCACTTTAGCTGAATAAGAAGGGAGAAAATCGTCTAAGCATGGTGTGCAAGTCCCTGAATACATTGCTTTCATGTTCCTCTGAATACGAAGCATTCTGTATCTCGAGCAGGAGAAGCGCAGCAAGCGCAGGCAGGATTTAAAACGAAAACGGTTGAACGATGCCCCTCCAATGCCTATTGTCTTGTACCTGGACCGCTTAACGCCACCCCCGCGAAGTTCACGCCCCCGGTAGCCACGGGCCTACCCAGGCACCAGGTAAGGATGCTGACCTCCGGGGCTTTTCCAAGCTAGCAGCAGCTCGTCAGACTGGATCGACCACCCAATCGCGCCCACCAAGGCTGAACTGAAAATTGTTAACGCCACCACCCGGCAATCTCCGTCCCTGCTTAACAATCCTTTTGTCGGATCATGCACTCACCAACTGCGTCAACTGCGATTTATTTCAACCCATTCCCTGCGCTGACCTCGAGCATGTTCCTTTGTCAATAACATTTGCTGCAGTCGGTTATGGGTCTCGAGAACATCAAGCACGTCGTGCTCATCCTCTCGGGCAAAGGAGGGGTCGGAAAATCAAGTGTCACTCTGCAACTCGCCCTCTCCCTTACACGGCAGGGTCACAATGTCGGAATCCTTGATATCGATCTTACCGGACCCTCTATACCTCGTCTCCTCAATCTGGAGGACAAGAAAGTGACACAGGCTCCTGGTGGCTGGCTGCCGGTCAAGGTACATGACGCAAGAGACGCAGGGGACGAAGACAAACCCGCCAGAGGCTCCCTCCACGCCCTGTCTCTTGCATTCCTCCTTCCTTCCCGCTCGTCGGCTGTCATCTGGCGTGGACCAAAGAAGACGGCAATGATCAGACAGTTCGTTTCCGACGTTCTATGGCCGCCGAATACAGACTACCTTCTCATTGATACCCCACCGGGCACCAGTGACGAGCACATTGCCATTGTCGAGGAACTACACAAACTTGCAGCCGATGTCCAACCTGTGACAGCCTCCAACGGCAATGGCCTAGCCCTCGATATTGACAGCAGTCCAAAACTTTCCGGGGCAGTGGTTGTCACTACTCCGCAGGCTATTGCGACAGCTGATGTGCGCAAAGAGCTGAACTTCTGTGTAAAGACGCAGGTACCAGTGCTTGGAGTCATCGAAAACATGGCGGGTTACATGTGCCCCTGTTGTGGCGAGATAAGCAATGTCTTCAGCAAAGGTGGAGGCCAGATCATGGCCAGCGAAGCCAATGTTCCCTTTCTAGGCTCAGTTCCCATCGATACTGGTTTTGGGGCCTTGGTCGAAGGCGCAAAAGACGTGCCAAACACCGCGAATGACGCTCTAGCGACGAATGGTCATGATTCAGATGAGTCTTCAGAACTGGTTGAACGATACGGAAAATGCGGGTTATGTCCTATTTTTGCCGATTTCGCCACCACAATAGACCAAAAAATACAGAACTCCTCGGTGCCTTAGTCTAAAGCTATCTGTCCACTCTTCGTCTGACTCATATCACAGCGTGGGTGGCCGAAGTGTCTTGGCTCAACGTGTTTCATCAGCGCTCTAGCCCTCACACTATCCCTGTGCCCTTCCAAGAGGTAGTCAGGGTGCCGAAGTGATGCAGACCAACATTGTGGCAGCTTTCAGCATCAGAGATCAAGTCTCTCGACAGACTGAACACCCTCCACATTATGCTTGAACTGCGGTTATCTGTGCACTTCTCAGCCTCTGCGAGGAAGTTGGCGTAACAGAAGAAGCCGCAGCGCAAGACTGGATTATGCACCGAGCCGTCTCCCACGCCCACAGAGTGTTCTGATCTACCCATCTTACGTCTCTCGGATTCAGACTCGAAGAGATTACAATATCAGAGACTGCATTTCCTCTGGCTTTAGGAAGTGATGGCTTGTCAACGTCACCAGCGTTGACTGATGGTGCCTCTACCCCAGTTATCGAGGCTCCTAGCTGCTCTTGCGCCTCGTTCGTTTGGGTGGACATACTCGCCGGCTCGCAGCTAGGTCGATCAGCGGTTACGGGGAGTTTGTTGTCATCCGCGCTTGGTTGCTCTGTATCTGCTCTTTTGGTACTTGGATTGCTCACTTGCTGTACAAGGTTCGCATCGAGCGTCGGTATGTTCACAGGTCTATTTTCATCTGTCACGGTGGAAGCTGGGACGTCCGGTTTCACGCTCGAATGGCTGAGCTGCTGCATCTGTGCCAGCATAGTCGAACTCAAGCGCTCCAGCCATTGTTCGCGACGTGGCGAGTGGGCAATGATGCTATCCATCCAGTTTGCGCGTAGACTTCGATTCATAAAATTGAAGGTATGAGAGCCTGTGGAAGATGAAGTACTATGCCCGGGGCTGCCCGTGTCGGTATGTTGTCCGGGCAGACAAGGAGAAGACGATGGTGTTGATAACAATGGCGACGAGGACAAGGATGCGTGCTTATTCTGGTCCATGCTATTGATCAAGTCGATTGCGCCAATCATCTGCGTGCGGCCCGCCATGCGGAACGTGTTCGTCTGGACGTCGATGTTGTTCTGTTGAAGCCAGGTGGCAGCGGCTCCTCGGGCTCGCGTAGACCAGGGCATCATAAACGCTGCTGCCTCCGAGCGAGCCAGCCGCGAGATGACCATGAAGACGAGCAACAGCAAACCGTCCCAGCCCTTCTGGGCGGCTACGTATGTCATGGCCAACAGCTGGAGGTAGTGCGTGAGCTGGAAATACCAGAAGAGCCATCTGCAAGACCGCTCCGTGGTGATGGCCAACATGGGCTTGTTGAGCAGCCTGTCGATGATGGCGCGGTCGCCGCGGTAGAGATGCCAGGTCGACGCATTGTCGTGTGGCGCCACCAGCATACAGGCGGCATCATACGTTTCGTTGTTGTCGAGGTATCCCGGCGGCCGATGGAAGGGGAGGCGGTGGCTGACCAACGCATTGATACAGGATAGCAGGAGGAGGGCACATGTCCCATAGGCACCGCACAGCGCCAGCAACCCTGCGAGTGCGGTGACGAGAACATGGCCGGATACAGTGCACAGTCGCTCTAAGAGACTGGATGCGGCAGTGCCTTTGTTGCCCGCGGAAGCCTTGTTGAAACGCAACTCGACAAGGTGCAGTACCTGCGGTCTGCAGAAGGCGACGTTCTTGGGCATGGACGTTTTTGTCAGGGGCTTTCCGTCCACCTTTGGCTGTGGCTGATGTCCCTCCCCATTGCCGGCCTGCTCTGGCGCCGTGGTCTCAACGTCGATGATCTCGGTCTTCCCTCGGAAGGCGTGTGCAGTGAGCAGCTCTCGTGCGGCACCGTTGGCGCACTGGAACACGCTGCCCCAAGAGACATCCCACACGGTGGTCGACCCTGCAACACCTGCGCTGCTTGTCTGGTCGAGCACGGCCGATCCCAGTAAGAGCAGTCTAGCAACACCCTTGAGCTGGCCGAGCTTGGGCATGAGATCGAGGCAGATTTTCCCCCGGAGACACGCTTCGCCTATCACCTGGAACTCGTCGTGCGAGCTGGCGAGGTGCACGATCAGCGGCACCAGAGCGGACCACTCCGTAATGATATGGGGGAGGGCGGGAAGGGTGATATAGCTAGCATTGCCAATGGTGCTCATCTTGTCTGGAAAGGCACCGTCGCCGTTCTTGTCTTTCTCATAGTTTCAGAGAATAAACCACCCCTTCCATCATTCCAAGGGTATATGTAGAGGCCAAGGGAGAAAACCAGAGGTGGCTTTCCCCCCCCCACACGCTGGGGCTGTGCCGGGGCCATTGTTGCCTGTCCTTGATCATACGGAAGAGGGTCTATTCGACCTCAGCTGGGTCAAATCAACCTTGGAAAGCTTGGACGGGGAAAGAGGCAGATTCGCATGGTGTCCGGGTGGCGCAAGTGGCGCAGTTCAGAGACCCGCAAGGCTTTGGCCGCCCAGTCGCTCAAGGGGCGGGATGGAGGATTCAGCGGAGGAAGGTAAAGCGAGGGTTTTGATACCACCTCGAGGGAGTAATTGAACGTGATAAGACACATTACGGCTTCATCCGTTGCTCATGGGACTGATGCCCTGCGAGTCTAGACGTCGGTTCCGAGTGCTTAAGTAAAACACGCAGTCCTTTTTGATCTAACCGTCATGGAAGGCTCCTTCGCGTACTACGGTACCCTGATACACTCTCGGACCACGTCAGATATCGAGATCCTCACCGACACGCTGATCATAGTCGATGACACAGGCAAGATAAGTCACATCTATCCACAGTTGGAGCCTGAAAACGGACGAAGTCTAGAGGATAGCATTGGATCAGTGCTCAACCGACCCGACGCTCAACTGCCCGTCGTTCGCTTAGAGTCACCCAGCCAATTCCTCGTTCCGTCCTTCATCGACACCCATGTCCACGCACCTCAATTCTCCATGCGCGGTCTCGGCCAAGGCCTCCACATTCTGGAGTGGTTGGATCAAATCACCTTCCCTCACGAAGCTAAGTTCTGCGACACCGACTACGCCAGGCAAGTCTACTCGAGATGTGTCGAGATGGGTCTCCGCCAGGGCGTGACCACCGCGTGCTACTTTGGCAGCCTGCACACGCCAGCGACCAAGATCCTTGTGGACGTGTGTCTCGAAAAGGGCCAGCGGGCGTTTGTGGGGAAGACATGCATGAATAACCCTGACACTAACCCGGCGTATTACCGGGAAGACACTGCGGACGCGGTGGCTGGAACTCAAGAGGTGATTCGGCATTGTCGAGCCGTCGATGAGAAAGGCGACATGGTCAGGCCCATCCTGACGCCGCGGTTTGCAATAAGTTGCACCTCAGAGTCTCTGACGGAGCTGGGAAAACTGGCCAAGGAGCACGAGCACACATATGGAGTCGGACAAGGCGTCCCGAACCAAACACACTTTTGTGAAGCTCAACAAGAGATCGACGCCACGTTAAATCAGTACAAGGGATTTACCTGCGAAGCCGACTTGTACGCGCACTATGGGCTCTTTGACCACAACTCGGTGCTCGCACACTGTACACTGCTCAGCGAAGCCGACCAGGTCAAGATCAAGCAACAAGGCTGTGGAATCGCCCATTGTCCGGCGTCCAACACCACCGTCGGCGGCGGATTCATGGCCGCCCCAATCCGCAAACTCCTGTCCGACGGGGTCACGAAGATCGGCCTGGGCACCGACTCGGGAGGTGGCTTCTCATGCAGCATCATGGACGCCATGCGCCTGGCCGTGATCGTGGGCAACGCACGCGAGATGATCTCGGGAGGGAAAGAAGAGCGATTGAAGCTGGACGAGATCTTCTACATGGCGACGCTGGGCGGAGCTCGAGTGCTGCGGATGGAGGACCGAGTCGGCTCGTTCGAGGTGGGGAAACAGTTCGACGCGCTTTTGGTGGACATGAGCGATCCTCCTCCCTCTCGCCCCAGCGAGTCTACTTACGCGGGAGTGCACACCATGATGGACGGCGAGAGCCGAACGGCCCAAGGGATCAGACAGGTCTGGGAGAAATGGGTCATGACGGGGGACGATCGGAACTTGACGAAAGTGTGGGTTGGCGGGAAAGTCAAGAAGGACATAACGCGCGGAAAATCGTGAATAGGGATTGAGAGTCATTGGCAGTGCGACTCTGTGATAGAGAAGAAGGTATCATGGCCATCACAGACATGATTCGAGGGACTCGCGACGGATGGACAGCCTGATGCGCACTCCTCTGATACTTCTCTCTGACGGTACAGCCTTGTCCGTCCCTTTTTGGGACATATCGAACCCCACGCGGGGTTGCGGGGAGAAGGGAGGGGTCACAAGGGGGACATGATATTCTGCTGCTGGGGACATGACTTCGGCAGTTGACACGAACAGGGACCACACAAGACCCATGTCCAGACACGACGTACGTCGTGAGGATGTCTGGTGTCTGGTCTATGGTCTCTACTACCTGGCGCTGAAAATGATCACCCACTCCGGATTGGCAAGACCCGCACCTATCATGTACCTAGGTAGGTAACCTGGTAGGTAGCTGTGATAGGTAACTCCTCATGACCGTCCGTTCTTTGCTTCCTGCATGATCGATCCGTCACCATCACCATCATTCTCCAGCCGTTACTACCTAACACCTACGAGCAATATCACTAGCACTAGCACTACACTAGCACCGCGGGACCCCGAGGGGTTCTTCACAGAACGAAACATGGGGCATTCGCTCTTTTTGGAGACCGGCCCCGGTCACGACCGCGATGCGTCGAAAGAGAGAGGGAGAGTTACAAAAATGTGGAGACTTGGGTACTATCTCTCTAGCTGGGTACATACGTACAAACGTACCTACATGCCTACTGTTAGGGAGGTGGGTGGGAAGTACGTCCATATATCTAATGTAGGTAAGCGGGTAGGTACTCAGACCCCGTTCATGGCCCCTGGGATACCAAGCTCCAGCCAGGGTTCGGACAGCCAGCCGACAATCTTAACAAAAACGCAGGCCCTATCTCTTTCCATACAATCCCCCTCAGGCTCGATAGGGTGAAAAAGAATTTGTTTCTGATCGAGTGCCGAGCGAACTCGTTTCTTTCCACAGATCACGATAACCGATACGATTCGAACAGAATATCAACGCCGTCACAAGCTCCGGATCCAGGTTCAGGTCCAGGCCCGGGTGTCTATAAGGTACAATAACACGACAATGGAGGCCGAACTCGCCGAGCTCAAGGCCGAAGTCAAGCGTCTTCACGCGAAGTTGCAAAAGGTCGAAGGTAAGTTACTCGGAAACCAGATACGAAAGGAGACGACGTGGTGTCCCTTTTGTCGCCAACACTTTCTTCCCGCCCCTCAAAAGGAGAGAGGATTGCGAAAGCAGCAACAAGAGAAGAAGCACTGGAGAAGAGGAATGGATGATACATGATAGATCGTTGACTTTCGAACACCATGTCTGATGATCGGTATTTTAGATGAGGCGGAAATCCGCAAGGTCCATTTCAAATATGGCTATTATATCGACAAGTGTCTCTACAACGAGGTCAGTATTTCCCCCTTCCCTCGTTAGGAAAAAGACAAGATATACACCAAACAAAAAAAGCCTACACGTACAGGACAAAGGTATACCGAGACAAGTCTAACGCACCCACTCAGGTCGTCGACATGTTCTCCAACCACCCCGACGCGTACGTCGAGTTCCTCGGCTCGCGCTACCGACGCAAGGAGGGCATCCGACGGCTCTACATCGGACGGTTCCAGACGCACTTTGTCAAGGGCCGCAACGGCCCCGTGTACGGCTTCCTGCTCGACCACCCGATGATGCAGGAGATTGTGGACGTGGACGCGACCGGGACGCGGGCGTGGGCGCGGATCCGCGCCCTCATGTCAGCGGGCACGCACCAGTCGATCCAGGAGGAGCACCCGCGCGGCCACGCCCAGTGGTGGGAGGGCGGCGTGTACGAGAACGAGTACATCAAGGAGGACGGGGTGTGGAAGCCCTTCCGCTACCGCTACTTCCCCTTCTGGCACGCGGACTTTGAGCGCGGCTGGGCCCACACCAAGAAGAACTACATCCCCTGGCCGACCAAGACGTACCCGGAAGATCCTCTCGGTCCGGACGAGCTGCTCGAGCAGAAGATGCTGTGGCCAGACACGCGCGTCGTGCCGTTCCATTACCCGCATCCGGTGACGGGGAGGATGGTCAAGGACGACGACCTGCGCGCCCCAAAGTACGGCGAGGACGTGAGTACGAGCTTGCCGCCGTTGAGTATCGCGTTGCCCAAGGATCAGCAGGAGAAGGAGGCCGAGGAGGCGAAGAAGGTGGTAGCAGAGACCGGAGAGATTGCGGATACCACGCCTGCGTGATATTCTGGTTCTAGGAAGTCAAAGGTGTGCCAGTCGCAATGGATTCTATTCTAGGGAGCTGTTTTGAACTCGAGCAGCGAGCAGCGAGCAGCAAAGCGAGGGAGATTGCACCTTACTCTAACATACCCTTCAAGTATGACTTTGATCAGGTAGGGAGCTAGAAGTAGGTGAAGTGTTACTTCCACGTATATGGATCTACGAGTATGCAGGATATTTACCAGCCAGCCTACCAGCCTACCTACCTACATATATACATCGGTATCTAATCTATCCATCTATACCTTCCGAGCCCTTCCAGTCGGCAACGTAAGACATCTACCACCACCACACAATATCACAAGGCGTCGGCGTATAAATATCGTCACATTCACTAGTCTCTCTCTCACTTGATGTAATGCAGTCCGAGACATAAAACCAAGGCCATTTGACATTTGACTTTGACCCTTTGACCCGCTTTCTCCAGCCAAGTGACAAACAGCCTGGCAACAGTGATCCGGCGACGGGTGGAAACAGACCTAGACCTAGACCTACCCAAGGTATCTACAAGTTATCACGCCCCGATGCGAGAAACGTCCCCAAAAGACCCTGATTTCATCCCCCCACATCCATTTGTTGAACGTTGAATGTCTAGGGAGTCTACTTGTATGGGGAGGGATCTAGGTAATCTACACCATGTGACCCTGGCGGTAGTTGAAAGAGAGAGTGTGTGTGCAGGAAAGAGACGGACAGACAGACAGAGAGAGAGAGACTTTCCCGAATCTGATAATGGATTTTGATATCTACCCCTCTCTCCCTTATTCCAACGCGGGATTAGACCCCCCTCCCTAAAATCGAGGAATGGGGAAATGAATAAGACCGGACGCAGGGGAGGAGAGTAGGTAATAGTGAAAGCGAACCCTGTGGTCGGTCGGTCGGTCCGTCACTATTAAGTCAAGTTAAATCCGTCCAAGTCGCGTCCCGTCGGCAGTTGCATTTTCCATCGCCCACATGCCGAATCGGGCGAGAGGGTGTGAGAATACCGACCGAGTACAGTATTGCAGGGTGCCGCTACAGCATATACTACTACCTAGTATCCGTGGAAGCCATACAAGACCAAATTACATGGGTAGGTTGAGTAGTGTGGCGAGGATTATTACTACTACGATGTCGATATACAATCGGGACACAAAAAGGGAATGAAAGTCGATATCTATTCATCATCAATGCTATATGCATACATACATACACACATACAACACCTAGGTACATCTACATTTCTATATATCGACATACAACCCTAGGACCATAACGCAGACCAGACGGGGAATGGATTGGCTCTAACAAAGGATCCAGGAGAGGAGTACCGGCAACAGAGACGAGGGGAATATAGAAGAAGGACAGGCACATCAGGCCAGAGAGCACAAAGTTATAGACATTTGATAATCAAACCCATTCCCCCTATCTCACATCCCTCAACAGCCTCGCGCACATGCCATAATGGCACACATCTTCGACCTCGCCCCCCAACTTGTGGCAGGAAACTACAAGGACGGCATCAAAGCCACCGACCAGGTCCAGTACCCCGCCACGGGCGTGTTCCAGGGTTTCAACAAACCGTCGCGCATCGAGGGCGACGTGTTCGACCTGGAATTCACGGGCAAAATCCCGCCCGAGATCGACGGGACCTTCTACCGCGTGCAGCCGGACCACCGCTTCCCGCCCGTCTTCGAGGACGACATCCACTTCAACGGCGACGGGAGCGTGACGGCGATCCGCATCCAAAAGGGACACGCCGACTTCAAGCAGCGCTATGTCCGGACGGATCGGTACAAGGCCGAGACCAGCGCGAGGAGGGCCCTGTTTGGGAGGTACAGAAACCCCTTCACCGACAGTGAGACGGTCAAAGGGGTGGTGCGGACCGCGGCAAACACCAACATCACCTTCTGGCGAGGCGTCTTGCTGGCGAGCAAGGAGGACGGGCCCCCGTACATCATGGACCCCGTCTCTCTGGAAACGATCGGCCGGTACGATTTCGAGGGTCAGATCCTCACACCCACCTTCACGGCACATCCCAAGTTCGACCCGGACACGGGGGAAATGCTGTGCTTTGCGTACGAGGCCGGCGGGGACGGCCACGACGGCTCCAATGACATTGTGGTGTGGACCATCGACAAGGATGGGAAGAAGACCGAGGAATGTTGGTACAAGGCCCCGTTTTGCGGAATGATTCACGACTGTGGCATCAGTAAGAATTACATGGTGTTGCCGTTGACACCGATCAAGTGGACAGGCATCGAGGCGTTAAAGGGCGGAGGGAATCACTGGGCCTGGGATCCTAATGAGGATCAGTGGTATGGCGTGGTTCCCAGAAGAGGAGCCAAGTCGGAAGACATTGTCTGGTTTCGAGCTGACAATGGTGAGTGCATCTAACATGCTTGCCAAAGCCTGACTTGTCTGAGACTTACCGCCCGAATAGGTTTCCACGGGCACATCGCAGGATGCTATGAGAACGAAGATGGCCACATCGTTTTCGACCTCACCGTCGCAGATGGCAATGTCTTCTTCTTCTTCCCTCCTCTCGGCGAGGCCCAAGGTCCCCTGGCCAAGCGGAATCAACTGCAAAGTCCGACCACCCGGTGGATATTCGATCCTAAAGCCAAGTCAGGAACACGAGTGACGCCCGCCGAAACCTGGATGACAAACGGCGAGTTTTCTCGGATCGACGACCGATTCGTGACCAAAAAGTACAATCACTTTTGGCAAGCCAAAGTCGACCCAACGAAGCCTTATGATTTTGCAAAGTGTGGACCACCAGCAGGCGGCTTGTTTAACTGTCTGGGCCATTACAGCTGGGACGACAGGACCGAAGATGTCTTCTTCGCGGGACCAACGGCGACTTTTCAAGAACCAACATTCATCCCCAGGGATGGAGGCTCCGAGGGAGAAGGATATCTCATCGCTCTGCTCAACCAACTCGACGTCCTTCGAAACGACATAGTCATTATGGATGCTCTCGATGTGGCCAAAGGACCGCTGGCGGTGATCCACCTGCCGTTCAAGCTGAAGCTGGGCTTACATGGCAATTTTGTTGACCACAGAGACATCGATGAATGGCAGAAGAGACGGTCCGAATCCGGCGATATTGGGCCGGCCCAGCCAGCTAAAGAGCCTCTACCCTGGCAGATCCGCCAAAGGGAGCAGGGCCAGAGTGAGCAGAATGGAGTCAATGGTGCTGGATCGAATGGCGTACATGGTGGATAGTTATGCACAAGTTCGAACGATCCGGGCACAGAAGCTTGATATAGGCGCATATTCCCGGGAACAGAACATACAAAGCTTGTCTCCTTATCTCGTGCATGCGTCTCGTAATGCTGGATTTGGCGGAGGAGCACCAGTGCCGTCTGACCTGAAGTTCTGCGGTCAGCAACGGCATAACGATTCCTCCTACGTCCGTATTCCCGCGGCAGAGTATTGGAAAAGGTTCTCAAATGAGTGACTGGGAAAGCTCAGTTTCGTCTTCTCAAGGTCTCTGTAAGCCTGCAACCTGTCTACAGGCATGCTCAAGCCAGGTACTCCCCCGGATCGAGGTTCGTTATGGAAGGATAGACATGGAGTGCTCGCTGCCAGCTAAACGAACTGCCGCTTCGGGGGAGGACGAGGCTATGCGCTACCTGAAACCCGCAGTCAGCCCCATGCCTTGCTGGCATTCTGGGATCGAACAAGTAATACGAAGTTCTAGATCTTGTGCAAGAACTCGTATGTCGGGGATCCCCCACTGGTGGCGCGGCAACCTCGGGTGCCTCTTCCGATGGGACAGATACCAGGCGTATCTCCGTCCATGTCGGCAGTTACATCTGTGTAGAATGTTCTTGACGCTTAGAAATTGACATGCGTGGCCTCCATTCCCCTGCGTTGACAACTATCGACAATCTCGTCTGAAGCAACACGAAAAGCCATCTCATCGATTGCGAACAGTCCAAAAATGGGTTCCCCGGGCAAGATAGAGACAAGGCTGTTCATCAATGGCAAGGTATGTTAAATCCTCAATAATGCCAACAATAGTATTGATGTCGGTATAGTTCGTCGAGTCTTCAGACGGAAAGACGTTCCCTATCAGGTCACCAGCGACGAGGGAAGTTGTCGCCGAAGGTACATCACAAACTTCCAAGTGCAAATACAAATGCAAATGCAATGCTGATCTCCCATTTAGTGTACGAAGCCAGCGAAAAGGACACCGATGCCGCTGTAGCTGCCGCTAAAGCAGCCTTTCCAGCATGGTCTGCTCTCTCTCCTGCCGACAGAGGTGTGTATATGAAAAAACTGGCAGCCCTGTTGGTCGAAAGTGGCGAGGAATTTTCTCGACTGGAGGCTCTTTCGATGGGTCGGCCGGTGTCAACGTATTACGACAATCAGGCCGCTGCAAGCACCTTTGAGCATTATGCGGAGGCTGGGTATGATGCCCAAGGAGTCAGCAGCTTGAATACCCCGGGTTTTGTCAACATGACATTCAAGCAGCCGTATGGGGTCGTCGCGGCTATCATCCCCTGGAACGTTCCGCTTTTATTCTTCGCAAGCAAGGTCGCCCCAGCTCTTGCAGCCGGAAACACTGTTGTCTTGAAGAGCAGCGAGAAAGCGCCCCTAACGGTATGTGAAGCCTGCAATCGACCAAGAGCTTTGCTGACACTCGGCCCCCTCAGTCCGCGAAAGCTGCCACTCTGATCGAGAAAGCAGGGTTCCCTCCAGGAGTCATCAACGTTATATCCGGACATGGGCAGACGTCAGGAGCCATACTATCTTCGCACATGGACGTCCGAGCCCTCAGTTTCACAGGGTCGTGCCGAACTGGTCGGCTCATCCAGGCCGCAGCAGCAAAGTCCAATCTGAAGCATGTCGTCCTCGAGTTGGGCGGCAAGTCACCTGCCATTATATTTGACGATTGTGATCTCGAAGATGCCGTCCAGGAGACCAAATTTAGCATTCAATTCAACAGTGGCCAAGTGTGCATGGCCAACAGCAGAATTTATGTCCAAGACACCCTCGCCGATAAATTCATCGAGGCGTTCAAGGAGCAGTTTGCCAAAGTATCGGCCGGCGACCCGTTGGACGCCAACACCAACCATGGTCCACAGGCTGATTCTGTGCAATACGACACGGTGCACAAATATATCGCAGCTGGAAAGTCGGCTGGGAAACTGGCTCTTGGTGGCACGCCAGATGTGCCGGGTCTTGCAGAGTCGAACCAGCAAGGTTATTTTGTGCCCCCGACAATCTTCCTGCACACTCCGGAAGATGCCACAGTAATGAAAGAGGAGATCTTCGGACCTGTTGTGAATATCAATACCTTCAAGACGGAGGAGGAAGTGATTGCCAAAGCCAATGATAGCGAATTCGGTCTGTACGCCGCGGTATACACCAAGGACATCAACCGAGCCATGAGATTTGCAAAGGCATTAGAAGCAGGCACTGTTGCCGTCAACTGCACCAGTCCCACGACAGCAAAAGACATGCCATTCGGTGGCTACAAGAGTAGTGGCTCGGGTCGGGAAGGTTTCGGACACAGTCTGAACAATTTCCTCGAGACTAAAACAGTCTTGATCAAGATCAAGTGATGCCGATTTCATCAGCTTGCCTTCCTGGCGATGCTGCAGTTAGCTAGACATAGACAGACAATCCATGCGGGAAAGAGTGTATCCGAGCTCAACAGAGATGAGTGTGTCCATGGTCCTATTCGATGCCTGAAAAGTCCCAAGTATACTGCTGAGCGCGCGGTGGGAAGGTTTTGGTAATGTTTCCAGTTTTGCCGCTGTGATCTCCATGAAGAGTCAACGAGCTTCCTCTCCTCAGCCTAGGGATACGCACCTGAAATGGTATCCAGCCGGACAACGTCTTCTTTGAAGAACAGATGATCGAGATCACGCACTTCACCTTGAGTAATGAACATTGCGTAGAATGAAAATCGATGTAGAAGGAATAGCGCTTAAGAAAGCCCGGCTGGTAGCCCGGTTTAGAGCCTCCAAGCCGAGTCGTTCGGCAAGATGCTTTCGCTTTGCCGGATGCCCCGAAGCGAATGAGGAGGTGAGTTTTGAGGGCAAGTTTTGCAAATCAGGAGATATGTGGTGTTTCGATGCAAGCTTTGTACGAACTCCTCCGTCGCGTCGCCACGACGCGGTTAATACTGGGAGAAAGACCAGGAGTAGAACATGAGGAAAAACACGTTCACATAATCGAAGAAGAAAGACTGAGGCTCTCATTGCTGGTATCACTAGCCTTATTGCACAAATCATGGCCATATCTCCCACAGATATGGCCAGCCAGAATCACTCTTTTTGCAACCTCTTCGGTGCACAGAGGGAAAGTGAATAACTCTTGATCTTCCATCGTTGATGGGATCGAGATATTTGAACTCTATTCGTAAAGTTCCGGGCTCTCTGTGGTAACGACCGGATTCCTTCGCGAGTCCCGTGCGCGTTGGTTCCTGGCGAGGATGTCTCGAAGTTGGGACTCTGCGCTTACCGCCCGGTTGGGTTGCCCATGAACCCAAGGGACGAAACTGTGTAATTCCATTCTAGGAATCAACAGTTGCAATCTTTCCCGGAGGCTGGTGGGCGGAGGTGGACAGGGAGTAGCAGGCCCCTCGAAAAGCCCACTGTCGTCAAAACTGTAGAGTGGATAGTGGCGGCCTCCTTCTGACACTACGGGCGGATCAGAGACGGTAACTGCATTCGCCCCAGCAGACAGGTATGTCTCTGATACAACCGCATTCGTCGCCCGGGAAGGCATTTCTTCGACTTCATGTTCCGCTGCAGAGCTCTGAAGCAAACGGCGCGACGCGCGTGAGAGCTCAGGGTGCGCAAGCCGCCCATGGTCTTCAATGACTGGTGCCACCTCCGATAGAATCGCCGGTGCCGAAGTATGACGAATCGAGCCTGTTCCTGGCCTTGAGGGACCTGCTCCCGGGGTTTCGCTCCGCATGCGCCTCGTGCGCGGGACAGCTTGTAGCCTCTCAAGCAAGCCGTATGCGGCGGAGCCAGTGTGACTTCCCTCGATGAGACTGGCATCTTCTCGGACGATAATGACATCGTCGGCGGCGGCGGCCAGGCGTTCGTTGCTTGCGCTCGCCTCGGCCACGGCCTGTAAAGGACTGCTCATTGCCCTGATCTCGCCCTGGGGAGGCAAGTGGCTGTCATGCTGATCTGCCAGCACTAGCCTGCTCCTCCCGAATATCTCAGATATTGCATTAATGTCTTCTTCTATGTCCTCTTCAATGGCCGCCATGATCCCCCGAAAGCTGAACTCGTGAGCAGGGGGCAACTCGTTATTCATGATGTCCTGTTTTGACCTCGGCCGTGGGGGATGGATCTGGAGGGAAGCATCGTTGGAATGGACACGCACGAGGAGGGGTGGTGAAGGGATAGTTGTAGTCGAACTGCGACCCCCAATCGACGGGGTTGGGATGTGCCTGTTTAGGCTTGAGCGAGATGCATTGAGCTGGTGGAAGTGCAGGCCGGTCGGTAGAGGAGAGACGTTGCTTCGGTCACTTCGTAGGTAGCTCGAAGAGGGCGGGAGAGACCTTGATCCAGGACGTGGAGGAGTGGAAAGAAAAGCCCATTGCCCTCCAAAGCGGCCCGACGACGTGTCTGTTCGAGCATCCATATCCCGGGATCTCAAGATAAACAACGCACCATCGAAATCACTGTCGTATGAGACAAAACCAACCTTCAGATACGCTGTGAGGGCATTGGGTTCAGCAACGGAGAGGATGCGAGCCGATGGGCTCTAGCATTGATTTTGGCAACCCAAAGACCAGGTATCGTGGCATGCAGGATATGGAATAGAGCCGCCGATGGCAGTACAGCCCAACTACTTACATGCCGACGAGTACAAGACGAGGTATAGAGTGAAGGAGCAGCAAGGCGACGTTGCAAGGCGGGAGGGTTTTGGACAAGTTTCTGGCGTGGCTGCATTTCATTTGTCGGGACAAGAAATCAGTGTCTCCCAAACTGGCGTCATCCAACCCTAATTCTCGGTTTACCACACTCTGCTTTCTACGAGGTATTCATTTTGTGTTGGTGATAAGTTGTGACTCGTCGAGTTTCAGTCCTTGGTACTCTAACTACTGAATACTGAGACATCCCGTATTCCGAGGACGACAGCTATCGGGACGAGATGCCCACCCTTCAGCCCAAACCTGAAGCTGACCTTGTACAACTGTCAAGCCAGATCCTATTTCACTGCGAAGGACTACGAGAGACGTCCTCCCTACCTCCACCGAGGATTGTCATTGTAACCTGACCACTCGAGAAGACACACAGTTCACCGGGTATCCTCCTTGTAATGTCGCCGAACGGATGTACTCCAAAGCCACAACATCGTCAGCAAGGGTAGCAGACAGAAGCAGGCAGAAGCAGAGAAATAACCAATATGGAGCTGAAGTCGCTAGCTCTCACGGAAGAACAAGCTCGTTCCCAAAGCCTTGGAGCATCCTTTAGCGCAAAGAGGAGGCAGAAACGGGTGAATCTCTTACTCGAGTAAATGCATTCAACAGCCTTTTCTTGCGCACTTTGAGGGATTCATGACTACGTCTACCTCATACCCACCCACCGCTCACCAAAATTTGATGCCGCACAGTCCCCGACTCCTGCCATCTCCGACTCATTCGTCACCAGAGATTATCTGATATGTCTCGAAGGATCAGGAGACTCTGGAATCAGTAGCAAGCTTGTCAAATCGATCAGGACTGATGAGCCACGTGTAGATCGATCGCAGGCCCCGTGGAGCAGGCTGAGCCGAGGACTGGTCAAGCGGTCTCGCAAGCTGCCCCATTGGTACCTTTTCTCAATGGATACTCCTCAATGCAGCATCCCCTGCTGTCCTGGATTCGTCGGTTAGCAGCGTTGTAACCCATTGCCGACACCAGCTTGTTCTTTTCTCCCAGGAATTTGCTTGGTCACTGGTGGCCCCTCTATTGGGCGAAGTGCCTCAAGCTTTCCGCAAGCTTCCCACAAGCTTCATGCAAGCTCCTGCAAGCTTCCACAAGGTTACCCTGGGACGAATAGCAATGCCTCTGTTGGGAGTCACACCAGAACCTTTCCGTAAGCTCCAGACACCCAGTGCAGTGGTACAAGAGCTCGAAACTCTCCTCCAAGTTTCTATCATGCCTCCTCCTCTACCATTTGGTCCTCTCTCTCTTTAGGACGAACCTTGATAGAGGAAGCACTATGTACTTCTCTGTGGCTCTCTTAGCTGTGCTTCCAGCCCTGGCAGCCTCGTCGCCTACCCCGCGACAACGGCGCCAGACCAGCACGAACTCGTCTTCGGGTCTTCTCACCGACATCAACATCATCCAGCAGTACTGGGGTCAGATCACACCATATGCGGACAACGCCGAGGACTACTTTGGAGTCAGCGATGTTGGTCTACCAGATGGATGTCAGGTTGAGCAGGCTCATCTCCTGCAGCGCCATGGAGCTCGCTTCCCCGGCGGAACTTTTGACGACGGGCCCAACAATGCCAACTTCGCGGCAAAGGTCATGAACTGGACACAAGCCAATGCTTCGTCCCAATTTACCGGGCCCCTCAACTTCTTGAATTCTTACCGCTATGACCTCACACGAGACTTTCTCACGGGCATTGGTGCTTCGCAGTCCTTCATGGCCGGTGTTACTTTCTGGAACCGATATGGTCGTACTCTGTACAATGCTACCCAGGGCCAAGTCGCATACAACGCAACTTTCGCCAACGGGACAAGCCGGCCCAAATTGACCCTGAGGACAACGAGTCAGTCTCGGATTGAGAATACACAGATCAGTTGGGCACTGGGGTTCTTCGGACCCAGTTACCAGTTCATTCCAGACCCAACCCTGGCTAATTTCACCAACCCATTCGACCTCGTGGTCATCCCAGAGGGCGGAACTGAGAACAACACCCTAGCGTCGTACGATTCATGTTTCAATGATATCGACCCAGTCACTGGGTACCTGGGAGATCTGGATCTGTTGGGCTATTTGCCTCTTTACCTGTCAGACGCCCAAAGTCGCCTATCCCAGTACCTTCCAAGCGGGTTTAACCTGACACTCAACGACACGTACGCCATGCAGTAAGTCAAGCCCGTGTTTTGTATTCAAAATCTCCTCGCACTCACCTCCAAACAGGAGCATCTGCGCGTACGAGTCCAACTATCTAGGCCAATCTGATTTCTGCACCCTCTTCACCGAGGACGAATGGTCTGGATTCGAGAGTACGCTCGACATCGAGTACTACTACGACTACTCGTATGGCAATCCAACCGGAAGGGCACAAGGTATCGGGTATCTGCAGGAGCTGCTAGCGCGGTTGCAGAACCAATTCATCACGGTTTCCAACTCGAGCGTGAACAGCAGCCTGACCAACAATTCACAAACGTTCCCGCTAGGCCAGAAATTCTACGCTGATTTCTCGCACGACGACATTATCCTCTCGGTGCTCACGGCGGCCTCGCTCGACTACCTCCGCGACCCGCCGTCACTCACAGAATACCCGCCAAACCCCAACCGGCACTTCATCCTGTCACACTTGACGCCGTTCTCTGCGCGACTGGTGACGGAGGTGATTGGATGCGGCTCCGGCAATCCGGTGCCCAAGAATGCGTCGCAGACGCAGTACTACCCTACCCAGTACGGGTACAACCCGAGCAACGCGACGCACAAATTCATCCGCATGCGGCTGAACAACGGCATCCTGCCACTGTCGACGATCAGGGGGGGCTACTGCGGCAACCGACCTGACGGCATGTGTCCGCTGAGCTCATTCTTGACGAGCCAGGCCAGCTCCTACGAGGCGAGCAACTATGACTACGTCTGTTTCGGCAACTACACCATCGACTTCCCGAATAATGGCACCGACTATGATGGGACACTGTTCAGCGGGAGCGCCAAACAGAACGGAGGGTTGAGGAAGTGGTGAGAATAGGGTCCCTCATAATCACAGAGACTATAACCCCATAGCGTCGCCCCCAGTCCTGTGGGGCAATTCACGCAGAGGAGAGTGAACATGTACATAGGCACTCGCAGTATATACGATGCGTCCGGCAAAGGATGATAATGAAATGACGATAAGGATAATCGCAGCACAGAGGAGGGCATGTATTGACTGACAGATTTGGATCCCTGTTCGCGCATTCTTTTTTCTATTGTGTGTGCTACAGCATATCCGGCGTGATGACATTACTCTGCAGACCGTCGATCAAGACCTCGCGCATGGTCTGGGCGCTCTTGACCCGGATGTCGACGAAGCTCTGGGGGCTGTAGAAGGCGGTGTGCGGGGTGACGACCATCCTGCCGACGAGCCACTCCTCCTTGTCGCGGTAGGCCTTGATGAGGGGGTGGACGGCGTCCTCCGGGATGGGTTCCTGGGGGAGGACGTCGAGGCCGACGCCGGCGAGGATGCCCTCGCGCAGGGCGCGCTCGAGCGCGTCAAGTTGCAGCACCTCGCCGCGGGCGGTGTTGACCAGCACGGCGCCGCGGGGCATCAACTTGACGAGGTCCCAGCCGATCATGCCGCGTGTCTCGCGGGTGCAGGCGCAGTGGATGCTCAGGGTGGTGCTGCGGCGGAACAGCTCTGCGATGTCCTTTGTGCGCTCGATGCCGAGGGCCTTATCGACCCCGTTGGGCAGGTACGGGTCGTAGAAGAGGACGTTCCACCCGAACGCGCGGGCGCGGAGGCACGCCGCCGTCCCGATCCGGCCCAGCCCCAGGATCCCAAAAACCGCCTGCGGCTGTTGGATGCGCGAGATCAGCGGCGTCTCGATGTACATCCACGGCGCGACGTACGGTTGTCGCTGCCGCTCATGGTGCAGGATGATCCCGCGGCGCAGCGAGAGTGCCAGAGCCAGCGCGTGGTCGGCGATTTCGGCCGTGCCGTAGTCTGTACATGGCCGTGGCCATGGCCATTGTCAGTCGTAAGGCTCACTGGGACATGGGTGGGCGACTTGGGATGAGAGAAGAGGGGAGAGTATGGGATCACAAAGTAAACAGAAAGGGGCTCGAACCTGGCACGTTGCAGACAGTGACGCCTCTTTTGGCCAATGCGTCCCGGTCCAGTCGATCATACCCGACACCCATCCGGACTATACTACCAACGATCAAAAACCGTTCCCATCCCGTTCCCACAAGGAGGAGACGTGGTTCGTCCGACGGGACTGATGGGAAATATCTAGCACAGTAGACTTGGGGAGAAAGAAACTCACACTTTCAACTTTGGGAACAACTCAAGGTCGGCGGCCGTGAAGCCCATTTTCAACACCAGGATCCCGTCCACTTGATCCCTCAGGTCCTTGGGGATGGTCGACCAGGGTTTCGGCGTCGGAGCGCCCACAGGAAACAGAGGCGTCGAGACATAGTTCAACTTGTATGGATGAGGTGGGTTTGCCGTGAAGATCTCTTGTTCCACGACGTCGTCCTGAAGAGATCAGTGACTGGAAAAGACATCGAGCACCCTGGAATATGAGCATCAACGTACAGGGTAGATACCGTCTGCTTGGATGATTGTATAGGTTGGGACCTCGGGTACTTGGTCAGAGCCGTTGGCTGTGCCGACGAGGTGAGATGCATTCGCCGCCATGACGATTTTCTTCCTTGTGTTTTTCTCCTAAGCGTCTGAATGAATAGTGACGAGTATGTATAACTTAACCTTGAAAGCACAGAGCAGTCTTGAACTAACAGGAAATACTTGCATGGGAATATAAAAATATGGATAGACTCAAAAGGCCGTTGGACTGGAATGAGGGGGATGAGAATCTGGAGAAACAGGGATTGACCGGGGTAGAAGCCGATACAAGACAATCCGATACCGGACATGTTCTTCCGTGTCTCTCTGCCTCTCTTTTTTTTTGGTATTTGTCCAATGTTCCAAAGACCACAACTTGGCATATCATGTTTGGTTATTGACCTGGTGTAGCAGTCACCTGTTGCTTCCGGATATGATTGTGTCGACCTTTGTCTTTCTCCGTCCCAACGCGTTACTCATAAAATGGACAAATATCGATGTCCCTGGCCGACAAGGCTGTAGGCGCACCTTCTTCCACGGAGTATTTTCTCTCCCATTGACGGTCGCAAAGTGGCGAGAGGATCTCTCCCTCTCTCAGCAGTGGTCATGACTTTAAGCTCCAAGGCCATGTCAGAATTCCATGGTCATTGCCCTTTGGTAACCGGCCGAGACGGAATTGACTCGTTTAGATGTTGTTGCACCTCACAGTTTAGTGCACGAGGTTTGATGTTCTGACTGCAGCAATATACCCGCTTACTTTATGCACCATGTCGTGTGCCCGGTAATCGAGTACAATAGCTCATATCCCAGATACCATCGAGGGAAAATGCATCGAATATTCAGGTTCGCTATATGGTCTATACGCTCCCCGGTATAAAAGTGCATTTTGGTCTATATGCTTCACCCTCGTTTAACCGTCGAGACCGAGGCACTTTTCCGCTTGCCGCATGTGTTCAAGGATTCAAGACGAGGCAATGAGTAAACAACCCTCCGTGATCTGTCATCCGTGCAGGTTTGTGATTGTCAAAGTCTAGCTGACCAGGAGCTCTTCCTTTTCTATCCACCGGTACACTCTTCTCGACCGAGACAACCACTCTACCTTCGTCACTAAAGCTGATTCCACTGAGTGCTGACCATCAACCAGCCAATTAAATATGGCTCCGACATACAAGACGGTGGTCCTCGCCAAACGACCCAAGGACAACATCGTCCCAGGCGAGACATTCAAGCTGGTCACCAACAATCCGACTCCCTCGGCCGATGATCTCAAGGACGGAGAGGTTCTCTTTGAGACCAACTACCTCAGTATCGACCCTGCCATGCGGGGTTGGCTCAACAACACCAGGTCGTATATTGCGCCCGTCCAGATCGGAGAGGTCATGCGAGGCGGCTGCATCGGGACCATCAAAGCCAGCAAGAACCCACAGTTCCCGGTCGGCAGTTTTGCAACGGCCATGGCGGGATGGACGGAGTACAAGATCTGCAAAGCGGACGAGCTGCACAGGGTAGTCGTCCCGAAGGGCGGCAGGCTGACAGATGGAATGAGTGTTCTGGGTATGCAAGCACCGGCTCCGGAACTTTGAGATGTAACAACGGCCACTAACACGGACAATGTTCCAGGCGGGACTGGGCTGACTGCCTACTTCGGCATCATCGACGTCGGCAAGGTCAAAGCGGGAGACTTTGTTGTCGTCTCCGGCGCCGCAGGTGCAACGGGCAGTGTCGTCGGTCAAATCGCCAAGCTCAAGGGCGCGACCGTCTTGGGCATTGCGGGCAGTGATGACAAGTGTCGTTGGCTCACGGAGGAATTGGGCTTCGACGGTGCGTTGAACTACAAAGACAAGGACTTTGCAAAGAAGTTCAGGGCTGCCACGAAGGTATTTTGCCCCGAATGTTGTAGAGAGACGGATGATGCTGATCAAAGACAGAACCTGATTGATGTCTACTTTGACAACGGTGAGTGATTGTGTTGCGAGGGAAGAGGTTGGTAGTGCTCACGATGTATTTCTCAGTTGGCGGCGAGATCCTCGACATGGCGCTCGCCAGAGCAAAGGAACATGCTCGATTCGTCATGTGCGGCGGTACGTGATCCCCTTGGTCTTCATAACACAGCCATGCTGATAGTTGAACAGGGATCAGTCAATACAACTCGTCCAAGCCTCAAGGACCAAAGGTATGTCACCTGATTCAGCACCCCCCCTCTCTGAGCGAGTCAAGTCAGTCCTAACCAAGCCAATCCAGAACTATCTGATGATCATTTCTATGCGTATCCGGTAAGCTTTTGTCTCCCCTCCCATTTTCACCGTCTCTGGGGTCCCGACTGACCACGCTACATGCAGCATGGAAGGATTCATCGTCTTCGACTACGCCAAAGAATTTCCCCGGGCCTTGAAAGATCTCGCCCAGTGGCTCGCCGAGGGCAAGATCAAGCGGAAAGAGACCATCGTCAAGGGGGGCTTGGACCAGGCCGAGAACGCCCTGAGGGATTTGTACCAGGGGTTGAATACAGGTGAGTCTCGTCCTGGACCGACATTGGCAACGTGGTCTGTGACGGAGTATTGTCACTAACCGGGTCTCAGGCAAGTTGTTGGTCGAGGTCAAGCCCGTCAACGAACAGGTTCGAGCGTCGTTGTGATGTGTCACTGTGTCGAACCCGTATATTTATCTACATGTGTGGCCCCTGCCCCTGGCTGGTGGGCGGGTGACTGGACGGGTAATGAGTTTGACGTCCCTACCTTGGACCTAGTCTTCAGTCCCTCGTCCTTGCCCGGTTGCAGCTCACAATGCAATCAAAAGTTTAGTCACGATACCAATCTATCCATGCATCTGAGCTGGCTGAATTGCCAGCCCCTCGGTTTTGACATGTCACCTCCAAGCTGGTTTCTTTCATTCCTTCCTTCTTCTTGTTTTCTTCTTCTCTCCGTCTTTCTTCTTTTTGTCCTGGTCCGATGCACTCAATATATATGTCCATGTACCCATGTATGCACTTGTGTGTGCACGTAACGAGTTCGGTCAATGATGGGACATACTACATACTACATACTACATACCTAGATACAGACTAGGAGGGCTATACCGTCCAACAGCATCAACGTGACCTCTGACCAACCCACCTACGGGATATGATGTGGTATGATATGATACGACCTGACTGAGCCTGGCTGAGCCTAGCTGACACAAGTTTTCTCGAGCGCGTATGGATATACGAGAGAGGGTATTATATGAGAGTGTATGTGAGTGAGCTGGTGGTGGCAGCGAGCCAATTGATATCTACCCCCTTGGATACAGATAGACCACACAGCTACACAAACAGGAAGAAGGAAAGGAGAGGGGAGGATGGACGGATGGAGAGATAGATAGACTCGGTAAATCCCTAGCAAAATTGACAAGTTACTTTTTTTTTCCTTCTTTCCTTCTTCTTCCTCTTCCTCTTCTTCTTCCTCTATCTACAAAACACTCCCTCCAAAAGCTAGGAAAGAAAAGACCAGGACTGTATGCCAAAACCCCTACAACCGGTATCACATCCTCCTCCTCCTCCTCCTCCTCCTCCTCCTCCCGAACTACCACAATTTCTCCACCAAACCCCTCACGGCCTCGAGGACCTTCTCGTCCTGCGGACTCTTCTCCTTCTGGGGCAACAGCCCGCCCGTGGCCCTCGCGCAGATGATGTCGAGTTGATCCCTCCCCACACCTCTCTCGGTCAGGGTGGTTTTGAGGCCGAGGTCGCGCACGAGCTGCAAGATGCGGTCGCCGACCAGGTCGCTGTCCTTGAGATTATCTCCCGTTGAGGAGATCTCCGCGGCGCTGCTGCCACCGGCGACGTGACCCGTAGTGTACGGCAGGATGGCGGCGATGGACTCGGCGTTCTCGGGGGATTGGCGGGCCTTGACTTTCACGACGTGGCCCAGCGTCAGGCACGAGGTGATGCCGTGGGGGATGCCGTAGGGCGAGCCGAGCGCGTAGCCCAGCGAGTGGGACAGGCCCAGGCCGTCCTTGAGGTTGCCGCCCATGAAGCCGAGGGAGGCGTAGGCGGCCAGCAGCAAACCCGTCATGACGTCCTCGTCCTGGGGGTTTTCCTTGTACTTTGGCAGCAGGCGGAAGAGCTCCGCGATGGAGTTCAGGGCGACGATGCGGCACGGCACCCACGTCGCCGACGGGTGGTACTGGCTCTCGACGGCGTGGTCGAGGGCGCGCAGCCCCGTCGAGAGGAACAGGTGCGGCGGCGTGTGCAGCGCGAATTTCGGGTCGTAGAAGATGTACGCCGGGTACGTGTTCGGGTGGGCGATGCCCGTCTTGGTGCCGTCGGCCTGCGTGTAGCCCGCGATGGCGGTACACTCGGCGGCGGACAGCGTGGTCGGGATGGCGATGTGGACGAGCCACTTGCTCGCCGTCTCGTGCACGCGGTACACGATGGCCTTTGCGCTGTCGATGGGCGACCCGCCCCCGACCGAGATGATGGTGTCGATGGTACTGTCACTCTTGACGATGGCCGTCGCCTCGTCCAGCTGCGCCACGGGCGCGTGCTCGCGGATGTTGCTAAACGTGCCGGCGTGGTGGTTTCCGGTCTTCAAGAGCTCCTCGAGTCCTTTGATGAGCGGGGTCTTGGTCGCCAGCGAATTGCCCGTGATGATAAACGCCTTGGATTTCTCCGTCGGCAGCGCCGAGAGGATGTGTTTCTGCACCACCTCCGGGCCGTAGTACAGTCCCTTGAGGGCGTTGGGCCTGTACATACCCTGGAGAGGGTGGAGGCTGGAATCCATTCTCGAGATGTTGCGTCGTGGTTTTGTCGATGTTGATGTTGATGTTGCTGATGCTGGTGCTAATGCTATTCCTGCTGCTCCTCGAGAACTCGGGGTCCAACTGGCAATACGGGCGGGCGACACGTGGGCTTTTGTCTGTAGAGCGCGGAGCATCAGAAGGACCGCCGGGTGAATTTATCAATAACAAGAGGACGATGAGGCGAAAAGGATGGGTTGAACGACAAAGATGTGCCGATTGTTATGCTGGCTTATGATGCGGGGCCTTGCCTCGTTTAAGCCTCGTTCGTCATTGTCAGCAGAATAATAATGATAACTAATAGAATATTAAGAGTAGCCAAGCAACGCCTGTCCATCGCTCGGGAGGTAATAATTGCCTCGACATACCCGATTCCCCTCACGAGGCTGCCGCATATCAAAGTCGCCACTCACCACTCGCTTATTCTCAGCCTCGGCTTTCACGAGTAAAAGCTTTACAGCTCATCAATGACCATGCTTCAACTCATCCAAATGTGCCCCCATACTTCTCCAGAACCACCGGCTGCCATGTGGCTGTAAGGAGTCTCCATATGCGAACATCTTCAGAATGGGAACCACCTGCTCCCAACTCAGGAGACCCATCATTCTCGCTTGTCTTGCAAAAAGAGTATTGAACAGCATGGTCGACGCGTCTTCATCTTCCCCTTCAATGTGAGCTACATCCTCGGCGAAGCCGCTATCAATTCTCTGCAGATGAGACCCTTCCACCCCAGAAAGCAGTGCTCTTGATCTAGGACTCCCTCGTCTCCTGCCAGCACTCCCTGGAAGAACGCTCTGCCACTCCGCTATCGCGCCCACGAATAGACACCATAAATGTGCGTTCGCGTGAATGAGCAGCTCCTGAGGACTGCCTACTCGAAACGCGGCGGTAAGAGCGTCGAACAGAAGAGTCTCACGCGATGCTGCGGGATCGTAGAAATTCTGGCCATTGATCCACATGTCAAAGAGACCCAGCACTCGCATGAGGTAGAGTGCTGCCATTGCGACTGCGGCTTCCGTCAACCGGCTGCATTCGGACTGTGGCATTACATCTGAGATTTCCGCAACACTCGTGGTGGTGGACACGGAGAGAACACTGCTTAAGCTGATCGAAGTCCCCTTGACCTTGTCAAAATAGAAATTCGTGAAGAATCCCTCGTCAATATACGCATGGGATGCCACCCAGAAGAAGATGGCTGTGGTATTGATGCTGGGACCCTCGGCCTGAGCGATCAACTTTGCCAACGCGATGGCCTGTCGTCGACGGATGAGGAGGCTCCGAAGAGGTTCCATCGACACCACCATGTCCAGAGGCGTGGCTGCAGTTGCACCGTCTGTGGCTTCTGGAATGGTTTCTTTCCCCGCGAGCAGGAAGATATATGGGTCGACTCCATCCCACATGGCCTTGTATACCTTTGGCCCAAACGTCTCGTACTCAAAGATAGGTTTCCTACGATGAGCCGAACTCAAGTGGATGTCGACAAACATTGCCAGCATGAAGAAATGCGGAGTTACAGCCTCCGGACTCTCGTCCATTAATTTCCTCAGCATTTGTCCATGCACCAGGGCAGCGTCAAGATTTCTTGCCGAAGCCTCGGCGTAGAAGTGCCAAAAGACTTGTTGAAGAAGAGTCATCTGGGCGAGTGGGCCCCGGTGCATGGGATCACTCCGAAGGATGCTCTGTCTGAGCATTTTCGAGCTAGTATTTCGCAGTTCCAGGCTGTATTTCATGTATCCCGTCTCTTTAATACCACAAGTCACCATCATGGCCAGGTATGTGCTGAGACAAGCGAGCGCCGTGCACTGATCATGCAGTCCTTGGACGATGTGTTTCCACGACTGAACGGCCGCCGGTGTGGAGATCCATCCCATGGGCGATTTGGTGACATCTGAACGTGTCGAAGGGAAGCGGCTGGCCTCGCGGAAGTAGGGAGAATAGTATAGCGTCGGCAGCTGAATGTCTCGGATGAATGATATGACCTCGTTCACGCGCGGAGTGATGGAGAAGGAGAAACAAGAGAAAGGATCCGAGTTGCCGTGACGAATGAGTGTAAGGGGACTAGGAAGGTCGGACGGAGCTGGTTCATCACCATCCTCAAAAGGAGCACGTGTATTCGACTCGGCTTGTGCTTCATTGCCAGCAATGGGACGAGGTTGTTGGGAGATCGACCTTGAGTAGTGCCATAGTCAGCATCCTCGTAAAAGCCTCCTCTTGTGAAGAACATCTCACCTTGTTCCAGGCAGCTGGATGGAGGCTTGCAACTGTTGGTTATCACGGGTCCTCTTCCATTTGCGATAGCTTCGTTGGACGTGGCCAAAGACTCTTTTGCGATGTGGCAAAGCATTCCTGCTCTTCTGATCATGGTTGACCCACAGGAAATCACCCGTGTAGGCAGGAGCTTGTTGTTGTTGTTGTTGCACTGGAGAGTTGCTCGCAACCATATTAGACTCTTCAACAGCGCAGGGGAGTGGACAACGGGTGAGGGTTGGTCGAGGGAACCCAGGGACGTACTTCATAAAGACTTCTTTTGCTTCAACGTCACCCTGATCACTATACACACCAACTCCTCCCGCGGCACAGAGCCGTCCCGGACACCACAATAGGTCTCTCCACGATGGTCAACCCACCAATGCATAATACAACATGACTTTCCTTGGTGCTAAGCACCCCAATCTGCAAGGCCCAACTCTAGCCAAGGGCTTGCTGACCCAATGTGGAAGTAGGCCATGGAACCCATAGTGAGAGGAAGAGACTAATGCCCATCATGTAAGCAAGAGGGAAGGAGACGAGGTCCCCAATTCATCAGAGGCAAGCAGCCGTCAGGCCAAAGTCCGTCGATCCTTCGTATATGCCACTTGCAAAGAGCAGCAAATACAAATCGGGAGGTCGAGTATCCACCAGTCGGATGGTGGTACCCAGCGATGCAGCTGATTCGACCTTGTCAAGGTGGTCAATATCATAGCCCCAAGCGAGCATTGACTGTGAAAGGAATGTGTCCAATAGGACTTACCGTTGGTGCCCTTTTGATATGTGACTTAGTCATGATGCATTGGCAGCTTCTTGTGAGGCACGGCCAACGTCCCACGAGGTACCCATGGTCAGGTTGCAATGCGCCATCTTGGGTATGGGCAGAGAATGTTGACCAGGAATGTCGAGACAAGGAAATCACGACAAACATGAAGACTGAACAGAGCAAGGAGAAAGTATTATGATTGGTTGGTGATACAGATGATTACCGCTTGCCCCGTGCAAGCCCCATGTGAATGCCCATCAACGCAACGCAATGCTTGAACACGACCAGAATGCCACCTACTTCGGCCCTATTACCATTTCTACCGCACGAAGAGAAGACAGTTGCTTGCAACAAAATCAGATTTCCACCGGCTGAAGTTCAACTTTGGAGCAGGAGTTTGGAAGGGATCCGTAGGGGTAACCATTGACCTGGAAGAGCTGAGGGACACCATGCCACCAGTCGCAAGCTGCGAGAACGAGTTAGTTGACTCCAGAAGCAAACGCCATAGACAGCGAAAGAGAGGACTCACCCAACCAGCCACCGGTGCTGGCATTGAATTGAAGCCCAGACGAGTTGAAGAAGAATCCAGCATAAAGGCTAGTGATGCTGGAGATACTGATTCCGACCTGGTTCCACTCTAAAAGACAGCTGTTAGCATTGGACAAGGGTTTAGTGTGAAAGGAGCACATACGTTGGTAGGGGCCATAGCCGATCGACAGGGGCCAAGGACCACCCAGATTGCCAGAGTAGGTAAAGAGCTGCTGGGAATCATTCAGGTAGCCTTGCCATGCCCACGATCTGTTGGACGAGAGTGCCGCATCGCCGAGTCCTGCACCCGTGTGGTACGAGTAGAGGTACAAGTCGGTCTTGTTAGACCCAGAGTCTTTGTGAGCACCATTGACCACCTTGGTTCGAAGAAGGTATCTGGCAGGTGGATCGATTGTTTGTCTCATCTGGAGAGGCGATGCCGATGTGAACTGGAAGACGGACAGGATGGTGATGGTGAGAAGGTTGAAGAGCTGCATGGTGCTGAAGGTTTGACGGAGCTGCCCGGAGTATGGCGTGACTGGGACAAGGTGATGCTGATTTCTTAAGAGAGTAATGGGATACTTTTGGTAGACAGTAGAACGAATGAATGCACTTGTTGCTAAGTGAAGTATTGGCAAAAGTGAATATGGGTGATGGAAGTTGTATGTATGGGAGAGAAGTTGGTTTGACGGAGGGAGAAGGGCGAGTGAAGAATTTAAGGCGGGAGGATTTTCGATGGGAGGCTCCTACCTCTTCTTCGTATGAAATGGAATGGTACCTGACTAGTTTACGACGTGGTAGTAGCTTTTCTCACTTCTCCAGAAGGAAGTCGATCATGTGGAAGGTTCTTCCCGCGGCATTTCTTTTCTTTCTACTAGGTACGCAGCTGGGGGCATGTAACAAGTAACGCGGAAGTCACGGCCTCATACGACAGATGGGACGGTGAGAGCGGATGAGCCCATTGGAATGTGGAGACGATGATGCCGATGAGGATGATCAGAGTCAAGCAAGCGAGCCAGAGTTTCCGTCTTTTGTCGTTTTCCGTGTCTTCGAGGCCCTTGGCGTGTCGATGGAGAACAAGGTGACATGCGAGGACATGCGAGATCCAGAACACAGCCACCAACCAGACTCAATCAGACCATGCAAAGTGGAGGACTTCCCCGTTTCTGTGCGAACCCGCATTTCTTCGGATGTCGGCTTCGTAGAATCAGTGACGAGTCGGGTGCTGAGACTTAAGACATGCTTAACCGCTGATGCTGTTTAGCTGCAGACTAATGTCGTACATGTGATTGTCACTTGTCACTCTTTCCATCCACTGCGGAGAGGGAAATACGTTGGATCTAATACCCATATAGAAGGCATACAGGTGCGAAGGTACTGATCCGAAGGGCAACTTTGTAGGTGCTATGGAGGTCAAGCTACATCATGATCGACAATTCGCCGAATTACCACCCGATGATCAAGGGTCAGTCGGTGGGCTGATGTACATTCTCCGTACGTGTGTAGGACGCGAGAAAGCTCCCCTGCTTATGTACCCCCATTCAGGACCGATCATTCGCGTCAAAAATGTGCCCCCAGAATGCTCTAAAATGGTGCTTGTTCCCTTCTGTAGAAATCTCTTCAACTTCCTTGGGTGTCAATTCAAAGGTAAAGACTCGCAGCATGTCGCTCATCCGCTGTTCCTTGGAGCTCGTGGTGATGGGCAAAACATTCTGGTCCACGCACCATCTCAACAGTATTTCACCCGGGTTCACAGCATATTTCTTCGCCAATGACTCCAACAAGCCATCAACTGGGCCTCCCTTCTCCCTGGTGACGGGGGTAAGGGGACCATAGGCAGCAACCCGAATATCTTTGTTCTTATGGTAGGCAAGCAGGTCTCCGTGCTGTAGGTACGGATGGAATTCAATCTGGTTGATAGCCGGTCGGACTTTGCATGTCTGAAGAATAGCATCCAGGTGAGGCTTTAGGAAGTTGCTGACACCGATACTTTTGGCCTTGCCTGAAGCTGCGACCTCTTCCATTTGTGCCCATTTTTGCTGGAGCAGCTTGTCATCCCCTTTGGCGAAAAACGGAGCATGGATGAGGTACAGGTCAACGTAATCAAGTCCCATTTTCTTCAGGCTTCGATCAATGGCACTTGGGATGTCGTCGATATGGGTGATAACTTTGGTGGTGATAAAGAGCTGGTCGCGGGGAATCTTGCTCTCTTTGACCGCCTCACCCAGTTCCACTTCCGTGTTGTACACTTCTGCCCCATCGATGTGTCTATATCCCACCTTGATGGCGGTTTTCGTGGCATCAATGGTTGCTTGATCCTTGGGCGCGTCCGCACTGGTCTTGTACCTGCAAACCCAAGTCGTGGTCAGCTATCACTGATGCGCGAGACTTGCGGCGATGTGATGCGTGAGAGCCTTCGGCGTGAACCAGATGATTCAACAGGTAGTAGTGATGTAGTCTCAATTCGCCGCCTCAGACTTACCATGCCGTGCCCAATCCGTATCCGATCTGAACAACATCCTACAGTCAGCGGCACTGTGCTAGCCAGAGAGAGGCGAATCTCACTTACAAATGGTATCTTATTGCCATCGGGCAGTTCCATATCAGGAATCTTGATGTCTAGTTTCGCCATTGTGGGGGGAAATGATGTGAATGTTCTATGATTCACTCGTGGTAACAGAAAACGGCTTGTTTGATGATGACCCGACCGATAAACACAGGATATGGCAGTAGCAAGTGATGGGAGGCGAATCATGTATACACGAAAAAGATCGAACGTCCACGGACCGCTTGATAAAAGAATCGTCCTTTGGGTACAAAGAGGAGCAGGCCAAAGCCCGCGCAGTTCGTAGAGGTGGGGTAGAAGATACCCGAAGCTCGCAACTCCGAATCAATAAACCGTCGAATGGCACCGAGTCTGACCTCCTTACTCCATGACGTGCTCAACTCGCTAAGGCCACAGTGCCGGCTGGTGCCCGTATGCCTCGAAGTTTGTCAGCATGTCTGCTAACACGAGCGGTACTTGTATCTCGACTGAACGGGAAGGTGAGTCGGGAACACCAACCCAATACAATAGGCCATGCATCACTTACCAGCCAATGCAAGGGCTTCCAAGAACTTTCATCGCCATCTGATGCAGTGGCACCGACGAGGCTTCGTCGACCCCCCAACCACCACCTGAATTGTACAGCTCTTATATTGGATGGTTCCTCTCAAGCCAATATCGTCCTTTCCGGTGGTGTTGGACTTCCGCGATGATGGACGTGGCTCGGTATCGGCGCATGGCGAGACAATTTTGATCTCATGAAACATAATGGGAAACCCAGGTCGCCTCAACAGCAACCTCTCCCCTGCCCGCTCTTAACGGCATCGTTCATGGTCAGGTTGACTGTCTTGGGAGCTTTGCCTTCATCTCGCCCAGTCCCCGTCCCATACCCTTTAACTCCGCTTCTCCTGTCGTTGAGGTCGTATTTGCCGGCTTCGATATTCTGATATATTCTTTCTGCCACCTCGAGGAACGCTTTCTCGACTCCCTCTCCGCTCTTAGCACTTGTCTCAACATATTTGACCACGTTTTCTCGTCGACACCAGTCCTCTGCCTCTTCTCGGCTCACGGCTCGCTTGGTGCCTCCCTGCGCATCAGTGCTCTGTTCCGCCAGGTCCAGTTTGTTGCCCACCAAAATGACGACGATACCCTCCTCGGCGATCTGACGAAGGTCATTGAGCCATTGGGTGACCGACTCAAAGCTGCTTCTTCGCGTGATGTCAAACACTAACAACGCCCCAGATGCACCTCGGAAATAGCTTCTTGTTATGCTTTTGTATGTCTCCTGACCCGCGGTGTCCCAAAGTGAAAGCTTCATCTTCTTCTGCTGTTGGGGATTGGCATGGCCGAGTCTTCCATTTGGAGCGCCGATATCTAAGGATGCATTCGCAGGAGGACCAACAGGGACTATTCGACTCCCAAATTCGACGCCAATGGTGACATCATGTGAGGCGGAGAATCTTCCTTCGCATAACCGGATGGTCAGGCTCGATTTGCCAGTTCCTTGCCCACTGTTAGGGGGGTTCGTCACCAAGGGACTGAAGGAGCTGCTCACCAGAATCCCCTATACAGACCAATTTGGCTATGTAGTTCCAGGGGAGCGCAGGGACCGGTGTTGGGGTGGGCATGGGAAAGGACAGGAGTGCGTCTGCTAACTTAATAGAGGGTGGATCTCGATATCGTTTGATCTGACAGTAGATTCGGTCAACCCTATGCGCAGGTGAAAGGATCAACTTAGAAACAATAACGTTGGGGGAGTGGAATGGACAGAGTCTGGTGACAAAAAGATGGATGCTGAGCGGCGAACGACTTGGGGCCCGATGACGATGACCACGCTTGTAGGAAGCTTGTGAGGAGAGCGCGTGCCCATTATTTGCAACGTGTATTACACCAGTAGTAACCAGCTGCCTGGAAGCCTGTGCACTTTGGGAGCTCCACAGCCTGGAACTTGCCCCAAGCACCCACGGCTACCCACTGAATCTAGGCTAAGCTAGGCTGGGCATACACAACTACTCCATCGAGTTTCCTGCGTGCCTCGTCTTTGTTCCCCGTTTTCGACTGACCTGCTGAAGGTTGGACTCATATCTCCAAACCACCAACTCACCACCACGTCTCCTTGTGCAACCGCACATCCAACTGATATCTACCACATATTCTAGCTCCCCATTCAACTCACCTGGGCCACATCTGTCAATCAAAGAGGATTTGCTTTGGTACCATCAGTTATTCGTGCTTATCAACCAAGTATACTCACCGACTGATACACCGCGTGGTGACTGCCTGCGGGCAGCATGTTCTCCGAGTGTGAGCCAGAATCCCACCACTCCTGCCTTGAATGCAAGTACTGATGTTTCCCAAGACGCCTCCAGATTTCTCGCACAGTCTCAATCCCGTCTTAGTTTCGCGCCGACACCTGCAGACGACCGTCGGTCTGGCGAGGGTCGGGCAACAAGAAGACCGAACCAGACGTGGAGATCAACGACTACTTCCAGAACGCTGAATCCCCGCGTCCCAAATCCTTACCAGCCGACATCCTCCCAGCTGTCCGCCTTTCCGTTCGCTTCTCGCCTCAATCCACAGCAGGCACCTTTGTTCTATAGCGCTACCGACGAATTCCGAGAAGAAAATGATGAGGAGGAGCACGAACGAGAGATAGCCGATTATTATGCTCTCCAGAGATCAAGACGACAATTAGGGGCCAGTGATCTGCATGCTTCCTCCGACGTCGATGCTGGGAGTGGCTCCAGTCTCAATGGCGCCAGTAGTCACGGGGAAGATCCTCGTGATCGAGGCACGGGCAGGCCTGGAGGTATCAGGAGCTCATGGCATGGTGGCGCGCCAAATCCACGCCGGAAAAGAACGGATTTGACTGATCTTGCAGAGTCAGGGGAATCACAACCCGAGAGTCCGGTGTCAGAAAGGAACACGATGGTTGACGTGGGATTAGAAGACACTTTGAGGAGCGAGTATGATGACGATCCACCCGAAGATTTAATAGAGAATCCCCCTTCAGTTCAACAATTGCGCAAACAAAAGCCGAAAGCAGAAGACGAGTACGACTCGGCGGAATCCGACCAAGGTGATGTGCAGGGACGACTGCTGGGACATTCGCGGAATCACTCTGGAGGGACTGAGTCTGTTCCAGATGGCATTCAGACTCCACAACTTCAACAACCCAGGCATGATGCTTTCTGGGGTCAGCTTTATTTGCTTTCGGTTGCGGCTATGTGTGCAACCTGGTTCCTTATCTTGCTTCATACACAATCACCGAGCAAAAAACGCCCACTCGGTGATACCGTCTACACGACTTTGCATGGATCCTTTTACCTGTTGGCGACATATACCCTTGTAGCGACCTTCGTTTCTTTGTTTTGGCTTGCAGCCCTTCGGTCATATGTTCGATATCTGGTTTACGGCATCTTGGTCGCCGTTCCGGTTATCCTCTATTCATTTTCTCTCTACCCATTGATATCCAGCTTTCAGGGATCATGGCATGGCTCAAGTATCCAGGACACTGTCATGAGATGGAGCTCGTTGGTTCCTGCAATCCTGGCCACCCTGTGGGTGCTCGCGGTCTTGAGGGGTCGGTTGGTGATGCAAAAGGCCATTTCCATTCTGGAGTTTTCGACTCGAATCCTCGCGGCAAACCCGACGTTAGTGCTCGTCGGATTTGCCGTCCTGGGGTTCATCGTCAGCTTCACATGGATTTGGTTGTCGATGTTTGCAAGAGTGTTTCTCGGGGGCCACCCGTCTACTCGATCAACGATCAGCAAGTTTGTGATTGACACATCGACATGGTGGCTGGGAGTGTACTTTATTCTTGTGTACCTCTGGACAATCACCATTGCGTTTGGCATGCAGCGGACGATTACATCGGCCACGGTATCGCAGTGGTACTTCCATCGATTGGCAGTCCCAGCTCCCACACCTCAAGCCATTGTGAAGGCTGCATTGCAACATTCAGCGACGACACTCTTCGGCACCATAGCGCTATTCACGGGCTTGAGTCTTCTGGTCCGACTACCATTGATCGTCCTGCCTCGGCGGTTGACAATGCTCATTGGGGTGGCAATGTACTCATTCATCCCAAGTCCGATCGCCGTTTTGATCAATCCACTCACCCTTACCTACGCTGCCATTCATTCCCAGCCGCTGGCTGTGAGCGCCAGAGGACTTTCGCAGATGCATTTCCTCGCCCCTAACGATGCTACGACAGCCTTGCACCCAGGTACATTCAGTCGCCGCCGGAGAAACGACGGTTGGTCTAATGATTCCACCCCCCTTCTTCCGTATCGACTGGCCAAGCTCCTCCTCCATGCGACAAGGTTTATCATGTGTTTGGCGCTGGGCTTTGGTGGATGGGTCACTACAGCACGCACTCTCAGGCTGGATGGAGCTGGGGTTCGCGGAAGCCTCTACGCTTATATTGTCGGGCTCATTGCCGGGGCCATAGGTTGGGGAATCCTGGGTGCAATGGAAGGAGTCCTAGCATGTATCGTCGATGCAGTGGTGGTGTGCTGGGGAAGTGAAGTCGGCAGCACCGGGACCGGAGAGGTGCGGTATTGTAGAGAGGCGGGAAATCTGTTCCGCGATGATGGAGACACGAATGGTGGCCGCATCAATCTGGTTTGAAATGGGGACTGACCACAGCTGAATATCGGCATGAGTAAAGACAGAAACAAAGTAGACAAAACCGTGGGCTGATTACTTTGGAAACACAATGAGACTCCAGCGAATGCACATTCTTTTCACGTGTCAATCATAGTGCAGGTGGATGCCCGGCTCCCCCCCTTTTTTCCCTTTTCGCCAGATTTGTGCCAAGGTGGCTTTCGACACGTTGGCTGAAGTCGCCCCGGCTTTGCGCATCTGGCATCTTGCAGACTCGATGTTCCAACCCTCCTGAAGTTGAATTAATTTTCTCTTTTTAAGGCCATCTGGTCTAAGGGCAAGCCTTTCTCCTTCTCTTTTACACTTTCAGCCTTCTTCCCTTTGATGGTGATTCTTTCGTTCTCTTCCTAATCATTTCTGCTTCTTTCACGACACGCGTTTCCAGGGCCACTTTTCAACCCGCCCGGCCGTCCACCTACTTTTCTCTAGATTCACCGTTACACTGCTTTCTGGAACTTGAGACACCTCTCCTCTCTACAACGAGCCCTGTCCATCTTTCCTTCTTGTTCATACCCATTCCACGATCATGGCCGCTACAAATGGCGGTCGGGCGACCGGCGCAGGTCAAGACGAGGCTGAACTCCGTCGCAGGAATGTTGCCAGCTATGAAAAGGCCAATGGACAACATGTTTACAAGCTCGAGGCTGAGGACACAAAGAAACTGCAAAAGGTTGGGCTTCCATTTGACGGATGATATACAGAACCTACCTCTGACGTTGTCTCCAGCCGCAGACGAGTATTCTACAATTCCTCGACGAGTGGGAATTTTTGATAGCTCCCATCATTTTTACAGCATTTGCCTTGTTCACGAGGCTCTGGCGGATAGGACTCTCTCCCATTGTCACCTGGGACGAGGCCCAGTAAGTAGGACTTATCTCGTACCTGCGCTCGTTACTAACACCTCCAGCTTTGGCAAATTCGGATCACACTACCTGAAGCGGGAATTCTACTTCGATGTCCACCCTCCCCTCGGAAAGATGTTGGTGGGCTTGTCCGGATACCTGGCCGGCTACAATGGATCATTCGAGTTCAAATCCGGTGAAACATACCCGGAGGAAGTGAATTACACCTTCATGCGCATCTTCAACGCCATGTTCGGCGTCGTAACCGTCCCCCTCGCATACTACACAGCACGCGAACTGAACTTCAAACGAAGTGGTGTGTGGCTTGTCACTCTGATGGTCCTCTGCGAAAACTCCTACGCCACCATCTCTCGGTTCATTCTACTCGACTCGATGTTGCTCTGCTTCACCTTCACCACAATTTTGTGCTGGGCAAGATTCCACCGACTTCAGCACAAGAGTTTCTCCGTGGAATGGTTTATCTGGCTTTTCCTGACCGGTTTGAGCATTGGGTGTGTCTGCAGCGTGAAATGGGTGGGTCTTTTCGCCACGGCGCTTGTTGGACTGTACACCGTGGAAGATCTGTGGAACAAGTTTGGCGATCTGAAGATGCCCAAGGTGGAGCTTGCAACCCATCTAGTTGCTCGCGTCGTGGGCTTGATCATCATTCCCATCATAGTCTACATGTTCTCCTTCTGGGTTCACTTCTTGATCCTAGAGAACTCGGGACCGGGTGATGCGCAGATGTCTTCCCTCTTCCAAGCCAATCTCCGCGGAACCGAAGTTGGAAGGGACTCGCCGCTTGAACTTGCCCTTGGATCCAAAGTCACTCTCAAGAATATGGGCTACGGCGGTGGTTTACTACATTCCCACGTTCAAACATATCCGGAAGGGAGCGGCCAGCAGCAAGTCACCTGCTATCACCACAAGGATGCCAACAACGACTGGTTTTTCTATCCCAATCGCAGCCAGCCTGAATATGATCCGGAAGGGCCTTTGAGCTTCATTGCCGACAAACAGGTCGTCCGCCTCATCCATGCTCAAACTGGCCGAAATCTTCATTCGCATGCCGTTGCAGCTCCTATCACAAAGGCCGACTGGGAGGTTTCCTGTTATGGCAATGTCACTGTCGGCGACGAAAAGGACCATTGGCAAATTGAGGTTGTCAGTGACGCCGCGTCCTCCGATAGATCTCGCATCCGGACCTTGACCACGGCGTTCAGGCTGAAGCACGTCGAACTAGGATGCTACCTTCGTGCTGGAACTGTCAATCTTCCTCAATGGGGTTTCAAGCAGATTGAAACAACCTGCGTAAAGAAGCCAAGTCCAAGGGATGTTTACACACACTGGAACGTCGAATCTCACGTTAATGAAAGACGTAAGTCCGAACTCGCCGTGTTTCTGCTCTTTTTCTTCACTGACATGCTATAGTTCCCCCTGGAAACGCGGCAAATTACCGGTCACCGTTCTTCAAGGATTTCATTCATCTCAACGTGGCGATGATGACGTCGAATAATGCCCTCGTTCCTGATCCCGATAAGCAAGACGACCTTGCGTCCAAGTTCTGGCAGTGGCCCATTCTGCACGTGGGACTTCGCATGTGCTCGTGGGAGGATCACATCACCAAATACTTCTTGCTCGGCAACCCGATCGTCTACTGGGGCTCAACGGCTTCGTTGGGCGTGGTGGGCCTTATCGTCGCGTGGTATTTGATTCGTTGGCAGCGGGGCTACAACGAACTCAGCCAGGCCGACATTGACCAAATCCATTACTCAGGCATCTATCCAGTAATCGGATGGTTCTTCCACTATTTCCCTTTTGTGATCATGGGACGAGTCACCTACGTCCACCACTACTACCCGGCTCTCTACTTTGCAATCCTGGCGGCTGGGTTCAGCCTGGACTGGACCACACGACGTCTCAACAGCAAGGTGCGGTGGGGCATCTATTTCGTCTTGTACGCCGTTGTTATTGGACTGTTCGTTTTATTCAGCCCAGTTGTGTTTGGTATGCAGGGAAGCAATCGACAATACGCGTATCTCAGATGGTTTGATCGATGGAGGATTTCGGACGCCAAAATGTGGGACGACGCTTGATCCTGTATCGGGTATCGGGAACCCCTCACATATTCTCTTGAAAGCTACTCCAATCACTTAATGTGCCTTTTGAGACGACACATGCGATGGTGTACAAGGACACATGGAACGCGGGTTATGTGGATGTGGCGTCATGACTGGGTAAAAGCAACATTCAGGAACACCCTTTTTGTAAAACCAAGATCCAAATGACTCATTTCTTCACTGTCGGTAGTGGACCAAGATTTTAGGGAGTGGAAGGAAGTTTGGGGTTCACATTTTTGATCATGTGTAACCATGACTTGACCACAACCGGCAAGGTAGTACAGGTGAGTTGTGTGATGAATAGTTATAGAATATGATGTAGTTTCTCTCTTCAAGCGAGGCTATTAAAGACCTTTTAGCCTGGGTTTCTGGCAATAGAATGGTACCTCATACGTCGTACACCACAGCTTGTGCCACTAAAGTCCAGATCTGAGTGGCGACGGTGGCAAGGCTGGGCCACCTGACCACGGACCGACGAGGCTGTGGCCGCGGTAGCGAAGGACGTGCATAGTACGCTAGTCCCAAATAGCCCATGCCGAAGATTTCTCTAGCGGGATTGTCGCAGCCACTGAGAGGTGGGGGAGGAAATCGTAAGAGGTCTTTCCCACTTACTCGCATACAACCATTTGCTCCCCCCAATTCTTCTCCCCAACCCTGCGCAGCTTTGTCGTCGTCGTCGCCCTTCTAGCCGCAGCTCTGCGGACTCCCAAGGAGATTCTCTCGTTCGATCTTCTCACGAGTGGTCATGTTCTCGTAGAAGTGAGAACCCAGCCACATCTCAGCTCAGCCCAGCTCCTCCCGTCCCTTCATATTCTCCTCTGCGTCGCCGCTACCAATCTAACATGGACCCCAACCAACGCGCCTCTACGATCGATACGCTCGGCGGTGACTACGCCGATGACCACATCATGGAGACTGGACCAGGAGGGCGGATAGAGGTGGCTCAGGAAGAGGTAGATGCGATCATCCGTAACACGAGAAAAGTGCGGGACCCAAAGGCTTGCTATGCGTGCCACCGCCGAAAGGTCAAATGTGATAGAAACCTGCCCTGTGACTCTTGTGTCAAGCGAGACCACCCGGAGCTCTGTTCCTACGAGCGCCCGACCAAGAAGCGGCGCATTGCTCTCAGTGGTGCCTTGGCCCAACACGATGGTGCTGGGTCGGAGAGCCCCATTCAACAACAGACCGGTCCCAACGTTACGGTGCCACGGGAGCAGTGGGAGCGGCTGAACAGGGAATTGCAGCAGCTACGCGGTATGGTCCCATCCGAGGAGCGATTGTCTCCAGTCTTGGTGCAGTCGGAGTTGGACGACGCAAACCCCACGGGCACGAATAGCCGGGGAGACGAGACAGAGAGAGAAGGAATTCATGCTCCTAGCAATCAGATGGGTACGATGCATTTGGGGTCGAGATCTGTTCTAGCCTACATGATGGGACTCGGCAGAAGCAGGTCAGCTCAAGACACCGCAAAGTCCTTGCTGGAGGAAAACATTCTACCAAAGCTTGGCCTTGATAATGAGAGCGCCACCTACCCTTTTGTCGATTTATGGAGTACCGACTCAAGCATGCAGGACGTAAATGGTTTGTGTAAAGCTATTCCCGACGACGAGCTGTGCAACGAGTAAGCCATTTCCTGAAATACCGTGGGCCGATCACTAACTTGCTCCAGATTTTTTGTTGCTTACAGAGACATCGCGTGTACCATATACCCTGTCGTTCCAGACACCTCGAGCTTTGAGGACACGCTCCATTTCATGCTTTCCAATCGGGCTCGTGCCCTGCGCGACAATCTCGAACTCGATCCCAACAAGCCGTATGGTGTATCATTACCTTGGCTGGCACTGGTGTTTGCTGTTTTTGCGTCCGGGTCTCAGTCGTCGGACCGCCCAGCAAAAGAGAGGGAGCTTACATCTCAAGTCTACAGTGAGTCCAGTCACAAATGACGAAACCGAGGGACCTGGCTAACCGTTGATTACAGTCTGTTGTTCCTATCAAGCGCTTCGCATGTCTAACTTCCTGACTCATCCGTGTTTGGAGACGATAGAAGCGTCCCTCATCATCGGAAATGTTCTGTCGTACAATATGAATCCCGGGGTGGCATATATCTTCCTGGGCATGACACTACGCATGGCCTTTTCGATTGGATTGCAGATCAACTCTCAACAGTTCACGGACGCCGAAAAATGGACTCGGCGACGAATCTGGTGGGCGCTTGCATGGCAAGATTCGCATTTTGCCGTTAGTTACGACCGGCCGACATCAAGCGTCCTGTGTATCCCAGATATCCCCTACGGCAAGTTCAGTTCTCCAGGAGATCGAAGCTACGCGGAAAGCATGTTTGCCATTATTCGACTGACGCAGGAAATCATTCGCGAACGTCTCCTCCACCCGCGATCTTACATGACTTGGGATAGAATACAGAAATATACCGAAGAGATCACGAGCATTGTGTCTCAAGGCGCCGCCCATCTCCGGAATCGAGACCTTTGCTACCGAATGACACAGCATCTTGAACGGCTTGCATTGAAACTCCACAGCTGCTATATCACGAGCGAGCTGTGTCGGCCTGCTCTGAACGCAGGGCCTCTATCTTCCGCGGGTGACAATTTGACCCCCGTCCAATCACCCCCTGGCGGTCGACGGAGGACCTCGGGCACCATAGGTCAGTCACCGAGCACGACTCCTCTTGATGCAGCGTCCGTTGCCCAATTTCGGACATTGTGCGTGCAGAGCTTGGAAGGTACCGTCGAAGCATATGTTGAATTGCACGGCTTGAGCAAATTCGCAGCCCGGTCTTGGATTGGAATTCAGCGCTCCATCTCGGCTGCATTCTTACTGGGAACCCTTCCTGAGACAAGCCGTGACACACGACGGTTGTCTCTCCTTCGAGAATTGGAAGCGGTCATCTCACAACGTACGCAGGAAGATCCGACATTCGACCTCCCTCAGGAAGCGAGTCCCGCTGCTAATCGCCGCTTCTCTCAGGGGGCAGAGCCACCACCACCACTTGCAGAATCGCCTCATTGGGCGCGGAGCATGGCCAAATCGCTCAACGCGTTGGGAAAACTGAACGCCGCGCTTGCAGGGCCGAGATCGTCGAACACGAATAAGTTCCAAAGCACGTCATATGGACAACAGCCATCGAATCATTACCTGGGGACTTCATCTGGTTTAACATCAAGTTCGGCACCCAGTTCGTCATCGCCGACAATAGGGTCGCGATCATCTCAGTACCCGCCGCTCCATCACATTAAGGAGGAGGACGCGTACCCACCACTCAACACTAGCAATACAATCTTGGGACTGGGGGGTTCCACAACACTGACGGGCATGGGGACGTCGATGGGACCCATAACGCCTGATAGCACTGGCAGCTCGGGGGATTGGAATTTCGGGAATATGCACGAGAGAGCCGCAGAGTACGTGCAGGCGCCGCTTTGGGGAGAGGGAGGGATAGGCAGCTTTCTGGGATAAGGTCAGAGGAAGGGGACACGACAGAGAAAGAATTTCGGCAACGTCGGGGCGAGAAGTGAGAGGTGTATTGGTGTCTGCTGTCGGATGTTCGACGTCCGATGCGGTGACATTATCACGAAGGCGGGGGCGTAGGAGGTTATTACGGAGGCGACAAACAAGTCACCAGTTTATATGAAGTGGAACCCACCCGAACCAGACGCGGAAGAGTATTGTTTGGGTTACTTGGTCACGCATGTCTGCAATTACGGGGGGTTTATGGGGTTGCTGAGTTGTGCGAGTGTTTTCGAAGAAGCGCAGATGTGGAATTGATTTATGGGCAGCAAAGCACTCTGAAACTTTCGAAACCTTTTATCCTCATTATCATTCTCCTTCTCATTCTCGATTTCATTGCTATCCAACTCTCTATCTTGACAAATGATATATCCCCTCCGACCCGTGCTTGACCCGCTCGATCCGGTCTCGAGTGATCAGGTATTCTGGGGGGACATTCCAGTCGGCATTCCCATCTTCGTCCCCATCTTCGACCACGTCTTTGTTCTCGTTGACGTCTCTATCTCTGCCACTGTCCACGTCACTGTCCTTGTGTCTATCTCCATCTCTACCTCTACCTCTATCCCTGGCCCGGGAGCTCCCCAAAACCCGCACCGCCCTCCGCGCCACGTCCCGCCCGCACAACGGCGCATTGGTCATCCCGTGGCCCGTGTATCCCGCGCAGACGAACACGCCGGGGTGGTCTGGCACGGGGCCGATCCAGGGGTGGCCGTCGGAGGAGTGGCCGATGATGCCGGTCCAGGAGGCCGCGAGGGGGAGGAGGTCATCACCGTGGGAGTGCGTGTGCGTGTGCGAAGGCGAAGGCGACAACGAGGATTCGGTCCCGGTCTCGTCATCCGTCGCAACTCTGGTTCGGTCTTGATGGGTACTGTGATTGGACTTGACCTTGGAATTGAGACTGGGATTGAGATGCAACCTCTCCGACAAGCCGCGCAGATAGCGCTCGACGCGCTTGTCGACAAAGTCGTCGTCCCAGACGCCCTCGCCGTGGTGGAGGGCCAGGTGTCGTCCGCCGCCGAACATGAGGTGTCCGCCTTGCCTATCCCTACCACTATCACCATCCCCATGCCCGTCGCTGTGATGATGATGATGATGATGATGATGATCATATGGATTCTGAACGAGGTAATCGCTCATGACGCGGTCCATGTCGCCGACGCCCACGAAGCCGTAGCTCATTGGGATCAAGGGCCTTGGGGTGTCGGAGTTCTTGTCACAGGTTTCTGCCTCGTCGTTTGCGTTTGGATGCCCATTCGCAGTCCCATCCCCGCTAATGTTATGATACTCGCCTCGGGCGAGAGACAGTGACGGCGGAGGCGGCGGAGGAGGGACAAGAGCAGACATCTGCGCTTGCACGGGACGGATCAACGGCGCGAAATCTGGCAAGAGATGGGACGTGTATGCGTTCGTGGCCAGGATGACGGTGCGGGCGTGCACGTTGCCGCGAGGGGTGTGGAGGATCCATCCGTGTGTACCATTGTCGTTGTCGTTGTCGTCACCATGGACCCTCTCCAGCGCCGTGACAGGTGTATCCGTCTGTAAATTCAGGGTACGTTTCGACACGCGTGCCTCTGTGACTCGACCGCCTTTTCCTCGTCCATCTCGCCCTACCTCTGGTTTCGCATTCTGACCCTGACCCCGGCCCTGCTCGAACCGCTCAAGCAACCCGCTCCACAGTCCCACACATAGCTTATAGGGACTCAGACTCGCCGCGACGCTCTGGACGATGGCGCCCACCGCACCGCTGTCGACCTTTAATCCCAGGGCTTCCAGCTCCGCGGGGTCTTCTACCACCCTGGCTAATTTTGTGGGCTTGCAGTCCTCGTTGGTAGGATGGGTATTCGTGGTCTTGGAAGTACCGATTCCCATACCGCTTCGCATGTTATCAGCAGAGGTAGAAGTAGACGCAGTAAGAGCAAAATCCCTCTTCGCGTCCCTAAAAAACTCTTCATTCCAAAACCCAAGACACCCCTCGAGTCGGCGAAAGTCACACCAATTAGAAGAAGACGTCGTCATCGTTGGCTGTGACTTTTCAGTCTCGTGGTGAAACCCACCGTGACCTTTTTTTGGATCATCCTCATGGCTTATAACACCCTCATCTCCGTCCCTCCGAGACGTATTCAGCGCCATTGCCAGCGCCTCGACATGGTGAAAATTGCGCAGTTCAAAATCAATAATATGTGCTGGCGCCCCGTGGACGATCGGCTGCAAGTGGCCGCCATTCCTGCCCGTGGCGGCGGAGCAGAGCGTGCGGGCCTCGAGGACCAGGACGGTGAGGTTGTTGTCGTCGTCGTCGTTGAGATCCGTCACTGCTACATCCACTCCTTGGACATGACTCAACAACTCATCGACGGCAAAGGTGCCGCTGATGCCCGTCCCGACGACAACCACGTCCACAGAGGCGGGGAGGTCTGGCGTCGAGCGGTGGTGAACAAGCGGATTGGGAAAGGAGGTCTGCCAGAACGAGGGTGTCGGGTTGGCGCTGGGCAGGCCGGCGCGGACTGGTCGTTGTTGATGGTGCAGAGGAGGAGCGGTAGTAGTAGCAGGAGACCCTCCGGCGTCGCCCATCTTTTCGATCGATGTTGATCAATGCTGGTCTGATTGGAGATGACAACGACGATAAGGAGATGATATGTTGAGCCCGTAAAAGAATAAAAATAAGACAACAGCAATAGACCAAAATGTTGGATGGTTCCTCGCGAGAATGTCAGATGTCTTTCTCTCTCTCTGTCCCTCTCGCGGCTAAACCCTTATCTAGCCCTCTCATGCATGTGCCGGTCAATCACTTTGCTGTTATGATATGTCCTCACGCGCGAATCTCTAAAGACGAGGTATCTAGGACCATATGACCCCATTGGTGTTTCGAAAATAGGGATTATGTGTCGGAGTGGGATCCAAAAAGAGACACAGTGGTAGATGTTGGAGGATAATCATAATTGCACGGAACTCGATCAAGAAAATAAATCCCATTTCAACTTACCCATCTACACCGAGACATGCTATCCATTAATAAAGGACAATTATTGAAGCATAAAAAGTCATGGACACAAGGTCTTTAATACGACAGTATCGTAGCTCGAGCTACAGCATCTCAAGCCCTGCCGCTCGGTCCTCTCTACAATCCCTATGATGTCCATCTAGTAGCAGAAGGTCTACAAACCTCTTCGAATCTAGGGACCAGAATGCTCAATCAACCAGCTCTCATCTCACTTCATTCCATCTGACAAAGTACCACCCATCATGAATGCTCAACCAATCAATACCCACTTCTTGTCAGCCTCCTTGACGCCTCTCCTCTCCGCTATTTCTTCCAGAGTATGCTTAATAGCATCCTTGGAACATTTGGGAAATTGATTCTTCAGCACCTCAATCAATCCAGTCTTGGTCAAGGTATTGCCCGAGACTGCTTCCCTGAACGCCGGCAACAAATCTGCTGAGATAGTCTTGACCGGCCTCCCCAAAGCCTTGTTCGCTTTCGATTTGGACGATTGGGATTGGTTTTCGCATACCCCTTCGTTGGACGCAACCCTCAGGAGACCGGACTGGAGGACCAGATTGCCACTATTTGGGTCGACTGCCATCAGTGGTAGACGAGGAGGCTGCATTGGAGTTTGTGGCTTTTCCTCTCGCTTGACCGGACTCTTTCTCCCCACATCTGCCCAATGATCCGTTGAATAAGGATCAATCGGAAAAGTTGTCGAGTCGTGCAGAACGTCCATTCGGTACAAAGACAAATCGTTGCCATCCTGTGACCCATTTTCCCCTTCCCAGCATAGTCCACTGCATTTGGGTTCCATATCACCGATAATTAGCTGACGTTTCGCAACTTCCCCTTCGTCATCGAGGAAATCTCCCATTTCTTCGTCGCCATCCTCGTCTTCGGATTTCTCATCATCGTCTAGCACTTCTTCGTCGCCTTCTTCCGGTTCTTGCCATTCTGCTTCGCTGTCATAGTCGTAGTTCGTATCCGGTAATCCTCGGTAGCCGGCATTGACGGCAAGTTTTCGTGTACTTCGTGGAGACACAACTCTTGAATATGTCCCATGATAAGCAGGCCGCACATCTTCGTGGAAGAACAAGTACTTGTAGGGAAGGTTGGCCAGAATGTTTGCAGGGTCCGGGAGATCCATAGAAACAGTTTTCGAGTCGTTTATTTCGTTCAAGATTTCTTTTACAGGCTTCACAGGTCTTGTCCGCCGGCGCCTCCGAAACCTGTTTCTGAGTGTCTGAGGGGTGTTGTCTTGGTTGAGGGGAAGAAAAGCATTGTCGAGTGCGGCTCTATTCGCATGAAAGCGGTTAATTGGTGCGACTGTCATATGTTCCTTGACAAAGAAAGGCAGAATCCAATCGTCGAAGCCAGGGTTCTTTCGTTTTGACGGCGACTCCTTGATATCAACCATAGGGTGGTCGATGTCGACGGAGGTGACTGAACCTCTTCTGGAAGGCGTCGTGCCACGAGAGACATCCCCAAGATCACCAGCCGTGGGTAGTGAGGCAGCCGCTGGAGGCCCAAAGAATGAACCAAGCTTCATTTGTGACTGGAAGAAATAGTTAGCAACTGAAAGGCTGACGTCGAAAGTGATGTGGGACCTACCTTCTCCTTCTTCAACGCTTCGGCCTCCTTGCGTTGCTTCTCCGCCTCCTTCTCCTGCTTCTCCACGTCTTTCTGTTTCCTCTTCTCCTCTCGAACCTTACGGGCGGCCTCTTTCTCTTCCTCCTTGCGTTTCTTGTCCTCGTCCTTTCTGGCCTTGGCCTCGGCCTTGAGCTTCTCCTTTTCCTCCTTTTCGGCCTTTTTGATGGCCTTGTCGGCCTCCTTCTCGGCAAAGGTGACCTTTCGCTTCTTGCCGTCGACGGGGGCCATGGTCGTGTGCTGGGCCGGGCTCAGGACAGGAGTAGCACCGAGGTCGGTCAATGGGGTACTGCGTTCACTGAAGTTGGGCGTTCCGAACGGAGATCGGTCTGCAGTCAAGGGACTGCTCTGCTGGCCGGCCGGAGAGGTGACGGATGCAGAGTGGTGCACTATATCTCCTTCGTGATTGCGTTTCTTGGAGGGGGTGAGCTGAGCAGCGGCGGGAAAGGAAAGAGCGGGTGGCGGTGGTGGTGCAGCGGCGGCAGCGACGTGAGAATCCATAATGGCGGACAAAAATGAGACATCAACAAAGCAATTGCACACAGCTCCTCGAAAGTATCTCCAGGGCACACACTTCGGCGTCGAGGACCTAGGTAGACGGGACGGGAATTATCATCTCGAGTCGTGAATTGAATGCTGTGAAGACATGGAAGAAACGCGCGACGCGGTCACACGAGGCTTCGCGTTTGCCAAGATAGTCATGTGACAGGGCTCTGTGACTGACTAAGCATACCTCAAACGAGTTCTCAGTACCAGATCTGTGTGATCTTTAAAGGGGAGCACTTTGCAAAGTTATTGGATTATGAACTGAGATCGTCATTATAGTCTAGATCTAGAGACATGTTTCTCGTATCCTGCATGATCTTCATTATATAACTATCAGGTAAAAGACCCCCTACCTCAGGCATACAAAAATCCACGCCTCGTGTTGCGCAAATACTCCGGCGGTGCGAACGCCAGAAATGGCATCTGCTCGTTGGGCTGGTTGCTGGTGTCGTTGACAAAGCCCTTTTGGACATCATAGTCGCTGCGCTGATCGACCACCTCTCCGAGTTTGACGTCGACATCCCGCATCATCCTGGCCCGGACTATCCCGTCCAGTGCGCTCCCGCCTTTTGCGAAATCAAAGTACGGCGAATCTCTGGTCAGGGACGAGCAGTACGACAGAACGTCTGGGATGGTCGTGTGGTATGCGCACCAAATGGTGAGGAATGCCGCAATCTGCATCACCCCAATCGCTGCACAGTAGAGACTCAGCCAGGGCCACGACACGACATAGACATCGAACCCTTCCGTGTAAAAAGCGGTGGTGTTCTCGTGATTCAGAGTATACTGCATAGTATCGGCCGAGACTTGGCTCGAAAGTACCCAGGTGTTGAGAAGCTGGCCCAGTCGTTGGGAAAATTGTCGAGCAGTGACGTTCGTGTAATCCGCGTACTCGCGACCATTGCCGCTTAAAATGAAAGCCGCCGTTGTATTCTGTAAGTAATACTCGCTCAAAGAAGAGTAGCCCGAGCTGAGTAATGGATCGGTTGCAAGGATCCATGTCTGCGTAAGATAGGAAAAGGTGCTGGGGAAGCTAAGCGTGGTCACTGTCGATGGTGCATGCTTTTTCGGGGACTTTCGCTGCGCGGTGACAGCGCAGACTGGAAGTTGAGATTCTGGGACCGATTGGCATGACACATTTGATTCAAGGTAAACCTGGTTGATCTGACACTTTGACACCCAAGGTCCGCGAGTTTGAAAGAGGAAAGTAGCCTGGGGTATGTCGACATCGGTAAGATTGACCAACTGTTCCGGATAGCCATAGAAGTAAACGTCGTCCGAGACAAATTGGTTCATGGCCACCTGCCAAAAAGGATAGATGCCAGTGTCCGAGTCGACGGTGGTGTTGGGTCCCAAGAATGTGCCATTGCCCGATGTCACGTTAAAGTTGATCTTGATCTCCTCTTGATCCTGAGGTTTGTTGCAGTCGAGATTCATGTATGTTGTCTCGAGAACGACGCTCGAATTCCGATTAGCCAGGGATGCGATAGGTACACCGACTAGGGCCGAGAATGAGCCCTCCGTCATATTCTCCTTGGATAGCGTGGCCCAGCCGTCACCGTCCTTTTCCAGGTCGTCGACTAGCCAGGGTATCCTGACATTTCCCCAGAGATCCATAGTCCCCGCCTTCACAGTGTCGGGTCCGAGGACAGAGGTTATGTAGCTTGGTTTTAGAGAGGTCAGTAATGAGTCGACTCCCGAAACCGAGTTGAAGACCTGATTGGTGATCGTATCGACATAGCTGACTTTGTTGGAATCTGCTCTCAGTTCCCGACCAGTGCTGACCAGACGCAGAGATGCTTGTGATCCCAAGGGTGAAAAGGCCCAGCAGATCACCAGTATTAAGGCGGTGAAGTTAATAGCTGGGAAAGCAACTTGTGTAGTGACGGCCGAAAAGAACGTGCGGCTCTGCATGATCTGCTCAAGCAGCCCGAGTTTGGCGCCTTTCTCAAGTCGCCACGTCGCGAATCGCTTGAGCGTCGTTCCGAGGACGGCTGCAAAGAGGATGGTGAAAAGCGTCGACGCCTGTTATCGGTCAATAACCATTTTGGACAGACAGTTTTTCATATAATGCGAACCGTGCTTGTCGCCTGCTTGATGTAATTTGTATCCGCCTCTGTCACGACCTTGTGATTGTACTTTGCCATGGTCACGGCTAGCCATGTAAAAGGCACTGATATCAGAACGGCAAAGGTACAGATGAGGATTTCGACCACCAAGTCTCGTCCAAATTTGCCTGACCTGGTCGGGGGAAGAACCTTTGTCGACGGCGATCTACCCGCGCCTTTTGTGAAGCCATCGTCAATCTGCTCTTCTTGAGGAGTCAAGATGACGTTGTACTGGCCGGCGCCCAATTTGCGATGAACTGAACCGAGAGATCGGATTGATTGTCGAGCATGGGATTTACCCCCGAGAGAACTGGAGCCATAGGGACTAGACAGCTCGATGAAGTCGGACATCTGTCGACGAGCTGGACCAAGAGAGAACGAACGGTGTGGGTTTGTCCAGCATCCGAAGTCAAGGGCTTCGAACCAATGTATAAATTCTCGAGACCATGGACGCCCGCGGGATTGTGTAAGTTTGCAAAGGTGAAACAGGACGTTTTGTGTAATGCAGGATGCCGGAGTAATTCCAAACCAGGGCGCGTCAGAGGCTCATCGCCCGAAGATTGGGGCCGCATCTGAGTATTTTGGACCCATGATAAAAATCCGCGCGCAGGAAATGATTTGCCGGAGGGTCAAGTCCGGAAATAGCAAAAGAATAGCTATGATGGGGCCATGAGGGACAGAAGATATACATAACTTCAGGCGATTCGGCCTCCCATAGAGACCAGAGTTGTGTCGTGTGAGTAAATGGAAAGACATTTCAACATCAGCCAAACATCCATTCGTGCGTTGTCCGAAACCAACTCGTCGGGTCGCTAGTTACCATTGACGACCTTCAACCTCCTTGATTTAGCGCTGATGGTCATCTAAGCTGCTTCCATGGTACCTGCATAATAAAGTAGGTGGCTACCGGAATAGGTTGAGATGAGAGAGTGATGGATTACTCGTGATGCCAGTGAGCGGGCCGAGTTCACTAAACCGTTGAGCTAATGAATCGGAGCTTATCCCTCTCCCCGTAGCATCGTCATCGCCCTCTGCAAGCGGCAGTTTTATAACTACCAGAGTCGTTCGTCGGTCGTGAAATTGCAAAGAAAGGAAATCAACTCGAGTAAGCCTCAATCCGCCGCCCACGGAAGGAAGACATGTCAAACAGCGTATTGGATATACCCATTATTCCTACATGCCGCTGCCTTCGAAGGATAGAGGTGTTTGATCCTTGTGCTTTGCGCTTTGTGCCTTACTCCCCCAGATGAAAGACGAAAGTCACCGACTCCCTGTACCAGGACATGAGCAGCGCGGTACACCACCTCCTGTATCTACATCTTCTTCGGCAAAGAAGTCCCTTCACCCAACCCCGTTCGTGTCTCTCCTCATCTTTATTCAACGCGCCAGGCTCGCGGGTTGGGTCCCTAGATCGTCCCGTACCCGACCGACCCTCCAGATTGCACCCTCTCACTATACACTCCCGGTGCCTGATGCCCCGTCAATTGCCCTTGTCTCGCCCTCTCCCTCCGGTCAAAGTACACATATTCGACGTAGAACGCGTGGATGTGGCCGGGGATGTACCCGAGCAGGGTCAGGCAGATGTTGACGAAGAGATCGGCGCCGCAGCCTGCGACGAGGAACACGCCCACGGGAGGTACTAGAGTAGATTGACGTTAGTAGAATGTACAAACGACCGAGAGTCAGCACCAGGGAGCTGCCAACAGCTATGGGACGAAATCGATCGCGGGCATAGACTTACCAAGGATGGTGATAAGGATGATGAGAAGCGCGGGGATGGCACTGTCCGACATTGTAGCAGAGTCTTCGAATTTGTGACTGAGATGTTGAATTTGCGGTACAAGGTGGGTTTTTGACGCAGTTTGTCTCAGGGACACTTCAAGCGGCACGTCTGTGCCGTTGGAATTCTTATGTAGGGTATGAAGGCAGCAGCCAAAGGACAAGGATGAAACAGCGAGACAGATAAAACTTGCCCAATCCAGTAATTACCCAGCTGCGCAGACGCGGACGTCACTGCGCCACTAGCGCCACACCTGGGATGAGAGTGACGTAGTGTAATGTGGCGCACCTTGTGGCGGTGCTCATATCACCTTTCCACACCCCTCCAACAGGCACCCACTGCACTACTTGTCAGGCTCGAAATCCAAGATATCTCTAAACTATGGGTAAAAGTACATGCCTATGATACATCGAAAAGTTTCCCCACATATTTCAACCATTGGCCTGTAACTGGCTAGCAGAATCATGCTACCAACTCGCTAATCCCAGCCCTGGGCACCTGGCCCAGGAGCATCAACAACTCGGCGTCATCCTCTTCCACAGCATAGTCTCGCACCGTCTTGTTCGTCCTGTGGTCTCGAAGTGTAGGATCGGCTCCAGCCTCCAGCAGTGCACGCACCGTCTGGCATCTGCCCTTGATCCGTCTCCTCCTTTCCGACGGATCGGCTATATCTGTCTTGACCACCGCATGCATCAACGCCGTTTTGCTGAACCGATCTCGTTCGTCAATGGAGGTGGTGTGCTCCAAAAGGATTTCGACTAGCACTGGGTCACACCGTCTCGCAGCGTCGTGGAGAAGAGTGTTTCCGTGCCACGTTGGCGGAAACTCGGTGGGCATAGCAAATTCCAGCAGCTGCTTGACGATCTGGTGATAGCCTTTTCTACAGGCCACCATCAGCGGCGTGTAACCTTCTGAATCGCGTAAGTCGGTCTTGATGCCATTTACTGCCAGTAGCAGGCCTGTGATGGTGGAGAAGCCTCTCTCAGTAGCCTGCTGCAAGGCAGTGAAGGGATCTTTGGGATTTGATTGAGTATAGCCGGCTTGAAACGCAATAGCGTTGACATCCACGCCATGCTTGATCAGTAAATTGACCTCTTCCGCATGCTCCTCCTTCAGTTCGCAGAAGAAATGTAGCGGTGCATAACCGCGTCCTGTCCTGGCGAGTCCATACCCGGTTCCGTTGCGGATATTGTCCCTCAGCTCCGGCTTCCGGATGACCATATAGTTGGACTGGTAGGTATTTAAATACTGTATGGCGACTTTTGCCGCCTTGTCGAGTCGTCTCTCGTTGCAGAGGTCTGCTATAGCTTGATATGTAGGTTCGAGGGTTTTACTGGACGAGGATCGTTCGAGCTGCGCGCTTGCCGGGGTCGTTGTTGAGCTATCGTCGTGGAAGGACAGAGAGCGATCGTAAGTCGATGTTTCAGAGGGCGAGCTTAACCCTCGAACACCAGATTGAGCGGCCGCGTCTATATCCTGTAGATTGTTCAATGTTATAGACTTGGAAATGGATAACCTCGATAGTTCTGGTGACGGCGCAGGGTAAGCTGAATCCGAGTGCTGCGAGAGACGAGCACGGTGCAGAAATCGGTTCCGAAGCTTCGGACGAGGTTGGTTCTGTATTTCAGATACCGGGGGTAATTCCGGTGAGACCGTGGCCGGTTTGAGCTGAGATACCTCGACCTTGCTCAAAAGTTTTTCGGTGGAAGGTGTGGGCGTCGTTTTCTCCGGTGGTGACAGAAACACCTCGTACCCTTCGGCTTCCTCTTCATCGCCGTCGTCACCCCGGGTTCGGTAGACATCGATGACCAACTGCACGGATTCCAGCGTCTTCTCATCCTGTGGCCCGAGTTCTTTTCTACGCTCCATGAACGCTCGTAGTCCATGCTCCTCGGCGGAATCGAACTCACCCTTCAAAATGTACACGCGGCCTAGCATGTGACTTGCCGCCAACGCCTGCAGCTTGTCGGGGACTTGACGTGAAGATGCCAGAGCTTCGCTCGAACAGAGAGGATCTTTTGGGCTGGATGGGAAGATATCACTGCGCATGGCGGCAACCGGTTGCAGCAGCTCGACCGCTTGATCGAGCTTCTCTTGCTGCCGACAGCAATCAGCTAGCATGAGAACCACTTCTGCAGGCTGGAAAGATATCCTACCCTCAAAGTCATGACGCTCCATAAGAGCGAGAGCCTTCCGAAAATGCCGCTCCGCTTTTGCATAATCACTGTCTTCAAAGCTGTCCTGGCCCAACTTCAGGTGATTCTGGGTTCGCAGGAACTCCACCTCGGAGCCAACTTCTGCATGACCTCTACCAGATGCAGAGCCTTGTCGAGCGAAAGCGGCTGATTGTTGAGGAGAAGCGGCAGGAGGTTGAATCCAGCGGTCAACTCGATCTCTCCGATCTGTTGAGAGCGGTACTTCATTGGCAGGGATCTTTACTATATCACGGAGAGCCTCGGGTTCGATAGCTGGGGATATAGTACTCAAGGAAGATCTCGTGCTTGCCGCAGCGGAAGCGGTGCTTAGAAACTTTTTGGCAAAGGCAAGATAGGTTTTCATTCCATCATCGTGACCTGATTGCATTCTCTCGGTAGCAGCGATTGTTGAACCACCCAGCGTTTGCAGACGCGAGGGGGAGTTCAGACTCTGGATGAGCGCCCTCATGGTTCGTTCAAGCATGATGAACTTGGCATCCAGTGATGTCTGATGCTCGATTGTTATTCCTCTTTGTTCGAGTTGGAGCATGACACAGACCATCTGGATCGGTAGTGACAGAGCCGCATTGAAAAATTGGATGCGCTGGCGGAGTCGAGACAGCTCACCATTATGGAGGTTCTCTTGTAAATGGGCCTTCACCTTACGTGCAAACCCAGATATTTTGGCAATCTGGGTGAGAATCTCATTGACTCGCTTCATGGTATTCTTGGAATCTTCGAGCGCATCTTTGATCTGTTGCCACAGATGAGCGCCGTCGTCGGTCTTGTTGGCCACGCGCACCGCCTCTGCCAGCGGAGGGGAAGACAGGCTCTTTTCCAGGCCCTCATAAGTCGCTCGTAGAGCCGCCACCTCATCGCAGAAAGACCGGATTCGAGCATCGACAGAATTGATATCTCCGTATATCTTGATCACGGTGCTGGTGCACGACACACAGGCAGCAGCTATCTGAAGAGCGCCTGCTGTGAGGGAAAATGGATCCATGGCAGCGGGAATGGACTCGATAGCCACCTGGATATCGAGGTAGCGTGGAGAATCATAGGATAGAGGTGTATCTAGCTGTCTTGCACTGGTTCACCTGTCCTCCATACAGAGTCGGATTGAGATAGGTCAATTGGAACCGTTGTCGGAGGGCAACATTGGTGATGGCAGTATGTAGTGGTGGTGATGAAGGCGGTGCCTGGTGCTCCGCCTCCGCTTTAATACCAGGTAGACGTTGTTTCCACTTCGGGGATAGTCGGGACGAGGGCGGGGGAGCTGCCGCTTTTACTCGCGAGACCGAATACCAGTAGGTCCCTCCTCGGCAGTCACCGACTTATGTACAGTACCTTGTTGGCACTGTGGTTGGCATTGTGGCTTAACGCCTTGCTACCTAGCAAGTACTTGTAGGTAGCTACTGTACGAGGTACTCTGTAGGAATGGAGCTTGTCTCTCATTCCCCCAAACCTTTCTTTTCCCTCCCCTCTTCCCTGTCCCTTTAATCCCTGGCCAAACTCCTTCCATCCTTCCACCTTGTTTGCATCCCTGTTGTGCTTCGCCGCGACACCGCCCGGATGTCAAGTCATTTCCCCCATGCCCCATCTGGGTCCTCGTATCCGCTTCTCCGGCACAAAGTCCCCCTCGAATCCCGTCCAAGGAACGATGGACCCTCTATTTGCCCTCCAATCATCGATTCTTCCTCGACTCGTTCAATGATGACCCGTTTCGACCTCTTCTGGTGCCTTGGACTTGTTACCTCGTGGCCGAATTCGCTTGTAGGCCTCGTGACGACAGGGTTCAACATCTGACCTGTGCTCTAGGCACCTTGAGTAGGACGGGTGCCTAATCGACTCACGCAAACAGCAGGCTCGTTCAACCGAATCATGCATTCTTATGGTTACTTTCTACTACTGAATCGTCAGGGAGACCAGTTTCTAGGCTGTAGATCCATTGTTTGCCGACATCCCCATTGCTTTTTCAGGTCAGTTTGCTCTTCCCACTTGGATGAATCCTTTCGGGTGTCGGGCGCAAAGAAGCTATTCGGACTGCCAGTTGAGATCCTCATGCTTTGCAGACATCGGACTCAGCTCTTCAATCAGAGCGGCGACAACTTGCTCTTGAGCTTGTGCACCTCCTGCCACCTGGGTATGCACATTTGCGTGATCAAAGTCATAAAATGCTCGTGCATGATCTCCCCTGCCTGCTCGAAGATTGTGTCTGGGAATCATGTCCAACAAGAATGGGAACTACAGCTCGCACCTGTCAATGACTGTTAAATTCAGGTGGCCCTGGGCAAAACCGGTGTGATATCACATTTCAAAGACTCTGCTGATAAGTCCACTAGAGTGCCGGGGTAAGTCGAATCTGTTACTTATCGGAAACCGTATTCAAAGGGTTCACCATGGAGCTAGCGATAGCGACGTCCCCTTTTTTCCCCAGTGAGTGCGATAGAGCCGAATCCTTGTGTGTTTTGCGACGAGAGATGAATCTTGGGATCGTTCGAGAATTATCTCAACAGTTCGTGTTCCGACTCCACGCGCCGTAAGTATACCTGACAACCCTGGATCCTTTCTTGTCCTGTTCCGACGTCCCGAGAAACGATTTTTTGCGTGTTGTATACTGGCTTAACGGGGTTGCAATAAAATAACTCTTCAAATACCCGTCAAGTCTTGTTTGTTGAGCCGACTTCAGTTCAAAAAAAAAAAAAAGGAGAGGCGCAATCCCAGAAGTGACCCGTTCGAGCTACTTAGGTATGGGTCCAGACTTGTACAAAGTTCCTGTCCTCGCAGAATCGATTGCATGTGTACTTGGGAAGTTTGTGATACCTGGACCTGAGAGGAAAAGCCCCGTTGTAAAAGCGGCAACACGGCACAGCACTCATCTCAGCCTCCCTACAGGCGGAGCTTGTAGCCTCACTTCTGGGCCGGGTGGCAGTGCCTGGGAAGAAATGGACCATAGACCGTAGAAGGGCCCGTGGGGGCCAAAGCACGCACGCCTTGAATCTCCCCAGCCAACAGAGGCATCGGGTGAGATAGGAAACTGCCAGGGTCTGTGTTTGCTGTTTGCTTTGCCGAGATCCACCGTCTTCTGCGCGTGACTGGTAGATTGGGATGCTTGGGCTGTGCACATCTTTGTGTCGGTTTTTTTTTTCGGATTGACAACCACCTGGCGAAGTGGTTCGAAGGAATGGGACGGGTGACAAATGCACGCCATTTGCTTGAGATTTTGCCGAAATCCCGAAAACCAAGCCCCCGCCCTCCCCAAGTAACTTCAGTTTCTACAAGGAAGAAGAGCCCCAGGTAGTAGTACCCTTTCCCAACTGGCCGTGCCGTGATCCGCGGGTTCCCACCTGCGTTCATGGAACCCCAATGGAACATTCTGTAGGGCTGCAGATCGGAGAGGGCCTCTATAGACCAAGACCACGCCGCCTCGTCCCTCGTGACCGCCGATGACCCTGAGCACGGGGAGAAAGGCAGCGGGCATCCTCTGAACTGGCAATGATGATCGATCACGCGCAGAGCAATGAATGGGAACCTATGTCATATGTTTCTTTTCTTTTTGCAAAATGCATGCTTCATTCGCAGACTGTTGACTCCGGCGCCGCCTTTTGTTCGATGAGTCCTAACTAGTCAATCTCCCTACAATGACTCCTCTCCCCCTGGCCCTGACTGATCCTAAATATATATCCGACGCTAAAGAAATGGTTCATCCCCTGGGTTGATGCGCATAAAGGCAGCAATGTCTTGTGGAGTAAGTCCATGAGGTTCTGGTTGTGGTTGGGATCCATCGGTGCTGTTGTGACGTCCATTCGCCATATGTGCTGTCATCTGGAACGGCCAAGCGAAGCCGTCAGTGTATGGCACCTCCATGTCCGAATGTGTAAGGGATTCAGCGACGCCCACGGACGGTGGAGGGGATGTCTGTCTCAAGGATGTCCTTGTGAGATAGGGACTGCTTCCCCCGTTCTGCCATCCTGCTGCCTGTTCCCAAATTGGCGTTTGGACGGGGTAAGAGATTGCCTCGGGAGGATAGATTGGTGTAGCATTGAGCAGACTGTGCAATGGAGGACCTTGAAGACTCGCAGATGGAGGCTGGAACATGAACTGTTGATTGCCCGGAAGACCCAATGCCTCATTCGGGCCCATTCCAGCGAAACCGTCCGGCAATCTAAGGTCAGCGTCACCAGAAGATGATCGTGGCTTCGGCACGGCCGCGTCTCCAGAGCTATCTTGACAGTATAGCTGAACGCCCGCCGAGATCTCATCAATGTCTAGATTGATCATGTGCGAAAGCCTTCTGGTAAGCACCTGAACATAGGGTGTTAGCTTGCCAAATCTTTCAATCGCAACGACCAAACTTACCCTTAGAACATCTAGACATCTTCTTGAACCGATGTCCTGGCAGGATGTCCTGGCCAGGATGCGCACTCCTATTTCGGTTTCCTTCTGGATGACGGCGTAGTCCATATTGCCGTGCTGTGTAGCCAGAAAGAATATCAGGGTGACAAGTGACAAAAACACCGTGTACACTGACTGCCACGCGGCTGGAGCAAGGAACCCTTTTTGGAGCATCTCATTCGAGCGCGAGATGGTGAGACGAGATATCTTAACGCAGCACGCTGCACACCGTAACAGTCGCCCATCTGGCGGATTCTCACTTTTGGCCTTGGCCAGGTAATGCAGAAATGGCCGATAAAGGAGTATATAGCCGAAATTGTGCACCATCTCCAACTCGTAAACGATGCTATCAGGAAGTCAGTGTCCGGTGCCTTGAAAAGGTGATTGTCTTTCCCTACCTGCTTGCATTATTGTTGTCTTTGGTCAAGCCAAGTGAGTCAGAAAGCCCGTCCCTCCAAGCCTCGAACTCGCTTTCAATTTCGAGGATTGTGTTGTTGCTGACATAGATCTTCTTCGATTCGCTCACACCTTGAGCCTCTGAATCAGTCTTTGGGTATAGTTTTTGCACCACCTTGCTCAAGATCATGAGGATCTCTAGATATTTCGCTGAAGCTGCAAACATCCGCCTGGTGCTCAAAGAAACAACTCCACCCCAGTCCTCGTTGGCATATTCACGGATGTGGCCACTCGGCTTGGGTTGATCCACATAGTCAAGCCTAATCATCCCTGGGAGCCCCAGAACTGTACCACTGTAGATGTCAAGCTTGACGATCGTCCAGAATGTTCGGCGCCGGATATCTTTCCCTAGGTGAGACAGCCCTTCGCAGGAGGCTTGAGAGTGTAGTCCCATTCTCAGGGCCGCTGCGACCGCCAGGCCGATGAAGGTGTGAGCTGTGGCAAGACGTGCCGTCGAAATCAAGAAAAGGATGAAACAGAGCAGTGTCTGGAGGGTTGAAATATCGCGACAACGCTCGAGGTCGACCATGCGGCGAGACGCAATAAAATGTCGCATTCTGGGCATGGTCAGCATCATGAATTTCAAGTGATGGGCTCCTCGACTCACGCTTGGTTGACGGCGCCCTTGCAGCCATATCTGTGATGCATTTTCTGATGAAACAGGTACCCGAGAGCAGTTACGGAGTAGAAGAGTGGTAGGAAATCATGGTCGGAATCTTCGAAGTCCATTGGATCGAGATTGTAGATTCGGTCCGTCTGCTTCTGAAAGGTGGGTTCATGGAGAAACTGTAGCAATTGATAGGTCTGTCCAAAAACGGCATGCAGCAGCTCTGTAGCTGCTTGTCTGGAAGGCAATAGCTTCGAGATGGGAATATCTGTTGCGAGTGCCTGTTTATCTGGAAGTGGCGAATCGAAGAGTCTGGACATGGCATCAAGAGACAGATGGGTACCGTTTCGAAGCCCTGTTGTGGGCGAGTCTTGATGGAACAGCAGCTGCGTCTGTTGAAGGAACGCAAATCCAGAGCCGCCGCCATAGTACTCTGTCGAGTTTTTGGTAGATGTGATCCGGCCTTTACCGTCCAACATGTTCTCCAAGTGGTCCTCAGAGGTCACATCGAGCGGGCCTGTGCCCTCTGCATCGGTGGAAGCGGGGGATCCAGGCGGAGAATCGAATATGCTGTTGACCTCTAGATTGAGCTGGGCCGACGGGTACTGAGCTTGAAATCGGGTTATTAGTGCTCTTGCTCGACGCAGCCGATCTTCGAGGATTTTCGTTCGCGGGGCACCGGACATACGCTGCCCTCGCGTGGATGTGAATGTACAATCTAGACGCTGTAAGTAGCCTGATTGAGCAGAGACGCGGTCCAGGGGCTGGGACTGACATCGTTCAAAGTCTTCACATGGTTCACATGGCTGGCGCCCGTTGCACCGGATCTTGCGGACGCGACATTCATTGCAGGCTCTACTTACACGAGCATACCGTCGCTTTTTGGAATTCGAAGGACCCGGTGACCCGGTGGGACTTTCGGCCTCTTCCTGCATTTTCATTGTCGATCAAACCGATGGTGATGGATTCGAGCTCCGTTCAATCCGAAGCGGGGCACTAGAGAGGGAGTGGACAGCGCGGCGCCAGGAAAAAGGAACATATCAGGTCTAGAAGGGATCCAGCCCTTCACCTCGGACAGCTCGCAATCAGTCAAATGTTGAGCTGGAAACACATGAGCTGAAATATTCCAGGACGACAAAATGAAGGGCTCGCGTGATCTGCGCTGTGGTGCGCAAAAGGAATGATTTATGGGGCTGTCATTGCCCTCTTTTGGGCGGACGGGATCGGAATTTAGGCGACCAGGGGGGATGAAGATCGTGGATGGGATTGTGCATGGTTATCAGCTCATGGGCATGCGTATGTATTGAGTTCACAGGGAAAGTTAGGTCCAAGTCACCGAACGGAGTCAGTTTAGTGACTTTTGGAATATGAATGACATAATCGACACCCTTAGTGACGAGCCGAGACTAGCTTGAGATTTAATACGAGCTAGCTTGTTAGTATCTACTAACCGTGGGTTCCATGCCACGTGTCGTACTCTGATGCCACTAACAACTCGTAACGACCTTAAAACCTTGAAATGGCTTGGCGCCATCACCACTAACCTTCTTACTTGGTGCTTGGGTTGCTGTTTTCTCCTCGGAACGTTGAACAGGTGCAGGAAGGAAAAGTACCGAAGTAAGCTGCCAGCCCCTTGGGGATATACTCGCTTGGAATAGGATTGTTTCTGTATATCGTTGTAGCAGTGCCCATCTAGTCATGCAAGGGCATTGGAGCACAATGTAGCTAGACGCAATCTAACTAGGCAGGAAATTGCTCATGCATTTGCGAGAGGATTGATTTGATTGGTGACATGGCGAGTTGAAATATGCCAGGGTTATGGTTGGGGTCTACTCCGTATGGTCCCGTTGATCGCCTGGTCGGACAGTTAGCTTCCATTGACTGGCCTAGATAAAACAACTCACCCAGAGAGTAACTTGAGCCACGAAAGACTGCTGGATTCACCAAAAATGTCACAGCAGAGCCTTCCTTGCCAATTCGATTTTGCGTACAGTCTCGCCCACCTTGAACCCTCCTCTACTTGCGCAAACGGCTATGCCATCCCCAAGTTCAACTTTGTCCTCGACGTCGGGATGTGGACATGGGCAGTGGTGCGGGAAATGAACGCAGGCGAGTGTATCCGGGCACAGGTAGTTGTTGCAGGTTGCTAAATCCCGGCGAGTCAGCTGTGGCCATGTCCTGATAGCTTGTGCATTGGAAGGGGTTCCCCGGTTTGGTGAGATGGAACAGGCCCAAACGCGGCCCACACAAGGCTGCGAGTGGACATCGAAAGCAAACTCACCTCCGTTCCAGTTTTGACGATACCAGCTGGAATCGCTGGCGACATTTTGTTTTTCTTGGGGCGCTTGGTTCTGCTGACCACCCTGGAAGAACTGCTCGAAGAACTGAAATTGGGCAGAAACTAGGCCAGCCAGATAGAGTGTGACGGTGATGAGCGCCTTCATCGTAGTGGTTCCAGATAACCAGGATGGCTTTTGTTGAGCAATAAGAGGAAGAGTTCACCAAGTGTCCAGAACATGCTTGGACCTTGGACGTGCCAGGTGTCGACAACTGCGAGATAACTCCTGCCAAGGCCCCGCCAAGCTGCGGATCGATTTAAACCTTTGCTCCACACAAGACGCTTACTACTCGTTATACTTCGACCAAACTTGTTTGTTACTCGTGGCCACTTACCCATCCATCTACCTACGGCACCCCGCGCATCCCATCCTTGACAGGCACCCTCTGTATACAAACCTACGTCGGTCAAGCGGCCCCTTCGTCCGAAAAAGACACAATGCTGTGTGCAGCCAGGGACCTGGAGCTGATTCAAGGGGTCAGTCAGAGCGCGACCGGAAATAGAATTCAGCTGGATTGAAACCTTGACGGCGCGGAAGACCCTTTGCACGCGCGCCCCGAGGGTAGAGAGTAATCCATCGCTGACTATCGATAAGGGCGCATTCTTCTCTCGCCACGAGGTTGTCGGCATCGGTTTCCTGTTTGGCTTCCGAAATCCCAAAATCCCCATCCAGTACCGTGGAATTAGTTATCCGCTAGAGCACAAGTAGCGAGTCTTGGTTTTGGGGAGCAAGCTCCATTTGTGTAACATCTATGAGCCACCCATGAGCTGAAAAAAGAAAGAGAGAGAGAGAAAAAGAAGATTCGTGGGAAACTCATAGTGGATCTCGATTCCTGGCCTAGTATGGACACGACAACCAAGCTTGCCGGGCCCTAAAGACTGGGACGTTGAAGATACTCTGAGGTTTCTAGACCATAGCTTGATGATCGGGAACTAAGTCGTCGGATGTGACTCCCGACCTATCTTTGTTGTGCCTGACACAGTAACGAATGCTCGGGCAGGCTTGACGATCATATGCCATAACAGGGCACCTCGTCTGATACATCATGTATGTTATTTCAACGGCACGATACGAAGTTCTATACCAGGCCAGCATTGGGGCTGGCATCGGTCAAAGATCAACAATATCACCAATTTTGATCAACCCTCGTAAGGCTTTGCCCAAGCGAAGGGCATTCGAGTGGCAATCCCCCCTTTCATCCGGCCCGAATGAAAGCCAGGACGCCTGAGACTTTCGTGACTGGGATGAATTCGGCCACCGGCCGTATCCCAACAACCCCAAGGAAAAGCAGGGACCATCCGAGAGGACGGACGTTGGCCACATCAATCGAGCAACTGAAGCAAGGGGCGGCTGGACTTGACTCACGAGTCACGGCAAGCAGAGTCAATCCTGTGCATGTGCTCGTATACGAGTAAACTCCAAGTCTACCCGGTTCGGAGTATGGAACATTCTCCGATTGGGGTATGTACCGTTGCGATTGAATACCCCATCGGGGAGGATCTCCGGGGTTACACAAAAGCTTAGAGATTGGCCAATCGCCACCCAATCAGTGCTCCTTGCGTCCGTCCACTGACCCATGTGGGACTTATATGCAGCCTGAAAAAGTACGTAAGTGGAAAATGGACATGTGCCATGTCGGTAGATTTTGGCGACAAGGTGGGACGAGCATCACAACAATTTCCGGACAGTTTTCTCAGGGCCAAACCTTGGAGACTGTTGGGCTCTACACGGCTCGAAGACCATCCGTCAATTGGGCACATTCAGTGCTTGCGGTGGCTCAGGTAGGCTAGCCAGAGCGATCCAACCCTCTAGTACGCTGGAGAGGGCGAGACCGCAGAGATTGAGAGGACGCACGTACGGAAATGGTCTCAACCCTGGGGCTTGGATGATGGAAACAGAAATGCTTCTTGGTAGTCGCTACTATGCGTCTAGTCGACCTGCTCTGCTCAACTGGGTATAGCAGATCACGAAATGCGTAGAATGCTGAGCACCGTGCTGCTAGCGAAACATCCATTCTGCTTTGTTGAATTCCAAGCATGTTTCAAACTGGCAGACATGCGATGGCCTGACCTAAGAAGCAAGAGGTTAGTCGGAGCTATATGGCCGCCGCGACAAACTTTTCATTTGACTTAGCCACACAGTCCAGTCCTTGGATCTCATTTTATTCCACTATTATGCCCCAAGCATGGAGTTAGTAGTGACTTGGATTGTAGGAGCACCTTAAATCGTTCACTTGCCGTGTGTAGACAGTATGAGATCCGCGTGACATAGAAGTCTTCTTGCAATCCATCTGTAATTTGGCGTGGTTTGTGAGTCCATCGGCAGGTCAACTGGCCCTGCCCTTTGCAAGAGACAGCCGTTCAGACCAAGGAAGTCGTTACTGACCCTTCAGCGTCTGGAAGAGCTCTTGGCAGCATTGGAAAAGGTGGTCTCTTAATGGAAAGCCCTTTGACCACGAGTTGGTCATGGAGAAACCACTTGCATAGCTGATTTCTCGCCATGCAGTATATTGTTCTTCGAGTTGTGCACTCACCAGACAGCCGGCCAGAAATCATTTTGTCAGGCTCCCGTCTCCATATTGCAGTGCTCGGAGACTGCCTCGATCGAGGATGCAAAGAACCGTTCATCAGAATTTACTGAATTCTCCTGCGACAAGCAGACGGCTTCTGGTCGCCTGAGTAGACTGCGGACGTCCCATGATCTACCAAGTAAGTGGCTGGTGTCCAAATAAGCTCGCATAGTTTTAACGCCGAGGACTTGAAGCCTATCACAAACCTCTTGTCCATTACCAATTTGGAACCTCCTAACGCGTGCCAATGCCAGGATAGTCGTACAGCCGAAAACGTCAGCTTCTGCAATCTGATCTGAGGGAGTAGAGGATGCCCCTTCACGTCGAGGTTGCAATTCCCCTTTCTAAAAACCACAACTTCAAATATTCACAGGCAGTCATCTCAGTCTCGACACTATTAGTAACGGTCTTGTCGTCCGCGACCAATGAACGCACCATGAACTCCAAAATAGCAGACTCTGTCACTGAGTATCCATCACATCCAATGTGTGGGTTGACAGGGTTAGAAATTTCTACGTGAAATGCTCCGCTTCAATGTGTTCTACGCCTCACGCGTGGATGTGTCAAAGCCCTTGCCGGATAAGGATCAGGATCCAGCACCCAGATCTGCATTGACGATCTCTGTCTGCACAAAACCGACTTGCCTTGCGCTAGAAAAGTGTTTGTTCAGTGTCCGCGAGGTTTAACCCCGCCACACATGTCCCTGCTCTTGACAGTCACTTTCGAGCGAATCGTACAGGTTCATGCTTCCATGAAGATATCGGCACGAGTGGGAGTCTGGGGGTGGATACAACACCTCTGTACATTTGCCAGAGTATTGTCTGTAGAGAAGGCTCTATTTTCGATTTCATGCGCGAGCCGTTCGTAGGTCGCTGGGGAGGGGAACGTTCTCCGAATCGTGTCACACGATCGAGATCGGACATTGCTTGGGCGCTTCCCCGCGACCACAGCCTTGCCAGGCTGCCAGGATAGGAAGTATGATCGCCAGTTTCTAGAGTTACCAAACCGGCGGCTTGCTTTGAGCATGAGATCGGCGAACTGAGTACCTGACAAGATCTCTGCCTTCGTGGGATCCTTAGCTCGGATGTGAGCAAGATCACAGAGCCTAAGTGATGCACGAAGCATGAAAAGTGTCCGGAGTCAAGAGAAAAAGCTGTACGCGGGACGATCAATATCCCACAAAAGCTCTTAGGCACGGCTCTGTTGGGGGATCTCTGATTTCAATGTCGGAGAGGTCCATGTACATGAGTTCGAACACTTGGAACGGTGCTATCTCTGGCTGGTCTAGTTGACCTGTTTCCGCATATCTGACAAGAGAGTTGAAGCTGCTTAAAGCAAGCTTCTGAAGAATTGCTTCGTCGTTTCTAGCATCCAGATCGCGCTGACGCGTCGGCTTGGTTGCGCTAAATGTGCTAAATGGACCGCCCGAGTTAATACGGTCGAGTTTACGTACCAGGCTGACATTCTCCAGTCCACGTGTCACTTTATAAGCTAAATATGGTAAGCTTCATTTTCAACTGGCTGCTCCGTCTCAATGTATGCTTGATCTTCTCATAGACATCTTCGTAGGGTATTAGGTAGCCCTTTCAGTTGACCACTACTCCCACCATGCTCCAACCTCGAATATACAGACCTCTGGTGCCCTCGGAGGCGTCTCTAGCTGTGCTAGCTTCGTCTTTGGGTTCTTTGAGTCTATGTCCGAAACACGCGCATCTGAACCCCCGGAGCTCAACTATTTTCGTTCGACATGCTTCCCATGCACAACAAGGCCGCGCAAACGGACCCTCGGATTCCGCAGGAAGACGGCTGGGAGCCAAAAAGGGGTCTTCGGAATGGGTCCATCCAGGGAACATAATCTTCAAACAAAGAGGCAAGCAAACAGAAGTTTCGACCACTTTTTTAAGACCTCGCGGACAAAAAATTTCCTAACTAGTTGTTTGTTACAGGGACGAAATGGTTCCCCGGCGAGAATGTCGGCATCGGCAAAGACCACACCCTCTATGCCCTTGAATACGGCTACGTCCGATACTATCGAGATCCCCTGAAACATCCCAAGAGACGATACATCGGTGTGGCGCTGGAAAAAGAAGGACCGAGATCTCAACTTCCCACGCCGCGCAACGCGCCCTCGCGCAGACGGCTAGGGATGTACGCCACGCCTATGAAACCACTACCGCAGTCTGTAAAGTCTGTCGACGAATCGTTCCTCGAGGCTCATCTGAGCCAGAGCAGCAAGGGCCTCGGCGAGGTGACCTTCAAGTCTTCTGGTGCCGCAACACCTACTCCGGCGGCACCCCCAACATTTAATCGGCAAGGAACGTATCGCGAGGCAAACGCATCGATTGGGTGGGCAGCTGAGAGGAAGGGAGTCAAGGTTCGCGAGTACGATCGCAACGATCGCTGGCTGGCCTGGAAGAAACGATCACTCCGAGTGAAGCGAGGAATGGAAGCTAAAGCCGCCAGAGCCATGAGGAAGACGAAAGGCAAGAAATCCAACAAAGGACCGAAGACTGCCCAGAAGAAAAAGTAGTGATGGAAGTTTGCGGGAGTGGGACGCAATTGTACAACTACATGAGCAGCAACATCGTCCCAAATGGCCATGGTTATGGGGCATATTCCCAGCTCACAATAGCCACTGGGCGATTTTTCTTGATGTGTGTTGAGATAATCAAAAAGAATCTTTTGGTCTATATCGGAGCCTGGCCAAAGTGTCTACAATGTATCATCTTCAGAAGGTTCTTACAGTCAAAACATCCATGAGGGTACAAGCGGACCAGACACTGGAGACCATTTTGTGACCACAATTCGTTCGTCGCCGGACTATAAACCATTCTCGGCCTTGAATTTGTCCCAGGCCTCGTTCAACGCGCTGAAGACGGCGCCGGCAATCATTCTCTGTTCGGTGGTAGCATCGGTGGGAATCTAGAATTTTCAGACCAGCGTCAGCATCAATCGCCTTTTCACCATATATGTCCAAGCTCTAGCTGGCAATTTTTCACCCGAGTAGAGTGGCAATGATGAGATAAATACGTACCTTGTCAGGATGCACTTTACCGATGCCCTTCATGTACTGAATCTTGACCTTGCCAGGGAGGACCAAATCGGCCATGCTTATCTTCTTCCACCCACTGCCTTCCCAGAGCACACTGTCTAGTGAACCCAGCAAGGCGCGGAGATTGTCCTGTTTGCCGGATTTCCACGCATTGATGCGTGCATCAACAGACTCAGAGAGACGGAATTTTTCATCGTCGAGCTGGTCCGCAGCAAGGTTTGCGGCACGCAGACGAGAAACAGCTTCCGCTGGCTTGACGCTTGTAGACGCAGGGGCGGGCGGTGATCGGCGGAGGGCTGACGAGGCTGGAGCCGAAAAGGAACCGGGCTTCCTCGCTGCTGTTGTAGAGGTAGGTTTGGGTTTCTGTGGGTTTGCTGCCTTCTCTGCCCTCATTCTGCCTTGGATACTCGTCGCACCGCCGTGACCTCCCTCCACGGCTTCTCTCCAGACAACAGCGGCCTCGGTCCACTTCTCCATCTGCTCTAGTGCTTCAGCTTTGCGCATGAGCGCTTTTCCATAGTATTCGCGCATTGGCTTGTTACCCATATTGCCTGGGCTGGTGACCTCTATGTGCTCATTCTCACCCTTCGATGGTCCTATGATCATTATGGCCTTGTCGGCATCCATGATGGCTTGTTTAGGCTCGCCTATCTTCAGCGCCGTAAGAGCACGGTTTGTCAAAAGCACAATGGTTAGCGGATGGGATTCCGGTAAGTGCGACAGGGAAGTTGCATAAGACTGGTGTGCCGACGCATAGTCACCACGCTTGAAATGTTCGTTACCTTTCTCGCGGTGGGAGTGACTGGCTTGGAGGGCGATGCCGGGGATGGAAGGGACATGACGGGTGGGAGCTGGAGGTCGGACTTGAGTTGCAGTTGAGTCGACCCGTTGTTTGACCGGTTGAGATTGAGATCGAGTAGATGGTTTGTTCATTCCCACATGAGTTGCCGCTGGACGTGGAAGGGAGGAAGAAGAGTCCTTGAAGCCACTTTCGAGAAGATCCGATTCCGGGACGGATGCTGGCGGTGCGTCATGAACCGAACGAGGTGGTTGTTTCCGTCGTCGAGCTGAGCTGACATACGCTTGAGCAGCCTGTTCCTCGGCAGCAGCGCGGGTTAGACTAGCTCGTGAACTCGCGGCAGGGGATTGGTTTTGCTGTCGTAGAAAAGCTGGCTGGGTCTGAGGAAGTGAATCACGCAGCCGTGAGGGTATAACGGGCGACTGATCCCGAGAGTTGTCAGCACTCGAGTCAAAATGTCGCACCGGTCTGGAGGAAGTGGAAGGTCGTGATGCAGAGGTTGGTCGGTTGATTTCCAGCATCATCGCCTCATCCGTCATGCTTGCTTGGCTGGGGGCTTCTGCGCCCGGTCTACTTCTTCCACGTCCTGACTCGACCTCAGGCTGTCGTTGTGGCTGCTCCTTTCTGGTCGGTCGCTCTGCTACTTCCCGCATCCACCGGGGTTGATTGCCAGCCTCAGTTTCAGAATTGAATTCCTGGACAGCTTGCTGAACTCGTTTTGTCCCTTGCTTCCACAATGAATTTGCCGTCTTCAAGAAGTTACTGCCGAATTCTGTTGCAAGCTGTTCGAAATCTTTCTCTCCATTTTGAGTGGAGCCTTTTGTACGTCTGGGGCCTTCTCCGTTTTCCCATGGTGGTCTCGTCCTCGATGCATGCGCTTCATTCCGGGAGCCTATCCTGTCATTGTCCGAATCTCCTACTTGCCCAGAGGCAGTTCTTGACTGAGCTTTTTGCCGCGCCTCGGCGTGGGCTTGGTTCAGTAAGTAACCCACGGCGGCCTGGACATCAATTCCTGATTCCGTCGCCTCTAAGGCGACTTTTGCCTTGTCCGCGGGGAATCCCATATCAACCAGCTCTGCCACAGCTTTGTCCTGCGGATGACGGTCGGTGGCCGGGCTTTCCGTGGCTAAGGGAGGAGATTGAGGTTTTGCAGTAGATACAGGCTTTCCGAGAAGCCCGAGCACGTCGTCATCATCACCCGCAGCGGTGCTCGCCGTCGCCGCAGTATCTGCCCGCCTAGGAGGGAGTTTTGAGAGTCCGAAGGGGTCATCATTGTCGTCAACGTCCACATGCTTTTTTGGAACGTATGCAGTAGCAGCGTCGTTTTTAGCAGCGGTTGGTTTATTGAAAGCAGCAAATAGATCGTCGTCGGTATCGTCTAACTCGTGATTCTTGTGGTTCGTGGTCTGATTCTTTGCGGTGTCGATCGCAGCCGTCCCCCTCCCACTACCCAAATTGTTCCAAAATTGATCATCTCCGCCAGAAAACTGATCATTCAATCTCCGAGCCTGGTCTTTCTGCTGTTGTGCCTTAGCCTCCACCTGTATCCTTTGCTGTTCTGACAACGAGAGATTCTTATGCGACGCCGGTCCGAAGGAAACAAGGTTCGCGAAGCTATCGTTTCCGGGGGTCGACGGCTTGGAAGGAGGCTGACTCGTCGCCGGGTTGAATGGAGAGGCCCTCTCTGAGGTTGGCGGAGTGGGTTTTAATGTATTAAAGGCAGAGAAATTCGATGTCGCGGTTGCGGGTTTCGAGTTCTGTCCGTTCGCCGGGGTGGCGCTCCATTTCAACCCCGCTATATCCTCCATTGTCGCAAAGACTGAATATTCATGAACAAGGGTTGAACCTGTCTAGAGCGGCCATTGTATGCCCGGTAGTATCACCGAGGAGTGACGCGGTGTGTACGGAGAGGGCGGGAAGGAACTTGAGCGTGTGCCGTTTAACAACGGATGTTGATGCATTTGTCCCAATGGGGCGGGAGACTGCGCCACACTTGCAGCCACATCTCCCTTTCCGGGGATAACTTTGTCTAGGTAAGTACTAGGTATCCGTATTACTTGTGGCCTGTGTGGTCACGGTGGTTTTACTCAGGGGAGTGTCAGAAACTTGTCTGTCACCTGAGGGAAAAGAGCTTCGAAAATCAAAGTAAAAAATCATAACATCATCAAGGTAGGCTAACAATATCCAATATCCAAACGCATCGTCTCTCGTTACCTCTGGGCACTCAGGTAGGCTGGAGCTCTCAAGTCAACCACCTGTTCCGCGGGACCAAGCTGAGCCTTTCCAAAAACACTCTCATATGGTAGTCTTAAGGGCTCTCCAGGTCATCCTCACCACGTAATACCTCCGTTTTAGGAGGTCCACTCGCATAGGCTGCTCGTTCTTGAACTGGTAGTCATCCTTAAGGTCTCGCACGCCCTCCCAAGAGGATTCATCCAGCTCGCCCATCCACTCGAGAATGGAATCTTCTTTTACTAATGGGAATATCCAGTGCTTGGCTCTTTCAACAACTACCTGTAATTGCGACTTTTTGTGCTCGTCGGTCTCAAATTCCATGACTAACTTTCTCAACCCTCTAATTCTGCATACTGCTCCTCCCCAAGTTCGTTCACTCATGTGATCGTTGATGTAAGTTAGACTTGGCTCAGGAGGCTCAGAAAGCATCTCTTGACAAGAGGTTCGATCAGGACGCCATGGACAGATGCCTAGACAGTCACCGGAACCGAGGGGAGACTCCCAGGACCACCAGTCAGCGTGGCGAAGCGTTAAATGAAGGCAGGGCGTTCCGAAAGAGAACTGCCAGGCGTCTGTTGTCAATAGGTTCTCCAAATAATACTGTTGGGTGAAGATGTGAACTGTTTGTATCGCGTTTTTCTGGTCCTCTCCCAGACTGTGATACCAGGGAATCCATCGAGCCGTATTACGATTATTGCTGGAAGTGAATTTCCATGGACCATTGAACAGCCAAAAAACATGCTCGTTGACCGAGATGGGCAAGAGACGGGTTTCGCGGTAGACCCTCCTACAAGTCAACAGCAGAGAGCAATCGATCTTCTGATGATAACGATAGCCCGGTCGGTAGTACTTCCGGTCGGCTCGGTACGGTTTAGTAGGGTCATCGTAGGAAGTCAAAGCAAGTTCGAAGATGGAAGCTCGGATCTCTGCAGGGAGTGTGAACAAGCCACTCTCCCTTTGTTCATTCTCCATAGCACCGTAGATGGAGCCTCAAGAGGACATGTACTAGATGTGTACTAGGGTTCGCCTCAATGGACCGCGATTGACACAGCAAAGTCTCGGAATCAGAGCCGAGATTGTGGCGCTTGGTGTAAACAAAGACTGGGTTGTTTCAGATCGAGACGGTGCGATGGCGAGGAGGAAGCAAAGAATTGACGGACTGCTATCGATCAGGGCTACTTCTTAGCTTCACTGAAGGCCGGACACTGGGATTTTGATCGTGGATGGTTCGCAGGCTGTCACTCCTGTAGCAGAAGTGGATGACCTGGAGGTGAGGCCATTATATACCTTGAATTTGCAAAATCCAAAATCTTGGTGCCTGCTACATCTCAGCGAGTAGCACGAGTAGCACTCGTAACCAAGGTTCACTGTCAGGATCAGCGTACCTTGAAACACTGCTGCCTTGTAGGCCGTGATGGGCGCGAGAGGATCCTGGGGATGTCCCTGCGTAACTTTGGAGGTCCCACTTCAAGGGCTGTGGTGGCGGCCACGCGAACAAAGGATTCGCAGGAATCGCAGGAAGATGGGTTTGGGCACTTGGGGCCATTGGAGAGCGAAATAAGCGCGACTATCCCCCCCGAAAGCCAGCACAAGTCAACTAACGCGGGGTCTGGGAAGTTCCCAAAGGTGCCTGAACTTGGATCACGGAACCTGGCCAGTAGTGAAGCAAACGGCGCAGCCAACCTAGGCTACTTAGCGAGGCTAACGGCCACCACCACCGCCAACAGTGCCCAGCAGTGCCAGCACAGGCTACAGCTAGGCTTCATTAGGCTTCATTAGGCTTCAATCACCCTACCAGAATCTCGGGGCGCCGGTTGTCTTGCGCCATTGCGTCCCGCGTGGCCGCAGCAATTCGATTGACCGTCAAACAATCCCCCTCTTGTTCTCCTGAAAGCTGCATATCCGTCTTGAGACCTCGATCTAACGCGGTTGATATCTCAGGACAATGGACGGAGAAGGAATGCTTTGGGCTTGGTAGATAATATGGAGGCAACACATGCGATACACATTCCCTGTACTTTTCCCACTGTCCACCTTCTTTCACTCCTTCAGATTTCAGCAGCTGAAAGCGAAATCCGCCTCGTCTGTTTTCTCCCCTACCCTCATCTTCCACCAGTAGTGATTCTTGCACTCTTTTCTTTCTCCTTCAGATTTCCCTGACGCCGATTTCATTCGTGTCCCACTTGGCCGTTCCGGCTTCTCGTTCATTCGCTTCAAAGTCCTCGCTTCACCCTGTACTTCGGATTGCTTTCTCGCCAAAAAAAAAAAAAAAAAACTTTGTCACGCTTCTTTCCTTACAGGTTCATCACCGCGTCGTCTACCTAGTCAAACGTCTTTCAGTGAGAGGAAACAAAAAGGCAGACATCCGAAAAGATAGCGATCGTGCGAAGTGAGCCCTCATTCATCCCGTTTCGCTGCATGGCCACCATCTCTCGATTGCCCCTTGCAGCTGATTAGCAGGGCATCCGGCTATCGGCTCTCTCCTGCATCTCCCCGCCCGCCGCGATAGGCCAGTCGTTGTGTCGAGAATCATTAGGTCTTATCCGACATGAAGGGAATTTTCAAGAGAAAAGATTCAAAGTTACCATCAGATGACACCACACTTGACAAAACCCTTTTGCGCCCGGCCGTGACAGTCGAACGCATATCCAACTACTCGCACAAGTCGCCAAAGCTGATAAGTTCGAAATCATCCTCACCATCGTTAGGAGGCACCATGCCGGAGATCGCCATTCCTGAGTCGCCCGATCCAACCTCAAAACCAGCAGCATACCTTCGAAGCATCCATGCTGTTCGAGAAAGGACGAGGCTGGTGCTCGAGGAGGCCAAGGTCAATGCACTCAATCACTTTGATGTAGACATATCCAAGTTCAAGGACACTGCCGACTACGTGGTTGCCATTATCAAGGTACGCGGGGGGAAACATGTTGAGTCTTACCTGTGTCTAATCGTGTACAGCGTGATTTCCAGGGTGATTATGCCTCTATCCCACCTCATGGTCGCTGGCAACATTTTGAAGTCGGAGGGAGACCCAGGGTAACCCAGTTGTTGCAATCGTGGCCGACCTCAATTGACAACCAAGAGAGGGCCCGTCGATTGATCGACTTGTTCTTGGTGTCTGTACTCCTCGATGCCGGTGCCGGCACCAAGTGGTCCTACAAGTCCAAGGAGTCTGGCAAGGTCTACTCCAGGAGTGAAGGTCTGGCTGTCGCAAGCCTCGAAATGTTCAAAGCCGGAACGTTCTCCAGCGATCCCAATCAACCTCATCAAGTGGATGCCGCTGGGCTGAATAAAATGAATGTGGAGACTCTGGCAAAAGGGATGCAGGTCTCAGACACCAACCCTATGTCTGGACTTGAGGGGCGGACTGGGTTACTGACTCGGCTTGCGGCTGCTCTGCAGAATGCTGAAATCTTTGGCGTTGAGGGCCGACCAGGGAACATGATTGGTGAATCCAAGCGTTTGTCTCTCTCTCTCCCGAATGTCTGCTGATTGTAAACAGACTATTTGTTATCACATCCTACGACTCAAGCAGCTTCGGTTCCTGTCATTCTCTTACCTACGCTATGGAGTGTTCTTATGGACGGTTTATCCAGTATTTGGCCAGCAACTCGGACCACTATTCAAGGAGTCTCTCTCGGAGACGCTTGGCCTTGCCGTGCTATGCCCAGATCCCCCCCAGCACAATCCTGGGAGACCATTGTTCCCTTCCACAAGCTTACCCAGTGGCTTTGCTATTCCTTGATGGTTCCAATGACCAAGCTACTCAATGTTCATTTCGCCGGGGCTGAATTGATGACTGGACTTCCTGAGTATCGCAACGGAGGCTTACTGATCGACACAGGCCTGCTCACGCTCAAAGAAGAGGACAGGCAGCGTGGGTTGAAGATCTACCATGAGATGGTCGGAGATGGCAATGCGATCGAAGTGGTTCCAACTTTCCCACCCAGCGATGACGTGATTGTGGAATGGCGCGCTGTCACGGTGGGCTTCTTGGACGAATTGCTTGTTTCAGTCAATGCGGGCCTTGGTCTGCAGGGCGCGCAACAGTTGACTTTGGCCCAAATGCTTGAGGCAGGAACTTGGAAGGTGAGCATGAGCAGAAAGATGATCAATGTTTTGCGCTGACAATATTTGCTAGGGAGGACGTGAAATTGCCCAGGTGTCGCGCCCCATCACTGGAGGCCCTCCCATTGGCATCATTTCAGACGGCACCGTCTTTTGAGTGACGACTTCTACTGTGTTTATGCGATAATGGGTTACGCGGATTTTGAAGGTCACGAAAAAGCGAGATTCAAGACCGAGACCAGAGATTACGAGACGACATATGCGCTTGACGATGTTGTGGTATGGGTTACTTCATTGTGGCAAGTTTTATTCTTCACTTCAATGCTGGCAACTCTTGTTGAGCTTTGCAGAAGATGAGTCCAAGACCTCTACACTTCCGCAAGGTGTGACAGAGTGGAGAGCGCACCCGAACTCGGAGTGTCACATTCAAAAGTCATTATTGTTGATGCATTGACTTGAGGATGCTCCCTGAAGACGGTTTCTTCTACTTGGGAGAGGACGTCCATAGGTCTCCTTGTGACATTCTCTTGTCTTTCAATCTTTTTACTTGATAGCTGGGTGGCAAGCGACACCTTGTGTCAATGATCATGCTCTGCCCTCTTTGCCTCTTGCTCCCCAACACCTGGGTGAAGCCAAAATCATGAAAGTTGGAGGCAGTGATCACCTCCAGCCATAGTTCATTCCTCTACTCTCGCCTGTGATTCTCTAAGCCTGTGACAAAGAAATTGTTGGATGTAGGAAGTAGCTTTGCAAACGACATATCTTGTCAGGTGAGTCGCACAGGATGAGCTGGTGAGTCTGGCTGCTTTGTCGATGGCACATGTCCTGGACGACCTCTACATCGGGTAGCCTCGCACGAGCCAGACTGGGTCCCTTGGTCGCAGGTGTCTCCGCACCGCAGCCACTAATTGCCCGATCTTGATCCCCAGCTATCCATCTTCCCCGCCTCACATGTAGTCTTCCAGCACAACCACCAAAGGACCATGAAAAGTGCTTTGCACTTGAAAGGGTGGAGGCATCATGGACACGCGCAAACGGAAGAAGAAGGTCCTCTTGATGGGCAAGAGTGGATCAGGCAAATCGTCGATGCGCTCCATCATTTTCAGCAACTATGTCGCGAAGGACGTCCGCCGACTCGGCGCAACAATTGACGTGGAACACAGTCATGCAAAGTTCATGGGCAACCTGACGCTCAACCTGTGGGATTGTGGAGGGTATGGCCGAGAAGAACATGCCCTGCTTCAGGTTTTGTTCAGATGACTAACGCCCCTGTGTAGGCAAGACGCATTCATGGACTCCTACCTTAACGCCCAGCGCGAAAACGTCTTTTCCGATGCCGAAGTTCTCATCTACGTCTTTGACATCGAATCCCGAGCAGTCGATCAGGACCTTGAGACATATAGCCAGGTGATCAAGGCGTTGAAAGAATACAGTCCCAATGCGCACGTCTTCTGCCTGGTTCACAAGATGGACCTGGTGCAGAGCGAACATCGTGAGAGGATATACGAAGAAAGATGCCGCTTGATCATTGCCCGGTCGGAGGGTCTCAGCTTGGAGACATTTGCGAGCAGTATCTGGGACCAGACACTTTACAAGGCTTGGGCAGGCATAGTCCACAAGATGATTCCGAATCTGGTGGTGATAGAAAGATTCCTGACAGCCTTCGCGGAACAACTGAAAGCTGAGGAGATTGTCCTTTTCGAAAGATCTACATTTCTGACCGTGACGAACGTGGTCACGCAATATGGCGAGGATAACCCCAACCTTGACCGACATGAGCGAATATCGAATATCATGAAGAGCTACAAGCACACAGCGGCACGAAACACCAGGACGACGGCGGCGAGCGCAGGGTTCTTGCTGTTTAAAGTCCAGACTCCTCGCTTCAATTGTTTCCTGGCCAGATTTACGGAAAACACCTATATATTTGTTGCCATCCCTCCCGGAGAGGCTGCGTTTAATTGTGCAGTCTTGAACACGATGATGGCGAGAGACGCTTTTAGCAAGAAGACTGGCGTGGAAGGATGAGATGGCCTCTGATGGGCAAATTGCGAATATGTCTGGGCCATCTACCCTGTCTGGGGTACCCATGCAGCCGAATCAATCGAGCTCAAGACCGGTACTTCAGAGGATGGTAAGTGCTGGTACAAAACATCAAAGAACGGACTGGTACACCACAGGGTTGGATATGCAATCCGCTTTGCTACCCGGTGCACGCTACAACGATTCACAGCGATTTCCGGGTATCCGTATCCGCCAGACTAGATCGAACCACGGAGGGACACCAGCGGTACGGCTGACTAGGGAACCTCTGTGTACGACATCTGGATAAGGCCTGCTTGGCTTACTCCGGGCGCCGAGGGAAAGGACAGAGCAGACCCCGACGTTGTTCCTGGACGGTGCTCTAGTATCTCCATCGATTCTATCAATACTTGGACTTGGGCCTCCGCCTCAAGGCCAATGTTGATACAACTGGACAATGTGTGTCGCTACCTTGCGATGAGGACGTTGTCCAGGGATGTGTCTGTGTCAAGGAAGCATGAAGGCAAGGGAGGATTTGTCATGGTAGCAGCAGGTCATGGAGCTTCGAAGCGACGTGTCGAACGAATGAGATATCTTTTCTCCAGTGGATATTCAGTGTTCAGACAAGATACAGAGGTGCACTCCAGGTTATCACAGTATAATGTACTCGGTACCTCCTACTAGGTGATTGAATGCGGAGGCAGGAAGCTGCGTGACCAATGACCGGCGTGCCAAGCAATCCGGAGGCCGACTTTCCCGACTTCCCAATTTTCTTTCGACCTCATCGTGCTCAATCTCAGTTTTCCCGCCTCCACCTTCGTACTTGACGTACGACCTGTGGACATCCCACCCTCGATAACACCGTACAAAGCATTCTTCGGTCGATCGGGTCACGAAACGTAGTACGAAGACTATGAGAAGACACATCCGGTGCTCTAGCCATGCCCAAAGAACGCCAGACATGTACCGAGTGCTCGATGCGCCGGCAAAAGTGTGATCGCAACCTGCCCTGTGGTCGCTGTGTCAAACGGGGCGATGCTGCAAAATGCACGCGCGAGTGGCCAGAAGGCGGTTACGATCCTAAAGTCCACCGAATCTATCCTCGTTCCTCCACAGCAGCAGACGCCAGTCCCACAGCCACTGACACGTCTCCTCAGACCAACAATGGCAACCCGGCAGAAGCTGTTGTACACCCGTCCCTTCGAACTCCCAAATCTGTGACTTCTGGGCCTAGTCCACACGACCAAACATCGGCCTATCCAAGCAGCCTTGGAACCGCGCCAGCCAATGGCCCAGTTACTGACGTCGACAATGCCGCATCCGTACTAGAGTTCCTCACCTGGGGTCGGAGCAAGCTATCGGATTATGATCTAAAGGCATTGGATCTCCTCAAGGAGCCTCACCAATCTGGTACAGCGGCGCTTCCCAAGGACAACGGACCCGACTGGGATGTTTCAAACGGCCTTGGCGGGACTGGGGCGGCCCAAGTGTCGTTTCTACAACTACTCCTTCCCAGTCGTAAACAGGTATTTCAGTTGGTCGAGTACCATGTCAGCTCCATTTTGTGGTATCACGGGTGCTTCCATGGTCCAACATTTTACGAAGAGCTCAAAGAGGTATATAAAGGGCCCAGCGGACTGCAAGTCAGAAACATGGATCTCAGATGGACCGCCTTACTCTTTGCCGTAATGGCAGCCAGCATGACTTGTGCCAATGAGCAGCTGGCTATGAGCTGGGGCTTCAAGAAGAACGAAAGAGCCAAGCTGACCAGGCAATGGTACAAGGCTACGGTATCGTGCCTCAACCTTGCCGACTATATGTGGCGTCATCATATCTACTCAGTCGAAGCCATTACCACACTTACTATGTCTGCTCATATCTTGGGGTTCAGCAACACTCAGAGCACCTTGCTGGGAGCCGCGCTCAAGATCGCCCAAGGGCTTGGTTTGCAAAGACTGGGACCAGAAGACGACGGGAGCACCAGCGCTGGGTCTTCCGCCTTATTGACACCTGTCTTACGAGACAAGATAATCAAACGTGAGACGGGAAGGAGACTCTGGCAACAGTTGTGTATCCAGGATTGGTTCTCAATCCCCTTTTCCGAGATGTATTCCATCCAGAGGATACATTTTTGTTCGCTCAAACCTATGAACTGCGATGAAACCACCATGCTACCTCTACCCGATGATGTCCCAAGTATGACAAGCTTCCCGAATTTCCTTGGTGATATCGCAAGCTTGATGCCGCAAATACATGATGCAATTATCTCATCGAACACATTATACACCAAGTACGAACAAATTCTAGACTACGACGCACAAATGCGGTCCCTTGCGACGGACGGGCTCCCTCGCTATTTCTCCATGAGAGAACCACTCCAGCCAGAGTGGCCCGCATTTATCCCGTGGGCGCGACGGAGCTTGACCATTTGTTTCGCTCACAAGATCATCATGATTCACAGGGCGTTTCTGGGTCGCAGCTTTACAGAGCAAGCATTTGACTTTACACGTCGAACATGCATGGCAGCTGCAAAGACAATACTAAAAGAGGCACGACAGGCGTATGACGAGGAAGGACCTATGCTCTGGATCGATCAAGCTTTTATGGTCGCCGCAGGAATAACACTCGCCCTGGACATCTTCCACCGTGGACCCAACGAACCCGAGTACGAGGAACACCGGAAGCTGGTGGAGAATACCATCACGATGTTGGGCAAGTTTGAAAACAGCATGATTGCAATGCGCGGCATTCGTTTGCTGTCCTCCTTGCTTGCTGAGCAGGCCCGGTTGACGGCTGACCAGACCCTGGAAAACTATAGAAAGCGCACACATGACACCATGACTGGAGATCACGGTCAACCTAAGCGGCAGAAATTCAATGTGCCCAAGTTTGTGGAGTCGTTTGTTGGAAACGACTCATTCACACATACTCTGCGGTCTGCGAATCGAGGTGCCGAGCCGTCACTCGAACTGTATGAACCGACTGAATCGAAGACACCTGGAGCACAGGATCCGATGATTACGTCCGACTTGGGATACGAGACATTTGAACAGCTCTTTCCACCCCATACCGGTATCAGTAACAACTTTCTCTTTGAGGATCTGCTGAACTTCGACATCTGAAAAGATTCCATGCTCCAAAAGATGCATTCATGTGCGAAGGTCCGACTGGCCTACAGTATCAGCGACGTACGATTATCGATGCACCATGATTGGACGATAAAAGGCGGGGAGGTGGGACGGCCTTATCCGTTGTACATACGAGTACACAAACTTTATCGATATCAGCGGCACGAATGACGACTATAGGGTACGAGTGGTTGGTTGATATAACATCAGCTGAATATCGCGTGGTAACTTCCTTTCAATCAATCTCTTCTCGACCACCTAGAACACGAAGCAGCTCAATCAGCTCCAGCCGCCCGGGTTGTCATCTCTCCCCATTCAATACCTACCCTAAACAGACAACCTTACATGTTCTATCGAGATGGGCGTCGAAAAGACCAAATACTTGGACCGTCCAATCCCCACCATTTCGCTCGCCAGTTACGAGTCACGCATCGATGAAATCACCTCTCAATTGGTGTCCGCCGCTGAGAATGTAGGGTTCTTCTCTGTCATTGATCACGGTATCACTCCCCAGGAGATCGACGAGATATTCGCTCAGTCAGCTCGCTTCTTTACCCTACCAGACGAAACGAAGGCGCAAGTTCCCTTTTCTTCAGCAAACAATGCTGGGTGGGAGAAGAATTCGCAAGTCCGGCCCTCGACGGGTGCTGCTGATAGAAAAGAGTCGTACCAGATGCAGTTCGGCGCAAACATGGAGGGCAAGTGGCTCGATGACTCCGCTTTGCCAGGTTTCAAAGACTCGGCTCTGAAATTTATGTGGAAGGCACAAGGAGTTTCAGAGAAACTAATGACTTGTTTCGCCAGAGGACTGGGTTTCGAGGATGATTACTTTATCAAAGCTCATGATGTGAGGAGGCCGGAGAGCCAAACAGTGGCCAGACTCTTGCATTATTTCGAAACCCCTAAAGAGAATAAGAATGGGGAGATCTTCCACCGAGCAGGAGCCCATACTGATTGGGATCTATTGACGCTTCTATTCCAGAAAGAGGGACAGAGTGGCCTCGAGGTATGGTTCTTATACTGCCAAGATAGACGCAATCCTGGCTGACCTTTCTGACCTACAGATCTGCCCTGGTCGCGAGGCCTCCACATCCTTCGCCCACGGAGACACTTGGACGAAGGTGGCTCCATCTCAAGACGCCATCATCTGCAATATTGGCGACCTCCTGATGTCCTGGTCCGATGACCGTTTCAAGTCGACCTTTCACCGCGTCAAGGCACCCAGCGAGCCCGATGATTTTTACGGTGAACGCTACAGCATTGCCTTTTTCAATCAGCCTTGTAGAGATGTCATCATCCAAGGTCCGCTGAAGAAGTACCCTGTGGTGACTGGAGAAGAATTTACACGGAATGCGATGCGCAGGAATTTTGAGGCTTTGGAGAAGAAGCGACTCGAAAAGGAGAAGTTGGAGGAAGAAATGGAAAAGGTCCGAAAGCTGGTGGAGCGCGAGGGTATCAGGGGTGCGAGTGTCGAGAGTGGTGGTAAGGTCGTTGCTGAGATTGGCGCTTGACTGGGGTCGTTCGTCGGACAACGTATCGACTGTGTGCGAACATAAAACCTCACCGAGAGAGGTCTCAAGCGATTGGGTGTATTGTCGGTGCTTTACCACATGTCTTTTGTCATCGTCAGCACGGCAATTGCGATATTTCTCACGATGGTGGTTAGAAGAATATGTGAGTGGTGGCTTATTCTCCAGAGTCCGTCAGAGGCAACTATCAAACAGAGATATGTAATTCGAACCAGAGCACGTCCTGAAAGGGACAACTTTGTTTAGCGCAAGCAATACGTTTATCAGAGAGGTATACACCGACTGGACTTGGCTGATTATGAATGAATTTCTCTCGATGTACATTCGAAAGGCGACTGTCTAGTTGCTAGTGTAGAGATTTCCACTCTTTGAATGTATTTTTTGTAATATCGAGGCATGAGGAAGATACATAGCTACCCATGTCGCTCTCTCTCTCTCTCTCTCTCTCTCTCTCCCCGAACCCTTTCTCTTTCATGCCGTGTCATGTCTTCCCTCCTCGCCCCTTATTCTTGGCACGACACGATGCCGATCATTATAGGGTTCCTCGACAAGATATGATGCTTGCCTGCTTGCTTGCTCGCAAGGTACTCCTTTCTTCGAGTTCCCCGTTTCCCTCGTTCCCTCGTTCGTTCGTTCGTTCATTCTTTCATTCATTCACTCCTCACAACCCCGCCATGTGCGTCTCTTCCACGAGGTGCGCCGTGTCCGTCAGCGGGAACGGCTCGCCTGTGGATTCGTCCTGGATGGGGACCGAGGGGACCAGCACGAAGAGCACGCGGCAGGGTTTGGGGCTGACGTTTTTCCATGCCTGTATTGATGAAATCGTCAAAACCGTGGGAGAGGGAGAGAGGTAGAGTGCAGTAGAGGGGGGGGAGGAAGGAAAAGGAAGGAGAGGAAGAAAATCTGCTCCATTGGAGGAGGGATGTCGTCTCAACGGAGAAGGAGGGAAGAAAGACGGGGGTGGGGGGGAACATACATGATTCGTCCCCCTCTGGACACAGATGTCCCCCTCGCTCATGACCGTCTCAGACCCGTCGTCCAACACCAGCGTGATCGTCCCACTCAGGACAACGCCAAAGTCGACGCTCTGCGTGCGGTGCATGATGTTGACCTCGTCCCTCGTGCCGACCTCGGGCAGGGCCGGGAAATCCACCACGCGGCAGTACACGCCCGAGGGGTCGACGAGGCCGACCTTCCGCCCGTGCACGTCTGTCCAGGCACCCTGCACGTTGGCGGCCGGCACCCCCGCCGTGCGGAAGATGTTGGTGAAGCCCGGGATGATGCCCGTGGGGGCGGCGCCGGTCGGGTCCAGTGGGTTTGCTGGCGTCAAGGCCCGGTCGGACTCGATTATCGATTTTCCCGTGTTGGGGTCGTGGCCTGTTTTGTTACAACCCGAGCCGAACCCGGACCCGAAGGCGGGGTGGGGGCAGAGTCAGTATTTTGTATACATTCATCGTTTTACTAGTGTTCCGTGCTGGGTTTCAAGGAACAGGACGGATTCTGGGGGTGGAAGAGAAAGGGAGGGGAGGGGAAGCGCAAGGGGAGGGAGAGGCAATGAACATACCGGTCACGATTCGTCGCACGGTCGGGAAGGACATGGTGAATGGGGATACAGTATGTATGTTAGACAACGTTTGGTGGTCGTAGAGTAAGTAATACCTGACAAATGAGTACCGTCCCGAGTACACAAGCTTGCCAAGGTCCTATAAGTAACGTGGAGAGAAGGACGGCGGTCCTGCACTAGAAACAAGAGAAAGTTTGTGGTCTGGTGATCTGTCGATCAGGTAAAATGTCTAATCCATACGACGAGATGATACGAATACATACTGTAGGTCGCTAAGCGGGGTTTGTTGGCACGAAGGAATATTGTTGAGTCGTAATACGTGCCCCCAGTACAGATCGGGGAATGGGATATTATATTTAGCGGATACCTCACTCGTTGTGACCCGAACCACGAGGACCTCTCACAGACGTACCAGATCAGATCAAATCACATCAAATAAAAGACGACGTTATGACTGATAGATGCTGGCTTATGCGAATCATTGCAAGAGAAGAAATAGTATACCAGACAGGCTTATGGGTAGAGACGCATATGGACGAGTATGTGTACATACATGTCTCTAGGTTAGACGACACAACAACTATGGGGAAAATGGACAATCGTACAAGTACATGCCATCGTTAACTTCGCCGTTGGAAATTTGTATCATTGTAGTATTTGTTGATGACTGTCAGTCAGAAAGTGCTCTTCGCCCAATTGTTTCTTATCGCAGCTCAACCTGTCATAACTAGATGATTGCTAAAACCGGTGACGCTGATCCTGGTATACTGTTGTCGTTTTCGTAGTCCTCATGCCATAAGCCATGCTCCGTTTTGAATCCCATGGAGGTTTCGTACCTGCTTCACTCTGCTCAAGCACCGTGACGCCGATTGAGTAACTGGCTCCGATAATTTACCATTTCAACCTCATGCCATCCCATGTGGTTCATCACAAGATTTCGGGTCACAAAAAGGCAGCAAGACCCAACAAAGCAGCCCCGGCAATACCAAATCCAGTTGGCAAGAGAGCAGCGGCATTGTTGGTGGTGGTGGACGCGGTCGCAGTAGCAGAGGAAACGACTGAGTTGACGTGGGAAGATGCAGCTGCCGTGATAGAGCCGGCCTGACTAGTGACAGCACTCAATGCACTGGCCGCATCAGTGGTGATGCTACCGAGGATATCTGAAGCGGCAGAGGTGAGAGACATGAGTGTGGCGGCGGCGGCGGTGTTGCCAGTGGCAGCTTCAGAGCTTAGACTTGAAAGACTAGCTGAGAACGCAGACTTTGCCGAGCTGAAGCTCTCAGCAATGGAGCTCTGGGCATTTTCGGCTGATTTGGAGGCAGACTCGGCAACAGAGGCGGCAGACTTGGAGACGGAAGCGAGAGACCGGGACAATTCTGACGAAGCCGATGCCAACGAGCTGGAAGCTGCGGGAATCAAGGATGAGGAGTTGGCAGTGACCATGGAATTAGCATCGCTTTGCTGTGCCCACGCGGGAACCACAGTGACAAGGAAACAGGCAAGGAAAGTAGAGAGGTGCATGATGAGGAGGATGTCGCACGAAGGTGTAGTGCCGATGAAATGAAAGGAGGCGAGATGAACAGCAGGGTCGTCGAAGAAGATGAAAGGAAAAGAATTGTAAACTGAGATTGAGATTGAAAAGCATAAATACCTTGCGAGGCTGTTGTGGTTGTGGCTGGTCTGGGGTGTCTGTTAGTTGAAGGTTTGAATTTCAGCTGGTCTGGGGAGGTTGAAGTGCGTCATGGGAACTTGATAGAAAGTCAATTCGTACGAGGCACAAATGGTTGGTGCGGAACGAGAATGGAAGATGCCATCATTGACTGTGCCAAGTGCCAAGGCAAGCTAAGCCATATTTGAGGTAGACTCTGCCACGGACCAAGCCACTCCGGCCACTCCTTGTGGGTTCCTTGTTCCCCCTGTGGCTGAACACACAATCGGTATACTCGGTACATATGTCGGTAACGAGAATCTCTTACACACGCGTATATTCAGCTCACGAGGCTCGGTGGTTTCTGCAGGACAGGGGGATCATCTATTGCTCTAAGTGGTAATAATAATTTGACCATATCTCGATCAACCCAGGGGTTTTAAAGTAACCGAGGAATCGGAGGGTCAATAACGCTAGACCAAGTACTTGGACATGTACTTCCCATCCAGGCATCACAGTGTATTCCAGGGTTGCGTGCTGCGTGCTCGGCTACAGGATAGGTACGGACTACTCCGTACATGTTACCGAGTATCCAAGTCTCTGGCTTTGCGACGCCTTTCCAGTGTTATGTATGATACCATCACAGTACAGAGAACTAGCACGTGTGTTGGCAAGCCGAATAATTGGACAACGCCTGGGGTGCATCAGCATCCCAGTCATTAATTCTGATGGGCACGGTCATTTCTAAGAGGAGTCGGCGACAAGGTCTGCAAGGCTTGCCGTTGGATGCAACATCAATCAAGCTTCTTTCCGCCCCGAACCGGCCTTGTCCAACCACTTCCCATTGGCTCCATCGCCTGTAGCAACAGCTCTTTTCTATCGATGCTCAACTCTCCACCCCCGACGTGCTCATCGACCTCATCAATTCCGCCTTCCATATGGGTGCAAGCTGACAACATATAAGCGACGTCTTTCTCTTCGTGCTTAGCTCTTTGTTTTCTTCCCTTCAACCTTGACTCGTCTGATTTTTACATCCAACGCGTCCCCTTCCGTCGTTTTCCAGGATGAGCACTTCACTCTTTCTACTCGCCCTCGCGTTGGGCTCACAAGCGAATGGTGCAGCACTGCCTTCTTCGGCACAGGCGACGGGCCTCGACATCAGCAGCACCCTGCAAAACATTCTGGCCAACACCCAAAAGAGCGATGGCTACACCTACCCGACAGACCTGACCAGAGGGATTATGCCTGTACGTCCCACCTTTCTCACGTCTCCAATTCTAGAGCACCGGGAAAGTATTTTTGCTCTATGGCACTGTCTCTGCTTCACTCGAATCTGTCATCTCACGTCTATATCACCGTAGAAACCAATCCACTCGCACAACGACTACTGGCGCGACGTTCCCTTCTATTCCGCCCTCTCGGTAGGTTGTGCCTCGGTCGAGGCTGATGTCTGGCTCTACAACAACACCCTCTATGTCGGCCACGAGCAATCCGCCTTGACGCCCGCCCGCACCCTCGATTCGCTCTACATCCAGCCCATCCTGGACACGATCCAGCGGCAAAACCCGTCGTCTCCGTTCGTCACGTCGCCGACCAAAAACGGCGTCTTCGACACCTCGTCAGGTCAAACACTCCTGCTTTTTATCGACGTCAAGACCGACGGCCCGACCACGTGGCCTGCCGTCGTCAAGGCTCTGGAGCCGCTCCGCACGCCGGGCTACCTCACCACGTTCAACGGCACGGCCGTCACCACGGGCCCCGTCACCATCATCGGCACCGGCAACACGCCGCTGGACCAGGTCCAACCCGTCCAGAAGCGCGACTACTTCTACGACGCGCACCTGCACCTGCTCAACTCGACCGAGTCCAACATCACGGCCGCCGTGTCCCCCGTGGCCTCGACCGATTTTGCCGCCCAGTTCGGCACCATCAACGGCACGGCCTTCAACTCGACCCAGCTGGAGCTGCTGGTCAGCCAGATCGAGGTCGCCACCTCGAAGGGCATCCTCGCTCGGTACTGGGACACGCCGGGCTGGCCCATCAGCACGCGCAACGCCGTCTGGTCGACCCTGCTCGAGCACGGTGTCGGCCTGTTGAACGCCGATGACTTGCCCGCCGCGGCCGGGTTTGGGGCTTATTATGGCCTGTGGTGAGAAAAAATCTCGCTTTCTCGCTTGGGGAGTCTGTCTAGAGAAGGGAGTGCGAGGACTGTGTATATGGAGCGAATCTCGTCTCCGGGGGGGGAGGTAATAATGACTCAAATGCGAGACGTGGATCTTTTTCCTAGAGAATATAGAATTAAAAAGAAAATGAAAATGAAAAGATACTGCTGTACAGTTTCTGATATTCTGACCTTCAAAAAAATCGCGAAATATCCGTCCCAAAACCGCAGAATGTTCTACGGGGCGAGATAATTTATCTACAGCTTACTCTTTTCTCTCTTCTCAAAGCTGCCATTAGCCGACACGGTATAGTCCTTTCCGCTGCTCCAGCCCAGCCACTCGCTCAAGGCCTGTTCGCCACCTTCACCCGGCTTTAACGCCTTGCCGTACCATTGCATTTCGACTTTCCGTGCCGGCGACACAGTCAGCCCGACGATCGGCCGGTGCTCGTAGCCCGCGGCCTCCATTTCTGCGTGTTCGAGCACGGGCGCACAGCACGCGTCGGTTCCGTCAAAGATGGCCTCCCACTCCTTGCGGGTCTTCTCCTTGAACCGCTTCGTGAACAGCTCGCGCATATACGGCCAAGAACGCTTGTCTTCGCGAGCGAGCTTGCCTGGGACGACTTCTGCCTCGGTGAAACCCAACCCCTTGAGCAGCACCTGCCAGAACTGTGGCTCCAGCGCACCGACAGACATGTACTTGCCCGCATCCTTGCACTCGTAGCTCCCATAGTACGGGGCGCCTCCGTCTAGTTGGTTGGTGCCCCGCTCCCCGCTCCACATGGGCGTCTTCGTCAAGAGTCTCGGAAACGTGGCGAGGAAACTAGCACCATCCACCATGTTTGATTCGACGACTTGTCCCTTCCCACTTGTTGCGCGGTGGATCAGTGCCAGAAGGACACCCGTGAATGCGGCATGACCGCCACCAGCAAAGTCTGCAAGGATATTGGCGGGGTGTGCAGGCGGAGAACCCTTCGAACCAAGCATCGACAGCACACCAGACACGGCGAGGTAGTTGATATCGTGACCGGCCATGGCAGAGTATTTCCCATCGCGACGGAAACCCGTCAGTCGGACCACGATGAGGCGAGGATTTTTCTTGAGCAGCACAGTCTCGGGATCCAGACCAAGTTTCTCGAGCACACCTGGTCGGAAGGGGTCGATCAGAACGTCCACATTTGGAATGAGGGAGAGGAAGACGGCGACGGAAGCAGGGCTCTTCAGGTCCAATGCGATGGAACGCTTCCAGCTGGTCAGGAGATCACCACCGCTAGAGCTCGGTCGATCGACACGCAGGACACTGGCGCCCCAATTCGCGAGGAGCAGACCACAAAAGGGACCTATATCGATTAATGAGTGGTCTTGCCATATAAGATGCTTGAGAGAAGAGGGTTGCGGTACCTGGAGCCAATCCAGCGAGTTCGAGGACGCGGACGCCTGTTAGAGGTGGACTGGCAGTCATTGTGGCGGGTTAATTGAAGAACTCAGAGAAGCTGACGCCAGAACAGAAATATATATTTTTACCAGTGAACTTCAACTCATATTGTACTCGGCTCTACCTGTGGTGTACCTGCGCCAGTGAGCGCGGCCTTGGGAATTGGAGGTTCCCTTGCCGCCTCGCGAATGCCGAAGTGACCGAGGCTCATCGAAATCTGGGGAGCCGAGTAGGAAGACTTTTTATGGCAGGTTCGCCGGAAGTTCCTTTTCGGTCTAACCCTTTTTCGACGCCTTCATACTAAACACCAAGTATCGAGCACCGAGTATCCGACACACTGCCTTGTATCGATCACGTTTCTAATATGCCCTTTGGTTTCCTCTTCGAAAAACAGTCACTCAAAACTGTACAGTCATCCTCACTGCCATCCGGCATCATGCAAGAGCCCTTGATCTCTGATTTGAGAAAAATGGCCAGCCTACCCGTTGGTGCCGTCACCGAGTCCGCTCAGCGCGAGTGGCACGAGTACAACCTGGTCAGGCGTGCCATCCCGCTCTCTGCCTGCTCATCTATGAGCAGGGACCCGGGGTCAATTTCCCTGTTTACTGAATGCACTTAGTGTTCTTGAAGCTGGACGTGATTTTGGCTCCAAGACCTGTATGCCAGCCCTGGAAGCACAGGAATTTGTTGTTGGGATGAGCCATCCTGAAGTCAATAGCCCCTAGAGCGCTCATCAGGCCGAGATTGCTCAAATATATTGCCTCTCGTGTCCCCTGTCTGAAGACTGTCAAAGGTACAGAGCTGTCACCTTATTTTCCCGTCCCATTCAAGCCTTTTGTTGTTCAAGCACACTTTGAGTGCTCGAGCCGAAATTTCTCCTCTGAAAAGCATTGCCGGATCGGTATGCAATTCAAGAAGGTCTTCACCTCAGCCTGGTCTGCGCTTCGGAAAATACCCCATCACGTCGGTCATGTAGGGCGCCTTGCTTTGCGAAAAGCACAGCTCCAGATCCTACCTCAATTGACAAAATGGAAGGGACAAAAGGAAGAACCGAAGGTTGTCTTGTACAAACATCGCGGCATTGCCATACTGGGCATTCTAACTCAGGCTGCGCCTCTCGGCGGCGTCTTGACGCTATTGATCTTGAATGTCAAGACTTTGTTCATTGGGAGTCTTTCCACGTCGGCGGTGACTGCTTTTCAATTTGCAGCCAAACTGCTGGAGTTGCTGATGCAGGCTTCACTAGCTGTTGTCTTGCTCGATGCGATGCGCTGGCAAATCGTTCGGAATCAAGACCTTCCGCTCGGGGGGCTCGTGGCTCCCTTGCGCACTGCAGACGTGTCATATCTCTGGTCTCTGGAACTCTGGGGTTCTTTGACCTCGAAGACCTGGCGAGGCTACCGCAAAGCATACTTGAGCCTCTTGATATTCGGCACAGTCGTCCTCGCTGCCCTAGTTGGCCCCTCGGGGGCAGTCGCCCTTGTTCCTCGTCAAATCACGCATTCTACTGCTGAATACCTCAACATTTTGAATCCTCAAGATAACCTCTTCCCTCTCACTGCCAGCTTTCTGTAAGTGCCCTTTTTGTCCCATTCTCAGACGTTGCTTGTTGATGCTCTCGGCTCTCTTAGAGACACAGGCGCCGCTTTCGAGCAAGGCATCACGCAGCTTAGCCAGTTCTTCGGCCCTGAGCCATACCGGCTCCTTGACTCGGAAGGCATACGACTATTTGGAACACCCTCTGATCTAGGTTTGCCCTGGGCTGCAGCGACAGTCCCTTCCCGCCACATGTCGTATGTTTTGCGAACACAGAGTGCGAACCTGCAAAAAGACTCGGCTTCTCCGTTCAATGTCTTGACGATGAAGACTTCTCAAGCTCTCGTTCAGAGTGCCTGCAACGAGAACGACCTATACGACTTGAAGCACAACCAAACATACCTGTCTTTTCCGAGTTCGGAAGCACCACTGGATAAGCTCGTTACATGGGGTGAAACTCTTGGAAACGCTACGGTCAACGGCACTATTCTGTTCTTCACAAATCTGGCTCCTTCGTCTCCTTCACGGAGTTCCACTCTCATGGTCTATGGGACGACAGAACCCGTTGACCGAAGCTACGTGGCAACAGCGTATGCTTGCATGATCGATGCGACGTGGACCAGTGTGACGCTGAACATATCGGCCGCCGACAGCAGCTATAGTCAGATCAATTATGTGCTCCAGACGCACTACGATGGTGGCATTCCGCAGCATCAGAAGATCGACCTTCCACATGCTTGGACTGATCAGCTTCGATCCGCCATTTTTGCCTCTCATACCGCGCTCGACTTCCTCAAAAGTCATCTTTACCCAGCACAAATGATCGCCTTGGCGCTTGCAAACGGCGACACCGACTATCTCCAGTACAACGGTCTCGTTCTCAAGCGTGACGATGGTAGGGATCCTGATACACAGGCCCTGTATACATATCTGGACAAAAGACATGCTTGGAGTCAGTACGCAGGTGTCTCGATTGACATTGACCAGAATGCTGCATTGTCCAACCCCCCTTCTCTCACGTACCAAGTGGTTTATCAGTCGCAACACGGCTTCGGTTACAATGCCGAGGCGATTACTGTGCAGCTATCGCTCGCAGTGCTCGGTCTATTCTGTGTCTTCGTGGCGACGCACATGTTTCTACTGCTTCTCACCGGCTACACGGGGACCAGCTGGGATAGTATCAGTGAACTGCTGATGCTAGGTTTGATGAGTCGAAAGCCGCAATACCTAGGCTCTCATACTAGCGCGGGTTTGGATACCCTCAACATATTCCGTGAGCCGGTCAGCGTCAAGGTGAATGACGAGGGATATGTGGAACTGGTGTTCGAAAACGACACAGCTGGCAAGTTGGGGAGGAATGCGCCTGTAGTGGTCAACAAAGCTTATTGATTCTGAGGTGCCTCAGTCGCAGATCTTGTAGCGATGATGCTATGCTACACCAGAAGCTGAAGGGAGGTAAGGAGGAGTCCCCAATACCAGTTGAGGTGAATTGTTACCTCTTCATAAGAAGGCTTCCTTTAATGCCTCTCTACCTTTGTCGGCCATGTCCCACTGTGTTCTCCAACATTCCACAACCAGCACCACAAACGATCGCTGCCGACGGAAAGGCCCAGCATAACGGACAACTTGAGAAACGATGCCAAAGGGTTCGGAGGGAGGTGCTCGTTTGCTTGATGGTTTCGTCCAGAAGGAAGTCACTCTTGCCTATTCAGACTCACCGTACAAGAAGGGAGCCGCCAGCATATCGTTCCTATGGACCTTCCTTCCGACCCTCGCGGGCAGGCGCAGTGGCAGGCAACTTATATCACCTCATTCTGCCAGTATTCGTACTTCGACGTCCATTCCTCCACCAACACATCTCAGTATACATCTTTTTATTCTTATTCAACATGCGTGCTCCAGAGATTGCAGGGTTTTACGTGGAGTGGTCCGACGAATTCTACGGCACAGCTGGCACTCCTCCCAGCTCACAATACTGGAGCCTACAAACTCCCTCGATCAACTACAACAACGAGTTGCAGAGCTACACCAATTCGACAAACAATGCCTACCTCGACGGAAATGGGCAACTCTGTATTGTTCCTCAAAAGGTGAACGGACAATGGACCTCTGCTCGTCTATATGGCAACCCCAGCTTTCAATGTGACAATAACCGCAAGATGATCTTCGCCGCCCATATCAAGCTTGGCCAGAACCCGCCGTGGCAGCAGCAAGGGATTTGGCCTGCTTGGTGGGCACTGGGCCAGTCGATACGTGAGGATGGAGAATGGTGAGCTCCAAATTCGCCTTATCCTGCTGTGCTATTACAGAAGTCTCTTACACTGCATACTGCTTCAGGCCGAAATGTGGTGAGTGGGATATCTTGGAGCTCTGCAACGGCAGCTATACGAACCAATGTGAGCCGTGATGGATTCTGTCCAAGCCAGGTGTTTTGGGCCTGCTAGAAGACTCTCTGACTGTTGGGAAACATCAGCTTCAATCCACCAACTTGACGAAGCGGGAAATCACACCGTAAGCCATGGAACTATCAACTTCGATCGCCGAGATTATCACACCTTTGCCGTCCTCATCGATCTCAGCTCGGATGACTATAGCCAACAGTGCATCAAGTTTCAGCTTGATGGCCAGACCTACTTTACTGTTCAGGGGGATGCGTCGAGTGAGGCAGCCAGCCAATGTTGGGATAGATGCGCGCGAAGCGCGTTCTTCCCCATCCTCAACATAGCTGTGGGGGGGGATCTTTCAGGAAATCCCAACGATGATACGCTTCCTGGTGTGGGTAGCGGCATGACGATTCAGTGGTTGGCTGTGTACAAATCATGGTATTGAACTACGAAGCTGGCTCGTACCTTGTCCGATGGAGTAGATTTTCCAACCAAAGCATCAAGGGTCACCAGGAGCATTAGGCAAGGCTACGTCTGGTCGTGTTGGTAGAGTTCCTGTAGTCAGAGGTCCTTGTGAGGTAGAGCTTGACACGTCAGAATTTCAGATGTCAACCTCTGCAGAGATTGTGATCTGCTTCGTCGTATGTCAAGTGCACATCAACCTAACCATGAACCCTTTGCCATCCACTGGGCAGTTACTTTACAAAGTGAGGATACAAGAATGGATAGGTGAGAGGTAGATAGGTCCGTGGTCCACGGGACATGATACATGGTAGATCTCGGCCATATCCACCAACCTAGATACCTGTGAGTACTGGGTAGGTATCTCAACATCTCAGGAGGGTGGAGGCGTCGGGGTAGGTTAGCCCATGTCAAAGCAAGGCCAAAGGGAGATCAAGGTCAAGGTCACGGTCAGCGTAGATCAAGTCGGAGGCACTCGAACAATGAACAATGGTATGGTAAACCCCGTTACTTGGTCCTTGGTCCTTGGTACCCGGACTCATACTCGTATGTAGATGGATGTATTACGGGTCCGGCATGGAGTGGCTGGCTGCTCGGTATCTACATACTCAGGGTGTACGCACTGTAGGTTAGGGTGAGATATACCTCGTCCGTACCTACCTACACCAAGGTACATGGTTGGTATTATCATTACATACAAATGATACATTGTGAGACAATCTCGGGATGAGAGGGACGAATTACAACGAGTTTCTCAGGCACTCATGTCCCTGTCCATGAATTGACAAAGCACCAAGCCAGACAAGGTTCTTCTTCACATCTTCCTACTTACTCTGAAGAAACCTTTCCCGTGCCATGGCTGTCGCAGAGAAGACCGTGCGTTGTCCGCCGGAAGAGCTCGAGCTATTCTTTCTCTCTCGCTCAAATCCAATCCAAGGCGAAATATATTATTAGTGGTTCTTGTAAAAAGCAAAAAGTCATAAGAACTGCGTAACTGGCGTGACAGGACCAGAAATCTACTGGTCCTTGTGGTGCCAACTGGCTCAAAAGTCGCCTGCCGCCCACCACTATCTGCAACAAAACATTTCCCTGCAAGAACTTTGCATGCCAACGACGATCATGAGTGGATGAGGACGGCATTATTTTTCCGGTCCTCTTTTTTTTGGTCTCCATCAGGCTAAGAAGAACCTGGTAGTGCTAACCCAATATACAGCGTTTAGTCCAAGACGGCGGCGCCGCAGTACTTCTCGATAGTGGCTTTTTGGCTGCTAGGGTCACCCTTGATTGAAAGGTTAGGTAGGTCTTGTACTGTAACTTTCCTGTGGTTTGTACTTTATCATGTCCGGGCGGGCGGGCAGTGAAGTTGGACGTGCAGAAAAAGCACCTAGTTGTTTTAGAGGGAGGTGATCAGAATAATATACCTCGCATCGCATCGCATGACCGCGCATTGCATGGTGCATTATTCCCTCGAGGCTCTTCCTTTCAATACACTGGGTCATTGGATAGAGAAAAGGCGGTCAAGGGCAGGGCAAGGCAAGAATCCAGCTCGAGCTCCAGTTTCAGCTTCCTCCTGACGCTCGAGTGAGGCAGGGATCAGTTCGCTTGCAAATCAGTATTGGAGGGGTGAAAGTTGCTCGCTTGCATGTGAGAAAGAAGAGGGGAGCTGAGCGGGCCTGGCACGCGCAGGAGAAGAGTCAGAGGATCGACCTAGGTAGGAGTGCTTGGAGGAGACAACGAGTTAGTTCCATCTGAGGGTCAAGTGAAGGTGTCGGAGCCTTTCCTCGTACCTAAGGATTATTGAACCACGGTGCAATTGCTCCGTTCCCACAGCGGCTGGAAGTGGTCGGTAGGTACGAGGTACTTGGGCAAGGTCTGTGGGTAGGTGGGCAGGTGGGAAGGCGGGTAGGTAGGTGTGGGTGCGGTGCCATGGTGCAGTTGGGTTCATGAACAAACATTTGACGCATGCATGCATGCACCCCACGTCTACGTCTTGCCCACCACTCACCACCCACCCACGTGCGTCACTCTTTTTTAAGCATTGGAATATCGTTCGATGAGCTTGATACGAGTAGGTACATGTGAGCTGAAGCTTGGAGTCGGACATTTTTCGTTTCCACATTGTATGCTGAGCACGGAGAATTATACGCGAGAAAGCATTTAATGGAGAAAGCGGAGTGAATGAAAAGACGATCGATTGACCAAGCAAGCTGAAAGGCAGATGGGACGATCGTACAGAGAATACGAGTAGGCATCTCGTCATCTCATCTCCCTGTGGTGCGTGCTCGGTACGAAATAACCTTGTACTCAGAACCAGTCTCTACTCAGAACAGAGCACGCGGAGAGAGAAGCGGAGATGAGCTGCTATCATATCCGGGCCTACCACTACTTACGAGTAGGTACAGATGTAGCACGCCAGAAGTAGTTTGGGCAGGGGAGCAACGAAGAACCAGGCCTTTGCCTTGATCTGTTCCCTGTGAGCTTCTGCTAGGCTAGCCCTGGAAGCCCTGGCAAACAAACCTGGCTCTTCACTCGTAGGTGCCCCTAACCCTGGGTGCCTGGGCGCCTGGGTACCAGGGCAATTGAGCAACAGAGCAACCCGACGGGGATCTGGACTCTGCACTCTGAAGATGCTTGAAGTGCCCATGTATGCCTAGCGATGCCTAGCGGTGCCTAACGTTAGCGGTGCAAAGATGCTAGCGGGGCGTAGCTAGTGGATGTTGCGTGTTTGCGGGTGTTGTCGTCATCCCTTCCAAGCACACCCACCTCCAGGCACCAAGGGTGAGACAGCTTGACAGGTTCGCTTATTAGTGCGCGGCAACAGCTGCATTGCATTGCTTAGCAACTTAGCCCTCACCACCTGCAGAAGTCCATCTTCACAAACCTGTTCTTGTGCCTCCAACATGGCCATCGAGGAAGCATTTCACGGCCCTAGCTTCGTGATCCTGGCTTCGGCAAAACCGCAACAAGAACAATAAGATATGAATTTCAACTGATACAACCACTCGTTTATTGGTACATTCTCACCCTTCCTTACTGGTGTGATTTGTTCTCATTGTAGGGGAATGGCTCAAGCAGAGCCGCCTCAATCACCCAGTACATCTTGTTCCCCGCATCGTGCTGCTCTCATTGACTCGCGGCAGACCGCCATTAGCTAGTCCAAGCTCTCTCATTATCGTTAAAGCCATAGTACGGCCTCACGGCCGTGGCTCTCTCCATATCCTCGTCGTAACTGGCATGCTTCATCGTCACCAACTGCCAATCTGGTCCCCTTCGCATGTGTGCGCCCAAAAGTGAACTCCCAGGAATGCTTGCCCCAGCTAGAAAGTAAAATGAGGCCGGCCCAAGTAGAAGATGCGTGCTAAAAATAACAAGACCACCGTACATCAGTCGTCGATATCTGGATTCGCCACAAAAAGCCTTACTCCAGGCTGACCCATGCTCATCGTCCGCTCGTCCACGCTCCCTCTTCTGCGCAGATCCTCGGCTTTCTTCGCTTGCTCCAGTGCCCGTTGTACAGCGCTGGGACCAGAAATCTCCTTCAGCTCGCCGAATGAGTCCTCACTCTCCCTACCAGGGGTAGACTTGTCGCTGTGGATGAAATACTCGTGCTTCGCATCTTCGGCGTTTTCCGCGTCTTCTGGGATACCTCGTCCTGGTGACCCTTCGCTAGGTGGTGTGCTTGTACTGCTAAATCGTCCTTGATCTGGACGCGGATACCCGCTCCGGTATTTGGCGCTGTTGGTGCTGCTTCTCCCACTGCCAGTCCGGGCATGTACCATACTATTGTCGCCAGTCAAGCTTCGTCCTTCCTCTTCTTCATCGCCCAGTGCTTCGTTGGCACTTAATCGTACAGGCACAGACGCGCCGGTTAGGTTCGCCGGGACATACCCGGGTGCTTTCGGGACACCGCCGTGTCTGATCTTGCCAACCACGCCACCTGACGAGATGGTGCTTGTCCGTCCGCCATGACCAACACTCTGAACCTCAAGGGCCGCGCGGTGTTTGGCTGCTTTCTGGGCAGCGGCAATCCGGGGGTCGATGTTTTGAGCTCGATCGCACCAGACGGTTGCCTTTTGTTTTCGCATCAGTGCTACGTACGATGTAGGGCTATTCGTGGCTGTCGAGCGGCCAGACGTAGAACGACGTGGGATGCTGGCGGCCGAAGAGGTTGTGCCCTGTCTGTGCATGCTCATCGTGGCATTCGAAGTGGAGGAATGACGTGAATGTGAGGAGGTGGAGGGAATGCGAGAATGACCTGTGCCAGACGGCACAGTGACAATGGTCACAAAAGAGTTGGAGGGAGGCAGGGTGTTTGAAGAAACAGTCCGTGCGTGATGGTGGTTGCTGATCGTTCGCGCCGGCGCTATGGGAGTGGTGGTGGTCGCAATGTAGGATTTTCGCTCAGGGCGAGTAAAGGCGCCGTCAGCCACCGAGGGCGCAGGATGAGGCGGCAAAGAGGAAATAGGGGCGGGAGAATGTGAGTAAGGGTAGGAGAGTGTGGGATCTGGGATATTTGTCCCAGCTACTGTCAAGACGCTCATCGGTCTTCTCAGATACTGACAAGGCTCAGAGAGCAGAAGGTAGGATGGAGAATTGCGGACTGAGGTCGAAGGTTTCTAGGTCGGGGCCCTTGGTGCAGTCCAAGCACTGGTTTAGTGGTGGAGACTTCGGCTGGCCCAAGTTTGGATTTTTTGGGTAGGAAGGAATTTCTGCAGCTCTGGTTATTGGCCGGCACAACCAGATCCGACGACACAGTGAGCTGGTAAAGGAGTGGATTTGTAACCGCTTCAGCCCCAAACCGACGGGAGCAAAGCAGCGGTAGCGGCAGTGGTAGTGATGGCAGTTCGTTCGGTGAGAGGCCGAAGTGAGGTGTGAAGGCAAAGCTACGGGTTCGAGGATGTGATGAGGGAGGGAAAAAGGGAGCACAGGAGGGCAACGTGGAAATTTGAATCAAAATGGTCTGAGTAGCCGATGCCTTTTGTAAAACGTGTCGCGCGCCCTTGCCTCGTATCGCTAAACCCCCTCTCGTCGTCTCTAGGCGGAGAAGAACTAGACAGTGAATGCTATAATTGAGTCCTGAGGATTGTGCAGTCGCAGCTGCGGACCAATGAAGCCAGTGGACAGGAACGTCGACGGAGGCGGGCGTGAGAGAGTTCGTAGGGCAACAAGTCCGCGCGCGAATCAAGTCGATGTTTGTTGACGGAGTTTATACTGATGGAGGGCAGCAGCCTTGCAGCGAGACACGATTGATTCGAAGGACTCTTGCAGATGGTGGGTGAGGGTGTGTACAAGTATGTGTGTAGGGAGAAGGCCCAGGGTTGGCAAACGGACAACTTTATTTTGCATCAATCGAATGATGAATGATGTTGACGACGACCATGATGCTTTGGGATGTATCCAGGATTTGCATGCCCGTCACTAGCTGGGAACTGGCACCACTGGTACAAGTAGTCGCTGTGCCTAGTTTATCTATACCAGGATACCAGGGGGGACACATGGACGGGATCCCAGGAAACCAGCCATAACTACCACCTACCAAATGAGACCAAGGACCTCAATTGAGCGAAACCTCGTCGGAATGCCGCTGTTCATTTGTCCCGATCCGCGATGATGCCGTAGCCTGTGGGAAGAAGGAGGGGGAGAGAGGAGGGGGCCAAAGGGGCGAGGGGCACCCCTGGAAAGGCTGCAAGAGGGCACCCAAGCCTTGAAGCAGGCCCACGTCCTGGACCTGTACGCGCCCAGAAACAGCCCATGACCCGTAAATTATTCGCTTGATGATTACATGCCTACCTAGCTAGGTAATCTTGGGGCCTGTCCGGGATCTGTGATTAGGTGGGGTTCCAACTAAGACCAACATTTAACCCCCCAAGACTCACCTAAAACTCAGCTGAAGGCTTTCCGCCCGCCGCCCGAGCCACTCGGTGTCACCTCTGTAACCTCGCTCGCCGTGCCTTTGCACCCCGAAACTTGCCTACTTGGGGGATCCATTGGGCTGACCTTAGGATGGTGAGGCCCAGACGTCATGGCCACTCACGCCACTTTCAACTGAAACTTAGGCTCGCATTACTTGATCCGGATGGCCGGTTACTATTTCTTCAAACAATCAAGCTCACCAAGTGTCAAACTGCAATACCACCAGACGTTGTTTCTTTCTTTTCCTTTGTCATGGGAATTGCCATAGTTGTACACTTGTACTCTGGCCAACGGGAAAATATTTTCACTCGCCCTCATCTATCCGTCGCTCCTATCGCATGGCACGCCGCATCTCGATCATGGCTGGGATCTTGCTCCGGAATAAAGTGAGACGGATGGATCAGTGACTCCATTGAGTTGCGATGCGATGACAAACCCACCCTTGACCTGCCAAGTTCCATATCATTCTTCTCTTCCCGCCGGAGAAAAAAAGGACAAGTCGGTTGCATGATCCACGTTGCGATCTACTAGTATCAGGAAAAGAGCAAGCTACGAGGACAAGGATCGAGATCACCTTGGAGCAAAATCTGGCGTCAAAATGGCTGTTGGCAGTCTCCCTGTGGCATCTTGGTCCTTCTGTTGGACTTTGCCGAAGCCTTACCTAGTCCTACCCGTACGTCAGGGCTGTTTCAAGTTTGGTTGTACTGATGCATCCAACAAAGTATTCTTGCAAACGCCCCTTTCTGTCCACAATAATTCCACAGTCGATTCCACTGATGGATGCAACCTACTCGGTACAAAGCTACCCCGTGTTGCCCTAGGAGAAAATGTCATGCCACCTGCGACTCGGAAGATTCTCGCTTGAGTACAGACAAAATTTCCCTGCGCTTTGATAAGCGCTACTTGTCCTTGTTCCTTGTTCCTGATCGACCGGATCAGCGTCGTGTTACGTCTTCAATGGACCTCAATGACTGACCTGGCTATAAGATCAAGGTTCACCTTTACAAGGCAGAGGGTTCGGATTAAAAGGAAACGGCAGATCAGGAAATATTGTCCTGATCGACGAAAGAATTCCCTTGGGACCATTGGCGTTCAGTCTTTGTCTTTGATTGATATCACTCACGGAAATAAATCTCGTCGTTGATTGACTCCAACTGATCCTCACTCCGGGCTCCTTTGAGACCTGAAATATGTCCTGTGACATCTACACAAAATACAGTCTCATGAAATTGCCGATTCCCAGCCTTGCTCAGAAACAAAATGTTGTAATGGGACAGTGAAGCCCTGGCTGGTTTGTCTTTCTTTCTTTCTCGCGATTATCAAGGAACGGAACAATCCATGCCGTGTCTACTACCCAGTATTTCTCCTGGTTAAGGAGAAGCGAACAGGTAAGGTCTCCTTCGCCAATTATTCCCGAGCAAGTTGGGTTTTGGTACAATTGGCTATCATCCCCCTTCTTCTTGCTTGAGCATACATAGCAGAAAACATCAAAGCATATCAACCACGCACAGTTGGAGAATCTCCAAATTGGTCAAACTGCAGATATCGCCCTCTGGCGAGTCACTGGGAGTCAATTTGCGTGTCTGAGACAAGGTGTCAGCAGAGTCTCTGGCGGACACCCCTTTTTCCGATCACCCATTCTTTCCACTACCGCAGCGTTGAGTCCAGAAGCAAAATTGCATTGCCTCTCAAAAAAATGTTGTTCAGTATAATACTACTTTGCCCTCGCAAAGGGGTGGTTTCAAATGGTACGCAGAATGTATCAGTCCAGCTGAGTCGAGAGCCATGTATCTGAAACCAGCACTGGTCGAAACGAGCCCAAGCAGCCCAAACTTTGGTTCTTTCACCCAGCTGAACCGCCAATACCATCCCACAGTGGCGAGTAACTCGGGGTCGGAGATCGGTACCTGGAACAGACGCACCCGTGTTTCTAGAGCGAAAGTTCGAAAGGTGAGTGGGTAGAACGAGACAGGATTCAGAGGCAGCATGCAATGCCAGCGCATCATCCGTGGGCCGTGGGGCATTGCAGGGGGGCTGCGTCCAAGTGGCTCGGTCGGTGAGCCTGCAAAGCGACACATGGCGGAAGGATCTTCGGGTTCAAAGATCGTTTAGACCCTTAGCAGCTCGTTTGCGGTCCAGTCATCGTTATCCCAAGGTTTGACGTGGCCGTTTCTGCGAGGCCGGTGGAAGGACAAACGAAAAACGGCCATGTTCTGCAGCATGTTTGCAGTACCACTGAGAGTGCGTCGAAAAGTACCCATCGAGTAGTGATGGACCGCCGGACCTCAATTTCTGATGGGAAAAATTGCCAGGGTCCTTTGATCTTTCAGGTGGCCAACACCGTACAAATATCGGTGTACTACTGTCGCGTCGTCCATGCGCGTCTATTAACTGGGGGCACATTGGCCGCCTTTTCAGCCACTTCATTAGGTACCGCGCAGAGGCTGAGGCGGTGGATCACAGGATAATGTAGTCAATAGTCGTATCGCCTCCCATCTCTTGTTCTCGCCACACCCCTCGCTCATGGCTGTTGCGCGTTTTGCCACATCGTTGGCGAACCGGGGGAGATCCGCGGTTCAGAAAGTCTCCTTTGCGCGACCGCCGGTTTGTCGAGGTGGTCTTTAGTACTATCGGCCCGGAGCGCATCTCTGAGCTTTAGAAGAAGCATATTGAGGAGCGACGAGTGGTTCGAGAGGACACTGAGCTTATGTCAAGCAGCCTGGTTAGTTTGGGCTAATGCAGCTGGATATGCATTCGTTGGCAACGTCGTCAGGGCCTGCAAGTCATCCCTCATGTTGCAGTGTTGCGCTGTACTCTGAGAAATTGTGTGCGTTGTTCTCCTGGTCCCCTCTAGTTGTAGTCGTTGGTTGCCGATCAAAAAGACCCCCAAAAGTCTTTCCTGATGGATTGATGCGCCATAATGAAAAAAATGTCCTGTGGCTTTCACGGCCTTTTTCGTGGATCTCTGCGTCCAGACCTCGTGTTGCAGGTGATTTGAAACCGCTGGGAATCCCAAAGGTGCCCGTATTGGCGAAGTTGGGTACTGTACTTGCAAGCGAGCGACCGAAAAACCTCCCCCGCATTATTGCCCTGCAGTGACTATTGAACTTGGGAACCTTGGTCACTCTACGGTACGTTGTACTTTGCACCCTTGCATTGGGTTATCGAACCGCGCCTCTCCGCCATTCAAGCCACGAACAAGCACCACAAGAGAACCAAACTGAGACGAGGTGGAGGAGGAACAAGCAAAAGAGGAGGAGATACGTCTCCCCGTAGTTCGGACAATCAATCCTCTGTGCGGCGACGCCTGACCGCTGAATCAAATCACATCACATCACACGCTGCGATTGCGAGTCACAAGTCGATCCTCGACTCAACACTCTGACCAAAGACGGAATCCCGCTTGCACTCACTCCCACGCCTCACCTCGCCCTGTTTCGCGAACATCCCTCATTTTGCCCTCTACGCCGCCTTTCGCCGTAGCCCCAGCATTCGCTGTTCCTGCTGCCGTCGGCCTGCGCCCTCCGCTGTAATGGAATTGGCCAGCGTATGACAGAACTACCTGGGGTCTCTGGTGTCGTGGAAGGTCAAGCCCAAGCCCAGGGTAAGGGCTGGGGCCAGCACGCTCAAGGTCGGTTTCCAAGCTCCTCTTCCCAAACTCCGGCCGCATTCCAACCTGCTCACCCTGTGCGGCGACAGCTGTTCCTTCTCGTTTGCCATCCCAAGCGCCCGATAACAATGCTCAAGACGATGCCGAACCTATGTCTAGACCCGAACCTTCAGAACCTACCTCGACGGGTTCTCCGCGCTTCGGCAGCTCTTCCTCGAAGGGAGCTACCTTTAACCATGTTTCTCCGTCTGGACGCCCCCGGGAGCAGGACACAGCCACATCAATGTTGAGGACTACTTCAAAGGCGCTCAGTGTTGCAAGAGACGGTGAAGATGGTGGAAGCCCATCATTCGGCTTACCAAGTCGTGAGATCCCTTTTGCCCACATGCGTGTGCATTTCGACGACTTTGCAAAACAACTTCGTCTACATCGACACCATGAGTACCGGAAGCGAATGCTCTACCATCAACGGGACCGCTTACGAAACGCTATAGCCCTCTCTGGCCGTTTACAGCGCGTAGGCTCATGGGTGCATGATGGCTTGGTCCAGATCTCTCAACAGTCGGATCCGAGCGGTTTCACCAGGGTATATCAACACATGCAGGATCTGGTCAACCTCTGCCATTCACAGTGGTATTATGAGATTCATGCCTCTGATTCCACCTCTACCGTGACCTTCAAAACGCCCATCAAGGATTCCTTTTTTGCGAGGCTATCACCTGCTATCCAGGAGGATTGTCTGGAACTCGTACAAACCTTGAGAAGTAATCCTCGTTTTCTTATCGAGAGATTCAAGGCAATGAACTCCGAACAGGTCAAGGGTCTCTCGACATCGCCAAAATTCAAAAAGCTCCCTGAGTCGGTCCTCGCATCACTGTCACAAAACCGTGGTCGCGAATCGCAGCGCAGACGTCCTAGATCCAGTTATAAGGACTTTGAGGATGAAACACAATTGATTCGGAGCAAGGCATATTCCAAAGAGCTTGAAGATTACGCAACATCTTTTGAGCGGTCGAATCCCTTAGCTTTTCTCATTCACAATGTGTATGGCTCCACCCAGGACGTTTTGAATAAAGAAAGCCAACTACGCTTTTCCACATGGTCAACAATTTGCGCGACTTTGCTGCTAGAGTCGGGGCCGACATTCGATGCGATCATTGGCGAGGTTCTGTCTGCATTTGCACACTTGTACGAATGGCAGATCAAAGACCGCCTGGAAATCTTCTTGATGGGCAGTCTACAGCGAGGTGCCTTCCTATATAACTCTCTGGAGAGCGCTGCTACGGGTTCTCGGATGGACATCGGGTCCTTCGATCCGTCTAACACTCCTCAAGCACAGGACTTCTTTGATGCAGAAGTCAAAGAGCTTTTCCAAATCTTGTGTTGTGATGGAGGCATACCCACAGGCGCACTATGCTTGGGTCGAGCGATCATCGGGAGACTTCCCACAGTGGAGAGCCAGAGTGCTTTTCGCGGTCAATTCTTCTTTAGGTGGTTCTTACAGGATTTCCTGCGCGTCGCCATCTCTTTTCCAGAGGTACTGTGATTGTGAGGTTTCTGTTTTCTCAGCTGACAGCAAGGCAGGATGAAAAAATGCTCCTTCAATTCCACATCAACGGCCGGGCTAGGTTTCATTTACTTCATAGGCTTTGGGATCGAGCAGTTGCCCGTGCCACCGAGACCTTCAACCCAATGTAAAATTTCACTTTCTGTTGCAAATGGGAAGCACACTAATATCTCACTCAGGGCTGCACAACAGGTCGATCAAGATATTCAAAACTGTGTAAACGGAATTATCGGCCGAATCTCTGCAGATACCCAGTGTTCCAATCCGTATCGGTCTGAAACGCTTTCCAACACCATTGCCGAGCCCAGTGGCTCGTCCTACATCTCAATCTGCGCAGCAGATATTGCTCACCTTCTGGAGAAGCTGAGACCGCAGGTTCTCCATACCTCGAGTCCGTTTGGGCCGTTCTTGAGCTCCTCACAGACGACCTTCAACATGCAATATTCCCGAGCCAGTTCCAAATTTGAACGTCTGTGCAGACGTATACTAGATGTTATCGAGCCTGGCCACTCGTCGAAGAACGTGCACCCACGGCAAGAAAATTGGGCATTGTTACTAGTTTCGGAGACAGGGAAGATATTGGCATCAACAGGATTGTTGACCAACGGGTCAACGAGGATAGAAGGTCTAGGCGAACTTGATCCAGCAGAGGACGCTGCCCTTCGCCTGGCAGACCAACCGACCGTCCTACGTAATCGTCAAATCGCCGACCAGATACCGACCAAAGGGATCGGCAACCTCAGCCTCACCGAAATGTTTGCCGCCCAAGCGAATACGTCTCATATAAAGACTGACAGCATTACTTCAATGTACTGGCACGATGCACTCAAATACTTGCGGATCTGTTATCCACTCACAGTCCTAACGGGTGACGATACGAAGGTGCTTGGACCATTAACTCAGAAATTGAAGAGATGTCGACAGGAGCTTGAGGATGAATGTCTGCAGATGGAACAGGAAGTGGCGGCGCTCGCAGCTTCTTACACTCTCGCAAGAGAAGATCTATCCAAGGCCTCCGGATGGCTTGATAAACTTCGGATGAAGCTGTGGTATGAAAGTAACGTACTGACCTCCAATGTTTACGACAATGCAAGAAATATCACGGTTGCGCTGAACAACATGGCACTGCCACCTCTTCAGAGGTTTGCTTCTGCTCAGCAACCAAACGTCTCACTGGCGCCGAGCCGGCCGGGCACTTCTGCGACATCAGCCTCATCCATCTTTGATCAACCTAGACTTGATACCATGACGATCCTAAAAGCACCAGTGGAACATGGTGGACCTCGAAAACTGTCCGATCCACAGATTGAGAAAACGAGAAAGTGGCTCGAGCGCAACCACGTGGAAAACTTCTGTCGAGGCGAAGAGAGAATTCACCGATTCTGCATGGAGGTTAAGCTGGTCACCCGAAAACTGGTCGGGGAGACCTTGGCTGATAGTCCTGTTCTCTGGGCCAGCGAACTGTTCGCAAGGGAGAAATCTCTGTACGACATTCATGCAGTCTTCGGAGGCTATCCGAGCACTAGGCCCCCAAGTGTGATGAGTGAGCCGCTTTCATCCACTTCTTTTCCAATACGCACAGCATTCTTGGGCTCAAGAACATCGATCTATGGTGGCTCGAGCAGACTTGGAAAGGACGGTTTAGGTAGTGACATGGCGTCGTTCATCAGCTCACCAGGGCGAGCGACCACGTCCACGACTCTGGAGAGCAGCATCTGGTCACCGGCCCAATCAAACTCGAGGTCAGTCACCTCGGCCTCTGTACAGTCCAGGCCAGCTTCGACATTCGAGGATGTCACCCTAAGCCGACCCATCGATCGTGGCCAAGAAAAGGCGAGCTTTTTGGAGAGCCTGCGACAAGACCTAACCTCACTGTTGCTCTCGGATCTCGGATGCCCTGTGTGGAGCTGTGGAAGTGAAAGCGACACATGGATGAACGCAGCATGGCAGACCCCGGGCATTCTTGAACGGCTACTGCAGCGTACTGTGCTGGCTCAGCTGCTCCCTGCTCAATCAGGGACTGGAGGCCCGATGAACACCTCCCATCCAGGAAGCCCAAGAAAACAAAAAACACGATCTCAGAGTGCAGCACCGCTGCCGTACTCGCCGGCCAGGAATCATTCGATCACTACCACAGGGTCACTGGAAAAACTGCTTATCAGTAGCAATGGTGAGCTGACCGCAGGAAGCTTCCCATATCTGACAGCATTTGACGACGTCCTCGGCCGAGTGAGGGATCACACGGATCCCATTCTGAAACTCCGGGCCATTCGCGATTTTCGATTATTGTCACAAGCTTTTCAGCAGAACCACCAAGAAGCCATTCAGAAAGCTAACTCGGCGGCGCAAGATGTCGACTCCCAGGACCCGACACGGCGACGCAGCCTCGACCCAAACGTGCTATCACAAAATCTAAAACGCCAACATCGTCAGGGCAAACCCCAAACCCGAGGCGTGGCTCAGAACTCTGCAGGCGAGAGCGCCACTGTCCAGTTTCTGAAGGACCTTCTCTTTGTTCTTCGGCCAAAGACAATCTTTCGGGATCTGCAGTACATTGCCGCATTTGTATCTTCGGAAACACTAGACGATATGGAGCTGGGCCCTGCATTCCTCCACGTAGGATTGGCAGCCTTGGCCTGGAAAGACGAGGTGTGTCGCGGCATGGTCGATGTGGCAGACCGAATTGTTGCCAAGGACGCGATCAAAAGAAACGTATCAAGTGGTTCTCGCCGGGAGCTGTCGATCCTCAAGGCGATGGAGTACTGGATCATCGGCGCGCAAGAAGGCAACCCCATTGCACAACGAGAGCTGGCAAGTCTATATCTCACCCATCCGGATGTGCCTCCAATCGTCAGTCTCCCACTTGCCTTGTCCTCGGAAATTTTCAAGCGTGAAATGAGGTGGAAAGAAGAGGAGGAGGAAGAAGGATGGCGCCGGAACAGTCAGGCGCTGTGCCTTGCCCTGCACTGGATGCAGGAGGCTGCCAAAAATGGGGATTCTGTCGCGCAGACCAAACTGGAGGAGCGCGAGGCCGGCCGTTCAATTCGATGAGGTGACACTGTTTTAATTATCACGACTTATTTGGCCCGCACCAAGCAGAAGGCTTAACGGGCTTGTTTTTATTGGGGTGGCTTGGATGTCTTTTGCTGCTGACATGGGGCTCTCTGGCGACATGCGAAGTGGTTTTATTGGAGTTTTTTTGGGGCTGTCCGGGCATTTCATTTTTTGGTTCGTGCATGGCCTTGTTTCTGTGAGTGTAGCAACTCAAGCGATACACGTGTACTTGTGCTACGGGTGGCAGACTGCTATTTGGCGAGTTTTAAATTCTGTTGGAGGATATGAACCGGTCGACATCAGCGCCCGGCAGGACCAGATCAACACTCTTAGGCGGTAAGGGAGGAGGTCTTTGAAGCTTTACATCTCGCTCTTGCGTTGAATGGATGGACAGACGATGGGCAATGCGGTTGCCATGTGTGAGCTAGTTACTGGTGAAATTGCACGAACAGAACTGTGCAGTTGGGTAGAAATTTTTTCGGTCCGTTGTCCAACTCTTGTTTTTCGCCCGATAGAGGCATTGCAGTAGCCGTGAGCCGTGGATTCCATGTACCTCCGTACCGAGTGGGGCAATGATGAACTAGGTCAAAGGGTCGACATATCCTGGGTCGCCCTGAAAGTTCACTACGCCCACAATTTGCCTTGGCCAGTCAAAGATGCTGCTCGGGGGACTTTAGTGAGGAAGTCAGGCGATCAGGGAGGACGCATTGTCCCCGTGGACGAATCATGAGGGCGCGAGGGGAAGGACAGAGATTTCAGCAGCTCTAGGAATTCAGGCACATGCATCCGGGAAGGAGGATTTGCGGTTGCACAGCAGGAGGAAAATGCAGCTCAGCCTAAAGAGAGTAGGCAAAGGCAACGGAGAAACGACGGGGAGAGATCCAGACCTTGGGCTGTTATTGAAGACATGCCAGTTCATCGCTGACACTCCAGAGACCATCCAGAGCATTCCGCAAGCTGACCGGGGACACCGCATGAAGGGAGAGCGGAAAGGAACAGCTGTACGCCCCGAGGCGATGGAGTGAGGTGCGCAAACACCAAGTCATGAGTACAGTAGCTTAGCGGGAGTTCGTGCCTTTGACTGGAGGAGTTCATTTCGTTTCATGCGGCTAAAGGGCAACCATGACCCTGATGATGACCACGAGTCGCCGCAGGGAGCAAGACACGAGATAAGCCAATGCAAGAGACTTGCAAAAAAGAAAGAGCCCGGGGCATCAAGGCGACAGAATTTTTCTCTTCGCCCCAATTGCAGACCACGGTAGGAAGACGTCGTGTACGGAAAACGCAGCCTCTGTCATTCTCATTGGAATGGATCAACGGAGGATTTCTGTATGAGGGAGGGGGGGTAAAAAAGGCCGAGCGCGTGAGGAGATACCGAGTCGTATGGAGAGAAAGTTGAGATGAAGCAGTAGCTGAATGTCTGAAATGATGCATGATGATTCAGTGGTGGTAGTAGTGGTTGAAGTAGTGAGCGCAGCCGACCACAAACAACCATGGGGGGTGACGGGGCTTGGTGTCTGTGACGTCGGATGCCAAGATCCCAAGCCTCGGGATTCCCGTTTGTAATGACGGTAGGCTATCCGGCTCACTGGGACAACTGCTCGTGCTGCTCTAGCAAAGTCTAGCTGCCGCCACCCAAAGCCTCCCGTTGCCCCCCACCAAAAACACTCCGTCATTTGATCCACTCTTAGTTCTACGTAACTGCCACTCCAGTCCCTCGACTCTCCATCTGCTGCCCATCACACATCACGCACCCCTCCCTGCACATGCTCTCTTTTCACTCAACTGACCTACAACCAAGCAACTGGGACAAATATCCAAGAATTCCCTCGTCGACCATCCAGAGGATGATCATCGCCTCGTCGTCCTAATCACCACCTTCCCGTATCACCGTGCAACTGATATCCGGCCTGCGTGTCTTTCTCCAACTACTTCTACCTGGTTGTATCCACAGGCCTCAATCTCCAGTTTTGATTCTCCACTGCAACCACCATAACCCATTGTCCGATCCCAGGGAAACACAACTCTTGTCTCTCCTTTCCGTCCATATCCTTCCTCTTACGCAAATCCTCGTCGGTCACTCTCCTGACCAAGATCCGCCTGACTCTCCGCCTCCAACTCCGATCGTCAAACGAGTCCTCTTTCGGTTCTATTCCACATCCCTCCGCAGAATTCAAACTCGGCCGTTTTACGATCACAGCCTCCCATCCCTTGAATACGGACGACGCGGTATTTCACGTTTGCAACTTCATCATCCCGACGCTGAAACTCTAACTACAATCTCGCTCGCCATGACAGTCGAAGTCCGTCACTCCCCACCTCCCTTGCACCAGCCGGGTTCCGGTAATATTAGGCCGAAGGGTGAGTTATCAGCGTCTTCTGCTCAGGGAATCCTCATCACTAATCCCGTAATGCAGGAATATTGAAGAATCCATCCTTTTCATCTTCCAGCGGCCATCCGGGCTCACCCTCAAAAGAGGAATTCCACCTACCTCCGCATATGCCCCTCGACCCAAAGGAAGAGAGAGAACTTGTACTTCAGAACACCCTTCAAAATGCCGGTCCTCGCCGCTCGTCGTCTGCCGCTAGACGGGCATCCGCGTCGCGCCGTCACTCGGCCGCGTTGGCCGCAAACCATGAAGACGACCCGGAAAAAATGCGTCTAAAGTGGGACGAAGCAAACCTCTATCTGGCTGAGCAGGAATCAGGCGGACGCATGAAGATCACCGAACCAAAGACACCCTATCAATATGGAGACGCCATGATGGAAGACGATGATGAGGAAGATGTGGCTATCGACCCTCGCTTTGTCAACGTCGATGAAGTCGAAATGGCGAAGGCTCCGAAGCCGAACAAAAAACATCGAGAAAGCGAGATCCCTGGTCTGGAGCTCGGCGAGCCTGAAGAGGAACTGTCTCCGCGATCCACAGCAGCGCTAGAGGAAGAAAGAATTGTCAGGGGTTCGAACAATCTTTCGAGGGAATCAAGTAAAGAAAAGCATGTTAGTGTCAGTGATGGGAGTGATGCAGATGGACTGCAGGAACAAGTCGGCATGCCCACTCGTGAGGAGCAGGAGAAACACCGCCAATTTGAAGAGAGGAGAAAGAAGCATTATGAGATGAAGGACATCAAGAATCTACTTGGGTAAGTTGGTGACTTCCTGGATCTCTTTTCTTCTTCTGGACTGACGTTGCTAATAATGACATACAGACACCCCGAAGAGTTGGATATGGAAGATGAGGAACCGCCCGTTCCAGCTGCGATGCCAAAAGATCTACCAGAGCGATCGGTTAATGGCACCCGCTAGAGTGTCCTTTCGCTATGCCTGGTGCACCTTTTCAGCCCTTTTTGAAAACGGTGTCTTCGCCATCGTTCCAATCGATCCTTCAGCCATGAAAAGACCTTTATACTCGGACGGATTTCACTAAACCGGATCAAAAGACAAAAGACGCATGGAAAGGGGCACTCGGCACTAGCACTGACACCAGCCAGACAGCATGCGAGTGCGCAGATGGCTGGGTGGGTAGAGAAGGAGCATTTTCTCATATGATCTCCGCCAGGTCTCAATACTTGCTAATGTGTTGAGCGCCGGATGGAGGTCTCATTTCTTTTTGGAGTTGTATCGTTCACAAATACGCCAGCATCCATTCTCCGACCGGACCACCATGACGATTGTCGGTCCAAACGTTCAGCATTCGTCTGCGAAGTTAAACCGCGGGTTGCCTCTACTCGGGATGTCAGACTTCGTTTTGATCAGCATTATTCCACGCCACTATATGCCCTTGATTCCTGCGATTGGCCTTACTGTGGACGGCCAACCGATTTTCCAGCCACGACCTTTTGCATTTTGCTTTGTCTTCTTCTAACCTGCGGAAACACTCGACTCCAATCCACGTTCGCCAATGGTTCATGATCCATCTCTCCGTTTGTCGGTCATTCGCCGCATTTCTGCTTTTCACACGAGAGAGACCAGCAGACGACCGGGAGAAGGTGGGACGATCGTTGAGTGATCAAAATGAAAATAGTCATTTTCAAGGGCCGCAAAAAAAGGGATGGCGTGCCAACCAGGAAGCTCTGATTGCATTGAACTACTGTTGTTCTGTCTGAATGGCACGTCCCAGTTCACACTCGCCTCGTTCACCAAACCAGAAACGGTTCAAGCAAAAGGGGAAAGGCGGTTCGATTTATGTGGCGGACACCAGGGTTGAAGGTTTCAACCAAAAAAAAAAAAAAAAAAACAACACACCCATACAGACAAAATTCAGTAGCATAGCTCTCTCTGCTCGGGTAATTGGTGCTTGCGGCCTCACTGTCGCACACCACCAGGCAAATGCAATGGAGATTATCATCAGCGTCATCGTCGCCGTCGTCTTCGTCACTGTAATTGCCGTTGCCATTTTCCATTCTCCATTTTCCGTATACCTCTTTTACAGATCGGTGTGTATACAAGCAGAGATAGATTGTCTCTACTCGGTACAGGCAGTGCGGTATTCACTGAGCGACGCCACGTCACATTATTCCCTGGTCAAGAAGGGCGGCATTAGGCGTAAAGCCATCTTGGATAAAGTAACGTGTATTAAGGAACCTGGCACATGTGTCTAGTTGGTTTTGGGGGAATGATTTTTCTCTTGATATTATGTTCTAAAGGCACTTAAAATAGGTCTCGCCGTGGTGTACCCTGTTATGTCCAAGCGGTATACCAAGCTGAACACTCACACTCACTGCACTGCACTGCACTGCCATGCACTGTTATGTACCATTCAACTTCCCTTCATATGGTCCTGGTGGTCCAATCTCTGAATCTCTTAAAAAACCTTCCTAGATCATTGCGTAAATACACACGTCGATCCGTGTGTATGTGTGTAACTGAAGCTCTTATCCAATCCGCAGCTTCCCCAAGATTAGACTCTGTACGATATCCTCGTTGCACATTACTTTGATCTTGATGCCGGAGTGGCTCGTTTCTGGGGTTGCATTTCCGTCGTCGTCTTCCTGGGCACATTCATGTTGTCGCTTGCCTCGCTTGCCTCGCTTGCGACCGCGCTGAGGTTGACTCACCCTCTTGCTCGACGAAGGAGTCAGGAAGGCGACCTGCGCGGCTTCAACTTCTCGATCGTCCACGAAGATATATTTTGGTGTTTCGCACTCGTCCAAAGTAGCTTCCAGTCTCATTTTCACGGCCGTCAGATCAGTCTCCAGCTCAACTTTGGCCGGATCCAGGGCGCGCACAAGTGAGAGGTATGGACGCCGCTTGACCTCAGCTTTACCCTTGCCCACCACGACAATGACTTGAGATTCCCTGAAGATTTTCGGTCTTAGGCCGATGATATCTTTGACTCTTAAACCATCTGCGCTTGCCGAGAAAGGCAGAATGCGCGACTTTGTTGCGCCTTCGAGCTCAGCGCTTTCTCCAGCGGGGAGAAGATAGCTTGCCCAATCGATAACCTGGTCAGATTCGACGCAAACTTCGATCCATCTCCCACTGAGGCAAGGGAGTCCCAGAGCTAAAGCCTGAAGGTATTTTTCTTTTCGAGAGTGGCGGTCAGTAAGAAGAGCAGCGAACGAAAAGCTAGAAAATTCGTCTTTCAATTGCATCGAGTCCGGTTCAAAGAGATCGAGGAAGGACTCCTGCAGGACGATGCCACCATGGGTTTGCACCAGATCCACGAGATACCCCCTCCGGCTGCTGTCTTCGTATGAAATCGCAAACGCCATCTTACTGAGTAGACCTTTTGTTGGCTCGGTGATTTGTGCAGCCAAAGATCCCGTTCCAATTATGCCTCGACGAGTCCGCGATGAAGGCGTGCTGGGCGTAGAAGCTCGATCCAAGGGCGTGGAGATTCCGGATGAAAGCACTGCGTGGATCGAAGGCTTATACTCGAAAATCCGATCTTTCATCTGTCCCCACATGGTACTGTCCAGGTATACTGCCGAGACGGGTACCTTCTTCACAGTCTCCGCTGATGCTTCTGTAAGCAACCTTTTCGCTTGCTTTGGAGCAACCAGGATCGTCTGGTAGCCACGGATATCGGTCACCACAGTCCCGTTGGTGGGACTATTGCCTTGCACAATCTTGTCTTCGAAACCTCGAATGATATGAGAAACCTTGGGAAAGCCTCGCATATCTATCTTGACCTGGTCACCAATACGCAGGTCCAAACTCCGCACCCCGAACTCATCGACTTCATCGGGTTCGTATCCTTCCCACTGAATCAGAAATCGGCTCGAGTCGGAGTTCGGACGCCCAAGGCAAATGGCAGGGTGATAGGCACGGGTCTTGCCAATGAAACATGCAAATACCATATTTGGTGCAATGTTCCCTTCACTTGAATCATCTGCCGCCTCAATGTCGGCTGGTAGTGTCTGGGCAGTACTCAAATTTGCAGATCGATGCAAGTGGAGAGGATCGGGCATGTTTTGTTGACCTTCGATACGCTCGGGCAAGGGAGGGTCCGGTGCAGGGCTCTTCACTACCTTAAGCTTCTTGTTTAATGTGCTGTGGCCCTCTTCTAGTGCACCGGCATCTCTTGCTTTCCTTTTCACACCTGTCGAAGACTTGATGAGAGGGACTGCCTTCTGTGGTGGCGAGTCCTGAAGGTCCCATGCCGATGCCCGAGCTGTCGAATTCATATTTCGAGGCCGTGTACTAGAAGCGCTCAATACCTTTGCCGTTGGCCTTCTTTCCCTCCGCGAGTACGTTGAGACAGGTGACACGGCTCGTCCAGGTTGTTCCGATCGGCTGTCTCCTGATTCTGGTTCTGGCTGGTCCAACCCATTCTGATCACTCGACGGGCTAGAAGCCTTATTTGTATCGTTGGCGATGTTTCTCTGTTGTCTACTACTAGCTCGGCGGACAGGAGACAAAGCCGCACCCCTTGATTCTTTGAAGTTGGTCCACTTTGGGGAAGGATTCTGGAAGTCCGCGTCCAGCTGCAGCGCCTCAATTGCGTTGAAGCTGACCTGGGACCTGAGAGGTGATGGTTCTGCAGCAATCTCTGCCATGCGCAACCGTCGCTTCCCAGGAGGCGTCGTCACAATAGGAGGACTACTTAATTCGGTTGCGGCAGGTTCTTCAATGGCTACGGTTGAGGTATGCTTGTGAGTCGGTGCTGTGTCAAATGCGTCATTACTCTCAGTATCCCTGGTTTGAGGTTTGGGCTCGGACAGTCTCTCGCGTTGAATCTGTTGCTCGTTGGAACTAGTCTCGGGGACTGTGCTGGCTGCTTGTTGAAGTGTCCGCGGGGTTGAGCTCAGTCCAGCGTGGTCAACTACAGTGGCGGATGGTTCCTCATTGGGCGACAGAGGATCATCTGCTACCGCGCTCGAGAGGTTCACAGGCAACGCCGAAGCCGTGTCCTTCTGATTTGTACTGAAAAGTCCTCCGGCTGATAGGGCAGGAGACTGTGGAACAAAATCAAGCACTCCGTCAGTAGCGGAAGATCTGGGAACTTGCGTAGTTGTCTGACGTTGCCTCGTGGGTCGTTCAGGCTGTGAATCTGCCACCGCAAACAATTGCGAGCCGTTGAAAGCAATCGGGTGACTGTGAGTCTCGAGGCCATGTCTGAGCAAGGGGCTATCTTGTACGTGAGTAGGAATGTCACTCATGATGCGGTGAAGTCTAGCGGTTGTTTCAGGTATCTGGCTTGCTCTATCGGAGAAATTCTCCTTGTCTTCGTCATCGACCAGCTCTATCGGCTGGCTCGAGCGTGTCACGACAACGGAGGTATTATCTTCCTGCTCCGTTTCTTCCTCACTCTCGTGGGCTGAGATGTATCGATTACGCTTGATTGGGCTCGAGTCGCTTTGATTTCTGGGTTGGTCCAGGGCCGGAGCCTTCGACGGGGGAGATCGTATCGGTCCAGGTATGGGAGACGACTTGGAGAGGGAGACACTTCGCATAGATTGCTTTGATATTGACGATAGCTGGGCCTGTATTTTTCGATCACGCTCACGCCGTCTCCGCTCTCTGTCCAGGAAACTATCCTCATCGTCTTCAAAACTATCACGATCGGAATCTTCGTCCTCATTCAGCATTTCCAGTTGTCTTCGACGAGCCTGTTCTCGCAGGGCCTGGGACTGCTTTACCGAGACATAGCGAGAAGCCGGTTCTGTAGAGGCTCGTTTAAAGTCGGACATGGGTCGCAAAGGTGATGAAGTCGCAGCGGTCATCGGACGGGGTTGGAGCTCGATGTTCGGCGAAGGACGGTCAGAGGGCAGATCTCCATTAGGGTTGCCGATGAAGGGCGAAGTGTTAGCCTGAGTTGCAGCAAATGCCTGGCTGAGGCCCATGACGTGAGCTTGAGCTTCGCCACCTCGCAACAATGGGTTGCGAGGCAACTCGGGGCTTTCAACGACATCTCCATTGTATCTTCTCTTTCTAGCAGCAGTGGCTGGCGTCTTGAACCGCTGGGATTCCGGAAACTGGGAAAGAGCGCGAGGGGACTTGGAAGGAGAGAAGTCTATTGGTGGGGACTCTGAACGTCCGTCCTCTCCCTCGCTCCCTGGTTCCTTCTGCGATGCCAAACTTGAGATCAGATCAATGTGACCTTCATCGCCCTCATGCAGTGTTGCTCCAGTCTCTTCTTCAAAGCCTTGGTCCAGCTCAAGGCCGTACTCTGGGTCTTGCAGTTGTCCAGCGCTTCTACTGCGATTGAGAAGAGGCTCATAATCCGAAGGAGACAGTTCTTGAGTTGGAGCACCGCTCCCTTGACTGGTCATCTTCTGTGTGGTGGCTTCTGCTTTGTTCGACACGGGCGCAGGTGGAAGGAATTGGAGTTGACTTTCGGCATTTGTGAGGATCAACTGAGAATCGGGGACAGTGCTGGGGAGTTGTGGCACAGAGGCTGATTCAGTATCATGAAGGGTAAGTTGGACGACACTCTCTGCCGAGATCTGAACTGTTGTGTGCAGGGTGTGTTCTGAATCTGGCTGTTCCTGGCCCGACTATGACACGATTAGCGGCTTGCGACAGAACCCAAGCGAACGCGTGGGCCTGGGTCAAAATTAGTTTTACCTCCAACGGCGCGAGAATGTCCGCTTTGAGATTTGCAAAGTCGATACTTAATAGACTATCTGTTGCCATAGATGTGCATCAATTCATCATGCCATGAATCTGACCATGGACCCTGCATATGGACGTTTGGCGTCAACGAACTTAGACAATGAATCACGGACTTTTTCGCGTCAAAGGGTTCATGCAGGTCCAAATCCGACGCGCGTGCCATTGACATTGCGGGGCAGACAAAGCGAAAGTGACGGAACAATAAGTAACTCCGGCCGAAGAAACTCGGCAAATTATTGGACAGCCTTGTCTCCCGCCAGCCTTGTCGGTGCCTGGCGCCCGCCTCCCCAAATGATCCTACAGCCTTACAGCCTCGACCTCGGGGTAATATGCCTGAGGGAGCTGTCCCGGACTTGGTTGTGCTCGATGATTCTGCATCAGAGGCTGCCCATATTCCTGCCTCGTATTCAATCTGACTGGTCCATGCGTTCGCGATCGCTTGCGGAGGCAGAAAAACATTATGAGCGAGATGATGATGATAAGGCCGAACACTGCACCGACCACACCAGCCATAATCTCACCGACATGGTGTCCTAGTTCGTTGGAGCTCTGCGAAATGCGAGGAGGCGTATTGGTCATGGTGCTTATGGCTACCGGTTCGGTCTCGAAGGCCTCGGGCGACCATGTTGTCGTCACCCATTCTGGATGGCTCGCCACCCCCTTCGTCGTGGTGCCCTGCTCAACATTGTAACTCCCATAGTAGGTTCCACAGGCAAAGCCAGTGTAGTCATAGGGAGCATATTTGAAGGTATTGCAGTACGTTGACGAGCCTTCCGTACTGGTAGAAGTTGTCAGCAGTCAGCTCGTCGGAGAGACAGTACCCTACTCCTATACATACCATTTCAGGATCATGTCATTGGATTGACAATTTTCGTCACAATAGCCGGCGGGTTGATCTGCGTCGATGCAAGCCACCTTGTAATGGCATGAGTCCAAAACGACTTGTGATATCGACGTCGTCCGGTACGACGAACAACACCCGACTGCATTGAAGACGTAGTTAGATGCGCAGTAGGCATTGCGGCAGCTGACCGGATAGGCTGTTCAGGTACGATTAGTAGCTTATTTCAGACACTGTGCTCACTGACAACACTCACAAGCGTTCGCGCTGATGTATCCACATACTGAGGTGAGGCTGCTTAAAGCCTGTACCTGTCGTTGTTGTAGACCAGGTTCTCTCGACGGCGCTGCAGTCGTGGCTGGGCGTGGACTTCGAAGGTCCTCATCCAGTCCGCGAACAGCAGTTTGAGTAGGCCACGGAGGCAGAAAAGGTGCTTCGAGAGCCATGTTCAGGGTAGCAAGGTGCCGACTTCAGCCTTACTGGCAGCCGTGGAATATTTATCGCGAATACACAGAGTCGGGGGGATGAAATAGAAACTGGGCGGCGCGATTCGCCTGATCTGAGACTGTGGATTACTCATTTCTCGTAGCTCCCCCATTACTGTGGAAGAGAATGCCTTTTCGCCCAGAGGATGGTTCGGCCGGTGTCGCTCTGTCGGGTCGAGACCAAGCCATGATGCTCTAACCGAGGCATTGAATCCACTTTCAGCCTTGTGCAGTCGAAGCTGAAGCGCTTGTGGCCCAATCACCATCCAGATTTCTCCTCTCGTGGGTCTCGATCTCTACGTTCGGGCAACGCCAAGATGCTGCCTAAGTCTTTTTTTGATGAACCAGCGTCTTGTCCTCCCGAATTCAGTCTCGCTTGCAGGGGACTGCCCCTCCCGTTGACACGAGCCATGGCGAGGCGTTTTTGGGGGTCGCAAACTGGTGAGGCTGTCGGGCAAAGCTTGAAACCTTGGGAATTTGCCAGCAGCCTCAGACCAAGTCTATCCTTGTACCGAGTAGAAATCTCTGCTCAACTCGATGTTCTCAACTCAATTGTCAACTGGACCTTGGCCAAGGTGCTCACTGCTCATCGCCTTCCACTGATATTGAACGATCTGCTACAGGATGTACCGCAGGGTCAATCAGGCGACGGCGCCGACGAAATATACCCGGACCACAGACCGCGAAACAGCACAGTCGCCGACGAACCAGATTCCAAAGCACATGACAGGTCGGCGGACGGACATATGGCTGAGCTTTTCCATTGTGACTGTGCCCATGCTTGCGTTCAGCGCGTTACTCCTGGGACTGGTCTACCACTACCGCGTCACTCACGAACCAGCCACAACCTCCGGTCTGCATACGGATGATATCGTCGACGAACCCGGCATATACTATGTGGATCTGAGTGCCACCGTTTTGATCTTCATTGCATCCTGGTCAAGTACCTTGGGACCGCTCCTCGCCGGTTTCCTCATGACTCTGGGCTCGTACCCTCTCTCGAAGCAATACTGGCAGGATGTTCAACACCAGCAACCGGACCTGCCGACGCCGTTTCAGTTTGCACTGATCCTAAAGTTCTTCGCAAATAGCGGCTATGGGTCGTTGTACAGTTGGATCAAGTATCTCACTGGCTGGAAGAATCAAAGACAATTTCAATCAAGGCTTTTAACAGGCAGCGCGTCTCTCATGGTTCTTGCCACATTCTTGGGGTATGGGCCGTCCCCTGAGGTCAGATATTGATGGCGAGCTGACCCGCAGCAGCTTTTTGGTCTTTCTTGCAGACACTTGGCTCCATATCACGACGTCAACGGTCAACTTTGTCCAGATCAACCCGGTGGTTAGCGAGACAAACTACAGCATGGCTCTGAAGCCAGCGTGTCTCGAGTCGGAAAATACTTTCTCAGCTGCATTCGACATCAGAGGAGCATGCAACGTGAACCCCGCGGCGACCCAGACCTTTCTCGTCGACCCCAATCAGAGTTTGAAGACGCTGAACAACATTTCCGACACCCTCGCCGTCTTCAACAACGGGCCCGACCCGACATACACATATCTCGGCATTCCACCGTCCGACAGCGTTGCCGGCCGGGACTACACAGCCACCACCTACGGAATGCGCACTGAATGCAAACCCGTCTCGAGCAAATGTAATCTGATTGCGCTGTACGGCGCATCCACCCCATTCATGTGTTCAGACGCTTTCGCGGGTGACCTACAAACAACTGCCAGTGGATGGCGCTACACATATTTCACCAACCACACCATGAAATCCAACACGACCATAAACGGAGTGCAGAACCCTTACTATTACGGACTGGCAGCCTTGGTCATGAACCCTGGCCAGTCAGCCTATGATGAAAACAACACGGAAATTCCCGAGCTCGTCACGCCGGTGCACGGGGGCATCGCCTTTGTGTTGCTGTGTAGCATCACGGTCTATGACGTTGAATACGACTCCGTCAACGGCACGATCACGCGGTTCGTGACCACCCCGAGCAACAGCTCCGTTGCCAACGTTTGGCACGCTCCCATGGCCTACGTGAACGTGGCGCAGTCGAACCTGCAAACGGCGGCGTCAATCGCCGCTTCCACGGCAAAAGACGCCCAAGACCTGGCGGACCAAATGTCCCTCGCCTACAGCAAAGCCGCCCTGGCTGTCGGCGCACAGTCCGTGCAAAGGACACCGGCCGTCGCAGCCCAAGAGCGAACGTCGTTCCTCGTGACCCGCCTACCCATGGCGCCACTCTTCGGCCTACTTTCTGCAAATCTCGCATTCGTGCTGTTGGGGCTGGTCCTGACGGGCATCGCGCTGCGCACGTCGGGAGGCGAGGTCCGGGAAATCCAAGCTCGGCTGAGCATTGTCGGTCTCGTCGCGGATCGGTTCGAGGGCGGCAGAGCGAAAGACCCGGTGGAGGACACGGACGAGCTTTTTGAGGAGCACGATGGCACCACGGGCACCAGGGTGGGAATGGAGCGCACGGGAACGGGGGGATGGGCGTACCGGCAGTGGTCGACGACGACGGGTTGATTGAAGGTTTGTCGCCTGTATATAGGGGCCGGACAGAGCCCACAGACACGAAATAAAATATGATAGACTGTATCGCCCAACACCTCATCAAGGTGTAGAGGTTGTTGAAACTCAGGTCCTTCTTCGTGCCGCTCTCGTACTCGTATATGATGGTCATGCCTCAGGCCTTCGCCTTGACCCTCGATCCGGAAAGTGGGTCTCGCGAGGCTGGGCGATGTTTCCCTTTCCGTCGAGTTTCGGCCCTCGGGGTCCGCGGACACATCGCTTGGTTCATCGCCACCGGTTGATGCAGGAAGCCTCCTCTATAACTCCATCGCAAGAGATTCTCAATTTTAGACTTGTGATCCCCATCGTGGACCCTTCTTCCACCATCCGACCACCCGAATCACGCTCGTATGGCTGAGGCGTATGAAGATACGAGTAGAGACCGAACTGATGTCATTCGAAGAGCTGTATGTTGCCCTCACAGGACAATGTTTTGTTTTTGTCCTTTGCTCCCGAATGAGAAAGCCAAATGCATATCTTTCTCGTATATGCTGCAGTATACTAACATTGCGATCGGCAGTGTGAGCAGTGTCGTGCCAGGAAGGTCGTATCACCATGTATGCTTGGAGCTCACCGACTTGACTCTGACCCAGCGTCTAGATACGATGCGACAAGGAAAATCCATGTTCCAACTGCAGGATCGCAAACAGGGAATGTATCTCGGCCGGTCTAGGGCAGAAACCCCGGCAGGCCAGGCAGCGGGTGTTGATCTCCCACCAATAGTACGGCGTGCCACTGTCGACTATTTGTTGAAAAAACACTTGGGCTGATGGCAATGCAGTGAGCGGAAAATTGACCAGTTCGAGAATCGCCTGGGGGGAATCGAGGAGATGCTCCACAAGCTTACAACAACTCTCACTCGTGACGATGGCTCTGCTTCGGGATTCATGAGCACACCCGCACGAACGTATACACCTCCCAGCAAAGACCAGTCCACATCTGCATACGCGGGGGGACCACCACTTGGGGAGAATGACCAGACGTTTGAAGGCAGCTCTTCCATGATCGCCCACACAGCGTTTGCCAGCGAATTCGTGGAGAAGGCCGTGACGAATACCCCTCTCGGCCGTCATCTGAGTCCGAATATCGAGTCCGCACTGGAGTCTTTACGAAGAATGGTTCAGATGCAGCGGCGGAAAGATATTTCACACGAGAGTTCGTTTACCCACCAGAAGCCAATACCTAAGGGCGGCCTCAGTCAACTCCCCCTGCCGCCAACAGATGTTGTGCTGAGCTTATTGCGCGAGATCAAGGGTCAGTGAACAAGGCTCGATGGCGATCTTCGCGTATGAGAGATCTAACGGGAAACAGCCAAACTGCCCCTGGTCTTCTCGACCAGCTGTTCCTTCATCACGGTTGATTCCTTCATTGAGTCGTGTCAGAAAGTATTCTTCCCGACCGAAGACTACAGTTCCGCCGTATTCATCGTCGCCAATGCCGGCCTCTACTACCTGTTCCAAGAAAAGTCATTCACAGACGAATCCAACAGCCGACAGTACCGCGAATACCACTACCTGTGCAGGGATAACTTGGAGACAGCCTTGGCCAACTTGCCGCTCCTGCTGCCGTGCAACAAGGAGATCATCGAAGCGCTTCTGCTCGGTGTAAGTCCCGGTCAACCTGATGCTTTGATCCCTTTTCTTCCGCCTTCACTATTCTGACCCGCGGAATAGGTCACCTACTCGATCGAGGTCTCGAAATTTTCACTTGGGTGGCAGCTGAACCGTGCCGCAGCCAACATTTGCCAGACGCTCGGCTGGCATCGTCTCCGGGAGACCGACAATGACACAAATGACGCAAAGTTGGCCTTGTTCTGGTTCTGCTACATGATGGAGAAGGGCCTCTCGCTGCGCTTTGGCCGCGCTTCTGTCATGCAAGACTGGGACATCTCCACGCCCCGCCGCTTTCACACCGGCCTCCGAACGGAGCCATGGACCGAGGCCATCAATCTGTGGATCAAGACCGGAAGCGCCCTGGGCGAGACGTACCAGCACCTCTACAGCCCCGCGGCTCTGGCTCTGCAGCCGGGCCAACGAATTGAGACCGCGCGCCTCCTGGTGGCAAAGATTAAACAGGTGTGGAGAGAGTTGGTGGACCTGTCGACGATGTTTGACCAGGGAAACGGCACCGTAGACGGAGATGTATCGGACGACGGGGTCAAAGGGCGGCACATGTCGCTGGACATGCTCCTCAAGTCAGCAGAGGTGAGCCACCTGGCTTCTCTGACCCTCGTGTATCGCGCGATTCTAGGTGAACCGGGCTTTCCCAGCACATTCAACACGGAATGCATCGAAGCGGCCAGAGCGGCAATCAAATGTCACGACGAATGCATGAAACATGCCTCGGACAATCCGTTCGAACAGGCCGGGTATCTGCACTGGTAAGTAAGGCTGCGTTGTTCTTTTTCTTGGTCCCTCCCCCCCCCCTTTTTTTTTTGGAGCGAAGACCGCCTACCAACAAATGACTCGTTGATTGATCGATCATCCCGTGACTCCAGGACGATCCTCTACGTCCCTTTCACCCCTTTCATCGTCCTCTTCTGCCACATCATCGAGACGTCATCCGGGGCCGACGACCTCCACCGCCTCGAGCAATTCACCACGAGCCTGCAGCCCGTGCTGTCCATGTCGCCCGGCATCGAGAAACTACACCGCCTCTGTAAAGTGCTGTCCCAAATCGCCGCCCTGTACGTCGAGGCCAAGGCGCATCAGCGCGAAACCCAGCACCAGAATCAGCGCGACGACCACCAGGACACGACCATGCTCGGCAACGACTTTGATCTGTACCTGTCCCAGCTGGGGTTCATTGCCCAGCCGCAGCCGCACAACACGGGCGGAGATTATGTGACCGAAGGAAGCGATCATGATGGTGGTGGTGGTGTCGGTCCAGGTATACCAGTGGCGAACAACCCGGCTGCGCTGGGAGATTGGTTCTCGGGGAATAGGTACGTCATGGGACTGGTGGAGGAGGACTTGACGCCTTTTGATCCAGAGGCTTGGACGTTGTGAGAAGACGTGAGATGAGAGTGTAGTCATGGTAGGGCAGGGAGAGCTAAACAGGAACACATATGCATCATCACACTGGGCCAGACAGCGATGTTGTACAAGGTTCCCACCACCCAACACGACAAGTCCGTGTCCCCTCGCCAGATGTTTGATTTTCATCTCGTGTCAAACACTTTCAACGGCTTCGCGGCAGCCCAGAAGAGCGACAAGAGGACGAGAAAAACGGACACGGGAATTGACGCGTCCTGCAGATCCCACTGACCGGTCCGGGCGTGCTCGAATACCAGCCACCAGGCCCAGAAGCCGAACGGGGCGGCAAGCATGAGGACGTGATACATGATCAGGATGATGATGTACGGCTCCTCAACCGCCTTGATGCCCCAGGCATAGTCGATCCCGGGTGTTTTGAGAAGCCATTCGCTATGTTTTTGTGGGATAGTGGGGAGGTAAATATTTGAGCCGGCACCAAGAGGGGGGAGGCAGTCGTGGAGCCACGACAAAAGACAGAATTGGAGGTTGACGCCGAGTGTAGCGCCCCTGCAGGGTCGAAGAAGAGCAAGCTCCCACACGTGCTTGTCAAGAGCGGGAGCCCGTGGATCTGGAGGCCGTGGGTCGTAGCTGTAGTCAATCGGACAAGAGGGCAGATCAGGCCCGGCGGACACGACACGATCTGGCAGAACCTTTTTGAACTGTGATATGTTCGTACTGACAGTTAGACATAGCCTCATTTAGACATTGGATATAATCCTGACAAGTGAAACCTACCTTCACAAATTCACAGTGGTGCAGCTGCCAAATCGAGAACCATAGTCGCATTCGACCCCTGAGAGCTCGATAAGAAGCGAGAAGTGTGTCCAAGAACTTCATGTCATCGTTGTCCTTGGTGGTGTTAATATGCACTATGTCAAGAGTTCGCCGCTTGCCGTGGACTCCAAAGACAACAAATCGATCACGCAAGGCAATGTTAACGGAGTTCATGACGCTGGTCATACTCGTGGCGCTGCTCGTGGTGTGCCCGCTGCTGAAGGATGGTCTTGAGAGTGACCGGGAGGCCGATGATGAGGATGACTGGCCAGGAGATGTCGGTATGCTAATATTCGAGCCCGCATCTAACGGTCTACCACTGCTGGAAGGGTCAGATGGGGATGGTGAAGTCTTGAGCGGGGGATTGTGAATCGCTGGGATCATCCTCTTTGCCTGTTGCCCAATTTTCTGCGTCGAGAAAGTTCTGGCGCATGTGGACGAACCAAATATATCATGACGCTTCAGAGTGAGAAGATTGTTGAAATTGGCGATGTAAGCATCAGGTATGTCGCGCCATAGGCTCCTATTACAGTACTGCGGGCTGTCAGTTCAATGGCCCCCCAGTCGGTCCTATTCTCAAATGGTCTTCAATACACGGCGCAAACAATGGGTTGGGAGGGTGGAGATTGTTTCTAACCATCCATGACATTGAGAACAGTCTTGAAGTTCACCAAATCCCCCATTATTTGCACCGGATATCGCAGATCCGACACGAGCAAGTAGTGACTTACACATTTCCATGAAATCCTCGTAAAGCCAGGAAGTGGAGGGCGGAAACTTGCTTCCAATGGCCACCAATTCCATTCGGTCATGGTGGCTTCTTCCACTCTAATCTTGAGAGTGTTCAACACTGTTATATTGCAACTTGCGGCCACCTTGATGGAGTCGGTTGGAATAACCAAAAGTGAGTGAGCAATTGAACGATACTGCTGGGGAAGGAGTAGCATATTGAGATCTATGAGGAGCTTTCGAAAACCAGCGCTGCTCCCGAGAAACTTCTTCATTTTGTCAATATGTGGAAAGTGATGGTACTCGTTGGCGTTGGCGTCCTCAAAAGTGTCGTCGTAATCATCATCGTCGTCGTCATCCTCTGAGAGGCTCGCAATCTGATCATCTTCATTATGCTCGACGTCGTCCTTCAGTGCAAAAGCCTTTTGTGTCTCCAACCATTCTTGTACCATACCTGTGTGATCTTGGATGTCCCCCAAATGCTTCTCAGCCTCGAGTCGAGTCTCCTCCTCAGGATCCAACCTATCGGCGATAGATTTGGCGATACGTTCGCGTAGAAAACGGCTCCGGAGAAGGAAGGTTGTCGATTTTTCGATGTTTATGTTAGCTAAACTGAGCTGAGCTTTATAGTATGGTTTGAGCAGCCTTCGAAAATTGTTGATAAATCGGTGTCGACCCATTTGTGGAAGCAGTTCAGAACACAAGGGGAATATCTCGTTGTGGTAGGCAAAAAAGGCCAGGATCTGGTCCTCTGCAGCTAGTACTTGTCGGGATTTGTGACTTTCCGCTCGAGACTGAATATCATCTTCGTCAGAGATTACCGATACAATGTCATCAAAGTTAGTTGCCGTGATTTTGAAGGGTTCTCGAGATGGCTCCAATCTTTTGGTATCCACAGGATCGATCGCAGGAGCTAAAGCATCTACCACTGACAAAGTATATTGTGTCCGTTGTGGCGCCTCGGCTGGTTGTTCGACACGCCCACTGGCATAGCCAGAATCTGAAAAAGCAGCAGCGCTCTTCATATTCTCATTCATTTCATTGGTATCGGATTGCTCGTCGTTCCCGTCTCCATAACGGGCCGCCTATTGTTCAGGGTCTTACTTGCCCAGGCATGAAGACGAGCTTCTTCATCTTCTGGCAATAGCCCGAAAACCTTGTGTGACTCAGGTAAACTGAGTTCCAAGTCTCTCAGAATATCTCTATCTTCAGCTGCAGAATCGGCACCGAAAGTGCTTGACAAGCCGTCCGGAGGAGTGGTTTGACGACCTTCGGAAGTCGAAGGCAGATCGGGAGATCCTACAGATGAAGAAACTCCTGACTTATTTGTGGTCGTAAATGCAGGATCTCTAAACTGTAGCTGCAGATTGCGCAGGGCTTCTGCGGTCAGGTCAGTTGGTGATCGTTCACAGTGTCCTGGCCATAGATTATATGGGTATTCATCTTCGTCAAAAAGGCTTCGCAGGACGGGAAAGGGGCTTGGCGCTCGCCCAACTTGTTCAAGAGGATCGGGTTCGAATATACTTCTCCCAAGACCCACGGGCTCCTGCAGCTGGTCTGTTTTGGGCCTTCTGGTGCCCTCTTGGTTTGTGAACTGAATACCAGGGGCCCAATGCAAAGAAGCTGGACTGAGCCGAGAACGATCAAGCGCTGCACGATTTCTCTGTTCGGCATATTCTGCGAGCGTTCTCTTGAGTTGGTCGGCTCTAGAAGGAGATGCGATATCCTGATCGATCCCTTGAGTATATAGTCGCGCTCTCAAATCTGATCGATCAAAGCCGTCGGAGGATATCTTAGGTTGCTTCATGTCATCTTTGTATGATGCGTTTCTCGTGTCTGATCGAGGGCCATGAGGTTGTATGTCAACCACGTTATCGAACAGAGAGCTGTGGTGTCTGCTGGGTTGTGCCCGCGAGATTGGCTTTCCCGATGGGTCAGTCTCGCCTGTCTCCTCGACGTATGGTGTTCCATGACCATACAACGTTGCTCGCGTTGACCCGAGTTTCATTCCTTCACCTATAGCCTTGAAGAGCAAGTTGACCGAGTACATCCCAGTGGGAACCTCGACTTGGACGTTGTTTCCTCTCCTGAGATCGATTGTAGGGAAGAGTCTTTCCCCCTGAGTATAGATGACAACATTTATTGCGTAGCTGGTTCCGATGTCGCAAAGGACGTCATTGCGCTCATACGTTCCATAGGGGTCTTTACACCTCTCACACTGCGATGCGTGCTCCTCAAAGAGCTGCATGACTAAGAGTTCATTGTCACGTTGAGCTCGAAATGTTGACTCTGAGGCGTTGGCTTCGGTACGAGCAGCCCGGGGCAGGACTTCAGCATCTTCATCAATGTTCTCACAAAGGGCGGCGCGAGACCGACGCGAAGATGTTTCTGGCATTGGGAGTGGGTGTGGATGGTGCTAGTGATCGATCTTTCCTCTCTCTGACAATATCAGTCAGTGAATCCAGACACTCAGACACTTCGACAAGTAGAGGGACTCAAGAGAGTCTCTTCCATTGAGACAAAAAGGAACCCCTGGCTACAGGGAAATTGCGGGGAAACAAGCGCTGGATCTGAGGAGAGTGGAGGAAAGTGACACAGTTGGCAAGTCTTACGAGATAGGAATTTCAACCTGATTCTGCAACTCCGATGCTTCGAACAACTTGCTGTATATTCATACAGATGAAGGACAAACCTCTATCAGTGAGTTCATCTTTCGGTGCGCAGCTCCCGACTTCGAGGGCTCACACCGTATAAATAAAGGTTAAAGCTGGTCCAAAGAGAGTGTGAGGCTGATGTCTGAAATGCGCCTGATCAAGTACAGACCAGGGCGGCCTGCAGCTATTAGCGTGCTCGGTCCTGCACTCCGCCACTTTTGCCATTGGATGGCGTTGTGATATTATCATCCTTGTCCCAACCGTTCTCAGCGTAGATCAACTCGGGCAGGTCCAGTAGAACGAATCGATCCATATCACCGGCCCTTTCCCCAGGGCGGTGCAGGCCAAGGCTGAGGATGTGCCGCAGCCAGAGTTGTTCATGTTGTAGAAGCCAATCTGGAATGATTGGTTAACAGAGAATATCTGTCGATCAAAGGCTGTACAGGAGATCAAGAAGTGCTCGTTATGAGGCTGAGGGTAACAGTTGGCGGTCGATAAAGCTAAGAGGCCAGAGGTTCGTCTAGAGTAGCACATTGGTCTTAAGCCAATTCCGAGCTAAGCCTAATGTGGCGACTACTCAATCACACTGGTTCAACTGCGCCCAGTGCGAGTTAGCCTGCCAGCAACCATGGCGCCGACGTGAGATTACATAGTGGGAGACTCATGTACTTCCTTAATCCAAGCCCTTTGGCATTCGTTGGACGCGGAAAGAGATTGGTAGGGGAAAGTCCCAAGTTGTATCAAGTTAAAATAGTCTATACTCCGTACATTGCAGCGTAGTAAAAACACGTTCTGCCTAGAAGTAGTGCCATTCCGTCCGTGGTGAAGGTATCTTTTGGGTATCTAAGAAGTCAGATATGCATCTCGAGCCTCGCGTCTGAAAGCGCGTTCCGGGTTCCCCCATTCGTAACTCCATGTTCATGCATTGAGCTTTCGTAAAAAAAAAAAAAAAACAAAACTGTTCTTGCCAGTCAGAAGTCTCAATCTCGACTGCGGTTCGGTGTCCACCTCCTCACATTGATATCTCGAATCTTGTACCTCGAGAACAACATGCCTATATCGACATCTTTCCGTTTCTCTGCATCTCTCAACGGGGGTGGAACCTCCACATAGCAGAGTACCAGCTGCTTGTGTACCTGTGCCTGAACTCGATTGATCCCGTGTAACCACCACCAACTCCTTCTGTTGGTTTTGCCTTCATTTGCTTTCTGCTGTTCGGGCGCTCTAGAGCTCGTCCAGTACGGATCAGTGTACGAAGGGATGATGACAATTGCAAACTCGGCGTGTGAAAATGCGGGCCCACGGTTATACAAGAGATAGTCGGTCGAAAATTTGACACCACTCCGGACAACCCAGCCGAGGGAGCGGTAGTGATGGTATACTGCGTAAGAAATCATAAAGGGGTCATCCGGTTCCGCTGGAACGGAGAGCGATCGAGGAGGGTGATATGAGTGTCGTCGGAAGAGGGACAGGAGAGAAGAAGGGGGAAGGATAGTATTGCTGTCATCGCAGTAGATATCGAGGACTCCAAGGGCGTATGAGAGGAAAAATGCCTCTTCAAGTGAAATATTTAGATGTTCTTGGGTTTGCTGTGGAACGGGCTTTTTGTCTTCCGGTTTTGCGTCTTCGAGGAGAGACGTGCCGGGATTTTTGATGGGTGAAATCACAGGAGAGCTTAGGTCAAATTCTCGGGCTTCGATGGTCGGAGAGAACCGAACTGTCTTCGTCCTTTGTAATCTTTTCACTGGCCGACCTTCGGCTTGACTAGTATCTGAACAAGTCGACGTGGGCGGCGGCGTCGGGATGCCATTGGCCTCGATTGCCTTCTTCCACTCCTCGAATCCGTTGATTGAGCTGTTTCCCTTCTCTTCTTCCACGTCAGGTGTCGCAGTCCCACTTGCTGATTCTAACACACTGCCAATGTCGGAGATGTTTTGAGCATTTGTTTTGAGGACATTTTCTGTTAAAAAGCTGTCAATGTGACCGTTTACACTACCATTCCCAGGCAGGTGGCTCAATTTGGATTTGTCGGATGCATGACTTATATTGACATTGACGTCGCCGTTCTGCTCTGACGGTTGCGCAGGTTCCAACGCAGGGTTCACGTCCAGCTGACCAGTGGTAGTGCCGTATTGCTGTGACTCTTCTGATAACTTGTGATCAATATCTTCTTGCTCCTTCCGTGCCCGTTCTTGTTTCTGCAACCTCCTCTGTTCCCTCCGAGAGGCCGTGTTCTCCTCCGCTGTCCGACCTTTCTTCTGTCTATTCTCTACCCAATTCGGCTCACTTCGGCTGAGACTGCCTCTTCCAAAGAAACCCATTTCCCAGAGCTTACGAATTGTGTCAGGATCAGTGACATGGATAGACGACGTTGCCGAAGAGAAGTAGCCATTGTATGTTGGACGAATTGGGGGCGAAAGGACCTGAACGAGGTACGAGAGGGCAATCGCAACTAATGACAACGGGTTGTGGGGGATTAAAACAGGGAGTGGATGGACTTCGATGGGTAGAAGATTGCGATGAATTTGATTGTAGTTCGGTCTCTTTGGGCGCCTGGGAGGCTTCGAGGAAGGTGATTTCGTTGACGATGCCTCGACGCTCACCGGAGGTGTGGAAGCTGAGGCCATGATGGATTCCTTGTTCAATGTCAGCCTCGTGGAATTTTCACATGTCTCACAATACAGATTCAAAGCTGGAAGTCAAAATTCAATCCCTCAGATACCGTTGTAGTCTAATACACGAAGCCCACATCGGAGAGAAGCTGAAATCAAAGTGCAACCTCCTCGGCAAGCGAGGTTGTCATCGTCGGGAAGATGGAGAATGTTACGTGGTGTGATCGAGGGATTGGACATACTCACTTTGTATCCGGTTTGCCGTGTGGTAAAAGGGAAAATGAGGAATCAAGGTGAGATGAAACTGTTCATCGCAGGTCGTCCTGGACGGAGAAGTGGAACAATCCCACCGCACCAGACGAGCATTGCAAGGCACTCAAAATGGAAGTGTTCCTGTCAAATCGTAATACAGTCATGGTGGTTGGGCTGGAAAAGGCCTCACTCATCAAGCTTGGGTGGTCAACTTACTGCAGTTTTCGGTGAGTTCGCGGGGAAATCTTTGGCGACGGAAATTTTTGCCTGCGGGTGCTGCTGGCCTTGGTCTGAAATTTCTCCAACACAAAAAAAAAGGCACCCAACCACGGCTCTGCGATTTTGAATCAGAATACAGCAGTCTTTGACCCCAGGCACAGACGACACAACACTGCACGCAAGATGCATCTAATGTACACCGAAGACCCGATCACGGGCAAGCGAATCTACACGCTGAAAAAGGTCCTTGATGGCACTGTCACAAAGTCCGCCCATCCTGCAAGGTTTTCCCCAGACGACAAATACTCGAGGTAATGCAAGCTGTTTACTACGTGAGAAGCTGTTCTAATGCGACTTTTAGGCATCGAGTAACTCTGAAGAAGCGATATGGACTCCTCTTGACACAGCAGAGTACGTCCCCTGCCGGCGCGATTTCGATCTCCTTGACCACAGCGGTTAACGTTTTTTGCAGATAACGAAAAGAAATGATGGGACAATATCCAGGCGTTTATGGAGTTCGGTGTCATTGCGCAAAGGCAGACATGGAAAACGATGTTCAGATATTATTTGCGGGTTTATCAATACGTCGCGGTGCGGTCAATGCAACACACTGAGTGACAAGTTCGACTGTCCTACCGCTTTCTCGAGTTTACTGTTCGACCTGCCCCTATCCTCGGCCTTCCTGTGGAGTGGCCTCGGTCCCCTGACAGGATCCCTGGCAGGATATCTTCATCCATCAAATCTTTCTCTCTCCTGGTTTCTCTCTTCATCTTCGACATGGCTCTTACGTACTCCTTCTGGTCTTCTGCCAGAATCAGCTCATTCCCCCATCCACCTTTGCCTCCACCTCCGTGCCTGGGCCCTTGCCATTTCTGATTTGCGGTTCCGCTCGTTGGCTTGGGGACCGAAAAGACATTGCCTTTGTTGTTCCATTGCATGTTTTGCTTCAGATGCAACTTCACTTCTCCTTTATCATTGGTCGTACACGTTACCCTGGTTAGCGTGGGTTTACCGCAACGCGGGCAGAATTGCTTAGACATGTCTTTGGTAGTGGAGAAACAGGCGTGGCACCGCAGGATGAACTGTTTGATTTGGGAGATTCGTTGGCAGGACTTGGTGGAGATGAGATTCAGGTTCATTTGAAGGAGGACATTTTGCATGGCAAAGTCGCCCGTCATGGTAGCCACCTGGAGGTGTTTGGGCGACGATTTTGACGCAATGCCGCTAGCGGACTCGTCTTGGGCTTGTCGACGTTTAATGTTGGAAGGGGTGATCCATCCTTCGTCTGAGTCTGAGCCTTCGGTCTCTATTGGTTGTGAAGGTACTGTCTCCGGCGAGTGCTCTGAAAGTTGTATAGTTGCCTCGGTGGGTTCGTCGCCTACCTCGAGGGTATCGCCTGCTTCGTCATTTCTTTGATCAGCTGCCCCCTCAAGGCCCAGACTATCCACCTTCTTCTCAATAGAATCAAGCGCTGTATCTGGTTCATCTCGCACATCCTCTGCGACATTCTCTGTACCCGTAGTCTGATCTTGACCGTCCTCTTCCTTTACCGCAGTTTGCGTAGGTGGTGCGCCATTCAGTCTCTTTTGCCCCGGGGTCGTCCTCAACCTCCAGTTGCCTCCATTTCTCTCACACTCAATCTCGTACGCCAATGCCAAAACCTCGTAATCGGTATGACTTAGCACCGCCCCGTCGCCCGTTTTGCGCGCAAAGTCTTTTACAATCTTGACACTCTCGGGACCCGGCGTCCGTACGGTCAGGAAGGGCTTGTAGAGTGTGTCGACTCGGTTCCTTGCTTCTTCGGCTTTGATCTCGGCGAGGACGGACGGCGTGGTCACCAGGACGTGGCCGTGGGCGAGTAGCGTAGAAATTCCAGGTGTGTTGAGGAGGAGGGGCGAAGCGTCGAGGATTATGGTGTGAACAGGTTTCTTCTCAGTTTCCTGAGGCACCGGAGAGGGAACAGTCATGTTGGAAGTGCTGGTAGAATTTCCGTGGTTTCTGGTACAAAAAGTCATTCACAGTGGCATCTTGGAGCCGCTCGACTGTCCTTGTGCGCTTAAAAATTCCGCACATGCACGCACATACGTCAGTCACGGTTGGTCCAGACCGCTACACGTGACCTACGCATAAATACTTCATCCCCGCTATATCGAGTATACAAAGTACCCAGGTAGGTAAAAAAGCTGGTGAATAAGTATTCTCTACTTGGTACCTATGTGAGCCGATCATGTTACTTTCATATATTGATCTGGCCAAAGAGAGCATGGTACTAAACCACGCCAATATACCGAGACTGATAGAGATTATCCCAAATTCCAGAGCGCAACCATGATAGTGCCACTTCATACTTCATTTCCTCCTTGTCATCCGCTATATGTTTTAATTGAAATGTCTCATGCTCTAACACCCCATGACTATCACCCTAGGTATGAATACTTCTCAAGGGACATAGAAACCAGGTCAAAATTCCGAAAGTTTTAAGACCATCGTATTGCAGAATGCCCAAAGGGTGACGCCCAAATAGGTAACAACTTTCCAGCCCTTCAGGGACGACAACTCAGGAACAAAAAATGGTATCAACATTGCACCTCAACCTTTATCTTATCATTCCGCTTCCCATTCTTGGCATACTTTGCCTTCTAACAAACTCGGCTTGACTTGTCCTCCTTGAATTCACTTCTCTCGATGCGTTTGTGTTCGTCCTTGAGAGCCTTCTGGACCCCGACGTCCCAGAAGCTGACGGCAGGTACGAGAGACGGCGACCGTCATTATCGGCACGCGCATCTGCTAGGGACTGCGCGAAGGGTGACCTCTTCCGAAGGGTAGGGCCGTAATAGTAGATGACGTACACGGCAAGGACGAGGAGGGTGGCAATGCAGGCGAGGATGGTGCAAGCATAGTTGAGATGGCGACGACCTCCAATATCTGAGGGGTTGACGTTAGTTTCTGCATCTTCCACTAAGGCCACAGCCAACTTACTCGTGAAGAATGGGGTTGCCGGAATAGTAAGGACTCCCGCAAGAAAATCTCTTGACCAGCCATTACCACCGGTGGCAGACGCGGAGTATGGACCGTAGGCGCATATCATATAGTCGATAGTAGCCATGTAAATGGCATAGTTTGCCAGACCTACCAGAGCGGCGAAGATCATGGAGCCGATCCAGTGAATTGGAGGTCCTTGAATTGTCCAAGCAAATCCAAACAAGCCAATCGGTAGGCAAGGGGCTGTCCAGAGTAACCACCAGAGCCGGGATTCATACTGAGCTTTCTCGTTCCCAGGCTTTGACTTCCTCTCGTTGATGTTGCGCTTAATGGCTGGAATGAACGAGATCCACGCGATAATGTACCCGATGCCCAGGGGCAGAAACGCCAGGCCAACGGCAAAAATCGCAAAGTTCCATTGCGCGTACACCAGGGAGAAAGACTGGATGAACATGAAAATGAGTGCGTCACTAAAACCACTGAGAAGTGACAAGGTGAGAACGATAGGCTCTGTAAGGAACATCTTGAACGGCCGGACCCAGGTAATGAGGATTTCTCTCACTGAGAAGCGGTCTCTGAATGGTTCAAGTTCGTTGGGGCCCCAGATGTTTTCACCGGTGGCTTTGCGCCGTCTCTTTGCAACTCGATCCATGATGATGGTCGAACGCGTCTCTGGGACGAAGAAATGGCACGCCTGAACAAAGCCGCCAAAAATGAGCTGGATCCAGATCGTCCACCTCCAGCTGCTGACATATTGTTCAACGAATCCACCAACGATTGGTCCAAGGACGGAACCAAAGACTGATGAGAAGACCACGTAAGCGACAGCGTATTGCTGGTTATCAGAATCCCACATATCGGCTGATGAAGAGTTAGCGAGTGAAACAACAGATTGGACGTGCAAAATTAACCGATCATTCCTAGAGTCACTGAACCTCCAGCAGAACTGAGCCCGCCGAGGGCTCTTCCCACCATGATGGACGCGAAATTAGGGGCCAGGGCGACAGGTAGTTGCCAGATATTGACCAGAGTCAGTGACAGCTGAAGAATAGGCCAACGGCCAAGTTCCTCGCTCCACGGTGCCCACAACTCGCAACCAAACGCATACAGCACCAAGAATATCATGGCACCACATCGTGCGGCTTGCTCACTGACATTGTATTCTTCCGAAATGCCCTTGAGACCATTGGAGTACAGGCTAGTGTTGAAATTCATGGACAGCTGAACCAGGAAAATGACGGTCAGGATTGTCCATTTCTTCCATTCGGGAAAGGCGTAACCTAGTTCGCTGTAGCAGTCCTCTTCGGTTATTTCAATCTTGTCAAACGTTTCCGGCTCGGGTTCGTCTTCAGTGTCCTTTTCGGCCTTCTGTTCAGCTAATGTGCTGCCGACGTGCTGCGCTTGTTGGCGAGCATCGTCATCTGGCTGCACGGTAGATGCTTTCTCCCATTCTCCAGTTTCCTCTTTGGCGTTGGGTGAGGTTGCAGACTCTTCAAAGGGGATATTGAACTGCGGATGGCGGTCGCGGGCCGCCATAATGAATAAAGAAATACAACCAGGAGACTTTTGGTTACGTACTAACACATGAAAATGGAAGGATGAATACTTTGTCGCAACGTCGCGTCAGCAGCTGCAATGGGAAAATCTGGGGGAATGGAGTGAGTAAATACAACCCTGTGTCTCATGGATATTCACGGGGCAATGCCACCACCAGGGCATCTCGGTCCTGAACAGTGAAAATGTAACGAGCTATGATATCAACAGTATCCATCTGCCAGCTTCGGAGTGGAGCCGGAGGATGGCGGTTCGAATGAAAACTCAGATCTCTGCATAATGACGAAGGCACAATCATGGTCAGCTTTCCAGAAATCCTAGACTAGTCAGGAGGGTGGGGGAGGTCTCTCAAGGGCGAGGAGCGTTTCTTCCGCCATCTACCCTGTGGTTTCATTCATTTGTGTCTCCCATGCTCTTTCCAGTCCCGGGATGAAGGCCATGTGCTCAACACGAGGCTAGAATGGCGGAAGTTAGAACAGAGATTGGAGGCGAAAATCCCTCTTGCATTTTGTGTGGCGCGAGTGGGAAGGCTGGGGCAGGCTGCGCGACAGCATGATGGAACTCCGTGTCGATCTCTCTGTCCGCCGGTAAAGTCCATGATGGCGGCGGATGGTCACGATGGTGGTATTGGTGACCTCGGCGCTGAGATGACGTCGATGGCTCGCCGCTCAGGCACAGTCTCTGCTATCAGACCTCCAGCCGTTCGCAATAATCAGTGAGCGGAGTTTGGGAAGAAACAAGCAGTGATCTGCTCGGTCATCGGCAATGATCTGTTTTCTTGGTGGACGCCAAGCTTTTTATAGTGGGCGCCACCGCGCCAATTGCGCAAATGTGAGTCAGCTTCAATACGAGGTACACGGTCAAAAGCACTGCTCCGGAATATCTCCAGCAGCCAGGGTTGAGGAACCGCAATCGTGATCATGTCAATTACACCTCAGAAATCCCATATTGTTTCTGTCACACGACCCCGCCTCGAACAGGGGTTGCCATGGTAATAACATATCGTCATCCACCAAAGGCGCAAGGCCCCCTCGTGTGGCCGTTCGCCGAGATCGACATTCATTGTCCAAGCCTCACAAGCTTTCCCATAGGTAACTCGTGTTCATGTTAGTCCGTACTTTGTCCAGTCTTGGTCTGCTTTCGAATCATGTTGTGACATTGTAATCAATCGCGCCCACAATCCCAGCTTTTGGTACATGACCACCAACGCCGTTGCTAATCGCAAAACTCAAGTCCAATTATCTCATGAATAGATTGGGAGCACTTCCTTCCCGGATCTTGATTTAAGGCTTCCTTGCCGCCCAGGTTCCCTCCCGGTAGCTCCGCGTTTTGCTGCCGCCGCATTCGCCGTTGCGTTGCTAGCCTCTGAACCATCATCCTGAAAGACCTGCAGGGTGTTGATCGCCCAGAAAGCATCGGCAAAGTCTGCCGGGTTATTGGCGACGTAGTCTTCGCAGGTTGGTGCCAGAGATGCGCAAGAAGATGTGTTCCAGACAGCTCCAGCCCACTACAGAGAATTGGATTAGTGCGAGTGCCATGGGCCCGAAGGGACAGGCATTACTTACCTGTCCGCAGAATGTGGTGTCGAATACAATCTGGAGATTCTTGAAATGGTCATCAATGTTGAATGATCCTTGGAACAGCGAGTTTGGGGTACCCCAGTTTTCGGACGGGGCCGGATGACTGCTGACAATGTCGTCGGGAAAAGTACCTCGTGGGAAGAACCATATCTTGATGAAATCAGCTGTCCACTCGGTTGCAAACACACCTCCCCCGGCTTCGTTGAATTCAGGCCCAAAGGTCAAGTTGGATATGTCGCCGATCGAACATCCCGCGTTCATTGGCTGGTCAGGCGCATTGACATCGCAGTTGGGTGTGATCAATTCACCAGAGAATTCGGTGTCATTGCTGACCACGGCGCCTTGTCCGGTATGCAAAGTCATCGAGTTCGTAGGTTGATCATTGACTCCCTCGACGATGTCGATCTCTCCATTGTGCGGCCAGTCTGCGCCCAGCATCCAAAACGCAGGCCAGGTACCGCAGACGCCACCAGGCATGTGAACAATATCGGCAATAACCAAAGCATGTTGAAAAGACTGTGTTGATGAGACGCGTACACTGGCTCGACCCTGCGGAGCGACATTTTCAGTGTCCACGCCCATATAGATAGCGAAAGATGCATTGCCTCCTTCTATAAATCCCGCTATCCCCGTTGAATTGGCCTGCTCCAAAGATTGGAATTGCACGAGGCCATCGGTCGGATCCGGGTCGGTGAAGAAGTCGAAGCCTTGCCAGAAAGCGTCGCCGGAGTAGTCTTGGACCAACTGGTACACGGCCAAGGTGGGTTTGAGAACAGTGCTGACCAGCAGCATGACTAGGGAAATGCGCGCCATCCCGATGGCAACGTCTTACGATTGAAAAAGATTGTTTATCGAAATGAAGGGTTCTTTGGTTGCTGAACTGGCAGCGGAAAGTGTGGGAGGGAAGTTTATAAGCCGTGAATCAATCAACGAGCGTTCAGTAAGAAGACGAGCAGGAAGGAAAGAAGACCAAGTTGGCAACGGAAGGAGAATGAAGGAGAGGCTTGCAAACAGGACCTGTCAAGGCACGAAAGCGCAGTGAAAGAAGATCAATTGACACCGAGTGATATGAATCAACATTCCCTGGAATGGCATTCACGATGGAAGGGGGGAGGCGGCTGGGAAACCTCCTTCATTTTTTACTGCCGGTACCTTTGGCCTTGAAGGAATGCCATAGTTGAGAATGTGGTCCATCTGGAATCCAGCTTTCCGAGACTGGAATCTGCCAACCCGAAGACATTGACGGGGCTGTCTGGCCATTCTTAGTACTCGTACTCCAGCCCAAGTAGGGCGCCCGTCAATGGTAGGTGATCGTAGGAGGCAGAAGCTTTGTAGTTTCAATGCGTGTCACGTATTGAGCCAGTCGAGATGGAAACCACCCGACAAGTGTGAAACGGAATCTCAGAGGGGTGAATGAGAGGTGAGGTGGTGAGCCTCATGATCTGGATGCCGTGTGAAACGCGTTTCGGCAATCTCTCTCCATCCCGCAGCATCGCGTCCACTGGCGGCAAAATCGTCTGGCAACTGTTGCTCCGCGCCCACATCCAACCGAATACCAAACATTTCTTTACTGAAACACCGTCCCAGCTTTCAAGGCTAGTTTCTTACTGCTCCGGCTCCGCATTGGCCGTCGTGCAAGTTATGGCCGTCCTATTTCAGTCCTTTCTTTGGCCGCTATCATGACCACAGTGCTAGAGCCACAGCCCACTGCGCGCACAGCCAGAGCCAAACTCGATGCGGCGGCCCAACTTCCCATTGCCGACCTCTCTCCTTCGCGAAGAGATCCTGATGCTCACATTCTCGCACAGGTCGCTCTTGTGTGGCCCTACTCTAGCTCAACAGGAACACTCGCCCTGCTGTTAGCCGACCCTGACATTCGCCGGCGGAAATCTAAAGGCCAGGCTAAGGTCGTATTCCACAATGGGTGTGCAAGGGAGGTTGCAAAGACAAAAGTGGGAATTGGGGACACCGTCAAGCTTGCATTGGCCGGTTGTGAGTGGAAAGAGACTGGTGATGTTGTTTCGACACCGGGCAAGAAAATAGACTGGGATCTGGAATATAACACATGCGTCCTCCTGGAGGTGCTTCGAGGTGACCGAGATGTTACCACAGTGGATTTTACTGGAACAGAGGCAGATGTTCCAACTACGAATGGGGCTTTCATCAATATTGAGAGGGAAGATCACATCCGACCTAAGTTGAATGCTATACTTTCAGACTCCAGTACAATCCGCATTCCATACTTGACCCCCAGAAAATCGAACAGCGTCAATCCTACGGGAACCTTCATCGATGCTGCCTTGGAATCCTCGGTCCAGGACGACGGCTATGTGCTGGGCCGCGGTAGAAAGCGTACAAAATTCGCAAGAAACAGTGGAGCATGGAGTTTTGTTGATTTGGAGGCGGAAACACCTCTAGAAGAGAACAGGAACGGTAGCTTAGACGATGGGGATGCTGCAGAAGTACAGCGCTCCCAGCACGACGAGGTTGCACCAGCCGCAGAACCAGCTTCCCTTGGTGAGGTGAATCACACCGAATCGCAGAACGCCGTCGATATCTCGAAAGAGGTCGTCCACCAGTCCGCCATGGTTCAAGTAACCGAAGAGAATATGGGCGATATCTCAAGCCCAGTTCGTCCTTCTGAGTCGGTACCTATTTCTGCTGCGTCCCCTCCACCGGTGATGGGTCCGCCTCAAACACCACGCAGGGCACCTCCACTTGTTCAGCCAGCGATGAATAGCATAGACGCTTTCGACAACAACGACGGCTCAGAGGCCGCGACAACACCACGGCTGTTGCCTATACCGTCTCCTGGTCTGCCTCTTGTTTCTCCGTTAGTTCATCGTGCAGGAGTCGAAATCGGCTATTTTCCGCCGGCATACACGATCATGTCACAATTAGACGCTTCGAGTGAGAAGGAAGAGGAGCAAGCTGTCCCATTCACGAACACCGCAGACAATCACGATCATACATCACTACATTTCGATGAGCCTCCGGGTGATGTATCGGGTACGTTGAGGTCGGAGGATGCAGTTAAAGCCCACGAGGCTACAGATGACGCGCTTGCAGACACGACGCTGGTGTCCCGAGATTCTCAGGATGTGGCTGAGGATCGAGAAAGCGCAAAGAAAGCTGCATATGAGGCACCCCAGTGGCTTTCGTCATTGGAATCTAGCATTGATCGCGAGCTTCTTCTTTCGCAAGATCAGTCAATTTCTCACACTGTGTCCCAAAACCCCTCTCGAACCATCGAGGTCGAGGATGATGATCTCTATGGCGCTCCAGTCGATATGCAGAGAACAAACCCTTCACTTGCGGCGTCCCCCCCAGCTGAGTACCCCAGGAGTCCGCTGGATGTTCTTGAACGATTTCTTCAGATTTCTCCGACAGCCGCTGTGGGCTTTTCACCCCCTCTCAGGCTGGATGGCTCGCAAAATACGCAAAATACATCTTTACAGCAGGATGCGGCGGAGGGTGTAGCTGAAGAAATTCCGCAGGATGGGACTGCAGTATCAACCACCTCGAACCGATCCCCTGGCACATATCCTGAATCACAATCACCATTCAGGCACAATCAGCACCATCTGGCGAGCCCTATCGATTCTACCCGCCCCCATTCGGGTCAAGTCTCACGCACACAGTCGCTCGATGGGCATTCAGACAAGCAAGAGAGCTTCAAAGAATACATCGACCACCTTGCGCAATTTTCCGCCAATTCGCAGGCTCTAGAGCAGCCAATCCCTGGTCCTGAAATCTCTCGTGATGATATGCAGAATGAGACGCAGGTGGAAGCTGATGTATCCGTGACAACCATCATGGTTGATGTGAATACTCAGGTTGAATCTTTGGAACATGTCACGGAAGAGTCCAAGCATGTGACAGATCACTCAGAGGCAACAAATGTCGTCAAGGAAGAATCTCAACAATTAATTTCTGCCGTAGGAGACAAGGGGGCGGGCGTTGAGTCTGTTCTATTGCCACATGTCCACATATACGACCCTCGTGGACAGCTACCAACACCGGACCAGTCCCAGGTGCAGCGTTCCTCGACTGAGCCGGAAACGCCGAATCTAGTTCAGGAGTCGATCGAAGTTGGAATCCCGTCACCCCAACATACTCAAGAGGAGATAGACGGGGATTCGGAAGCACCTGTGCTCGCCATACGAAAGGAGAAGAGTCAAGTTGTATGGGAAGATCCACAGCCTATAGAGGTTGTACGAGGCGAAGCGAGTCTGGCTGCGCAAGAGGAAAGAGCTGATGCTCAGCAACATGACTCTTTGCAAGGACTTCAGAAGGAATCACCCATCCAAGAGCGGCCCCTCGAGCAAGGTACCAGGGTAAGTAGTAGCCATACGTTTACGACGCCGATTCCCACATCGCATCAAGATACTGCCACACCTCGCCGAAGCTCTCAACGATTATCGGCAAGAAAGTCCATCATGGCAGAGATCTCATCTAGTCCGTATGTTAAGCCTGGCAAGTCCACCAAACAATCTGCATCATTACCACCCAGAAAGGAGAACATCAATCCCGCTGAAGTCGACAGCGCTCTCCTTCCATCACCAAAACTTGGCCAAGTTGAAACACCTCTTCTATCAGTTGGGCTTCAAGAGGCCAAACAGGCTACCCATGATATGAAATCTGTGCCCAGGCCTCTCAGGACAAATGGGTTGGTCTACAGCGAAGATTCAGGCATTACCACCCCACTTGCTTACTTCACCCCCTTACGCTCGTTGCATGAACAATTTGGTCAACTAGTCGATGTTATTGCGGTATGTGCAGCTTCTTCGTCAGAACCCGAACAATCGAAAGCAGGACGGAAGGACTATCACACTATCCTGCAGCTCTCGGATCCTTCGCTTCCCTCTGAGACACCCTCGGTCATATCTGCTCAAGTCTTTCGACCTGTTCGGACAGCGCTTCCCACAGTCCACTCCGGTGATGTTGTCATTTTGAGGAACTTCAAGGTTCAGACTTTTCACAGACAATTCAGACTTGTGAGTAATGATACATCTTCGTGGGCAGTGTTTGGAGCCAGGTCCGACCCGGCAATGGCTTGGCCAGAGGTAGTTGTCTCTGGCCCTCCGCTCGAGTACGGAGACAGTGAGACAAGCCGAGCGAAGCTTTTGTTTGACTGGTGGAATGAGAGTGGAAAGCAATTGTTCGGTGTCAAGCCTACGGTAACAGGACAAGCAAAGCATCAGGAGGTCGAAAACAGCTCGCCCAACCCTCGCAGTCCACTCAGGGCCAAAGGCCTACCTCTACCCAGTCGGAAAGTCCCACCAGCAACCCAACGTCGAAACGCCGATCCGAGCGACATTTTCCCCGTCGGAGGCGAGGTTCTAGAAACTCCAGGATCCTCGACCGTAGGAACTGAAGCGGGCAATCACAACAAGATTGACAACAGCACAGACGGGAACGAGGTCTCCCCGGAACAAGTTAGCACGACTGACAGCTTCCAGCAAGACAGCGAAACCATTAGTGCCCCTGCAAAGCCATTGAATCGGCGAAGGGCCAATGGGACGGACAATTTGGGTAACGAGGGAGATGAAGACGTGGCCATGGTTGGGGATGACTGGGACCAGGGTATTCCTCTTGCTGACAAAACCAACCGACGCAGAGGATCGACCATTTCCACCGCTCCTTCAGAGTCCGGGACTACGTTCACTCCACGGCGAAGTGCAAGACTCAGGAAGTCACCCAGCCTCGTGCATGAATTGAGAGACGGAACGAAGTATGTGGATGACAACCGAAGGAGGAGTGCCAGTGTTGTGCACGAGTTGAGGGACGGGGCAACGTATGTGGATGAATAGGGCCCTTCCCTTGGCTAGTAATGCGACGTCAACGATCCATGGAAAAGTTTTGACTTGGGAAGTTGATGGTCCTCCACAACGAAGCGTTGTGGTTGAAGACTGTCGATGGTGCAGCCCTTGTGGCTGCCTTGAGCCCATACATAATTCTTTTCACAGTCTCATTGAGGAATATGATACGCTATTCATGTACACCCTTTCTTACTGTATCTGCTTCGCAAAGCCCCGACATTTCCCCAAGCTCTCACAAGAAAGTCAACCCCAGAGCAGAGATCACGCTCAGACCGACGACCGTCCATCCCGAATATATGACCTGCTGGTTCGTGATCGCCGCGCCCGTGTCCCACACCAAATGTCTAATGCCGTTCAAACCGTGGAACGTGAAGGGGAACGCCACGAAGGCCTTCAACGCGACCTTGAGGATGATGGGCAGGGCAGCAAAACTGGCAGCCAGACTGGCCGACTCCAGGTGCCAGCCGAACAGCGGGGCGACGAGGTAGGCGGCGCCGAAGACGTAGATTCCTCCGGACAGCGTAGCACCCGTGATGCGGTTCAGGGCACTCAGGTACCAAGTGACTTGAGGACGGTAGATTGCGAGGTGCGGGGAGACGGGGCGGTGGAGGCGCTGGTTGGCGAGGATTTCTTGACCGCTGGCTTGAGATACTGTTTGTGTTGTTGCTGGTCTAAGTGATAGTGAAGGAGAAGAAGCGAAAAGTCAGTAACGGTGTTTCAGTATAGATAGCATCGGGGATTCCGGAGGTGTGGAATGTAGAGTCTGGGTGAAACTGGCAAATCTTTGTCCATCCACCTCTTTTTTTTCCCGGCGTGATGAATTCGTGACGATCTTGATGAGAGGGTACTGACCTGTACTGAACGTTCTGTAGGGTCGCTATGGCTGCCGGGGCAGATAATCTGGGCAGAGCAGTGGAGGGGTGGGTTGCGGCCACTGTCAATCCAGCGCAGAAGTCAGTTGCCGTTGAATACCAGATTGCGTCGGGGGTGTCAGGAAGATTACTTACGTCGCCGAGTCGTCAGCTGCAGAGCCCTGCGGGAGAACATGTTGACCGACATGACTGCTGCTGCTGCTGTGGTCGGTGGTGGGAGCGTGCTTTGGATCTCGTGTCTGTTTGTCTGTCGATTGAAGCTCCAAGTTTCACTGGCATGATGTCGATCCGCTTTCCGAGGCAATCGCTTGGCATATCACGTGTTGAGGGCTGGATTATGTTTGTCGTGGCTTTAATTGGTTGCGGCTGATCAGCGCCTCTGGAGACTTGGACATTGGCTTACGAAGGTACCTCGTACCACTCGTAGGGAGGTTTCGATTACTTGAAGATTTTCGACACGGTGCTTGACGGAAACAAGGAAATATCTGCATTGAGACATTCGGAATGGGACTGCATGCGGTGCACTTGCTTGGGCGTCTATGAAAGAGAATGTGACATCCGGAACAGGAAATCACGGTATCCAAGGACAAACAAACAAGGTGACTATGGGTGCGCGCTCCTCAGATTGTTTTATCGATCATGAATGCATTCAAGTGGCATTTATGTGGCAGATGAATTGGTCGTCCATGGTATGGACATGCAGCCAAACTTGCGTTCCTCTATCTATATGAGAAAGACGACAGCTCTGGCATGGATCGAGGTAGACATGCCGTTGTCGTTGCTCACCTTCGACAATGTACAATGTGCAATACTTCTGGGCGGCATTATGGCAAACCATCCGTAGGTTTTTGTGATTGAAGAGACCACGTCGTCGTCTTGTGAACGAGCACCCTTTCTGTGTGTCGACTTGTGCTCCCAAGCAAGCTGAAGAATCCCGTGAGAGGGTATTGCGCGAACGACAGGTATTGGTCGTCGATCGTCTGGAGGAGTGGTGGGTTGATTGGATTTGGCTGCCACGAAGCACAACAAGATGAGGAAACTCTCTACAGACTGTCTGTTCTTGTCAGGTATGCCGATCTGTGAAGGCTTCGCTGTGATTTCTGCGAGAGGAGGACGCTGAGGTTCGCGACGCGTTGGCGACCTTGATGGACAACGCAGTGCATCTGATCATGTCGCACCCGCGCTTTTCTCACTTTTCATCTCATTCGACTTTGTTTCTCTCCAGTGTCGTGGCTGTCATCCTTGCATGAGTACTGTCCTTGTTTACCTGGCATCACATCCTGTTACGCATCATGTCCTTGACATCGTCTCCCCCACCTCCCCTAACACCGCCGGACGATGATGGCACCGCGCCCTCAGTACCTTCTGCCTCTTTCGTCAGCCTCAAGTACGCTCCAAGTCAAAAGTGCATCTGCGCCAACCGAGCCGAGTCGGAGCTGGCTACCTCGCTTTGTCCCCAACACGGATACCACGACTCCAAAAGCAAGATAGTCATACAGAAGAATTCATATGGCGTTGGCGACGCACAGAAGAGAGGAAGAGATACACAAGACCGTCGTGACAATAGCGCGCAAGGGAGAGTGAGGACAAGAAAGAACACTCCAGAATTCCACCCTCGACGCTCTCGAACTCCATTATACCCTCGACATCCGCTTGGTATCAACAATGCTGGGATGAGCGCCGTGGGGGCTTTCACCGCAGAACTTGGGCTCATGAACGACAATCTGCATCGAATGTTAACCCACCCCAGCGCTTCTGACGAACATATCCATTCGGTCCAATTCTCTGAGCGGTCACCACTGAAGCGAATCGACTTTCTTGGATGGCCACTCGAAGCACGGAAGCTCATTTACCGCTTCTTGCTCGTCCCGGCCAAAAGATCAGTCATTTTTCCAGACAAAGACAGCAATGACACATTCCGCCACCTGAATCCAGATCTTAACGCGAGGATACTCCAGACCAACAGTCAAGTGTACCGCGAAGCCCGAACTATTCTGTATGGCGAGAACACCTTCGTCGGGGCAGAGCCAAGTGATTTTTTCTTTCCCAACGGCATTCAAGGCCTTCGAGCAAGCACAGCGGCGAGGATCAAGCATCTCTCGTTCGTCCGGAAAGGCACCGGTCCGACGCTATGTGACATTGACAGCAATGTTCTGTCGACGTCCATCCTTTCGCTCTTTCAACAATGTCCGGCATTCCTCTTGCTAAAAACCCTCACAATCAGATTCGAAGTCATCCGGCCTCTGACTGTAAACATGTTCAATTTACAAGTGCAGTATGCCAACAACGGAATCGGCAGCAACATCAAGTCAGCGTACAACAAGACTGAAGTGGCCACGAAGGCTGCCGCAATGGTGGCGTATAGGGCGTTGAGAAAGAAATCACCATTCCAGGGGTTGAAAGAGGTTGCAAATCGTTTCGAGAGTGTCTGGGATCCCAGCAAAGATGGAGCCATCAAACATGTGATCGAGATGTGTTTGTTTAGAACCGAGGAACCGAGGTCGGAGTACCAGGAGCACAGCCAAATGCTGCGTGAAGCAATCTTGGACATGTTGTTTGAGGAGAAGGAGCGAGACGTGGACGGGGCTGATATGAGGTTCCAGAACTTTATGAAACCGTGCCCTGAGTGAAACTGGGTGGGAACGTTCTGTTGGAAGTTCAGGACGGGAACAGGACCAAGACGTGCACAGCTGACTGGATATTGGAAAGGGCCAGGCAGACAACGTGTACTTGACACACAGTGCTGAAGCGGTCTGTAAATTGCTGACGGAGATGGAGACGTGTAACAAACGAGCATGACACTCAGGGAAAGAGAATTGCTCTTTTGGGCTAGTATATACCTAGTACCTCAGGTAGTATTAGGAGTCACTAGTCACGGTAGGACACGTGAGTTGAGACTTGAGTGAGCGTATGAATTGACAAATGTGCACCAATGGTCCACCCTAGCAACTACGGAGACGCACTGGTCCCGTTTTAGCACTTTCTATGATAAATTTCAGATTTCATTTCCACTCCTCTTCTCTTTCTTTTTTCCTTCTCCATGGACTTCAGCTTGGCGGCTCACATTCGCGGCACTCACGCCCCGTTGCTTTCGAAGTGGTTTTCATCAAAAATGAATACGAAGTCCCAGAAGGATGAGGAACGTTAATCGTTTTCTCAAGACCTGCCGTTAATCGCCCAGTTGTTCTCTCAATGAATTTGCTCGGGTTTCATATTCAAGGTTACATTTCCTCTTTCTCTCCTTGCTAGAGATATTATCTCCATAGGCAGCCATAGATATATTGACGTATCTTCCTATCTCTCACGCACTCGGAGTCTTACCCTACGTACCTGAGTGGCAAGGCAGGTTGTGTGCTTGGTTGGTTGTGCCCGAAACGAACTCTGAGATTATTTCTAGACATTCTATCCTTTTCTGTGTCTTTTATGTCTACATTTCACTCCTCAACTCGTTTCTTTCTTGCCAGGCCATAACCAGAACCCCCTCACCGCTGTGATCATGTCACTTTTTGGAAGGTAAGCTTTCACATCAACGGCGACCACTCCGGTGGGCCAGTGCGCTTTGAGATCAGATGATCCGACGTTGGCCCTTCCGCCCCAGTGCGTCCCCGTATTGACCAGTCGAGTTAGCCTGCCAGCCTGCCAGATCGATACCCCTGCCTGCCACTCTCCCCGCCGAAGCCTTGCCGAGCTTTCATCGCTGAATGCTTGTATGAGTCTAATTAGCGAGCATCGCCGGTTCTCGACCTCTATCCCGACCTGCAACACGAGAATGCCAAGACACCAAGGTTTCCCTGCCTTGCGCCTCCTGCACTAATACCTGGGGGCCGACGAAGAATATAGGTCGGATGCGTGAGGCTACCTGACTCAATCGGATCGAGACCGGTCTTCTTCGTATTCAAGACAAAGCTTATTGGCACAACACTGGACAAACGTGCTTGAAGAAGGTTTTAGACGTAGCATTTTCCAGCTGAAGTCCGCGGGACTGTGCAGGATTTGGTCAGAACAGGCGATGGCTACAGCCCATCCATCCCACCGACAACACCATGTCTACTTGTAGCTCTAGTGAGGGCAGCAACCGGCACAATTAGCTCGTCTCTGGTTCAGTCTCAGCCGCAACGAGCAAAATATATCAACTGCGCAGCCTCTCTAAGCATGCGAGTTCTCCTTCTTCTGGATCATGATGTTACCTGCAACTAACAATCTTGAACTTTCTGCCGTTTGTGCCCAAGCCCAAAATCATGGCGGATCAAATTGTCGACACTATCGAGTCGCAGGATCCATCCGCTTCCTCCATCCTCGACAAACTACCCGGCAAACGCATCGACGCTTACATCCGCAAGGTAGCTAGTCGAGGTATCCCACAGCAAGGCGAGACGACGGGCGGATACAGCGAGGGCTATGCTCACTTGGCTCACATCCCGCTTTTCCCGCTGTACTCGGAAGAGCAGCACCGAATCATGGCCAAAAAATGGGGCGACACCGGCAAGTGGCACGACTGGGGCAAACAGGACCTGGACTTGCAGACAAAGGCAACCATAAAGGGCATGGAGCTCATGAGCGGCGGCCACGGCACCATCAGCACAGTGAAATGGATGACCCGGACCAAAGGCGGGCTCGACACCCTGGCTGCAAACATGGCGGTGGAACAGAACCAACTCGTGGTCATCACCCGATGGATCCTCCCCGTCCAGCAAGGGGTGCCCTGGCTGGTTGACGTGCTGGAGCATCGCTACCTCGATCCGAACAGGTGGGTCCTGTCCCTTTTTTAGCCCTTTGACCCTGGGTTGGAAATCCCAGATGCTGGCCCCCCAGGACCCGTACTAAACCGCCGCATTTGCATACAGCACTCGGGGCAAGATGTCCAAGATCTCCGGCAACGCCGTCCTCTTGAAACATGGCCTCCCCACCGAGGGCAAAGTGACATTCAAGGTCTTTGACGACACCCAGGCCAAGGGGATCAAGAGCCAGAAGACCTGGTCGAAGAGGCGCGGGATAGAAGCGTCGTGTGACGCGGTCGTGCTGGTTGTCGAAGGTGGGGTCGACGTGCCCCTGCACATGGTCGCGCGCTTCCAGCGGACGTGCAGCATCTTCGAGGGCCGGGAGATGCAGAAGCGGTTTGAGAACCAGTGGAGAGTTCCGATCCTGCGTTGACGATCGTTGACCGTTCTTTCTTCTACATGCACAGATACCTGTGCTCTTGGATGCCTGTCGGGAATTCATACTTGTGTCAATGTCATATTACTCACAAGCTTTCAGTATCGTGCCCCAACCAAGTAGCTATGTCGATGTTCAGATACTAACAGCATACCACGGTTACAAATGGCAATGTGGAACGCAGCAATCCACGCTGGCCGAGTATGCAGCAGATACACATTCAAAGAGGGTACATTTATTTTGTCTTATGTTATTCTAAGCTTTTTATTAAGCAGTCTCAGTCTCAGCCTCGCCCAGGGGCCGACCCTGGCGAGCCTTGCAATAAACCAACTATCACAGGGCCGGGGACTATGTGACTACTACGTGGCATGCCAGGGCCATAATATTCTCTCTCTCGCTCTCTCTGTCTCTCTGATTATTTCCTTTTCTGGTACCGTCCTTCTCGATTCGTTATTCTTTATTCGTTATTTTTTATATACTCTCTCCCTCTCCCCGCTTCTCCTTTCCTCAGACACATCCACCTACCTACCTGGGGACAAGAACAAGGGCATACATGAGGTCCACGCTCTTACGCGGCTCCAGCAGAAGCAGGCAGGTTCTGGTAGTAGCTCGCGTCCTGGTTGAGGAGGTAAAAGCCCTCTGGCTCGGGTTTGTTGGAGCCACCGAACCTGTGGTTGCACGATTGGTTAGTTACTCGGGTTTTCCCATACATACATAGCTGGGTTTTCAAGCCCGTTTGCATGCGGAAGTTTGTATCAACAGAGGATAAGAGAGGGGGAAATAAAGAATGGAAGGGTAGGTGATGTAGCCAAACCAGGCCAAGTCAAGCCAAGTAAGCCAAGTGACAAAGGGAGTAACGTACCATGTCGGCTGGGGCAGGCTCTCCAGCGGTGCCGGCTGCGGCGTATCGGAAAAGATGTGCTCAAAGGTCATGGCCCACTGGACGCGGTTGTTCAACCCTTCAAGACCCCACAGGTTCTGCAGGAAGTGCAGGAACGACGTGTGCGTGTATGCCGAGTTGGGCGCGTAGCTGGTCCCCGGGCCGACGAGGGTGTTTGGCTGGATCCACGGCGAGATGGCGATCGCGGGGACACGCACACCTAGCCGCGTAAAGTCGTAGGTTACGTTGTGGCCGTCAGAGACGCCGGAGAAGGTGATCCCATCTTCGGGCGCGGGAATGCCTGTTGGCGGTGGGACGTGGTCGGCAAACCCGCCGTGTTCGTCGAAGTTGATGATGACGAGGCTGTTCAGGAAAGAAAGGGGTTGACAAGGTTAGCTGTTTGTCCCGGAAGTGTCCATGCTGAGTAGAACGAAAGAGGAAGAAAGAGTAGGGAGAGGAGACGAGAACAGTGAGACACTTACATATTGTCCCAGTACTGCGACTTCCGGATAGAGTCGTAAAAGTGTTTGATCATCAATTCGCCAGCGGCCATATTACTCGTCGGATGCATCGAGTCGATGGTGCAGCACTCCGGGTTGTAGTACGAAAACTGTGGTAAGGTCCCCTGGGCCAAGTCCGTGTAGAACTCGTCCGAGTGGACTAGTTTATCCATTGCATTGTCCTGTACCCACTGATAGATCCAGGAGTCGATGATGTCCGTCTCGTAGTAGTTCTTCCACGAGATATTCTTTTCGGTGAGCGCCTCGAAGATCGACTTGGAGCAGTTCGTGCCGGTCGAATTGAGCTGCCATCCATACGCTTGAACCGTGTTGTCGACCAGGCCACATGTCGAGCCGGAGGTGGCGAACTGCCGGTTGGGATTCGTAGGTCCGGGATGCTCAGCATGGTAGCTGTCCCAGAAGGCGAAGTTCTGGGCGAGCGTGGCGAGGACATTAGTCTTCTCCTTGTCATAGGCTTTGATGACGAACGACGCGTCGCCAGGGGTGGCATTGTACTTCTCCGATTGCCGCTCGATGAAGCCGTTCATGTTGGGGACATCACTGGCAGTGGGGTCCCAGGTGCGGTAAATCTCATAGCTGGTTCCTGCGAAGTTGTGGTCTGGATCGACCAAGGGGACCTCGTCTTCGAATGGGCCAGCGCATATTGAAAGGGGCTCGTTCCAGACAGTCCAGTTTGGGTTCGTGTAGTCGTTGCAGTAGGTCACGTTCCGCAAGTTGTTGATGTCCGGGTGAAAATCCCAGTAGCCAGCAATATTGTCAAAAGAGTGGTTCTCCAGCATAAGATATACGACGTGCGTGATCTGAGAGTGCCTGTGTCAGCTTCCTCTGTCTTAGGCTTCATGGGGATAGTGGAACAAGACATACCTTATCGCTCAGAGGACTTCCCGTAGAGTTTGATGATGGAGGACCCCAGCTCTGGCGAGAGGCAAGGGGCATGGCATGTCCGAGGGCGACCAGGGCCCAAAAGGCGCTCGTTCTCAAAGTGTCCATCATGATTATCTTGTCCACTCTAGTGGTTGCTCTGCACATTCTTCTGCTTCATGCACCGTGCCATGACCGTGTCCTTATAGCATCGACTTCCTCTCTAAGTTGCCCGACGTCCGCTTCGGCGTGGCAGCGAGGCGCGCCATCATTGGAGCTCTGAAGTTGTTCTTTCCCTCGCAGCTAGACGAGCAAGTATTATCAAGCACATCACGAAGGATCCCGACACAGCCGTCCAGAGAATCGGCCAAAGGCGAATAGACATGGCACGTGGAAGGGAGGACTCCGTGAAAACGACGTTGCACGGGAGAAGTGAGGACTGCAATGATAGAGAAGTGAAGTCATGGCTCCGAATAGGTTACACACGAGAGAGTTCTGTCAAGGGAAACGATGCATAAAAGATGAGGCTGGCGTGCGGAGCTCCATACCCTGGCGTGCCTGAAGGATAGCTAATGCATGAGAGTTGCACCACTGGTTCACAGCGAGCACTGAGCAGAGCAACTAAGGATGTTGCATGCCCCATACAGTAGGTGGGCCGGGGTGGGGTGGAAAGGCAAAAAGGCTTGTGGAATGCTTAGCAGAAGCTTAAAGCTTCACTAACATTTTATGGTACTTTTTCTAATTCGTCCGTCGCATGGATCTTCCCCTCTTGTATACCTTGTACCTGGTACGCGTCCTTGTAGACGGAATCCCTCTCGACACTAGAGCCCATGCACGGTGCCTGGAAATCCTGCTGCACTGCAACCCCCACCAACTCCTCGAGCTTCGACCTCTCAGGTGTCACGGATTCCAAACCACGTTGCATCTTTGGCCACGTTGATAAGCAGTTTTCGCCCAGCTTCTTCCAACTGCATGATGCATGATGCATGCCAGTTTCCACTCTGGAGCTTTCAAGAACATCCTCGGCCCCGGCGCCATCGACCCTGGTCAATTTTTTCTACAGCTTCTTCCTTTTTCGGAAGCTTGCTCACGAGCACACTTTCAACCACGTTCCTGGCTTGATAGGCAGTCACGGCTTCATCAATGCACAACAAACGCTTTGCTTCTTGCTCCTAGCCAGATGATGCATGCCTTTGCGGTTCAGGCGACAATGCAGCGGATTAAGGCAAGGATTGAGGGCCAAGGGTCTGGCAGTTCGCCGGACTTCCGCTCTCTCTGAACAAGAATATGAGAAAAAGATGGGAAGTACTTCAGGAAGAATAGGATGCACGACTGACCATCGAAGCATCCACCTCTGTCCCATATACCCAAGGAGGCCCGTCCCAACCGCCCTTCCCGCGCTGCCATTTCACCAAGCTTCGTCTGCTGAGGGTCAAGAGTCTGTCATCGATCAAAACAGACCCCAAATCGTCTGGCAAAATGCTTGTGTCACTGTTCAGGTATATCTTCTCGCGACGATATATGCCAGTCCTCGAGAGGCCTGCAGGCGATCTTAGCGAGAAAGACTTCGATCTCGAGTCTACAGGCTCCGACACCTCCGAGGCAAGTACACTTACCGGCAGTGTGAAGCCGTCCTTCAAGGCAGATTCACGGGTCATCTCAGACGCCATCATCGGCCTCTCAGACGGCCTTACCGTGCCATTCGCCCTGACTGCTGGACTGTCAGCCCTTGGGGACACCAAGGTGGTCATTTATGGCGGCCTCGCAGAACTCATTGCGGGAGCGATATCGATGGGTCTAGGAGGATATCTGGGGGCCAAAAGCGAAGAGTGAGCCACATCTGCCATATTCTTGACCTACAACGCGAACAAGTCTAAATTCTTGAAAATAGGGAATCATATCACGCGACACGAAAGCAGACAAAGGACCAAATACTGAGCGACCCAAATTCCCTCTCAGAGAGCATCTCGGCCATCTTCGAGCCTTACCACCTCCCAGAGTCTCTGACATCCGAGATTACGACTCATCTCGAGAAATGCGACCCAGACAACCTGGTCAACTTCGTCATGTCCTTTGAGCACGCCCTTCCCGAGCCTGCCGGTTCTCGGGCCTTGACCTGCGCCCTGACGATTGCCCTCGGCTACTTTGTTGGGGGCTTCGTCCCGCTCCTGCCGTATTTCTTCACCGCTCACATCTCCAAGGCTCTGCTCTGGTCTATTGGGACCATGGCCCTGGCTTTGTTTCTGTTCGGATATGTCAAGACGTGTGTGAATGTTGGGTGGCGACGGGGAAGGCACATCTGGCAGGGCGTCTTGGGAGGAATCCAAATGGTTTTTGTCGGTGGTGCGGCCGCCGGAGCGGCCATGGGTCTTGTTCGAGCATTTGATTATCATGCTGCGAGTGGCTGATAGTGGTGATGTTGTAGCCCAGTTCCATTTATCCTGTTTGAGTGGAGCGGAATGGTATATTACATGGAGGAAATTTGTCAAAAAGGCTCATATGCATAGGCGCCTGCAAGAGGCATTGATGTTTGCCAGAAGGGCCATGGAGCTCAAATGTGCCGTAAAGTCCACGTATCAGGGACTGGCCTCGATGACTTGACACGAGAAATCAAAAGTGCTCGTAGATTTTGTATTCCCTACGGGTTGCATCTGGAAATCTACTCAAAGTTTCCACGTAGACCCAGGAATCTGTGCTCACTAGTAAGGGATGATCAGCATTGCTTGAGATGCATCCGATGGCTCATATCACAGATCTCGACATAGCCACACGGTGGAATATGCGCCGTATCCTAGCTTTCCAACAACTTGGTACTTTGACTGATATACGTCGCCGATGTGAACAGGGTAATACTGTTGAGGCTCGTGAAATGGCATCGTCTCCTCTTCCAGGAGTCTTTCACTGGGTAATACTGGAGCTCCACCGCTGAAAAAACTCCTTGGGAGAGATACCCTCCACCTGAGAGCATGTCTCCATAGCTGAAACAGAGATGTCATGTCATTTTGTCCAGAGAAAGCAGAGTGGAAGTTGAACGTTGTATAGAAGGAGGTCCAAGTGCCAAGACTGTGCTTCGTGGGAGGCAGGTCTGCCGAGCCACCCCCTTTTCCAAGCACGTGACAGGTCATTTTTAGAATGGTTGACTCCAAGTCCTCAAGTCAATGATCGACATTTATGACCTCCAGAAGTGATTCTCCTACGTGCCCACACACGAGAAGATATGTATTCAGCGGTCTACTGTGATACGAGACGGATGTATTCCACAAATCATTCTGACGAGGCGCCACCGATTTCCCAGTGGTCGCCTTGCGGAGGTCTTGTCGCTCTACAGACTGTGTTTCCTCTCTCTGCCTGCTGTCTCAATCACGAATCCATCCTCTCCAATCTCCAGAACCTCCCCCGCACATAACCCCCCTACTTAGGAGTACATTTCTTCCCCGCGTGTATCGGAATAGGAAACAGAGAAAAGGAACCAACCACAGCCGCTCGGCAAACACATTTCCCCATCGAATCGCCGCGGTGATTTCAGAAATGGAAGTTTGTCTATATAAGGAGTCGGTCAGATGGCCCTGGTGTGGTTGCATCCTTACCTCAACCCCCTTCATTCCCGGCTGATCGTTAACCATGGCCAAGGCATTTGCAGCACATCAAGCTGCGTTTGAGAAAGAAGGCGTCTACATCGGCGGCTGGTCGTTTCGGGACACGCTGACTCCGAGAAAGAAGGATGGGAAACACGATACCAGCGAGGACCGCATCCAGAATGCCACCGTCTTGACTCCTGACTGGACGGTGGAGGAAGAGCGGAGATTGGTTCGCAAACTCGATTTTCGAGTGCTCTTCCCGGCCTGTATCATCTACTTTCTTGCCTATATGGACAGAGCCAACCTCGGAAACGTCAAGATCTTGGGTCTGGGGACGGAATCCTCCATCGAAGGTCGCCTGGGGATGAAAGGCGCCGACTTCAGCTGGGCCGTGTCCATCACCTACTTCGCCGTCACCGCGGGCCTGCTCCCATCGAACATCCTGATGAAGAAGTTCTCGGCAAAGTACTTCTTCCCCATTGTCATGATCCTGTGGGGCGTCATCGTCATGTCTATGGCCGCTTGCAAGAGCCTGGCCGGCCTCCTAGCAGCACGCTTCTTCCTTGGTATTCCAGAGTCTGGTGTCGTCCCGGCCTGTGTCATGTACTTTTCAATGTGGTACAAGCCGTCCGAGAGAGCGTTTCGTATTGGGGTCTTTCACAGTGCCAACGCTCTCGCCTCTGCAGTGTCAGCCTTCATCGCCGCAGGGATCGGGCACCTGAACGGTCGTAATGGACTGGACTCCTGGCAATGGGTCTTCATCATCGAAGGGATCTTGCCCATCGCCATGGCGCCTATCATCTTCCTCCTCCTCTTGACATTCCCCGAGACGTCCACGGCACTGTCAGAGCGAGAGCGGTACATCGCCATCAACCGATTCGGCAGAGGCGCGGCGAGAAAGACCGATGTCAGCTGGAGCTGGCCTGCGTTCCGTCGCATCTTCAAGCGACCGTCGACCTACGTCTTCTTCGTCTCGTACGTGGCGCTGTGCATGGTCGCCGTCGCCCAAGCCACCTTCCTGCCCACCATCCTCAAGGTCTTCCTCGGCTACTCGACGACAAAGTCCAACCTCTACACCGCCGCCTGCAACCTCAGCATCATCCCCTTGTACTGGGTGTGGGGTGTCCATTCCGACTGGACTCGAGAGCGCATGTGGCATTACCTTCTTCCCGTGGTTGCGTCGGTCCCTTGCTATGCCGTCTGGACCTATACCTCAATGCACCCGGAAGCCCGAGGCACGGTGATCGAGACGACCGCGTTATACGGCATGGCGTATCTCGGCCAGATGGTTCTGATCTCCCAGCCGATCGTGCTCAGCTATCGCTCCTCAACGCTGTACGGTGCTGCCGAGCAAGCCGTCGGCGTGGCCGCTGCTGTTGCTTCGTTGACCATCGCCAGCATTATCGCCCCGCAGGTACATATATTTCCATGCACCCTTTATCTCTTCATCGCTTATGCAGGAGCTCTCTGCTGACCATATAAACAGATGTACCCCAACCAAGACGCCCCACGGTACCTGGCAGGCTTTGCAGGCACGCTGGCTCTGTTGGTCGTGTGCATCCTCTCCTACCTGACCTTGCCTCTGTGGCTCATGCGGGAAGCACATGTACGGAAGAAGAAGACCGGTCACGCCATGCCACTACAGGTACGAAGCCCCTCCATTTTATCTTTTACCACCTCTCCTTTTCTTTGTTTCCCTTTGTTGCTTGCACTTCCCTCCTCTCCCCGTCATCCTTTCCCTATGCTCTCTTCATCTTGTCCGTCCATTTCGATACACTGCAGTCCTCGTCCCTGTGTACTAACACACCTGTTTCCTCACCTCAGGCCATCGAAGATGCCGAACGGAGCATGGTCACCGACGCCGCTCACGATCTCATCCACCGCCTCAACGAACAAGAAGAGATGGGCATGCTCGCGGCTAAGGGCGTCGAGGCCGGCGCCGCCGAGGCCCAGCATGTCGAGGAGCAGCATCAGCAGCCGCCCAAGACTATCTGAGCCACGCGCCCCTCGTCGACGAAGACTACGTTGGGGTGGGATGGGACAGAACACCAGGGACGCGAGACACGTCATGGGCTTGGGCATGCGAAACGGAAACGGAAACGGAAACGGAAACACGGACACAGACACACATACATATATATAAACGCGCGCGCGTGCATACGCAGACGCAGACGCGTATATATGTATACAGGACGCAGGTTATGCTACAGATTCAATGATCGATAGGTAGCTAGGTAGCCTATGGAACGAAGTATATTCGATCCAATCCAATCCAATTCGATCGATCAGATTCGTAGTCAGATACATCATGCATGTACTTGCATGTGTGGGGCGAAGGCAATAATGAATACCTTTCCTTCACTTCATTCCATGGTATCGGTATTGGGGCCCCCATTCGCTGCGAACGAAGCATATTGCGTGCAAGAAAAAAACACTCTGGGGCGTCGAGATACGGGGTGGTATGCTAGCAGGCTAGGTAGGTAGGTCCGTAGGTATGCAAGTAGGTATAGATCAAGGTCACTAGGTAAGAAAGATGTTACGGACAGGACCAAGTCATGTGGTATCCTAATGAGATAAAGTATCCTGGTATCGTATATGCACCTATCCTACTGTAAATGTGATACATGGGTAGACGGAAGGATGTCTCGAACAAATTTTTACTCGCGAGTTCTCATCATGTCCTGTCGTGGCATACATATCATGCATGCATGCATGCATGACCTTTGGGGTCTATCCAGGTATCCAATGATGGAGGGTTCATCGCAATTTTCTCAGGGGGCCTGTTCGTCTGTCTGTCTGTTTCTGTGTCTGTGTGTGTGTGTCTATATGTCTGCTGTAAGGATCTCGAGTTCGGGGGGAGATATCAAAATCTTGGAACCTCTTCAGCATCGCTCGGTCAGTCATTCAGTCACTCTTGGCTGTGTCTGTGTGTGTCTGTATGTGTGTGTCTTGTCACACTCCTTCAGAACAACGCAGTATATACCTCGTATCGGACGGTCCAAACAAAGCAGACCAAGCCGCACCCAAGCCGGGCCAAGACAGCCCAAGCAAAGCCAAGGCAAATGGCGGAACGAGCTCGACGAGTTTCTCACAGCCTCGCCATCCCTGTCGTGTCTCTCCTCGAGGACGACGTATTCCACACCTGCACCTCGGGGATCTCTGCATAGTTGGCCGGGAAGAGCGCGGGGCCCGACACCTTCTTGGATACCTTGCCCGTGGCGTTCTTGGGCAGTTCGCCCTCGATGACGCGCAGGATCGTCGGGAGCTTGTACCGCGCCAGTTTGTCGCCGAGGTCTTTGCGCAGTTGCGCGAGTGTGAGGGCCTTGCCACTGCCGGTGGGACGGTACGAGTACGTCGTCTGGTCGTCGCGCAGGGTCACCGCGGCGGCGACGCGCTGGCCCCATTCGGCGTCGTCGACCCCCACGACCATGACCTCGTTGATGTACGGCAGGCCCAGGCACTCGCGCTCAATGTCCAGCGCCGAGATCTTGTACCCGCCGCATTTGAGGATGTCGACCGACGCACGCCCCAGGATGAAGTAGTACTCTCCCTCACGCCGCCCGATGTCGCCCGTCTTGTAGAAGCCGTCCGAATCGTGCGCGTCCCGTGTGGCTTGCTCGTCGGAGAGGTATCTGCAAGTTTGCGCGGGGGTGTTAGTGCCAGTGATGGTGTTTCTCTCTAGGAAAAGGCAGAAGGGAAAAAAAAAAATAACAGATGGTGTGACTCATTTAAGATGTAACGAAACAACCTTCGAATCATTTGGGATGGGGATTGGTTCATCTTTGCAAAGGGCAAAAGGAAACACGACCTGTACATACCCCGTAAACATGCCCGGGCTCTTGATCAGGATTTCGCCTTCGTCACCACCGTCTGCAAACCGCACTTCCACCCCAGGGGAACACGTACCCACGGAGCCCGATGGGGTGTCCCCAGGCTCCAGAGCCATTTTGAAAACAGCCCCAGACTCGGTACTTCCGTAGCGCGTCAGGATGCGTTTGCCGCCCCTGAGAGTCTCCCAAAACTCCTCCACCGGTCGGGGCAGGGCGGACGTGCCGCACAGCATGCCACGTATTCGCATTGCCGCTGCAGCTGCCGTAGCGGACTCGATGGATGTACTAGATGGAGGAGGAGAGGAGGAAGAGGCAGATCTTGACAACCCCACCTGGCTTTGCTGGAAGTGGCGCATCATCCGCACGTACATGGTGGGCACGCCCGTGAAGAAGCTAATGCCACCCTTCTTCCACCGCTCCCACGTCCACTCGGCGCTGAATGGCCCGCTGCGGAATTCGATGCAGGCGCCACGAATCAGGAACGGGTAGAAGGACAAATATGCTCCCGTGGCATGGTGTACGGGCATGAGATGCAGGATACGGTCGTCCTCTGTCACCTTGTAGTGGTCGGCTACGGAGCGCGCGACTTCGTGGGTCATCGCTCGTCGGTGTACGGCCCCCTTGGGTTTCCCCGTTGTCCCGGACGTAAAGATCACGAACGCCGGGGCGTTGTCGTCTAGATATCTGTCGGAGGAGATTGAGATATCGGATGGTCGATGGCTCCAATGCCGGAGGGAGGGGGCGATCAAGATCTTGGAAAAATCGGCCGTCTGGCGCTGGCTCCTGACAGTGTTTTCTAAGGCGGTTCCCTGGCTGTCCAAATTTGAGGCGGTCAGGACTGCCACGCACTGGGCCTTTTCTATAAAGTAAGATGCCTCTTCTAGAGGTGCTTGTGGACCTATTGTGCAGAAAGTCTTAGTCTTTCCAGACGACATACGTTCTAAAAAGACAGCTAGCGACGTTGATAGACTTACTGATGGGCACTACGACGGCTCCTAATGCGAGAACGCCGAGAACTCCAACGGTGTACTCATAGCCCCCAGCAGCCAGCACGGCGATGAAAATGGGTCTGTTGCCTCGTACCAGGTCATCTCTCGCTGTCTTGCCCAGGCGTTCTAGCAGGTCGTTTCGCATCTCTAGAACGTCAGTTAGCAGCTGGATGCGAGACTTTTCGACGTCGAGGTTGACATCGGCAATGATGGTCTTCGCAGGCGCGTCGTGGGCCAGCCGCAGCAATCTGCCGAAAAAAGGACAGTTGGGAAAGACATTCCGGCCCTGGTGCGGAGGCACAAAGTCGGCACGGTCTGGAATATGCATTTCGCCCTGTATCTCGTTCCGGAAATGAGGTTCACGAACAAATCTCAGGTCGGGGCCAGATTGCTCTTCTTATACACTGCACAGCACTGTTATCATTCTGACTAAAGCCAGGGAGCGAAGATGAAAAGATAGGACTATCATAACTCAAGTCTCTCTGTCCTTGAAGTCGAGTAGGTACGAATATGTTGTTCAGGCTGATCCACATATCGCCGAGGGGGTTTGGGACAAGCGGGAATGCCGAACAGGAAAAACACTTCGGCCATTGTCCGGGAGCGTTTTGCTAAGGCTCAAAGATCAACTATTTGGAGATACGGTCCAGGAGCCGGTCATATGATCGGGTATGGGTCGGATTAATTCGCCAAAAGGTACTTGGTAGACCCTGTGTACCAACGAATATCTGTAAAGAACCTTGGGAAAGGCACTCAAGCCAATGTCTCGGCGGTGCTGTATACAAACGATACTCGTATCCTAAATCGACGACATGCTATTCATACGCGCTGGTATTGGCAAGACATGCTTGATACTCCTGGATAGTAAACTCGATTTGCTCAGAATTCCGGTCGACATCGCAACGAAGGGTGTCATTGACTAGGCAATCAAGTAGGTGGATGGATTATCGGGCAAATGACTCGTCTGCTGGTACGCCAGTGCCAGTGACCTCGAGCCGATAATAGGGCCGGTTAGGAAACGCCGGCGACAATTTCCCAGATTTTGAGTACCTGGGGATTTCGTGGAGAATTCTCCAAAGACGGAGATTGTCTTGCTGCTTCATTGGTTCCATTTAGGGTCCTCTGTGTTGTCTCCTGGAAGAAGACTCATTGTGTGAATAGAGCAGTAGGTCGATAAAATACCCGACCAAGGAGCAGGGCATTGTACTTACCATACAATTACCCGCATTTGCCGCGCCGTCGGCTGTTGTCGATCTACTCCTCTGTCCTTCAAGGTTTGCTCTGGGTCCAAGTGCTGCCAGTGGCAGAAACGGGATTCCGTTTGTGGAGCTTGGTCCTTTCTCCAAATCTTCCCCTCCGTAGACTCTGCACCAGATGTTTTGAGGCGGTAAACAATGCCTCAGGGCCTGAAACCAATATGTCTCGACTTAACCTTAGTGGGGAAGCCATTGGAGGTAGGACATACAATAAACTCATATTGCGTCGCTACACAAAGCACCCAGCAAGGTGATATCTACCTCAAGTCCTGCAGAAGGCGTTCATGAAGCGACATGAAAAGGTGGTCGTCGTCGTCGTCGTCAAAGTCAAGTCCTACCCCCAGGCTGTCGTCACCACTGATCCAGTCGCCGTTATCGTTTGTAAACCATGAGTCTGCTGTTGTATAATCTTGGATCTCTCCAACTGGCGCACCCAAGGCGATCGACAGAGGCTTCAATGAGGCAGCAGTTGTTAATTCCGGCATCGTGCTGTCGGCGGCCACCGCTGAGTCTGGCCGCATGCTCACGGCATTGAGGTTCGTGAGAGTAGAAGGGTTTTGGACGCGGACGTTGGGTTTTTCCTGAAGGTCGACCCGTGCGGCGTCCATTGCTGTCTCAATTATATGCCTCTTTGGGCATAATTCTTCCGGGATCATCTCAAAGAATGACAGCTGCTCGGGAGAGAGATCCAGGTCAGTTAGAGGGCGATCTGTCTCCGGTCCACGCTTCACGGTGTTGACGAGCCTCGTCAGAATCCGCAGAGCTCTCCGTGCAGAATGCCAGGTCTTTGCCATCTCCTGCAGGGACTTTTGAATCACCGACAATTCAACTTTGGAGACGTTCCAAAGTGGACTGAAGTTGAAGCAACATAACTGCGGCAGGGCAGCCACTCTGAGGTAAAATATGGTCATTGGGGCCAGACACCTGAGCTGGTCGCGAGCCAGGAAATCTTCGAAGATCCGCGCGACACACGAGGAGGCGAGGATTGGCGCTACTGATGTACAGTTACCAGACCGCCCGGGTCCGTAAAGAATGGATACAGCGGTGAAGTATATCAGGTATAGCTGGCGGGCCTCAAAATCATAATCAAGAGCATTGTTGAGCTTCAAGCAGTCGGGTAGTTGATAGATCCAGCGTTGAAGACTGCGGCCAACCTCAACCGGTGCCCAATGGGAATAACCTCCGCTCAGAGCTTTGCCACATTGCCCCAGGATCGAGCAAATCTCGACATATGCGACAAAGAGTCGAGCATTCTTGTTGTCTTGAGGGAAGTCGGCGACAGTGGGTAGATTGATATTGCAATCAACCAAATTTATGGCTCGGGGGCGGCCTTGAGCTATAGACAGTTGACAATCTCGCGACTAATTCCAGTCAATGGGTGCGGCGATGGAGGAGAAGGAAGGGAGAAACTCACAAATAGTGTCCAAAAGAGTCTTCGTCGCATTTTGCACTTGACGGATCTCGGATCTGGTTCACGATGTAACCCTATCTGATATCCCAACCCGACTGCGGTCCTAAGCCAGAAGCCACTCGAATGGATTGAAACGTGTTCAGGCCCGCTTGGGTTGTACCATTGCATCAAACACAATGCACTAATCGTGTTCAGGGGATCCGTCTCCACATCCGCGAAGAACAACGCCTTGGCTTTGCTGTAAAAGCTCGCACAGTCTGAGTTGGGTGATCGCGCTGTAGGTTGGACTCGGCTACCAGCGACGAGAACAGCTTGGGTCAGGAGCAGTGACCCTCCAGGCGTTGACGAGGTAGGTCCCGAGCCAGTATTCTGGAGCTTCAGGTCCTCTATCTCCACCACCGGCATCCAAGGACTGCAGATTTTGAGAAAGTTGTCGATGAGGCCATCCCGCACCGGCCTCGGTGGGAAATCAAATGCTTTCAGCGATTGTAGATACGACATTTCGGCATCACCCCTGGAACACTTGGGCGCCTCGCCGTCAGAGTCTCCTTCTGTGGCGAACTCCCCTGGCAGATACTCGGGTCTGCCAACATAGGCGAGGTTTTCACCGGCAGGGGAGCTGGAGTTGTCATACTTTGCTGTTTTTGTGATGCAGTGTTCAGTGCTGGCTTCTTCTGGTGGTGGTTGTTGTGGCAATGTGCAGTCTTCGACTGGCTTTATGAGCGACGAATGATTCTGTTCCTTCTGCACCCCTGGAGGAACGCGCAATTCACGCAGACGCATCAGATCATGTCGCTTTCTCCTGTGAGGTCTGTGAGAGCATTAATGATCAGCGAAGAACTTGAAGGGCAGGCGAAACTGTCGTCTGGCTGGCTCTTACATGCATTGAATGCTCTGGAATCGACAATTGGAACAGGGTTCTTGGCCACGGACGAGATCGCAACGGATCTACGTTCCAGCTTGTCAGTAGACCTGTGAGTAAGTATCCAACTAGATCCAGAGTACTTGCCTTCCGTTTATGGCAGCCACTACATGCTTGTCTGCTCCTTCGTCCAGATCCTGGCGTGGCTCCTGTTGGGGGAGGACTCGATGGCATGTTGAGTCAGGCGGTGACATTTTCGAAGCTCAAGCTTGGATCTATTCCAAATGGACCTTTTAGTTTGGAATGGCTCACGGTACGAAGCCCTCGGCCTTACCCCGCCACTGCCCGCCTCGTGGTTTTGGTCTGTGCGGAGTGTTGCCCTGGTCTTCTCCTGTCGTGGTCCACCAATGGGGGCCGGAGCCGCAAACTTGTCTCCGAAGTGGATGCATCTCGCAGGATGAAGCTCTCTTGTGCGACAGGAGGATAGCTCTGGTGTTTGGAATAGCCCCTCAAGCTCATCTGAGGGTGTCCAGTGCAGTCTGGTACGTAATTAGTTTAGCAAGAGAGAGGAGGAAATGGAGATGTTGACGCAGCATAAATGCCAAGCCATTGAGCTTGTAATGACAAGGGCGCGGATCAAAAGACTGCGCATTCGAATTTCTAACAGTGTCTCGCTGATTGAACTCCGTCCAGGTTCCAAGCACAGACTGCCACACTGCGAATCCCACGAAGAAAACACCCAAAACAATTCACAAATCTTTCAGCATGATCCAATCAATCTGAATACACTTGCCCATCTTGAACTCATGGTCGCCAACTTTGACGAATCCCAATCCCTCGTACACCTTCTGCGCTCGAAAGTTGCCTTCCCAGACACCCAGCCACATTGCCCTGTATCCTAATCGCCGAGCCACACCCTCGATTTGGTTGGCCAAGAGCTTCCCAACTCCATGGCCGTGGCATGCTGTCGAGACGTACAAGCGCTGCAGTTCGACGACAGACTCGACGTCGGAAATACAGGGTTCGGAAGTGCCCTCTGTGAGTTGGGCGAAACCGATGATTTCCTGTCCGCTGGCCCCGTCATTGTCGGCTGTTTGGTCCTCTAAACAGGTAACGAGAATATGCTTCGTCGCACACCGGATGTCCTCTTCAATAGCCTCAATGCTATACGCCTCGTTCAGGTAGGCCTTCAGATCGTTTGTAGGAATACTGAAGCCAAAGGTCGTAGCAAAAACGGTGGCACCCAATCGTGCAATTGCTGGGGCGTCAGCGATTGTGGCCGGCCGGATAGAGAATGCTAGCTTTTTCCTTGGTGGCAGCGGGTCAATGTCTATCGGCTTGGTTCGTATTTGAACAGCTGCGGGTGATGAGATGTGTGCATTGTAGGAGTATTCTAGATATTCTGAATTTGCAGGGGTAGCTAACGATGGCGATGTTGGTAGCGGAGGCGGGTGTTGTTGGTGAACAAGCATGTTTGTTTGTGCTCTGACAACTCTGCGATATGCTGTGTCTCGTGGATGGTAGGCACAAACCCCCGTGGGAATAACGTCGAGATCAGACGAATCTATGCATGAACCAAAAGGGCCATTCTAGTGTGTATATATTATCCAGTCCTGAATATGAGAGCAAGCTCTTGAAAGATGCAAACGGGCAAGTCAGATAAGCCATCCCCTTAGCGGGCAAAAAGAGAGACGACCTGGTGCCCTACGCCCTACGCTTTACAGTCCCTTAGGCAGGCCCACTCAAGAGTCAAAATCGCCCACCATGGAGGCGGGGAAAAATGAAGTCTCGTTTCTGATGCGCCCTGAGACTGATACTTTTGTTCTGTTGGGCTCTTGTCGGTTAGCACGCCCTTTGACCACCAACGGAAAGCCTTGAAATGACGTGGCGAAGTCTACGCCCTTTTCCAAAATAATGATCCAGAGAAATAATTAAATCAAATGACCGGACTTTGCCGGTGGAGATTTTGTTCTTATGAAACCGTTACTTCAAGAAATCAAAGGGGCGACAGAGGGCGACAGAGGTGTATGCCGCGAGTATCCGACTCCAGCCTGCAGCATTCGCTCGTGAACAAAGGAAAAAAGAGACTCGTAAAGAGGTCGTTGGCAAGGAGCATGATTCATTCATCGTCAACAATACTCGGTCAGGGCGCACACGTATTGCCTGTCGGTCATATCCGGACAAGGTAATTCCGCTTTCACAAAGACTTGGAACAAGGTATGGGAATTCTACCATGGAGATGTTGAAAGAGTCAATCATTCATCCACGTTGACATGGGTAAGTCACAAGGGAACATGAAGCGAACTTACCAATTTTCCCAGCTGAAATGTCCTAACAACTATTTCTTCTTGGTCCCATCCTTTCCATTCTTTGCCTCCTTTTCGTTGGTATCTTTCGCATCCTTTCCTTGATCCTTGGTCTGATCGTCATCTGTTTTTCCTTCTGCCTCTTCAGACTGGTCTTCATCTGACTTGGGCTCAGTGTGTCCGGTCACCAGAGCTTGCCAGACCGCGTATCCCGAGACCAAGACACCAACCCCAAACACGATTTTGAGGAGCGTTTTCGCAGGGCCGCCGTACTTCAAGACCCAGCTGGCGAGCCATTGCATAGCAGGAGTGACCAGCTGCTCTCTTTCTCTGTCAAGGTCTGGATTCACCGTGCACAGCAGGGCCAGCAAAGCAAGCAGGATCAAAAGCAATGTGATGACGGTCACCACCTGGATGACAGCCAGCAGAATGGCAATGTCTTTGGTCGTTTGGAGTACTTCGAACCCAGCGGCGACCAGGGGCGTAACTTGTTCAAACGCCGAGTGAATCTCCTTGGAATAGGGGAGGCCCATTTTGTCACCGCTATGAGGTGGCGCTATGTCTCTGGGGTATAGGGGGTGTTGAACGGGAAATCCCACTGAAAACTTACCGGAATGATGGATAGATCTTCATACCACGAGGTGGTGATCTCACGTTTTTTTATAAACAGGGAGGGTTTGAACATGTCAGTGTGATGTCATATGCCCCATGGTCACGACGAACTCAGCCTTGTCGCCTACAGTCTGGGGTTGACACTGAGAGGCTTCTGTCCAACAATAATATGTTGAATATCATGGATAACTTGGAGACACGTAAGACTAGGTACTCAAAAATGGTGAGAATACAAATTCAAGGTACCAACTGACCTCGACTAGTGCAAGCTGTGTTCGAGTCCAGAGGGAACATCAGCCTTGTCACTCCAGCCTTGGCTTGGCAGGGACTCCGTGTCGCGTTTCTCCAACCGTGTTCAGATCGGAATTGGCACTCAGCGAAGGAATCACCACAGAGCCTCGCTGCACTCATGATACTGTAAGGCACATGCTGCTGTCATCTCCCAACACCTAAATTTCCCCTCCATCTCCTCGAGGCCGAATCATCTGGTCTCGCACGTCACAATGCACAGCGCTCTCACTCGGCTCCAATCGACCTTCGGGTATTTTACCAGCTGCGCTTTTACCCTCGCTTGCATCATTGCTGTGCTCTCCATAGTACCCTTACCTCCTGTGACAGACTCACCAAGCGCCTCGATATCTGTCCGAAACGTCCAAGTTGTCAAAGGTCGTCCGCACTACTACTCCCCCAAACGCGAAGAGTACGCTCAAATCAGATTTGATCTGGAAGCCGATCTGTCCAGCCTGTTCACGTGGAACACGAAGCAACTGTTTGTCTATGTCACGGCAAACTACCCCGGTGGGAAGAGTGGTGATGGGGCAATGTCTGAAGCGGTCATCTGGGACACAATCATCCAGGCAACATCGACCCCGTGGTCATGGCAGAATTTGAAAGAGGCCTACTTTCCCGAGAAGAAGTCAAAATCCAAGAGCAGGAAGTCCTCGAACACAAAGTCCAAGACCAAGGATCTTGTCAAGCCAGGGGTCATCTCCTTAAAGAACCAGAAACCAAAATACCAAATCACCGACCCCAGTGGTGTTATCAGTGAGAGAGCCAATGCTACTCTCCAAGTCAGTTGGAATGTGCAGCCTTGGGTTGGTGCTCTCGTCTGGGACAAAGGATATTTAGGAGGCAGGGTCGGAAAATGGGCACCTGGAAGCGTGGGCAGGAGTGAAACCTTCGAATTCCCTCCTTTGAAAGGGGCAAAGACAGATGTTGTCAAAGACACTGAAGGACCAAAGACGCCAAAAGCGGCTTCAGCCTCTCCGGTCGTCGAAATATAATAACAATGCAATGGTCCCTGCCAGACTCCAGATCCCTTCGGTCCTCCGGTAACATGAATGTTACAAATGATATGGCCTGAGTTTGCCGCTCTGACATCAACAGAGTCGAGAATTGCGGACTGTGAATTTATGGGTGAGACAACGTCCTATGCATTCATATTTTTGCTGGCAGCATCCCGGGCTCCAAAACCATTTCAGTCAAACCCTTGTCCCTGGTCATCAAATACGTGCCGTGGCCACCACGAAAGAGTGATTGGGTAAGAAAAAGGCCGGGTTCGTGCGTTGACTAGTCGTTGGTTGACTGTGCCTACTTCGGGGCTTCAGCCGAGGACGACTTTTGGGACGTGGACATCCGGGTTCATCCGTCGAGAGGCGAGAACTATGATCGCTCCCAGATGCAAGACACAAGCACATTTGACCAATTCCCATTTAGAGCGCAAAGCGCCAATGTCATCAAACGGGATTACGCCATCCTTTGTCTTCTTAAGTCCTTTAAAGCGAGCGAGCCAATCAGATGAGCCTGAGCATTCCACAATCGGAAGCGACTCCCCAGAACATCGAGTCCGCCGATTTTCGCTGGAGCGAATCAGGATGCGCATATCTTCTACGGTAGAGAGTGCCTCTGAAGTATTTAATCGTGGCTAGGAATTGTAATGGGAGCATCTTCCAGCAACGTTCACACACATCTACACGTGCGATTCTCACTCTAGCGGTTACAAAGCAAGCACACACCGTTCACAACCATGCCCTTGAAATACACCAACAAACTGCAAGGCAAGCGGGTGGTGATTATCGGTGGCACCAGTGGTATTGGCTTCGCGGCCGCCGAGGCAGCCGTAGAGTATGGTGCAATTGTGGTCGTGGCCAGTTCCAAGCAAGACAAAGTCGACAGGGCCGTCGAGAGGATCCAGAAAGCGTATCCGGACGCAGGTGATCGCATCCGCGGCAAGACTCTCGATTTGAGCTCAGAAGATGTGGAGGAGCAGATTGTGGCTCTTTTCGACTTTGCAACCGATGGCGCGAAGCACAAACTACACCACGTTGCAGAAACAGCTGGCGGCGCCTTTCGCATGATGCCTCTCACTGAAGTCACGCCGACAGCTATAGCAGAAGTCGCAAAGGTCAGGCTCACCGGCTGTACGATGCTGGCAAAGATCTCGATGCGGTACCTCGAGATCAGCCGCACCTCTTCTTTCACATTGACCAGCGGAGTGAGCGACGCCAAACCCACCACTGGATGGACGATTATGGCTCCCATTGGGGCGGCCAAGAGAGGCTTGACCCATGCTCTTGCCAACGACATGAAACCTATCCGCGTCAATTGCGTTTGCCCGGGCGCCGTCAAGACGGAACTGTTTGACCAATTTGCGGGTGATGGAGAACAGCAGAAAATCGTGGACTTTTACACGGCTAGGACATTGATCGACAGTATTGGAGCCCCAGAGGATCTGGCAGAGTGTTATATTTCCATCATGAAGAACTATTTTATGACCGGGCAGGAGATTACTGCGGATGGGGGCTATCTGCTCTGCTAGCTGGATAGAAGCTCTGGGTGAAGCGGGTATATGACTGGGGAATTGGTACACGTGCCATGATACTGCATCAGGAGAGCGACTCTTCCCTTTTTCAGCACACCTGTCTACTCATAGATCGAATCATGAAGTACTCATACTATAGTTATTAAGTCAACCAGCACCTCATCTAGTTTCAGAATGGGGCCGAGATTCGAGTGTGGCGTTCCTACATCCAATGACAACTCTGCACGCAGAGGCGTGTGTGACTCTGTCGATCAGGCTGCCAGCGAGCCAACAAGCCCGATCAGGGTGCGGATCGATTTGATACTCGTGGAGCCGACACCGATGACACCGCCTCCGTCGAATCTACCCAGCTCGCCAGGTATATCTCACTCTTTCCAGTAAATCACATACAAAGTACACAAGTACCTCGTACATACACGATGACATAGAGATCCGGAGATCCGGAGATCCGGAGAAACGCAGACAATGAGTACCTGGCTCCACCGCATTCTGTCCGAGCCCGTCTCTGCGCCGCCCGCAGCCCCCAATAATGCATCGTCGTGGCCATCCACGCCGCTGACACCCCGAACAGCAGCGGCGAGGCTCAGGGACCCCAACGCCCCGGACTACCGCTACCAGGTCAACCAGAAATGCATCTACGAGCGCCGGCTGCCGGGCGGGTCGTACATCACGGCGCACGTCCAGCGGCTGCAGTCCGGGTACTACGACAGCCCCGTGATCCACGAGGACCGCATCGACAATGTCCGCTTCGTGGCCGTCAACTTTGTCTTTCACCCCAGCTCCAGCACGTTCCGGTTCAAGGCCGCGGAGATTAGGATCGCCTTGCACCATATGAGCGGGGGCGAGGCGGAGGGCCAGGGTGAAGACGGCGACGGAGGGGGTCAGGGGGTGGAGGCGACGTCGAAAACCAGCCACGAGCACGGCACGCAGACCGAGGCCGAGAAGGCGAGCCAGGCGCTGGTCAAAGGCATCAGCAGCAGCAGTAGTAGGAAAGGCCTGCCTCGGCCATCCCGGCCCAAGTTCCTCCGCCACGCGCCCCATCTCCTCTACGGGAGCATCTCGCCCGAGACGCTGGACTGGAACTTCAACCTGGCCGGGTCGCTGGGGGTGTCGCAGGGCCCCGCGAGCGCGAGCGTCAAGCCCTCGTACGGGGTCAAGAGCAGCTACAAGATCTACGAGATGATGAAGATCCAGGGGTCGGTGCGGACGCTGCGGTCGTGGCGCGGGAGTGACTACGACTACGACCACGAAATCGAGGACGGCGAGCTGGTCTGGACTCTGGAGGAAAACCGACTCCAAAAGTCCGGGTTGCCGCGCGAATTCACCTTTGTCATGCTCTTGACCAAGGGGAGCGGCGGGTTCGAGGAGAGCGGCGACGTGCGCCTCGAGATCGACGTCCGTCCAAAAGTCACTGGACGATTGGGGCCGGCGTACCCGTCGCTGGTCACAAAGCTGCACCAGTACCGGCCCTTTAAGCGCGAGGTGCTCGACCTGGACCAGGAGATTGGACAGGTCTTTGAGCCGCACGACGCCAAGGGCGAGGGCAAAGGCGAGGGCTTCAACTTTGCCAATATCGCGAGCAGCTTTGACGACTTTGTCTGGCTCCCCGGGACGGCGTACTCGACTTCTGACGCGGGTGCTGGCAGTGTGCCTCAGACGGGAACTGGATTCAATGCCTCGACAATGGCGACTCAGCAGCAGCACCAGCATCAGCAGGGATCACAACCCCATCAGCAACAGCTCCCTAGGATCCAAGCACAAGACTCGCGTCCGCCACCAGGCGACACGACTCTCAACCTACGCGTCTTCCTCGAACAGTCGCGAGGGACCCCCGTCCCTTTCTCCCCCAGCCAGCTCCAGCTCCAGCTCCCGTACGTGAACCTGAAAGTGCCATCACCAAACCCGTCGCGTGGACCATCGCCAACACTACAACCTTCCGCGTCGGTAACGGGATCGCGGCGAACCATCACGATCGGGTCGGGGTCGTCGTCCACGTCGAGGTCGAGGTCGGTGCGAAAGCGGCGGTCCCGCTCTGAGCTGTCAAAGGAGTACAAAGCGTCTCCGCAGGGGATGGCAGCACAGCAGCAGCAGCAGCAGCAGCAGCAATCTAAGCGCATGGATCTGGGTCAGGTCACATTCAGCCAGAGACCTTCTCAACCGGCGGCTGCGGCGGTATCAACTCCAGCACGGCCATTTTCATATCAAGAACAAAAGAATGACTCGAAGCTGGACAAGGATCCTGAGCATCATCCTGACCATGCCGATGAAGATGACTCGTCTGACGAGGCTGATACTCCCAGAGCCCTCAAATTCCCCTCAGGTGAGCTGAGTTCGCCTCAAAACCCCCTTCTGACGCCCCTCCGTCCTTCAAGTCCCGAGTACGCCACGCCGCCTGCATATCCGATCCATCCTCCTTTACTTCCCCTGTCGGGCGTGCCTCTGGACAAAGACAGCATCGGCACAGCTTCGACCTAGATCTCGTCCGCGAGCTCTATGGTGCATTGAGCGGTGAGCGTGAGGCCCCGAGAGAGAAGAGAAATCATGTTCATGTGCTGGAGTCTTTGTCTTTATCTTGGTATTGGTGTTTTATGTTGGTGTCGTTGTGGCGATAGCGATAGCGATATCAACAGTTGTTTGGGGACGGTTCGCTTTTGCTCGTACTGTTATGCTGTCTGGCTATACATACACAAGTGATGATGATAATGATGGATCCTAGATAGGAACGGCGTCACCCACCAATCGGTAATCATAATGACAGTAATCACAATGGCAACGAGATCACTTTTCCTAGGTAGTTAGTTAGTCGTGGTCAAATCAACACGTCGTCGCTCCTACTCGATCTACCAGTCAACAACGAGGATAGCCGGACGCTCTGGTCTGATGGCCAAGTCAAAGTTAAACTCGATTCAAACTCGATCCCATATTCATCCAGAGCCGTCGCTGGCTTCAAGGTTGACTGACACTTTGCTGTATTAATCCTCCCGACCCCCAAAACCTGTGCCCATCAATTAAGGGTATCTGATTTCTCCAAGAATATACACATACATACATACATTCGTCACCCTCTGATCTCAATGTTCCTGCGGGCCAAGTCCCAACTGGTGCTCCGTCCAGATACATTCCTCAAGCGGGCGACATGCTCATGGGCGCACCGTCTTCACCCTCCGAATCCCCTTCATCGTTTTCACGCTCTGTCGCCTTCTCCGATGGAGGGTCAGCCGCCCTATTCTCGTTCGTTTTTGGATTATCGCCATTTGCAGGTGGTGGAGGAGGCATGCTTCCTTTTAAGGCTGTTTCGTCATCTAATCTGACCTTTTTGTCGGTGGCTGGCGTCGGATCAGGCAGACCGGCCTCTCGAGCTTTTCTCTTCTCCTTTTCGCGAGCGTACTCCTCTTTCTTACGCTCTTTCTCACGTTTGTCATTCTCCCTTCTATGCATCTTGCTCTCAAATTCATGCCAGTCGCCCTCGACATTTGCAAGCTCCACCGGTTGTTCTGCCAATGGTTCCTCAGAAGTAAAATACTCGTGATTGAGCACTTGCTCCGCGTTGGGTCGCTTTTTCGGGTCGTATTTGAACATATTCTGGACCAGATCGAGACCAGCCGGCGTGAAGACGTCCTTGAACATTGCTTCGAATATCCTCTTTCGTCGATCGACCGGCTGCATAAGCTCAAACCAAGGGAGGTCCACAATCCCAGGCCAATCTGACCGAGTTGGTGTGCCGAGGACGTTGTATACTTTGTCCAGCTGACTGAGCTCTCCACCCTCTCCCGGGAAGATCGCTTTCTTGGTGAACATCTCCACGAATACGCAAGCCGCAGACCATATGTCCACCTCAGGTCCGTATTGGGTTTCGCCCAGAAGAAGTTCTGGTGGTCGATACCAGATAGTGATCACACGATTGGTGTAGTCGAGTTTCCGAGACTTGTTGTAGAACCGTGCGAGACCAAAGTCGGCATATTTCAGTTGACCAGTGTTAGAGATCAGAATATTGGCGGCCTTGATGTCCCGATGCAGCACACCCCGCCGATGGAGGTAATCCAGACCGTCAAACATCTGTTTCGCCAGGTCCTTCTTGTGTGCAGACGTAAGTTTAAACGTCGGATGGTTGATGAGTCCAGTTAGATCGTGCGAAAGATACTCAAAAACCATGAAGCACTCGTTCTTTTCCACCATGACCTCTTGTAAGGCGACAACGTGTTTGTGTCGCAGGTGTTGTAACAGTCTGATTTCGCGGACGGCCGTTATGGGAAATCCATCTCGTTCACCTTCCATACGAATTTTCTTCAGCGCAACCTTGTCCTTTGTGTAGATATGAATGGCTTTGAACACTTTTCCGTATGTTCCTGCGCCGACAACAGACTCATTACCAGGCTTTCGGAAGTAAATAGACTCGGACTCTGCAAACTCAGGAGGCAGTGTAGGCCGAGACTTGATCTCTTTCTTGATCTTTTTCGAAGGGGGGGAACGAGATCGGTCCGGACGGCGTTCTTTTGGAGGGAGTTGTTGATGCAGCGGTGGCTGACGATCATTGGGATACCTTCGATCATGCTGTCCCGGAAATTTCCGGTCATAGGGCCGAAATCCATGTCTCTCGTCGCGGCGGTCGAAATGTTTGTTCTTGGGGCCTTGTGGTGGTGCTGGTCGATTGTCTGGAGGCTGGAATGGCCCTTTTGGTTTTGAAAAATCTGCAGCAGGTTTAGCTGGAGCCTGAGGAGGAGCTTTGGACTTGAAGGCGAAGCTAAATTTGGAAGCAGCCGGTCCTCGTTGGTCATTACCCTGTGTGTTCTGATCAGTGTTGTTGATCCTGCCGTTCCCCTGATCCTCCACCTGCAATTCTCTGGACGGTCTGAAGGGATTCTCTTCTTCAGGTGGAGGGGCATCTCGGTCGTCCTGTGAAGCGGTGTGCGATGGAGTAGGAGATGTTTGCGACTGGCTCCCGGGTCCGCTCTGGAAGTTCTGATTTTGTGGTCCACCTTGTTTCGGACCAGGCGCCGTCCATTGTAAGTTGTTGAAATGTCCACCTCGTCCTCTGTGACGAGGACCGTTGAACCTCTGGTCTTGTTGGAAGTGTCCACGATGAGAACCATGTCCACGACCACCTCGGTAGTTTTGTTGATAACCATGTTGATTACCACCATGGTGGCCCGGTTGATTTGGATAATAAGGATTAGGATTGTTCACGTTGCCTGGGTTGGAAAAGCTATTTTGCCGGTAGGGGGGAGAGGAATTGTGCATCGGCCTGGAAAATGGAAATTTATTAGTGAAAAGGCTTGTCATAAGATTATCAGAATACTGACCCATGATGACCTTGGCCTCCCCAGCCGCCTCTCTGCTGATGATATGGAGAGTTCTGCGGCGGTGAGCCGTGATAGGAGCTGTTGGAAGAATATGGCGGAGAGCCTCCGTATCCCTGGTGTCTATTTTCCGCATATGGTCTGTGTTGCCCTCGATTCATCCCATAATTACCACGTGATGGGTATTGGCCATCCATGGAGCGGTTGTCGGTTTCGTCGACAACGGAAGGAGCTCTTGAGGGGTGATTCCCCTTCCCAGCAGGGAATCGGCCTGGGCCAGGTGGGGGATGTTGAGATGGACGAGTCGAGTTCACGGACGATTCTCGAGTTTCGATAGATGGATATTTAGACTCGGGGTGTCGATGTGGAGATGATCTCGCAGGCAGACGAGGGGAGATGGATCGTTGATCGCGTGCGTGGGATGGCGAGGGTTCTCTTCGGCTGTTGGGTTCGTAATCGCCACGATCTGGGGCGTCAGATCTGAAAGCGGGTGAATTGAGTCGCGATGAATGCGTGGAAAAATCCCCAAGCGGGAATGGAGATGGAGGATTTTGCGGAACCCTGTCCTCAGTATCAGAGAGATCCCGGCTGCGAGCACGTCTTTGACCTTCCAAGTCAAATCTGTCGTCGCCTGCAGGAGAAGGGCTTCGAGTACGCCTCCGTTTGGTTGATGGCGTTGGTGAGAAATCAGGGCGTCTCCCAGGTCGGTCGCCAAACTGCTTTCGAGGTGGTGGACGATGCTGATGCTTGGATTTTGGGAAACGACGGGGAGGCGAAATCGAAGACTTTCTACCATGCAATTTCCTGGCGTCTCCGTCCCTCGAAAATTGCCGCCTCCAACGTGGTTCACGAGGTGGTCGATCAGGACGTTGCCCCGGTCCTAGAGGCGCCGAGCGTTCTGCTTCTGGATATCCAGAATGTGGTGAATGAGGTCGACCTCCTCCTCGATTTGCGTCTCTGTCCCGCGGTCGATGATGTGGATGTCTCGGGCGCGGATCCTCTTCGCCTCGCCAGCGATTCTTCATTGATGGACTCCTTCGAGACCTCGCCATGTAATGCGGGCCGGCATTTGCAAAGATGTGGTCGGTAGAGATTCGAGGGTTTGTGGGGGAGTAATGGTCGTAGAGGTGGTGCTCGTGAGGCAGCGGATTTGGATGTTGGGTAGTGAGTCCTGCGCAGTTTGGAGATTCAGCGACGGAGCCATGAGCCAGATGCGGACCATGGTTGCATGGGTAGGGCGAAGACCCAAAGACTTGGCACGCCCATCCCCTCCCACCAACTGTGCCAGCTCGCCCCAAAGTCGGACTCGAGTTCGACAACTTTGACGCCTGCTGGCCCTTCCAATTCCAGGGGGTTTTGGGGGGTTTGGGGGTTTTTAGGGGAGACAGAGGACTCACCTGTTGCTCCCCCAGGCTCCCACTCATGCTGCCCCAGGCATCGTGTCTCGGTCTCGATCTCCCTGTCCATCTCCCGCCGCGTTCTGCTTGCCACCTCGCCAGGTCCGTCATGCTGCATCAGCCTCTCTTTCGCCTTTCTTTTACCTTTCTTTTTGCCCATCACTCTGAATGACTTCAGTAATGATAAGGCTGCAATCTACCACACACAAACTACAATCGCCGGAGTCGGGTTGTACTTGTCATGAGAACTACACCAGCAGTGCAATCTCAGACTCAGTCGAGGGCGCTGCGTTGTTGGCAGCAATTCAAGGGCGTAAAAAGTCAAAAGGTCGAGCGTCAGTCTGCACTTCAGAGTGACAGTACTAAACGCGACAGTCTATCTACGTGGATTCTTTTTCTCGGCGCTTCTCCCAGACTTGTTAACACGCAAGAAATGACGGCCAGTGACTTTGACGCGTTTGCGCTTTGCCGTTCAACTGCCTGTAGGGAAACGCCTTGAATATTAACCTTTCTCCCCATCTGCCACCGATATCAACCACCTCTCCAAACATTTTCTGCTCTTGTGAAATCCGACACTGGCCACAGAAAGGCAGCAATGTCTGTTCACACAGCAACGCCATCGATGAAGCCTAGATGTCAGTCTGCGTTTGTAGACGTCGTGTCAACAATCAGTCTGCTGTGTCTCCATGGCCTTTTGAACCTCGACCTAAGGATTTTCCAAGTAGCTCTGGGGGATTGTAGAAGTGGCAGATGTATCTTGTTAGCAATGTTTGATGCAGGCCATAAACTTGGTATCGTCGGATCGGGAAAGACCACAAATAACGAAAATTGGATGAATTGTAACATGACCCGATGGGTGTGTTTGACGAGGATGATCCGGCCTTTGGGTGATGTAAATATCTTGGGAGCAAATGGCAAGTGACACCGATGAGCGTTGACAGCAGAACTACATATCCAAAAGCATCGCCGACGATATTGCGGGTGGTCGAGGTTGTTGCCGATAATTCATGTCCATAGAAGGTGGGTGCTGGAAGTGAATGAGGAATGTAGCCGCTGACCGCCTATCGTCCATTTGCGCCTTGGATGATATCTGCGGGGCACAACCAAGGAAAAACAATCAAATCTCAGTTCCGGAATTTGGAAGAGAAGCTAATGAACAAAGTAACAGGTGCATTAGACACGATTTCACCATATCCCGACGGTCTACATCGTCTAGGAATAACAATGATGAAAGATGTTGAGAAGTTGGAAGGAAAGGGATCCGGCAACCTTGGATGCCAAGACACTAGCGTAGGTGGAGGCTGGGCATTCGGAGAAGCAAATGGGCCTTGGTGCACAGTTCAAGACAGTTCAATATGCATCTCGTCAAGTCATCTATCTCTGCAATAGCCCAGCTAACTGCCAGACCAACTTCACATCTGTTGTGTGCTGGTAGGAAGTATTTTCTTGGGCCACCCTGCCGCTCTTGTGATCTCACCATGGTTGAAACAAAGAATTGAGTTGGTACACATCTCAGCGTCAAGCCTAATGGATTGACCCTCCCGAATCAAGGTTGTTCACCCATCCACGCTCATCTTCTCGCCAATGCCTTTTTCTCCCATCAACTCGCATCCTGTCCGCACAACGCCAATCATACCACCAGTTTGCACACCCTCACTTCCGCCTCCTGCCAGTCTGTACTCGATTTCTGCGAGCCCTTGCAACCATGTTACTCTGGTCGCAGGACTAACCTCGAGGTTCTGCAATTCCTCCGCCAGCGCGGTCAAAATATCTGCAAGTGCCAGACCACGACTGCTCTTCAAGGCATTGATCGTCCTTAGACATTCCGTCAGATCTGGCGTGCTCAACATGGTTGTCATGATCAAGCGGATATCTTCCGGGTGTGGCGCTGCAATGCAGTTGTAGATCGTGTCGTTCGTAATCAGCTCATACTTGATCTCTGATTCTGGAATGGGAGGCTGCCCTCGCATCGGGAGAGGTCGTGATCCAGCGTAGCAGGCTTGAAGAACATTCAATGCTCGACGCATGTCACCTCTCGACAATTTGACCAACGAGTCCACTGCTTCCGGCGTGATATTGACCTTTTCTTGTGAAACCACCTTGTCCACCAGCCGACGGATATCTGCTTCCTTCAGTGGCGAGAACCGAAACCGTGTACATCTCGATAGCAGTGCTGGAGACAATTTATGTGTGTAGTTGGCAATAATGCAGAATCTTGTGTTGGCCGTGTATTTCTCCATAATCCTGCGTAGGGCCATTTGTGCCGCGGACGTCATTGCGTCTGCTTCGTCGAGAACGATCAGCTTGAAGGCCCCTAGACCCAATTTTGGCCCGCCCGGAGTCTGCTGCGTTGAGGTGCTGAAGATCTGTTTGGTTGAGGCGAAAGTTTTGATTTGCTCTCGAACAACGTCGATGCCACGATCATCGGATGCGTTGAGTTCGAGGACCATCTGCCTCATGTTCTTGGGTCCATATATCTGTCGCGCCAGCGCCAGAATTGTCGACGTCTTTCCGGTACCTGGCGGTCCATAGAAGAGGAGATGCGGTAACCGGTTGTGCTCAATAAATCTGTTGATTGTAGCGAGGATATCTTGGTGCCCGGACACATCGTCGAGGGTGTTGGGCCGGTATTTCTCAACCCTTGTTTCTTGTGAGCAGCTAGATCACCACTTTATTGTGCAAGAGACGGCGGCATACCATGGTAAGTTGTCCTCCGCTTCCACCGGCAGGTCTGCAGCTATTCGTTTCTGTTTGCCTGCTGTGCTGTCTGAGCTGAATTTGATGGACTTGTCCTTGGACGCAGGCGCGTCCAGGTCCATCTCATCTTCGTAGTCCGACATCTTTTGTCTGCTGTCACTGTCAATTCCTAGGAAAACATGCTTGAAAGGGTCGTGAAGTTGTTCAGATGGATGTCAGTGTTCCACGCCCTTGACGCGCCTGCGCCTCTAGAGACGCGTAAATTGAAATGCGGTTTGTGAATAAATATTCCACCATAGTAACTCTCCATCCCCGCACACGAATGCCAAGCCGCGTTTGCGGGCTCATTACATTGGTGGGACGCAGTAGTGACCTTACAGCAAATGCCTGAGAGGAAACGCACTCAATTCCTCGTCCGCAGTGAGATGGGAACTTGATGAACTGACTGCTACTCTTGATCTCTCCTGTTTGCGTGCTCTCACGCAACCTTGTAGGAAGTCAAGATGCCGGTGAGTCAACGCTAGTCCTGCTACACTGCATGAACCTGCTGACATCTCAATTCACAGGCATACCACTCCATCTTCCTGGGCGACCAGGGCGTCCAGCTAATAGGTATTCTCACTACGATCAGACAACACGACACCTCACAAGCTCTCTCGCGTGCTAACATCTGTGCTCCAAAAAGGCAACTTTCCGCTCCTCCCGCTTCGCACGAAAACCCGTGGTCCAGCATACACCCTTCCAGCCCTTCCTCCCAATGTTGACCCCCTCGACGTCGACCCGGACTCCGAGTCCTACGATTGCCTTGATGAAATCCTGAGCTTGTTCCGCGCCAACACCTTCTTCCGCAACTTCGAAATCAAAGGTCCCGCAGACCGCATGCTCATCTACGGCATCCTCTTCTTGTCGGACTGCTTGACGAAAGTAAAACCGAACATGGACTCCCGTGCGGCCGAGAAGGCCCTGATAAACGGAGCGTTGGAGCAGTTCAGCATCCCAGGGGAGCCAGGATTCCCGCTGAACCAAGCGTATGAGGCACCGAGAGACCGCAACGAGGCTGAGGCTTTGAGGAGTTATTTGAGCCAAGTGAGACAGGAACTGGCAATCAGGCTGCATGCTCGGCTCTACGCGGATGGAAGCAATGTACCGAGCAAGTGGTGGCTAAGTTTTACAAAGAGAAAGTTTATGGGGAAGAGTTTATAGAGGAATATTTGAGGGAAATGCATGGCCAAGCTGCATATTAGGCACGAACTGATGAGAGGGTGTTTATGGCTGTTTCCCATGACGATAAACTGAAAATTCAGTGCAATGGCATATTATCCAATAACGTATGCTCAATGTTCCAACTGTCTCTCTTCTAGTAGCCGGTTTATGCCTGGTTGACGACAGGATCGGGCGCGTCCAGACCGTCCGGTTCTTGCGCCGCAATCTCGACCTTCAGTTTCTTCAGCGGTGACTGGGGCTGCTCCTCGTCGTCTGCTGCTCTCTTCCCTTCCTCGAGCTCACCTGTGACCGGACTGTCTGCAGGCTTGTCATCAGCCTTGATCTTCTTCCCCCTGGGCGGCCTTCCTCTCGCCTCAACCTTGCCCTCTGCCGGTACCACCCTGGTCCCTACAAATATGTAGCCCTCTGCACCACCTCGGCTTGTCATCAGCGGATGTGTCCGTCCCGGCAGGACCTGCCACTTCCTCACCCTCGCGGTGTGCACCGTCGGGGCCAAGAGCAGGGTCGGATCGACAGGAAAGTCCTTGGACGGGACAGTCCGCTGTTCCAGCGGTGTGTTGATGAACGCAGCTCTCCGTGCTGTGGAGTAGCAGTCTGCCAGTTCGACGAGGGGTTCGACGTTGGGTGAGTAGACCACGACTTGGCTGCCGCCCGCCAGCAGAGGCACGAGGTGGTGCAACGTCGACGACGGGTCGGCGAAGCTGGCTACGATCAGGCCGCTGAAGCCACCGGCCTGCGTCTCGTTCACGACGTTCCTGACTCGTTCCCATCGTCGGCGTTTGCGGTAGTAGGCACTCCTTCGGTTCGATTTCATCCTCGCCAGTTCGGCGTCCGGGATCTGAGGCGGTTCTTGGTACGTGATGGCGGACTCTGGCTCGAGTAGCTGCAGCCACGAGAGCGTTTTCATATTCGTGTATAATGGATGAGAAGCAGTGGGGGCGTTGGAGTCGAAGTTGAAATAGCGCAAGAGGCCGAGATTGGGTTGTTGATTCGCATGCACGAGCGTGATGGTATTGGAGGTTGCGCTCATCGCCGAGCGGCGGTATCGTTCGCGATAGGGCTTTCGAGGCAGCGGGTGCGTCGGTGTCTCATCGGGTTGTTCATCGTCCACGTCTTCGTCTTCAGGGTTGCCAGCCACCTCGTGTGCGATGTCTGTTGGGTGCAAAATCCCCATTCTCTCCGCCATGGCTGCGACCAGCAGGCCGCCCGTGTCGTCCACAACCAGATACCGCGCATATGGGTCCATATCGGAGAGCATGGCAGAGTCTTGCCCGGCAGCGTGAACATTCGCCCAGCACCCGACCAGGCCGAGGACTTCGTTCCTCATTTCCATGACCTTGGCAAACTCCCGATCGGCCATCATCCAGTCGACTAGGGTTGACACATCTAACGGCAACACAGTAAACTGCTTCATGTACTTCTTGTGCTTCCTGAGCGTATACTTTGCCAGAGAGAAAGCAGTCTTCTGGTCCAGGGTGGAGTGGGACTGCATGATCTTTTCGATCAGTTCTCGCCCGCTACCCATGGTGTTGCGCTTCAACGTTTCGATCTCGGCCATGGTCAACTTCTGGTTCGTGGGATCATCGTGGGTGTTGACATTGGACTTGGGTGTCGTCGTTGTCGTCGTCGTTGTCGTCGTCGTCGGCTGTTGTGACACGGCGAGTTCGTCCGGCTCGTTCGCAGGCGTTGGCACCTCTCCGTCCGTCTCAGCCTGCTCGACCAAAGCCATTGCATGCAACTCGGCGGCCTGAACGACGCGGAGCTCTTTGCCATTCTTGACTTCGGACCGGTCGAGAATCTCAAAAGTCAGGTGGTACGGACGGCCTATGATCTGGTTTGTGCGGAAAGACCCATATTTGCCCAGGTTTATCAGACTTTTTGGGGGAAAAAGAGACAGAGTCAGCGACAGCTCATCAAGGCCGTTGGCTGATATCTGTTTATGGCCTGACAGACTTTCTTTTCATTCTTTCTCGGTGTGCAAAAAAGACCTACGTGTTCGGGAGCATTTGTTCGACTCTTGTCTGGTCGGAGGGCAGCCGAATGGCGACATATTGGTAGGGCTGGATGACTGAAAAGGCCATTTCGACCTGCGGTGTTAGACCCAGTGAGATTGGATAGGGGCCCTTCAACTTTGAATCGTCACGGTTTCGAGGGATGGATCATGATGATATATGTGGTAAATGGCTGGAAATCTTTAACATATTTTTATCGAGAACTTCCGATCCAGGGATTGGCCACCTTGCTGCTCTATTTCTTGGCCAAACACGTTGGATTGGTTCGGCTCAACTTCGGCTCAGCCTTGTTCAGCCTCAGGCTGCGACGGAATCGAGGTAGAGCAGTCCCCAATATTGATTCGCCTGGAGAGCCACGACGCCCACGGATCACCATTTACTCACCCAGTAGATACCTCAATGCCAAACCTTGCGTATGGAAAGTTTTCCAAACTGGTCAGGCACTCTCCCCAACCATCATCAACCTCACCGAGCTGGTCTTCATTGCCAATCTTTACAAGACCAGTCCTGCCGGCGAGCACCTCCATCTCCCGTCCTCTAAATTCAGTATACAGACCTGTGTGAGGGACCCATGCCACTCTCATGCCGGCTCTCCGCCCCGCCTCGACGCCTGGCACGCTATCTTCGAAGACCAAGCATTCTTCAGGTGCGATTGGAGGTGGTCCTTTCGGGAGCCTGGAGTTGAGTACTTGCAATGCACACAGATAGATATCAGGTGCTGGTTTGCCCCGGCCTTTCTGGACACGTGGATCGTCACCCAGCACACGGTGTTCTTCAGGGATCCAATCCAACAGCCTCTTCGTCTCCGGCCTCACCACTTTGCGGCTGTAATTAAGCTTCCCGGTGCTGGTGGCCAGAGCTATCTCCACAGGCAGGCCAGTAGTCGTTCTAGCCTTGTTAAGATCCTGGAGGAGCTTCTCGGCGCCAGGCAACGGTACACATTGAGCAAAATGGATCTGCTGCTGTTCACTCTGTTCTCTCGCGTACTGTTCCCTGGAAACAGGCAGCTGGGCCCATTGGTGAAAGACGTCGCCGTTGGAGCTTCCAGGAACCCCCATAAGTTGAGCCTTCACAGACCAGGGTAGCCGCGGACGGCCGTATTTGAGAAGGACGTTGTCGGCGCATAATGTGTAGATGTCTTCGGTGTTGAGCAGGAGGCCGTCCATGTCAAAAATACAGGCGCGTACGGGTGGGAAGCTACGAAATAATTCCCCATCTGATTAGCTGATTGCCATGGATGGTTTGCCTGTGACCTCAGAAACGGGATGGCTGCAATCACATCATGAAGAGATGAGAAACAAACGTAACTTACTCTGTACGGCGAGGCATTTCAACAAGGTTGAGCCTAAGACGACTGCATTCACAATGTTCTCAAATTGTTCCAGAGTTCGCAATCAGTGGTTCGGCCAGCACAGCCACACGTCAGAATCCGGTTTAGTTGGGGTTTGGTTTTAGCCATGGCATGCAGATCGCAGAATGCGACAGGGTGTTTATCCAACATGTTGGCGGGGGAGCTACCAAAGCCAAAACTTGTACAGTCTGACGATATGCGCCACATGACCAAAGGCTTCTCGTGGTCATGGGGAGTGTTCAATATTGTCTCTATACGGAAGACGCCGCCACCAAACCAGGAACAATGCAGATCATGCCGAATCAGGGTGACGTCACAGGGCAAACAATGGCACGGTTGAGTGAAGGACGAAGTCGCTGCGTTCGGTCGTTCTACAGGCGCATTCCAAGGGACAACAAGCGAGAGGGTGTGACGCACTTTGTTCCTCATGGTATACAAGTAGAACACACGCAATAGCGCCGTAGCGGCCTTGCGCATACTTCAACTCTGCTCCTCTCAGTATCATCCAGGCCCATCTCATACCTACCATAGCGTTCCTACCCCTTCCAGCTCGTTAATCTGGTCAGAATCAACTCTCACCAAGCCTTATCATCATGTCGGAAATTGTAAAGGGTGTCAGCAACTTGTTTGCCTCCGTCTTCGAGATCATCACCGGTATCTTCATCACCGCGTTCAACATCTTCGAGGGCGCTTTGAACGCAGTCATTGGCCTCCTCAAGAACACGTTCAACTTGGCCGAAGGTGTTCTTGGCTTCCTCATCGGTAGGTCATCGAGCAGTATGCACTGGAGAAAGAGTCACAGGTCTGACCTGAGCAGGAAACATATTCCTCATCGGAACGCTGTGTGCGGTCTACTTCGGGTATGTCTTGTACCAACAACGTCAGGGCAACCGAGCGGCTCCGATCTCGAAAGTGGCGACGGGGAAGACACAATGAGCGCGAGGATACACCATCGGTGGAAGCAAGTTGGGAACAAGTAATCAGTCCATGGGAAACAACCGTGAAGTGTGTTGGGATGCAACCAGGGGCAATTTGGTATAATGCGATGTTATAGTGAGGGAGAGGCTTGGGTGAAAGCACGGCAAAGGAGAGAGCGCGGGCCGAGGTCGTCAGCGATGATCGATTGCCTCCTCAGCTACTCGGTAGAACTGCCATTTGTTAATTCATTTTTCCGTTTCAATTAGCATCGCGACAGCTAGTCCGATATATGGAACGAAGCTATGGTCGGAGAAGGAAAACGAATTTGCTTCGGATGCGTCAGGGCAATAAAGGACAATTGCCGAGGTAAAATGTGCGCCGTGTGAGTGGCTGCGATGCTGCATCTTCAACTGCGCTCACTTGCCTCGATCGCCGAGAACGCTCCCCTTAACCATTGTCATTCCCCTTCAATTTGTCGTTTGTCCTTCCGAATTCCTCCATTGATCCCCAATTCTTCCTCTGCGCATGCGTCAAGGTCTGTGAGCTACAAAAAGCGGGCACCCGTTGACTCTTCTTCTTTCATTTCGCTACACTCCTTTCTCGTTCCTCTTTGCTGATTCCATTCTACCCCTCCTTTTCTATCAACACCCTATTCCGTCGCGCTCGAAGCGTTTTGCGCCAGACTCCCGCAATCATGTCCAACGTCAAGGAAATCGCGCCCTCCCCTACCGAGGCCGACCTCGATTCGAAGTCCTCTGGTGCCGTCAGCACCACCCCCGCGACCTCCGCTGCTCAGCAGAGCGACAATATTGCCCATGCGTTGGCCGGAGCGGGTGGTGGCCTTCTCGCGATGACCCTTACCTACCCCCTCATCACCCTCTCAACCCGCGCACAGGTCGAGTCGAAGCGAGCTGATACCTCCACAATCGCCGCTGTGAGGCACATCATTCAGCGGGAAGGTCTGGGCGGGCTCTACGCAGGACTCGAGAGCGCCCTGTTTGGTATTTCGGTCACCAACTTTGTCTATTACTATTGGTACGAGTGGACCCGCGCCTTCTTTGAGAAAGCGGCCGTCACAGCAGGTCGGGCCAGCAAGAAGCTCACCACTGTGGAGAGCATGATTGCCGGCGCAATCGCGGGGTCGGCAACTGTCCTCCTCACCAACCCTATCTGGGTCATCAACACAAGGATGACTGCCCGGAAGAGTGAATCTGGAGAAGGTGAACTTCCGGGTGGTGAAAAGAGACAGGTCAAGAAACCCAGCACCATCGGGACCTTGTTGAGCCTTCTCAAGGAGGAGGGGCCTTCGGCGCTTTTCGCCGGCGTGCTTCCGGCTTTGGTCTTGGTGATCAACCCGATCCTACAATATACGATATACGAACAGTTCCGCAACTTTTTGGAGAAGAAGAGGAAGTTTGGTCCTCGTGATGCCTTTTACCTGGGTGCTCTGGGCAAGTTGCTGGCGACGACCATCACGTATCCATATATCACTGTCAAAGCCAGGGCCCACGTGGCAAGCAAAGATGATCCCCATGAGGGAATGTGGAAGAGCCTGAACAGAATCGTCAAGGAGGAAGGCTGGGGCGGCTTGTACAAGGGTGAGCGGGATTTCTGTTCTTTCTCACTTCATTGACTAATCTTGTCTAGGTCTCGTCCCTAAAGTCAGCCAGAGTGTCTTGACTGCAGCTTTCCTTTTTGCCTTCAAGGATGTTCTGTATGACATGACCGTCGACATGCGCAGAAGGGCAAAGGCCATCAAAGCATAAGGTCGAGAATGAAAACCGCCTCCAAGGTGGGAGACTCGGCTTCAGGGAAGAATGTCTGGGAATCACGACATCTCCGCGCCAGCATTGCGAGACTCGCGTTGAAAGCGGAAATGGCCCTCTTGCTATCAACATGATGAGATATGTGAGTCGCACTCGCGAAAGAGCTCGCTGGATGAGTCGAAACACAAGGCCATCTAGCGACCAAGCAGAACGAGAATTCGGAAGGGGAGAGGGATGTGGTGTACGCCTCTAAAGGTATTTCAGAGCTGGGGACATGTGTTCTAGGATAGACGGGATGGTAGAGCATCTCCCTGTACATTGAATCTATTTGCCACTATTAGAACTTGAACATGGTCAGTAAGCAGGGATCACTTTTTGTATGAGCAGGTAGGTGGGGGAGGTAGGCAAGTACCTAGTCAAGGTAAATAGGTCGTGGAAGAAAATACAAATACCGCATACCTAATGTATAACATGATCATTTTTCAACTGCCGCTAGGCTAATTAATTTCTAGGCCAGGATTTGCGGCGCCCAATGGCTCAAGGGCATACGCCAAGGCATCTATCTCCCTGTCCTATACTACACGCGTCAAATCTCTCGCGCCCCTTGACTGATTCCCACGCCCAGGCAGATGTTTCCAGCGCTTCTCAAAGCATAGGGTCGAGGTGTCTCTGCTTGTGCACAAGAGGGTCCATTTTTCTGCCACATGAGGTCGATGGAAAGAAACCCCTCCCACAGCCAGCGATGTAAGTAGCTGCTCAACGACCCCAGCAATGCGGCGAGAGCTACAACCTATTCTTCTCCAGTGTCTGGTCAGCCGCAGTGTACTCAAGACCCACCCCACGGTGTCACCTTTTGTAGACGAATCTATTCAAGGCATCTGGAACCCACTCCGCAAAGGGTGTAATAGAGGACTCGATTGCAGCTTTTGACTGGATAAACGTCGTCGAAGCGGATCAGGCTGGAAGACCCATCTGATGAGGCGTCTGGGGTCTGGAACGAAAGGATCAAGTATATCGAGACTTCCGGAATACAGGGCACGACAGGACACGGATAATGTCGAGGTCAAGAGGGTTAACGGGGAATGAAAGAGCTGGGAATGCGAACCAAGTCGAAGTGTGATGTTGTGCCTCATGCGTAATGCAGGCGACAGGTACATGAATAGTAGGCAGAACCGCTTAGTCACGGGCACCCAACGGGGATCATGTGTCGTCAGGATCCCAGTCGTGGTTCGTCAACCCAACCACACTTTGCTTCTCTACCAAACTTTTCGCCGTGAGGACCTATCTATCTACCCACAGGTGTCTACGCTCCGTGACTGGTGAACCATATCGTTCTATTCGTCTCAGAAAATGTCTAGCTGCAATAAATTACCCTCTTCATTCCTGTATTCCCGTCTTAAGGTCAGGGTTTTCGCACTGAGCAACTACCTACTGCCTCTACGGAAATCCTGGACGCTGTACTTTATTACAAGGGCCTGATAGTAATCAGCCTCTGACACTGAAATTGGTCTCTGGCCCTTTGAGATGTGATTCTCACGATACCAAACTCTCTCCTCAACACTTTTGATCATTACAATGGCGGGAAAAATCCACACGAGGCTTCTTATCCTGTCCGATACACACGGCGAGGATTTCGGCTCCGAGGATCGGCCTCGACAGCGTGTGGATGTGGCTCTGCACTGTGGTGACCTCACCGACGGCTCAAAACTAGAAGAATTTCGGACCTCGATCGAGATGCTCAAGAAGATTGATGCTCCTCTCAAATTAGTCATCGCTGGAAACCATGATTTCACCATGGACATTACTGCCTTCGAATCCAAACTTGCGGAGGCATCGCAACCCCTGGATCCTGAGATTGTGGCTCGTGAATACGGCACCCTAGGCCAAGCTAGACAACTATTCGAGGACGCAAGGAGCGGGGGCATCGTCTTTTTAGATGAGGGAACCCACCGTTTCACACTTGAAAATGGAGCGATGCTAAAGGTTTATGCCAGTCCGTACACTCCCGCCTTGGGTGCATGGGGATTTCAATATCACCCAAACAACGGGCGCCGGTTCGATATCGAAGAAGACACCGACGTCGTCATGACGCACGGCCCTCCGAAAGGCATCATGGACATGACTCACGGCAGCGAACGTGCGGGTTGTCCCGACCTCTTTACCGCCGTGGCCCATGCCCGACCCCTCGTCCACTGTTTCGGCCACATCCACGAGGGTTGGGGTGCAAAGGTGGTGACCTGGAAAGACAGCGGGTTTGACCAACCATCCCATTTCACCTCCATCGACAACGAAAACTCGCCAGTTGTCGAGAAATTGGCTACGCTCCGAGTAACCACATTCGACTCAGACGAGACCATCCAGGAAAAGCGTGCGAAGCTAGAACAGCTGAAAAACAATAAATGTGCCACAACAAGTCACTGCAGCCAAGATGACTATGAGCTGGATGCAGGCAAGGAAACACTGTTCGTCAACGCCTCCATTGTGGGACACGAGGGCTTTGTGCAGAGACCCTGGTTGGTCGATTTGGAGCTTGCGAAGCACACGGCATTGAAGATGCGGCCATTTGTCCAAAATTTGTGTTGAAAGCACTCGAAGAGTGCTTCCCGCAGTGGTGCAGCGATGGTGGAGTTGGACTTCGGCATATTTCGAGGGTAAGAGACGTGCAGGGTATCGCAGAGTGGCTATTTACATTGTCAGTCAGCTTTTAGCCTTCTTGAAAATGTATCATCAACTCTTACAGGAACTGGGCGGGCAGGCAGGCAGGGGAGGTCTGGTTCCGGCTGGGGTCGCTTGCTGTATGCCTCTGTCAGTAATTCCATAGTATACACGAGGAACTGCTTGCGGCTGGGAGCAATATAATCGATGCAGGTGTTTATTTGTACTCGCATCTATTTATCAGTAGCTCTCACCATAGACTCATGTATAGCTAGCTATACTCACGAACCTTATACATCTATGCTATGTGCTGAGGAATGATCAGGGGACGGGGTCAGTAGAAGACGATATACTCTTCGACTCCCCATAGCTCCTTCCCTTGACTACTTCGAATTTGCCCCGGTAGTCAGTCGTATTGAGGAAGCTGAGGGGAGTCGCTGGAAAGTGCAACAACAACATGATCTCACATGCCAGATTCCAATATCCAGAACCCGGAAATCGAGGTCACGCCTCCCAAATCCCAAAGAGCGATGCAGTAGACATTGATATTCTCCTCGTCAATGGAACTATTTTCTTCCTGTCTCATGAAAACTAAGGACGACAGGACGACGCATACGACCAGGGACCCGTCCTGGCACAAGCAACGGCAACGCGAAGACGAGGACGCAGATGGTGCCAACTGTATTCTTGGAAGCTATATCCACGTTGTTGTCTTGTCAGCTCGCACAGGAGCAGAATGACTAGCTTCTTTGATGAGATGGACGAGATTTCCGGTGCTCTATGCTGAGGGAATTGTATCTCTGCGACATGGTGTGGATTGATCTAGGACAGGGCCACATTAGGGAGATACGTCGACTCAGGCGTACCATCCATCTCTCGTTGCGGTTATCCAGGAATCGGGCATGGAAGTCATCACGGACTCTCCGCTACAAATGGAGTCGGATGGTCGGAACGATGACTCGCCCCAGCCATGTCCTTGTACATAAGAGGTAATGCCCAAGAACACATCCAAGCAAGTTGCGTGATTCGGCTTGACATTCCGTCGCACACCAGCCAATTGGGCTTGCACCACACTTAATTACCAGTTCAAGCTTGGTAAACAAGAAAATTGGTCCGCGACCTGGAAATTTGCGGAGGGCGGATTCGGCCGAATCGCAACACTGATGGTACCTCCCCATACACAGAGGTCTCGAAGGTATGGACATTCTTTATATCCCCGTTATATCTCCTTTCACAAAAAGAAATCCTCTATATCTACGGATAGTAAATTACATTTGTCCCAACACAGGCGATCATGACCAAACCGATTCGCGTGGGCTTTCTTGGCCTGTCCTCTGATGAAAACGCTCACCTCGCCGGCGCATGGGGTAAGAATGCCCACCTCCCGTACTTTCAAAAGTCTCCGGACTACACCATCACGGCCCTTTGCAACTCATCTGTCGAATCGGCGGAGAAGGCGGCAAAGAAGTACGGCCTGGACACTGGGGCCAAAGTCCGCACGTATGGCGACCCGGAGTCTCTGGCCAAGGACGACAACGTCGACCTGGTTGTCTGCTCTGTAAGAGTTGACAAGCATTATCGTCTCATCAAACCGGCTTTGTTGGCCGGAAAGTCAGTCTTCTGCGAGTGGCCCCTAGCCTCGAACCTGGAGCAGATGCAAGAATTGGCCGACTTGGCCGAGCAGAAGAAGCTCAAGACCATAGTGGGCTTGCAAGGTCGCACGGGTGCCTACATTCACGCCATCAAGAAGTTTATTGGCAATGCAGAAGGTCAGTTGGGTGATATCCTCAGTACCACCTTGACGGGAAGCGCGTTCCTTCTGGGTCTAGCGACTCCCAAGGAGACGGCCTACTTGACGGACATCAAGAAGGGGGGGAATATGTTCACGATCACGGCCATACATTGTGAGTGATCCCTTACCTTCTGCGGTACAAGTCTCAACAACTGTGGGGGTTTTCAAGCTAACACGGTTGCTCTGCTCTTCCTCAGTGCTTGATACTCTCACTGCTGCTCTCGGTGAGATCGAATCCCACAATATTGTGCTCAAAAACAAACGTCCCACAGTCGCATTGACAGATAGCGCTTTCAATATCGTCGAACAGTCGTATCCCAATAGCACGCCAGATCACATTCTCGTGAATGGTGTCCTCAAGGGCGACATTCCCTTCAATTTTCACGTCCGCGGCGGGCTGCCATTCAAGGACACTCCGGCGTTCGACTGGCGCATCTACTACACCAGGGGCGAACTCAGAATCACAGGGAACGAAATGCTTTGGCTGGGTCGTGACGTCAAGGTGCAGGTGTTTGACTTCCTGGCCAACAAGGTCGAGGATCTGGATTTGGACCAAGTGCTACAGGAGGATGTAAAGGACGACGTTGCTCTTAAGATGGGGTTGAAAGCTCCGGCGGATAACGTGGCCAGGCTCTATGAGGCATTTGCGAAAGGTGAAACCGATAAGTACCTGGACTTCAAGCAGAGTTTGAAGTGGGCGCATTTTATTGAGGAGGCATACATTGCCAATGGGTTTCCGACAAAATAGTGAAGGGTTTGTCTAAATCTCAGAGCTGAGCTTTTCAAGCAGGCGCAAAGTCTACATAGATATCTACCATGTCTGTGGCTTTGCTCTCCCAAAGGCTCGAGGAGGAACCCGGATTTGCAGCACCTTAGAAGAGTTTTCAGCCCATTGGATATCGAAATACCACGCAAGTCACCATCGCGTATTTGGTTATGGCCAGCATGGTATTTCAGACAAACAAAAGCATTATGACAATCGCAACAACAGTCATCACAATTCAGTGAAGAAAGATATAAACCATGATGGACTCGTCTCTCAGCCTTGCCAAGACGGAAGCGGATACCAAAGATAGTGATATACGACGTCGGAAGTTCACCTTTCTTTCGTCTTTATCCTAAACAACACTTGTACAGTACAGACAAATTCTGACCGCAATGACCTCCATCAGTGAACCTGCCCAGATGGAACTGAGAGAATTTGTTAGCAATCAGCAAATCACCGATCAACCTAATACTCATGAAACTGCATCTCTACCTCCAGTCGATGGCGGGAAGGCGGCATGGCTCTTTCTTTCTGGCAGCTTTTGCATTGAGATGCTTCTCTGGGGTGAATATCTAGGGCCACCTTCTCGTCTGAGACCATGCTGCTGTCTAACTCTGTGTCTCCAGGCTTTCCGTTCTCTTTCGGTGTGTTACAGGATTACTATTCCACCCACCCGCCTCTTTCTCAACATCCCGCGGGTATTTCCGCCATCGGGACAACATGTTCGGTATGGTAGTGCTCACGTCGGCACAACGAAGGATGGTCAATCTGATTAGTATTGCTAGGGCATCATGTACTTGGGCGCACCATTAGTGTTCCTTGCCTTCCAGAGATGGCCGATATTCCTGCGGCGGAGTCTCTTCGTTGGCCTGCCCATTGTCGTCCTCGCCGTCTTTCTCTCGAGCTTTGCCACCAAGACCTGGCATCTCGTTCTTACCCAGGGGATTCTCTACGCCATCGGCGGCAATCTCGTCTACTACCCCATCTACAGTTTCATTGACGAGTGGTTCGTCCGCCGCAAAGGGTTCGCCTATGGGGTCATGTGGGCTGGTTCCGGATGTGGCGGGTTGGCTGGTCCGCTGGTGCTTCACTGGGGCGTCAGCAAGTATGGTGTCGAGACTTTCTTGAGGGGCTGGTCAATTGCTCTGGTACGTCCTTCACCAGCCAGTGCCTTTCCAAACTCGCACTCTGCTCACGATCTTGTGTAGTTCGTCTTGATCGCTCCATTTCTTTATTTCGTCAAACCACGGATTCCTCCTTCCCGATCTCACCGAGCACCGGTACGAGCTATTATTGCTGGGTTTGGGTTTGTCAAGACAAGGCAATTCTGGGCGATAGAGATCTGCAACATCATTCAAGGGCTGGGATACTTTGTTCCTCAGCTCTATCTTCCCAGTAAGAACATTGGCGCTCCATTGAGACCCCTGTGGTTTGAAATATGTGGTTAACCTGTCACAACAGCCTATGCCCGCGTTAATGGCCTTCATTCGGGCTCACTCCTCGTATCACTGCTCAACGTTGCACAAGTCCCAGGTGTAATGGTCCTCTCCGCTCTGTCAGACAAGGTGCCCGTGTACACCGTCATCCTGATCTCGTCGCTGGGATCAACCCTGGCCATCTTCCTTCTCTGGGGTCTTGCGTCATCCTCGACGGGTCTGCTGATAACGTTTGCCTTGTGCTATGGATTCTTTGCCGGTGGGTTCACGGCCGTCTACGCCGGCGCCGCTCAGGAGTTCCGCCGTGTCACCCCCGGCGGAGACACGGGGCGCGCAGACTTGGGCAGCATGATGGGACTCCTCGGTGGCGGAAGAGGGATCGGAAACGTGGTGTGCGGTCCTGTCAGCGAGGCACTACTGCACAGCAGCAGCGTCACAGGGTGGAAAGGTGCAGCAGGCGCCTACGCAGGCAGCTTTGGGCCACTCATTGTCTTTGCGGGCACAACGGCGGCGTTGACCATGTCGAGTTGGGCGGCCAAGGCCATGAAGATTGTTTGAACTCTGGAAATCAGAACACGAAGCCGTCAACATCGACAGTGAGTGGCTGGCTTCACTTGACTCTCTTGTATGATTGGGGCCAACCGATATATCGGTCCATATGATTTTTGTTGCCATTGGTCGAATGCCTCATGCCCAGTGCCAACGAGGAGAACCAGCCACACTCAACCCTACTTCCAGGCACATACAATCTCCAAAGACACGGTCAATTCGTCACTCGTCTATCTTCGCTGGTAGACAAAATGGCTATCAAGACACCTGCATTCTATTGCAGTCTATACCCCAGCACCTCCGCCCTCTCCGCCTCGCTCAACTTGTCCACTCCTAGCGGCGGCAAAATGGGCTGTGACCCCTGGACAAAGTCGAAATGCCCAATCCTCTTGGTGAATGCGACGTCCGCGGCGCCGCGCACGGGACCGCGGGGATCATTTCCCGCGATGAAGTTCATGGGGAACCCGACATCGAAGGGGTACGCGGCCTCGATGTCGTCAAGCTCCTGCGGCGAGAGGCGGATGGTCAGGGCGTCGATGTTCTGGCGGAGGTGGGCGAGTTTGCGTCCGCCGACGATGGGCGTCACGTACGGCGTCTTGTGCATGACGTACGCGAGGGCGATCGAGGTGAGAGGCACGGCGGGCGTGCGCGCGTTGGCGATCTTCTCGAGGACGAGAGATACTTGGGCTTCCCGGCCCGTGTTGACCGATGCCATGTTGCGGCCGCCTTCTTGCGACGTGGACGAGGGCTTGAAGTAGCCGCCCCCGAGGGCCCCCCAGGGTGCAAGCCCCATCCCCTCGTCGCGGCACATGGAGATGATGTCCCTCTCAAAGTCACGTTGCGCGGCCGACCAGCGGCCCTGGTAGACGCTGAAGGGTCTGAGGCCGTGGTGCCGTGCGTACGCATTGGCCTTGGCCACCACCCAGGCGGGCGTGTCGCTGATGCCCAGGTACAGCACCTTGCCGCTCCGCACCAGCTGGTTGAGCGACTGCATCATCTCCTCCACCCCCGTGGTGAAGTCCCAGTAATGGACGTACAGCAGGTCGATGTAGCTCGTCCGGAGCTTCTTCAGGGACGCGTCGACGCTCAAAACCAGCGACTTGGTGCTGTTGGCCCCGAAATTGGACTGCTGGAGCTGGGGCTCCGAGAAGACCTTGTACGCCGACGAGTACTTTGTCGCGATGACCATCTCGTCCCGTCGGTAGGGGCCGTGGAGCTCGAGCCACTCCCCGATCCACATCTCGGACTGTTCGGCCTGGTAGTTGTTCGCCCTGCCCAGCCAGCCAGACTCTGTCAGCTCTAACTATTCACCAGAGAAAGCGATAACTTTGGGGGTTTAAAGGGATATCTGAAGGCAATAACTCCTATATAGACGAGCATTGATGTCTTGACCCCACCCGTAGAACTTACGTGTCAATGAAATTCCCACCCATCTCGTAAAAATAGTCGAGGATCTCAAACGCCGTCTCCTTGGTACACTCGCCCATGACGCCGGACCAGGCGTCGCCAAAGTTCATCCCGCCCAGGCACAGCGGACTGACGTGGACGCTGGCGCTCGGGGCGAGGAGCCGATGGCGTCCGAGCATTGACCGGGGAAGGGGCGCAGAGGGCGTCGTCATTGTTGATGTGACGTTCTCTGGAGTCTGCAGGTCCTTGGGATTGATTGGTATAAGGGGTGGTTGGTGTTGAAGATGGAAGGGGACCTTTGTCGATTGATTGTCGCAATTGTGACTTGTGTTTGGAAAAAAGCTTAAACGGAAGTGGAAGCTTAGTTCGTGAGAGACCGCAGAGGGGTGGTTTCGAGCTTTATAACGAAAAGAATCTTCTATCCTTGTCCTCACTGCTTGCCCACATCACGGTGGTCTGACTGGCGTTACGGGAATACTCTATCCGCCCACCCACTCAATCCACGCATGTATGCACCCAGTACTCCCGCCGATACGCATACGCGCGGGCTAGAGATGCAAACCCCGGACCCAGCCCTCGAGTTTCGCCAGCGGATGGCCATGCAAAATCCATCCAAATGCCCTGCCTACGCGGACAGGGATTTGCTCCCTGGACGGCGATAAAGCGTCCAATCACCGCAATTTCCAGATTGGACGAGACAGGACATGTCTTGGCCGAGGAGGACTTAAGATTCCTCGCTTGAAGGGCTCGGTAAATCCATCCCCATCACCATCCCCATATCCGCCCCCCCCCCCTAAGTCAAGGAGTGAGGAGCGAGCGTATAGGGCTTACGCCCTCGCGGGTCTCCGTGTACGCTGCTCTGCTAGACCCGCTCAAAAGGAGTTTTTTTGGTCGTGAGAAGAACCACAGCGTAAATCTGGGGGGTCGGAGTTAAGGGGCGCTCAGCCTTGTTGTCCTTGTCTTGGCATGAACATCTCTCTTCCTTTCTCCTCTGGAAGTTGGTGGATGTGGGTGTGGCATGGCGGCGGGAAGGGTAGAGCGGAACACGTCGGCTCAAGGACCTCAAGGACCTCGAGTGAGTTGGTTTGATCAGACCCATGTGGTCGTCAGGTATTGGCTTCGTTGTGCACAAATCGTGCATCTCCTTGTAAAGTCCTTCGGAATGTTCCGAACAGTGCGTTGGCAGGTCGTCCCCATAACACTTACCACAACCACAGCATGTTCACGCCACGCTGCATCTCTGAACCACACGACCGCATAGCAAATCACCTGTCCGAACATTCATGATTTTCGCCAGATCATTCCTCCTCGGTCAAAGGAAGCGACGTTGTTCAGGGTGTCGAGCTAGCTAGTCCCATCGGAAGGGAACAATGTCCCCCCGCCCCTCCCTCCGTTCGCTTCTTTACCCCGATCGTAGCCCCGTTCTCCATCCCCCTTTTTCCTCTTCCCCCGCAGTTCCTTGTACCAGGTCTCGGCTATCCAAGATGAGGACTCTGCCGAAAAGGCATTCACGAGTAACCGTAATGGTATGAAAACCTAGCATATATTTGTCAGCGGTGATAATAAAATATATTTCAACGATAACGAAAGCACGGCTTTTAAAGATCCAGGGGTTTCAAATCGGAAAAAGAAAGAAAGGAAAAAAAAGTCTGAAGGTCAAGAGGAGTATACACCTTGCTTGCTTGAAGGCTTTTGTATAGGATTTGAATAGCTGGTTTTACATCGCTCTCAGGGACTTTGACCACCACCACCATGTCTTCTGCCGTCCAGCAAGTCTACTCCCGGGGCATCTACCACGGCCTACCCACCTTTCCCCACGACGTCAAAGACCTCACCGCCATCGTGACCGGCGCCAACGGCATCTCGGGGAACTACATGCTGCGGGTTCTCTCGCAGGCCCCGCAGCGCTGGAAGCGCATCATCTGCCTGAGCCGGCGGCCGCCGCTGCTCGCGGGCGGGCTGCCCCAGAACGCCGAACACATCGCGGTGGATTTTCTGAAGACGCCCGAGGAGATCGCGGCGGTGCTGCGATCGCACGGCGTCGATTCGGTCGACCACGTCTTCTTCTTCTCGTACATCCAGCTGGAGCCCAAGGCGGGCCAGGGCCTGTGGAGCGACGCCGCCGAGATGGCCCGCGTCAACACGCAGCTCCTGCAGAACTTCCTCGGCGCCCTCGTCCGCGCGCACCTCAAGCCCCGGCGCGTCATGCTGCAGACGGGCGCGAAAAACTACGGCGTCCACCTCGGCCCGACCAAGCTGCCGCAGGAGGAGTCGGACCCGCGCGTCGAGCTGGAGCCAAACTTCTACTATCCCCAGGAAGACGCGCTGTTCGAGTACTGCCGCGACCAGGGCGTCGGGTGGAACATCCTCATGCCGGGACCAATTCTCGGGGCCGTCCCGGACGCGGCGATGAACGCGGCCTTCCCCCTCGCCGTCTACGCCACCGTCTGCCGCCACTTGCAGGCTCCGCTCGAGTTCCCTGCCGACGTGGTGGCGTGGCAGGCGGGCTGCAGCATGTCGAGCTCCATGATGAACGCGTACATGGAGGAATGGGCGGTCCTGACGCCCGCGGCGGAGAACCAAAAGTTCAACGCCTGCGACGACAGCGCCTTCACCTGGGAGTCGGCCTGGCCCAGGATCGCGGGCTGGTACGGGATCAAATGGACAGGGCCCGACGACAACGCAGAGTACGTCGCCAGGGAATCGCGCTTCAACCCGCGAGGCTATGGTGGAAAAGGTGTATCACGGCGGAGATTCACCTTTGCTGATTGGGCCAAGAGGCAGGACGTGGCACAGGCGTGGAAGGAGATTGCAGAGCAGAATGAGCTGCCCCAGAAGGAATTGAGGGACGTCGACCGCGTGTTCGGGTTTCTGGACGGCACCGTCTGTCGTGCATCACCCCTGATATTCTCGTAAGTGACTTCCCCGTCATCTCTCACACTGACAACATCCATATCACACCGAATACTGACATTCTTGGCTATAGGACAGACAAAGCGCGGAAACTGGGCTGGCATGGTTTCGTCGACTCTACAGAGTCATTGTTGGAAGTGTTTGATGACCTGGCCAAGATAAAGATGATACCTCCTGTGCCCAAAGTCGAGGTCAAATTCAATTGAGTACGAGCAGCCTGTCAAACCACCAAAAGACCCAGAGTCGAAGCCGTTATACAATCAAAACACAAAGACTTTTCCGTCTATGCACGCTATGCACGACCCGAAGCCCTTTCCGCCTCCATCTTCTCCTTCTTTCTTTTCTTGGCTGCAAGTTCGCGCCGTCGGGCCTCTTTTCTGAACCATTCGCTCTCGGGTCCCTGGTTCTTCTTGCTCCTTCGGTCTTGCTCACGGTACATGGGGGCCATAGTACCACCACCGCTGACATCCGCCAGTAAGCCAGCTTGTCTGCGCACCTGCAACTTCTGCGCCCTGGCCTTGGCTGAGGAACCTCCTCCACTCAGATGACTCCACATATTGTCGTCGACTTTCTCAATGTCGGCAGCCGTTTCGTTTTGAAGCAACACCTTCGCCAGCAACTCATTTCTCTCTTCAGCCCTCGAGTACATGAGCTTGTCCATCTTGTCCATACCCGCCAAATGTGTGATGGTCTTGAAGGCATAACCTTGGTCAACCAGGAAAGCTTGTCGTTTGGCGCTGTATGCCATCTCGGTTGTATCTTTGGAGACGAGAGAATAGAAGAATGCATTAAAGCCTTCGTCGTTGCGACGCTTTGCCCGTAAAATGCGGCCTAGCCGTTGTGCTTCTTGACGTCGTGACCCATAATGCGAAGAAATCTGAATCAGGCAAGTTGCTTCTGGCAAATCAAGCGACGTATCGCCAATTTTGGACAGAAAGATGGTACTAAATTCGGGCCGATCATCGTGCTGGAATCGGTTGAGAATTTCGAGGCGCTCGTAGTTGCTGGTTTCACCGTAAATGAAAGCCCTCTTCATGTTCTCTGCATAGTGCCTTAACGCAAATAAATTGTCACTGAACACGATGATCTTGTCGCCGCGGTTCTCGTGGTAATTGATGAGATACTGGCAAACCCGGAACTTTTCAGGATTCATAATATAGAACAAAGGCTGCTTCCTCGTGCTTGCATTCTGATATTCTTGGTAGAATTCCATAGACATCGGGCACCATACTTCGGCACATTGCACTTTGGCAATGTGACCCTGCTCAGCAAGCTCCATCCAATTGGCTTCATACAATTTCGGTCCAATGATGAAGTTGAGATCGGTGATTTTATCGTCCTCTCGGAGCAATGTGGCGGTAAGACCAAGTTTGCAGTGGGAGCGGATGTTTTCGCCGACCTTTCTGAACATTTTGGCGGGGACGACATGGACCTCATCGAGTAGCATCAGACCCCATTCTTTGCCGTACACCCAGTCCATCATCTGTTGAGTATCGTGGGCGCGCTTCCCACCTGCTGTGATCATGGAGTAGGTAGTGACCAGCACTCCTGCGTCTCCATGGAACCTCTTCTTCTCGGTAGCAGAAAATACGGCGATATCCTCTTCTCTGATATCAGACCATTTCCTGAATTCATTGGCCCATTGGTAGCTGGACATGGCACTTGTGCAGAGAACGACGATGCTCTTCTTGATATGGCAGCCTGCGGTGATACCAACCAGAGTCTTCCCCGCCCCGCAAGGCAGGACAATGATGCCACTCTTGCCACGGCCGTTACCAAACATCTTGCTGAGCGCTTTCTCCTGGTACGGCCGGATTTGAGTGGAAGGTTTCAGGTCAATCGGTAATGTCGCATTTTCGAAATCGTTGGCGAAGTCGTACTCTGAGATGGCAGGATAGCCAATGTCTAAGCACTGCTTCGCCACTGTGTCACGTTTGTTTGGCGCGATCTCGAAACTAGTGGCTTCCTTGTAGGTATCCTCTTCATCTTCTTCATCCCTCAGAGCAGCGATCATGGCCTCGTTCTCCTTGGCCGGATCATCTCTAGGCATCTCCACGTTTCCCTGCCCCGCCTGTGTCATGCCTTTGGCGTTACTGGTCCCTTGAATAACAGTCGCCTTCGTTTGGATTCTTCCAACTTGGACGTCCGTGCCGACTGCTTTGCAGGGGCCAATAACAGGATCCTTCAGGAGCATGTCGATGATTTCGCGCTCGTCGGACTCGACAAAGAACTTGTTGTTCCTTAAAACAAGCCGTACCTTTCCGTAGGTTTTCGTGTGGCGGTTAATGAAATCGATCACGGTCTCCGGCACGGGAGTTTTGGACAGCTTTTCTAGTGCACGTATTATATCTTCACCACGTAGACCTACCGATAAGGCGGCATAGAGACTATGCTCTGTGAATCTATATTCGTGGAGATAGGAAGGTCTCGACTGGGGTTCTGCGATGGTGGTAAGCAGATCCGTCGCCTGTGCAGACAACGGAGAGAAGCTCTCTAGGGTGATCTTGGGGCCCTTTTTCGACCCAATAGACACATTTGGGTCTATCCACAGCGGCCTATTCTCATGATCAGGCTTCAGTGAGAGCCACGAGAAGTCTTTCTCTCCGAATATCGACGGCTTTTGTTTGTGCTTTGTACCCTGGAAGGAACTAAAGTCCAACCTCGCTCTGGCCTTTCGAATGTGCTCTTGCTCGCTATCACTAGGTTCTTGGGAGCGTGGGTCGGATCCTTCAAAATATTCTTCGTCGCTATCGATGCTTACAGGCGTCGAGGGAGCAGGCGTGGAGCGTTTAGAGGATCGACCATTCGCAGCGTCCGCAAGGGCTTTTCGTTTGAGCGACATGGCTTCAGACAGCAGCCGCTGTGGCGGACTGCGTCGAGAGGAGCGGCAATCGATAGGTAGCGGACCACTCTCGGTCGCAGGAATATCCTGGAGCACACAGAGAGCAAGAGGTGGAAGAATAAAAAAAAGAAATCAGAATGGTGAATGGACAGGATAGAGGAGAGTTGAGGCGACCAACACTTATCGTTGCCTGATTTGAGCCCATGTTACTAACGAGTACGAGGTAAGTACGAGGCTCTCGCTAAACGGTGGCGCAAATAAGTCATAGTGCAAATGTACGTCACCCTCAGTGTGGATACAGCTTCCAGGCTTGGGTCTCCGATTTCCGTCCGAGCTGTTTCTACAAGCGAGCTTTTTCGAATTGGTCTTCACCCGTCTTCCTTTTTCTCTATTCTGGGTATGGAAAGGTAACTCGGGTCGAAATGAATACTGTGAGTAAATGCTTCTCGTCGCTGCGTTGACTCTGATCGCTGATCCTGTTCGCAGATAAGGTCGACTTGGTATGGGCTCTGAGTCGTGTGCTGTAACACTCTGCGTCGACTTCCCCCGAGTCAATGCATTGAGCTGCGCACAATTTATGGTAGCTTGCTAACCGCGCCACGACTCACAGGATCGGCTGGGGAGTGCTCTGCGTCGCCGGCGGAGGCGCCTACTATTTTGCAAAGAAATCCATCAATGCTGACCGAGCTGCCCGATTCGAGGCAGAACAGCAGAAAAAGGCTCGTTATCAACGCCTAGAAGATTCACACATTGCTTTCAACAAACAACCTCCTACCTCAAAGACCAAGACCAAAACAAAAGAGCAGGCTGGCCCTTCGAATGGGTCTCAAAACACCAAAGGACTGGATCATGCAGGTAGTCCGAGCAGCGAAATAAGTGAAGATGCGGCACCTGTGGGACACGCGCCGGTCGATGGAGAGCAAAGGGTACGAGAGAAGAGCAAATACGAAGCTGCGGAGCCGTACCGAAGCAAGAAGGGGGATAGATTGAGTTGAGGGTCTGCAAGAGAAAGAAAACGCGAAGTCATGTTCTGAATGCTTGATATATTCTGTATGGGCGAACCCCGAGGTATTCATTTGGTGTATACATTGATGATCAAGTTCCCTTGTTCCCTGAAGCCAAAAGTCGCAAACCCTCTGTAACTCCTGTTGTTGTTCCAACCATGACCATGACCATCAAACGGGTATTATGCTGAAACGCTCGCCCAATCATTCCAACGCCTCGATGTGACCAAGTGAACATAACGCCGTATTCATCCTCTGTTGTCCTCTATTCCGCTCGCACGTTCCCGTCATGCATGACAACATAAAGGTGCATAGTGCTTCCTCGAAGCATTTGGGTGTCCTGAGTCACGCTCGCGCTTCGACTCGATTGCAGGGGGGACAAAGGGCAGAAGGACGGCGGAGGTAATAAGAGTGCCTGCAACGGCAGATTGTAATCTTGTCGCTGGTTTGGGTACTTGCGCCGAGAAATGGCGGACCGCTGTCTGGGTGAGGGTGGTGGTGACGGTGCCTGCGAGACTCATGGCTGCGGACTTGGAGATGGTGGGTTTATACAGTGGGGAACGAGAATCGGAGTAACTGGCGTCCAAAAGCCAAGTTGAGAGCCGAGACGGTGAGGAATCAACCGCAGGATCTTCCTGTTGCGGAAACTGAGGGCTTGTCTGTTGCAAATCTGTTGTACAAGACAGAAGAAGTTTAAACAAACCGAAGAGAGGGGAAGTGGAAATGTTTTAAAGGGGGTGGGATGTGGGATCACAAGGCATCGCTGCAGTGGTAGTAAGTAGTGACTAGTGTTGGGACCTTTCAACTCACAGGCAGCGTCGAATCAGGGCTGCGAATGACTCCTTCCAAGAAGGTGATTGCGTGCTAAGCAATCGAAATGATGTTGCTGGGATCGGGATTCCAGGTACGGAGAATAAAGCGGCTGTTAGGCATTCAGGTTGGGAAAGGATAAGTGGCAAGCAGAGGACCAGTGGCCTGAGAGGTCCTCAGTTTGACTGCTGCCAGCCAGTGGATTTGTCTGTTGTTTGTAATATGGGTGCGGACCCTCAGCTGAGCATGCGGAATTTCGTGGGGAGACTGGCACTGTTTAAGCCGATTAATCGGTCAGTCGCCTGAAAAGGCATACCGAAAATCCGAAATATACACGAACACCAAGTGGCAGGAGACCGCAGTAGGAGGTGATCCAATAGTGTGCGAGTCTTTGAAATCACCTTTCTTTCAGGGGTCACGCTGACAGAGGTGGCGTTAAAATGCGCTGCCAGAAGAATCAAGGCTATCTCAGCCTTGTCCGAAAACACCCTGCTCGGATCACGGAGAAAGTACGGAAGTCCTCGGAGTACGACTCGCCCAAGCCTGTGGCTGCGTTCACGTGACTGTGGCTATATTGTGGCTGACATTTCGTCTGTGCAGCCTTGCCCGCCTTGTATCGCAACTGATGTTCATGCTGGTCGGTGACCACGCCAACCCCTCGGAAACCGAAATTACAACCCCTCCAAAGACCATGACAAAATCCTCCATCTCAGTTTCCGTATAACACAGATGGCAGCGCATCACATTTCTCTCGCAAAAGCCTCTTTTGGCGCTTCGCTCCTGCGACCAGACGTGACGAAGGTCTCGCGAGACGACCTCCCCACCTTTCACAATGCCTTCGAAGCTACCCTCCACCAATGCTCGAGTCGCAACATACAGGTCTGGGCACTTCAAGAATGACACAATACCTCAAGGTCGGATTGACTGAAGAATTATAGACATGTAAACAATGGCTGTTGGAAAACGTGGTTGTCTCAACGACAAGGACCACCGCTCTGGGGAAATATCTGGTTGCCATAGCCCGCCACCTTACAAACCAGCCAGATGAATCATCCAGCACAAGAGTCTCACGACAGCGACTCCATATCCTCTATCTTGTGAACGATCTTCTTCACCATGCCAGATATCACGAAGCCGACGTTGCCCTTTGCAACAACCTAACACAGTCGCTGCAACCATTTCTGGCAGATCTGATCCGACTCAGCGCATCAGACGCAAAGGCACACGTGCGGAGGCGGCTATCCGATTTGATCCAACTATGGAAAGAGGAGGAGTACTTTAGCCCACAAGTGATTGATGAGATGCACGATGCACTCGCTGGGGTCGCCTCAAAAGCCCAGCCAACAGTGGAACATGAGGCAGGGCGGAAGAGTGCAGACAAAGAACTCCCATACCTCATCCCTGCGACGCACGGCGACCCTTCGTTACCCTTCTACGACCTCCCCGCCGGCAATCTGATGCGTCACATCATCCCAAACAGCTCGCAGCCAATGCGTCCTGACGAGGTCCGAGCCCTCCAATTTTCCGCGGGCCCCGCAGATGAGAGTTTGGTGAATGCGCTGAAAGACTTTTTGAACGATGTGAAGGGCGCTGAGTCTACCCTCCCAAGGCTTGAACAATCTGGCCTTTCTCCGGAGATTGACGAGATGGGTCAGATCTCGTACCACGATGAAACGGGCGACGTGGTCGGTGATACATATTACGGATGGTCCCGGTCGTTTTGTGATAAGATGAAGAAGCGTGGGAGGGGGGGTTCGGAAGACTCCTCGCCACGTTCAAGGTCAAGAAGCTCGGGTCGCAGTCGAAGTGCAACACCTCAGAAGCGCAGACGTCGTAGTGTTTCAACCAACGGGCGCTCCGGATCATCAAGGTCGTATAGCCGCTCACCTCCCACACGCCGGTCTGACAACCCGAGGGGACAATGGAGTCGAAGTCGAAGCCGGTCGCGCTCCAGAAGCCGCCCGTACTCTCCCGGCAGTTATCATTCGCGACCTGGGCAGCCTCCAAGATTTGACCCACCACCAGCACACGTTAATGCAAACCCTGCGCCGATTCCTCCACCTCCGCCTATGGTAATGCCATTCCCGCCTATGCCCCTACCTCCTACAGGACTACCGGTACTTCCTCCCAGACCACCGCAATGGGTAGGTCCTTGGCCTCCTCCCCCACCTCCTCCATTCCCTCGGGCAAACATAGGATACCAGCATGCTCCCTTTCCCCCTCATCCTCCACCGCCGCCACCGCCGCAAACCTTTGTCCCTCCACCCGACAGCTGGATGCGGTATCCAGGGGCACCACCAGGACCAAATAACCAATATGGAGACAGGCGCTGATGCCATTACCCACTGCTTTGCTTTGTGATGCTTGTTGTTGATCAAACATCACGTCACCCTACCTCTACTTCTCTGTAGAGGTGCCGCAGAGTTGTCTACTTGTACGGCAGGCCAAACAAACCGCTGACCCCAGCGAACCGATCGCTGGCCAAATCATGTTCAACCAAGTGTCCACAAGGACCCCACATTCACATGATAATCGACCACGTTCATACAAAGAGAATGCTGCTTACAACCCGCTTTCGATGCCGCAAACATGTGAATGGTGAACCACAAGCCTCTGGCATCATTCAGGCTCCCATAGGCCTTTGCTGTGGGTGGTCGGGACCCTTGAATGCAGGTGCTCGCCCATGAACCTTTACGTGTTGGAGGGATGCAATTGGATGAAGAGAAGGACATATACCTGCGGATGATGGGCGATTGGGTTCGACTTGTTTGGCGGCGCAGAACAAGTCATACGAGCTTTACATGGTGGGTGGTGGTAAAGCTTATCTCACGACGGAGAATGAGGCGCGCACTGGTCAAATACTCGGTACCACTCGCAGGACTCGCAGGACTTGCAATGACAGGGCGGCGGGTGATTGCCAGGGTCCATTGCCTGAAGCTGAATTAGAAAGCGGGTGGCGGGCTTGGCAGACGCAAGGCTGGAGCTCCCGCTTTGGTGCTGGACCGACGTCATTACTTGGGATTCGATGAGTGTCATTGGCCGCCAACCAGCAACTGTCCCCCAACTGCTTCTTCCCGCGTCGCCGTCGGACGCCACAGGCCACACACCACCCTATCGCCAGCTACCCATCCACTACGAGCGTCACGAACCTCTAGCACACATGAGCAAACAATGGAAATGACCATGACCACTCAGTCTTCCCTTCTCCTGTATCTCTTTCCTTGTTACGCATGTCCGATCTAGCCTGCGCCCTTTGCTGGGCCTCTCCCTTGGACAGGACCGCACAAGTATGCGAAGGGCTCCCAGCATCTCCCCCAACGACGATCACTCTTGAATAGAATTCAGACATGCTTTTCTCGAATGCCTAACCACGAGAATCCCTCGGCCCAAAGTCGTTGGGTCTAGAGCATGGGCTTCCCCATCCACAATTTTTCCGCATGTCTATCGAATGCGAGATGTGATCATATTGCATTGCCTCTCCCATCAGACCCTGGGCGATTCTGGGTTTGACCGATCGGCAGGGTCGTTCTCCACCTGCAAAGGACGTTCTTCATGGCTATTTGCTCGATGCTCAGCTCTGGTCCTTGGAATCTTCATTTTTGCTGGGGATCGAGGGCCACCTTTGCCGTTTGATCATCGCCCCGTCAAATTGTAGTTCGCCAGATGGCCACTCAGCTCCGTCCAACTGACGGCAACTTGCATAACCTCTCCAGAGGTCTCACCACACTCATTGGGCGCGACATACGCCATTTCTCCGCCTCTAGACCTGGACTTTGCCCCCCATTCCGTCTTTCGGTTCGCCCTCGTTCTCTCCAATGGTGGTTCAGCCTGGTGTGCTGAGCATTCTCGTTGAGATATATAACCAGATGGTCTGGATTTCCCCCTGCCATTTCTAATATCAGCTCACCATCATCTACAAGACATTTTTGGCGTCGAGACTACCTCTAGCACCATCATCTCGTGTTGACCATTGCAGTCTTCCAACATCAGACAACCCTTTAATACTCCAACTCCAAATCATCACCCACCATGCCTTCGGCTGTCGAATACCTCACCAGCCCCCAACAGAATTTCAACTATGAATCTGATCCCATTGCGGCCATGACCTCGTACGCTCGAATGATGCACATGCACACCAAGCAACAAATGGATGCTGCAACCCGATCAGCACGACGACGAAGTCCACCCGTTGGTGTTGATGCCCACACCAACGCAGGTCTTTCCAAGCAGAGTACACACAGCAGTACCTCGTCACGATCATCTTTTTGACCGTACCACGGAGCGGCATTCCTTCCTCTGCGCGTTCAAGCTCGCCAACTATATCATCAAGAAGCAGTCGGCATCTACACCAAACGGGTGACGGAGCTGTCAGTGAGAATGACGGAGTGAGACTGTGAAACTCCTAGCTGAAATATACAATTATTCACCGTCGTTGACTCCAATTCGTGGTAGAGGACTGTGCGACAGAAGGTTCTCATGATTGCTTCTACCTATCGCTTTCTCACGCGCACACGCTGCATATCATAGTTGCAGTCCTGCGTGGTGGTGAGATTGTTCTCATCCAATGTGTACTATTACAAACTGCGGGATATTACATTCCTGCTTTTTTCGTCAAAAAGCACCAGCAGCATCTGGCGGCGCAGGGGCTTTTGGTTTTTTAGGGGTGGAAATACAGATCTTTACGAACTTGAAGCCGAATGAAATGATTTGCCAAACTACTTCTCTTTACCTTCCCTACAAACATTTGATTATCTCTGCTCAATCTAATTGGTACAACGCACTTCAGTGGCCTTGACAACTATGCAATGGACAGGGTTTACTTGATCTGTCGTCTGGAATGCTTTGATTCTGCTCTTATGTGTCTTTGACAGATGTGATACTATGGCCGTATTGAGCAGATAAGCCAACCTTGTGCGATACAAATATGGAATAGATACAGACCGTCCAGCGTAGAGTATACTGTGGATAATTTGCTTAGATATATCCTTCTATACAAGCGGAATATCTACTTTGATTGTGCTGAAATCATTCCACAGCACTGCCATGTACACGAGCCTACAAGCATATACATAAATACCTATACAGATTTAGGCGAGATGAAGCAGTGGTCACTAAGTGGCTGACTGACTGACTGACTGATTGACTGGCTAACTGACTCACTCCACGTACTTCCCCTCTTTCCTGGCTGACTGGCTGTGCCCATACTCTCGAAGTGAGGCCCTGCGTGACGTTCGTCTTGTCAGGCAACAGCCTCGTCGATCACTTGCATCATATGGCACCAACCCGGCCCCGTGCTGGGATTTTCTGGGGGAACGTCATACGACTTACAGCTCACGACTCACGCAACGAGTAACGAGGGAAGGAGTATCGAGTAACTCTCCTAGTCCTTGTCTGCTAATTAATGATAGGATAAGATAGGATAGGTCTTGCTTGCTCACACACCTATCACTACCCATCACTACCACTACCTACCTATGGTGTCTGTGTACATACATGCCTACGGAGTCTTGGGGTATGGTCATCTCAGATCGAGACCGAGTAAGCAGGCAAAGCACGTAGTATGTCCTCCCAATAGTGCCTCCTCTTCGCACCGGTGCCACCGCACAGTAACAGTGACATGCCTCCCATATAGTTAGTGAGTGTTGGAGAGGGGGATTGTCGAAAGATCGACATTCAAAGACGTAAAACTCGCCATTCCTCCCATTTTGACTTTTTTCCCGTCGCCCCCTCTGGTGGTCAATCAGAATGTGGGATTGTTGGGTGGGAAAGTGGGAAACTCCTGCCCACGAGGCGATGGTTTGGTCTAATCTGGCTTTTTCGTCTCTCTGGCTTGTCTGTTGGGGGGGCTTTTTGCGTTGCCCATGCCGCAAACTATGGCATTTGCGATTATCGGTCATGGAGAAAATTTGTGGAATTTGTGCCATCTCCATCTATTTCCATCGAAATCGACATCGACATCGACATTTCCCTATCAATCGCCATAGTCATCCGTCCATCCATCCATCCATCCACCCACACAGAGACAAGGCCTTCTAGAGCCCCCTTTTTCTTTTGTTTCGGTACATCACATCACATCACATCGCAAAAAAAAAAAAGCAAAAATGTCGCCTCTTCCTGTCCTCGACCCTCGATCCCTCCCTCTCCACATCTTTATGTATGGATAGCCAGGGTTTCTCCCATCCACCCAACGGCCGATGGCTGATAACATAACTCCTTGTTGGTAAAGGGGTCGAGAGCTGATCAAGATCAAGTGAATGAGAGATCGGGAGGGAGGCAAGAGAAGGAGAAAGAGAGAGAAAAGCACCCCGTGTGAGTGTGTGTCTGTGTGTGACGTTGTGGCCCTGACCCCGACGAGCATCTGACAGCGATGATGTATGCGTGGCCCCTGTTCTTCGATCCCTCCAGGGCCTCATCCAGTCTAGGAAGGGGATGGTCACCCAGCTTTGCCTCCCCCTCCCATCTCTCCCCGTCATTGCTCCAGGCCGCACGGTCCATTCGATCTGCGACGTCCAGAGACCTCAAGCTGATTCTTTCCTCGATGCTCTTCTCTCCACCTTCTTGACAGGTCAATACCTCTCGCCCCTTTCGTCGCTCGTCCCTCGATTCCTCCTACCAAGCAATCCAGACAAAATACCTAGCAAGAGCCTCCTCTTCTACCGATTTACACATTTCGATATTTCCAGACCCTGCCGCATCACTCTTGAAAGGATAGTCCCTCTATCCGACGCGTGTAGCTCACTATCTCCCAGTGATGGCCCGCTGACTCTAGATCGAGATCGAGATCGAGCGCGAGGGCGATGTGAGGGATATACGGTTCATTGTCGTCGTTGGCCTTCCTTCTCACCTTCACACCCAGTCAAAAGGGGACAGACAATCACACACACACAACCTTCTCCGCAGTAGAGATTTCAGAGAGTCTGGATTGTCCATCGACATCATCCTCGCCACCCTGTCCCGCTCCGTCGACGCCATCGGGAGGGATAAGGGTTGTAAGGGCGACAAGGATTCCCACCGATGTCATCATCTCCGCCAGTGGTGGTGCCAGTATTCTCCGACCCTTGGCGACACTTCTGACGATCACTCCCGTTGAGCAGTCCGTGGCAGTCGTGGCAGTCAAGGGGCCGGGACGCCTGTACCCGCGTTAAATGGGAAGGTGTCTGTGTTTTGCAGCGAGTGATCATCCTCTTCGAATCCACCATCAGCGTCAGACCTCATCCTCGCCTCCACACAGTCACATACTGCACATGGTAGCCCCTATCTAACCCACCTTTTACCATCGTGCCATCCTTACCCCATCGGCCATACTCTCTACTCCTCTCCGAGGACCAGGCCTCGCACAGCCGCATGATATCAACATCTCAGCTGTGCCAACGCTGATATCGAGGGCATGAAACCCATCTCCATCCCTTATTCACATACTTGGATTGATCTGTCCCTGCTCTTGACAGTATGTGTCTCGAATCTTGTAACTCGTCACTGCTCAGTCTCCAGTCTCTTAGATCTAGCTGTGAACTTGGGACAGCTGAAATGACCGGTCCCACCAAAAATGCCTCAGACAACCAGGACATCCAAGGGATGCTTTTGATACAAAATTAGGTGCCCACTCCACCATTTCCCTGGGGAGACAACATTGACGCCGTACCTACCTACCTGCCGGCCTTCTTGCTTTGAAGGTACTACAGATCTTCCCGAAACATGCCTACACCCTAGCAGACATACATCGGACTTCTCCAACTCGACCCACGCATTCAGTGGACTACACTAGTCCACATCTGGAGTATCGAGCTCTACCTCGTCCACGAATCAGCGATAATTACATCGCATTGCGGTATTGTCAATATAGCACCATACAGCCATTCGTAAAGCATAGCGTAGAAGCCAGATGGTATGTACGATGCAGCATTCCAGACGTACGATGGAAACCTCAAAGACCGTCGGAAGTTTATCTTCTGTCCAGATCTTTGAATGCGTACAGAGCTTTGTTGTGAAGGTCTCGCATTGACAAGTAGCTATAAAGCAGAAGTAAGGGATCATCATGCCATCCTCCTCAACAGCGACGATAGATGTTCCCGACAAGCCGCCGTGGTAGGATGATCTGGCCCCAGCACGCTATCAAAGCCAGTGATAGCAGTTTCATAGAGATCCATAGCTTGCTGGAAATCTTGCTGGACATCGAGTAGATGAGCCAGACTATACACGCTCAACAACGTGTCGGGATGATCCAACCCTAGCTCCTTCTCGCTTCCCGTCAGCGCCCGTCGATTCATCGCCTCCGCCTCCTCGTACTTCCCTCGATCTTGTAGTACTAACGCTAGATGATGTACGCTCGTCAACGTCGAGGGATGATCCACCCCTAGCTCCTTCTCCCTTCCCGCCAGCGCCCGTCGAATCATCGCCTCCGCCTCCTCGTACTTCCCTCGATCTTGTAGTACTAACGCTAGATGATGTACGCTCGTCAACGTCGAGGGATGATCCACCCCTAGCTCCTTCTCCCTTCCCGCTAGCACCCGTCGATTTATCGCCTCCGCCTCCTCGTACTTCCCTCGATATGGTAGTACCAACGCCATCCGTGCGAGGCTATCAAGACTTACCGGTTCCTCGTCTCCATATAGACCCATCAAGATCTCATACGACTCTGACACATGTTCAAAGGCAGTCTCATACTTTCCGGATGCCAAGAGGAACCACGAAACAAGGTACTGGAGAAGGCGTCGACTTTCACTGAGAATACCCCGGCCTTGGTGACGCAGTGCCGCCTGTGCATGAGGGAGGAGTGTCTGGCACACGATCCAATTACTGTACTCTCCCGTGGGAAAGCGGGCGGCCAGCACCTGCACCGCTTGCTCCACGCTCGCCTCCTTCTCCTTCTGCTGCTCCAACCAATACCGCACTGACTCCTGCACGAGGGGGTGGATCGAGATCGTCTCATTCGCCGCCGACACCACCAACGAGTATCCTGCCACCGTGCCTAACGCCTGGCGCCAATCTGCCTCCGCGGTCTGCGTATACTGCACCAACGTCAGCGGAATGGACTGCCCATCCAAAAACGCTAGAAATGTAAGGAGTCTGGCCGCGGCGGGATCACGTTGTCGCATCTGGTCGAAAGACAGTCTCCACGTTCGGAACACGGAACTAGGAAACCCGCGCTCCCGTCGAGGATCCTGCAGTTCGATGCTTAATTGCCTCATCCGCTCCGACTCGCTGGTCTGGAACCCCCTTAAATAGTCCGCAAGTGTCATCATGTTGCGGTTGATAAAAGCCGCCGCTTGTGTGATCGCTAGCGGTATGTACGCGAGCGATGTAAGGAGCTCGTCCACAGTCTCGTCGGCAGGCCCGGCCCTCTCCTTGGTGATTTTTCGCCGTAGCAGCGACCTTGCTTCTGGCAATGAAAAAGGCCCTACGGAGATAGGTAACGCGCTCTGTCGGAGGCCATCCGCCACGTCGTTATATCGCGTCGTAATCAACAACCGTCTCGAGAGATCTAGCGTACGAGGTAGGTAGTCCATTAACGGCTTCGTCAGGGTGTCCTCGTCCATGTGAGTCTCATCAGAAGGCATGACACCCAGCATGAGATTAGCATTATCAGCATTGTCGACGATCAGGAGCCACGGCCCATTCTCCTCGTCATCCAACCACGCTGCTACCAGCTCACAGGCATCTATTTTCGGATCCTCACATCTGGGTAATTTCAATTTTCGTGCCATTTGCTGGCATGCCTGTACAAACCGACTTCTTGTGGCCGCATATATCCAGAGGACGTGGCTGCGCGGATGCTCTTGGCGGTACTGATACGCATAGGCGATGGCAATTTGTGATTTCCTGATTCAGACCATCAGTTTCCCCATATTTCCATCCAAGACTGCGTTCAGACCACTTACCCGATCCCGCCCATCCCGCATAGAATCGCCCGCCGATGCTGTTCGAGCTGCTGAGCGATGGATGATAAGATGGACTCTCGGGAGATAAAATGAGGGTCGGGTTCGAAGGGCACCGTAAATATCGCTTTGCGAGACGATGAAGGTCCTGTCATACTGTTAGTTTCCAGCTTTCGCATTGCCCTCAGTCCGCTCCCACCATCACCCACCATACACTTTCCCGGGGTAATCCTAGTTTCACCAGCGAGGCGTTACCTACTTGGCTCAGTCGAAGAGCTGGCCTCATTCTGGGTGGATGACCGTAACTCCATTTCCCACCGTGAGAGCTCGCCTATGACTCGTTTGAAACCCGTCTCTTCCGGAGAGACAAACCTAACCATATCACTGTGGTTGGCGTGGATGCTGATCGGATTGTATCCGGCAAACGTAGCCGACTCCTTCGACACCACCTTCCCTACCACCGGGAGCGGGAGCTCCTCAAAGAAGCACGTCACCTCGAGCCGCCGGTTACTTTCTCTCAAATCTCGGACCATACCTAAGAATCGTAGTTGGATCGACTCTAGCAGCTGATCATCCGTCTCTAAGACCTTAAGCAAGGACTTGTTCGTGGACTTGACCATTCCCAGAGCCGATGCCGGCAGTCTCGCCCAGTCGGCCATCCAGCTGCCCGTGTGTGGCGTCCCCATGAAGATGACCCCTTTTATACACTCGAACATCTTTTTCAAATGGCCTTCAGGGTTGTTCCGCGACTGGAGGATCGATTCTTTACACACCAGCCCGCCCAGGCTATGCGCCACGAAGATGAGGGGACGATCGGAGGCATCATGGCTCGCTCGGTCGGTGGTCAGGTCGTTGAGGAGATTAGAAGCATGATCAATTAGTCGGTTTGACGACGCGACCGACCTCTTCACTACATACGCATCGTAGCCGTAGGTCAAGATGCGTGCGCTTCGGAGCTGCGGTGCCAGCAGAGCCAGCGGCCACGGTTGGGATTGGCCTTGGGCCGTCCACGTGGTGTCGCGATTGCCGGTCAGGCCATGCACGAAGCAGATGTCGACCGTCGCCTCAGAATTGTCGTGGAGCACCTTCACGCCGTCGGGGAAGGAAACGGTGGGCGCCTGACTGGGCGAGGATGACCGCGAACTCTCGGCCGCGTGTTGCTGCGGGGTTGCGGCGGGTTTGAACAGTTTCTTGAACGGGCACATGGCGGTGGTTGGATACTGTACTGTTCAGCGAGGTGTAGCGAACATTATGCTTGCCTGGTCCTCCATGCTGGGTCGGGAACTGGGTGGCTGCTTGATCAGGCTGAGATAAAGGCCGCGAGGTTCGCATGTTCAGCTGATCGCGGCGCTAGCCCAGTCTTAGCGCTTCCTGCATTGACTCTTTCTACTCGATCTTCATGCCAGAAATTGTTTATTGTGCTACGGCCAAAAGACTGTCGCATATTGCAGACCAGGCGTCATCAGCGCCACGATGCATCCTCGACATTGCACCGCCTTCAACGCCATGGCCAGCGACTCCTGGATGGAAAAGACGGAGAAGATTTGAGTTATCAGAGAAGAATTGGAACGACACCAATTGAAGCAATGCTGGGTAGTGACAAGAGAAAAACTTCGTCAGATAATGCGATATGGTGGTAACGCGCGGTGTTGGTGGAAGGAGGGCAAGACGAATGGAACATCAACCACGGAAGGGATCTTGCTGCACCTGGCGGTGGATCTTTTTATCTAGCATGATCGCCGTGTCAATGTCATGATTAACAATGAATGGAAAAAGTCTGATATATGTCTGCCAGGGGGTAGGCATGTTTCGGGAAGATCTGTACGGCGGCAAGTGATGACGGCTAGTTGAACCTCCTTGAGAGAACAATCACGGGATCACCATCCGCCATCCACAAGGGAATCCACAAACATCCACATCCACATGTGCGCTCACCCACTCTCGCTTTGTCTGAAGGACTTACCAATACCCAGCCACCGTCAATAGACTTTCTGGAATCCTTTCCATCCAGCGCAGAAAAGGGAAATGCCTCCATAATGCGTTTCCGCACCAGACGATCTTTCTTCGAATGCCACACCAGCTCAGACTGTAACAGGTCCCCATATCTCCATCGACTTACCAACGAGGAGGATTCCCACTTTCCTCGCTCTGTCCAGGGGACATTGAGCTCATGGCCATCCAAGTAGCATTGTCGACCATTCATCTCACTCCCCCTGAGTTGCGCGACGACCATGCTATGCAGAGAAAAGCCATCACCGGAGATAGCACCCATGCCTTGATCGATTCAGTGATTGATATATCCGTGGGTGGCGAGGAAAGGTATCCGCTCGCGAGGCTGATGCTGTGACAAGGCCGCACGGTGATCCTATGATGCCATCCAGGGCCACCATCGATATCGATGAATCAACCCGAACCCCTTTCACGGGACTGCCTGCGAATGCATAGATGTTCGCGAGACATACGCAAGACATAATACGTCTAGTTCCATTCGCGAGCGTGGATGAATGCATGAAGGCATCAGTGCCCATCACCATGACCTTGCCGCCGCCATGGACACGATACTCGGTGGTCTCGACACTTCGTCGCCATGAAAAACATGCATAGATCGAATCGATAGGGGGTCTGGTATCTCGTCCGCGCTCTTTCTTTTGATAATTTTGCACGTAACCTTGACCCAGAGTCATTTTAAAGTGAGCACGGCGGTACCTCTACCGAGTAACTAGTCCTTATCTAGCATCGATGCCTTTCGCCGCTTTATCCTCGCTCGATCTTACATGCCTTCGTATCCCCGACCTTTCACACCTCTCACCATGCTCAGAATCTGCCAGAGTGATGGATTATTTAGTTTCTCCAACCCCATCTGACCGGGTTGAACATAAAAGGTCGCGATAGGGCAAGTCCTCTCCTTACTTCGCCGGGGCCTTGCCTCACCTCTATCCAAGTGTGTAGCACAACGGATCAAGCTTCAAGATCCAACATCCAACACCCACCATGACACCAGCATTGCGTTTAGCACATCTACAGAGGCGAGTATCTCACTCAATCGCTTCCATGTGTATTATTCCTACGAAGGAGACTTCAAGAGACATCTATCTGTCCTCTCTCTCTAAAAAACCACCGAGGTGGTAGACAAGGCACAAGGGCACAACACGGAAGATGAGGTATCGTGCAAAAAAAACCACTGCTCGGCTTTGCCGGTATCATTGGGCTGTAACCGTCAAAGTAATCGTTCAAAGTCGTTCAAAGCCTTCCAGACGGTGCTCATCGCTTGAAAGCTGATCATAAAGCAGGGCACAGTCAAGCAAGGCACACCCTCAGACAACAGTAGCTCCATATCTATCATCACCATCACGCCCATGTCTCGGTGATACAGTCTCACGAGTGGAAAAGCATCTCCTCATCCTCCCCGCCATATCTAGCCTTTCTCTCCCTTTGTCGACTAGATCGAACGTCGCCGTGGGCGGATGAAAAATCATGTCGTCGAACCCGAGGTGATTCCCGCTTCACATCGCCTCTAGCCCATTCCTCATGCTCACTTGTAGAATTGGGTGCTGTAGCTTTCTCGGATGGTCGCTTTCGCTTCGTCAGAAGGTGGACATCTCTGCCCGACCCAGCTTTCCTTTCCCCGATGACTTCAGTGTCAGGACTCGCACGATGACTTTCCCCAATCCTAGCAGTGTTTCCCGGTCCACTCTTCTTGCTCGTACCAATTTCCTCATCTGAATCGCCTCTCACATTCCGGTGAGGAGATAAAGAAGCAGAAAAGCGCGCTGCGTGTTCCTCAATCCTAGGGAGAAAACGCGCGGCGCTAGTCGGCCCAGAAAGGTAATCTGTCAGGTCGCTTGATAGGCTCGAAGATCGGGACTTTCGTCTCAAGTCCGAATCATCCGCACGACTTAACCTTCGTCTTTTATCAGAGCGGTGTTCAATAGTTGGATGCGAGGCGTAAGTGGCCTGGTCTGTGGGTGCCGTGGGGGAGCGCAAACTCCGGTCGACGTTTCGTGTGGTCTGCGTATCTCTCAGACGGGCTGCACGAAATCGTGTGTCCCGAGAAGAAGGTTCAACGTCCGAGTACCGTCGGGGATTTTGCTCCAGCATCTGGTCCTTTGATGTTGTTCGCACATCCTCCTCGTCAGAACCTTCCGGAGTCTCTGAAATCACCCTGGCACCAGGGCTTGCTTTCGTGACGTTCGACCCAAGCTCAGGAGACACACATTCCCTTCCCTTGTTGGATTCGGAAGGCTTGCTGTGAGTTATGTCTTCGAACCTCTTCTTCGCTTCTTTGACCTCATGCCTTGTGGCTGTTCTCTGGGTCACTGGCGGCGAGCGAGATATCTCTCTTGTATTGATCAAGATGTTTCCAATAGAAGGCTCCTCCATTTCCCGGGGTTCTTTTTCTTGCCGTCGGTGCATCTCCAGGATTAGTTGCCGCAACCTTGATCTCAAATCCTGGCTACGAATTTCGCGCGGCCACTGTTGTTCATTCGCTTCCCGCTGTAAAATGCGCCGCACGAAAGTGTATGGATCAGCGACAAATTGCTCCAGGTACATGCACAGATACAGGCCGCAGTCGGTAAAATTGTTTTGAGTGGGGATTTCCTTGGCCGTCATTCCCTTGAGCTCACTCAGATCAATGTCCAGATTCCGCTTGTCTCGAGCCTCTGCTACTATGTATTGCTTGAGCTGTGAACATGTTTCCGATCGTGCTGAGCCCAGAGAATCCAAAGTGATGATGACAGGCTTGGTCACGTCGTACTTTGGGAGTGACCTGCGAACAACTTTCCGTCTCTTAAACTTCGGCCGATCTTCAAACAGACTGTCTCCCTCTTCGACAGTGCGTAGGACCTTGGCCAATATTCTCTGTGTGTCATCCATCTGCTGATCAGAATTCTTCTCGCCTTCCTCGCTTGGCTGGTCACCCAGCTGCACGTCCTCAGACCAACCGCTGTTCATTGTCTGTTCCTGACGGAAGTATGGAAGATTGCAGATGATCGCGAGATACCAGTGGTAGTTCTCGTTGACGGGCACAACTATGAAATCACGGCTGAATAGATTGATGTTTTTGGTCCATCGACTGACAGATTCATAGTTAATACCTCGCTTCCCTTTGGTCTTGGAAAGGGCTTCGTAGAAATAGGTGTTGAAGAAATGCATCCTCTTGAGCACTTCGGGGTTGCTCTTCTCCATGCGTGTCTCGAGATACCTCATAAAGAAAAAAATCAGGTTATCATTCAGGAACTGGCCATCGTCCAATCGTTGCAGATCATCAAAGGGGACGACTGCAGCTCTTCGTCCGGGTTGCGGGTAAACAAGGTCCTTCGTCCAGGGTCGGCCCAAAACCCCAGTTTGCGACGCTTTCGTCTTTTCAACGGGCTCGCTCTGTCCTTTTTCAATGCTCGGTTCTGTCTTGGTGGCGCGCGACCGGGTGACAGATGGCGGCGGCATGCCGGTTGAGTGATTTGACATCTGGAATGGCGGAGATTCCTCGGCTGCCAGAGGTGAATTATTTTTGGCCACGGGGGGCGCGCGATCGATGTCGTCGACACTGTTCTTGCTGTGCGCGACCGTTGGTATCCGAGGCCCTTCTGAAGCTTCAGGGGGTGCATCCAGCATGTCAACCAGCCTACTACGTCTCAAGCTGACGCGTGGTTCTAGTGTCGACTTAGTGTCCTTTGATGTGATTTCTGGTCTTGCTGTGGGTGCCTGCATTGCGAGAGTCTTCGTCGAAGGCCTCTCCTTTGGTTGGCAAGCATTTTTGGCTTTTGAGAAAGCCAACTCCATCCAACGCCTAGACAAGGTCAGATAGATTCAGTCTGATGAGAGTCAGGAAACTTACTCGTCCTTGGTGGTAACTTTCAGCGTCTTCTCTACATCTGTCAAAAATTTAACAAAATCGAAGGCCATTTTGTGCGATTCGAATCTGAGCCACATGGGTTCTTCTTCCATGCCAGTTCGAGCAAACTGGAGGTTCACCAATGGCGACTCATCGTTTCCGTGTCTAAGCTTGATGATTTGGTTGATGCCGCGTGGTAAGAAAACCGACTCATTCCCCAAGAGCGGGTCTTTCAAATTGACGGCGATCTGCGATGCCGACCTGTCGAGCTCAATCATGTAGCCCGAAGAATCAAAAAATTCCCTGAACACAAATTCCAGGAGGACAAAGCATATCTTCTTGGATGGGGGTTGCACGGTTTCATTCGATCGCTTATGACCGACAGAACTGGATGTGTGCCCTATAATCAAATTGCCGAGATCCATGGTCTTCATTTCCGGATAGCGTGCACCGCCGAATGTATATGACTTTGGTGTAGATTGAGGTTCAGTGCTCTGCAGTGCATCCGGACTCTCCGGTGACTGCGCCCACTTTGGATTTTGCCTCTGTCGAGTGACATCCGCTGTTCGGGTTCCTGGATACCTAAAGTATGGGGAGGTGTGAGGGTGTTTTGAAAGGTCATGGGGGCTCTCAAGTATCTTATCCTTCTCGGTCTTTCTTCGTTGTGCAGAGTCTTTGGTGAAAGCGCTTTCATCTTGAGGAGACGAGCGATTCACTTGGTCCACCTGAGTCCTGTCGATACTGTCTCGATGTCTTTGGGTTGAAACGCCATTTCCATCTCTATCATCCGACCGGCGTCGTCGTGGGAGCCTCCCAGACACATTTCCATCGTTCGACTGTGTGTCTAGAGCAAGTTCGTCTTCAGAGTCATTCAGGATTTGGCCCCCGTCGGAAGGGATGGCCGACGTAGGAGATATTGCAGATGCGCCCCAATCCCCGATCTTGCGCTTCTTGTGGGGTGTAAAATGGTCATTGGCGTGAATGTCGCTCTTAGAAGGCAAATTCGTACTTGACGCGGGTACTGGGGTCCGAGACTGGGATGTCCTCTGATGGAGATATGCCGACTTTCCGTTCAAGGTATTGTATGGTTTATAGACCCCCGAAGGAGGCTAGATCTGTTGTCAGAAGCCATAAGTTCGAGGTGGAGGTGGAGGATGGCGTACTTTGAAAGGCTTCTTCATGGGCTCTTCGATGCGCTCAGGGTTGGGGTGTCGTCGACTGTGGATAATTTCAGCAATCCGTCTGTCTGATGAACATATGGCTCATACACCAATCCTCCCACCAGCCTGTCGTTGTCACTTAATCCTGACCACGAAGAACTTTGTCGCAGTGTCGCGTCACTGGATCTGGAAGTGCATTAATGTACTTAGTTGGGTGCCTTGTGTTCTCCGCATGAATGTGAAGGCGTACCGGGTTGAAGTCTTGCTCTCGACGGGTGTTTCACTATCGTCGTCACTCTCAATCTGCGCAGAAAAGAACGGTCAGCATGGGTACTAGGTTCGAACATGGAACTGACCAGCGTACATGAATAGGCGCACATGCGGCATTGTCGTGCGCCCCAAGAAAGGCTTTTATGGTTTTTGTAAGCTGTTTCGGAGGAGTTCTGGGCATCTGTACCCTCTTCGACTGCGATGGAGAGGCATTTGAATTCGGAGGAACCAGAGGTGCGGTACTTGGCTTGTCGTCCGTGCCCCTCTGCCCAATGTGTGATTTGTGTCCTGAAGTGAGACCAGTCCGGTTGAGAGTTTCCAATGTGTCCTGCACAACCACTTGCCAGGGATCAGTCATTTGGGACGTGACCACCCACGGATCCTTGGCACGACCATATTACCCAGGAAGTTGTAAAAAGGATATTAAGTGTTATGGATATGGGAGAAGAGTGAAGTGCGGCTGCGGTGGCTGCGGTGAGCGCAGATGGATGCTGTGCGTGTGGTTGGTTGGTTTCAGAGGAAAGGACCAAAACCTGAGCATCCCCCCGCAGCCCTACACAACGAGACAACTAAATCACAGATGGTGCGCGCACGAGGATATACAGTCTTGACCTCAACTGAAGCCTGCTTGATACATCAAAGCGTAGTCAGAATTCCATTTGCATATTTAGCAATGCTATCCAGGAACTCAAAGCCAGTGATTGATGGTATAATGCTACAAGGGGGATCGTCTCATCCCATGCCATCCCCATATGGTATCATGATATCCCTTTCCCTTTGCTCTTTTCTGAGTCTTCATGCAGGGTTGGACGTCGTCTCTCTGCCCCAGGATGCCCCGGAGCGCTACTGATCTTCTGCTGTCTGGCCTCGTCCAGAGCCGATCGCTGGGCGATGCTGTCGTCGTGGCTCTTCCACACAATGTTCGTATCGGGAGGGAATGCAAGTATCCGTTTGATGGTCTCCCTGTCACGCGGTCAGTAGGCCAGTTTCTGGACTCATCCTCGCAACATATTATGCCATACCTGATCTTGATGTTTCGGCCACCGTCAATCTTGGTCCAGACACTCAGAACGTCCTCGCCACTCCGTACGCTGAGCACTGCGCCACAGACCTCTTCTCCTGCCTCTAGGAACTGGTCACCGATGATGGCCAATAGCAGATCCTCCCAATAGCGGTCCGCCACACCTTTCTTTAATCTCACAATCCACTTGCCACCTTTTTTGTTCGCCTCATCCTCCCACACTGGACGAATACCGTCCTTGAAAATATGGTAGTCGGAGACACTAGGTAACAAGGATGGCCGCTTCAGATGAGAATATATTGTCCAGAAGTTTTCCACAGAGCTGATGGACGCCAATTTCAGGGTCGATTTTTCGTAGTCGGAGAACTTGTTGGCAGGGGGCCGATAGAAGAGGTTCCAGGTGTTTCGTAGCGGATGCTCCGAGGATGACCTGAAAGATCCTGGAGAACCCTGGAGCGGCTCTGTTTCTGAATTCTCGCCGGGTGTATCTGAATCCCTCTCTTTCTTCTCGTTTTTCTCACGTGATGAAAAATCGAAACCCGACCCTGGACCCGGGGTCTTTGGGGTTTTTGCTGAGCCAAAGGAAGCAAACGCACCGCTACCTAGTCCAAATGCCGAGGATGCGCTCGCAGAGGGGGTTTTTGTAGCGGAAGGCGAAAGAGCGTTGAAGGGATTCGATTTGCCGTGGGACGAAGTGTCGCCGCCGAAACGTCTATTGTTGTAGGAGCGAGGAGAATCTATCTTACTGACATCCTTACCCTCCTGATCTCTCATAGACAACGATAGTTTGCCAGTGCTGTCCAGAGGATTAGTATCTCGGCCAAGTTCACAGTCCATTGCAGGGCCAGCGGCAGAACTCACTTGGAACGTCTAGTCCACAAATTTGCGTTTTCCATGAGCAGATCAGGTCAGGTGGCAAGGAGGTCGGTCAGTATCGCACCCTGCCAACGACCGCAAAAGGACTGCTTCAAGGGAGACGGAAAATGTAGGTAGACAAGCGAAGGTTCGGGAAAACTAGCGGAGGTGAATGGTGGCGGGCGCGAGCGAGCGAGATCAGTAGTCTTTGGCAAGTTACAGTTCTTGAATTGTAAGGTGGAAACAGAGACAAAGAGGAGATAATCACTGAGAATGATCGAGTATAATGGGTCTTGAGGAGTCAATACTGAAGATGTGGTAGTCACAAGGAGCCTCAAATACAAAATCAGAAGGTTTGAAGCGCAGTTTGGGATTGGGCTTTCGGGCGTGAGCAGTCAAGTCCAAGGGCCACCAGGGCGACCCTAGGGCCAGTTGACCTGCATTTCATTTGGCCTGGGCAAACTGGGAGCCCCTGCAGCCCGCCAATCGAAGAGCCGCTTGCGCCATTCTCCCCCAGTTCCCGCTAACTGCTTTCGTTCTAGGCGCGCGTTTCCAGGCACGACTCTTCCTTTTCAACCGTCGGCGTGAAAAAATCATCTTCTCTCTCTTCTTTCTCTCCAGACACCCAATTCAAATCAACGTCAGCTACAAACCTCGACACCATGAAGCTGGTGGTTTCCGATGAGTGTGTCGAGATTAATCTCTCAAGAGAACCCGCATCTTAAAACCATCATTACGAGGGCCTCCGTGGCTTCCCATGATGTGGTGATGACCTGGAATAGCGGACAAGTGATCTATCAGAACCGAGAGAATGTGGGTGACATTCTTCCCCTTTTGGAGACCTTTTGAGGTGTTTATGAAGAAGCAAACAGCTCTGGTAAACTTAAAGCTCAGCCGCAAGAAGTGTTATGTATGCCCAATTGCTGGCAGAGCAGGAAGTGAATTGGCAAAGTCTGACCTAGATGCCCGTTCTGACGCTGTTCTTTGAAACATTGCCACTATTGTGACAGCTTGGACTGATCTTGTTGAACTCTAGGCATGTCTTGATAGTTTTTCTTCTGGTTCTAGCCTACTCAAATGTGTGCTGAAGACTTTTGTAGAAACCTCCCTCTCGAGGTTTCTGTATTTGATAGAGTCAGGAACAGCCTTCTCAGGGGATATCCGTATAAGATTGATTATCTGGGCACATGAACTCCAGTTGTTCAATGGGACTGGAGATGCGCCTCTTCTCCCTCTCTGATGATCCTTCCTTTCATACCGCGTCGATTGTAGCTCGTGATGTAACCTGTTCGTTCTGATTGCCTAATTTCGAGATTTGCAGGAATGCGTCCACACCATATCCCTCCAGACTATGCAACTCGAGCTTACCAGCCCAATACTCCGCGTACACACGGCTCATGGGCAAACCCATACCCAACCTAAGATCAGGGGGTCTCGTGGCTAAAGTGCTGAGGGATGTATCTCTGATTTTTCCACTCGGCTTGTCGCTCGCACCCAGTCGAACTTCCTGCATGGTGGCGGCAAGTGTGGGGACGTCCCTGAAGTTTTGAAGGCGCGCAGCGCTTCTAGGTCCTTTGTTAAAGGACCACAAAAAGGGCGTGATCTCTCGAGGTATACCTCCACCCTGGTCAGATATGCGGATGACCACGTTCTGGGGTGCCTCGCAGATCAGCACGTCAATAGGTGGTGGCGGTTTTCGAGGATCTCGATACTTCTCCATAACTGCTTGGACCGAGTTCCGCAACAATTCGCCCACAATATATTCGAGGTGACTCAGAACATAAGGGAATGTAGCACTGGTGTGTCCCTGAATTCGAATCTCTGGTACCAATGGATCAGTACCTGCGGTCGACCTGCATATCTCTTGCGTGAACCGGCCACACCGTTCAATCACCTCTTTGGCATTGCAGCGGAGCAGGACTTCACCAACAAATTCGTTCTCAGAGCTGGGTTGGGGCACGTGCCACGGTGAATTGAATGTTTCCGTCAGGGCCAGGTGTTGTTCGGCAATGACACGTCTTGAAATCCGAGCTCGCAGCATGGTCTGCACAAAATTGTCCATCGTGTCGACTGAAACCAAATCTTGACACTCCAGCACTCCCATGACCAGGTTGGGGATCACCGCTAGATGTTCCTTCAGGTTGTCGGCGATCACTTTGCAGAGATCGTCATTCTCTTCCACAGTTCGTATAACAGGGACACGCCGAAAGCTCTCAAAGGACTTGTAGTAGAGCTCGTAGACAAATGATAGGTGCGGATTTGTCACCACCACATAGGGCAAACGCTGCATGTCTCGGAGGCGATGAGCAAGTCTGAAAAAGCAGGTAAGTGGGTGGACACACACACATTTCAGACACAACAACAAACCTGGTAGGCAATTCCATACGGACATAATTGGCGGAGCTCAGCAAACGACTTTCGGTCAAAGTGCGACCAAAGAAGAAGAGCTGGCGTAGGCTGATGGGACGAATAGGGCGGTCAACCCAACTGCGAGTTGCTTGTGAGCAAACTGCCCGGCCAAACAACCACAAGAACAAGTCCGTACTCATCTAAAGTCGAAGCTGGCCGCCATGGAGGTGGGTTCCTCCCGGTTTGAGAAGAGGTCCATCTGCGTGACTGCGCACAAAGGGGATGACTGAACCAGTCTCGGCGCAAGGCTCGTGGCCTCAAAACTTGAGCGACCTGGAGCATCTCATACCAAACAACAGGCCGGAGGAGTCATACAGACTATCGATGGTCATCTCGTCACCGTGACTTGAGAAAGCGCATGGGCAACAAAGGTTGCACAAAGAATCGTGGTGAAGTTGTGGTTTGTTGGAGGGGCAGAGTCACATACCAAGAGCTAAACAGAAGGGATTGACGTTGGAAATGCCTAGCAGTTGACAGCCACTCTCGGTTTAGGCATAGTGGCCCAAGGAATGACGCCTGGGTTGCACCAACACGGGGCTTCCTGGGAATTGTTTAGTGGCAAAAAAGGTGACGGGCTGCTTATTCGGTGGGCGTGCTTCACTCTACAGAGAGCCCGGCGTTTGGCCCTTGCTATTCGCCCATTCAAAAGCTTGTGCCGGGCTGGCGGCGACACTTTGACAATAATTTGACGTCTATTCTGGAAGCCTGCAGACCGTGGGCTAGGAATGATTTGACCCTTTGATACTGCATCCCATCTTTGCTTCCCCCAAAAGGTACCTGCGCAACTTATTCTAGCAACCAGCCCATCCATCGGCCCTGTTGTCTATCTAGATTCTAGATTTACGCGTGGGTGGCGAGTGAGGCCTTCCTTGCTGACGAGCCTTCTTGCATCACCCACACATTGTGACATACATAACCTCCCCATTCCCTGCGTCAAACTGCGGAAACCTGAGGAAAGAGCTACTCGGCTGCCACCCTCGCCTGCTGTCCCGCGCAGTTTAATATAACCGTTGTGTCCAGACTCTTCTCACCATGGACAACGTACGTTGAGCATTACCCTGTTTTCCAAACCTGTATATCTACCAACAACCATGGATACTAATTTCGCCGCCCGGTTTGACAATTTGCAGTTAGCAGGACCGGACATGCTGATTGATGGCTACGATCAATACCACCAGGAAAACGAGGTGGTCAACATCTCCCCAGACGATGCCTCAGAAGAACCTGCAGAAGCCCTTCCACGGGCCGATGATTGTATGTCCACCCAACAGCTTACTATTGCTTTCCTACTCGGCTCGCCCACGAACTGACCAATATCCAGTTGAGACGATGAAGCGTCACGTCCTTGTCGACTTGCCCGATGTCGAGGTCGAAGCTGAAGCATATCACACATGGCACATAGAAAAATGGCGGACATTGTCGAGGAGAGAGCACGGGCCAGTATTTGAATGCGGCGGTCATCCTTGGAGAGTGCTATTCTTCCCCTACGGAAATCAGGTCGACTGCGCGTCCTTCTACCTAGAACATGGATTCGAGAACGAACCGCCCGCGGATTGGTACGCCTGCGTACAATTTGCCCTCGTCCTGTGGAATCCGAACGACCCAACCCTATACCGAACCCACACTGCCACTCACCGTTTCAACGCAAAAGAAGGTGACTGGGGCTTCACCAGGTTTGTGGAACTTAGGAAGGCTTTCCATCAACCTTGGGAAGATGGGTCGAGGCATTTGGTGGAGAATGATGAAGCCAAATTGACGGCCTATGTCCGCATCATCAAAGACCCCACCGGCGTCTTGTGGCATAATTTCGAAGGATATGACTCGAAGAAGGAGACCGGCATGGTCGGTTTAAAGAACCAGGGGGCAACCTGCTATTTGAACTCTCTCCTCCAGTCTCTCTATTTCACGAACTTATTCCGAAAAGCTGTCTATCAAATCCCCACCGAGCAGGAAGCCAACCGGAGTAATAGTGCCTGGACACTTCAGCGTCTATTCTATAGGCTCCAGAAAGATAGGTTTGCAGTTTCAACCAACGAGTTGACCGCATCCTTTGGATGGGATACTAGGCAAATTTTCGAGCAGCAAGACGTGCAAGAACTGTCGCGCATATTGATGGAGGTTTTGGAGAAGAAGATGAAAGGCACACCTGCAGAACGGACCCTGCCTGAACTTTTCGTCGGAAAGACCAAGACTTACATTTCTTGTATCAACGTCGACTTCGAGTCCTCCCGGATAGAGGAATTCTGGGACATTCAACTCAATGTCAGGGGCAACAAAAATCTGCACGAGAGCTTCATGGACTATATCCAAGTCGAAACCCTGGAGGGCGAAAACAAGTACGACGCTGGAGAGCCTTACAAGCTGCAGGATGCCCGCAAAGGTGTCATCTTCGAATCATTTCCCCCGGTGCTTCACCTCCAGCTGAAGAGATTCGAATATGACATCAATCGCGATGCTATGATGAAGGTCAACGACAGACATGAGTTTCCCGAGGAATTCGATGCCTCTCTGTATCTCTCCGATGAAGCTAAGGCGGCTTCGACGGAACCATGGATTTATCAATTACACGGCGTACTTGTGCACAGCGGCGACTTCAACGCAGGCCACTATTATGCCTTCCTCAAGCCTACCAAAGACGGCCACTTCTACAAATTTGATGACGACCGAGTCACACGGTCAACTATGAAAGAAGTGCTCGAGGAGAATTTTGGAGGAGAGTACGCTAATGTCGCTAACGGCGGACTGGGACAACGGCAACCATACATGCGGGGCTATTCCACTAAGAGATCCATGAATGCTTACATGTTGGTATACATCCGGAAGAGCAGGCTCGACCAAGTCCTTCTCGACGTAAGCGAATCCGACATTCCTGCACACATCGAGACCAAAATTGCCGAGGAGCAAGCGGAGCTTGCTAGGAAGAAAAAAGAGCGCGAAGAGGCGCACCTCTACATGAACGTGGGCGTAATAACCGAAAAGAGCTTCCAAGCCCATCATGGTTTCGACTTGACCAGTTACGATCTCGAACAGACCGATCCGGCCGCCGCTCAAGTGTATCGAGTCCTTCGCGCCACGAAAATCAGCGAATTTGCTGGCACCATTGCCGAGGAGCTTGGTCTGGAGTCCGATCAAATCCGCTTCTGGGTCATGGTGGGCCGACAAAACAAAACCAACCGTCCCGACCAGCCCATTCGTGATGTTGACATCACCATGGAAGAGGCCATGAACAAGTACGGTTCTAGAGGCAGGCCGTTCTATCTTTGGGCCGAGAATGCACCCAAGGGAGACGATGGCAAAGTTCAATGGCCAGATCCCGCGCACGCCGTCGGTGGCAACGTCCCGATCCTGGTTTTCCTCAAATACTTCGACGTCAAGGCTCAGACTCTGACTGGTGTGGGCCACATTTATGTCAAAAAGCTGGACAAGGTGCAGGAAATTGCACCCCAGATCAATCGACTCATGCACTGGGATCCTGCCACGCCGATTCTCTTGTTCGAAGAGATCAAGTTCTCTATGATTGAGGCGATGAAGCCGAAGCAGACGTTCCAGCAATCCGAGATTCAAGACGGTGACATTATCTGTTTCCAACAAAACCTCCCTGATCTTGACTTGTCCACTGCCACGTATACCGATGCGCGACAATACTATGACTACCTCCTGAACCGAATACCTGTTAGCTTCCATCCCAAACCTGGCACTGAAGGAGAGGCCTTCGTCCTTAGCCTCAGCAAGAAAATGACCTACGAGCAATTCTCCGCAAAGGTTGGGGAGCACCTCAAAGTTGAGCCAACTCACATCCGATTCGCCACTATCAGCGCGACTAACAATAAGATCAAAATGTGGATCAAACGCGGGATGAATCATAACCTCCAACAAATTCTTCAGTCACAGTTCTCTTCCTATGGTGGATATGCCACCCATCGGGGCGACGCATTGTATTACGAGGTCCTCGAAACAAGCCTGGCTGATTATGAAACCAAGAAGATCATGAAGGTGATCTGGCTCAGTGATGGCATCAGTAAAGAGGTAAGAGTCCCCCACCCAAAGTGATGTCTCATGCTAACAAGTGTAGGAACCACTGGAGATACTCGTCGCCAAGAATGGCATCATCGGGGATCTGATCACCGGGATTGCCAAAAAGCTCAATCTGGATGAACAGGCCGCTCGCAATATACGGGTGCTCGAGGTGCATGGGGGCAAAATCCACAAGGAATTGATTGAGGATTTCAACGTGGTTGGAGTTAACGAGTTCACCACATTATATGCCGAGAAGATCCCCGAGGAAGAACAAAACGCCTCGGAAGACGACCGTTTCATTTATTGCTACCATTTCGACAAAGAGGCCAACAAACCCCATGGTGTCCCGTTCAAGTTTATGCTGAAACCAGGTGAAGCACTCAAAGACACCAAAGAACGCATCAGTAAGCGAACGGGTATCAAGGGCAAGTTGCTGCAGCAGATCAAGTTTGCACTTGTCTCCAGGACGCTTTATGCAAAGCCAAGATACATTGAAGACGACGACATCCTTGTCGATCTCATCCAGGACGGAGACGAGATGCTCGGCCTGGACCATGTCAACAAGGCGCGCAACTTCTGGGGACGAGCCGAGGGCATGTTCATCCGGTAGATCCGTGGAAATGGGGGCACGCCAAAACCCTCATGCTTGAGGTGTGACGATGCCTAACAACTATGCATCTTGTACTTGACATCCTATGGGGTCGCTTCTACTCGACATTGGTCATCGGCCGCAATTCGACAGAAGCGCAAAGTATAGGATTCACCATGTGGCATGAATGTTGCAGCGTCGGCAGAGATGGCAGGAGTCGAGCCTGCGCCAGTTGGTTCACATCGCTAACCTTTTGCCATCCATGACGATGTCGACCACCGATCACCGCCACTACAGGTCCAGAGAAGACACCGAAGATTGGCTTGTCACAGAACCATCGGAAGGACTGGTTGGTGGCTGCAAGGCCGGGGATGTCAGAAACGTTGTGGGTGACTGGACAGCAGCAATACATGACCGTGGACCAGGCCGAAGTTGCTGGTGTGTACACAATAAACGTAGAGACGAGCTTATGCTTCATGGCATGATGAATATTTGACCGAAAAAAAGACAAGAAACAGGACGATTAGATGAGTTTATGATTATTGGATTGTGTTGATCCTGTTCTCAAGTTTCTGTGATTAATATGGAACTGATTCTATTGTGTATGCCGGTGTGTAGTGATGCCGTCTCACAACTTCTACCTCGTATATTGTCTCGTGTGTAGTGAGTGGAGTATAGCATATAGTGGATAATTATTAATGCACGAGGTTTACCAAATATAGATTAGGAGAGGAGCAAAGTCATTTTATCCATAACGCATAACGGGGATTTATTTAGATATTGTCCCTGATCCACTCCCACAACTTCAAGACGTAGTCCTCGTTAATTAACTCTTGTACGTTTCTCAACACGGGCATGCGCTCGAACGTCTTTGCCATTTCGTAATGGACCGCGGCTTCTCTGGCGTCTTTAACACCTTTCTCTGGTTGAGGATGTGGCTGCTTTTCTTCTCCAGTCTTGACCTCTACTTCTGATTCTCCAGCCTCTGCCTCTGCCTCCGGGTGCTGCTCTAATGCCATCCTTCGAGAGACACCTCCGTACACCTTCTCCCAGAACCCCAGCAGTCGTAGAGCGGGGTGGTTGTGGGTTTCCGTGTCGGCGGCGCCGCTGCTGTCTTGCAGGTCGGACAGGCGGGACAGCCATTCGTCCACGGAGACGATCTCGATGGGACTTTGTGAGTAATGACGTGACACCCAGACGAGCAGGTCGGACCAGGTCACGCGGGTGGAGGGGTTGAGGACGTGGTGGACCGCGACGTCGGGTAAAGAACCGTTTCTTCGCTCTGTGTCTGCGATTGTGGCTGTCGTGGCGACGAGGGGGTCTTTGACGTTGTTCTCTATCAAAAGATGATCCTTCCACTGCGAATGACGAGACGATGAATCGTCATCGTTCTTGAGCATATCCTCCACAAACGCCCTCGCGGCCACATCGACGGGCAACCACGCCAGCGCCTCGCCCTGCCTGTGGCCCTGGTCTCTCCTCGCCTGATCCAGGTCCGGCAAACACCCCGTCACCGCGAGCGTGTTGAGGATCAGCGGGTACGCTTCGCTGCGGCTCCACACGCCCGTGTCGCTCGCGCCGGATAGCTGCCCGACTCGGGCGACGGAGATGCGGTTCTTCAGCCGTGAGGAATCGCGCGCCGCGCGGTGGCAGATTTGTTCGGCGACCCATTTGGATTGGGCGTAGCCGGTTGGGCCGGACACGGCGGGGTCGGAAAGGATACTCTCGGGGATGGGTTGGTGGGAAGTTATTGTTGTCGTTGGCGAAGAAGAAGATCGAGACGAGTAAAGAGGAGAAGAAGGAGAGGAAGCCGAACAAGATGATGTTGATGAAGGAGGGGAAGAAGAGGGAGAAGAATAGCCCGATACCGCCGCCACGCTGGAGCAGAATATAAATCTCGGCGATATCCTCCACTTTGACGACGACGACGACGACGACGACGACGACCGAGTGGCGAGATTGATCAAGTTCCTAGTCCCCGCGAGATGCGTCTGTGCAAACGCCCGTAGGGGCAAGAGGAAGTTGACGCTCCACGCCAAATGGACAATCACGTCCACTTCCCGGGTCAACTGCTCGTACGTCTCGTCGGACAGCCCGAGTCTGCTGTCTGAGAGGTTACAGCTGTGGATTTTTGTCTTGGTGTCGAAACACCCCGGGACGGGGAGACGACGGGACGTCAGTGCTTTCACGACACGTCCACACGAGGCGGTGGGCGTGGCGCCGCGGACGAGGAGGTGGATCTTGGAGATGGAGGCGCTCGCGAGGAGTTGGTGCAGGATGTGTGCGCCTAAAGAGCCTGTTGGGCCCGTGAGGAGGACGTGGATGCCTTCGCCTTTACCGTTGTCCTTGTCCTGGAGGACATTTGGCAGTGGGGGTTGTGAGGAATGGAGACCGGTGCCGGTGCTGAATACGGGTGGAGAGGAGGAACGTTCTGTTCCCGGCTCATCAAAGACACTGTACTCGTCGACCAAATCGAGCATCAGCCGATGCTGGGCCTGTTCATCACACTGCCGCCTTCTTGTCGTAGAGTCTCCTCTCCCTGATCGCACACGCAGTATAAGATCGCTCAGCTCAGCAATGGTGCCCGTATCTTGCACGACTGTCAATGACAAGGCTGAGCCCCTTGGTAGGAGTCGGAACAACGCACGGCGGATCTGGATGCTCGCGACCGAGTCGACCCCGTAGGCGAACAGATCCGTATGCTCCGTCAGGGCGTCACCGTCACTGTCACCGTCACTGTTGCCATTCCTCCCTCCTGCGCAGACGACGTTCTCCACAATCTCGCGGATCCTCGCGGGTATGTCGCTATCGGATACCTCGGGCGAAGAATCGACACTGACACCGACACCCTTCGGGAGGGATTCTTTTTCCGCGTAGGCGGCGTCGATCGCCTCGGCGAACCTGGCTTCGGCCCTGGACCTGAGAACGGTGCCTTTGCTGCTCTTCTCCAGTCCCCCCTCGAGAGGGGCCATGGGGACGAGCATATTCCTCGCGATCCGCGCGTGAGTCTGGCTCTTGCGGTTCAGGTCCTCGATCACGGGCGCGACCTGGCGGACGAGATCTCCCTCGCTCACGTCTAGTTTCTGGTGTGGGAACAGCAGAGCACCAGGGTACGGTCTGCCGTTGCCGAAGATCAGGATGTCCTGTAGGACCGACGAGGCTGAGGCCCGAATGGCGTCTTCGACGGGTGCCGGGTCGAATTTCTTGCCCGTGATGAGCGTCAGCTGCGAGTCGGCTCGCGAGTGGTATCGCCATGCGTCGGGGATTGTTGGATGGGCGGTGAACAGGTCGGCGGTGGCGAAGGAGCCGTCCTCTCGGTTTCGCTTCGCCTTTTACATTGGAACAAAATCAAGTCAGTATCTCATCCGCACACAGGAAATATCAAGTCGTGGGGAATGAAAATATAATACCATGTGCGGCCACCCCGCCTGGATGACGAGTTCGAAGAGACCCTCCTCCTCCTGGTCCCTGGGTTCGAATTTCAGTAGTGGTGATGAAGACGAACCCGGAGTAGGTGTCGCTCGGAGGTATTGCCATTCCCTGTCCTTTGCATAGTCCCGATGCGAGGACAGGAGAAACCCACACTCGGCGCTCCCGAACCGCGATACCAACTTCACATTGTCACTGACGAGGATGTCGCCGACTTCTTTCGGTAGAGCTGCGCCGCCGACGCCGACGACGTCCATTCCGCGGAGGTATTCCCGACCAATCTCGTCGTCTGCCATCATTTGCAGCACGTACGGCACGGAGGAGAAATATTTTATCTCTGGTACCGCTCTGCCGTCGTTTGTTGGCGACGCGGAAGAAGAGGCGGGAGGATAAGATGAGGCAACGTCAAGACATCTGCACACGTTGACGGCGGTGATGGGCAGATCTTTGCCCGGAAAGGGCCACACCAAAGCGTTGCTGGTCCATGCACGGAACAAATCGGCCACGCCGCCGTGATACAGCGGTGTTGTCGTAAAGGTCGCCTGCCCTGTACCGTCGAGGATGGGAAGGACCCCGACCGCCGCCCTGTGTGTCTGGGGAATCGGTTTGGGAACGCCGCTCGACGTGCCCGAGGTGTGGTGGAGATAGGCCACGTCCGTGTCTCGCACAGTCGCTGGAGGGACAGGGGGGACGGGACTTGAACCCTTGATGAGGTGGAAGATATTGTCTCGAGCAAAAGGTATCGGGTGCGCGACGAGACACCTTTCTCCAGGATGTGACGACGCCTCCCGTGACGCTTCCCTCGCGAGAGTCCCGTAGGGCTCCTCGTACAGGATCACCTCGACGTTGCAGGACCTGCACAGCTCCGCGATCGCCGAGGGGCTGCATTGCGGAGCGACCAGCAGGACCGGATGGCCCAGCCAGATCAAGCCCAGCCAAGTGAACAACAGCCCTGGCGAGCTGGGACACAGGACCGCCACCGTCTGAGCCAGTCCCGGTCCCGGTCCCGGCGTGCTTAGTTGTGTTTTTGATCGTGTGTTATCACCCCACCTCCACGCTTCCAACAACGCCTGAGCTACCAGGTTGACACCCCTGTAGACGTCCTTGAACGTCCACACGTGCGGTGTCCACGCTGCCCGCGAGGCCTTTCCTGTGATTGTTGTAACCTTGTACAGGCCGAGGACTGGCACATCTGGACAAGTCTGGGCCTTGACGCTGATGAATTCCCCGATGGTGCTGTATCTTTTCTCACGCTGGTGGAGGGCCGCACGGTCGAGCGTGCAGGTGAAATAGTTGAGTGACATGTTTCTCTTTTTTCCTTTTTTTTTTTTGTTTTCTCAAAAGATGGAAATGGATCAAAGGGAAGAGGGTCAGCGAGAAGAAGGGACCAAATGATTTCTGCGGCGGATCTCTCACGGCTGCTGGATAGAATACATATTGAGATGAGATAGATATAGAGACTCCGTTACCATTACCTAGACCGATCTGGAACTTGGTCGTGAGGCCACGTCTTGACTCTTAAATATCGCGTTGGGTACCGTGTGTGACTGACATCATGACATGGTCATGAATCCATATTTACTATAACGGTCTTGGAACTGAGGATTCTACTCGACAACAAGCCTTGGGATATGGTCGGATGAGGGAAAAGGGTGGTCTAAAGGAATCATTACACGTAGGTGGATGGCGATTTGTATAGGAACATTGCACGATAACGAGAACAGTGACGCGGACGAATATTGACCATTCATGGGGAGCATTATATTTGAGTCCCTTACGTTGTGTATCAATCCCATAATTCTTTTGGCAACTTTGACAGCCTTGAGTTTTCTAGGAAAATCCGAGAGTCAAAATCCATCAACATCCTTTAATGTTGCTCAGGCTCGAACTTCAATCCTCTTACTCCCACCGTTTAACTCGTTCGAAACACCATCACCCCCTCCGTTCGAAATGTCATTGTTCATGCCAATACCTCGAATCCCGTCAATGAGGCTGTCGGCCTTTTCAGGATCCGACGCATGCTTCGTTGCGGTTGTGACACCGTGTGTCATTTTCCCATCAGCACCATTGTGGCTGTTGGTAGTGATGCCATGCTTGTGCACGTCATCGTTCAACACGGTCAACGACTTCAATCCATTCGACACACTATCCGTTTCGACGGGCACGTTGTTCACGGTGTAGCCCGTGTCACTGGCGTCGACGAACGCCTCGATTCCTTCGCCGTTGCGAGGAAAGTTCTTCATTAATTCTTTGTGTCGCTTCAGCGCGGCGTACATTTCATCCATGGATACATCGTTCAAGAAGACACACGACCCGAGCGGGGCAGGCACAGCGGCTCGGAGTTTTCCATCTCGAGTCCGCAGGATGGCCTTGGTGCCTTTGTCGAGAATGTCTTCGTCGAACTGGTGGTGGTCCATGGACAACCCCGCTCGTGAGAACAGACGCAGGATCCTCTGGTGTTCCTTGTCGCTGAGAATGCCGCGCATATTGGCCAATGTGGCCGAATAGGCCATATCTATTGAGATTGCGTGTCCATGGCGGAGCGGAACTTCGGGGACAAGCTCGTGCAGAGGAGACCATCTGGGCAATGCTTAGACATGAGGTTGACACAATTCAATTTGTGCGACTTACGTGTGACCATATGCGATCACGCGGTCGAGTCCGATCTCGTGAAGATTGGGCGTTTCAAGCCTGAGCATCTCGTGGATACCAGCCCGGTTGATGGCATCAGCCGCATTCCGCACCTCCGCGGGTGCACCGTCACAACGACCGAAGCCAGAGTCGATCAGCTGCTCGCAGTATTTGTCGAGTAGTTCAAAAGTTGGCAGGTGAGCACAGGTGGAGATCTTGATCAATTCGGCAAACCCGTTGCGGATCTGGGCTTTGGGCAGAGTGCGGAGGAATGTAAAGTCCAAAAACGTACGCATTGGCGCGTGGTAGGCACCCAGGCGATTCTTGTAGTTGCCGTAGTTGACAGCGACCTTGATGGACACGGACGCGTCGATCAACCCGATAACGGTTGTTGGGATGCGAATGAAGTTCGTGTTCCTGCGGTAGGCAGCACAGGCAAAGCTGTTGGGCGGAGGTTAGTAAAGCGTCCAGTAACGCACACGTAAGGAGATATATGGGCCAGAGTGCCTTGGAGTCATCTTGGCAGGTGGTTTCTTTTACCCAGCAACATCAGTGACCAGTCCACCCCCAATGACTAGAACAGGTTCCTGGTGATCGAGTTAGCTGTCTAACCCAAGGATTGTCAAGGCCAGACTCACCTTTCTAAAGACCCCGAATTTGTTCATCGAATCAACAATACTCAAGAACGTGTCGATGGACTTTGCCTTCTCTCCGATCATGGTCTTGTGAATGTCGAGATCGATCTTGTAGTGGTCAAAGTACTTCTGCATCTTCTCGCCATAGATGTTGAAGATGTTGTAGTCCATAACGGCGAGACACCGGCCCCATCGTGTGTAGCAATCAGCCAGGTCACTCCTCTTCGTGTCGAAGACTCCGTCAATGAAGGTGAAGTCGTATTCAATCTTCTCATAACCCTCGACATGGAACCCGGCCGCCGTTTCAGCAACCGAGGCTTTGAGATCAGACATTGTAGGATGTGGGCAGGGATATCCCAGTTGATGAGAGTTTCCGAGGCAAGGGACGTTGAATGAAGAGGTGTGGAAGATGAAGAGGTGGGAGCTAAACGAGAGGAGAAGCTTCCACTCTATATATCAACCGACAGACACGGCATCCAACACGCCGTCCAAAGACAGGTTTCTCCATGAGGATGAAGGTATCTGGTCGCTTGTTGTCTCCGACCACACAGATTGCCATCATCCTGACCGCCATACTGCGACAATGGGTGTGGGGTAGAAAAATTGGGTACTCTCTCTGGCAGGACTCAACACTTCAATGAAGAATGTCCACGGCGGGTCCTCGACTGTTGGCAGAAACCAGATTTTGCCATGAGAGAGACCCCGGCTTCAGCATGTTAGGAGTACTAAAGTCAACTTGGCGCCGTTTTAGAATTTGAACCAGTCACAGTCATGATGTATTGCGGGAAAGTCAATGGAGCAACGTCGAGTCGAGCCTTTTCGTCCCGGCAGTGTTACCCACGGAGGTTTGTACCTGCCCCTGAGGCCATCTCTTCCGTTTGGTAGGGAAATGCCAGATCATTCCACACACACAGATCACAGGAAGGAGATCCTAGCGTCTCGGTTTCATCGGTCCAGTTCCCCTGAATCTCATGCATTAGAGATCCGGCTGGGCGAGCGTTGACCACTGCGGGGCCGCAAGTCTAGAATGTCACCGGCACATCTGAGCCGTGTTGCAGAGCAGTTCTCCGCATGAAGCTGTCCATAACCAGCGGTTGATGACGATTGAAAACGCTCCACAAGAAGCACAAGGATATAGTGAGAGGAAGGAGGAAAGGAGGAGGTCGAGTCTGGAAGTTGGAGACCATCAGGCTACGGAGGCACTAGTCCCAACAGGGCTAGCCTCTTGCTACGCCATTGGCTGCACTCCAATGACCGAATCATCACCACATGTTGCGTTCTTGTTGTTGTTCGATCATGACTTTTACAAACTCTCCAGTCAACGGTCTCCGTTGCCACGATCCCGGATATGTGGTGATTCATGCTGCCAGATCTTGCATGTTGACTCCACCTAGATCTAGTGACACGGCTTCTTCAATTCCAACTCCACTGATTGAATCCCTTAACCAAATGCCCCACATGTTGATGACATGGCAGCCAAGTTATTGGGCGATGTGTTTCTCGTGCGGATGTCTATTCCCTCCAGCCACTTCTCAGAGCACAAATCTCGTTTTGTTCCTGGTAGAAATGTCGCTGTTGCCTCTTTTATCGTGGGAGAGACAACTGTACAGAAGCAATGGCTGACTTTGACCCGCAAAAGAAGTATCAGGAGCAGGAGGAGATATATGTACGGTTCAGTATGAAGTCTTTGGTGAAAGCACTAACTAGGCCTAGTTTGACGATGGCCGCGAGAGAGAACTCTTGGAATTCATTCTCAACAAGCCAGATGTGGAGGATATGCGAAATTCGCCGCATAAAGTGCTCGCAGCTATCGACGAGTTTGCCCGCACCCAGAAATATCTGATGAATGTGGGCGAAGACAAAGGCCGGATTGTGACTGACCTGATAGCCGAAGTCAAGCCACAGGTCATGGTCGAGCTAGGTGGCTATGTTGGGTACTCGTGCATTTTGTTTGGAGACGCCGTCCGCAAGGCTGGCGGCCAAAGGTACTTCAGCCTGGAGAGGAATTCCGAATTTGTATCCGTGATCACTTCTTTGGTTGACCTTGCCGGCTTGAGCGACATTGTCAAAGTCATCGAGGGCTCCAGCGATGCCTCCATCAAGCAATTGCACGACTCGGGGACCCTGCAACATATCGACCTCCTGTTCTTGGATCACTATAAGCCTGCGTACACCACCGACCTGAAGCTCTGCGAGGAGCTGAACCTGATCACACCAGGGTCCGTGCTGGCTGCAGACAATGTGATCAAACCGGGGAACCCACCCTATCTAGAGTATGTCCGGAGCAGTGTCGAACAGAAAAAGGACGCGACACAGAAAGCAGATACGGTCAATGGTGTGGACACGCGCTTCGCGGACCGCACAGCCAAACAATATCTCAAGCGGGAGGGCGAAGCCAAACTGGACGAGACAAGAGTGGGAAATCCGCTGTTGATATACGAGAGTAAACTCGTCCACAGCTTCGAACCATCGGGAGTACCAGTAAGTGGCGTTTTTCTGACTGAAAGCATCTCACATCCTCACTAAATCAATCTAGGACGCTGTCGAAATCACCAGATGCGTGGGCGTGGACGAAGGAAGCTGAAACGTATGCTGTTTGAGTGTAACAGCATGTATAGGACAGACGTATACATCCGTCCGTGCTCTCTCTTTCTTTTCTCGCCACTGGCGGCTGAGAGTCTTGGTTACACTCTAATCCCAGTCATCAAGAGTAAAGCCAACAATGGAAGGATAGTGGGCTACTGAGAATGGTAAACACTATTAGGGAGACCACCGCTGTGGTTCTAAATAGCAGCAATCCTGGAACGTCTTCCAAGAAATCCCGCAATATCTAGACCGACCAGTATCCTCTATTTATCTTTCCTAACAGCGCCCGTCTTCTGGTCGTCAGTAACCCACATTTACCAGTGCTATATTCTGTTGCTTGCAAACAAGGATGTAGCCATTATCACGGATCGAAGCACCACTCCCTGCAAAGTATCTAGCTTCCGCGGCGTCGGAGTATAGTGCCCTACCTATCATCTCCACTTGTTCTGCGGGAGTGACGTCTATATTCTGATATACGCATTATGCACCTAGCAGCAACATCCCCTTTGCACGCCACAATCCATGCTATAGCTTTAGTTATTGGCTCTTTTGTTTTGAATTTTTTTGGCTGTGTGCATGCATGTGTGCGTGTGCGTTTACCTCTTCTGCCGTCTTCACCTCACTGTCCTCCTTTCTTTCCAGGCATTCAGGCGAGCGCGTCCCTCTGAGTTCAATAATGCTCCAGAGCACCTCTCCGCTGCTGGCTCACAGGCTACAGAACGCATCGCTCTTGGTCCTGAGTCTCGTCTTTCTCCCCCTAGACACTTTAATTCTACTCGTTTCTCTTGTCGCGTGCAGAGTCTTTCCGAGCAAGGTGATCTCGAATCGAGAAGCGGCACGTCACCGCGATGCCAGCTTCACGAGACGCAAGGTGCTGGTCACGGGAGTGGGCATGACCAAGGGCCTCGCGCTGGCACGGCTCTTCTACGAGGCCGGCCACGACGTGATTGGCGCCGACTTTGAGCCTGACGGCGCGTGGGCGTGCGGGAGGGTGTCTGCGGCTGTGGGGAAGTTCTATCGCCTTGAACAGCCCAACGCGAAGGCCGGGGCCGCGCCGTACATCCAGACGTTGCTGGACGTGGTGACCAGGGAGAAGGTCGAGCTCTGGATCAGTTGTTCGGGCGTGGCCTCGGCGGTCGAGGACGGCATGGCCAAGGAGATCGTCGAGGCCCGGACCGCGTGCAAGGCCATCCAGTTCGACGTCGAAACCACGCAGACGCTGCACGAGAAGCACTCGTTCATGGCACACACCAAAGACGTCGTGGGGCTGACGGTCCCCGAAACGCACGAGGTCACCTCCCGCGGGGCGGTGTTGGATGTCTTGCGCGCGGCGCCCCAGGGGAGGAAATACATCATGAAGACGATCGGGGTGGACGACGCCGTGCGCGGGGATTTGACCCTCCTCCCGAAGAAATGCGAGCGGGAGACCGTGGAACACCTCGCGCGCCTCAACATCTCGGGAGAGACGCCGTGGATCTTGCAGGAGTTCATCCAGGGGCGGGAATACTGCACGCACGCGCTGGTCGTGGCGGGCTGGGTCAAAGCCTTCGTGGCCTGTCCCTCGGCGGAGCTGCTCATGCATTACCACGCACTTCCTGCCGAGTCGCCCCTGAGCCGGGCGATGTTGGCCTTTACTCAGATATATGCGGCGAGTGGCGGCACGGTGTTTACGGGCCATTTGTCTTTTGACTTCATGGTGCGTGAGGACCAGGACGGAGGAAAGGACGGTAGGCGCAATGCCGATCCGCGAGAGATCGTGCTTTACCCGATCGAATGTAACCCACGGGCACACACGGCGGTGGTGCTGTTCAATGGACGCACCAGCACCAGCACCAGCACCAGAACAGCCGCCACGACAATGGTCCAGGCCTATCTCTCCATCTTCGAGGATGTTGGTCATCACCACCTGAACCGCACCGCCGATTCGGACATTGACATAGTTCACCCCGTCACACAAGACAAGTACTTCTGGACAGGCCACGACCTTGTCACCCTGGTTCTCCTGCCGACCTCGTCGCTCTTCCTCACGCTGTTCTCTGCCTTAGCCTCCGTTTCTGTTTCCAGGTCCGGAGCCCCCTCCAGCACCGGCATCGGCATTCGCGCATCATTCACGCACCTCATCCAAAGCTACACGCTCTTCCTCCACCGCCTCCTCACGTGGAGAGACGGCACATACGAGCCCTGGGACCCCCTGCCCTGGTGGTGGCTGTACCACGTCTACTGGCCCGTGCGGTTCTGGGCCTGTCTCCGCGACGGGAGGAAGTGGAGTCGCGTCAACGTGAGCACGGCCAAGATGTTTGAGTGTTGACAACACGTTCCTTCGTCAGGGACTATCGTCAGGGGGAATAGATGGAAGGAGGGCGGAAGGGGGCGATGCGGTGGGAGAGAAGAGCTTGAAAGAGCTGGAGAAAAGGGGAATGAAGCAGGACATGGAGAGGCGAGTGTGAAAAAAGGAGTAAGAAAGGAGGAAAATAGATACAGTCTTCGTCTCTTCAATGGCAGGGTGAGGCCGAGTCGGGGCGAGTAATAACCCCATTAATTAGCCAGCCATATAGCAGCTCAATATATTGAATGTTGATTATGTGAAATGTTTCGATGAGATGGATTTCTCGAGTTTGGCAGATGAATGGAGAACAATGCTCACCCGTAAAGCAGGGGGTATATATATCGTCAACAAAATCTCTCTGAGTGGCCTAGCCTGGCCTGGTCCGTCTTTGTAATCGCTCCCTGGGCTCGTTCGGTAACTCCTGAAGGGCGGTAGGCGGGGGAGAATCGAGAGAGATGCATCGGAGAGGATGTGCGTGTGCATGGCTCAAACGACACCACCGCCACCACCACCTTTTCGATCCCTCTTCAGACCCAAGAGCCACCCTACCCCCTCGACCACGTCTCTCATCCTCCTCTTGGACATGTCCAGGTCCGGAAACATGGCCCACCAGCAGTGCGCCCACCCACTATACAGATCCAGCCTGGTCGGAACGTCGCATTCTTCTCGCAGGACTTTCTCGTAGATCAGCCCGTCGTCCCGGGCCGGGTCGAGGCCGCAGACCTGGAAATACGCTGGTGCGAGACCTAGATGGCCGTGTTTAACGGAGCCCTTTTGGTGACCTGCATCCGTCCCCTTACCATCCACGTCGCGAGGATCGTGTTGGTCGAACGGGTAGCACAGCTTCGAGGCCGGGTCGGGCTGGAACGCCTCGGTCAACAGCGTCAGGAGGTGTCGGTCCAGGATCGGGGCGTGGGCGTTTTGCTCGCGGCTCAGATAGCGTGGTTGGTACCGTTCCGGCACGCGACCGGGCGAGATGTATGTGCCTGCCATCAACACTTGGCCCGTCAGCGGAGGGTTCAGGTTGTGGTCGCGCGCCAGGTGGGCCAGCGAGGCGGCGAGGTTGGCGCCCGCGCTTTCGCCGCCGACCAGGAACCCCACACGGGCGTCGGTGCAGCGGGGGAAGACGGCCGAGTTGGACTTCCTGTTCTCAGTGGCGCAGAACTGCAGCACCTCCCACGAGTCGCAGATGGAGAAGGGGAAAGGGAACTCGGGCGCCAGACGGTACGACGCGCACACCACCACGGCCGAGTGGGCCAGGACGAGCTCCCTCGCCAAACTCAGCTGGAGCTCTGGGTAGCCGATGGTATGGCCGCCGCCGTGCAGGAGGAGGATGACTGGTCGCGCGGGCCCAGCAGCTTTCAAGTCCGCGGTCAGATGGCACACGATGATGCGGCAGGGCCAGTCGTCGCGCAGTCTGATCGAGTGTTCGGTCTCGGTGATCTCGCTCGGCCGCGAGTCTGCGAGGCGTTTCTGAAGCGGTCCAAGACCCGCCGCGGCGCTTCGCTTGATGTCTGAAAGCGTGTAGTTCGACCGGGCTTGGAGTTGGCTGGCTTGCAGGGCCGCGGAGAATGTTGGGTCGACGGTCGCTGTTGCGAGGATATCCTCGATCGTGTCAAGGCGCGGCGACGGCATCTTCTACCCAGAGCTGTGGTGGCGGCGTGTAATGACTACCCAGTCGAAGCTCTTGACGAGGGAGGTAATGTTGGAGGGGTGGTAGTTGTTGTTCCCGGCGACTCAGCAACTGGAGTCGAAAATGGCAATTCTGTCCCCCCAGCTTTCCGCCAACGACGGCTCAAAGAACAGGACACCTTTTGAGCCCAACCCGATGCTCCTCCAGAGCTCGTCGTAGCCAATGTCCCTCTCTGTGTTGCTGTATAAAGTGCTTTCTTCAACCCAGCCACCCTGTCACAGTCCGACGTAGCGACACTCGTACTTTTAGCAAGTCAGTCCTGCCCTCGGTGTCATATACCCGTGGTGTACCACAGCCACAGAGCGTGCGCACTCCTTAGTCCGTTCTCGGTCAACGTCTACAGGAAACACTCCACCAACTTGTCCTGTTCAGAGCCCATTCATAATTCCTCGTATCAACGGGCACGCAGTTTTTCCGAGGCCAAATGACGGGGGTAATGAAGAAGAGATCTCTCTCGCAGGTCCGGACTTTTGCCTCTCTTTTCGAAAACAACTCGGATTGCGAGACCCGCCAATTAACGCTGGGACAGTTACATCGAGACGACGGGGCCCGAAAATAGGACCCTCCCTTGCAGCACAAAAGGAGTCCGAAGGCGTTTGACGTACCAACGTACGAGGTACTCAGCTCGTTCAGTAGGCGAGGCGGCGGAGGGGCGGAAAGGGGCGGAAGCTTTGCTTGGCAAACCCTTTAAGATTCGGTCCAGCCTGATCCAGCCTGTGGCCTTTTTCCACTCCTTGCTTACTCGTTGCACTCAAAAAGTGCGCATGTTCTGTCAAGTAATACTCGGTCCCTCATTGTGCTCAATCAGCAATTCTATAATATGTCCACTTTTGAGCGGTACCTCAATTCCCAAGATCCCTTTACTCATCTGCTTTACCTCAGATTGCGATCATGACGGGTTAGTTCGCAGAGCGGAAACGGTCCGGCGGGATCCTAGGTGTGGCATCTCCATAGACGGACCGTGCGCTCATGGTGCGAGCAAGAGACGAGCCCGTGCGCTGGACGCGTCAGCTATTGACGACCGGATCCTGTAAGCTAAAAGACTTTGAATGAGTCAAAGGGTGTTGGGGCCATAACTGGACCTCTTCTCTAGCTCTTATCGCCTTCAAGCTCAACGCCCTCCATTTGTTCCAAGAACCTTCCCATATCTTACGATTCAGTGCGGCCGCGCGTGCTCGCTGCGTCGGTAGGGGCGGGATATATACTCTCCAACTGCCTAGTGTCGTACGTCCTTCAGTCTCTACTTTGAAGGCCCTTGAGTAACTTTTCCGGCTTTGGGGGCAGCGTGGCTCCTCTGGCCCGTACGTCGAGGTACATCATTCGTGTGATGGTCATAGACACCGGCCGGCGACGAGACATTGCACGGAGGCAAACACAAAGGTCCAAAGTTTGCGCGTGGTATAGGTCGTGTGCTGCTTTCGCGGCGATCATTTCTTCGACCACTGTATAGGTGGGTGACATACTGACGCTATGTCCACATATTGGCCATGATCGAGGATCCGTGCGCTGGCAGGTAGATTCAGCAAAGACACGCCACCTTTAGACAGGACGTGATGCCGACCTCCGAGGCCCGCTGTTGCATGGGTGGCGAAGCATCTATCGCAAGTTGCTTGAGATACAAAATTTGACGGAGAACCATGACTTGGAAACATGAACTTTGACATGTACGCCAGTGATTGAGCTGGCGCCAACCAGTGCACAGGCATCTGACCTACTGGTGAGTGAGCACAGCAGCCGACGAAGTCTCTCTTGGTTGGAGAGGCTCCGGTAGTGTGCTGAGGGTTGAAGACAGCTGGTCGGATGGCAGTATTGGAAATCTAGTGGCTTGTAGAGTCATGAAGCAAAGCCAACTCAGAAAGTCAAGCCGATTCGAAGAGAGCAAAATGCAGCAAATAGAGTAGAGGAAATGGTTTGAGAACCGTCGGAAGATGATAAGAAGACAGACGGGTCGAAATGGCTAGGAGAGGAAATGTTGGCCTCCACGATGGACGATAGAGATGCAGGAAGAATTGGGTGGCTCTTGATGGACATTGTCTTGAGGCCACTCTTGATCGTCCAGCGTCTTTCCGACGACAATCCCAAATCACCCTTACAACCAGGCACGAGCCAATGAGTGGGTCAGATGTGATCTGAACTCCCCGAACTCGTAGAGATTCCATGCCTTTATTATCCTCGTCAAGATCGTCCTTTTCGTGCCGTGACATGTTTTCATGCCTTGTTCTATGTAAACAGGAGCGCAAATGTAGGATTTTATACGTAGCCTGCAGGTGTCCACAATGTTAGTCGCTTTGCCGTGTCAAGTCAACGAGCGATAACTCACCTTTCCTCGCTCCCTGGAAGAAAAACCTGACCACCAATACCTGTAGTCCAGCCATACCGACCATCATACAGACCTCGATCAGACTGAAATTGAAGATGCGCTGTTCCGTACTCCTGACAGTGCTGAAGTTGCGGTTCTCTCTCGTACGGAAGTACTTTTGCATTCTGCTGACTGTGCTCAGCTGTCCACTAATCTTGAAAACCAAATCTTCCAGTGCAGAGGTCTGTTCGGGTGTCGAGCCGGCTTTTTGTGGGAGGAGGGCGGATTTGGATTCGTCTTCGACCTATACACCCCATGCATGAGTTGTCTAATCTTCAGCCCAGGGGAGGAGCGGTGACTTACAGCAACCTCAAAATCGACCATCTTGTCTGCGAACGTCGACATCTCATTGTTGAAGCAGACACGGTACTCGCCCGCAGTCTGTGCAGTAAAGACAAAGTCTCCCTGTCTCTCCTTTTCTCCGCTCATTATTTTTCTGTCATTGGGCCCATACACCTCGTAGTCGATATCGAACGAGCCGCCAGATTGAACCTAAATGCGTTAGTGATAGTTCTGTGTAAACGAATCCCAGATGGAATCATACCGCGAAATAGAAGGCGACTTTGGCACCTGGTCGCTCGACGTTGCTGAAGAAACAGGCCTTCTCGTTGGCGGCAAGTTTATATGTCAGAGCAGTGCTGTACACTCTGGCAACAGCCAGTGCCAGCAGGCTGAGAAGAATGGAATGCAATCGCATGGCTGATCAGATATTAAATGCCAATGCAAGTAAGAAGGAATCCAAGATATAAACTCAATGGCACGCGAGTCTGGACCAAAAATTCCCGAAAAGGGGCACCAGTTCGCGTCCGCAGGTGAAATCTTGGCTGGCGACACGTTGTTCGGAGCGAATGGCGCCGCTTTTTCAATGACGTTGAGCAGTGCTTACGCTAACCATATATGACGGTGTCCTATTAGAGCGGCATCAGAGAACTTCCCAGCTCTTCTCACCACACCATACCTCGTACACATCATCCCGTCCTTGCTATAGTGAGAGACCTGAATAACGAGAGTTTGATCTTGCTTGGACGTGGACAGGTATTTGACTCAACTTCTATCGACTACATATCAGAAATCACAAGCCACAGCAACCTTTTCCATGCTATCAGCGATCTTGATGTATTCCTCTGCTCTCTTCCTCATTCCGCCCAAGGACTCCATGCCTAATGGCATTCTCAGGGCCATAGGAGTAGACGACGGCTCCAAAACCTCCTTCACGATGGCCTCAGCAGTCTTCCTCGCATCCTGCGGCGCTCCTTCGTCTAGGCCGGCAATCGCCTGCATCACAAACTCCGTGGGAGTTCCCTTATAAGCGTCTGCAAGGATCGGCATCTTCATCTTCTTCTGATCGAAAAACTTGGTCTTCATCGCTCCTGGTTCGGCAATCAACACTCTGATATCAAAGGTCGATAATTCGGTGGCTAGGGCCTCGGATATGCCCTCGATGGCAAATTTGGATCCGGCATAGACGGCGGCGCCAGGAGGGGGATTCCAGTTGACTGCACTGGAGATATTGATTATCACCCCAGAATGTCGGCTTCTCATGGACGGAACGAGTGCTTGGATGATGCGGATGGGTCCCCAGAAGTTCGTCTCAAACATTTGGCGGGCCTTGTCTAGGCTGTTGAAAAGGAGTTGCAAATCAGCAATCTTTGGCTCACTGCGCCCAGCTGTGGTCGAGATAAGGCACAAAAATTGACTTACTCCATCATCTCCAAAGGTGCGCCATCTGCATACCCGGCGTTGTTTACCACAACATCTACAGGCCCGTGCTTCTTGACAATGTTCTCAATGTCATTCTCAAGGCTCGGACTGGACACGTCCAATGTCGCCCAAACACCACCAAGTTTCTCAATATCGGCAATTGCATCAGGAGAGCTGGCCGGATTGCGGGATGTGGCGATGCATTTCTGCCCAGCCTGTAGAGCTGCTCGGGCGATCTCGAGGCCTAAGCCCGTGCTGCAACCTGTAACAAGCCACTGCATATCCGCTAGTATCGGTTGGATCGAATCTGTATGCCGATTGGGAGTGTCGGGGTATGTTATGTTATCGACGGAGAGTGCTTTGAGCGTGATTACCTGGCTTGAGAGGAATAGACTCACGGGGAATCTATACGTATATATACTCCCCCAGGTAAGTGCCTAACAACAGTATTGCCAACGCTGCGGCCGTAAACCTTGGCCCATCTCTCTTCCCCCGCTCTACGGCTTGCCAGATGCTAAAAGAGAAGGCGTTTTGGCGCATCTCAATATCGTTGGCAAAGTTGAACCGATACTGGCTGCTCGCCCCAAAATGTCCGAAAGTGGTAAAGCAAGAAGCCACAACCGGATGAATAGACGAGCCGAAACCAACAAGAGTTGCTTATTCTAGCAAAAGCACCACCCGGATTTTTTGACTGCGTGGACCAGTATTCATATCATCACGTCGTCTAATTCACGCTCTTTAACGCTGCGTATTATTACTGCCTTTCCTCACGGCCGAAAATACATACGAGGCACCAGGTTACTCCGAGGCTTGATAGCGCCTAGCTCTGGCTAGACCTGGTGTCGGGCGCTGACACCCACAAACCCGAGTACGGCTACACATTGGGAATAGTTCATGAGAATCAATATGCTTGCAGCTCCACTCTCTCGGAGATGACTGGGGCTTTGATAAGAGATTGTGGACTTGTGCATACCCTCTTTCGTTACATTTGTCAGTGGTTTGTGCTGCATCTGTGGGCATAAGGAGTCAGTCATTCAGCTGGCTTTCAGGCAACGGCTTGGTTTGTGTGTCGAATGTAATTCCGTCATATGATCAATGCGGTTGTAGAGGATGGTAACAGTGGTCGATCATGGCGCCCCCGCGTTGGGGTTGGATGTGGACAACCTTCTGGTGCAGGCACAGCCTTACGTCACGATCGGCGACGAGGCTACGAGGCTGTGGTTTTCCTTTTTCTCACTCTCCCCGCCTCGAAAGCCACAGAATCCATACACAAGTCCTCATAGCCATCCTCATAGCCATTTAGCTGGTCCCGACCGCTGAGTCCTTCTCCTACTTGTACTTCCCATGCTTCTCTCAGGTGCATTACATTTTCTACCCAAGACCCTTCTCGCAAATGCCCGAACTTTGCAGGGGCGAGGACCACACAGATGCGGATCATGAAATGCGGACGTTGACATCTTACCTCTCGCGCATGAGGAGTCTGGCTTTCAAACAAAGTACGTCCCGAAGCTCTATAAACTCCGTCGGCATCAATGGCATATCGCAGGCACCCGTCGTCGTCATGGGCAACCCGTCAGCGGATCTGGACAGTTTCGTCTCCGCCGTGGTGACCGCGTTTTGCTACAACATCGCTGGAAACGGGGCGGTAAGTTCTAAGAGACCCGCGTATATACCGGTCCTGAATCTTCCGTCCGTCAGATCCAGCGAGCTGTGGCGACTGCGGCCGGAGTTTGGGGTCGCTATACGGTTGGCATCGGGGGAGGCGCCTGACACGGTGGGCAAGGAAGGTTCGGAGCAGGGCAAGACTGATGCGTTGAACGAAATCGTCACCATCGCGGACATCAAGGCCGACAAGGGATCGGCACTACACAGGCTATTTTACGAGTCCAGCAAGAACCCCGAGACGCAGCAGCAGGATTCGACCGCGAAGCAATCCCTCTTTTTGGTCGACCACAACGCGCCCTCGATACCGGGCCTTTCGGACGAAGCCGGCGCCGCTAGATTTACCGTCACGGGCTGCATCGACCACCACGTCGACGAGCACTACGTGTCACAGGACGCGGACCCACGCATCGTCACGACCGGGATAGGGAGCTGCACCAGCCTCGTGGTCACGCACCTTCGCAAGCAAGGCATATGGCCCTGCCCCACGTCCCGGCAGTCTGACGAGCAAAACCAGACCACTCCACAAATCGACCCGGAGGCCCTGTCGCAGTTGTCCAAACTCGCCCTCGCCCCGATCCTCATTGATACGTCGAACCTGCGGGCCAAGGGCGACAAATGCTCCGACACGGACAGGGAGGTCGCGCGGTTCCTGGAATCCGCGATCGCGACGAGCACGGCGCAGATACGGGGGGGAATGTCGCAGACGCGCTCCGGATCAGCAGGAGGCGGCGCCGAATGGGACCGCGACGCCTTCTTCTCGTGCATCTCCGCAGCCAAAGCAAACTCTCTGGACTTGCTGACCATGCAAGAAGTCTTTGATCGCGACTACAAGGCCTGGACCGAGCGCACTGCTACCGCCGGTGGTAATGCTAGTACTGGCACTAATACAGGTAAAGGCAAAGAAATCAACATCGGCATCTCCAGCCTCGTGAAACCCCTCTCCTGGCTCGTCGCCCACGCGGGGGACGCCGACGCCTTGCTCGCCGAGATCGAAGCCTTCGCCACCGACGACGCCCGCCAGCTGGGCGTGTTCTGCATGCTCACGCGCACGGGCGACGGGCGGAAAGAAGTCGCCGTGCTGGTCCTGGACGACGCTGCAAAGGGCGCCGTTGACGCGTTCGAGACAAAGAGCCGCGATGAGCTGCGGTTGGCCGAGTGGGCTGCCGAGGATGGCGGCGGCGGCGGGACCGCGAGACTTGTTGAGGCACTGAAAAAGAAGTGGGCTGAGAAGGGCAAATGGAAGATCTGGTGGATGGGAGACACGACTAAGAGTCGCAAACAAGTTGGGCCGCTGTTGAGGGAAGCCGTGAGAGATCTCTAGGTTAGGGATTTAGATTCGATCTACGGCGACGGTCCGATCCTATTGCGTGTCTGGCGTCTTTGTTTGCTTGGACAACTCTCTTGGAGAAGGCCCCTCATTCCAACTTCTTCGCTAGTCCATGAGCTTCAATATCATTCGCATCGCCGTCTGGGGTAGTGACTCCGCTCTGCGCCTCTGCAAGTTTCTGCATCTGATCATCCAACTTCCCATACACCTTGGGATTCTTTTTCGGTTCCCCTCCACCAACGCTCTTCATCTGGTATCCTCGCACTCTTGGTCCTTGGCCTGTTTGCTCTGGCAACTCGGATTTATACGCACGACTGAATGTCCTCTTGTCGTCTTCGAATGTCTGGTTCCTGATGCTTTGGCGGACGGCAGAAAAGAAAGCGTCGATGACGGAGAAATTGTGGATTTGCAGGAGTGTCCAGGCGAGCATTTCGTTTGCTTGGAGGAGATGGTGTACATAAGCGCGATGATGACGTGTGCAGGTGTAGCAGGTACATTTGGGGCTCAAGGGACCAAGGTTAGTGGCGTGGGTGGTGGACCAGAGATCGATCCCGAGAGGTTGGTTGAGAGTGTCCGAAGACCCCGGGAAGGCGAATGACAAGGCGATGCCGTGTTCAGAGGACTGTGTCACGAAAGGAATTGTCAAGAGATCGACTCCAACATCGACTGCAGCGAGTACAGCGTGGGGTGACGACGGATCAGCCAGGCAGACCGTCGGTCTATCTCGCAGAACGTCTGGCAATTCCACGACTGTCGAGGGTGAATAGACGCACAGCCCAGATATGTGAGATTTGTATTCGTCCTTCAAATCTGCGAAATACAAGGACAGAAGTTGTGGTTCGTGAGGTGGTATTGCCGCAAAGACAGGAAGTCCTTCGCCTTCCTCTGCACTCTCCACGAAATCTCGCAACCACGCGTGTGTTCTATCAACGCTCTTTTCTATTCTCTTGGCACTCGCCTCCTTTGTGCTGATCAGGTCAGCTATGCTGGTTGAAATGTCGGCCTTTAACTTTCTAATCGCCTCGTGATACTGTTCAACTTCGAGGAATCTGAATCCAACAGATGTTGAGATGGCGATGGATGAATTTGTATTGTGGGCCGGACAAGGTATGTTTGGGACTCTGCGCGGGCCAAAGATGGACATACACCTGTCGGGCAGGCCAATATACCGACGTAATGGGGACTCTCCGTCTTGTACGGGGGTATTGTAGAACGGCGCATTTGCGTTTGACTTCTCAATGACTATCCACCAACTGTAAGCCACATAAGTCAGCAATCCAGCTTGACGCTGAAAATGATAAACGTACAGTCTTCTAGAGGCACATATACGGCGGAGATATTCGTGTGCTTCTGCAAATTATCCTGGGACAGGTGAGGAACCACACCCCGAGAAGTTGGGACGACATAGTGCGGTGTTGATATCGAATGTCGTCCGCGAAGTGTCAACTGGCCGAGCCTGCTGGCGCACTCTGGTATGGACGTCTGTTGAAGCACAAACTTGAACATATCGTCCGGTGTTTGAGTAAGTGAGGCGCCACCTACATGCTCCATGGTGGCATCATTTATGGTAACTTGTCAAATGTTTGGTGGATTTTGAAAGGGCAGCATGGGTGAAATGAGTGCAAGCCTTTGCCTTTACGTCACTGGTACTCTGCCGTAGATACTGATACGGTGGAGTACAAATACAACTGCGAAGTGTATCACAAACAACCTCTGGCACCACGCCCCTTTCTCGCACCAAGCTTCTGTTTGGCATTCTTCCACTCGACATTCAATAACTCTGTCCAACAGACTGCTCCAGCTTGAACGATAGGAGTCGAGCAGATGGCATCTTCTATTACAGGCTCGAAACGAGGTCGATTTATCGTGGTCGAGGGCCTTGATCGCTCCGGGAAGTCCAGCTTGTGCCATCGCCTTTATGAGCAGTTCCAATCGCAAGGCCTGAAAGCCCGCTATGTCAAGTTCCCAGGTCTGTCCAGCCCAGATAATAATCATATGAGAGCCTCATCAACTGATTACTCTCTGCGTAGATCGAACCACGCCTACGGGCCAGATGATCAATAGCTACTTGACTGGCCAAGCTCAGCAGGACGACCATTCCATCCACTTAATCTTCAGTGCCAACAGGTGGGAAGCGATCAAATCCATCTCCTTGGACCTTCAGTCCGGTGTCAACGTGGTAGTCGACCGATATTCATTCTCCGGGGCTGTCTATTCGGCTGCAAAGCAGATCCCAGATCTATCGCTTCAATGGGCGTGGGCCCCTGAAATCGGCCTCTTGAAGCCTGACTTGTTGTTCTTCTTGGACATTTCTTCTGCTGATGCTGCCAAACGTGGTGGGTACGGTGCCGAGCGGTATGAGCAAGAAGAAATGCAATCTCGTGTTCGGAGCTTGTTCAAGGATTTGCTCTCCAGGCTTGATGGAATAGCCATTCATCAAATTGACGCCTGGAAGACGATGGACGAGGTCACCACAGAAGTTCTCTCAATCGTTCAAGGCTCGACCATAAACGAGGCTCTTACGCCTGACAGCCTGCAGAAACTGGGCCCGTTGCTCGACAGAAGGGCCTGAGAAGAAAAAGCGGCATCCTGGAACCAGGGTTGTCGTGGTCATCCTTCATCTTCGCTATCTTCTATAACTATTTGGAGCCTCTTAGGATCCCTCGTGGCAGCGCATGGCTTAACCGTCAGTCCACTCGACACGTTGGACGCCACACTTGTGAGGGAGTCGGCAGATGCAACGGACAGCCTGTCTTCATCGTCCCCATCGTCACAGCTGATCTCAGCGTCGTCAACTACAATTTTAGAGGTGAGCGCTTCTTCTTCGCTGTCCAAAGAAACATCGTCTTCACTGTCGGTCTCCATTATTTCTCCTGCCGTGATCGCTGTGCTTTTACCCCTCTTACCCATGAGTTTTTGGATCTCTTTTACGCCCCTGTTTCTAAGAGTGACCTGCTGCATCAGTTCCAACCAAGCGTGCTCCTGCTGGCAGCTCGGGCATGTCGCAGTTTCTGGGACGATATTTGAAGTTGACTGGGTTTCCTGCAGAGCTTTATCCGCGAGACATCTGATATGTGACATGCCCTGGCAATCGTGCGTGTGACAGATAACGAAGATGCTCTTGCGAAGATCAATCGTCTCTCTGCATACCGAACAATTCTGATTATCGCCTTCATCGAGAAGAAATTGGCTCTTATCAAAGACACCTTTGAGTCGGGCGTATGTCGGATCAACACCTTCAACACCACCTTTTCCGATTAAATCGGCTTTCCTCTTCCTTTGGGTCGGGTGCGGCTGAGCAGAGGTGAACTCCACCTCGTCTGGTTGTTGAGGCATGGGTTCTGCCGGGTCAAAACTCACTCTAATTCCCGGTCTGATCTGAGCATCAATGCGTCCGGACCAGGTCGACCACGAACGATAAACATCCTCACAGAAGAAGCGCACTTCAAGTGGCCACTTGGAGAAATAGGGTGCTCGCAGTAGTAGATGGAGATTTGATAACTTGTCAATCAAAGAAGTTCTTGGTCGCCCCGGTCTCCTGGTGACTTTCCCGGTTTTGGAGGTCTTCGTTCGGGTTGTGGCAAAGGAGAGGCGCTGCTCCGGCGAAATGTGGCGAGTCAAGTGTGCATTATGCCATGCCCACTCAAATTGCAACGCTGCGATATTGGAGGGGAACCCGGCGATGATACAGGCCATTTCCCAGGGACGAAGGCTGGCGCGGGAAGTCCGCACGGCGCCACCTTGGACTCGACCATTGTGCTGAGCAAGACGACGTGCTGGGTCTGGCGAGGAACCGATGTAGAGGCTTGAGTGCCGCACAGTAGAGCGGAGAAGATAACAGCAGTAGAAGGCGGGGATGGGCTTGATATCCATCCTTGCTCTTGATGCGATGTCGCCCGTGGACGTGTCGCTAACTTCAAGTGGCGCTTGGAGCAAAGAGGAGATGAGAATCGCGCTTAGGGACCCATGATTGGTGGCAATGGGTCGTCGATCTAATATGGATAGCTCGGTAAACAAACTAGAGCGTTTCCGTCGATGGGTATGTGATACGTGGCGTATGTGCTTATGTCTAAGTCGAGGGCTGTCTTGTTGTATTTCTCAGGGATATATGTTCACGCAATGTTTTCCTTACCTCGTACTGGATGAGGTTGAGTGTGGAGGTGTTGTAGAACTGGAGCGGGAACAAGCGATCACGTGGTTCAGGATGAGGGGACCAGCAAAATGCCGAGACTCTTGGCAAGTTTTGCAGAATTAATCAAGCCTCCGAGTCACCAACGAGGAATGAACCTGCAGCAGCCAATCGAGGCTGGGTCCAGGTTCTTTGCCCTTGGAGAGCATTTGGTGCATCTGGAGCCTCTTCTTGATTCTCCCTCGCGCTTGCCCGACGATCCCCATCTATCCACTTGGTACTTCTCTCTGGGCCCTCTCGAACCTATATCCTTCCCTCTCACACCACCACTCGTGCTCTCGCAACCAGAGCCTCTTCTCACTCCGCATGTGAGCCACTGCGTCTTAAAGTGCTCTGTTGGCACTTAGCATGCCGTCCCTCAAGCTCAGAGTTCAAGGCTAATCCTGCGATCCATTCCTTGTCCCTCTACAAGGCTCCCCAAAGGCAAACTCACTTGTCAACCCGCCCTGCCGCTCGTTTTTCTCGCTTTTCCCTGTTCGATATCAATATCAATCAATTTCGAAAGCTCTCATCTGCCATCGCACTCGAGATCAACCGCATTAGACTAGACGGTCCTCCGAATCCTCCCTGTACTCGGTACCAGTACGATTATCGAATAAGCATATTCCGCAGCTTGAGCGGGCTTTCCCACCTGTCGCAGTCATGGTCGCTCCACCTTCGACTGGTGGTGTTGCACCACCGGCTGCGACTGTGAAGCCATCATCAACCGTTTCGAGAATAAATGGTGCTCCTCCTGCCACCATGGCCACGCCCTCGTTTCCTTACAGCGCCCGCCGTGCAGCACCTCTTGATTTGCGAACCGTTGAGCGCAAAGCCCCCGCCTACACTCGCGATCCCCCTGCGAGAAGGAGACTTCATGACCTACCCGAGGCACCGACTTTCCGGCCTACAGAGGCAGAATTTCGCGATCCGATGGAATATATCCGTAGTATCTCGGAAAAGGCCAGCAAGTACGGTATTTGCAAGATAATCCCGCCAGACAACTGGAATCCGGATTTCGCTATTGATACAGAGGTGAGAAGTCAAGGAATGTTAGGTGGAAATGCATGCTGACGTGCTATAGCGCTTCCATTTTCGCACTCGGCGCCAGGAGATAAATCTGGTCGAAGGAGGTGGGATTTCTTCTAGTTCCATTTGATGCACCCATTCTTACTTGTGTTGCAGGAAACCGCACAAACCTCAACTACCTAGACCAGCTGGCCAAGTTTCACAAACAATATGGTGCACATCTCAACCGGTTTCCCTCGGTCGACAAGCGTCCGCTTGACCTTTATAAACTCAAGAAAGCTGTCGAAGTCAGAGGTGGCTTCGAACGCGTCTGCAAGGACAAGAAGTGGGCCGAGATTGGGAGAGATTTGGGATACAGTGGAAAAATCATGTCGTCGCTATCTACATCGCTCAAGAACTCCTATCAACGATGGTTGCATCCCTATGAGGAATGGCTGAAGTATGCCAAACCCGGCGTTCAGCAGCAGCTAGATAGCGAACACGGTGGAGCGTACTCGCCATCGGTCATGCCCCATCAGCCCATGGCCTCCCACGCACCTCCACAGTCTGCTCCTCCCGGCATAGCGACAGATTCTCCAAAGCCCCAACCCGCAAGACCTTTAACTCCACAAGTACAGAACTCTCCTGCGCCCTCGCAACCGCAGCCGCCTGTGCCCTCATCAATACCCCCTGCCGTTCAACCTAGACCAGTCTCATCGTCGGGCTTCACGGCAGTTAACAGTGGCTTCACCGCGGTGAATAGCCCTTCGGGTTTTACGGCCGTCAATACCCTTCCACCTCCCCTTGTGAAGAAAGAGGTCAATGGCGTGCCGCCATCAATTCAAAGTGCGGCTCCATCCTTCCCCGCCATTAACGGACCTACGATCACGACAATACATTCGTCTGGTGGCTCAATACCGAATGGAACTCCAAACCCACTAAAGAGGACATTGAGCCATGATAGTCTCAACGGCGAGTCCGGCTCGGAGGGACTAGACGGTGAAGGAGACGCCGCCAATGGCAGACGAAGCAAGAGGCCAAAAAAGGACGGCATGCCCACGATTCCCGGTAACCACATCCCAGCAATGCGCCCGACAACCCCCCAAGTGCGGACCAAAACGGCACCTCGGAGACATGGCGAGAAATGTGAGAAATGCGGCAAATCGGACAACAAGGAGAGCATCCTTGTCTGTGATAGCTGCGACTCAGGCTATCACAAGCATTGTGTTGAGCCACCGTTGAACAATATGCCGGAATATGATTGGCACTGTTCGAAATGCTTGGTCGGGACAAACGACTATGGTTTCGAGGAAGGCAGTATCTACTCCCTGAAACAATTTCAAGAAAAGGCCAACAACTTCAAAGATAACTACTTTGCCGCCCGGATGCCTTTTGACCCTGTTTCCAATACACCGAGAAAGCCAACCGAGGACGATGTCGAACGGGAATTCTGGAGACTCGTTGAAGACATCACGGAGTCAGTCGAAGTCGAGTATGGCGCAGACATTCACTCGACCACTCATGGCAGCGGTTTCCCGACCGTGGAGAAAAACCCCCTCGATCCCTATTCGAAAGACCCTTGGAACTTGAATGTCATGCCTTTCCTCGAAGAGTCGTTGTTTAGACACATCAAAGGTGACATTTCCGGCATGACAGTGCCTTGGCTGTATGTGGGGATGTGTTTCTCGACGTTTTGCTGGCACAATGAGGATCACTATGCATATTCGGCAAACTATCAACATTTTGGTGCAACCAAGACGTGGTACGGCATCCCTGGCAAAGATGCGTATCGTTTTGAGGATGCAATGCGCAAAGCAGTACCGGAATTGTTTGAGACGCAGCCTGATTTACTCTTTCAATTGGTCACCATCCTTCCTCCACATCAACTGAGAAAGGCCGGGGTTGAGGTCTACGCGCTCGACCAACGGGCAGGTCAGTTCGTCATTACTTTCCCTCAAGCCTACCATGCCGGATTCAATCATGGTTTCAATTTCAACGAAGCTGTCAATTTCGCCCCCGCCGATTGGGAACCATTTGGCGAGGCTGGCGTGCAACGGTTACAGGAATTTCGCCGCCAGCCCTGCTTCTCTCATGATGAGCTTCTCTTTACTGCGGCGGCGTCAGATACTACCATCAAGACAGCCAAGTGGCTGGGACCGGCGCTCGAACGAACTCGATCTCGAGAATTGGCCGAGCGCCAAGGTTTTGTGGCAATGCACAAACGACATTTTCCACACGACGACTGCACGTTCGATACGTTGGCTCCTGAACCGTCGGAGACATGCGGTCTCATCATCAAGATCGAGAATGCTGAGCTTGAAGAGGAAGAATATCAGTGCTGCTATTGTAAAGCGTTTTCTTACCTTTCACAATTCCGATGTCACCGCAGCGGCAAAGTCACATGTCTTCTGCATGCCGAAGTGTCTGATTGCTGCTCTGACTCTCCTAGTGAAAGGCTGAGGGGACCCAATCATAGTCTCCTGGTCCGCTACACCAACCAAGAACTGAGCAATATCGTTCAGAAAGTGGTTGACAAAGCGAACGTGCCCGAAGCATGGGAGGCAAAGGTAGAGGCTCTGCTCGCCAACGAAGCTCGGCCTGCGCTCAAGTCAATGCATACGCTGCTGTCAGAGGGCGAGAAGATACCATATACCTTGAAAGGACTGGACGATTTGGCCGATTTCGTCAAAAAGTGTGACCAATGGGTGGATGAGGCGAACTTGTACCTCACCAGGAAGCAGCAAAACAGACGAAAAAACGAGAAATCTTGGCGTCGATCTTCGTTGCGGAGTGGCAGACCAGAGGACAAAGACACCGAGCCACAACTCACCGTGGAACGCATGAAGGAGTTGATTGAAGATGGAGAACTGCTCGGGTTCAGCGCACCTCAGCTCGAAAGCTTGAGAGAAAAAGTCACCGTGGTTGATGAATGGCGGGCAAACGTGAACCGCATCCTCACGGGCCAACACCAAGCGTCTTCCGAGGAGTTGGAAGCTTTGCTTGAGGAAGGTCGCGGATTTATGGCTGCTATGCCAGAGCTTACAAACTTGGAGCAAGTTCACGCGCGAACTCACTGGCTCGAAGAGGTCCGACAAGTCCAGAAAGATGTGCAATCAAAGACACTTGATGATTGCAAAGAGCTCTTGAAGCGTGCTTCGGAATTGGAGATCTCGCCACAGATGCCGGAAATCCTGTTTCTCACTGAAGTGGTGAGACAAGGTGAGTTCTGGGAGATCAAGGCGAAAGAAGTCATGGCAGCCGAGGATGTCCACTACCCACAGTTGGAGTCGTTGCATTCCCAAGTGCAGAACCAGGTTTTCCCCGTCAACAAGGAGACTCTGGAGCAGATGGATGTCATTCTCGCCAAGAATCGCGAGGCGAAACGTCAGATCATAACACTGGTCGAACGAAGCCACGACCCCGATTTCCGAAAGCGTCCATTGTATGCGCATGTTCGAGATGTCGTCAAGAGCTTTGAGGATCTCAATGGCAAACCTCACGGCGCCTCCGACCTGGAGAAAGAATTGAGGAGACACGAAGACTGGATGAGACGGGGCAAGAAACTCTTTGGCAAGGCCAACGCTCCGCTTCACATCCTTGAACAACACATGAAGTTTGTGGAGGAAAAGAACAACTACTGCTTCGACCTCAATGATACGTTCAGGCCACCGGTTGAGCCTGCATCGCGAGAAGCCACGCCCGTCGAAGGCCAGGAGAAGGGGACGCTCGGTGATGAGGAGAAACCTGTTTTCTGTATTTGTCGTCAACCCGAAGCTGGGCTCATGATCGAGTGCGAAATCTGTCATGATTGGTGAGCAGCAGCATTGTCTATTTGTCTGGTTTCGACTAACTTTCATTCAGGTACCACGCAAAGTGCCTCAAGCTCGCCAGAGGAAAAGTCAAGGAATGCGAGATGTTTACCTGTCCTATTTGCGACTGGCGAGTCAAGATTCCCCGCGATGCTGCCCGACCAAAACTCGAAGATCTACAAGCTTGGCAAGATGAAATCCAGGATCTTCCCTTTCAACCAGAGGAGGAAGAGCTGCTCAAGCGAATCATCGACAAAGCGCAGGCATTCCGAGAATTCCTCCTGCGATATACGACTGGCAGTCAACTTTGTAGGACAATTGAGGAGATGCCAGAAATGCTCTTCTACCTTCGCAAGATTGAGGGCGCAGAAGTTCTTCTTGCCTACGAGACCAATGTATTACGGCAGGAGCTGCACAAATGGCAGCCCATTGCTCCCGAACCGCCCCCAATCCTGGACCAGAGCTTGTCGACACGAAAACCCCGACCGACTAAACAGCAGAAGTTGATGAAGGAGCTGGGAGTTGAGAAACCAGAGGACCTTCCACCACACTTGCGGACAAAGACGTACGTGCGGAGAAAGACACAGGAATCATTTGTTACTGGACCTCTACTTCCCAAGCCTTCGACACAGTCGCCTTCCGCTCCGGGTTCTGCTGCGAGCCCCAGTCAGAACGGTGGAAGCGGTGAAGGCTCATCTGCCATGCAGAGGCAAGAGTCCGGCGATCATACCGGACCTGGTAGGACGTTCGACCCCGGGTATATATCTGGGTCATCGTTCGCAGAACGCCGACCTTCCCCGTTTTCTCCCCACTCACCGTCATTGTTCAGCCCTACAAGGGAGGCGCCACACGAAGAGCTAAGGGACCCGATGATGCCTGCCTTTGGTGGTGGAGACAATTCGGAAGGACGAAACCACGACCCTTCATTTCCAATGTTTCGGTCAGGAACTGGTTTGGGTCTGGATGCCGAAGACGACCTACGAAGCGGCCTCACCAACGCGTCTGCCAGTGCACCCAACTCTGCCCGGGGTGGCTCTCCGGCTGCAGGCGGTGAGTACGACAACATGTTCATGGACATGAGTAACCCAGATGCGGACACGAGTAACGATCCTGTGCCGAGTCTGGAACAAGAGGCCGGTCATGCGAGTGAGGCGCTTGATATGATTCGGACGGCGAGCAACGATTCCGTGAACGACCATGCCGATTTGGAGGATGGGGAGAATGTCTCGAAGCATTTTGACGACTTTATCAATGGAGACGAACAGGGTTGAGAGGGATCTGGGCACCTGGGAGTTTCGCGTAAAAGGAAAATATCGATAACCACCATCGGCACTGGGGTACAGCATGTTTGGCGAGTTACGAAAAGGAGTTGTATGGGACTAGCATGGGGGACTGTGGCAGGGCCTTTGTATTCAGGGTGGCATTCATGTGTACGAACTATCCCATCATCACGACTCATAGAACGACCACTTGATATGGAGGCTTGGTGACGGACATGGTACGGGCAGTTTCATGGGCAAGAATATGGAGGGAGCTGTATCCTTATGAAGGCGTGTATAAGACCTGAGGCGAAGATAAGGGTCGCGGGTCTCAGTGTTGTTAGCCATGCCATATTCTTGTATCAAGAGATCGTCTTTGTGTGCGTATACAACCTACTTGTAATCCGTAGAATATGGAGGAGAAGCCATTGAGGGATGCGTGGAGGGGCCACACATCGGCAGTTGGGCATTGGCGTCATTGACCAAATTCAAAAATTCAACTGGCGCCGCCTGGCAAAATGTTGTCGCGGGGCATCTCTTGCTTGCTCACCTTCAACAACTTCACCTGCGACCAGTTTGCAAATTGTCAGGAACTCGACTGCAGGGTTTGGGGAGTGGTCTCATCTGCCTCTCTCCTGGAGGGGAATATGAATGTGGCACCGAGAACATATGAGCTGGCCGAAGTTTATCACAAAAATTCTTGAAGAGTCATCCACGACCCCAGAATTGCCTTGCGCACACGACTGTCACCATTGACACGCCTGCTCATCCCGAGCGGTCGACTGTGCACTATCTGAAGACAAGGCGTAATAATTAGAAAGAACTACCACCACGAACCATGGCCTCTGAACACGATGATCGTCTGCCCACGCTCCTCTCCTCCCTCCAGCCCTCGTCCTACTACTTTTCCCTCGAATTTTTCCCTCCCAAGACGTCCTCTGGCTTCTCCAACCTACAAGCGCGTCTTGCTCGCATGGCGACGGCCCTACGCCCTCTATTTGTCACAGTTACCTGGGGTGCAGGCGGTTCTACAGCCACAAAGTCCCTAGAACTGGCCGAAGTATGCCAACGACAAATCGGGCTCACCACAGTACTGCACTTGACCTGTACGAACATGAAGAGAAATATGATTGACGAGGCACTGGAAGGGGCCAAGGAGATTGGGATCAGAAACATTTTGGCCCTGAGGGGAGACCCTCCTCGGGAAGAATACAAGGATGCCACCTCGACGGACGATAGTGAAAGTGGCAGTGGTGGGTCGGGGACAGAGAGCAACCAAGAGTTTACGTGGGCTGTGGACCTGGTACGATACATCCGGCGCAAGCATGGCGACTATTTTGCAGTTGGCGTTGCGGGTTATCCGGAGGGCCATGCAGACGAATCGCACCCAGAGCAGGGGAAACAGAGCGTGGAACATGATCTACCCTATCTTGCCGAGAAAGTCGCAGCGGGTGCCGATTTCATCATGACACAGCTCACCTATGACATTGCAGCCTACGCCGCATATGAGAAGAGGTTACGAGGGTACGCCGATCAAGACGGGAAGAGGTTGTTTGAAAAGATCCCCATCATCCCCGGTCTCATGCCCATCCAGTCCTACCAAATCATCAAACGAATCACCAAGCTCAGCCACGCAAAACTGCCCGAGGACATTTCCCAGCGAATCGAACGTGTGAAGTCGGACGATGAGGCGGTCAAGAAGGTTGGGGTCGACATCCTTTCGGAACTGGTTGAGGAAATGAAGACGTTGACGCAGCCCGAAGGGCTTCCTCGAGGTTTCCATTTCTATACCTTGAATCTGGAGAAGAGCGTATCTTTCATCCTAGAGAGAACAGGGTTGATTCCTACAATCTCAAGTGAAGGGAGTGTTGAAGACAAGGACGGGGACTCAGCATCGGATTCAGACGTGGTTGTCGACGACAGCAAGCAAAGTACTCCGGCCATCGTCACGACTGGGCCGGGGGAAGACAGGCACGAAGAGCAACCTTCTGGCTTTGTGCGACGAAGGAGAAGTTCTGTCAACGCACAGCCCCACAACCGTGTAATAACCGATCGGAGATCTGAGCCCCGAACGGAATCTCGTCGACCTGACTCAGACACTGACCCTCCTGGACTGGGACCCAGTCCAAATTTGAAATTGACGTCTCAACATTTGGCGACAGACCGTGGGACTGGAATTCCTGCCGCATCTCCCACCCGGCAGCATAGCCTGCTCATATCCGAAGGACAAGGCTCTCTAGGGCGCGAAGCGACGTGGGACGATTTTCCTAATGGGCGTTGGGGCCCTTCGCACTCGCCTGCGTTTGGGGAGATTGATGGCTACGGACCGAGTCTGAAAGTGAGTCCGCTGATGGCGAGGAAGTTGTGGGGCTATCCGAGGAGCAGACAAGATGTGACGGAACTTTTTAGACGCCACGTATTGGGGGAGCTCGCGGCCGTGCCATGGAGTGATGACATCGATCCCGATCTCGTTTCGCCCGGTGGGGGATCTGCCGATGGCTCTACAAATTCCAGCGCGCTCCGTGCTGAGACAGACGTGATTCGGGCTGAGCTGATATCCCTCATCAGTCGCCAGAATTATTGGACGCTTGCCTCTCAACCCGCCGTCGACGGCGCGCCCTCTTCTGATCCTGTGTTTGGCTGGGGACCTCCGGGCGAAGGATTTGTCTTTCAAAAGGCGTTTGTCGAGTTCTTCTGTGGGCGAGATGAGTGGGAGGATAAGCTGCGGCCACGCCTGATCAAGCACGGGAGCGACGTGTTGGGCTGGATGAAGACCGATGCCGAGGGATTATTTGAAAGCAGTGAGCTTGTAGCTCGGGATCAAGCTCGAAACCAGAAGACACGGGCAGCTGCAGATACCGAGAAAGAAAACTCCAAACCAGCCTCTGTTTCACAAGGTGCAGATCAGAAAGTCGCTACTTCAACCTCGACTTCCTCGCCAACGAATACGGTCAACGCCGTGACCTGGGGCGTGTTCCCTTCGCGCGAAATCTTGACGCCGACCATCATCGAGGCCGAATCGTTTCGTGCCTGGGCACAAGAAGCGTACGCGATATGGAATGAATGGAAGCGATGCTTTCCCCGAGGAAGCCCAGAGAGCGTGTTTTTGGAGAAGATGGGAAAGGATAATGTCTTGGTCAATGTGGTCGGCCAGGGGTTCCGCGGCGGACATAACGGTGGCAAGGGAGAAGGGGGGCGACTATGGAGGATATTGTTGGGCGAGGATGGAGATGACAAGACTTAGTGTGAGGTGGCGAGAGACCAGTATCTGGTCATATGAGAGAGCGAGAGACATGCGAGGCTGTCATCGTTCGCCTGCCAGTGGTGACGAGGTTTTGTCCCAGTCAAGACGGATCCCTCTGCATGGTCTGTATCTGCCACAGCTTCAACCATCAGTTTGAGATACTTTCCTGGTCCTAGAGATCATTTCGCCCTGGAAGTGATCCAGGAAAGTGGCTGATGTAACTTGACAGCCCCTGACAAGGTGTAGCCTTGTAAATACACCGCAGCCTCGCCAACTCCCCTGCAATGCGTTTAAGTAAATCGGTACATTCCAGCCTCGTACCTCTGGTCTCTCGGGCACGAACCCTTTCTTCGACCCCCTCCCGCCAACGATGTTCAGTTCGCTTCTAACCAATTACTCGCAAAGGCTCCATCACGTTTTCAGCCTGGGCATAATTACTTGATAGTTACAGGTATATCCAGCCCGATTCGGACGGGCAGACTAACTTGACTAGTCCGGACTCTAATCCTCAGAGCCTCGGCTGAGATCAGGGACCTTATCGCTTCCATGTGGTTACCCGAAAACGCCGAGCGCGTCCCACCCAGACACCAGGACCCGCATCAACATCAACACCAGCGATCTTGGATGAGAAAAACCCTTGTGGCTAGATGGACAGTACCGCATACTCGAGTCGATAACGATCAAGGTGTCCCCGTGTCTTGTGGTTTACCCAGCCAGGAGACAAGATGGCAGGTGTTGGTGCGGATGCGGACTCGGACGCGGACGTGGATGCCGCCCTCGCGAGTCCCTCGGATATGGACGAGACGGAACAAGATGTCGTTGATCCGATGTTCAAGGCAGACCCAGATGCAGACATCGACGCAGAGGCAGAGGCAGAGGCCGAGGCCGTTGCAGACGCAGATCCAGTTGAACCTCCGTTACCAGACACGGGGCCAGGGACGACAGGAGCAAAAGCAAAGGCAAAGGCAAAAAGTGACAGTGGCAGTGGCAGTGGCAGTGACGATATTGCCGTGCGCTTGAACAAGTATGTACCTCGTAGATTGTATTGATTTTATCAGCGGTACTCACGTACCCTGAGAGGGAGAGAAAGAGAAAGAATCTCCATGGCTGACACCAAGGACTTCAAGACTGATCTCGACCACTGCCGGACTGGGCTCGCTGCTCGCGACCGTCAACTTCTCGGCAAACCTCGCGATATACCTCTCGGTGCGACTTCCAGTGTGGTGGTCTGCGCTGGTCTCTCGACATGTAACGCGCACACGACGGAGGCAGGCACAGGGACAAGGACAGGGACAGCAGGTGCCCGTCGCCGTTGCCGCCGCCGCCATCGCCGCCACAACACCTCCTGTACTCACCTCGCTCGCGTCCCTCGCCTCGCTCATCTCCGACTGGCGCAAGTCGCAGCGCCTCACGGGCCTCATCCCGCTCTACACGCGCCTCCGCCTCCTCATATCCACGACCAACCCGGCCATCCAGGCCCTGGACCCCGTCCTGCGCGGCCTCTTCCTCGTCCAGTGCCACGCGTACATCATCTTCCAGGCCGTCGAGAACCTGTGCCACTTGCAGAATAAGGGGCTCTTGCCCGCGTCGGCGGCGTCGCTGGTCGAGAGGCGCGGCGGCTTCGCGCGCTGGGCCCTCTGGAGTTATCGCGCGTGGTGTTTGGGCGTGGTGACCAACTTTCTCCGGTTGGCGAGGGAGGTGGAGCTGGTGCGGAGGCGGGAGGGAAGGAGGAGGCACAGGCAGAGTACGAGTAGACATGGAGATGGTGGTGGTGGTGGAAGGCCAGATGGTGATGGACACGAAGAGGGAGAGGGAGACGGGAAGGATGAAGCCGCCACCGAAGAGTTTTATCGCAAATTTTGGAACGACATCCTCATCTCGGCGTGTTGGCTCCCGATTGCGCTGCACATCAGCCTTCCCCCGAGGGGCATTCGCGGCATGAACCCGGGGATTAGTTCCACGTTGAGTCTGGTGGCGACCGTCATGGGCTTGCGAAGTCATTGGCGGGCTACGGCGGCTTAGAATGTCGAGTGAGTCAATATTGAAGACTGTGATCTGGGATCTGGGATCTGGGATTGGGGGATGGTTCTATCATGGGCCGGATTTGGTGCATGATAGCAGCTTTATATATAGACAGATATAGATGGGACATGTAGATTCGGCCTCTCTTGCCTGGTAGGCGGGGAGGACGGGACTGATACTACCGTGGTAAGCTAGGGGGAAGAGTGAATGATATACCCAAGTACATCACTATATGGGTATTCTTGTAGTGCATGACGAGGCGAGGTATAAAACCTTTGCGATCGCCAGCTTCATTTTTCTTCTTGAACCAGAAGAAGAGAGGCAATACACACCCTTGGCGAATCTGTATATACTTTGAAAATAACAAAATTCTGGGCAATGCGATTCTTTGTACATGTCTAAATGGCTGTGTCAAGGGTAGATGTAGATCGAACCAACCAACGAACCAGCCAGTCAGCCAGGCAGCCAGTTCCTAACATGGCCAGACTAGGTAGGTAATCAGTAGATATCAGAAAAAATCTTGTCCCGTAAACACCCTGTCTGGTGAGCTCGGTTCAAAGACTTGCTCAGAATGCCACCATCTCCTCACCCCGCTTCCACTCCATCAGAATCAGCTTTCGGCTATAATATCTCGACGTTGGGTGCGGGATACGGGATACGTTTCTGTCTCGTTTGCCGGTTGGATTTGGGGTTTGCTTCGAAGGTAGTTCTCCAAATGGTGTCTGTCCTGTCCATGGGGAGTACATCCTGTGGTTTCTTGGGAGGATACAAAAGTGCTTGTCAGGTTCGGTAATGCCTACATATGTAGGTAGTCAAGTTCTCTTCAACACTTACTACACACAGGGGTATTTCAGAGAAAATCTTTCTTTACACACTCCAGAACCAGACATAAGGACCTAGATAATGACGTCTCAAAGCTCTGTGGGTGTGGGTGGCCACCTCTTCCCCGTCCCCCCCGGCGCGGTCGCAAACTTCTGGATCGTCGACACGACCGGCACCATCGAGGGCCTCGGCGCCGACCACCTGGTCAAACCGAGTCTGCCGACCTTCCACACGTTCCCCAAAGTCCCGAGCTGGTCGTTTTTGATCGAGACGACCGTCTCAGGGAAGACGAGGAGGGTGCTCTTCGACCTCGGCGTGCCCAAGGATGTCTATGCCATGCCGCCCGTGGTTTCGGGGAGGTTGAAAACGTATGGGTGGGTGGTCGAGGTGCCCAAGACGACTGCGGAGGTTTTAGTCGAGAGTGCAGGCGGAGAGGGGGGAGGGTTGCAGCTGGAGGATATTGAGGCTGTGGTTTGGAGGTGAGGATCATGACCGATTTGTATTCTCAGAGGGAGTTGGGATTTGATCACTGATATTACGGCCGATTAGTCATTGGCACTGGGACCATCAGGGCGACGTCCAGCCTTTTCCCCCAACTACGGATCTGATCGTCGGACCGGGCTTCAGCAAGGCATTCCTCCCAGCGTATCCGGCGGGTCCTCAATCGCCGATACGGCAGACAGATCTTGAGTAAGTCCACCGACCGTTTGGACCACAGGGTCGCTCTACACAAGTACTCACCCCTCGTGTCCTTGCAGTGGTCGACGCCTGCGAGAAATTGACTTTGACAACACACCCACCGTACAGGTCGGCCAGATCCGCGCCCTCGATTACTTTGGCGACGGCTCCTTTTACCTGCTCGACACGCCCGGCCACGCCATCGGCCACCTGGGCGGTCTCGTCCGCACCACATCGAACCCCGACACGTTTGCCTTTCTGGGAGGCGACCTGACGCACCACGGCGGCGAGCTCCGGCCGTCGAAACATCTGAGCTTGTCTTCCGCCGTGGCATCCATCGCCGCGGAACATTCCAGCGAGGGACTGGGCACCGTGACGCTCCAGAGTCTTGAGACCCTCCAGACATCGCGCGGCCGCGCCGTCGACCAAGCCTTCTTCGACCCCGTGCTCACCAGCGACTTTGACGAGGCGCTGCGCACCATCGCCCGCGCACAGGACGCCGACGCCCAGGATAACGTCTGGTTCGTCGCCGCGCACGACGACACCATCACCGGCGTGGTCGATCTCTACCCCAAGCGGGCCAACGGGTGGAAGGCCCGCGGGTGGCGCGAGAAGACCATGTGGACGTTTCTGAGGGATTTTCGGGGCGCGTTGCAGGGGGGGCAGTGTCCGGGGCATTTGAGTTCGTGAACGACTTGTCTCGTTGTATATAAGGAGGTAGATGGTGACTGATGCAGCGTCTGGAGTTGAAGTGAGAGTCTGGGTTGAGGGCGGTCAGAGACCGAGATGTAGTCGGAGACATATATGCATTTCATCGTAACTATTATATTATTCAACGTGGTCGCCAAATAGGAGTGATGGCTGGGTATAATTAGATCTATCTATTACCGAAAATGAGCCACTGCCGCTTCACCACAGAAGAGACAAACCATAGCCGAGATCCATACATACAAACATACTTATGTACTGCATATCAATCAATGTCCTGTCCGCACCGAAAACCGAATCTATTGGAGTCGAACCGGGGCCGCATGAAGTGTGGGGGAGACGATCCCGTTATTCATAGCCCGAGACGGGTATTCAGCGAATCCAGTAGCCTTGCCGTTGTTTGGAGAAAAAGCATTCTGTCTCCGAGGTAAATAGATTGTATTTGTATTTGTCTTTGTGTACCTTCGACATCGCACCGTGTGGTAAAGAGATAAGAAGTGTCTGGCCGGCCCCCCGAACCGAGACTAAAAGCAACCAAGCACCGGCCGACATCTTCCATTTGATATTGATTGGAGGACAAACCCAAGATGGGAAGACTGGACGGCAAAGTCATGATTGTGACGGGGTCAGGATCGGGGTTTGGCAGGGGAGTGAGTTTCTTACCTACCTACCTATCTACCTACACTCTCATTGCCTTTTGTCTTCTGCGTGTCCTTGTGCTTTTGCTCTCCCGCTGGGAGAGGAGAATTACCATTCTGACAATGCGCCCATGTAATGTCTGAAGATCGTGCAAAAAGCCCTCTCTGAAGGCGCCCTTGTCCTCGGCATCGACATCAACCAGCCCGGCAACGACGCGACACTCAACTCCCTCCCCGCCAACCTCTCACAGAATTTTGTCCCCCTCACGGCAAACGTCTCGCACGAACAGACCTGGCACGACGCCCTCCGTTTATCTCGCGAGAAGTTCTCCGCCGTCCCCGACACGGTGGTCAACTGCGCGGGGTACGTGCACCTGGGCGCCGACGCGCACGCCGTGCCCGAGGACGACTTTGACCGCGTCTGGCAGGTCAACGTGAAGCCGCTGTATTTGACGGTGAAGGTGGTGGTGCCGTGCTGGATTTCTGGCAAAGTGGCCGGCCATGTTATCAACATTGGGAGTATTGGGTCGAGGAGGCCGAGGGCCAGTACCATCTGGTACACGGCGAGTAAGGGCGCTTTGGATACGGTGCGTATCAGTACTTGTCCTGACTGGTCCAGTTCACGTTTTTTCTTTGAACCCAGGTTGTTTTTGATGGGGATTGCCCAGGAAAAACTGATGTGATGGTGACTGAGTAACTGACCGCGTGAGTGATTGAGAGGGACTCAGGCAACCGAAGGTCTCGCCGGGGCGTATGCCAAAGACCGCATCCGCTTTAACATCGTGAGGCCGTCGTTTGGGAATACACCCATGTAAGGCTTTCTTCGTTTTCTTCTTCCTTGGCCATATTTCGCAGAAATTGAAAGACCCCAGCTGAATGACCATCGGATTTGTGTTTTATATACAGGGCCCCCCGCGTCCTCGGAAAGGTCGACTCTGCATTCACAGAAGAGGACGAAGCAGGACGAGCCAAACGCCTCGCGACCCTCCCGCTCGGCCGGCTCTGCGAACCCGAAGACGTCGCCAACATGACGGCCTTTTTGGCGTCGGACGAAGCGAGGTATATCACGTACGTTACGTTTCCCCTACCACACCTTCCCTTCATAAGCGGAAGGTTAGCAATCAGGGTAGGATGGCTGACTCGCTCTCTGGCTGGCTCTGGCCGGGGATATACAGTGGCGCCGGATTCAACGTCGACGGCGGGAGATATGTCTCTTGACACAACACCGGTTTTTCTTCTTTGGAGGTCTGGATCCGGCCTCGGGGAGCTAGAGGGTGCCGGTCCACGGTGCTGTGAAAGCCGCTTGTTGCCTAGCAGGTCAAGCCTGGTATCTCGGACCATGACTTGTAGATGTATGCACCGAGAACAGTGTATGCCATCTACAAATATGGAAATGTGGGACACTTTGCAATGTGGAATGCTGGAAAGAACGGCATTTACTCAAAACATTTTTTGTTTCTTTTCTGGGTTTCTGTATATCCCATCTCCGTTTTAGGGGTTTCTGGTTTTGATACATCTGATTTTGTTCCCTTCGGCGTAAGTTCCAGCAATCATCTGGGCGGTGAGTGGTAGGTCGAGCTCGATGTATCCCCTCAATGACTCCCTTTGTGGTTCGCTTCCTTCTGTCCATCCAGCATTCCATCAACTGATCCAATGACTCAATCACCGATTGAACACTCCAAGTAGACTCTGACAAGCGTCGAAAGTAATCCAGCCCTGTTACACGAAGCGTACCGAAGCGTACCAACACCCGCTGCGTTGAGCCGCGCCACGCCACAACACACACTTTCACTCCGCTTCCGTAATAGCGACTATTCGTTCTCTTCCTGCTCACCAAGACTCAACTCACCCATGTCGTGCACCACAGCCTCGTCCTCGAAATCCTCTTCGACCTCTTCAAAATCCTCCCTCCGCAAGATCTTACCATCCATGACTCGTCCCATATGGGTGTGAGTCCATTCGACTCCGGCTCGTCGCATATCGATGAATTCCTTGATCCAAGGCACAGGGCTGGTCCGGAAAGTACATTCGGTCCACCCGTTCGCTTTTCGACAAGATGGCGACACAAAGTTGTCGGTTGCCACCTGTCGCTTGCGGAGTGGTCGCTCTCCATCAAAGAGTCCAGTCAGCGTACAAAATTCCTGGTAATGCTCAAAGGAAGAAAAGTACAGCTGACCTGCGAAAAGGCCGAGCAGAGCAATGGCTTGTGGGCTGATCTCGCCAGAATTGTTTCTTGCCGGCAATTTGCAGATGTCAAGGCTATCGAACGACGCCATGTTCCGAGAGGTACGGGCCTGATACATGTACAAGGTCGATGTCTTCGACTGCTGAATGTCCGGCAAAAAGGCGTTGGCTTCATGTGGGCTGATGATGACAGGTTGTGCCATTCCCTCCATTTTCAACACCCATTGCACTGGTCTCAAAAACCCGTCGTCACGAGAACCGTTCTGAGATTCAATGGTTCGCATGAAATCCCGAGTTACCCACACATGCGTGGGAGACTCCAAGGGCGTGTAGTAAGGCCCGAGGCGGGTCTGCACCAGGATTTCGAAGCATGGGCGGAGTTCTGCGGGCTTGACGAGAGTAGCTCCATTTCGGACATTTCGAATACAATCCAGCAGAGCCTGACAGACTTGAGGAGTGGCAGGACGGACCTCTCGAGGGCGTTGCACCTCTCTCTCTTCTTCAATCTCATGCAAGACCTCTCGCTCCTGTTCTTGCGTGATCCCGCTGTCGTCAATGTCTGTTGAACCAATTCGTTCGAACTCTAGACACAGATTTTGAATAAAAAAATCTTGATTCTCCTGGATAGTCGGCTCGAACGGCATTTCCGCTCGGTGATGCCCGCCCACGCAATACAGCTCAGTGACCGGGCGACATTCTCGTTCGCGAACTGTATTCAGATACTGTTGAGAATCCACAATCTTTCCGTTCGACGAAATGTGCCGGGAAGCAGCAAGTCGCCGTCGTGAGTGAAGCAACCCTCGAGATATGTAAAGAGGATCTTGCTTTTTCAGAGCAAGACATGACTGGTGAATAGCCCAACGAACGACATGCAGGCTGTCAAGCTCTCCGGTCGGAATTTTATTGACACTTCGAATTGCCTGGTCGACCTCCGGGGGAGCATAGAATCTGACGCGTTGAGAGACGGCAAGCTTCCTCATGCGCATACAGGCTTGTGCCAGGTTATCTTTCAGAATTCCTGGTCCCAACAGAACGGCGGCGGTAAAGTTGTCGGGAAGCTGAAAGTCGGTTCCCCTGGTATGGAACTCGTCGAGAAAGATTAGGCAGCTTCTCAGCTCATCTTTGAAGATGGAAGACGCAAGTGGTTCGGTTGAGCCATCACGATTCAATACCATCTTCTCGTCGTTTTCCGAAAAGTAAATGGTGGCCATCTTTTCCGGCCTCAGAAGCAGCCATAACTGGGCGATCTCCAGATTTCCTTCTAGCATTTGAGCTCCCACATCGATGATAACATCGAGTGGTCCATCTGCAGTGGCGCGTTGCAGCAACTTCTTCGTAGTCAGCCTCTGACCAGATGGTGATGCGGCACAGAAGTATTTCCGGTTATCAAACCTCACCAGGGTACACAGAGTTGACGCTGTGATGTGTCTCAAGTCCGGAAGATCCTTCTGTATGATTGGTATTTTGCTGTCGCACGTGCCACTGAAGCCAACTGTAAGAACTCCTTCGTTTCTACACAGATCCCAAGCCGAGGTGGACAATTTGTGTCGAAACTCCTTCGCTGCCGAAAGGAATACAACGTGTCGGAGAAAGAAATTGATCAACTCGCTGTTGATGCGTAGATGGGCATACAGAGTATCCACGCAAGTGGCATCATCGAGGTTGATGCAGTTGATTTTGCGGTATTTTTCAGGAACTTTGGAATGCTTCACCCAATTATGGTATGCGTCAGCGGGATCTGGCAGCTTGAGCAAGATAAGAAGGCATCTCCTCAAGTCCTGGTGAAGAATGCCTGTGTAATAGAATGACAGTGCGGTCAGGATGATTGCTGCTTCCGGCTGTGCAAACTCAGCACTTGGTGATGGAACTGATTTGGCACGATACGGAACTGCGCTCAAAGTTCGAGTCCGATCCAGCCCATAGTTCACCTGCCAGCGTTTGTGCAGAGTATGACTCAAAATTTGATGTGATACCAGACCTCTGGCCACATAGAGTAGGTTGAGTCTGGAGGAGTTCTGAAAGTGTTGGGTGATCAGTTCAAATTGGGCCGCGTCGACGTCCACATTGAGAATGAACGAGCTGATGGCTTGAAGCACCTCTGGATCGCAGTGGCCGAGAGAAAGGCATGAAAGCTGTCCGTTGACGATGGCCTCAGTCACGAACTTTGCCACTGCCGCCGCGCCATCATCGTTGAGCACTCTGAAATGGGGGAAAGCGCCTGAGCCTCGGGCTTCAACTTCGATTCCGGTTGGACACTGGTTGAAAAGCGCATACGCATTTTTCTGGATCAAATACAAGACTTCCAACGAAACATTCCATCGGTCTGGCGCTCCGGAAAGAAGGGTTGCTTCCCCATTCGTGTAGACAAGTTCGTAACCAGGTTTCAACAGCTCGTCAGACTCGTCGAGGACATCTCTAGCATTGCAATCAAGCCATTTCTGAACATCGATGAGGTTGGCAGCAAGATTGTGAGTGTCCTGTGTCAGCTTATCTATGCCCACAAGGCGAAAAGAGTTCAGGTATTCTGGTAGAGTCAGCAGTACACCTCCCCTTACCCGGCATTCCTGATACAGGCTCATCAGTCGCTGGGGTGTTTCGGCGGTTAAATTGGTCTGCCTGGAAAAGGGCAGATAGTAGAGGTTCCTTCCCACCAAGCCTGCAAGAGAGCGTGATAAGATCCGGAGCATTTCTTGTGCAAGTGGTTTCAGCACGACGACTCGAACGAGTTTCGAACCTTGAGCAAGTGCTGTTACCACAAGATTTAAGATCACACTCGTTTTTCCCTCACCCATACCCAGTAGAACAGTACCATTTTCCGGCTTGAGCAATTCAGTTGCCACACGGATCTGCACAGGTCGAATGAGAAAGTTGTTTTGGCACTCGAGAAGGAGCCAGTCAGGCCACTCCTCTGGCGACCATGCAGAGTGTGCAGGATTTGCAAGCTCGTTATTGAGAGCGAACGCATCGTCGGCAGCAAGGAACTTTTGTAATCTTTCCACACGTTGAACGGCTGTAATCTCTCTTGCAAATTGGAGAAGAACAGATATCCAGCAAGAAGGTACTTTCTTTCGATTGTCAGCGGAGAGGAGCTGAAGCAATGTCAACTCAGACACCTGGGGCCAGAGTCTTGCTGTTACGAGAGCCTCTTGCGTGTCGACACGCGGTCTCAATAACTTGCGGGTTCGACCAAGAATGTAGGAGATTCGGGCTCTGGACTCCTCAAGCTTTTTAGCCAGAATCTCACCAGAAGGCACTTCCATCTTGATCGTGTCCTGGCCCAACCGGCCTTTCATAGCCTGGTTGCTGTCATTCAAAAAACTCCCGTAATCACGCACAGCTGTAGAGGTATCGGAAAGTAACTCTTCAGCAATAGCTTCTAGTTCTTCCAAGCTAGAACGAGCTTGGTTAGAATCCAGGAATTGAGGTGTAGTCTTTCGAGACACAAGCTGCGATGACAAATCTCCATCTAATTCAGTAGGCTTGCTGTTGCTGAAAGCCTGCATGGTGACTGGTGTCACGACCATGAGGTCAAGCAGTGAAAAGTGAGTATTTTGACCTAAACAAGGGCTGGCAGACGCGAGGTCGACAAGGAGGTCCGGGACATCTTGGCCATTCCAGACGCTGTTAAAACCTCTGAGTTCCTTGTCGTAATTCTCGAGGAGTTGCAAAAACACATGATTTTTGTGCCAAACGGCAAACCTCCCATTCAGCAGCATTGTCAGGTCCGAAATCTTGTAGTGATTCAAAGACCCCTTTGGGGGTAACCGAACGGTGTCATTCGGCCAGGATTCTTGTGCAGCTTCCAGAATCGACTCGCGCTGATTGTTCAGCTCCTGATCAAATTGCCGTCGCTGTTCCGCGATCGCTTCTTCATCGTTTTCCGCATTTACGGATAACTTGCTCGGGACGAATGGTTTCCGACATTGAAAAATGAGTGTCGAGATCTCCGTGTGATTGTATCTGTAGCCGTCTCTCAAGTCGTATGAATCGTGTTCCGGGGCTGGGAGGCCTTTGAGAACAGGCGAAATCGCAAA